TGCTTCTTAGTGGTTGGACAAGAGTCGACCGCTAGTCAAAAGCAGTTTATGAGATATGGTCAATTCAGATGGAGTCTTGTGTTAATGCAGGTGATATGTGCTCATTACTCTCATTCATTGGAGACACACTTCTTTCAGTGTCCTCCATCTTCATTCGCTACAGAGCACACTTCTCAATGCACGTGCCCTCATAGATACTATCTTTAGTATGAGTCAGACATGTATTTAAACTAGCCTATGCTGTGGCCTTAGACCCCAGCTTTGGCTAAGGTTATACACTCCTAACTCTTACAAACTCCTTGCTTTCACTATCTAAGTGATGCCTAACTTCTTACAATCTACCAAAGCTCCTCTAACACTGAATCACTGAACACAAATGACAGGATAGAGGTGATGCCTTGGCAAGATTAGAGTTAGTGCTTAATACAAGGCCATCATCAGGATTTCCTGACAGACGTCCTTGGCCATTCATTGGGGTATGAGGAATGAAGTCCCCATCTTCCAATCTTTGGTCATCTTTCTCATCCTGACCTGGAATGTTGTCAAACAAGGATGTAGGCAGATTCCATGGAGGATCATTTCAGTACTCACCCCAGCCATTGGATTCTGATTGCTGGGCTAAGAAGGGGTTAGACGATCTGTTAGCAAAGTAGAGGACATGATTTTAGATGAAAATTTTGACTCAAGGGTTTGAGTTCGAATATATTGTTAGGATCATGCCAATAGGAATGCAGCAGAGATTGCACATAGCAAAAAGCCACAGAATGCATCAGGCATAGGCAAAGCTATTAGCAATGTCACCCCTGAGCTGAAGCCCTAAGATGAATATGGACAGAAGTCCATGGAGTGACAGAGATGAGGTAAGAGATAAGTCCAACAGATTGGAGTTCCACAGACTGGAGAATGAGAGTTTTGTTAGAATATGGATTGCTATTTTTAGAAAAGTGAGCTTGCATGAATATTCTCACTCATTCTCCCCATATTCCCCAGGATGCTTACTCATTTTATTAGTGATACATTACTCATTTATTCTAGTACATTCTACATATTCTGGTAGTATAAAAGCTGTGTAGTTAGTAGGGCATCGCTAGCACGATTGCCGTGAACATTAGTTCCTTTTGTGCATACCTGTGAACCATGAGTTCTTACAAGTTTGACTGAGAGTCAGAGAGAGAGATTGGGCTGAACCAAGTTGATATTTGAACTGAGTATCTACAATGTAATTCTACAGTTTATATACTAGTTAGGAGTCTGATCTAGTTCCTACTCAAAATGGTCTACATTCTAAGGTGGTCAGTAGTTGTAGTTTACCAGTTGGTAGCCTGTGGAGTCCGATAACATGCTGTACTACTGATGTCAGACTCTTAATAAATTAAAATAGAGAGATAAAATATAAAATGGAATATGAAATGGAAACTGGGGATCGTAATCCATAGGATTCCAGAATGCGGTTTGTTGGAGTTGACTTGGAATCGGAGTTCTGTCAGCATGCTCATTACAGGCACCACTATTAAGCATATACAGCCTCCACAGCCTCTTCAGCCATAGTGATTTGAAAGGCCTGGCCTGAAGCCCTAAGCCAAGCCAGACTAAGCTGAGCCAGGCCCTAAAAAGCCAAGCCATAGGGGTGGGCTTGTTGAAGGCTCAGGCTCAGGCTTTATACTCGTGATCGGCAAAAGTGATGGCCGATGCCTTATTTGGCGCAGCATGGTACTCAGGTCTGTGATCACAAAAAATTCTAATTGTGCCCATCTACTGTCACCATTGTTCCAAATATACCAACTATCCATCCTCTAAAACCATGTGTGACCTCCCTTTGCCTTGAGAACAGCTTTGACCCGATCTGACATGGACTCAATATGCTTATCAATATCCATTAAGGGCATTGAGGCCCACTCTTGCAAAACCGCCTCTCGCAGTGCCTTGGTGCTTGTTGGATGCCTTGGGAGTGCACGGAGATGCTTCTTGAGCTCATGCCAGACTGGTTCAATGGGGTTGATATCAGGAGAATTTGGTGGATGAGGAAAGAGAGGGATGTCATTTTGTGCAAGCCAGCGTTTGGTGGTCTTGGCTGTATGACTTGGTGTGCTGTCTTGCTGGAAGGCAAGTCCTGGCTAGGCTTCTTCCAAATCCTTCCAAAACACCTTCAACTGACCCTCTAGCACTTGCTCCTGATAGCGAGCTGCTGTCATTCCTCCACCTTTTCCACCAGGATACTCAAGACCAGCTAATGGTCTCTTCCACCCCAATGCGACACATCCCCACACCATTACGTGCATGGAAGACTGCTTAAATGTTGGCACTACACAGCTCTCATCCAACTCTTCATCAACATGCTGTGTCACAAAAATCCGACCTGTCTTATCATCAAGATGGATGTAACATTCATCTGACCAAACCACCTTCCTCCAATCCTGCTCCTTGTGATCCTTTGCCCATTGTTTTTGTGCCTTCTTTTGGTCTGCAGAGAGAAAGGGTCATTTCCGTGCAACACGTCAATGCAGTCTGTGGTCCTCCAAGGCCTTGGCAATAACCTTCTCACTCACATCAATACCAACTTCATTACTGAGGTCTCTAAGTGGTAGTTGGCGGTTTTTTACAGCTGCACGGGCAAGACGACATGATGTATGCTCATCAATCTTCTTTGGCCGTCCACTATGGGGTAGATTTTCGATGGAACCATGCTCCCTGTACTTCCGCCAGATTTTTCGTGCCATCTCGTATGGAATGCTGGTGAGAAGGGCACTTTTATTTAATTTGTGTGTAGCGAGCATAGCACCAATGAACTGGTTTTTTGCTGCCTCATCATGTTTGTGTCGCATTGTGTCTTTGGGCATCAGAAAAAGAAGCAGAATGACATTAGCGAAGTAGCACAAACGAAAAAAAAAATAATGATCAGCCGTGTCTATATTTGGTAGCGGCCATCACTTTTGCCGATCATGAGTATTTTAAAAGCCCAAGCCTCAGGCTCATGCTCAGGCTTCCAATATCAGCTAATACCCAAAACAAATAGTGGGGAACACATCATTTCTCATCGTTTGGGATTAATTTTAGAAGTCTGGTCAGACTATAGCTCCCAAAATTGACATGATGAAAGTTGCCAAGATCACTTTGCTGCTTACCATCATCACCATTCATTGATGCATTCATCGTAACCGGGCCTTTCAAATCACTATTCAGCCACCAAGCTTTAAGTTGTAGATAGTATTTAAACTAGAAGAATCAACCAGAAAAAATGTTTATGCTCAAAACTGCTGAATCAGGTTCACAGTTTTCTCATGCAGGGCCATCTGCTCCCTGCACAAACCTATTATCCTCATGATATGTACAATAGAAATACATATCTTGTAACATACTCACATGCCAGCTTTAGTGTTTATAAACTTATTCATTAGTGCAAAATATGAAATGGAGGCTCAAAGAGCACTCTTTCAGCTATTTTTAAGCTTCAGAGTCACAAAATCAAGGTCAGGACTATGGTTTTTGAGTCTCTGAACATCTCCCAAAGTCTTTTTTTTAAAATTCTTTTTGCTTGTTTTGGAGTGCATGACACCCAGCAAAATGGATGGAAAACCCAGTATTGTCACAATCAATATTGTCCAAAGGGGTTCCTTATATAAGAGGGCATGACCCTGACTGAGAATGTATGCTCTTTCTTTTCTTTGCATTATATACCCATCTGATATACTCTTAGTTTAAACTTTAAGTAAATTATATCCATCCTCAGAGCAATAGAGCTTATTGGCAGTGCATTCTGTATATAAATTGCCTATCTATTGCTCCTCTCTCTCAGCCAAGGGGGTACAGGAAATAAAATTTAATAGGCTGAGGTGGCAGGAGAGACACAGTGACTGAAGATACAATGTGTATAGTATGGTCTAAAGTACATGATGAGGACTACTACAGGTGGAGTCCAAACCATGGGAATCTGGCAGAGATAGCTGGACATTGAGGAGATAGACACCCCAGTCCAACAAATTTTGCACATGGGTCAATATTTTTATTTCAAGCCAGCAGGGCAGAACCAACCACCCACGTGACTCTATTATGCCTATATTTAGGTATATTTTATGATATCATATGTTTATTTGTACTAGCAGTCGTCAGTTGACGACTATCATACCTTGCTTAAGCGGTGTTCATCCCCATCCCAAATTTGTAGAATCCAATTTATGTGAGGCACACTTTGAAAATAATCATACACCGCCATAATCATACATACATGCCTTTAAGAGAATCCTGCTAGTTACCTGAACTGATTACATTTAAGCATGAACTTCTTCGTCTCACCTCTTTCAACGTCCACAATTTTCCACTTAGGCTTTGTACTCTTAAGGTTGTCGTTTCCTACTCAGTGCCAGTGATCAGTGGATATGTGTACAGTGTGAGGGACGAAATATGCAGACATACCTGCAGGGCACGGCAGGGTAGTCGCATTATCCGTTGCAATGTTGAAGCACACGTATGGCTCAGTCCCACTATTCAACACATGGTGTCTAATATTATGGTCGGTACATCTCCATACAAAGTGTTTATATCCACCCCATCATCGAGATTTGAGGTTTTCAAGTAGATCTGCCAACATTGGAAGTGGCAATAAAGCGCAAAAGATATAGATGATATGCCGAGTTTGTCTTTCTAATGCAGATGGAAGATAAGCACAAATATCATTAAGGTTTTTGAGGGCAGTAGCTATGTCCAATCTTGCCATTACCAGTAGATCTAGAGGATTTAATATGTTGGCGATTTGATATCCGTTGTGAAAAGACATTCGATGCGTGATGGAAAAGGGTGAAATTGTCAGTGACAAGGATTTTGATTATGTGTGGAGAATGATGTCATATCATGGGAAGACCATGGCTTGTGTAAGCGAAGATTTTAGACCTAGAGAGACCTTGACAAGCAAGGTAATAGTACACTGATAGAAATCACCCTATCTCCTCCCCAGCATATCCCCATATCAGATTGTGATCAGCCATTGAATGGTGTACTGTTTCATCACAAGGATGAATACAGATATATATAAAATATATATTTTTTAGGCTCTAAGAGCACCTAAAGGTTTATACACAGAAATTTTTTCCCCCCTCCGGGGACAACCAACCACCCTACCGGATGTTCCGGGCCGACATTCCCGAGCACCCTTGCTCTCAGCTTGAATTCCTCATACATAGGACTCGTAACAACAGCAGCATTCTAAAAGCATAAGATGTATGATGCATTTAATGATTATACGAATGGCCTAGGTGTCACTATCACTGGTAGTGCTATCACTCTCATCTTGTCCCCAAACAGCAAATGCTCGATGCCCCGAAGCGTCTCGAGACCGTGAGCGTGAATGCCCGCGATGATAAAGCGAATTTCCAACAGTAGGTGTCTGTACAGCGTCGGCGTCCAAATCTCTATCCTTGGGTATCCTGCTCTTCCCACTCGACTTCCCTGAAGAATGTATATCGTCTCTTGCGCCACGATGTCCTGAGTCTGACGGTCCTGAATCTGTAGAATCCGTGGGTGATACAGGCCCATGAATGCTAAACTCTACCCGGCGAGGAGAAATGATGGGAGGGTGAGACTCAGGACCTGCGTATCGACCGGGTGTCTGTACACCAGACTGATAGCCCGGTCGGGAACGCGAACGTGACCGTGATTTCCGACGTTTAGATTCTAATACCGAAACAGCAGGTCGGGGGAGAGCTTTGTGAAGTCGGTCCTCGGCAATTATTTCCTGCACTTTTTCTTGGCCAATCGTCTCTGTATTTGATCGCGCGAGCTTCGGTGCTTTAGCCATGGCTGCTTCGGGGGAGGAATCGTCTATATCGAATTTTCCATCATCGCGCTCTTCATCAGACACCTCATCCTCTTCCTCGTCTTCCACAGTCTCTTCTTCCACGACTTCCGGAGTAACAGTTCCAGAAACCTCTGAAGAACCGTTCTTGAGTTTGTTCCGCTTCGTCGGCTTTGTTGGACCTTCTTCTACCATTACAAACGATTTTTGCCGTTCTCGTTCGTTCCATTTGAGTGTGCGAGAGATGGCATGGAACCAGTCAGTTGACTGTTTGTCAGCACACACAGTCGGGAAGGGATATTTCGATGCAGTCACTTTGATATGATCTCCCTCTAATAGTGCTATTAGCATGATGACATTATACGTGTAAAAAAACTCACGCTTCAGCTCGACCCGTCCTCGACCATCGAAAGAGGCCCACGCGGTGCTTCGAGAATTGAAAGGAACACATATTCGTAACTCCATACTATCCGGAAGAAGCATGGGTCTGAAGGAGAGTGTGTGGGGACATATGGGTGTAATGAGTATAGCAGGTATCTCTGGGTGAACAAGAGAGCCTCCGGCGGATAACTGGATAGAATAAAAAGGTCAGCATGCATACAACAAAAGGTGGATGTGGAGATACCGAGTACGCCGTTGATCCTGTTGGAGTTGATACAGTAAGGCCATCCGCTTGAACCGTCGTCATATGGTGCTCATCACCTATAAAGGCAAGAACTTGAGTACAGGAGGCCAAAGACAAAAGGTTTAACGGTACCAAAGAGCTCCAGAAGACTGACAAAAGGACTGGGACCTCGATCAACCACGAGATCATTGAGCACTTCAAAAGTTTCCACAGGCCGTGTCGTAAAACACATTATCTCCTTGTCCTTTGGGTTCTTGCAGCCTTCATTATATGCGATGCCGCCACTCCAGCTGCCTTCAACGGCTTCCCAACCATCTTTCTCGAGTTTCCTCATCATGATCTCTCCTGTTTCCCCCTTCTTCACAGCTTTTCGGCATTTGCTCCCATTGGTGACAGCGCGGTACACCGTGCAAGTGAAACGCATTCGCAAATTGACGCGTATACCGGAGTCGATAGCAGAATCCATGACAGCCTGGTGGTCGGCAAAATCAAAGTTGGTAAGGAATCCCAGTGAACCGAGAGCAAATGGGAGGACGGGTGGGACAATTCGTTGGAAGAGCCATGAGGTAAAGAGTACTGTTCCATCACCACCGAGCTGTGAGAGAATATGAGATAACAGTGTTGGAAGTATTATCGCAACGTACCGTGACGACGAAATCGAAGAGATGGGGACTATGGCTGCACATATGGCTCGTCCAGTAACGTAGCTGTCCTTCTTCTTGAAGATACAATTCTTCTTTAGGAAGAGATGCGGAGGCGAGAGATGATAACGATGTGCTGCTGGAAGTACGGCGACGGGGGAATGGAACGAAGAGCTCTGGATAGTCGCGTTCGATGCCCTCTGCGTCAAATCGTCGGGAATGCCGTAGTTGATTATCCACGTATCTAAAAGACAAGATGAACGGATATTATCAAGGAGCGTAACGGAGCACGCACACAACGAGACCGCGTTGCTGGCCATTCCGAGGCTTGAGCATGAGATACAAGGCCAACTCTCTAGTGAGCTTGATAAGACGATTGTCCCTAGCTTTGGTAATGATGAGAACGTTTTGAATATTTGATCTGACACGAGCACGACCTAAGAAACGGATGTAAGATAAGAGGTCAGTAAAAGTATGGATAACCGGACGTACCAAGCTGCTTGCTCATCTCGCGGACACCGACGGCGGTCTCTGCAAGCTGTTTGGTTAGACTAGCACCATATTCGTCGACCTCGTCGTTGCTACTGCTGATAACAGAACCCGGGCTTGAACCAAGCGGTGATATTCGGTGGTCACTATCGCTGCTGCCGTTGATTCCATTACGCTGGAGAGAATGAGCGACGCCGACTTCTGGGATAAGGGCGGTTTGCTTATTTCGCAGCCACTCGGTGAGAGAAGCACCTTTGTCGAGGTGAGAGTGAACGAAACACGGAGAATGCATTGGCTGCCGAGGGATGCCATTGCTGCTGGAGGTCGATTGAGTATCCATACTGGAGGAAGAAGGAGCGGTTGAAGTTGGCGTCATTGTTTCATTGCCGGTCAATAGATGACCATTTGTAGCACCTGATGCAGATGTCTCTAGAACAATATTATTTGGCCATATCGTGCGAGTCGAGTCTAGATGTAAGGATGAAGGCCTGCTGCTCTTTTTCGAGAGCGAAGGTCGGATTGAAGGATCGAACGGGGATGTTGGAGGAGTCGAGAAAGTGTCAGCATCTGGGGACATCAGATGAAAGGACATTGAGGGAGTAAAACAACAGCAAAGGCAAGCGCAAAGGCAAGTACCTTTTAATATCTCGCAAGGTACGCTTAGCTCAAAAAGATCGTCTTAACAACACATTATATATCGCCCGCGTTGCGTCCTATCTACTTGCATCAGATTCCAGCGTGCACTGCATCAAAAAAATACGGTCCCCTTCTCAGTAAACCTTTCCAACTGGCGATAATCATCCCTATCCTTGGCAATCTGCCAGAGCCACGCATCAAGGTCGCTCAAGGTAACACCTAACGATGCTGATTCAGCTGCCGATACAATCATTTCGCAAGCATCAATCGCAGCAGCACGTAAAATGAATGACTGTTCGGCCGTTAATTTAGGCCCTTCCCGAGGTAACCCCCGAGACGCTTGCCGGCTGGAAACGTCACTTGCCTGCAGCAGCGACGCTATTTTTTGCTCAGAGTGTGCGTCCGAAAAGACGGCTTGCATCGGGGATGCTGAGAGATCGATGACACCCAGATGGACGAGTAAGGACGGAATAACGTTGTCACTAAAGATGGGAAGATGGGAAGTGGATGGGATGGGAAACGGAGACGAAGATGTGGCCCCAAAACGGACGCGTATACCGTTAATCAGAAACAGGGCTTTCTTGAAACAGTAGATGGGATGTCCGTTTACGAGGGCCATATCTCTGAACGCTGGGATCGCACGAACAAGCTATCAATACTTGTCATCAGATAGATCCAGTGCGAATACAGTTCTTACTTGCCCGTTCAAGAATAGCTTCTGCATCGTTGGCTTCCGGGGTCTGTGCCACAAACGTGCCAAGATCGGGATACCCTGCCTTGACCAAAATATCACCCGTCTCATTCAAGACGCCCGTGATCAACGTCGTCAGCTCATACATTGGGCCACCAAGTTCGCCCACCGTGACACCCGGAATCGACTCGTGCGGTTTCTCAATGTGGATTTTGACACACATCAACTCTGCAACCTTGCCGACGTCCACAGATTGCATTCCCCGTGCGGTGAGCAGTTTTTCATCAGCAATGTACATTGATAGTACCAGTGCACGTATTGAGTCCCATGCCCCGCGCCCGGTTGCTTCATGAAGGGGCACACGGTAACCAGAGCCAAAATTCAGCAAGGAGAGGATAGCAAGAACGTTTAGTTCAGCAAGGGGCGATGAGAAATTGAGCGGCATGGCAAGGCCATGCGACTTGCTCACGCCAGCAAAGGACTGGGTAAACGCAGGCGAGGTTAGAAGACGGTGAATTGATTCATTGGTAATCTACAACTGGAAGATCAGTATACATACTAGCATTCGCAAGGATGATAGATTACAGAAATTTTATTTTCAGTTCGTGCTTTCCGGGAAGATTCACGAACGGACTGGATAAATGAACCAGACGTTGGAAAGGCAACACTCATCGTGTAGGATTCGCCGTCCTGTATACGTACTTAGGTATATGATGATGCTCGCTCGGAGAGACGCGTTTGAATCACGTGTGGATTTCTTCTTTCTCCATGGCCAGCTTGTGTACTGCTCGCTGTTTCCTACAGCGTCCACTTTTCCGTCTGTACACTACCTCTGTCCAGCGTCAGTGTCATTCTCTATTTAAATACTATTACTCACAGACACATAGCTTCTCCCATTCGAGAACAACTGACTGCTGGTGTTAAAAATGCGTTGAAGAACAAGGATCCATTTACCTCAACGTTACTTCGCGTTCGTCACGTCTTCTTCTCTGCATCCTCCATACCTATCTCGTCCTCTAGTCTGTTCTCTCTGAAGTCTATGCTGCAGACAAGGCTAAGGGCCCCCGTTTCCCAGTCTGCTATAGTTTCCATCATACGGAAAGCCGTTGCTCGTCGGGTAAGTCACACGTTTCCACCGTTCATCGCACCTGTAACCAAGTATCAGAATGATGCCATCGACCAATATGCGAAAGCGAACAGACAAGATCTCGTCGACAAGGAGTCCAAAGAAATCAACGCATTGGCAGCGTTTCTACCCCTACTACTATCCGAGGCAGAGGTAGACTCGAGACTGCGTGCTGCTATGGAAGCGGAGGGTATCACTGCCGACAGTGACCCACGGAAGAGCACTGGAAAGATTATGAAGGCTTTCTACGCGACTGTGGACAAGTCCGAGGTTGACGCATCCCTCGTAAAACAACGATTGGATCTTATTCTACCTCAAAAGTAACATGGCCCTTGATCTTTATTTCCAGTGTCCGAAAATGACATCCATTGCATGACTATGTGTACACTTCAAATATATAATATTGAAACCCTTCTTACTCGTTGGAATCTTCTTCCCTTCCTGTGGTCCCATTACCTGCTGTAGTCGACGTTGTGGGTGTAGGTGTGGTGGTTGGTAGCGGAGGAAGTGCACTCCGCACTCGCATAAGTTCGTCAATACACCGATAAACTGCACCCGATACTCCTTCAAGGATGCGTATCCGCTCATCGATAGCCTCCCTTGTAACCGTGTCCAGAACAGCCAACTGGTCTTCTGTCAACGTGGGAGGTAATTGTGAGATTGGTATCTCGTTGAAGGGCCGACCAGGGTTGCGACCTTGTGAGTTTAGTGGTGGCCTGGGTACTGATCCGGATTCCGAATGTATGTAATCAAGAGGTATTAATGAAGGGACACCGACGTGTGCTGTTGAAGTAGCGTGCGAGGTAGGATGGGATTCGTTGATTCGTGATGTTTCTCCGTCACTGCTCTCCGATGTAGAGCTTGACATTGAAGAAGAGGAAGAGGAAGAATCAGACCTTGTGCTGGGAGCCCTATCATGTGATGGATCCTTGCGATTCAACCGCCGAAGGGCGGCGAGCGCAGCAGCTTCACTGGGGCTTATTGACTCTGACGACGGCAGGGGGGCATCCGTTGGAGACAGGACTGGGGCATCACCTGAAGACGCTGCTGAAACATTAGATGCCGTTGAAGCGGAGATATTGGTCGCGCGCTCAGGCTCAGTAGATGAAGTTGACGCTGAATTCGATGCACCAGAGGCGTTATTTTGGGTGGCTTCTGGGGCAACATGCTCAGGCCATGGCTGCCATACACCGCCGGGACCATAAAAGCCCACAAATTGCGGAGGGGGGTGCAAAGGTCGTGGCTGCGATGGTGGCTGATCGCGCTGATTGGCAGTGTTTTGGGGTGGATAGTTATGGATGTCATACTGAATAACCACATTTACCGCGTGATTACCAGCATCTAGAGGCCGATTCGGTGCGTTTGGGTTATTGAGTAGGCGGCGTAGCATGTCCATCGTATTACCGGCGCCATTGTTTGCTGCATTGTTACGATTGGGCGCAGGAGCATTTCTTTGCGCCTGTACACCAGGAGTCCTGCGATCTCTCCCGCCCTGAACACCTGGAGGATTTGTTTCCAGGACAGTGCGACGGCTGTGATACGAATATTTAGTATGTATAGATATCAGGGCTGAATCATCCACAGACCAAGTAGGACAACTCTGCTGCCGCTCCAGCCAAGACCGTAGACAATGAAAATGAAATATATGACCACACGGTAGCTTCTTGGGTGTCATGTTAGGACCTTCAGGTGCAGGCCCTGTTGGAGTCTGTGGAAGTGTCATCTCTTCGCGACAAATAATACATGTATGATCGGTTGAAGATAGTTCTTCCTGAGTAGCGTTTGGGTATCTCTGATCCATATTTCTGGTCGCAGTTTGATACCGATGAAGGGCTCTTAAGCGAGTCACGAAGGAGCGCGCTGTAAAGTAGATATCCCGTACGATGTTCAACGGGAGGCCATAAAAGGTGAGAATGATGGCAAAGAAACAGAGATAGGTCGTCAATTTGCTGAAGTCTAACCACAATGATGAGCGCAATTGACTGCAGTCTGAAAGAAGACCCTACCAGTGATCAATTCGATGTAGAAAGTCCACATACTTTTCTGCTCCCAGGGAGGAGCATTCTCTCCCCCATGGACGCCCGCTCTTCGGAAATCATAAGCCGACAAGACATACTTGGCGATAGAATTCGCGACGCTGGCCATCAATATGCCGTACTATCCGTTAGCATTTGGATAAGCATGTGTTTTGCGCAGAAAGGGAATGATGACTCGCCTCGCATGCAAAAAGAACCATGCCTCCCACGCCGTATTCGAGCGTGTTTTCGACCGCAAACAGCAGCATGAAAAAATCTGTCGTCCATAATATCACGAACAAAGTTGACATCCGAACGTGGAAGAGTAACGACGGCCCCGGATACGGGCGTTGATCCATCTGAACCAGGCGAGGTGAGAGGAATGAAGTATGCCAGACACAGCATTTACTCACCCACTCGATACGATCACTGGCCAACCAATGGAATGACTTGACAAACAGGAGGAACCCAAACATGGTAGCGAAAGGAGCGTCGAATTCATCGCGAAAGATGGTGAATGCCAGAAGTGATTCCGTCACGAAGAACCAAAGGCGGTCGTACAGACGCTGCAAGACATAAGTGAATGTAGAGCTACAAAGAAGCTGGAGCACGTACTTCTATTTCATTTGGCCTCAAACTACCAAAGAATACCTTCTGAAGTACATGACCGCACAACAAGGCGAGAATGAACGCAAAGTTTGCGAAAACCTACGAAGAATTAATAGATGGTCGGAGAACATACGGACGAAGCAGCGCACAAGAACACTACGGCTGCTTTTGGATAGATATATCGCGACAGAGTAGAAGTTGCTGTAGTTCTTTAAAGCATTGGCGACGGCGGCACAGACCGCGACAGTAGAGAGCGTGCCATAGAGGAGAATGCGATGGGAATTGATTGAGGTAGCGACAGCCCTTGCCCTTTGGCGCAGTACTGGATTTACTGGCATCGCTGCGAGCGATTAGCCCGACGTCAGACTGGTCGAGAGAGATGTTATTGAAGGTGAGTGATGGTGAGGAAACGGCAAGGACGACGTGGCGATTACCATTCCCACTTTAGGCTACCCTCAATTTGGGACACGTATAGATCCAAGTCACGTTAAGGTCACGACCGCCGCGACTTTTCTTTCTTACACTCACCTCGACCTCCTCCTCGACTCTCTTCCAGGCCCACAACGAGCAAATTATAACTGGCCATGCCTGCGGCCTATCCGCTCCCTACAAATGTCTCGCCAGCGACGGTCGCCAATACCGCATCCCTGCTGCGCATTATCGCTCTGGCTCTCATATCTGGCGCTGCTATTGCTTCTCGATTATTCGCTGTGATAAACTTTGAGAGTATCATACACGAATTGTGAGTCTCTTGACGTCGTTCTGGTCCTTTCTCTTATTCCATTCCCAGTGATCCATGGTTCAACTTGTCAGTAAATCATCTGGTTGTTATTATGCTTCCGTGAATTGATGCCGTTTAGTCGTGCTACGAAGGTATTAGCATCCGAAGGATTCTATGTGCGTAACCCACTCTAGCGAATGCATCAGTATTCTCATTTCCCTTAGGCATTTTACAACTGGTTTGATGCAAGCGCCTGGTTGTTTTACTTCCCACGATATCCCATGTCTCTTGCTAATAATTGGCTAGGTATCCATTAGGTCGTGTCGTTGGTGGAACCGTCTATCCTGGGCTCATGGCAACGAGCGGCGTCATCTACAACATCTTACATGCTCTCAACCTCCCGGTAGATATACGAAACATTTGCGTGCTGCTAGCGCCAGGATTCAGTGCTCTGACTGCTTGGGCGACCTACATGTATGTTATTACTATTGCAGTATCTTCAATGAGTTAACACCTAATAGGTTTACCAAAGAGATGAAAGACGCCAGCGCAGGCTTGCTGGCCGCAGCATTCATCGGCATTGTTCCTGGCTACATCTCCCGTTCTGTTGCAGGATCCTACGACAATGAAGCCATCGCAATCTTCCTGCTCATGTTCACGTTCTTCTGCTGGATCAAAGCCTTAAAACTTGGTAGTGCGCTGTTCGGCACAGTCGCCGCGATATTCTACTTCTATATGGTCGCCGCCTGGGGTATGTCTTCTCGTTCCTCCCTACTTTCACCAGTAAATATAAGTCTTTAGGTGGTTACGTCTTCATCACCAACATGATACCTCTCCACGCCCTAGTGTTGATACTGATGGGACGTTTCACTAGCCGTCTCTATGTCGCCTATTCATCCTGGTATGCAATCGGAACACTTGCGAGCATGCAAGTTCCTTTTGTTGGTTTTCAGCCTGTGCGGACGAGTGAACATATGGCAGCCCTTGGTGTCTTCGGACTCCTCCAGATTGTTGCTTTTGCTCAACTAGTCCGATCACATCTATCCTCGAAACAGTTCCAAAATCTTTTATTCTATTCGGTTGTAACGACGGGAATTCTAGGAACCCTTGCATTTGTGGGCTTAACTTATGCAGGTTGGATTGCACCATGGACCGGTCGCTTCTACTCCCTCTGGGACACGGGATACGCGAAGAAGTGAGATTTACTCTCCTTAAGCTACTAACTTATTTAGCTTACACCTTCTCAGATATATCCCTATCATCGCTTCGGTTTCAGAGCATCAGCCAACTGCTTGGCCTTCATTCTTCATGGATCTCCAGTTGCTCATCTTCCTCTTTCCCGCCGGTGTTGTCCTGTGTTTCCGTGAACTGCGCGACGAACATGTCTTCGTCATCATCTACGCCGTGATGGCCAGCTATTTCGCGGGAGTGATGGTTCGTCTGATGCTTACTCTTACGCCTTGCGTGTGTGTGGCTTCTGCAGTGGCCTTCTCCTCATTACTAGACACCTACATCGACCCTGCCGAGCCAGACGTCTCTCAAAATGCACAGAATGACGGTGAGACCACTCTCAACGACGTCGTCGCTGCCGTTACGGCCCATACCAAAAAACGTGGGACTCGTTCTGCTCCCAAAGGTATCTTTGGACTCGACACCCGTATGATTATCATATTCAATGCCTTTGGAATGCTGGCTTTCTTCGTATTCCACTGTACATGGGTGACTTCGAACGCATACTCTTCACCATCGGTCGTGCTAGCTTCAAGCAACCCTGATGGAAGTCAACACATCATTGACGATTACCGTGAGGCGTACTATTGGCTCAGGCAAAACACGCCGGAGACAGCTGTCGTCATGAGCTGGTGGGATTATGGATACCAAATCGCTGGTATGGCGGACAGGCCAACACTTGTTGATAACAACACATGGAATAACAGTATGAGATCCGATGTTATGCATGACATGCCTCGCTAACGCAGACCACAGCGCATATTGCCACCTGTTGGTAAAGCTATGTCAAGCCCGGAGGAAATAGCCTACCCCATTTTGCGCAAGCATGACGTGGACTATGTGTTAATTATATTCGGCGGTCTGATCGGTTATTCCGGAGACGACATCAACAAGTTCCTTTGGATGGTTCGCATAGCGCAAGGTGTATGGCCGGATGAAATACAGGAACCGAATTATTTCACCCCTCAAGGTGAATATAGAATCGACGAGCGAGCTTCCAATACCATGAAGAATAGTCTGATGTACAAAATGAGTTATCATCGGTGAGCATCCTCTCACACTGGAATCTAACCTGTTTATAATGCTCTCCATTCCAGCTTTGCTGAACTGTTTGGTGGCTCTGGGCAAGCGGTTGACCGAGTGCGAAACCAACAAGTCCCTAAAGTAGGACCGACGTTGGATTACCTAGGTATGCAGCACCCAGCTTGTCAACTTTTGTTTGCTGACACTGAGATAGATGAGGCATTCACTTCGGAGAATTGGATAGTCAGAATTTACCAAGTCAAGAAAGAAGATGACCTGGGTCGGGATCTCAAGAGTGCAAACGCATTCTCTCAGGGTAAAAAGCGCAAGCGTAGTAAACCAGTATCCAAAAGGCGTGCTATCGTGTAATGATATATTGAAAGGAGACCTTTGGACTTTTCTAGAGTCTACATTTAATACGTTGTAGCACGCCAGAAATTTAATATTTCCATCTTCACAAAGTAGAAGGTGGGTATGGTCAATAACTAGATGTGTGCCTTGTGTCTATACATTGTATCTACAACTGTGACCGGTGACATTGTGTTCGCAAGAACGAGAGGTAGCGACGGCATCATCCTCCATATCAGGCTTAAGTTATTTCTCTGCTGGAGGAATTAAAACTAACAACCTCCGTAATCGACTGCGGGATGACGCTGAAATCCTTGCGACTTCTCAAATATATCCTAGGCAATGACAGCAGTATTTTCGGGGTCACTGCTCCATGTTAACTGAGGATGTTCCAGGGCATCCGCAATTTCTTGTAAGATGAATCCATGGCAGGAAGCAGGTGTCGTTGAGGCTTGGAGTTTTGATGCAGATTGCTTTCCGACGATGACGGTATGTTAACTGGCACCTCCGAAGAGTGATGTCGGTCTGGATAGACTGTTGCAATACATTTCCATTTACTGTAAGTGCATCCGACAAAAATACCTATCTCAGGCACTGGACTAGGCATGGTTTGGGCTCAGGGCTCGGGCTTACGATTCTAAAAACTAGGCCAACCTGGTCCTATAAGTACTAGCGAAAAATAGTATATGTGAATAACTAACCTATACAAAGGCCAATTACGAAGAAATAGAATTCGCTATGTAGGGTCTAGTTTGAAGGAGGGAAGCGTTGACCACCGCCGCGTAGACCTAAGCTCTCCGTGTCACATTAATAGACTTCTCAACACACTTTTAAATTGTAGGTTGTTTAATGAAACAAATAGCACCACGATCCAACCATTGACGTTTTCGTCTACTTGAATAGTAAAAGCTCCTGTGGTGGTTGTGAATGCATATATAACTGAAGGGATACAGCAATCCGCGTGCTCTACAATTTACATTATACATTCTTTTTACCGAAGCACCGAAAGAGCGTATCATGTTACGCCATTGGTACGTCCATGAATGCGCCCTGCATGAAGCGGAAGAAACTGATGTTTCCTGAATCTACTGCAGCGATGACCACGGTTTTCTTCCCTGCCCTAAGTGCCACAAACGGATGTGGTCGGCGCGCGGGTGGTCCTGGGTCGCGGCGCTGGAAGGGAAAAATCGCTCGCCACCAGGGAAGAGGTGGAAGTGCTGGTCGAGGCGGAGGGGGTCTTTTTGGTAGAGGTATGGGCAATTCGGGTGAGATATCGAAGAGGTCAGTCAATTCTCGAAGGGAAGGCATGGGCGTTGTTCGAGTGCTTGAGATAAAAATAAGTTTTCAAAAGTGATCAAGATAAGCAGTCGTTTTGCACTCACTTGATCACGACGATCTGAAAATCGGGAGGTGGAGGTGACGTTTTCTTGAATGGCGTAGGAGGCTTGTAAAGGTTGTAGAATGGTTTGTAAGGAGAATCCTCCTCCTTTGATTGGCGTAACGGTAGCTGATGTCCCGCCGGCATGAACCTTAAAGAACGAAAGACATGCCCTGCACAAAATGGAATATCAGACATGTTATGGGGAAGCAGTCAAAAAAACAAACCATAGTTCTTGTCATGATAGAACCAACGGCTTAGACGTAGAGGCCTCCACCAGTTAAAGGCAGATGTGAAGAACTTGAGTATCCAGGTAAAGAACGTTAACCGGATTCGCTCAAAGATAGAAGGTCTCGGTTGTCCAAGTGGACACATCTTCTCAAATGGCGCTGCCGCAGGATATTCCGACGTAGGTGGTACGGTCCTGGTGACAACATATCCCAGTCGCCTGAGGTAGGAGTAAACCTGCAACATATGAGATCAAACAATGGAACATAATCAGCTTGTAAACCTGATATTTCTCTACGGTGACATCCTCCATCCCAATCATCTCGGCGTATACCTGCTGCACACTCATTGGAGCTCCAGATACGTCTTCCAATCCGGATAGGTCAATGTCGATCTCCTTCCAGCAGAAAAGGGATCCCCGCTCAATCAGATAAATTGCCTCTTCTGGGAGCAACTCTAGACGTTTTGTAGGCTTCTCTTTATCCTTCGCCAGACGCGATGCAGAATGGCCCATGCTTGAAAAGTGGGTTCCTCGAGCAACAGGTACGGAAACACGCGCAAGGGATGGATGCCATATTCCATAGCTCACCGTCTTGCTTTGTGGGGGTGAGAAATGGAGATGGGAAGAAAGATGTATAACTCACCTGGAGATCGTCCGTGTCGCTCTCAACGCCTCAAACATTGCATTTCTTGACCGTTGTAAAATATGCTGCTGCAGCCCACTCTCTCCGCCAGCTGCAGGCTCGTGTTCTTTTTCACCGCGCTTGGGGATGACGGGGCGAGAGATTCCTATCCTTGGACGCCGTTGAGCACAGATGCTGCGTAACTGAGAACGGACATAACAGACTTCAACTTGGTCCAGTCGGGGCCTTCATCTTCGTCTCCCGACGACTGTTCATCCGGATTATCATCGAGTTTTGGTGGAGGAGCTTCAGAACTAGGTTGTTCAAGTATGTCGTCCATTGCAGTCAAGAGTCAAAAAAGTAGTTCTTACGTAACAGCCTGCCGCGGTCCGAGTAGAGTCGACCAATAGTAACTGTTTCACTGTTTCTTGTATTAGCGGAGTCAAGCTAAGTGCAGGAAACCGATCGTCATTTTTCTTGAATACACTGAATATCATGAAGACGTAAACTACAAAGTGAATAACACCCTCTTTTGGAAGCAAATGGGACATATATCCCTCTCATACAAGCATTCCTCTACAAGGACGTCAGGACTCGTATCATGAGGATAGTAAACAACACATACGCAATACTGGCGGTCTGGAGCGTAGACAAAAATCCGCAAATCATCGCTGAGACAGCAATGCGAGCAATAACCTTGCCCTTAGAGGGTGCCAGCGCCCCAAGTACGCCAATCTGGATACCGAGAGAGCCAAGATTGGCAAACCCACAAAGCGCATATGAAGCAATCGTATATCCTCGCTGTGAAAGTGCGCCATCACTGGCCATCAATGTTTTGAGCTCCAAGTATGCAGAAAACTCGTTCGCGACCAATTTTGTCGCAAGCAACCGGGAAACCGTGAGGATCTCGGCCCGGGGAACACCCAAGAAGAATGTAACAGGGTAGAATATATAACCAATGATGAGCTGGAGAGTCAGTTGGTGGATTCCAAATCCGTGACCGATCCAGGTAAGAAGGCCATTGATTCTAGATGGATAATGTTTAGTTCATCATAGGTGTAATACAGAACGCAGACGCACGCAGATACCAAAGATAGGACAGTGAGAACGTTAGTCCTTGGAAAACGGCATGAGGATAAAATTTATTGATATGAAAACCTCATTGAAGCTTACAGAATCTGGCCAGCAACGATAAGACCGAAAACAGCGCCCTGGCTAAAAGCGTGAAGAGCGTTACTCTGTAACATCCCGCGATAAGCACTAAGCCGAATAGACGTCGTAATACATACCGGAGCCCGCTCTTTGCTTTCGCCGCGATCAATGACAATATTACCCCGAGTGACGGGCTCGTCGTCCTCCGGCATTCGAATCTTACTTATGGCAATGGACGCCGGAATACTCATCACGGAGGAGGTTACCAAGTTCTCCGGTGGAACCCCTAAGGAAATGTAGGCAGACATGACAGACCCAGCAATTGTTGAGAACCCAGAGGTCATCGTCAAGTCTGTTCCAATATAGCATCAACGCGAGGAGAAAGGGAAGAAAGTGAATGACTCACGCAACTCCGAATCTGTCATGACTAGATAGTATATACGGCAGGACGTTAGAGAGACCAGAGGATCCTCAATTGATCACGTACGGTCAACGTATGGTCTAACCAAACAGGCAGATTCTCCCTGACCAATCCACGGAGATGAAGCGGCCACAACGGCTTCAGCACCGGATACATCCAGTAATTTGAAGAAGAACCAGGCACTGATTAAAGAAGTAGATGATTAGAAGCGCTGAAAATAAAGACAGACATGATACAGACAAGTTTTTCAGTATCCATTGCATCACCCCAAGGTAGTACATCATTTGCACAAACGCAACGAAAAAGATAATCGCCGCGAGCTAAGCATTACATCAGGCAAACAATTGTGAAATGCGTTAACGTGCTCGTACAGTGTTCACGAAGAACCAACTTTTCGCCACAGTTTCAGCGTCGAAGAAGAAGGCTGCTCCCGCTTTAGATTGGCTGAGAAAATCAGCCGCCAGAGTTGCGACCCAGTTGAAGATTGAGAATCCAGCTCCACTCTTGAGCACAAACAAAGCGATAGCCTGTTGGATGAATAAGCCAACGATAACGGTAGGCCTACACAGCAACATATATGAGAAGAATATATGACAGTGACTCCAACACCTACCAGGGAATCGTGGAGCGCGACTTTGACGAAATCACAAAGCCGCATTGGAAGATGAACAATCCAAGAACTGAAATTGCACGATCGCCATAGTTGGAACCCTAATTTTTACTGGTCAATGACCGATATACTGAAGGCTGGTATAACCTTACATTCTCGAGTTTGAAACCAAAAGCTGATCCAAAAACAATGCCGAGAAGACACAACCAACCGATTGCTAGCCGCAACCTACGGTTTAATCTATACCATGGTTCTTGAACTAACGGCATCCACACTGCGCTGACAGGTTCCGACACAACGCGGTTGGGAATAAATCGGAATGCAATGACGAGGAGGAAGAACCAAGCAAAGAGTGTCTGGACAATCCTAACCCAAGCCTCAGAAGTGGATGTTAAACAAGGGAAGCTCTCACCAGCGATGTCGTGTATCCTTCAATACTATAGAACTTATCCACCAACCCAAGATAACAGCTGCAACCGCTCCTAGGATAAATGGGCGGAACCTCTGATAAAAAGTTGGGATCCCATCCTCTTCCTTGTCGTTGGACATGACAACCTTAGGATCTTTAGCAGCATGGCCCTTCTTCTCGTCAAAGGACGTAGACGAGCTCGTGGTCTTGCGCCGTATGGCAGTCTGCTCTGAAGTGATCAAGGGAGGCGCATAGGGATGGACATCGGCTGCCTGGGTGTCGGCCATTAGAGCAAACGGCGGAGAGCGTCGCAGGAAGAAGCACTAATCATGCTCCGTCTTTCTGATCTATTTAAAAGAAGTGTGTGCTAAAATCGGACGTTATCCGAAGATGTAACTTCTTTCCATATGGTTCCATCAGTGCTGTCACGACACTCGAACCTGGAAAGACAGGACTAGACTGAGATAGTGCAGTTAAAGGATTACGAGATTCGCGATTATCCAGGTGATGCCCTTTAGTCTGGGGTACCTGAGCGCTGGTCTTGGTGGCCGACATGAGTTGGAACTGCGTGATCCGTACGAATGATAAGGCCCCCCAAGGTCCACGAATTAGAACGTATGCACAGCGGGGTACTTACATATGGCATGATAGGACCTTGGTCCACATGCTGCGACACGATACCATGCGGGTTGCACAGACGTTTATCTCAAGGTAATCAAGAAGGCCAAGAAATATATTAGCCTGTCCCCAGATACATTGAGGAGTGGATCCTGGTGTCGCCACAAGCCACGCAGCCATGATAAGCACATATAGCAAGCATTCAACCGGTAATTAAGTCCATGGGGTCGCAGATAACAGGGATTGGTCGATATGCCTATCAAAGCGGTGCTGCATCATACTTTCAACGCGCGAATAGACTTGCCGCTGGCAATGGCCACCCATTCCCCAGTCCCAGTAGTGTGGCCTGTGTTCATCGTCATCCCTTTAATTAAAGGAGACCAGGCCAAGTTCGTTATCTGACTTGGGGCCGTGTACGCCATCACGGGCTCAGTGACTACCCGTTTCTTTACATCAGGTCTCGGAGAATTCAAACGCGATCCGGCGCTTCTGGGTGAAGCGCCTGTCTGCGTGTAACTTGCCAAGTCCCACAATAGTAGCTGGCAATCGTCAGCTGATACAAAAAGTCAAATGTTTGTCGCTGGCAGAAGGAACTTGTCACTGACCGGCAGTTGCTAGCAGAGGGTGCTCGGCGGACCCCCATCCTAACGCGTTAACCGGCGCATGGTGAGCCTTCAACTCTATGACGGGTTGGCCAGGACTCCGCATGTCTAATATCTGTACCTCAGAGCCGTCCATGTGGAATGTAGACATGTAATTCGAATCTGAAGGATTGAATGCGATTCTCAGCAGAGGGGAAGTCGGTGGACGGGCAGAAGAGGAAGGCGACACAGAGGGGACTGGAACATTCTTTGGAGCTGGTGTTTCGTACAGGATTGTGGAGTGCTCTAAGCTCCTCAAATCAAAAGCGCGAAGACTGCCATCTGCTCCGACAGATACAAAGATATCGGTCGAGCCTGGCAACCATGCAACGTCGTAAACTTCGCGGTCATGGGCAATAAGCTGTGTTATGGCTGCTGCGGTATCTATGTTCCAGACTGTGCACGTTGTATCGATGGAAGAAGTCACAATGAGACTGGGAACTTTCTCGTTCCATGAGAAATTGGTCAAAGGAGCACCAGTTGACTGATTCTGGACTTTGGATTGCTGGAAGGCATGGTCAATCTTGGAAACAAGAACAGACGACAGCGGCGCACCCCCGACAATGCAGTCTTCAACGTAAGACTATGCGACATGGCGGCTGACTGGCGGCCGACATAACTCGACATCTGTGAAGAGGCATCGCTTGCATACTCCCACACCCTAAGCGCATCACCCGTGGTCGCAAGTAACTCCGTCGTCGGCGATTTCTGCGTCCATGAATGACTCGTCGCTGAAGCTGGCTGCCACTGCAAACTGGTGGCTGGATATCCGTGGGGTGCCTCACAAAGCGTGGCAAAGTCGGGGTATTGGTCCGTGTAGTCGTCTTCGACAAGGACTCGCTCGTCTTGTAGGCCGATGACTGCGATGCGGTTGTTGTAATTTTCGGTGAATGAGGCGATGCCAATACGGTAGGCAGAGCGCGGCCAAAGTTGCTGTCCTGGCGCGGCCGACTTGCACCAATCTAAACTGTGCACAGGCCCTATCAAGGGTGTCAATACTAACAAAACTGGCCAAACCCGGATACGCACAAGGAGCCTCATATTGAAGAAAAGTTGTTTGGGTCATGGAAGTTTCAGCCAGTGGTGTACGATGTCATAAGGAGATGATGGTCGTATAATACAACTCGCTTGAGTGGCTGTGACTTTGATCGAACACTTAGAATTTAGTTACCAGCATTCATGGTTCCTTTTAGCACAACGATAGCTTGTACATATATAATACATTGAAAGTACGAAACATCTTTACTTCATTAATCGTCGAGTCGTGACGTTTCTCCGTGTCCTTGTTCTTTCCATCACATTATAATATCCCTGCACGCGCCGTAACATTACATCGTCGGGATGGTCTGGGTATTCATGCATGGCCCGCCCCTCCAGGCGCATACGTTTTCGGAGCTCCTTCAAGCTGTTCATGGTCATACAACGGTGGTAGGTCTGGCACGTTCATTCTAAAGATATACTTCTTGATGTTGTGCGGAAGTGCTTTAATCTGGTATGCAGCGTGTACGTGTGTCGGAACGCTGAAAACTGCAACAAAGATGTTACATGAATGTAAACTTGAAGAGGAATAGACCTACCTTGGTCTAGTTCTTCTAAAGAAAGCGCCTTCGTCTCGGGCAGGAATAACAATATAGCAAAAAACCCAAAGACGCTACAAACAGCACATCAGAGAACAGCATTGAAAAGGCATCGAAACACTCACTTCCATGCGGCGTACCAACCAAAAGCGCCTTGAGGCTTGAACGCCCCAAGAAGCCGAGGAAATGTAATAGAGACAACAAAATTACTGTACGCCGTTAACAATTTATTCATAGCTTAATAGCGGCACTTACAAGAACCAAAGTGTTGCCTAAAATAACAGCATTGGCGGTCAGAAGGACGCAAGCACACAAAATCTGCTGTACTCACAGTAGCATACGACATTCCTAAGTCACGGATGTATAGAGGGAATGCCTCAGCTGAATACTGCAATAAATAATAAGCTGATGTTCTATTTCTCTTCGTTTGACTTACGGTAAAGGGCACAGGTCCCTCTCCAGGCGAGTACGCCATTGTAAACAGGTAGATACCCAAAGCGATCACACCGATCCTCGCATGTTCATTTTCTTCAGGAATCCAGCTGAAACGGGACTGTTGAGCGTTATGATCTATGCGGAACTCGATAGGCTTACAAGGCAAAGCCAGTCAAAAGCAAGAAGATCGTCATCAACGGGAAAGTCGTCAGGAGTAGGTTGCGACGACCGAAAGTATCGATAGTCCATACGGCAGGGAACGCAAACAACCAGTTGACCATGCCAAAGCCCCACGAAGCCAAAAGTGCTTGAATCTCGGTGAAATTGGCCTCAGAAAAAATATTAGACTACCAGGCGTGTGAGTTCGATTGTATCTCCTCGCATGCCAAGGACAGCTTACCGAGTAGTATGCAATGACGTTGATACCGCAGCTAATAATATATTTACATCGGAATGGACGCGGAAAAACAACACAGACTTACAATTGTTGCCTAAATGCAACGCTCAGTACCGTGTGCCAGCCAAGAAGAAAATATACTCACATGAACATAACAATACCGGAGGCAAGGGTAGCACGGCGATTCCGTGGAATGGAAAAAAGCTCCCACAATTTACTCCGATCCCGAGTAATCTGCTTCTCAGTTTCGAGTTGAACATGAATATCTGCAGACGGCTAAGTACAGAAGTTGAGTTCGACAAACATTTGGACATACAATACAAATCTCTCGCGGCTTGGATGGGCTTGTGTCGCAATCTTAAGAGGGAGTTGTACGCTTCCCTGTAACGGCCTTTCATCATATACCACCGAGGAGATTCGGGACAGAAAAACACTTGAACCACAATGAAAAGAGCGGGAAGGCCAGCCTTGACTGAAGTTAGACAACGATAACACGGAATATTTTCAGTTGCTACTCACGCTACTCAACATTAGACGCCAGTTGAGACCGGTGATATGTGGCTTATCGGGCACTCTATAAAAAGCCAAATCGGCAACAAAGCCGAGCATGATACCGAAGGCTGTCCAAGTTTGCCTGTCCCAAATACCTTAGATGTTACGTAGTTAAAGTTGGATACGACGTGGAAACGTACCACATCATTACGAGGGCCCCGCGAATAGGTGGAGGCGCGCACTCGGCTGCATATACAGGAACTGTCGCGCTCTTAGGACCAATGCCAATTCCGAGGATGAATCTAGCAACGAAGAGATGTTCCCAGGAATTGGTAACGCCTTGCCATATGCAAGTGAGGAACGAAAATAGTGCTGTTATGAAGATGGCCCCTCGACGTCCAAACCATTGATTTAGCTGTATAAATATGTTATTATATGCTGTTGAATGGTGGATGAGTGAAAGCCTACTGGATGCGTTAACCAACAACCCAGGACGGCGCAGCATAAATAAGGCGCGGAGTTTACTAGACCCAGTATCCATTGATTCTTACTAGCATTACCATCCTGTGTATTAGGATCTATGCCAAATTGTTTCGGGAAGAAAAGTTGAGCTCCGTTAATAACAGTCTCATCCATCTGAATGCTTATGAGCAGAATGAAAGGGCGAAGAGTGAACAACACGTACGCCTTGCACGGCTGCAGCGACTGAGCACAGGATGACGAGATAATACAACATTTTTGGCTGATCCCAGCGATGTGTGAGCTCCCGCCTAAGGGCGATTCTGTCGTCTTCATCCAGTAATGGCAGAGTCTCGAACAGTGTAGTGTCCTGGGCGACGAGAGCGCCCTTCTGTAGCTCCAGCGATAGATCGTCCAAATCATAACGCTTGGCGAAATCCTTTGCATCCTGAATTAGCTGTTCATGCGACAATCCAGCGAGAGGATTAGCTAGCTTGGCATTGATGTTCTGGGTAGATTCGGCCTTGCGCCCGCCAGCGTTGGTGTACTCGTGAAACGACTCCGAGTCACGCTTTTCTTTCTCGGCGGTAGTAGCCATGATGTGGGGAGAAATACTGGAGAAGGATGGGGACGAGTAATGCGGGGTGTGGAGAGTTTTATAGCAGTGTATTACTCGTCTAGAATGGAAACAAGTGTCATCAAAGTGGAGCTTCTGCCGCTGGGCCAAAGAGGAAGCATGGTCCAGAGAATGTTGCCGATGATGTCTAATCAAATTATTAGCTTTACAACCTACCTATGACGCACATTTCCTAGCATCCCGGGAAGATCGGATAGCTGACTTGGAGTTGTCTAAAGTGGGTCCAAGTTTCAACAGCAATCCTAGTCAGCGTTAGACGAGCTTGAGACAGAAACAGTCTCCTTACAGTATCGGATCTCTTTCCGAGTGGAACTGAAGCCGCATGGGGGTATATGGCGATGACAGACCGCCTAAAATGTTCAGCCCAGCTGGACAGCTAAGTAATCGATGCATCAGAGCGAAGAGCCGGAGACCCCTTATTCCGCATGGAAACATGGCTGATTGCAATGGAGCGCCGTAATCTTGAATGTATTACCGCATGCAGCTCAGTCGAAGCTTAGCTGAAGCTTTTTCATCACGGTCGTACATCCTATGCATGCCATCCTGAGATGATGTGAAAATAATGAGCCATAATTCACAAGTATGCAAACGAGTCCAGGACGAAGGTTATGAGCTCACCGGCCGTCAGCCAGCCAGCCCTGGTTGTTGGAGCTGTCAAGTGACGCTAGGTATTTGTCGCATCACATAAAAGCGCAATTTTTTTCCGCCGAAGGCAAATGCAGAGTCTAGGACGCAAAAACAAGCACTTGGCAAGTGCTTGTTTTTGCGTCGTGTACCACTGCGCTTTGAAATCATTGGGAAAGCTGAAATACACCTGAAACGATTCAGAGTGGCTTACTGGGAATCTGGAGCATCCAAACGGCCCGTCCTCCAAAACTTCAACTGCGAGAGATTTGGCCTTGGACTGTCTGCCTTCAAGATTCAAATATTCAAGCTTCAAGGACTAGTGGCAGACGTTCGTGCGTTTTTGAGGAAATGATTGAAACTTGGACTAGCAGTTCTTACTTACAAATTATAAATGCTCCAAACCATGACATGCCTTCAGATGACTGTACCACCTGGTCAAGTGCCTACCAGATGTACTTGGTGTGTACACGTAGTTGACTGCCCGACAGCACATCAACGTTACCTCATACGGTCGGAACAGCATATTTACAGCCGTTTGCATTGATAGACAGGGGCATTTTGGGATGATGAAAGAAGGTCTAAGTAAGGTATGGACTTGGGGAACTTGCGAGCGCATAGAAGAACTTCCCGAGAACACCGAGATAAATTAGAAAACCAAAACAACAAAGTTAAAGTTACTCTCTCCACTCGTGCAAGAAAACTCTATCACTGGAAGCTCAAGCGCTCAATACAAACAGCCATGAAAATTCCTTTCAAAGTGCGACATGAAATATCCACGGTATTTCTCAGCGAAACACATTCGTAAAATGCACCTCATCAGAGATCACCACCACTTTAACGATAAGCATAGATATTTTAGCGCAAGCGAGCAGCAACAAGACAGTACTACAAGGTACTTATATATACGAATGAGTCCGGAGCCAATATATACAGTTGGGACATATCGAATGCTGATGGGTTGTATGTGACATTTTGAGCAGACGAGGTCGCAAGAATCGATGTTCCGGAAAGGACGTCGAAAGAGGAGTGCCGGTAAGTTTTACTGGGTGAGTGTGTGCCGATACATCAGAGATACCGGATGAGAGTCGCCAAGAGTTGAAAGGAATAAAAAAATGTATAAAATAACAAAAGGAGGAGCGAAAGGGATGAAAAGGGAGATGCAAGCAGAGGTCGACATGGTAGGTGGCGAAAAGGAGATGGAAAGAGAGATGGGTTCAAAGGTGAAAAAGGATGGCTGTCGAGATCGTCTGGTGTTCAATCACTGTCGACCATGGAAATCGCGCCGCATTGTTCGCAGAAACTCCACATCGTACGTTGTCCATGGACTCCGGAAGCGCAGGCGACACGTAATTTCGGAATTTGCGAGCAATGGGAACTAAGAACACGAATTCGTGCAAGGCAAGGAAGACATCATGAGCATAGTTCGACTGACAAGGACCGCACAAGGTAAGTTAGAACGTGCACCTACCCGTGATGTACGAAGTTGCTGTGAGGCTGCAAGAGACCGATGTTAGGTTGAGTCGAGTAGTCTGAGTAAGGGTGAGAATTTTGGTCGACGGCTTCAGCGCTGTTGAAGAAAGGAAGGGGGTAGATTTCAAAGTTCGGGTAGGCGGCTGAGAGTGTGGTAAACGACTTGTGAGAGTTAAAAGGGTAGCTGCGTTACGTACGAGATTCCGTCGAAGGAGAATCTGTGTCGGAGGATGCTGAGCTGGCATTAGAAGAGGCGCGCATATGATGAGAGGAATAAAGAGGCTCGGCGTCAGACATTGCGACGTCGTTGTCAGGTTCGCAGTGGGGGAAAGGAACGCATTTCAGCTGTTTTGCTTCCTGAAAGCGCAGAGTTGGCAAGGGGGATAGTATGGATCAAGACGCGTACCTTGTACGTCGCGTCGCCGGCATCATCAAATTTTCTTTTCATGGCCATGACGGATAGTGACAAGGACAGAGAAGACTTAGGGTCGGTACAGCAAAGACGGGACAGCGGAGGAAGGAGGTGATGGAAAGGAGAGAAGACGCCCTGGATGGGATTCGTATGAGACTCGGTCCCTTTTATGGTTGTTGATTATTGACGGCTATTTGCTTCGAGTACCTAATGAGAACCCCATTTTCCGGTCCATATATAGCAACTCCGTGCCGGACATCCGGGTCAGTCGTGTTTTGCTCGTGCTTCTCTTATTGACACTCCAGTTAACCAGCAGTGACCCGTTCAACAATGGACCTTCTTACCGAGTTCCTGGAGCCTATACTCTCCTTTCTGAAGGAACAACTGCCACCACCAGTCTACTCCTTCATTATCTCTATGCTGTCGCACTGTTTGGCGTTTTGCACCGCATTCTACACTCTGGTCGGCGAGCTTGTCTCAACGAATCCTCTCCAATGGGATGCGCAAACACTACTACCCCCTCTTATCGCTGTGTTCTCAGCGTATATCGCTCTCATGAGTCTGTATCGGACTACAAGCTGGATGTTGCGCACCAGCTTCTGGTTTATCAAATGGGGCACCATTGTGGCCGCTCTAATCGGGGCCTCAGGATGGGTGCTTGGTAGCCAACAACTACAGGCCAACAAAAGTGGAGGATTGATGCCATGGTCTAGCCTTGGAGAGATGGCGATGGATATGTTGAATAGTCCCAGTGGACAAACCTCAAAACGTAAACCGAGGACACCCCCGCAGAGGCCCCGGGTTTGGGAGTCATTTGATCGTCACCGAGCGTGGCAGGAAACAAAAAATGAGCCGGAAAGCCGTAGCGACTTTAATGCCAAGGAGGTGATTGGGGCAATCACACGGTGGTGGGATATGGCGATGGACGTTATGGCAGATGGAAGAGGACAAGATGATGGAAATGACAGCAGAGCCAAGACAACAGTCTCACGATAATCTATGTAATTCGAACGTATAATATGTATTATATCCGCGAGTGCTCATGAAAGCCACTTGTTGCTGCAATGGACGTCAGGCATCAACCAACAAAGGCAGAAGAGGACGACGCACTTGGCAATCCTTCCCAGCTGTGTTAAGCCACTCAATCCAACGAAAAAGTTGACCTAGGAACGGGGGTGAGGTTTAGGCGCAACGAAAAAACATGATTCGCATACTCCAGCAAGACTGTAATTAACAGGCGTTATTACAAAGGCATACCGCACCCAGATGAACCCGGTTGCAGTCAGCGCTTGAAGTCAATGAGCTGGTGTTGCAGGGAAAAAACGGCTACGACGAACCGAGATTTTGAGAGACGCTCAATTTCTCCACTGGTCTCGACAGGTCCTTGAGACCTGCAGCAACAAGACCCCACTTCATCATTGGAGCCCAGAAGAAAACTGTCTTCGGACCTGCAGCCAGTCGTCGGTGAGGATACTAGTCGAGACGCGAAGACACCGCACCCGCTGGATGGTTCATGAATGCTTGAAACTTGGATACTGCTGGCGCCGACATTGTGTAGGATTTTCGAAGGGAGTGGACGTAGTGAACGGAGGCTGCCCCACACTATTTGTTCTCGTAATGGAGATGAGTAAGTCTAAAATTGTTCCCACGGCGCCACTACGACGCCGACAACTACAATGTTAGTGAGCACTAGTACTCATCAGCGAGTAGTCGAATCTCCTTGACCGCAATGGATCTGTCGAAGGGCTGTGAACACGGAGGTTACTGGCCGGTATCGACTCCCATCGCAACTGAAAGCATTTCTCGCATTCTTCAGTCACTGATGCTGATTCTAGTCCGTATTGTCTCCAAGGCAGCATCTGCAAATGGTACTTGCTTTCATCGATGCCCAGATCTTGGCATTGAACGTGTCTGGTCTGGTGGCCTTTGATTCATCGATATAGACTGATCAGTACACATCCATCGTCTGGGTCCTGAGTCACCCTGACGCAATACATCGCGGCCCACGCCACCTCCCTTCGATATAACACACCGGACTCTTCCGTCTCGTTCATCCTCATCTCTTCCTGCAACCATGACTCAATACTGGGAACCTGGCACTCAATACAACCACGGCGACATTGTTCAGTACAATGGTAAGCTCCCCTCTACTGAGCGCGCAATATATAGCTCAAGTTATGCAGGCCATCGATACAAGATCATCCAGCCGCATTCCTCTCAGTCTGACTGGGCTCCCGACAACACTCCCGCTTTGTGGGGACGCCTCTCAGATGAAGATCATACTGGCGAATGCGACAACTCTGGTTATCAACCGGGCTATAACCAGGGACAGCAGCAGCAGCAATACCAGCAACCGCAGCAGCAATACCAGCCTCCACCCCCACCTCAGGAGCAACCTCACTACAATGAACGTGCGTGTCTTTCCCTTGTATCATTTCAACAACAATCTTATTCTCTCACAGAGGCGCCTGACAAGAAACCAGACCACAAGGCTTGGTTCGATTTCGACGGTGAGAAGAAACATCAGCTTGAGGTGAAACTTTTGTCTTTCATGAAAAGGAGCTTGCCGCATCTGACCTTCAACTAATAGGTAGGCGGAGGTCTCGTAGCAGGTACAACCTCGTGTCCTTTTGACCGTCATCTTCAGCTCACATCTTTGCTTGTAGGTGCCGCTCTTCTCGGCGCCGGCTACTTGGCTTTCAAGGGGCATAAAAAGAGCGAAGAAGAGGTTAGTCAATTCGGGCATACGCATTCTTGTCCTTCATCTTTCAATTCTTTTAGAAAAAAGCGCAAACTTGGGCACTTCAGAACTGGCTTCAAGACGCCCAAGCACGCACTGAGCAGTACCGCCACAATGGTCCCAGAGGACCGGCCGAGTGGATCTTGAACCAAGGCAAGAATATCCCTCACAACGCAATTGTTGTCGGCAGGGAGCATGATTGGACCTTATATATTTGTCGCGCCTTTTATGAGGTACATCTGTTCCTTCTTCTTTCCGATGAATAGCACTTACTCAGGTTTTCACACAATACAGGGCGGTATTCGTGAGTCTCCGATCATAATTTTACCATCGACGAACCCCTGACTAGTCTTTTCTCAGAAATCGGCAAAGCATCTGATGTCTTCAAGAAAGGTGCCGTTATTGGATACGATGACGAGGAGATCCATGTAGGTGACGCTGTTTCGTCGTTCTAGCTTGGATTTGATGTTTTCCGATTAGCTCGATACCTATGAAATCCTCGTTGGGGATATGCGTGGTCTGCGATGGGTTGATGCCAGTGGTAGGCTTGATGTAGCTGCTTTAGGCGCTCGCCCCGTTGAGGGTGGTCGCGAGAGCGATGGGACGCCGTTGTATATCGCCGAAGCGCCTCACAAGGGTGCCGTGCATCCTGGAAAGGCTAGTTCCAAGCTCGATGGTACGTTACTTCTGAATACGTATGGAAGAACAGCAGGGATCTAATGTTTCACAGGTGCGGTCATCCCGTACGACAACCATGAGAAGACCGTCCACGTAAGTCATTTGATACTGGTAAACCGATGATTTGGGTACTAATGATTACCCATATGAAGAACTACAGGGTTCTATGCTACGCCTAGTGATTTGTGTCATCCACAGAGTAATTCTGTTGTACAATAGTCATCGCTGCAAGTGTTCCGAAAGTAGTCATCGAATAAGAGCGTTCAAAGTTTTCACATTCAGTCCATGATCAGAAAGCTACCCCCACTGCCTATTCGCATATGCTTTTACATCTGCCTCATCTTCTAGCTGTCTCGAATAGCTCTTGACGATCATACACCCCCATATTTCCATTAACCATACGAAAACGAAGACTCCGATCAATACACCTTTCATCACGGATACACCCTTTTCGCATCCCTCGACGACCAGATCGTCCTGGGATCCATTGACACATGATCTCACGCTGTCGGGCGCATCTTTGAAATACCGATAGATGGAGAAGGATCCGGAGGCAATGCTAAACATGACATGCACGATGAGGATGAAATAGAACGTCTTGATTAAACCAATGCGTTTGATGACAGCCCCCACTAATCTGTTTCCCGTGGTGTCAGCATGCATCACCGCGCTTGTGGAGGCTCCACTTACCCGCCAAGAGATATAATCGCGTATAATCCATATACGACTATCTGGATGACATATGGCAACTTATTCTTGATGTCACCACCTGGTTCCACAGCCAGTTAGGAGGGGAGGACGTGATTGATGTGCTCATTCTTACCTAGGTGAGTGTACTGAATGATACCTCCAACAGCGATAATACCTCCTAGCGCCACGCCCAACACTCCGATGATCTACAAATAATGCTTAGCTTTCTCGGACCGACATTCCAAGAAGAAATCCCTTACCAGGACCCCAAGCCGCACCGGAAGGCAACAACAGAATTTGTTCGACTTGATGCGGACAGGCATTTGACATGAAAATTACTCTCCAGTACGTGAATTCGTGAGCGGATACGCCAGACGTGAATCGATCAGGACCAGCCTGTTCGCCCTATTGACGTTGCTGGTTCATGGTATATATGCTCGGCGTTTCCACATGCGCAGGAATTCAGTACGCGGTCGGTATCCTTGACGTTGTCTATGTTACTGCCTACTAGGAAACGAAGAGTCAGAACTGTGTTCGCAAGCATTTACGGGCATCGGTTTTTGTATACACTCTTTGGCTGTCAAGGACTTGTGTGGCGTTGAACACCTTTGGGGGACATTGATCGCATTTTATGGTCGATGCCTTCTTGGATTTCTGGCGGCGACTACGGGTGGGCCGCATATCACCATCCTCGACATATTATCCCATATGCACCGATTTCAGTCGGATACTACATAGCACGGTGGGGTGGAAGTCGCCTTGGAAAACGACCGTGCAGTACTGCATTGCCACCGTAACTGCGTCATACATAGTGGTAGTTTCCAACTATCAGTAACAATCATTACAATTCGAACATGTGAGTACAAAGTAGGGTACATATGTGACAACGGGATATGAATAGATAGATGAACTGGTAAGATGAGGACGCATGATACAAAAGACAAGTCATGTTGTACAGTTACAGCAAAGATGGGCACAAACTAATATCTGCTGGAGCGAGACCTTGATCGATGATGATGTTTATGGTGACGGTGCTTCTTGTTCGGTTTCAAGACGACTACCTGGCTTTGCGGCACCTGAGGCATGATCTGAGCTTGAGGAACCCCGCCAATCATCATACCCCCGCCTGCGGAGTATGGAGTGTGGGGGGTAGTGTCCAGGCATTGACATGGAGACGCTCCGAGGACGCATAGCCATAGGTAGCTGTGTCGTGACGTATCCACCACTACCCATGGGGCCTCCTGGATCTGAACCAGCATAGGTAGTCCCCCCACCGTGCATCGACATGGGCACGCCGCCCCCATATTGCGACCCCGCATACTGACCAGGATAAGATCCGGGCTGTCCTGGGTAAGATCCTGGCTGCCCGTAAGCTCCTGGCTGTCCATAGCTCCCTCCATAAGGTCCTTGCTGTCCTGGGTAGGCGATGCTTGACGCCATCCCGGGTATCGGGATAGGCACTGCGGATGTCATTCCGCCCCCTGAGTAAGGCATGTTGTATGAGGATACTGAGTGAGATCGGCGTCGAGAGTGCGATCGGCCGCGATGGTGTCCATGGAGAACGTCGGAATCATATTCATATCTGTCATCATATGGGTCTCCCTGGGATCCACGTCCCCGGTAATCGTCATCGTGATCACGGCTCTGCAGATCCAAATTAATTGTTGAAGTATGAGGAAAACAAATGATGACTTGCCCAATAAAATATTATCGATGCGGTCATCGCTGCAGCGTCTGCTGCGGCTGAACGAGCGTAATTGTCCATGCCGCGGGAGGTATAGCTCAGTAACCGCGAGCCTACATTCATAACACGGTGAGTGCAACAGTGGGGCGAGACAGGCATAACTGACATTCCGCTACAGCAAGACCGATGAGAGCCTCTCGTTGCCTTTCAAAGTCGCCACTCAGCGGTTCGTAAATGGAGCTATTGTGAATCCATGTACGATAGGCTTCGTAAGCAGCAGCGTGGCCTATTTCTTGTGGAAGCATTTGGTTGAGTTCACCCTGGAAAGTCCCCTATGAGCGGATCACGTAGAGCCAATAGAGAGGTAGATAATTCATACCAAACCACCGTAGGCACGAGAGTGCCAATGTCGGGCTTCGTGTATGCCTACACCGAGGCCTCCAGAATTGGAACTAAAATCTCTGACACGATTCCAGGCATTATCAAAGAGGTGTCTGAGTGATGGAGACGTAGAAGGAGATAGCGAATTCGTTGAATGAGCACTGGGGAACATAACGAGGGAACGTATGCTCACGGATCAGCCTGATTCAAGGCATGGGCACGGTAATAATCAATGCCACCCCCTTTATGACGGGAATCAGAAACGTGCGCGTAAGATAAGAGGTAATATAATACACACAAGATGGCTGAGGCTGAAATGTGGGAGCAGGTGGTGCCCCGAAATGGAACTAAATAAGTAAAGGGCCGTCAATACAAGGGAATCTGGACAATCAGAGAAATCCCAACGAATACCTGATTGGACCCCCAGCCGGGGGCTTGATGATAGTAGGCGTACGACATGAGGAGGGGGGGAGCTAAGAGATGAATGTCAATCGCGATTGGAACCTCCGATATTTATACTCCCCGGCATGACGGCCGAGAATAGAAGTATGCAGGTGACGTCATAACGCGTAGCAATGGTCATGTGATCAGCTTGGACGTCGACTCGTATTCTATGTCTGCTCCTGCTGGTACGTGGCTTGTTGCACCTTATTCTCTCGCCATCGTCTCACCACACCTGACAGACTACTCCGTATTCGCAAGTGCCGAATTCGACCCTAATGACTACGCCAATGCTGTCCTTGCCGGCGAGCCATATGTCCTTCCATCCGACACACGTACAAAGCCTTTGATTTCTTCCAACAAGCTTGCCGAGGCACCAGGAAAAGAAGAAATCTCCATAGCGATATCGAAACTCACTTTTGGCATTGACGATGTCTCCAAGCAAATAAAGACTCTTGTGAGTGCATATTGTCATTCAGCACATTGTTCATTCATTATTTTTGGATAATAGGTGACCAACCATCATCAAGATCTTCTTTCACAAGCAGCAAGTGCAAATGAACTATCCGGTTCCCTCAATTCTGTTCGCGCCGGGCTCGCCGACCTTGATCATTCTCTCGAAAAGTGCGTCTTGTGGTTCCATTCAATGCCACATGTACCCATCCTTTACTAGATTACGTCTCAAAGTTCGTGCGCCATATCAGTCCCTTCAAGCCAATGTCTCCCGTCTCCAGAAACTTCAGCAGGCATCGGATGTTCTACGTCGCACTTCTCGATTTGTGATTCTCGCTCGCAGACTTCAAATACAGATGGCCGAGATGGAGTCCGGTAGTAGTACCCCGGATCTGCCGCTGCCGCTTATCCGAAGCAAATCCGATGAATCTGCTTTGGGTCAAGACCTCGAGGACGCCAAAGAGCGCACTATCGCAAAGGCAGCGCTTAGCATCGCGGAGCTTGGTATGTCCCTAGATTCATCGGTTCGTGGACTTGCGTGACCCCACTGCAGTGTCGTTACTGGATGATTCGGCTTCATGTACGTCCGAGGAAACCCGTCAATCGGATATAGAAGGACATCAACTTGAATCCCGAATATCTTTAAGGTCGGTAAATGCCATCGCGGTTCATGTACCTTATATCGAGGATGCCCGAGCCAAAGTGACTTCAGAAATGGAAAATATGGTTTTGACGGGTCTGACATCACTTGTAAGTAGTACTCTTCTTTTCTGATCTTTCGCGTACTAAATATACCCTTATAGAATCAATCCCTCCTCGCGTCTTCCCTTCAAACAGCCTATAACCTTCGGGTTCTTCCTGAACTAGTTCAGAATCTCATATTAGAACTATCACAAGCTGTCGACGACAGAATACGAACTGCGTTTGATCTTTCCAAAATTTCCAAAGAAATCTTGTCCAAAGGTAGGCACCTAAAGTCCATATAGACGGGTCCATTGATGCTTCAAACAGATTCCGCCCCGTCACCTACGCTGTACAAGTCCCGCGTGAGAACCGAGCCAACCAATCTGACGGCTCCACAATGGACGGCCGCTCTCTGGGCTCGATTAGAGGTGATGATTCAGGACATGGCTGAATGCTGCGTAAAGGTGAGGATTACACGTGGACCGCTGTTCGCAGACACCTATCTACCTGCCGAATATCAGCCTGTATAGGCGTGCAGAGTCCTTACTGGACAGCAGGTTTTTAGCCGTGTTTCATCGTGCTCAACACTAACAATGGCAGCTTAGGTATACACTTTAGAAAGAGTGTTGAAAATAAAAAAGGATACTGTTTCACATGTCGTATTTTTGGACGAGGCCATGAAGGCAGGCTGTTTCTTCCTTCCTACCAAAAATCTGCTGATTGTTTGCTCTGTATGGGTAGCTTCTTGAGAACAAACCTAGTGCCACTTTCTGGACAGCTTTGGCCCGTTCGCTAGAGAAAAATACGCGGGATGCCGCTAGAAGTAAGCATGTAGTACATGATAAGGATCATATATATCTTACCAATCGTTAGGTTCAATGTTTCTTCAACAAACACTGAGCACGGGATACCCAAGACTTTTGAGATTGTTCCACGAGTTCTTTGCCAAAATTGCCGTTCATACAGATACAACTTACATACACACTTATCAAAGGTCCGCTTGTCTCGTTTTATCGCTATATGATGCTAACCTATATCCAGCCCAGAGACTGTGCTTGTCCTTCGCGCACTATCGAATTTCGAATCATTGTATCTTTCCCGATCTTCGACTAAACTTAATGAGTCCGTCAGTCAGGCATTCTCTGGTGGAATACGGACTCCACCAGGGATAGCAGAAGGTATCAACATTGCGCGTACTGTGGCCAATGAGTTGGACTCGGCTAGATTCGATCCGCTGCTTGTGAGAGCCGTCGCTAAGAGCGCTACAACAAGTATCGATATGGTTATATCTAGACTTGATGGTTTGGTGAGTATTGTCTTACTAATGCGGGTCCTTGCATAACCCTTCTTCCCTCAGGTCTCTCGGGATCGATCTTCCGTGACTTTGGTGGGGCCCTCAGCGACGCCACAACAGGCTATAAATGGTTCACTAGCAACATTTGTATATTATACATGGTTGCGACTATCACAGCTTGGAGAAGAACAGAAAGAGGTGGTCTTCAACGTCATCAAGCCTAGTGTTGATGTACGTCTTGCTTCTTATTTTCAAGTCCTGACGTGATAAGGATCTCTTTCAGAATTTGCACTCTGCCTACGAACGCATCGTCAATCCTCTGCTCACCGCCATACGGCGTGAGCTTGGCGCTATCGTATCTAAGATGCATCGTTTTGATTTTGGTAAATCTGCAGATCCTATAGCAGGTATGGGTGGGACCAGTCTCTACATGAAAGACCTCGTAGAAAAACTGGCTTACATCAAAGCCGAGATCTTCAGCAAATTCGGAATTGGAGATGAAAAAAGAACGTGGTATGTGTACACGCATTCTTTTTGATCTCTCTTAAGATGTGCGCGACGACCAGGATAATGTCACTTGTGCAATACATCATTAAGACCTTTGTGCTGCATGTCTCTATAGTCAAGCCACTTGGAGAAGCAGGAAAATTGCAGCTTACCAGCGATATGACAGAGTTAGAATTCGCCCTGAGCGCGTTTCTAGTGGAAAGCCCGCAAGAAAAGCGGGGCGGGAACTTGGAGAGCGTAGGACCAGAATACAAAATGCTTCGAGCAATGCGGTATGCACCTGAACGCGTAGAAACGCGGCCTTCCCAACTAATATCCGTTTCCTAGTCCTCTTTTATTCCTCGAAAGCTCACAACTGGCGTCGTTACATTACACATCTGGTCTTCCTCCTCTTATCGTGTTACACCATATACTTGTCCGTTCACCGATACCACTGCCACATAGTCTTCATGGATGGCAAGAAGCGGAATATGTTCGATGGGTTGATGAACACACGGAGGAGGAAGCGTGGACTCTTGTAGACGGTGGATTATCTCATTGGGAAAGGACGACGGAGAGCGGAGGCAGTGAAAAGGAAGATGCGATGCAATACGTGAATTTGGCACGACAAGTATTAGCTGCAACACAATCCTAGTAGTTTGAGAGCTATACTCATTTTCTTGTTCAAACCTCAAACCAGGCGGGTGATGTGTTGATAAAGAATGAAGAGGTAAGAGTGACACTACGGGATACAGGAAATAATACAAGTATGGGATTTGTGGGTAATAATGTATATATGCTAGATGTTGAAAATATATAGATCGACTCTAAATGGGAGAGGTGGGATAAACGAATAGGTTTAGGGCATCATCCGAAGATGGGCACTGTCCAGCGGGCGATGATAAGGGTGGTGAGAAACGAGTCTTCTCAGGTGAAGTCCGCCGATGCAAAATAGTCCGACTAGAAAGAGCGTTGCGCAGCAAGGACGCGAAGGCAAGAGTCCGGTCTGCAGGGCCCCATTCATCACAGATGTGGGTTGAACCGGATTCTTCTGGAATGGATGTGTGCACGCGTTTCAAACGTTTCCTGGGTGGGGGGAGATCACAGGACGAACGAATCCAGCTCCCTACAATAGGCTCCCAAACAAACTGACCGTCGCCATTGTCCTCCGCTCCAAAACAACGCTTCTCAGCGTCATCAACCAGCTCGATTAACTCTTGTTGGTAGGCCATCGCCTCTGATTTCTCGATATAGAGAGAACCCAACAGGTGATCGACGTGGCAGAGTATACAGGATAGCATGGACGCGTGAAGCTGGTGAAGGTTGTGAGCTCGAAGCGCTATTGAGCATTCCTGTAGTCGCGCTTTGGTATGCCGAAAGCTAGCGGAAGAGACGAACATGTGTTCCACTAGAACCCCATAGGTTGATGGCAAGGGCACCACTTTGCGTAAATACGCCAGTAGAAGATAGGGATGGTTATTCTTGTACTTCGGCAAAAGCTGAGTGCCCACACAAGCAACCGCGCAACGGAATTCTTGGATCCATCTTGACTGGCTCCGATCCGTATCAAGTCCATCACAGAAGACAATAAGATCGAGTATCGCATCATGATGCCATTCATCCAGGGGCAGGAAAAAATGGTACATCCAACGAATCAGTTTTCTGGACAGGTCGATGCTCGATTGCTCATCACAACTGATCAAAAATTCTATCAGGATGCAAGCAGCGCGGACAAAGAAGTCTACGGGGGCACTGTGTAGGAACCGATCTACAGGTTTAGAAAGCCAGATATTGGCTGTACAGATGGTGAGCAGGGAATCACCCATTATTTGCAAGAACGTCTTTTCCGTATGTCCCACACTAGCACGCCATCGTCCACGAAGCTCAGTGAAAAAATCCGAGTGCGAGGGATGACAAATTTGGCTGGAAGATAGGACGAGGTCTAAAAGGGCGCGTAGAAGAGTCTCCGATTCATGTGGGAGCCCTTGCTCTAAGGTAATATCGAGAAGGATTCTGTGCAGGGTCGCATGAGGGGGACAGACTCTGATGATCAAGTTTACTGCATGAGAGAGCAACGTCCATCTGCATGCTTTTAGCAGGGCCAAAGCAGGTATGGAAGATGAACAACTAACCGGCGGTACAGAGGAGGTACTGCTTCATACAGCAACTCTACAGTGTCTTCTTCAGTATTTAGTTCTTCTTCTGCATCCTGCCCATCCCTGTACTCCATGTTCTCGCCAATCACAGTCGCGCATAGAGCAGCAAGCGTGATCGGAGGACCGGCACCGAACGATTTCCTGTCCGACGGCCGTTGTGTTGAGCACCAGGTCACGGAACGCATCACGAACAGCGTATATTTTGCGAGACAACTCCACAACAGCACTAGAGTTGCGGTCGAAAATGAGCCTGGAGGCTGCAGAGTTGGGCGGAGGAAGCAGAGAAAGAGGCGCTTCAGAGCAGTTGGCTCCTCGACGACATGAATAGGTTGCGACTCGAGCAGTAGGAATAGTGCTGCACAGTTGCAAAGCTTGGCATCGTACACGCAGTGAGCGTAAAAGGCGGGAAATACGCCTGACAGAAAGGCTGTCGGAATCAGTGACAGAGGTCAGCACCATTGCAGTCGTTGGTGAAGCCGGTTTGTGGCGGTGCTGTCGCGTCAAAGTGGCACGTACACAAGCACAAACTTGCCAACCCTCCAACACGACCGTGACATGCCCCCAAAGACGTCCACATCGACCAAGGACACTAGGCCATTGCCGCTCAGCGACACCCTGCATGATCTAGCCCTCCTACGTGTGTCAAGTGTAGATCTATCAGTCCTTGTCCCGTCATCTTCAGATACGACGTCGACAGATGCAGATGTTAGTCTATCAGTCCAGCGGTCGCATGATTACATCCAGTCAGCGCGGTCAGCTTTGAAGCTGCAAGACATGGGGGTTGTAGATGCTGAGGGAAAGCGATTAGATGCTCTAAGGATCCAAATAGATGAACTATCCCGTGGGCTGAAGGAGTAATTGTGAGCAATATTTCCCATGATGTTACATATACACTTCACGGGAGCTTGTAGGTTTATATGTTTAGGACATGTTACACAATTATTTCCACTCTTATGATGGACCCAGTTTCATGCGATTCATTCAGACTTCTGCGACTGAATTGAGGTCTTAATATCGAATTACTACCACCGTAACGGGTATAACTCGGATGCTCAGAAAATATACTCCCTCGAGTCTTGGCAACATGGATACTTTAGACTTGACCGTCAATGGCGGCTCAATGCTCTGCTTATGACCTCCCATCAAGCAGGGATACCTTTGGTCACTTATGCCATAGTGCCCCTGTCGGGTTCCTCCAAGCATCATCTTTCGATGTCGTCGTGAGTTGTGACAGCGTTGGTTTCCATTTTCCGGATGATATAGTGAGGGCCCGATTAGGTCCGGTTGCCTTCTTTTCTTTTCTCCGATTACCGCATATCAGTGTTCCAAGGCCATCTGCCCCTTGTGGTACTTGCCCTATCTCATATACCGCGCAGTGCGCCATATATAACCGTTGCGACTAGAAAGGCGCTGCCGGAAGACCGGTTTTGTCACCAGGAGTGCGACTACAAGATTGATGCTCGCCGCCATTCGGAATCACGCAGATATAGAAGCACTTAGTTCGGCTGCTTTTGTGATTGCTCGCATTTCTGATTCCCCGCCAAGTTCTTTCTGTGCTTCTTACCTCCCTCTGCCATTCTTCTCCTAGCTGGTGTGCAATGGACACCGCCCAGGCCCAACGTCTACTCAGGTCAATCGAGAACACCAGATATGCCGTCTGTAAGTCCGAGCCATGCTTATTTCCGTTGTCGGCATTTATCTACCACTGGCAGTTGCTGCTGCGACCATAATGCTTTACGACCACGGTAAATAATGATTTCTGGGTACTCATCCGTCTAACTCCAAGTTTCGCAGCCCTTTCCTTCCATAGAGAGGTGAGAACTTCGTTATCTTTGTCTCCTGTAATCACTGAGCATAAGCAGGTCGAACTTATCTGGGTCTGTTTACTAAAGAGCGTAACCGGCGAATGCTCATACCAGTGTTTCATCCGCAGAAGAGGAGAACATCCTTCATTAACAACGTTTTTCTATGGGTACGTACAATAAAGCCAATGCTTCCCCTTTAGTCCAATGGTTGTCGGTAGCATCGATACTTCGGTCTCTTTTGTATACTGTGAGTCTTGACTCTGCTCCAATACGCGAAGTTATGACTAATTTGGTCATGTCCAAGGTTTGAGTTAAGTGGTAAGTTCGGACTTTAACGGAAGTATTTACTACAAGGTTCTGACCCCTCTGCGTTAGTTGTCGTAAATTATCGTGTTACAGAAACAGTGCGTCACATTCACATCAATAGATCTTCAAATGATGCTGATGAAACTTCTTGTTTTTTTAGTTGTATGTAGTTTCGTCGGGCGGTGGATATCTTTGCTGATTCTGGATTAGTTGTATGTCAGATGCTCAACGCACGCCAAAACGCTCCAAACTAAGTATACGCTGTTTCATGTATAGGCTCCTTCTGGCTTCGTTGGGAGATTCTGTCAATCAGTATCTCAATCCTCACATCTGAACGTCAGTAACCTTGCGGATAGAAGTCCTCCTGTGTGCTCTAACACCTTGCAGTGGTTCTCATGTCATGGATATATGTGATTTACGATCGAAATACACTAGTAGTGGCCATGCTTCTATGCCTTTATGCTGCAGAGGTGGTTACGACGTTCGCGATACTCGGGGTATCTTTGGATCATGCACACAGTGAGCCCTAATGCTTCGTATCTTCACTTTGCTCACTTCAGACACAGCTTCCAATCACATTATACCACCTGAGATATATCCATCCGCTTTTTGCAACCTGACTGAAATCCCTCCACTCTATAATTTCTACTGGGTTCCGAATCTGGCGTACAACGGGGTGATATTTATCCTATTTATTTTGAAAAGCTATCGGGTCCTTGGTCACCCTGCCCAACCGAAACAAAAGCAAATCTTGTACGATGTATATAAAAACTCTGCGATGAACTATGTAACGTGAGTTGACTTTGAAACGCTCTTCTCTCTGCTACTAACATGTAGGCAGGATGTTTTCCGCATACCTTCTGTGCTGCATCTTGTGGATCTCGGCAGATGTACGTACGAAGAAGCCCTTATCTCAGTTCAAACACTTACAAAGCGCAACAATCACGTAGTTTGCTCTCGCACGAATCCCGGTGATGTTTGCACTTTGTTTTTCGATCATGAACGCGACGAGGCTGTTGCTGAACGTTCGACATGTATACTTCACCCATACACGCAGCCGTATCAGCGTCAGGAGGGATAGCGATGACTCTGTATTGACTGGGTTTGATGGTATGGAAGAGCGATGGATGTACGAGTTACGGGAGCTGAGGTGGAGCGGTCCGTCAGGGCCACATGTGTAATATACGCCGTATCGCCACTTCTAGTGTTCTTTTTGGGTCGATAAAACGCGTCTCTGCGCTGATCGTTGCCTCGAGGCTTTGGTGAGGCAACTATGAAGGGGGGCTCATGAACCGGGATGAACAGATGAGTAGATAACGCCCAGTATTGTACAGTTGGTGCTACTCTTTAGTGCCAATAAGCGAAGATAGCATCAATATTGAAAAGAGTTTTAGCGGCCTTGGCCACGTAACGTGACCACATGGTATAATTTCCAAATTCTCCAAAGTCATTCTTTTCCTTCAAACGTCCACTGCATCCGGCAGCGACGACAAGTACTGCGACGACGATGGCGGTGGTCGACGCATCCTTCCAGCACTCACCGCAGACTATTCTCATTTTCCTTCTCAGAGTCCTCTCGCCGGCTCTCGTTCTTCTTTCTTCTTTATCTTTGTTCTTTGTTCGTCCTTATGCCCCTTCTTCGTCATCCTCGTCACCCATTACATCGGTGGTCGTCAGGTTAGTATCTCTGGCTTATCGTACTTACTGTTCTGACAACTCAGCAGGTCGGAGCTACCCCGCCGTAGCACGATCTTGCTCTTTCTTACTCTTACTTCTCTAACATATCTCGCTGATGGCCTTGCCTTCGCGGTCTTTGCGGTCGTGACCAAGCATTGGACACGCGACACTGGTGTTGAATTTAACGCGGTGCTTGGTCTTGTCGCATTCTCGGGCTTAGCAGCACTGGGAGCCTGGAAAGATGTGCAAGGCGTCGATGTTTGGTTCCGCAAACGAGTCAAAGCCTCAGTTGCTGCTGCTTTAATATTGGATATTTTATTGGCGATATTTCTTGCACTAAACCTCACAAAGAAAGGTATGATCTTGTATATGTCTGCGTGAAAAGCTTATGTATCTGTCTTTGTGAAACAGATTCGCCTTCCTCTCTTCCCCTCCGTGTTATTCTCCAGATTCTTTTCCCTATCCTTCGAATATTATTTCTTCTTCCCTTGCTAGGGTCCCTGTTATCTCCACGTATCGTTTTCACCCCGGTCGAGGCGGAGAATGGATTTGATGAAACTGCGGCCACGGAATCCTCCTTCCTCCTTCCTCCGGGAGCCAACGCGAATCCATCTACTGGACTTCTTGCTGTGCCAGGTCTCGCTCCCGGTGAATCTGGGGAATCTGCCAAGTATGGGACGTTTCGACCCAGTCGTTCCATCTTCCAGAGGTCTAATCCCACTACCCGCGCACCAACTCCATCGCCGTCGCATAAGGTCGTTATTTCTACATTCCAGTTATCGCCATTTATACTCATCGATCTTTCATATCAAGGACGCGGACAAGAAACCGGAGGTCTCGCTTGATCCCTCATGGTCTGAGATAGGAAGGCGTCTTAAGCGTCTCACGCCACATCTATGGCCATCGAAGTCTCGCATGTTGCAAGCATTGGCTGTGAGTATTTCGTTCCTACATTCCTCGCGTTTTACGAACAGAGAGTCCAATTGCCAGCTTATTTGTGTTGCCATACTTGTCATTGGTAGAGTCGTCAATGTTGCCATGCCTTTTGCCCTTGGAGAGCTTGTCAGCATTCTGGAAGACCGATCGTCTGATCGTTCCCCGTGGCCAGTCCTATTCCTCTATGTCGCCTTGAGGTTCCTGCAGGGGAGTGGTGGTTTAGCGGCCATTCGTGACGTGAGTTTCTGAAGTTCACATTGCTACATCTCAGGTTGTTGAGTGTCCGGTTGCAGTCTTTTTGGGCACCTGTGATGCAGTACTCCGACCGTGGTAAGTGCCTTCTGAGACTGCATGCAAGGACTCTATAATCAAATGTAAATCCAGAAATGTCGCAGCTATCCTTTGATCATCTGTTAAATCTCTCATTTGCTTGGCATACGCGACGGAAGACTGGAGAAATCCTTCGCGTTCTCGATCGTGGCGCTGCTATCAATCATACGCTGGAGGTGAGCATAGCTCTACCTGTCATCATATTGCCATGACTCACAAGAACTCACAGCTTATTTTATTTAATATTGTGCCCACCTTTGTCGATATCCTCATTGCCTTGGTCGTATTTGTTGTCAAGTTCGATTGGACTTTGGCAGTCACCATCTTCATCGTTATCTTTGCGTATGGTATGTCTAAGCACTGACTTTATCTTTTTTCGCTGCATCTATTTTTAGTGTCGGCTAGCGTCGTTTTGACGCAATGGCGAACGAAGATACGGAGAAAGATGAATGAACGAGACATCGTATGTCTTCTTTCCATTTCGTTCACGTCTATCTCATGCCCTCAGATAACGCGCGGTATACATACTGACTGCCTCTTGAACTATGAGACAGTTAAGTATTTCTGTGGTGAAGAACACGAAGCAGCTCGCTATAGGGACGCCCTCCGAGAGTACCAAACATTGGAGTACACGGTCATGAGTGCGTATGATGACCAAATTCTTGAGTTTGATCCGTCTCACCTGTGCCCAGTATCCCTGAATATTCTTAATCTCGTCCAAAACTTTATCATCGTGCGTGTTGGTTGATATATCCTTATCCAGGGCTTACGACCGGATCTGCAGACTGTTGGGCTCCTTGTCGGATCGCTCATCGTTGCGCGCAGTGTAACACACGGCCAGGCACACGCAAGCGACTTCGTCATCTTCATCACTTATTTAGGCCAGGTGAGCAAACTGTATTTCAACACCTGAATTTGTATTTTACGTGCTTTTTTTTTTACAGCTTTATGCTCCTTTGAACCAACTCGGATATATTTATCGGTCTGTGAACCAATCCTTGGTCGACACGGAGAAGCTTTTGAAGCTTCTCAACGAACCAACGGAAATCAATGACAAGCCCAATGCACCTGACCTTGTGGTCCAGGACGGCGAGATAGAATTTGATAACGTTAGCTTTTCGTACAACGATCGCACGACGGCTCTCAGCGGTGTTTCGTTTAAAGTACCTAAAGGCTCTTCTGTTGCGCTGGTTGGAGAGTCAGGTTCTGGAAAGTCCACCATTCTCCGTCTCCTGTACAGGTTCTACGATTTGAAGGAAGGACAAGGAAGAATTCTCATCGACGGCAAAGATATCAGGTTCTTATCTTTTTTCTGTTCGTAGAAGGCCTTCCTAATTTTTTGATAGGGATGTTACGCAGAAGAGCTTGAGACAAGCCATCGGAGTTGTTCCGCAGGACTCTGTTCTGTTTAACACAACTATTGGTTACAACATTGGGTATGCATTTCCCCGCTTTGTTTATGAGACCGTTCTTCAATTGCCATCCCTAGATACGGCAAATTCGGAGCAACCCCTGAAGAAATTGAAGCCGCTGCGAAATCGGCACAGATGCATGACCGAATTATGAGCTTCCCCGAAGGTGCACAGACATCTTGGACGTCCTGAACATCTACTAATAACAGATGCAGGATATGATACAGTTGTAGGAGAGCGCGGTGTGAGGCTGAGCGGCGGAGAAAAGCAACGCGTTGCGATCGCCAGGACTTTGTTGAAAAACCCGCCAATCCTACTCCTGGATGAGGCCACAAGGTATAACAAGATCGCTGTGTAATATCTTGAAGTTGACCAATTGTGTTGCACAGCGCTCTGGACACCTCGACGGAGAAAGACATTCAGAAGGCTCTATCGAATCTGATCACCGGTCGCTCTTCATTGTCGATCGCTCATCGTCTATCAGTGAGTGGTATTTGTAACCGTACTATGTCTTGTTAACAAAGGCTTCGCGTTAGACAATTTCTTCTGCGGATGTGTCAGTACTCTTGTTATATTTCAATCGCCAAAACCTTGACTGACATCTTTCGCGTAGCATTCTGGTCCTCAAAGATGGTCAAATAATCGAACAAGGCAGTCACAAAGAGCTGCTTGCCCGGGATGGAATATTTGCATCCATGTGGGCAGATCAGGTGTCGTCTACCGAGGATCCTGCGGTTTCCCTAACGGATATGAAGCAAGATATCGCACCCTATTCTTATTCTATGGATGCTTCGGAACATGGTGACGGCGATGGTTCATTCGAACCGGCTGAGCCTATTGGTATTGCTCCCATTGTGAATGAACCAGCTGCTTCTATTATAGAGCCTCATGCCGAAGACCCGGTGCAGGAGGAAGACAGTAAGGCCCCCATCCCTCCGCCCCAGGAACCTCCTGAGCCTGCTGCCGTATCTGTCCCCTCATCTGACGTCGCAGACGTACCTGCTGCTACTACTGATTCACCGTCCCCCGTGACCTTCCCCACCTCTGAGCCTGAGCCCGTTGCGTTCCCGGCGGCGGAGGAGACTGTGGCGGACCCACAAATCCCATCTCCAAAGCCTGCCTCCCAAACGCCGGGAGTTACGTTTGAAACCAGTGGTACTCCGTCGCGCAGCGGGACACCCGACCCCGAATCTGAGCCAAAGAGGAAGAGGATTTCTTCTCAGAACTTCCAGAGACTCGCGAGGCGGATCTCCATTACGGCAAGAAGACAAGGATCTGTATCGTCCATGATTCCTGGGCTGAAGAAGGATAACTCCCCGCGTGTATCTGTTGATGAAGGGGCCGGCAGCAGTCGAGGAGAGGGGAGCTCCCGAAATGAGAGCCCGACGCCAAGTGTTTCCGGCGATGACAAGAACAAGAAGAAGAAGGAGCGGAAGGAGCGGAAGAGGAAGAGTCTGATGTGAACGCGATCTTTTGTTTCTTTTTTTTTTCATTTGCGCATTGTTCAATTTGAACCCCAGATTTTTCACTGACGATTTTCACGACGGTTATGAACGTCCCATACCATAATAATGAAGTTTGTTTCCTACTTTGGTCCGGCTGTTACATTGATTACATTTGGTCAGAGTGCCGCATAGTTGCATAGTTTCGCATATACGTTCTGTTTAGTACTATATCATGCTTACAATCTCAGAATCTGGTTTATACTTAGTGACGGACCTTAGGAGGGTCATGAGACAGGGAGCGTATACAAGAGCACGGACCAATCGCAGCCTCGCAGTCCTAGTTAGGAAGGAGTATATGGGCGGAGTTGGAATAAGCCGAATCCCTCTTATAAGGGTACGATATCACGTTTTTTTTCCTCCTCTCCTTCTTTCTGCCCCCAGTACCGGTCTGTCTCGGTTTCGTTCTGTTCCCTACAGTCTCGGTTTTCAGTGTCCGGATACGTCTATTGTATTAAAGGACAATCATGTCTACAAAAGTATACGTTGGGTCAGTCTGTGCTCTTGCTCCCTGTTCACGTCGCCTTTTCTCTGCGAGAGGGCGGCACTGATACCGCTTCATGTCTTATGTAGCAATTTGAGTTGGAATACGACCGATGATTCCCTCCGTCAAGTCAGTGTGATCTAGCTCGAGCACGTCCCTATGTGTGCCCCGATAGTGTCTCTTATATTTCCAATTTTAGGCCTTTTCTCAATTTGGCACGATCCTTGATGTGCGCCTCTTTTCCCGTCCACCAGGACCTGCAGCAGTCATGTTGGCAGCGTTGGCTGGGAGGTCTGTGTGCTGACCGATCTTTGATCTTAGTCGATCGTCATGCGTGACCGCGAGAGCGGCCGTTCTCGAGGATTTGGGTTTGTGACCTATGGGGACCCCCAGGAAGCTCAGGGAGCTATTGACGGTCTCCATGAGCAAGAGCTCGATGGCAGGCGCATCAAAGTTAATCTAGCTAACGCTCGAGGCGGCGGAGGCGGCGGTGGATACTCAGGTTTGTTCTGTTTTGTATCTTGGTCGTTTTCTCCATCTGACCGCACCTTTTTCCTGCAGGCGGCGGTGGAAGCTATGGTGGTGGAGGCTACAGTGGTGGAGGAGGCTACGGAGGAGGCGGCTATGGCGGTGGCCAAGGTGGTTATGGCAGTGGCCAAAGTGGCTACGGCGGTGGCCAGAGTGGCGGAGGATATGGAAGCGGAGGTTACCAAGGTTTGTGCCACCCAGGATGTGTCATCCATAGTGCTGATTTTGTTGCTCTAGGTGGAGGCTACAGCGGTGGCTACTGAATCATGTTGCCACCTACTGCCACCTCAAGCTGATATGTTTTCTTCAATTTTCTTTATCTCATTTTCCTGTCCACCGCGGTCGCGCTGTATCTACTAATGTAGTCCCCTGCCATCGTTGTCTGTTCTTATCCCTCACATGCTCCTTACCATTACCACTCCTTGCACGTCGTTTTTGTTCGTTGGTGACTCGGTTTCGGCTTGTGTACTATTACTTGTACTTACTTGGTTCCCCTCGCATGGGATGTATGGCTGTATTATTTGCAACAAATGAAGCTGCTTGAATGGTACTTGACTTGGTTGATGTTTGTTCATTGTTCTGATTTGTTTATCCATTCCCTCTGGTGGCAGTTTCTGGGTCGATATATAGGATGGCGCCCTTTTGTTTTTTTATCTCATCTCCCTTGTACCCGATCCAGTGTGGCTGTACACTCTTATTTGCCTCTGCTTGCCGCTCTGAAATTTAATCCCGCGGGCTACTTATCCTTGCTGTTCCTCTCCGTCTTCTTCACCTAACAACCCCGTCTCTCCTTTATCTCTCTCTTTGCTCGCCGTCGCATCATGGCAGGCTCCTCTGCATCATCGGCGAAGCCTCCCAGGCCACCTAATGCCTGGATCCTCTTTCGTTCAGACATGGTCCGCATCATGCCCAAGCCTGCGAATGGATCTTCCCAGCAGTCGGTCGTGTCCAAGGCCATCTCAAAGCTGTGGGCGGAGGCAGATCCAGCTATCAAGCACGAGTACGAGCGACGAGCCGAGATCAGGAAGCAGGAGCATCACGAAATGTATCCTAATTATCGTTTTCAGCCAGTGAAGAAGGAGGACAAGGAGCGCCGAAAAGAAGAGGACAGGCAGGCCAAGGAGCGTAATCGTCGCTCAGGCCGCAAGGCTCGTGGTTCTAATCGTTATGAACCGTACCCGACCGCCAGCACCTCCGCCGTCACGACCGGGCCTTTCCCTTATCCCATTCCCCACTTCTTTCCCCTCGGTACCCAAAGTTACCACCACGGTCCCCTGGGCCCGACACCACCCATGTCGGCAGCTCCATCCCCCTCCCCCGAAAATTCGCCACTAGAGGTCTCTGAAGACCATCGTGTTGCTCACCAACAGACGTACGAGACCGTCAATAATGTTTCTTCGGCTCCCTCGTCTTCGACGACGAGTGGCATCGTCCCGGCCATGCTGCTCCGAAGTTCGAACGACGCACCCCAGGAACTGTCTCTACCGTCATCACAGGCGCCTGCGCCACAGTTACCGCCTTCGCCGCCTCCAGCGCCATCGCAGTCTGCTGGATATTCATTCGCGTGGAGTTTGCACGAACAGCCGACTGTTTCTCAAGTAGGTTGTTTCCAGTCACCTTCGCCGTTCCTTCACTGATCTTCTCAACAGCCGCCCGTGTCGTTGTCTGTTTCCGTGCCTAGCGATGACCGATGGAACGATCCTACATTCGATGACTCCCTCCAGGCGTTGTTGACGTCAACTGATGACCCTTCTATATTCACCCTATCTCACTTTGGCGAATTTCCAGACCATGCGACGCTGGACGCCGTGGCACTGCCGATGTATGACCCCAACGCGTTCAACTTTGACTTGGGAAACATGTCATCGCAATCGACCGATCCTTTCCCCCAATCCGACGAGGGGATGTTATCATCCCTCGGCTCTTCGCATTCGACTCAATATAATCTGGAAGACTACATCAATTTCGACCAGTATGAGCCCAGCCCCCCTCAAAACCTCCCTCCTTCTCCCCCCACTGAACTTTCAGTTAAACAGCCATACCAGCCTCCGTCAGGTGCAGCTCTTTCGGCATCTCGACGCGTTGCGGGGAGCTGGAAGCAGCCTTTTGTGCGAGGATCATCCCCCGACATTACGCCTCTTCCCTATGGAGTCTCGGCCAATTAATCCCGCATTAAGATTTCACTTTATCTCATCCCTGCATTTTCCCTTCACCTAATCATTTGCTTTCTTGCACATACATCTTCTTGCTGTTTGTAGCGCATTTGCTTCTTCCCTGCGACCTCACTCACGTCTTCTCATTGTCTCTCATTCTCTCGGAAGTTGTCACGCTTTCTTTCCCTTGCTGTGGTTGTTCTCAAGGTTCCGTCGTTATTACATGCTATCAAATTTACGCCGCTTTCCCCTTATCAATTTATCGTCGCATCATCTGTACCCATCCAAACCCCTGCATTATTTTATTTATCCACTAACTTTGTAACTATGTACCTCGGCATGACGAATACAATACAAAGGGTCTCCGCAATCCTGCTTCTACAATACAAAGCCTGCGTGCTGCGAATCGGAACAGAAGGTACTTTTTGGGCGAACAATGTGCAAGTTGGACGCATAGGCAGCTGTAAGATGCCGTCAGACCTACATCTTGATCTCGCGTTGAGATCTGACAATGGGTCCTGGGACTTTGAACAATGGATAATTGCTACAGTTTGGTTGAATCGCGTACTATTGTTCGACTGATTAGGACCGTCGCACTGGCATCTTTGATGTGAATTACTTAGGAATACGTAAATACATATTCTTGTTAACTGAGTACCTGCAATTAAATATGAAGTGAACTAATGTCACCGTAATGTGAGCGGATTGTGGGTCCATGTTTGCATCGGTCTAGGCACGAAGCTCCCTGCCGAAATCAAGCAGCCAAACTCCGTACTCCCTCCAGTCCGAAGACAGCTTTCCATTTTTTCCCTTGTTCTACAATGCTGGAGCTTGGAGGCTTCAGCTGAGGGGTAGTGGGGCTGCAGCGCTGGCGCATGGGAACTTCTTTCCTTAAAGGGTAGTATACGTCAAGCATCACCAAGTAAGCCTAGCTGACCTTGGTTCCCGTTTTCACTGTCGCCGTCGTCGTCGCCGCTGCTGTCCTCGTCCTCCAGCACTGGCCACTGTGTTTGAGCATCGTCTGAATGCTCCAGCCCGCTACTAATACCTCTCCTGATGCCTCGTCACAGTCCTTGGCAGATTTGAGCCGTCGGGCGTCGGTCATCTCGACGTCAAGCTCCGACGCTGGTCAAGTTTCACCGGTGCTCACCACACCACGTCCAAGGCCAATTCGCACATTCTCAGCACCGAGGTCTGCTAGCCCGCTACCAGCGACACCCAGGGCATCCCGACCACCGTCATATCTTACACGCGACTTGGCCGTGTCTACTGAAACACCAGAACCAAGGAAGGGTTCTAGGTCAACGTCGAGAGCACCCTCAAAGTCGCGTGGTCCGACTATAGAGGACTTTACTGTTGGGGAAACACTGGGCGAGGGCTCTTATTCCACGGTAGAAATTTTTTGTTCCCGTGTAGCTCCTCTCAATTCCGTGCTGATTGCAGTTCAAGGTGCTTCTCGCCACTTATCTGCGCACCGGTCAGAAATACGCCATTAAGACCTTAGACAAAAGCTATTTAATCAGGAAGCAGAAGATGGCGACTGCTTTGACAGAGAAGAACGCTCTCCTACGGTTGGGTTCCGGACACCCTGGCCTTGTTCGGATGCATTTCGCCTTTCAAGACGAATGGAGTTTATGTGTGTACCTAGCTGACCAAAACGAAATGCCGTGCTCAGATGCGGACTAGACTTTGTTATTGATTTGGCTACGAATGGAGAGCTACAGACATTGATATCACGTATGGGGTCGCTGAGTACTCGATGCAGCCGTTATTATGCGGCCCAGATCATCGATGCTATTCATTTCATGCATGACAAGGGCGTCATACACCGGTGGGTGCTATTCGCCATGTTTAGCTCGAATTTCACTCATGACTTGTAGAGATCTGAAGCCAGAGAACATTCTCATCGACGAAGCTTTCCGGATCAAAATCACCGATTTCGGGACCGCCAAGATCCAGGACAGTGGATGTATAACTATTTTTTTCCCGTCACGTTTCCCACTCATGTCCAATTATCAGTGGAGGCAGAGAGATTCGTTGGAACTGCCCAATTCATTGCTCCGGAGCTGGTGTCGTCAAATGAAACGAGCAGAAGGCATGTACTGTCTTGCTCATGAAGAATGTCCGCTTATTCTACTGTCACCCATCAGTTCTGACATCTGGGCCTTTGGCTGCATAGTCTACCAAATGATAGCTGGTCGATTCGCATTTTCTGGACTGTCCGAATATCTGACGATGCAGAAAGTCAAGAAAATGGAATACTCGTTCCCTGAGGGGTTCGATGAGCAAGGGAAGGATCTTGTTCAGAAGCTGTTGGTAGGTTATTATACTTTGTTGCATTAGATCCACCTAATCGTACCAAGGTCCGCGACCCTCAGCAGAGATTAGGCGCTGGGACGGAAGGGACAGATAACGATATGAAGGCACTCTACTCCCATCCCTTCTTCGCTTCCATCAACTGGAAAACCTTATGGACAGATCCCGCACCTCCCCTAGAATCTGGTCTCATCAAGAAGGAACACCCGCTTTCTCAAGATGAAGGCAAGAACTGGGAAGATGTCGGTGTTGCTTGGGACGAAATTGCTAACGGTAGTAAAGAAGATGATACATCATGGGCCGCTGAGGGCGACGTCTCGCCTATTGTCCGTCATAGTGCCTTCGACGCTGAACCTCAGCAAGTAGCCATCGAGCGTAGTGGACAGATACTACCTGTCAGACTTTCAGATGTACAGCTCGGCCTTCTCAACTCCGACACGCCTGAGTCCAAGCTGCCCAGCCCTCCGGATACACCTACGACTGTTAAGACACCGCCAATCAATGTACCGTCACGACCCCAGGATAATCATCCATCCGGGCGCTTCGCCGGAAAGTTCGTCCGACGGCAGTCCAGTTGGTACACTTGTTGGAGCGTTCAGGTCTATGCGACCTCTGTCGTTGGGCCCTGACTCCTTGACAGAGCAGCGGGACGCACTGTTAGAAGTGGAACGAGGGCGAAAACAAGCTATGACTCCTGTTCAGGGCAATGGTCCGCTTGTAGACTTGTTCGTGCCATCCTTCGCTTTGTTATCTCCGTTCATTGATTCCTTGGTCCTTCAGCGGATCGCTCTTGAACCTTCCCCCAACCGAACCGGTGATATTTACTTCAACGGTTCAAGCGACATCAGCTAGACGGCGAGCCAGCAGGATTTTCAGGCCACTTGCAGTTCCTCCAACGAAATTAAAGATGCAACAGTTGGTCCTCACCAATCGACGGATTTTTGTCTTGAAGTATCGGCTCAAGGTCCCAGAAGCGATCACTGTCAAGGCGGAATATCTTCTGCGGGGCGATAAGTCAACAAAGGATAAGGAGAGGATAGTGACAACGGTGGAACCTAAAGGTGAACGAGAATTTGTTTTACTCACTGTGAGTTACCTTGTCTCCCCGTCTGGACCCCGTCTGACTTTCGTTGTCAACATAGGCCTCAAATAACATAACGTATGTGGCCGAAGACCGGAACTTGGCGGCGACATGGGTTCGCAAAATTACTGAAAGTCTCTCCCAACCTATCAATACACGGACGTGAAACTGCTTAAACTCATAATAACGATACCTTGGACCTATCTCACTGTATTTTTGGTTTCTTAATCATCCGGATAAATGCTTGTGCCGCGTCTTATTACATCCTAATAGCTTTATAAATTTCCGTACTTTTATTCTCTGGGGGGACTCTGGGTGTACCGACAGCCATTCCATACTTTGATACGTCGTAGATATTCCTTTTTTAACCTGGTGGTAAAAGACTTGCATCCACGGCATGGCTGGTTGACTCATCCATCTCATCCTCGGATGCGTTGTCAATAGGCGTACGGGGCATGGCCATCAAACCTTTGGAAGGAGAAAAAAAGTCAAGCCCTGTCGTTACATCAAGAAAGGGGATACGGACCAGTACGAGCTGCTTCGAGCACACCGAAAGGTTTGATCAGCTTCAAGAACGCCTCGACGCGGTTCGTCTTTGCTGTGAGCTCGACAATCACGCTGTTAGTGCTAACATCAACGATTTTTGCGCCGAACTGGGAGGCCAACGTGGAAATCGACTGAAGATGTTGGTGCTTCTGCCGGAGCGCTTGCGATGGGGTAAGAGGAATATTTGTGGCTGCCCCAGAAATTTGTTCCGGATGTCCTCCCCGTTCAAAATTATGGGCGAGGACGGCTTCCTGTTCTAATTTTGAGGGATGTTCAGTTCCATCCTCGCATTTCCTGGGATCATGCGATGGACCACCAACAAGCTGCTCGTCAAGGTATTCAGGTCCGAGAATGGAGACCTTGACGAGGACGAGTTCACGTTGGATGGTACTCGTGTTGGTGTAATCTAGGACTGCCCATACCGGTACCTAGGGATTAACGTGAAAGATGGGAACTTGAACGAAGTTTGAGCACATACGAGATCCTCGAGCTGCCTGCGAGCCTGCTCGACAACACCGTCCTGGCCCTTGAGAACGATACACATACGACTGAGGTCTGGTATCTCAGTGCTGCATACGACCAAAGAGTCGATGTTGAAGCCTCTTCCTGCCAGGATACCTGAGACGCGAGAGAGGACACCGGGTTCATTCTGCACTAGACAGTTAAGGATATGCCTGCCAACCAAGCCGTTAAAATTCAAAGGGTAAACTGGAATATGACTCGACGTGACTCACTTTTTGAATGGCTGCAAACTTGGAGGAGGGGTATTGTACAGAATGTTGGTAACAGCCTCTTCTGCGGTTCTTGAACGCGGTAGGTCCATGGCAGGAAGAGGAGGCGGCCTCATACGCTGGGTCCTCTTGTAATCGAGGGCCGACGTCGAATCGTCGATGGGCTTTGGGGGTTGGGGTGGTTTAATGGGTGCCTCATCGTCGGCCCTCGTTGTCATTGACGAGGAGAAAAACCGCGTAGAGAGCATACGCGACGTCGAACGCGTCGTTGAGCGAGCAGTGACTTGCAGGCACAGCAGACTTGCCATGGTGGTTTGATGGAAAGAGTATATTTTCCGTCCAAAAAAACAATTGAATACGGGGTATAACGTAATGGAAATAAAATTAACGGAATATCTTTGCTGCTCTCTCAGTTCAGAACCTTTTCAAGTGGCAATGGGTCATATTGGGGACATAGAGAAATAACATAATATGCAGAGCGCTCATCAATTAAAGAACAGTCCCCAGCCTCCACGTCAAGTTGCCCCGGAGGTCCCAAGCTCGACTACTCCTGCGTCCAGTCTAATCCGATAAGAAAGAGGCAGGCAAGCACTCTACTTCTCAGGGTTAGGATTCCTAGTGGAGGCGACAGTAAGTACATTGATAACAAGAAGAGGGAGTGAAGAGTATCAGATAGGAGCGAAAGACATTAGATGCATGTTTGTCAACAAGGTAGTTTCAGTGTGAACTATGCTTGATCAAGTTGGTTCATCCGAGGCGAGGAATAGTAAGGGTTGGCGAGACCAGACCAGACCAGGCGCAATACCGGACACAGAATAGTACTCACATTCGTCGTTTGCCTCCGGGTAGCGTCGTCACATTGACAAACCTACAAAAATTGAGCATCGTCCTCCATTTTCAAGCCGTCAAGCTGCTCACCGACGGTTGTATAGAACACGCTTCTTGGCGCGGCCCTTGGGCGTCTTTTTCTTCTCCTGCGCTTCAACCTTTGGTGTCTGTGATTTGACTTTGCCAGCACGGGCAAGAGAGCCGTGAACTAGGGGGTACCTGGGTCAATGGACAGAGACGACAGCATCAGCAATGACGGCGACGAACCTTTTCCCATATTGTCTTGAGGTGAAGCTAATGCAGACGACGAAGGTCCTGAGTCAGCTCGACTGTGCAGTTGGCCACATAAGGTTTCGGCAATTACCTGCCGAAGCGTGCCTGCCGTCTTCGGCAAACTCATAGGTACATTTTACATATTACATCCATACGGTTTGCAGTAATCCTTACAATTAGTATGCCTACGTCAATCGCATTTGCTTTATTACGGATTTTCAGGGACCCTAACATACCCTTTCCCGTGTATCGTGCATTTCTCTGTTAACTAGAATGCTGACCAGGCGGATGACAGACTGGATTCCTTCATTGGAAGGCCAAACCTCAGACCTTCAGCTTCAAACTTGATGCATTGATGGATCACAGCGAGCCACAACAAAATTCGTTGGTTATAGTATACAGCTTGAGTTGAAACTAAATGTGTCCGTTGATCAGGACAATTCTCCGAGGGCCTGGTCACAATTGCATGATTGACCAGAATTTTCCACACAGCTCCCTTGTTTTCAGCCGAAGACCATTTAAAAATAAGAGGTAGGACCAGGATACTTATAATTATGTATTTTTCGCTTTGTTGATGATTCCGTTACACCTGACATGGCGGAACTCAGTAGCACCGCCACAACTATTGTTGATCACGTGTTATACACGCTTGTTTATCGGCAACCGCGACGAGACGCAGCTCGTCCTCTGTTCGACATGGACTCTCCATCAGCGCTACCTCCTCCGCTTCCTCGTCTTAGGGTATCTCGAACACCTCGAAACAATTTTGACAGTCCACAGTCAGGTCCATCACGCCTCTCAGATCCCATCGCAAGCAACAGCGTTGAGCTCAATATCGGCGACGAGCCTTCGCGGAACTTGCTATCTTCATTCTCGATAATGGATACATCTGCCACTTTACCAGAAGATACTCCAGCTGCCCGTCTACGTGCTGTCATGGCCAGACTTCCTCCGCCATCCTCGTCGTCTACTGCGATACCAACTCCGCCATCACCTTCAGAACGAGAGTCTGACTTTGATCAGCCCCATTTTGGTTCCTCAAATGCTAGTGTTGCTCAAGAGAGCATCAGAAGTATATTTTCTCGTGCTCGACGCGACCCAGGAGACACTCCACGAAAAGATAACAGACCGAGGCGGAATAGTTTCGATGCTACTGAGGTGCAAGCTAGCCCTAGGGCCCAAAAAGTGAGGCAAGAGAGAGCAGGTAACATAGGCAGAAGGCAGAGCATGAGTGACGAAGAGATCGAAAGTACGTACCTATCTTCACGTTCTGAAGTTGTTCTGACCTTTTCTCTTAGGACACTCTCATAGGTCTGATCTCTCCGATGCCGACGTCTTCAGTGCAAATTCGAAGACCCCACGTGCCTTTGGTTCAATACGCGGTCAGTCGCATCTCAATATACTTGTCCAATTTCACTAAACTATCTTAAGATTCAGCGAACGATAGCATTGACACCCAAGCTATGGTCAACGACCTCGGTAACAACCAGACAACGCCTCCAGCTGCTACAAGCACTCCCCAGCACTCATTGCAGATGTCATTGAACTCCTATCTCCAAGCTCAGTCAAGTATGTATTGTCCATTGTCCCAGTCTTCATACATATCTTCATCTTTTCTCCAGATCTGCTAGATCACGATTCAGAAATGCAGCGAGGGCTCCAAGTTTTCGATAGTGATGAAGGGGAATCTCCGAAAGGTACGCATTATTTTCTGTTCATTTACAGTATAGTAAGGCTTGTTATAGTTACTTTTTCGACTGCACCTCGAAAGAAACAGCCAGATCCGCAGGCGACTATTCGTCCACGTACGGTGGACCGTTCTAAAGCATCCTCAAACACAAGTCGAAGCCTGACAGAGTTGAAGCGCTCCCAGTCATTCTCTACCCCCAAACCTGATCCGCCAAAGTCTCGCGCTAGTCATTCGTCTTCTCGCTCAACCGATTCCTCGCATAAGAAATCCCTTCACTCTTTCCCAAAGTCAACAGGGTATTCTGGTTTGGCTAGGCGAGACAGCATGAATTCTGTAGACTCTTTTGATGACCGTGCAACTTCAGAGGGGTCGCACGCAGATCGTGAGTATCCAGCATTCTAATGGCAACTGACAATTGACGTGCACATAGACCAAGAACGGATGGCTGAAATGAAATCTGAACACAACGATGACCTAGAACGGCAATGGAATAAGCCCCATTCTCGGACACTGTCTAGTCTAAGCCAGTCCTCCTTAGACGCTATCCGCCTATCTCGCTCAGCAGGAGGACACCAGCGCCATAATTCCTTTTCGAGTTCTCGTTCTGCTTCTCCTGCTGGTTCGCGGACAAGCGCCGACGAAGAACGTGAACGAGAGGTTCAAGCTGAGGTCGACCATGAACGAGAGCGGAATTGGAACTCCCCCCATCCGACATGGTATAATCAGAGTACCCACCACAGTCATTCTAGTCGTGCTAATTCACCGACCCCGCCATCCCCTACCGCTTCCACGTCGTCACACCTATCTTCCAAGGGTATACGACCTCGCATAGACTCAAAGGTCTCTGCTCGAGGGACTCCTTCACCCAGACTCTCAATCCCCGACTCTCCTTCCCGGTCGCGTATAAGACCGATCAGCTATTCGTCTCGTTCAAATTCTCCGTTACCACCTGATTCTACGGCCCCACGAAGTACTTCATCGCGCTATTCGCATTCAAATACATCCATTAGTCCCACCCATAGTAACAGCAATGAAGGCCGAGCACGATCGGGGTCTACATTGTCGAAACATACTCCAAACGACACCTCTCAGCGAACAAAGCTTGCCCCAAGGCCACCTCCTTCCCCTTCCCCTTCGACAGCCAGTTCTAACAAACACAAATCGTCAGGACATTCTAGGACTCCCAGCCATTCTAATGGTAAATCAAGGACCGTTGACCGTGATAAGCCTGTTAGTAGCCAAGCACCCAATATAGGCAATGCCTATGACGGGCAGTCAACAGGTTGGTTTAGAATTACGTAGCGCTGCCCTTCGCTGATCGGATATCTTTCCAGATACCGATGGAGAGGATTTACCTCAAGAGAGTACGCCCACACTTAAAACGACAACGTTAAACCAACTGCACACCGAAGAAAGAAAGTCTTCTTCCCCACAGCTTTGGTCACAAAACATACGAGACGAATCACATTCATACCGACCCATTGACCCACCTGCCACCCCGCCGCCATCATCGCCCTTGTCATTGCCATCTACGCCACCCACTCCGCCTAGTTCAGAGCCGTTGTTCACTACCCAGCACCGAAGATCCTCATTTTCCCAACTTGAATATCAGACCCCTTCACCTCCAAAGGGACTCCCGGAATTGCCTGGCCCTCCATCATCTGGCTCCGAATCCGAACAAGATGCTGAGCCTGTCGGCCAGGTAGCAGTGTTGAAAACACCACGACCGCCTGGCGCTTGGGCCTATACTCCCGCTCCACGACTTGCCAGATCGAACTCTCTGCCAGTAGAGGAAGAAACTAATGGTGGTCCATCCTCTCCTGAGAACTCGACTCCATTGGCACGCACCACTTCTCTGCCTCCACAGACACCTGCCCCTCCCGGTGGATGGCTTATGACGCCTAAAAAGAGCGTACGATTTGATCCACCACCTGCAGATTCTGACCAGTCTGGCGCCGAGATAACACCGAATTCGTCTGCAGACTTTCGTGAAGAAACTATACATAATGAGCAACGCCCCTCCCGCACGACTAGAGAGAATGGGATCTTGAAGCCATCTTCTGTTCTCAACATTGATAGCAATATACCGGATATACCACCTACACCTGTATCACCCTCCAAATCTCGAAGGATGCCGACTGTAAACTTCGTGGATGAATATGGCCAAGAAGAGAAACCAGATAAGAACCACGGTTCTCCTCGTAATCGCAGTGCTGTTCGAATAGTGGATGCGATGGGACGCGAAGTAGATGACAGCATAGTTTCCCTTGAGGAGCCTTTAACGCGGACGGAAGGCGGTCAGTCATATGCGACAGGGCTTGTCGGAAATTGCGCAGGACTTAGAGGATGTTTTCCAGTAAGTCTCCCTTTTCGTGCGATAAATACAACCATCAGCTGAAAGATGTCCTAGGTCAAGTCCTGACATCGATGTGGCTCGGCTAGCAGAACTGGAGCAGGCGTCAAGAGTATCTCGCAAGCAGAGGGAGGAGCTTGCGCGAAAGCTGCATCATGTACGGGAGAGCATGAACAAAAGCAAAGCCCCGGTAAATTCATCGTTCACTGCTGTTTATGCGTTTGCTGACCCATGTGGACAGGTTCCGGCTCCGGTTAGTCGTCGATGTCCTTCGTTGTCATGGATAGCATTGGCAATCATAGTCCAGCTGTTCCTGATCATAATCATGTATCTGTAAGTTTTCTTTTATCCTTGTAATTCTTGTGACGAACTCAAACACTAAAAGAATATCGGTGTCTCGCGCTCGAGAAATATTTCTTACCACTTACTATGACCCATTCTATGCGGAGCTGCATATGTATACCACCACTACACCCGATTATACCATAGATTGGCTGTCGTCGGCCGACTCACCACCAATATCTCAGGGCAGGGACAGATTTATTACGCGAGTTTTGAATATGTTTGCTGACTGGCGGGACACTGGGGAACGAAATGGTTTGTGGCCCCCGACCTAAGAAGAGTGTCTGCATGATATTTTATTAATATTGTATAATTTCCCTGTACCTTTTCGCGTTTTGGTGGACCCAGGTCGGTTTTTGGGCAGTATACCAACAACTATCCAGTCCTATCAGAAACAAGCACTGAAAGAAGGTTCGCTATAGAGGGTAACGTGTCTTGACATTCTCATATGTCTTTGTCTCCTCAGTCCCTGCATTGACCATTCGTACAGGCTAGCCGAACAAATATCCCAGACGGGCGTATCTGACTCCGACAACTATTATGACCAATTATTTAGCCACCATAGAACGATGGATTTCGACAAGGCCCAACAACGCCACGAATACCTTTGACCTGGGAGCCTTTCGTAATGCCTTGTGGGTAACGACCATCAAAGCAAGCAGCACAGGGCTTTCCTCTGAAAGTCCGTAGGGGCCCGGCCGGCCCTCTAAAGACGATTAGCGTGGGAGCTGCAACCTGGTTCCGAGGTTTGCCCTGGTCTGACTCTGGTTTATAAATCTTGCCAGGCACTTCCATGCTCTTGGCGATCACTTGGATACCACTTCCATGCTGCTCGTGTGGTCCTTCGGTGTTTTTCCTATGAGAATATTCCCACATGTGAATATGACTTCCCGCTAGCTTTGGTCTTCCGCATTGTAGCGCTGATTCTGAATCTATTCATTCGAGTTTCTCTGACAACGGTCAAGATGGAGTCAAGGGACGCACATGATCGCATTAGCCGTCCCATTATTTTTTCTTCCCGGAGTTTCTAAAGGATCTCACAGTCCGTATATAAGGCCCTCAATGCTCTCTGAATTTTCTCATCTTCAACTCTGAGCCTTTGTTGACGTCTTGACGGCGATTCACTTCCTTCTTCCCTCTTTCTTTCACTTCAGCTTTCTCCTTACCTTCCTTTGCAGCTAGCCTGCTTTCTGTCCTTCACGTTCTCCTTTCATACAATTCCGTCCTGCTTTTCGTGAATATCGTTGGTTCGACATGGTCCAAGTCACTTTCGTCGTTGCTCTTGTTTCCCTTTTCTTTGGTTTTGTTCACTCGGCACCCGTGGCACTGAATTCTCGCGCATTCCAGCTTCTTGAGTGAGCGTTCTTCGCTGTTGAAACTGACAACGCGTTGACACTCCGTGGGACAGCTACGCCGATTTCCAAATCTCCGACGGTGTTGCTGGCAATGCCTCCGCTGAGGCCAATGCGGTCTTCGTTGGTGAGCTCTACACTCCTCTTCGTTAACAAAGAGGGGCTCTAACAAGTCGCGCTTCTGCAGATCCCTTCAATAACGTCGATTTAGCCACCGTTGATAGTCAAACTTTGGTCAGTCACCGTTTCTCCCGTGTTGCGAGGACCAGGGATTTATTACTCCAACAGGATGATATGCAAACGATGAGAGAAGCTGCTGAATCTGCCGAAACCGAAGACTTCAATCCTGCTATTGATGCAGCTAGTGGAGCTGCAGGTAAGTGTCCTAATTATTCATTGGAACAGCTCGCTGAGGCTGTTGTCGCAGCTGATGCTCTACAAGTCGGCAAGATCAAGAACAAGGTTCTGAAGCTGACCGGTGAAGTTCAGGTTCTTAACATCAAAGTCAGTTTTGTGTCATTATTGCATTGATGGCGTCTCACCCATCGCTATGTAGATCGCTCAAGCTCAAGCTGCGGGTGATGATACCTCGGATTTAGAAGACTCGTTAGCTGAAGAACAGTAAGTAGAAAACATCTTTTCGGGGAGGCAAGCTGACCATCCCTCAGGACGAAACTTAACACCAACATTGCCACGGATGTAAAGAACGCCGGGAAGACTTCACAATCAGTGGTCTGAATTAAGGAAGTGGTTGTCCAGTACATTTACTTGCTCCTGTACACAGGGCTAGAACAAAGGCTCAATTTGATAGACTCATCTCTAAGATCCTGATCGCTTGATTCCTTGAACTGCAAAGACTCATTTATAGTTCAGGATGGTAGGCTTCGTATCACCATGTTTAAAGAGACATGCCCTCAGCCGCTATTCTGACCAGAGATATTTTCGTGTCTGACAGAACAAGAAGCCGTCCAGGTCCCGCGAACACTAGATTTGCAGATCCCGTCCCCAGATAAATTTTCCCGATGAGCGTTCCTTTATTGTTCCAAACCTATTTCAGTATATGAGCTGACCAGCAGAGGAAGATAAATCCGTATGAACACACATGTACCCCGTCCCCAGCGGAGGCATAGACATTACCTTGAGTGTCAACGTTGATGCCTGAAGGATGAGTTAATTCACTTAATAGTACGTTCCTTCCCAGATATATAGGTGACTATTACCGTCTGCGATTCCTGTGTCGACATACGCGAACACTCTGCGATTTTTCAATGCTTCGGTTTCAGCGTCAACGTCAAACGCGTAGCTTAAGACAGAGATACGCTGAGCTGATTTGACGAGCAATGAAAACTTCATACATTGTAGAGGGAAGGGTTTGGTTGACTCCCAAGAACCCCCCCTGACTTGAAGTGTCGCCGCTATACAACTTCGTCAGTGTGAGTTTACAAAGCTACACCAGAGGAGCTGACATGTAACACGTTGAGCCGTTGGGTGAGAATGCAATACCATTCGGCAATCCTATCCCATCAGCTACAACGCGAACTGAGCCCGTAAGGGGATCAAAGCGATAAATTTGCGCCGGCATTAGTGGAAGGGGTCGGAAATGGCCCAACCATCCATATCTGAGTATAGTCAGAAAAGCTTCCCGACCCTCGATGAATGATTTTACTGACGCCGGATCCGTGAAGAACATGTTTCTGCTCAGGGGATGAACCTTTATATCATTGAGAGAATTAAATTGCCGGCCTGCGCAACATGATTATCAGCTGATCGCGTATGAAACGTATATATAGCCTCACCGAAGAAGTTGTCCAAGAGAACAGTGGTATCGTATGGTGGATAAGGATCAATGAGTACAATCGAGGGAGGAGAATATGCGCGACCTGAAGTAACAACCAGGAGTGAGCCATTGTACGGCCCCGTTCCGCCATTCGCCATTTGGACTGTTTCTGCGAGAATGAACTATCACGTCTCGAACATGAAGTTCAAATGTCAGGTTCCAAAAAAGCAGCGACGCACAGTTGTGTACGGAACGTTGACCGACCCAGATGCATTGGCAGCATCAATCGCCGCCTCAACCTGTGTCATGCTAATCTTTGAAATGACATTATTATGGTCCCAATCGCTCATTCCAAGGTCGCCTCCAGCATTACTAGCGAAGAAAACCTCGTCCGTCTCGGGAACATATATAGGTGCCTCATGAGCAAAAGCAAATGTGGAATTCGACGCGACTTCATAAATGGCAGGCGATTCACCTAGAACATCGATGAATGAAGCATCGAATATCTGAAAAAATGGAGGGCTTGAGTTGGTGGGATTGAAGAATTCGTCGGCGCTGAATGCATTTTCACGGAACGTGGCATTGGCTCCCAGGACGGCAAATGTAGTTGGATCTACAAACTGAAGCGGAGATCAGCTTTCTTATAGCTGATGCAGCAGTCGACCGGGAAGTTACCACAGAATTGGGCGGGACAGTTGACTGGGAAATGACTTGCGGCACCCAGACACTGGACAGCAGTAAAAGAGAGATTATAAGACCGTCGAACATGAAGACCTATGTGTCCACTCAGACCGAGTCCTCATTTTATACGTCCATCTAAGACCTATCTCCGAAGATAGAGCGAAGAGTCTTACCATAAAGACCAGGTGGAACGGATGGTCCGCGTTATTTTACGTCGTCGCAACAGTGTCGGGGCGGAATTCTTTAAAATCATTTCAATTGTTCATGTCATACAACCCACGATCCACACAGTACCTAATAACAATTAAAAAGCAATAAGCATCAGAAGCAAACCAAAAGAGCTGTCCTTAATCCAGCGTCTCAGATCCCCCATCCGAAACCTCCGTCGACAAATCCCGGAGGTTCTCTTTAATGTGTCGTATCCGCTCTTCCATATCATCCAGTCTCCTCGTCATCGAAATAATCTCATCGCCGAGCTTCGTCGGATCAAAATGTCCGTCCGATACCGCAACGACAGCACCTTTCCCGGCTGACAGTTCATCCCATAGTGCAGTGACTACACCGTGAATCCACTTCTCACGTTCTTCTGTTGTCTGTAACACCTTCCGTCGCCCAGATTCGGCTTTGTATCCCATGCGCGCCAGCGTCCATATGTTGCTGATAACCAGAAGCACGATAACGAAAATCAGGATGGTCGTAGAAGACGACTGGTCCCAAGCATCTCCAATGAGCTCCAAAGCACCTTTAGTGCTTTGTTTGGCGACAGACGCAGCACCTTCGAATGTGTCCCAGGCCCATTGTAGACCACGGCGATTACGTTCATGTTCACGCTGTTTTTCTGATGTGGGTTCAAGCGTGGGTTGCTTGACATCCGCAGCAGCAACAGGTTCAACGAGCGCCAAGGCAGCTGGATCCACACCTTCGGGTACGAACTCGGACTGGTGCTCTTGTATATAGGCACGCATAGCCTTCTCCAAATCAGCATGATATACCTTCTGTCCGTCAATGGCTGATCTCTCGATGATACCTATGAGTTTCATAAATGAATGATAGCGTAAATGTAATGACAACAGAAACTCTTACCCTTAATGAAACTCCTTCCAGTCCACTCAACCTGGGTAGTCACAATCACTTTAGTAGATACGGCACTGGCCCACATGATACAAGTCCTCGTCTTCACTGAAAAGACACCGCCACTAGGAACATCTGGTGTCCGTGTTGTCGTGACAGTAACGATATAATCATCAAAGTCACAGTGCACAGTCTCGTCGTGAATTTCGCACTTTGTCTGTTTCGGCCCAACACTGTTGTTTAGTGGCTTAATGTACGACATGTTTCGGGCGAGGAGTTTAGAGCCAGGCTCGATCGGGGCCCAATCAGATACTTGGATATCTATTGACCCGTTAACTTAGGAGGTCGAGATGATATCCAAAAGGAAAACGCACCTATAAGCTTTTGATCGACGACCAAGAACTCCTTCATAAACCCACTCGCAAACATGAGATTGTATATCCGTTCGGGAGTGCCTGGTATAATCATCTCCAAAGCCTTCTCAGAGTAATGTGTCCCGTCCTTGCCACACTGGCACTGCGTCACCTTTCTCTGAACGGTTCCAATTTGTTTACCGACAATCACGGCATCGCCATTGACGCCACCGCCAATAATAGTTCCTTCAATAATCTGATCAACGGGTTGTTCCACAGATCCTGAACCGAGACTTTGCGTGTCTTCAGGCCGAGCAAGGCGCCAGATATTGTAAATGACATCAAACGTCGTGTCTCTGGACAAAAAGGATGCGAAGTTATACTTGGCTTGACGCGTCGTGATCTGGATGGCGTTGGGTATCACAAAAGCGGTCATCTTCTTCTCCAAGGCGATGATTTCGTAAATAGGTATAGAGAGCTGCCAAAAATGTTGCATTACATCTGTCAAGGGAAGGACATCTGGAATGGCTTACATCTGTGATCCACCCAAAGATGTTGGCATGAAAACAAATATGGTTTTCGGATATGTATAGTCTTCCTTGAATTAGAATCTCTCGTTGTAGCGCGCAGCCGTAATCTGGGAAGATATTAGTTGGCCGGACACGTACGACTATACTCTATGACGCACCTTCGATCAAATAATCACCTTCCGGTATGGCAGAGAATAACTCATGAAAGTCAGCATTCCTTCTACTGCTGGCCACTGCGAAGCCAGTAACAGGTATGTCGGAAGAGCCCAAGTCCAAGTCCATCAAAGGGTCTGATTCATCTGAATCCCCCTCGTCTTCGTCTGAGGTCTCGTCCTCCAGTCCTGAGTAATAGTCAGGTCCCCCACCGACCTGGTCATCAGGATACTCGGAATTTATGTCGCTGTGAACTGACATCGACTTGCGCCTTGGTGATGCTGTAGACGAGCGCTTTGACTTGGGGGAAAAGTCAGACGATCCTGCCCTGTTATGTGACGAGGTCGAACCTGTCCTGTTCAGGTAAGGTGGCGACGGTAAGGAAGCTTTCCTTTGGGCAGGAGGACTGATATGAACCTGGTGGGGTGCTGAAAGAACGGGGTTGGCCATTGCCAAACCAGAGGCAGCGATGGCGCTCGCGAGACCTGTTGGTTTTGAAGAGGGGCGTTTCCATGGCCGGCTTGCCGGCTTCTTCTGATTCTGGCCATTTTGTGGTGTGATCACGGAGTTAACTGATGTGGCGTCAGTGTCTCGAGACGCGGCAAGGAACGTCTTTTCATTCGTTACTACTGGCCCCGTATTTGCTCGTGAATTTTCTGGAATTTCAGGCATCGTTATTGACGTAGGTGATTCCACAAGGGCCGCCTTGGAAGCATCATCTGTATTTTGACCCGGCGGATTGTCCTTGACATCTCCAAGACTGAGATTCGGTGTCGTGGCGGCTCTGGAATGGATAGTGGATATGGGTGGCGGTGGAGGTACGTTTTTCAGGGATTTGTTGGATGATTTTCGGTGTATCTCGGGGGTAAATGGGGCAGCCAGTGTCCCGCCAGCAGGCAAAGGCGGCGTCGTGGAGGTGGTATCTTTCGTAAAAGCAGCTGCGAAGGCTTCGCGAAGGTTGGATTTTGAAGATGAAGCCGTATTTGGACGTGATGGAGGTCGTGATTGGGAAGCGGGGGCCGTCTTTGACGATGTAGTCGCAGGCTCAGCCGTAGTCGGGGGTACTGGCAGTGCAGACGGCAGTTTTGAAGGCGATGAAGGTGTTCGACGACGAGCGCTATTGTTTGCAATGCTCGCACTACCATCCATACCATTGCTACCATTGGTAATGCCATTTTCCTTCTCTTTGCTTGTATCGCCCGAAGTTGAGCTCGGCGACGGCGGTACAACCATAACACTCGGGTTGACGTCCTGCAGCGACCCATTAGGCTGACCGGTATTTATTCTTGAGGCCTGGCTGCTCGTTGACTTTTTGACCGGTGAACTGGATGGAATGAAGCTCCCGGACGGAGACGCGGTCGCGCTGATAGCAGATGAAGTTCGGCTGCGAGGGGCGGGGAAAGGTGACTGGTGGGAGTCGAAGGAACGATCACGACTATGCGTGGAAGTGGGCGACTTGACCAGCTTTGAGAAAAAGTTGGGCGCCATTGCGATTACCTGAATCCAATGACGAGTATGAAGAACAAACGACGCCCGGGTCCAATGTCCGCGTCCAAATTCTCTGTCACGCCGTTACCGTGACATCATACAGCCTTCGCTGAATTGTCAATTCTGCCGCAATTTTTGGTTAGGTAGTGTCGTAAGTATTCCTACGGACTCGTACTAGGCCTAGAAACCTTCACGTTTCTGAATGCTTGTAGCAAACCGATTCCAATCAGCATGCCAAGTTCAACCAAAGTTGTGCTATCTTCATCAAGTCGCCCAACAGCTCCATCCGTGTGCAGTGCCATAACCTCAGCGCTGTACTCTACTTCGCTTCCATATATCCGAGAGATGGGTCAAGTGATACGGGTCGTCTGGGACCCGTCTTTCCGTCTTCGTACGAATCCTCATCATCTTGCGACATCCATGTTCCGGAGTTCATATCTTGGGGACATTGACAATTGAGTAACATCGCTCCATGATACTGGATACACGCAAAGGTCGAGACCATTTCGCAGACGGGCCTTTCCGATGCAGCGCGCTAGTGAACCAAAGTTGCACGGGAAGAATTCGAGGTACTAGAACGCGCTATCAGTGATTGTCTGACTTGGCAGTAGAATGAGGGTGCGCTTTCTTTAGCGCTTTGACGTACCCAAAACCGGCTTTGTGTCCCAAGTCGACCTTCCCAGCTCTTGAATATGTGCATCAATCGATGCCCAATCATTAATCAATAAGCAATTGACCCTTGTCTATATTCTACCTGACCTTTGTGCGAGCTCCATCTCGCAACCAACGAGGCAATAATTGTTGCTCGAAAGAGCCACCCCACCAAGGATTTGCATTGTTGCTAAAGAACCCAGGATCATCAAAGATCTTGTAGCGATACGTCTCATTCCCACCAGAGTTATCCATCCCGAACAAGACGGCTTCGCCACAAAGCACCGAGAGCAAATGAATCAGTAGGTGCGCCACACGCCTCCACCCGAGGCTCGTCTGATTCGAATTTTAGCTTCGCAGAAGAATTCAAGCCTGTGTCTAAGAACTTTAGTTCAGTTGAGCAGAGAGCGACCGAACGACTCCAAAGGATGATGCCGCTGTCCTTTAAAGTTGTCTTTCCTGTATGATTCGGTACTCCAGGATCCCAGCAACACCTGTTACGGATGAACACAGGACTCTTCTGTTTTACACTTCTCGAATGCCGAAACGTTCATACAACAAGCCACCACTGGCAGCTGAGGCGTCGTTCGAATCCGTCACAGAAGCTGAACAATCAGTGTAGCCCTTTTTTCACAGGTCGAAGCGTCGGCCGTTCATCCCCGCGTGCTGGTAACCTTCTTCATCACGTAGACAGTTTCTCTCGCATACCTTTGCAGAAGTCGTGTCCGCGATAGTGAATGAATCTTATATTCCATACACGCGATTTTGTAATATTCCGCAGGCAAATTTGAAGGACCTGCCTTTCTCCATACCAAAGAAGTACCCACCTATGGTGACACGAACGTCGATGGAGGTACTAGCAAAAAGGTTTCCACGCACCTGTCTGAGCTAAACTTCCCTCTCATCATTCCCATTTGTCGAACTGCATCTACAGTTTTCCAGAAATTCCCAGAGAGTAGAAGCTTTATCCGCCGATAGTGCGTTGCCAGAAAGTACGATTTCATAACAATTTTCATCCTGTCTGCATTGATAGCGGTACTCGATATTTTTCCGGCATCACAGTATCATAGGGTCGTTATGGAATTGGCGTGATAACCTACTGGGGATATATGAGTTGATATACGATGTTCAAATATAACAGACACACGCCTTATAATCATGCAGCAGTATATCTCGCCAACTCTGGTGCTGTTTCGTCTTGTATGCGTCTCACTGTCGTCCAACCCTAAGAGTACCATGCACTAAGACATCCAAATGAAATCAACGTCCACGGTACTTGATAAAGGTGACATGGCCCGCAGTTGCGAGGCCTAAAGTCAGTTCTGTAGATGCATCTGAGGTGTAACCCGGAGCGTTAGAAACTGAGGACATCCGGCAATTCCCGTACCTGGTCTTGTACAGACCACGATCTCCATGAAGGTTCCCTTAAGCTTCAATAGTATCAAAGACTGCTTGAATGCCTGGTACGCCTTTCTTTTCCATACCAACGCCTTTGTTCTTGACTTTGCCTTGTTCAGTACATAGCAAGATGTTTCTTATAAAATCCACTTCTTGTATTCTCGCGCTACGAACTCTTCACCCATGTGGGCAGTACACATACTTGCAGCGATCTTCAATCGATCTCTGCTGCACCGTATACTCACCTCCATGAACAGAAAATGCTATCTTTTCATACCTTCTCCTCAAGAACTCGCACTGCAGACCCTTACTCCCAAGCCTCTCTCGCGACGCACCATATCTATCTCCATTCCTCTTGGACATATTCGCGTCCAATTCTACACACACGCACGTTATGCCGTAGTCAACAGGCCTCCCTGCATTCAAGCCGACATTCGTCTCTCCGACTCGGGTGATCTTGAAGTTCAAATCGTCAAGGACATGTTCGGCTTGCACACTTGTGCAGTAAGTAAAAGCTTATTTTTTATTCCGTTTTCCCTTCTCGGCTGAATGCAATGCAGATCCTTGGCAAGCACGGAGAGTTATGTACGAGCACCGAGTCAATCATTTCTTTCCGTGACGTGCTGGAATTCTCCAATTCAAGAGGATGCATTAAAGTCACCGGTTGGCACAATATAATTTGTACTTCATTTGTATATGACTAACCGACTTGGGCAGAACCATACGTCTCTGACTCCGTACGAATGCAACGTGAAATTCGTTGTGCCCTTCTGTTGTTTCTCCGATCCTTAGAAATGCTCATAACCACCATCTTCGCCATCTTGTACGATCTCGCTATATCTGTAGCTAGCCGGTCAGCCACATTCAGGAAGCCTCAAAGAAACGCCGGAATCCGCACGCAGTAATAACCTATATGAATGCATAATTTGGAGTAATGTGTAACGTGTTTCGAACGTGAGAGGCTAACGTGAATGGCTTTTCCCATTTTAGCCTTCAACCCGGCAATACAGGACCATACTCATGGGGATGTTCTCATGACCCTGCCTACCAGGTACCCGCGAACACCTGTGAATATGCATGTGGCAATTAGCACATCGCAACCCTTGTCAAAATCAGGCGCGCTTCGAGTCTGGTGAAAATTTAACGAGTGCGGTTGCATTTCAAGACGTCTATTCGCGTTGCCGGATTTCCCACCAGGATTGAAGAGCGAAATACTCGGAAACTCTATGAACTCACGAAAATGGTAATTCTATTATCTGCAGGCAACAAATTCCGATGGGGCAAAGCGCACCGTTGCTCTTTCCGGTCGTGGGTGTTCAATGACCCACTTCCGAGGGTATCAGAAACGGGAAAAGTCGAGGACAGAGAATCAGGACAAACGGAGCACGCTAGCCGCAGGGGGCCAATACATTTCTGCCCTCTAAGCGTCTTGGCACTAACCGGCCTCCATTCTATCTAGGCACCAAGTAAATCAGCTGTAATCACATCAATTGATTCTTCAGCCTGTCGAGATGCTACGGATCAACCACCGAACAAGCACCGAGAGCAAGGTTTGGGTTTGTGAATGGTGAAATGCCAATGCTCCGAGACTACTTAATCTGCGATAGCACGACAACTTTCAAGTGTCGCATTTCATGCATGCGGGCTTATGCATAGCCATATTCAAGCCTTCAGTGGAACTTCATCTCTAGCGTTGACATCGCTGTTGCCAACTACCGTCGCACCAACATTAGTGCGTTGCGATCTAAAATATCTTCTTTCTCCCAGGGCTTATATTGAATATTAACGAGCAGGTACTCCTTGATACTCTCCCTCCTCGCACACCATGGCTGTTTCGTCACACCCACATTCCCGCATCGTCGGTTTTCATCCCTAGAGGATGGACGCTCAACGACGACGTCGTTCTCTACATCGTACAGCTGATGTGCGCTGGCTCGGCACCATGGACACCGTTTGGCCCTTCAACAAAAGATGTCCGCATGTTAGCCGCATCCTCTCGTCATCTCAGAAGGATATGTCTTCCACACGTGTACTGCCGCTATCAGTGGGCATGGAATAGCGTAACTCCCAGAAGATCGGCGTTCATGCCCTCAACGCTATGGACCTACGTGACGTCAGTGCAGCACCTCCTCCTTCCTTCCTTCTCCTCATCTCACACTTACTCAGGTCTTTTCGAACTCGATATCCAAAAGTTCTTCGGGGGCCATTCCGATCTCGTCATGAACGAAACACTTCAATTCCCCAAAGCCCTGCCGGATAACATCGCTGCAGCCTTTCCCTTCATGAAGAACCTACGAACATGTATGCCTTGTCACAATTCACAGTTTGCGGACCCTGGCGCGAGCTGTTGGAATCCGTATTTCTCGCGCCCGCACTTCAATCTCTAGAGATACGTAATTCCCCGTGGCAAAGCTACGCAGAGATATTTGACACACACGACATCCCAACCCCTTCTTTGCGGGAATTCATCTACCACGCCCCGTTCGCGTTGCTACCCACACAGAAAGACATTGGCCGGCGTGGGATGGTTCCAACGCGCGACGGAACTTTCTATCCTGCACCCCCTGATCCACAGCTGCCGGGCGTCGCTCGAAACCCTTGAGCTTCCAGCAGAACTCTTTCTCGACTTGTTCGATGAAGAGTTCCCCGTCCTTCGCGAGCTTCGCGTCGAAGGGGTCTGGCCCCGGGGACACGACGATGACGAACCTTCTGATGATTCGTGGGTGCGGCTGCTCAGGTTCGCGCCACGCTTACGCGTTTTGAATGTGCGTTTGGTCCCGGGTGATGCAGAGAGGAGGACGTGTCGTCTCGTACATCAGATGCCTGAAGGCATCGATGTAATCGACAGGCTACACTCCATCAGGCTTTCGAATCCTTCTCCGGATGACTTTATCTTTCGCTTACTTCCCTCTACGTTGACGGATCTGTCTCTGACGGCTTATCCAGACCACACGACTACAGCCGATCTCGCGAGATGTTCCCTTCCCAAGGGTATTTTATCGTGCCCTGAGCTGCTGTCCATCTTGAAGACCCTTTCCGTGTCACATCTCAGATCCTTGGCTATCTCGTACAAGTGGGGTTGCCCCCAATCTCAAGAAGAGCTCCTACGGTACATCGCCCGTGCGTTCCCAGGGTTGGACGTGCTCGAGCTGAACCAATACCACACACCCGCTAATATGCAGAAGACATGTATGGTGAGCCAGCCATATCAGAAATTTTTATCCGACCCGTAGCAACAACTAACAAGAGGGGGACGCCTTTTTTTAATATAGAAACAAATCAAGGAAACACTCTCTTCGCTCTCTCGACTGAGATCTCTGCGGTTGAATCTCGGGTACATGCAAACCGGGCAATGGCTCTGCGACGCTACTTGGCGGTACGATAGGGATACGGCGTGGGATGTAGGGGAGGGTTATTCAATCGCTTGTGTGAGGTTTCGTTTTTGGTTATGAAAGCACCGCTGGCGCCTTTTGACCGCCCGTATGGATGGGTATGGACGTGGAAGGACGTACGTGGTGAATCAGTCGGAGACGTATGGCCACTAATCTGCTGGCGTTAATAATATATTATTGGATACTCAGGGTTGTTCTTTGTTCTATTCATATCGTGTGTAATATAGTTTAAAGAAGCATCAAGTGTGATATTAAAGGTCTGTCTTGACTGATGTTATTCCTCTTTGACAGCGGGAAGAAGCTGATGGCAAGATACATGGCGGCGGGCGTAGAATAGGGAAGGGTTGGAGCGTACGTACACTTGGCTAGCTTGAATTGGAAGATTGACTTGCCAGTCATTCAGTAGGCAATGCTTGGTTTTAGTGCTAAGAAAGTGCGCAGCATCTTGACTTTACAGCTGTTTGCATACAGTTTTTTTTTTGTTTTTTGAACTCTTGCATTTAATTAACCGCCTTTGCATACAGCTTGACAGCCAGGGCGTTTTCGTGGATGATGGAAGAAGGCTCGGACTTTGTAATAAACCGTGTTTTGGGGACTTCGAGCGCACAGAGGGCCTCCGAGATCGCCGAAATAGCCATAAACGCGTCTTCAAGTCCGTAAACCATGGCTTATGACCAAGTCCAAATTACTCTCTTCTCTCGCGCAAAACACGTGCTACTTACTGTCAAGCTATATGATACAGTGTATGCAAACAGCTGTAAGTCGCAAGTCTCCACACGACCTTAACGTTTAATCACAAACGGCAGATGCCGAATTCACCTCTTGACTGACTACGACGACGTTCCGAGGCGCCTGACACTATCGTCTCAGCTTACCATAAACCAAGACCAACATCACCTGCACATAATCAAACATCGCCAACCTAGACCTCTGAATATGCCTCCACGTCATCCTGTTACGCATCTATACGCGCTCACTGTTCACGAACATTCCAGATAATCATCACCCAAAAGGGGCCTCTGACTCGCCATAAAACTAAAACTGAAAACGCAATCACAGTAACAGCACCATGTCCGCTTCCTCCAGCGCATTCAGCCAAACCCTGCAATACATCACATCCATTAAACTCGTCGAGCTCGAACGACAGCGCGAAGCATGTACACAATACGTCACCGACACACTTGCACAATCCCAAGGCGCCCCGGACCCCATAACGCGCGTCGGGATACTCATCGAGCGTATCGACGCGTGGACAGGGACTCGGGAATTTGGTTAATACGTCGCTGGATGACTACAAAGCGTACGTGCACCCCACCCACCACTACCACTAACCCACATCTCCATTATGTAGGTACCTCCACCAAGCACGCTCAGATCCCTCCATCACACCCGCCCAAGTCTCCCAATGGGCCGACACCCTCAAGACTCAGCTCCGCCAGGCCGTCACGCGCTACGACTACGCAAAGCTCTTCGGGGACCTCCTCAGCGAATGGCTCCAGAGCGGTGACTCCCTCGCCGTCGCCCCCGACCCCGCCCCCTCGGCATCCGAGCACACTGGCATGCGCCAGGAAAAAGCCGAACAGCAAGACCGCATCCAAGAACTCATATTCACCCCCAAACACGTCGATACCCACGCAATCCAAGCCTACCTCGAAGAGCTCTTCTCCTCCTCTCCGGAGGCTTCCGCCGCTCTGGGGACCCTCCGGAAAGACTCTCAAGGCCCGCGGAGAGACCCTCCTGCGCCAGTCCTATCGACGTCAATGGTATGCGGAAACTCATCAAGTCGCTCATCGCGCGAGACTTGCTATCAGCGGAAAAAGCCGCGACTCTTGGGGGGTTCCTCGATAGTGCTGTGATTATCGAGGAAGTGACGAGTGTGTTGAATATGCAGCTGGCTGGTCTTGACAAGTGGGACTGGCCTGAGGAAGGCGTTGCTGTTGAGATGCGTAGGCACCTCAGTGGAAAGTACAGGCAAGTATCAGTCTATTTATATTTTTGTTTCTGAAAACTGACTCTTTATTGCAGAGCATACATGGACAATGAAATCATGCAAGCCTTGCTCTTCCAGTACATTGGCATCCAATGGAGCACCACATTCAAACAAGCATTCAAAATCAGTCGCCGAGTCGCGCGCGTGGAAAACCGAGACACCCGTGCTTTCTCGAGCTCAGCTCAAGCGGCGGAAACCAGCAGCTCGGGGAGTCTCCGGATGGACCAGTCGGATTCCGAGGCGGGCCTTTACAACACTCCGGCAGTCGGCATCTTCCTGTGAGCATTGAAGCCAAGCGACGAGCGCTACAGCTCGGACAGTTCTTTATGACGCAGCTCCCAGATGAGATGGAGGGCGAGACGGCGTACGATGAGGAGCCCTAGGTCTGGGTCGAAACCAAATCAAGGACTGAACGCGCAGCAAGGTGCTGTTGAGGCTTGTGAGCACAGAGGCGCACCTGAAAAAGACTCTCAAGGGAAGCTGTACCATTATGCGTGCAGATCTGGAGTGGTTCGGACCGTCGTTACCGCACGACTCGATCCTGACGGTGCTCAAGTTTTTCGGGATGTCCGATACGTGGGTCGAGTTCTTCCGGAAATGGCTGGATGCGAAGCTGAGGTTTGGGTCTGATGGTGTACGGGTGCGGTCTCGTGGGGTACCGATTGCACATTCGCTGTCGGTGCTCTGTGGAGAGGCAATTTTGTTTGGGATGGACTTTGCGGTGAACCAGCGGGCAAAGGGGCTGTACGTATACAGTATTTATGACGACTTTTGGTACCAGAGTGATGACGGGGTGCTATGCGCGGACGCGTGGCGGGAGATGAACAAGTACGCGTCGCTTGTCGGGATCACGTTTAATATGAAAAAGACGGGAGGTGTCTGTGTTGGAGCAGAGCTGGAGCCGAGTCTGCCCAAGGGTCGGGTTGGCTGGGGCTTCCTCGTGTTCGAAGGTCGGTTCGTCGTGGACCAGACCGCAGTGGACGTGCACATCCAAGAGCTCCGGCGACAACTCGCGTCAGCCAAGTCTGTGTTTGGCTATGTGAATGCGCTGAACAAGTACCTCGAGTTTTTCCGGCGCAATTTCGCACAGCCTGCACGGTGCTTTGGCCAGGAACACGCGGATGATATCGTGGCTACGTTTGCGCGTATCCAGAGAGAGGTGTTTGCAGAGACAGATGGATCTGTGGTGCGTAAGATTCAGGATATGATCGAGGCGCGGTTTGGAGTGAGGGATATCCCGGCGGGGTGGTGTTTCCTGCCGACGGCGGAGGGCGGGCTGGACGTGGTGAACCCGATTGTGCACGTGCTTACGGTGCGGGATAGTCTGGCTGGAGATCCATCGGGTGTATTTGAGGAGCAAATGAGGCTGGACCGGGACGCGTATGAGCTTGCCAAGACGCGATGGAACGGCGAGACAGAGTTTATGCCGTGGGAAGAGTATATTCTTGGCAGGGAGACGCGTCTGAGTGACTGGGCTGTGGCGTGGGAAGGGCTACAGGCTGTCGGGGAGTGTTGGGGTTATCCTGTCGAGGCGTGGATTGTGGGATTGTATGCGGATGAGATCATGCACCGCTTTGGGGACCTGAAGATTGTGGAGGGGACGCTGATACCCGTGGGAATGTTGAGCGCGTTTAGGAATGCAAAGGTCGCGTGGGATTCATGACGACACAGGTATACGCAGTGTGGCAGTGTACCCAGCGTTATATAAATTCATGTCCACCAACTATGAGCCTCTCCCCACTTCTGAACATCACGACGACGACACTGCAAATCTAAACGCTCAAAAGGCCCAGCTCAAAAAGAAGAAACTGCAAAGGGTCTTGTTCGTAGTCACCAGTCTCTTTTTCGTGCTTGTCTTGTTTGCTTGGAATCGTCGGACGCCTACAATGACAAAGGGCAAATACAACGTTGGCTAGTACGTCCCCTTCTCGTATCTATTATAACCGCCTAAGCATATTCTAGCTTCGTCAACTGGGGCATATACGCACGCAAATACCCGCCCTCTGCCATTCCCACCTCTGACCTCACCCATCTCCTCTACGCCTTTGCCAACATCTCCCCAGACACCGGTACCGTCTCACTCTCAGACCAATGGGCAGACGAGCAGATCCACTACGAAGGTGATAGCTGGAACGACCCTGATGCAAACTCCAAGTACCCTCTTTCCACCTCTCCCTCTTACTGCCCACTAACCACCTTGCAGCCTCTATGGAAACTTCAAAGCCCTCCACCTCCTCAAAAAAGCCAACAGGCACCTCAAACTCCTCCTCAGCATCGGCGGCTGGACCTACAGCCCCAGCATGCACCCCGTCGTCGTCGACCCCTCCAAACGCGCCCAGTTCGTCCGGAGCAGTCTCCAGCTCCTCGAAGACTACGGGCTAGACGGGCTCGACGTCGACTACGAGTACCCCCAGAACGACGCCCAGGCACGGGGCTACGTCGAGCTCCTCCGCGAGCTCCGCGGAGCACTGGACGTCCACGCGCAGGGGAGGGGCGGGTACAGGTTCCTGCTCACCATCGCTGCGCCCTGCGGACCGGACAACTACCACAAGCTCCATGTCCGAGAGATGGACGCGTCGCTGGATCTGTGGAATTTGATGGCGTATGATTTTGCGGGTTCGTGGGACAAGGTTGCGGGCCATCAGGCGAATCTGTATGGGCCGCCGATTAGTGCGTCTCAGGCGGTGGATTTTTACCGGTCCAAGGGTGTGCATCCTGGCAAGATCGTGTTGGGTATCCCGCTTTATGGGAGGTCGTTTATGGGTACGGACGGCCCTGGGTCGGGGTACAGTGGGGTTGGGGAGGGGAGTTGGGAACGCGGTGTGTATGATTATAGGGCGCTGCCTTTACCTGGGAGCTATGTCATGCGGGACGAGCACAAAAAGGCGAGCTGGACGTACGATTATCGTACGCGGGAAATGGTCAGTTTTGATTCGGAAGAGGTGGCTCATTGGAAGGGTCAGTATATCCGGCAGCAAGGCTTGGCGGGTGCGATGTACTGGGAACTTAGTGGTGACAAGAGGCGGTGATGGCAGTCAGAGGGGCGAAGGCGGCAAAGGCAAGGACGTTCAGCCTGGGCAGAGCCTTGGTTGCTGTTGTCAAGCATGCAATGGGTGGACTTGAGATGAACGAGTACAATTGGTTGCATTATAATCGTAGCAAGTTTCCGAATATGAGGAACGGGATGTAATAAAAGGGGAATAATATGCATTGCGAATGTCAATAATAAACAGTCTACTCGTCTGGTACCTCGAGCTCGCCCTCGTTGATGGCGTCGATGATATCATGAGGGGGCTTGCCATCCACTGTGCATCCCACTGACTGGGCGGTACCCAGAATCTCCTTTACACACCCTGAGAGCTCCTTGGCGAGAGATTTGGACTTCATCGTCCGTGCGATATCGACAATCTCGTCAAATGGTATGTTGCCCGAGTGTTTGATGTTTTTCTCCTTCTTCCGGTCACGGGGTGGCTCTATACGGTGGTGAGCATGGCGGAGTTATATAAGAAGGACGACGCACCCTTGAGAGCCTTGATAACGAGGGAAGAAGCAGAGGGAACAACAGAGACGGCTGCTTGCCGATTTTGGATGGTGAGTTGGACGGTTACACGGAGACCCTTCCATGCGCCTGTCGCTTTGGCAATATCTTCACCGACCTTTTTCGGTGACTGCAGAGGGAATGAGTACATTGGTATAATAGAGAGTAAATTGGACAGACTAGACCAAGAGGACCGATTTTTGGTGCGAGAGCAGAGGAAGCACCGACTTCACCACCTGTGGCTCGGAGGTAGATGATCTTGATCTCATTGGGGTCCTAGAACACCGACGTTAGCTAACCAGCATCGACTAACCACCGTTAAGAAATACACACGAATTTGGGAGCCATGGTCCTTGTCAAGTCAATTAATCGACGCCGGCCTCAATTCCCGGCGTCCCACCCAAAAAATAAAGTTGAATCTCCGCTTGAGAACTGTACAGGTGCAAGAGTCGGGCCGCGGGCCGTGTGGTTTCCATTAAGGCAACTCTTCGACATGGGTCGATGAAAGTCGAGCTTCCCGCTGCGTTTGAAGATGCGCCCATCAGCGACCTCGTCGTACTCATAGGTGAGCTCTCACTTACCCCGCCTCCTTCCGCCTCTAACCCCCGCCCCCTCCCAAGCCGACATGCTCGAACGGCTAATGTCCCACAACGACCTGATCGCCCTCAGCCCCCAATCCCTGACGCGCTTCCACTCCCGCTCCGCCCCCTCCATCTCCATCCTCGACTACCTCCTCCGCATCACCCGCTTCATCAACGTCGAGCGCTCCTGCCTCCTCGTCTCCCTCTACTACATCGACGCCATCTGCGCCCGCCACCCCCTCTTCACCCTCTCCTCACTCACCTGCCATCGCTTCCTCATCACCGCCATCGCCGTATCCAGCAAGTGCCTCTGCGATACCTTTTGCACTAACGCGCTGTATGCAAAGGTCGGGGGGATCAGCGTGACGGAGCTTAACATTCTTGAGAGGGAGTTTTTGCAGATGATCGATTGGCGCTTGATGGTAATGTTTTCCCTTTTGTGGCGGATCTTCACTGATCTTTCCCCTGGTTAGTGCACGCGTGAGATCCTATCAGAGTACTACACAAACCTCGTCAGGACAAACACTTTGGGAAAATACGCCATCGCAGACTCCGACTCCACCTCGGACACCCCCGTGCTGCCCCGCAGACCCTCCGTCCCCCCATCCCAACCCAAACGTCCCACCATTGAGCAAAATATGGCTTTTGCGGCTCATCAGAGAGGCGAGGGGTAGAATCAACACACTAATTTATTCATTCATTTTAACATTAAAAGATTTAAAAAGAAGCGAATGATGCATTGTAGAATTTTTGGTGACGAATGTTTCACTGACGTCTTTGATAGGTTCGTAAGGGAGTGGTGCATGCTCCATAACGTAACGCCGATGGTGAAACGGTTATCATGCTTGCCTTCCAAGCAAGCGGTAGGGGTTCGACTCCCCTTCGGCGTAATGCTTATGTTGTATTTATGTTTTGGCCAAGCCCAAAGGGGTACCTCATGGGACCTGGGTTACACGAAATCTCTACTGTAGCCTACATGGGATTGTTTTCATACGACAATTTATTGCTTACTTACCCCTCGGATGACAGGCACATGGCCATCTTTTCTACATTTCTATGTTCGCATCTCTATACATCTTCTTTATCTCAGGAGCTGTGATCCATCTGGAAATATTGTGTGACTACTCTGTAAATAGAATATACATCAAGTTGTAGTGAACTATTATTCTTACCTGGTGGCGATAGGTAAGTTATCTCAAGCAAGGGGAGGTAACTTACCGATAAGTAACCTCGGTATCAAAACCTAGGTTTCGTGCGCTACCCTAGCCTGAGGTACGTATGAAGGCTAATATTTTTGGAAAACAGTGCACATATCTCTTATGGATACCTTTCGTACAGAATTCTCCTTCAGAATGTATTGGCTCATTTGTTGGGCACACAAGAACCACACAGTGAGTTTACTTAAACCAGTACGATACACGCATGGTACCTGTACATGTGTGATGATCATGAATCTTCCCCCCTTCTTGGAAGCAAATCCCATGGCCCTGAAAAAAGAAAAGGCGTTATTGTATGTGTGGCGACTTGTGCTCGATCGCTCTCAATGTCATTTCCAAGTCGGCAGCTTTACCGGTACCTCTAGGCCGGAACTGCGGATCCAGGTCCAGGTCCAAGTCTCCATAAATATCTCTTGCGGACCCAGCCACACGATAATCGCACAGCGCCACGCTCCCGTCTCTCGCTCTTAGCAACCGGTCTCATTAGAAGCAACAACACACGCGCATCATTAACAAACACAACCCCCCCCCCCCCCCCCCCCCTCCACACTCCTAGCATTAAATATCCCTTACTAGTACCTCGTAATAATTGCACAAAAGATGAAGAAAACTATACTCTTGATGGATGGATGACCGACGGGTTAACGACTTTTGCAACAACAAACAAAAAAGAGAACATGTGAAGAAATGTAAAAAAAAAGGGAAGAAAAAGATCAGTGATGTGTTGTGTGTGTGTGGTGTGTACGCGTAGAGAACATGGCGTCTAAGAAAAACAAAAAGTCCTGTGTTGTGTTTGCCGGTTATGATACACAGGGCGTGGGGTGGAAGAGAAAACCGTGACGCGCGTCCACGCACGCACCTACTATCCATATTACACATTACCACCCCCGCCCCCTACCGCCTCAGTGCACTCAACATCTTCGCCAGAGCATTGATCTGTCCTCGCTGCACCTTCTTCGGATACCCGTCTTCGTCACCAGAGCCATCTCCAAGTCCAAGAGACGTTGTGCTCGTCGTCGCATCTCGCCGCCGGTCCTCGGAGATCGTGTCCAAGTGCACGTCTTTGGGTTTCCGAGATCGTTGCTTTCGCGGAGGCGGCGAACCAAACAAATCTCCTTCAGGGTTAGGATATTGTCCACGAGGCAACTGGTCCAGTTCCCATGGCACGCCATCCATGACTGTTAATAAATAGCCTTGCTTAGCTTCGTTAGACAGATAGACAACAGATATACTCACTCTTGACGTTCTTGGGAACACCTTGCGGAAGATAAGTAGACGAATGCGAAGACGGCGGTGGCTGACCCTTGCCCGTCCTCCAACTCGTCGCAGACACACTCGTCGCAGTAGTAGACACACTCCTCATGCTCGCATTGCTATACCTCGTAAACGCACTCGTTGACGTACCAGCACTTGAACTCGTCGTGCTCATCGAATTCCGCCAGTTACCAGACGTAATCGAACTTGAGCTAGACGCCAAAGGTCGTCCGCTACGTGTGCTGTTCGGCGAGACACCCCGGTTCGAGCGGCCACCAGTCGTATCGTGCACCCAGCGTTCGATGCTCGGATTCGGAGACAGGCCCTGATGATGGGAAAGAGGTGGCGGGTTCGGACTCCGGCTCGGTTGCGAGCCGTGCGGAGACCGCGATCCACGCGCACGGCGGCCCCTGCCCCACGGTTCGTCCGATACCGACGTCGAATGCACGACAGGTGCGTCCAGACTCATGATCAACGACGTCACGTTGCTCGCTGTCGCCGACATTGGCGCTACACTCACATCCATAGATTTCAGCGATGGCACAGACGGCTCTTCAAGCGGTGACATCCGTCCATTAGACGCAGCAGAGGCGGCCAGATTCGTTGAGCTCGCTTTGCCAAAGCTCAACTTCCACTTGGACGGCTTCTTCACAGGTACATGGAGCGACGATGTCGACGTCGACACATGCACGCTGTTCGGCGGAGGCGGTATGGCCGGCGACGGCGGTTGCGGCGGTGCGGCATTAGGTCTATGTTTCGACAGTAAGGGAGTGGGCAATGCATACATCGAGACGGGCTCGTACGGGGTACTGCGCGAGCGACGACTCGACGTATCAGAAGTCTTGGACTTGTGGGACGAGGTCACAGACGGCGCTTTTGAGGCTTTGCTGATCTCTCTTGCCAGAGACTGAGATGCGACCGCGAGGGTCGCCAATGTGTCGTCTTTCGGACTGGGCGTCGTCGGCGTCGCCGCAGTCGCTCCCTTACCCTTTCGTGCCCCACGCTTCCGCCTCTTGTTGGTTGACGTCGAGCGTGAGGTCATCAAGATACCTTGCACACTAACTTGCTCCGTTTCTTCTTGTTCTTCGACTTCTTGATCGATGACCGTCGATAACTCGGAAGCCTCCGGTCTCTCATATGCAGGCTCAAGTGACGGAGCGCGTGAGAGCGACCGGATGGGTATGGCAGGTGTCCGTATGGACGATGGGGCATTGGAGGCCTGTCTAGACGTTGGGCGGTGTGATGGTGGTACAGAGGAGGAAATGGGGTGCCCCTGGGTAGAGCTAATAGAGACACCACGTTGGTGGGACGGCGTGGTATGGGTCCCAAGAAGGTCCGGAAGATCTTTTGCCCATGATCCAAAGTCAGCAGCTGAGATGCGTTTTGAATCATCACCAGAATCATCAAGAACGTTGAAAACTCGGTTGGCAAGCATCTCCGCAACTGGGCGTGTCATGCCCGTGAACCGTTGCATAAAGAAATTGACCGGGGATTGTCGGAAAATGTCAAAGGAATTACAGGCTCCTTGAGAGGTGTCTGTCCAGGGGTTATAATGATACAACCTAGGAAGCTCGGTTAAGCGCTGAAAGAAAATAAACAAATCACACCGGCGTACATGTTGATGAGCACGATGCCTAACGACCAAACATCAGCAGCTCGGGGGCGATACGTAGGGGCTACATTATTTCTGCATTCTAAAAATGAAATTTGAATCAAAGATGATCAAAAATCAGAGTTGACCGACATACCATAACTCATGTAAGGCGCACTGCCGCAATCCATGTCCGACGATTCGACATCAGTGGTCGACAGGCCAAAATCAGTGAGCTTGACGATGACTTTGCGTTCCTGTCGGCCATCGCTTGTCGTAGTCCAACCATCGGTGACGATAAAGTTTTCTGGCTTAATGTCGCGATGGTAGACTTGTTGCGCATGGCATGCGGCTACAGCATCACACATCTGGGAGAACATAGATGATATGAGGCGAAGGCGCGTTCGGGAAAGGAGTTGAGAAGGATGCAGGTTTGAAAGTAGACTAGGAGTAGGGGGTGTTCGTGATGACGTAGAGGAAGGATCAGTACAGGTTGGAGAATCGGCTTCATAATGATCGCGGGCTTGTTCGAGAAAATAAAATAGGTCTTCACCAGGGACATACTCCAGGAGAAGGAGAAGGAAAGAAGAAGTTTCAAAAGTGCGATAGAGGGTGACAATGTTGGGATGCGAAGCGAGGGACTGGTGAATAGTCGCCTAAAAAGACAAGTTGAACCAACCAGTGAGAGCGCAAGAAAGACGTAACGTACCTCTGACATCTGTGCTGCTAGTGCCTCCTCGTCGAGGTTCGCTTTAGATAAGCACTTGATGGCAAATTCGCGCCCATAGACAGTTGACGGATTGCGGGGAGCGGACAAATCATCAATATCCATTGTACCGACGGTCGTGGGGTGGCCATCCTCAGAGGGCGGAGGACGATAAAGGACTTCTCGCACCAGATAAACGACTGCGTAACTGCCAGCGCCGAGACGGCGGACGACTTCAAACTCTTGGGCAGGCTCCTCGACATTGGGAGAGTCTGGAGGCCCGGAAGGGTTTGCACCGATAGAGACAAGCCGAACAACTTGACCCTGAAGCATGGCGCCTACACCGACGGCATCGCCCGGAAAAAGGACGTCACCAATGGTGGAGGAAGGACGTGAGCTGGCTGGGGATTTTGAAGAGGCAGAACGGGGAACGGGGACAGCGATAGAAGCCTGCCGAGAAGAGATATGCAGGTTCCGAGGGAGCTTTGGGGAAGCGGTAGTAGGAGAAGGGGTAGGATTAGGACGAGAAGAAAAGAAATTAGGAAGAGGAGGAGGTTGACCAGTATATTGAGGCGTCACAAACGCATCTTTGTAGACACGTTTGGTGGTCAAGGGACGGGGTTCATTACGGGTATTGTCACCATTGGAGCTGGCGAAGTGGTGATGGTCTGTGGCAACTGAACGTTTGACCTTGGGCGACGAAAGCGGACGAAGAACAGGATACTGCAACATGAGACTGAAGAGACCTTGAATCTCTAGGGAATCTCAATCAAGAGATGGCGAAAAGGCGAATCGCTTGCAATCCGTTCAGACGAGACCGGCTAATGTCTGAGCAAGTCAAGGCTGCAGAACATGCAGAAGATAAAGGCGACGTCGTCTGGGCTCCAGCAAGACCGTCAACGGGGGGTGAACGACGTCCCGTCGCCGTCGTGCGGTGGGAGTAATGACCTGAGAGTGAACCTGGCGGGGCTTGAATTAGTGCTGTGCAATAGGCGAGTCAAAGAGTACGAAATCGTAAAAGGCGGTTTATAGGCCTCGACAGCGGCCGCAACGACGAGCACGAAAGAGAGAGAGAAAGTGGCAAAGAAAGTAATACGTACGGGCAGAAGAGAGACGATGAGGGAGTAGAAGAAAGAGGAAAGGTGCAGATGGACCAGATGCTATGTGACCACATGGACGGGCGGCTTCTAAGCATGCAGCCACATGTGCCCATATGTTACTCAACGATCGTACGGTGCCAAGGGTAGATTCAATACAAACAGGTGCTGCTCGCGAGGTACTGAATCTATACTCTACTGTCTCTTAGTATTTCTTCCCATTTCTCTCTATATCCCCCCTGCAGCATTATCCCGCCGGCCTTTTTCCCTTTACCGTGCTGCAACAGCCATTTAGCCCATTCCACGGTCGCTGTTTCTCCATCTTTTCTTCGCCAGACTTGGTACACTTCTTCCAGCATCTCTTCTTTCCCAGCTTTCGCCTCGAGCCTAAATACTTCTCCCCATATTCTGCCTGTCGTGAGATAAGCATCGTCCATATGGCGTACTCTGTCCCACTCCGAACGTTTCGTCTGCTGATCCGAACTCTGCCCGCTTTTCGGCACTGTTCGGTCCTTATACAGTACCGTCACATACCTCATCAGTATCATCTCGTGCACGGCAAGTAAGCCCATGCCCATGCTCTCCTTAGCCAGGCCCTGTAATGTACCTCAGTCAATATCGTGGGACATATGGCAACTTCCATGCAATCGCTACTTGCCTCGTGAAGCTTGGCCAGGTGCTCCATACTGATCGCACCACAGTTCTCAAGTCCCCACTGCCACACCGACGCAATTTCGTCTTCCGATCCTGCCACTGATCGTCGTGCTTCCTCCCACGCTTTTTCGACTGTTTCCTGGCTTCTGTACTGCTTCTCAACTGCTAGCCGTTCTAGCCACACGCTAGCCGCGAGTGGACACCGGGATGTGTACTTTCGGGCCTTTTCAACAACTCTGGATCCCCCGGCGCCGTGGCCTAAAACTCTAATATGAACCGATAAGAGCGATGGAGATTTCCTGTGTCCGCTGATTACTCTTTCCAGGGACCCGATAAGATACAATTTCTGAGATTCAACGTTAGCTTCATCACGAGTGCTGTTGAACCCGAGTGGAACATACCAAATTATCATCAATCGCCGCCTTGCACCATTGTTCAATAAAATTACCATATACTTCGAGCACCCCTTCTTCCCCGCCATCAGTCGCGCCCATCAGCATCTCATTCGCTTTACGTATTCCTTCCACCAGCTCGCAGCCTGCCATGTCGGATCGTAAGAATCTGCTGGCAAGTAATTTCATACTGCGTGGGTGCCCATGCAATCGCTGCCGTAACAGATCATCTAGGTGTGCTAGAAGTGAATCCCGCAAGCTTGGTTGAACCGGATACTGCGCTATCACATCGTTCAATGATTCGAACAGTTCAATCTTGGGTAATGCTTCAATGCTGTTTTAGAACAAGTGCCAGAAAAAACGGACATTATGTACTCACCTTCAATTGCATTAGAGATAACAGATTTAACAATTGCTCCCTTCATGATCTCTTTTCGTGCTTCTTCTCCTTCGTCTTTCTCCGCATCATCGTCGACCTCGATTGGAATAACATCATCCTGACCTCGAAACTCGTCGATCATCAGGGCCCTGTCTCTTTCAGCTGCCGTTTTGTCATCTTCTTCGATACCAAGCACGTCCCATCGCCTCCGCAAGCTCTCAATGAACCCCAATTCCATTTTCACATACTCTCGCCACATGTCAACGCTATCGGAATTTAGCCGTATGCCGCGTTGAAGTAGTGCACGAGCTGCAGACGGAGAGAGATGTGAAAGTTCATGGGACGCTGCAAGGATATATAACGCAGGGGTATTTGGATGCAATTGTAAAGCCCTACACCTGATCAGGTCTCATGTAAAGAGAAACGTAATACAAGAGACGTACCTTGCAGTTACGCGCCCGACGAGCGTGCGTGCTCCCTCCCGTTTGGCGAGCTCGATATACTGTATCCACAGACCCACGTCAGACCTGAATCGTTTGACAGCGCGTTCAAATATGTGAAACTGCCGTCGGACGAGAGCATAGTCGGATATTGTAGCCGGTGAACGGGGCAGATCTATCAGTCCAGGTCAATAATCACATTCGTGCGACCGCCTGGTTACTCACTGAGTCGTTCGGCCCGTTTTCTTCTCAGTTGTTCGAGGCCCATTTCATAGGCAGCATACCGCAGGAAGTCTGCCTTTTTAGCGACTCGTCGGACCAAGGAGGTCTCAAAAGCGGTGCGTTTTTTCACTATGAGTTTCGTCTCTTTCTGTAACAGAGCAATGCTGTATCGTTGAAAAATTCTTCTTGCTAAAGAATCCGCTTGGATGGCGTAGGTGTACTTACGAGAGTGAACAAATTTTTTTCGACGAGATCCTTCAGCTCTGCGAGCATCTATAAAAAAATGTTCTCATCAATCCTTTTTTTTCATTTTTTCTGAGAGCAAAGATAAAATACCTGCTCCTGCTGGAACTGGACCCTCTCCATTGTGACAGGTAATGTGATTTGGCGAGGAACGGTGGGTAGACGTGAATGTGTCAGAAAGAGGTAATGGTCGTTCGGATCAAGGTTATCAGCTGAGCCAATTGGCGTTTCCAAGTTGAGAACCACCACCATCACCCATGCCACCAGCCAAAAGCCATCGGGTGCATTCTACGAGCAATCTTCGCTCACATTCACGCTCTTCCTCGTCAACCAAGCTAGCAGGAAATCTGCAAGTCACCCAGAAGGATTTTGTACAGCCCAAAGGGCTTGAAAAAACGAAGAAAATCAGTCATGAGGTGTGTACATCTGCCTTCTATCGTATCTATCATTTGTCTAATCTCTTCTTTATCGGATAGCATGCTAGAACGACCTTGCCACTTCCACGTACGAGCAGCGCAGTTCGAGTTGAAGCCAGAGAACGGGAGCACCAAACAGTGCCTCCATCGAAACGTCAGCCTCCCCCAGCAACGACAACGACGAGCAAAGCCAACGGGTCCAAGTTGAAAGGGGGCTTCACAATTAGTGCTGATTCTGAGGACGACGACGACGCATGGGTGTCCAGTGAAGCTGATACGTCCACTGAATCAGTGAACCTGACCCGTGAATCGGATCCAGATAGCGATACAGAGAACGCTTCTACACCCGTTGCCCGCGAATCATCCATGCCACGCCTAACGAAACGGACTCCATCGACACAGAGCGCTACTTCTAAACGATCCGGTTCGGAAACAGGCTTATCTAGGATAAACACAGCGAGGCCAGCGGATGCAAACGGATCGAACAAGGGCGCTGCTCAAAGGAACGGTGCGCCTCGGTTGGAGCGAGCAGGGTCACAGCGTCGAGTCCCGCAGGTTTTCAAAGCTCCTCCAACGCCCGTCACCTCTCCTCCAGTGTCTGCCGACCCAAATCATCATGATTCACGTCTGGACGGACCTTCTACACAGCCCCAGTCTCAACTTCTTACACCTCCAGAACCAGTGCCAAAAATCAATGGCAATATTCTTTCTAAGATGCAGCCGCCACCCACATTCTCACCCAACCAGAGTCGCAATTACCCAGAGTCGTCGTATCAGACAAATGCTATTTCTAATCCTTCATATAACTTCACTTCCCCAGACGAGACGTCCAGGCAGAATCAAGCACTCAGACACGTCATTGCACCAGGTAGCGACACGGATGCCAGAACAATGCCTCATCATTTCCAGAAAATCAACGGCTCACCGATTTTGCACCGCGGCCCGCCCCCCGGCTACGTGCAACAAAGGAACGATAGGCAACCTCGCTATCTCGATGATTGTCGCTTGATGGATCCTCCAGCAGCTGCTCGCTTTGCCGAAGCTATAGCAGCTCAGGACCAGGATCCAGCTGAGCTCGCTGCTCTTCTGTCCAAGCCTAGTTCACCCAATGTCACAGAAAGCAGGCTATATACAAGACCCGGAAAGAGTCCTTCAAAGTCAACCGTTAGGGCAGTCTCAGAACAAGTTCAGGGCCAAATCGATAACTCCTCTGACAATCGTCGACATAGTTCCGCCATTGTCCCAAGTGAATCTGCCAGCGGTGCGACGTCTCCCCGTTCCAAGCACCATTCCCGGCCCTCCTCTGTTTATTCTGTTTCTAGCAAACATCTCCGGCCTCATCCTTTGATACGAGGTCAATCCCATGGCCCATCGGGTATACAGCCCAAGCGAGCACCGTTGGCGCCTTTGACCGTCACATCCGATCCTACTTCCCAGCTCTCTACCTCTGTCCCTAATGACAGTAGCCTGAGCAACCTCACCGATAGGCATGTGCCAACGTCTCCAGTGGCTTCATTGACCGCTCCTCCCTCTCCTAACGCACCTCTCGCGACCCAATCGCCATTCCGTAGGTCCTCAGTATCCTCAGCTCGAAGTGTATCCACTCTACCCGTCACGACATCTGTTAAAGAGGCACGAATAAAACCTGACAGGCATCGGACACTGTCTACCATCTCATCGTCATCCTCCATAGCTGCCCTTTCCTCTTTGGTTCATCTTCCTGTTACCACATCTCATCGGATATCACTCTTCCCTCCCATTGATGAAGATGTTGGGAAGATTCATTCTCTTCTTCCTCCGCCTTATGCGGAGAACCATCTTCAATTTTTGGCCCACCGATCCCCATTAAGGGCGTCTTACGATCGGGTGATGCGAGCCAAGGCAGCAGCAACAGCAGGACGCTAGCTGTAGTATTTCCAATCTTGCATTTTGATTCCCCCGTCGAGCGCTACCCTGTCTTAGGTATTGGACATTTTACATTATTGTACTTCTAAAGCAATTGTGCGGTTCTTTGTTTATCGTGTATTGCATAATTATTATTGCAGCTATGATGGGACACAATATCGTTATGTTAATCAAATATTCCAGTAACGAACATTGATTGACATTTCACTAGTATCCAAACGTCGCTCAGGACGAGCCGGATGCACTTGCCCAGATACGCCCTGGCAGACCGAATGTCCCACCACGCCGACATACTTCTTCCAATAGATCCAGTTTTATATCCACTCCCATAGCACCATTGACTTCAACACCAATCCCTCTAGGTTTCGACTCGTCGTAAGTTATGTTGATTCCCACTGAACCAGAGATGGGTGGGCGCTCGGGAGCCACCATGAAGATTCTTGGCCGTTGGTCATTAACGACACTCATACCATCCATATTTTCCCCGTTAAACCGGCTCTGCAGGAGAAAAACGTTGACAGGAATTTTGCGTGGCACATTTGTACCGCTGAGAACGGCTAGTAGGTCTTCTTCCGTAGGTTCTGTGTCGTCCGATAATACATCAGTTTCAGAAGGAAGACCTTCTGCCGTCCATTTGCAGCCTAACAAGATTTCGTTCAGCCAGCATTGCTCTCGAACAATCTACAGACAGATGTCAGCCCATAATAATGCAAATTGTGCTTATGATAATTACCTCCAACACACCCCAGGCTTCCTTCATGCTATGAACAGGTACCCTTTCCAACACAAAACCAGGTTCTTCTGGCGCAGTTAGCCGCAACTGCAAGGGAGGATGGGCGGAAGATGGGGATCGCTAAAAAAACAGACTGAGAAAAAAAAAACACGTCTACAGGCTTCTTGCACGTACGTAGATGGCAGTATAACGCTCTGGTGACACCGGACTCGAAGGGTCTGCACTAGAAGGGTTGAACTTCACATAGTCAGAACGGATAGCGTCGAGAGGATATGGAAAGCCTACTAAAATGTCCACCCAGCTGCCCGTACCGAATGACATTATGTTGTCAAGCTGGTCTATACTGCTAAGAGGGTTGACAACAAGCTCTATCTCCCGCATCCTTGACTGGCTCATTACAACTCCGGGGCGTGAGCCACCTTGAGTGAAATCAAGAATCCAGGAAGGCTTCGTGAACGGTTCGCCATCTATGTCCAAAGGCGAATCCAATGTCTGTGGAAATGTATGCTCCAGTTCTATACCGCCGGGCACAAGGGGAAAGACCGGTCGCGCATTCAATGCAGGCATGGACACAGAAGCAGATGAGTGGAAATCTGGTTCAGGGGAGAGTGTGAGTGTGGCTATGGCGACACCAGCCTGGGGTCGAGATGATAGAAACGTTCGTATTCGGGACAAGGGAATGTCAAGTTGCGGTAGATGTAGTGGGGGATCCGTGGCGATGTCGTCCGACGATTGACGAAGGAGTCGCAAATACGAGGCCGGAGAAAGATGTATCAAGAAAGATATGCAGGGAGACATCAGATAAGGAAGTGGTAGCGCATGCGAACGAAGCAAGAAAATGTCAAGGGGTGCAGTTTGCATCAACGACCTGTATACATAACTCAAGTAAGGTCGCGACATCGGTGAAGCGATACTCACGAAGAAACCGCAAGTGCCTCTGCCTTAGCAAAATCCTCCAAGACATGACAGAGTTGATCTACATCAACGAACCACCTGATACCTCCGTCATCTTTTCTGTTCGCAAGCCTGTCAAGCATAACCAGGTAGCGAAGATGATCGTTAACAACCGTCCCCAGCCTCGCTGCCTCCAGAGGATTCACGTCGGCCTCAGACATCTGTACGGCATCGCAGAAGGCTGACATGCTTGTCGCCAGAAACGCGTCCAAGGATGCTGAGCCGGCAGTGTCGAAGTTTGCATAAGACGTCTTGACATTCAAAACCTTGATGGAAGGGAGACGGCCTGACCGATTCACAGAGAATTCGACATCTACCACCAAGACCTTCCCACCCAAGACTAAACTGACAGTGCCTTCACCAATTTCGTCCTTAAACGTCTCCATGCCCACGGAAGTCCCCCATGCCTCAAATCGTGAAATGCACCAATCCACCAAGGCTGCCCGGTCCAAGGGTATGTCTTCGCCGTACTTGACACCCGTCCTCTTTTTCAGCGCATCGACAATTTGGTGGACATTGAGGTCTGACTGATCAATTGGTCAGTGATCGAACGAAGCAAAACTAAGGACCGACCAGGTGAAGAGAATGGGACGCATTTGCATGTTCTTTCAATCGCGAGATGAGCTTCGGTTCCGTGAAATTCACTGAGCTGTAAATATCCAGCGAGTTGGATAGCTGGCTCGTGGCTTGGATTATGTCTTGCAGGACATTGCCAGAGGACCCGGCAGAAGACGCAAATTGATGTGTCGCATGAGAAACAGAGTCACGACTTTGAATTTTCTGAATCGTAGAGAGTAATGTCTGTGGCAGACTTCCTAAAGTAGAGTTATTCATGGAGGCAGGATAGAAGAGGTGATCGTCGGCGTTTAAGAACGCGCACACGTGCTCCAACCAGTCGGACAGCAGTTCAGCCCAAGTTCTCTTTGAAGATATACAGTATGAAAGTCATCACTTCATGCGCTCATGCTTATATACGTCGGAGTCCAGACGCTCCTGACAAATTACAATTGCTTGTGCAGACTTGAGCGTAAACTAAGTAGTATAGTGATTACTACTTCCGCAACGTATAATCATCAGTCACTACAAGAAACAAAAGGCGATGAAGTCGCTAGCTACAGCTAGTCGTCCGATTCATGATACTGGAGGCGAGTATCCTTGGCTTCATATTGAGGAAGTATTAACACAGGACACCCGTCCAAATCGTCCCAATTCATGCGGAATCGACGCTTAGGGTTGTGGTCGATTTTCCTGAAAAGACGTATATCCATTCCTATGGGCCTCCCGACGGTGGTCATTCTGTCTGGCATTAGGATGTCAAAGTCAGAATACTTTTTAATCGAGAGTTCCTTGACATCAGCATGGGAGAAGAACGTCTTGCTGGACATTTCGATAGATTCGTAAGGTAGTGTCATGATCTCGCGTTCAGTTAAACCATAAGAACGTTTAGCTAGGAGACTGAATCAATCTCAAGATATGTCGCGTCAAAAGACGATGCCATACCATCACTTTTGTACATTCCCTGAGGGAGAAATCAGAATTCGTATCTATTGATCAATTCATAGGCTTACCAAAGTTCCCGTAGGCCACTTGAAGTCGTGAGGGCCTTTCCAGGGTAAGGGAAGGGAATTTTCCCATTCCCTTTTGGCGGTACTTTTCGCCTTGCGAAGAGTAGTCTGAAGATCAGCTTCTCTCTTCTCCTCTTCAGTCATTTCTGATCTACGCTTCTTGGGCGACTTTTTCATCGGAGAGCTGAAGGTGGGATACGAGCTGTATGCACATCGAAAACGTCGGTGAGGAGGCATTGTGCTGCCTTTCTGCTGGTTCTGAGTGGTGGTTAAAATAACTGTAACACTAGAGAAGTTGGGGTTCAACGACGACAGGTGCGAGTGGCAGTTAATCACATCTAACAAGGAAGACAGGAAGATTTAGGAGAGTTTCAGGCGCCAGTAGGTATAAATACAAAAATGAGCGGTCCAAGCGTGATTTGTCCCTTTTGGCTACAACAAAGAATAGGACAATGAAGCTTAGACGTGTCTCTCATCATTAAGTTATTGTTGTGCGATTTTAAGCTCCACATCACGCTGATCCGCCCGACAACTGGTCGCCGCAGTGGGATTCTCCTACGCATGTACTTACCTTCTGCTTCATTTCCGAGGATTTGTCGTAGTGTATAAGCCTGTACGTCTTCATTAGTTTCATGTCCCGTCTGAAACAGAGGCACCCATTTTCTGCTGCTCCGAGTAGCCCTGCTCCCCTAATTAGAACAGTTATTCACTGCGAGTTCGACACCTTTTTGGTTCAGAAATGCCACTTTACCATGGGATTTTGCGATTATGGCTGTCGGATTCGAGTTTCTTGATGCGAATTTTATCACTGCAAACAGCTTGAACACTCTTGAACATCCGAAGACGATCCAAAGAAGGCTATCTCCGTCACGATACTATAGTGACTCCAAGCACAGAGTGGCAAGTTACAACCAAGCGAGGTAATGCAACGAGGCTGATCGTATTTCTCGAAAAATAAGATCGGCATTCACCAAGCTGGATGACAGATTCGTTGTATCCGAGTATTTGGCTTACTGTGGCTGTCAGTGGGATGAGAAGACGCGTCGCGACCCATGACGTCACGTGTATTGCCCCTTACCTTGCTCAACAACCACCACCACGAGCCCTCCGCATATATAACTCAAAAATGGTATGCATGTCACATTTATCGCGACTTTTTTCAGTGTAATCTTTCTACAGGCTCCCAGAGGCCTCTCAGCCGAAGAGAAACGCGTCAAATTGCTAGAAATATTTCATGAAACTGTAAGCCAGACTATCCCTGATCAGCACCTCGGTAGTGACATTCGTAACATAGAAAGACTTCTATCAGGTTAATCCCTTTTCGTTTTCTGTCGAATATCCTGAAAACGAAGACCTCTCAGCTAAAAGAGCTCGAGAAGCTCGGCCCAAAAATGAAGGGAATAGGTTTGTCACCGGGCAAGGCTCTTGCTAGTATCGTTAACCATTAGCCCGAAGTTTCTCAGTCTGTAAAGGAAGTCCTACAGTCACTCGTTGACGACGGGCTAGTACAAGGCGATAAAATTGGCTCTTCGAATTGTGTGTCGGCAATAAATCGTTCCCTTGTCAACGTTGTTCATCCCTGCTCGCAGTTTTCTGGAGCTTTCCATCCCAGCAAGGCGCACTGGTAGCTCTCAGCATCTCCTAAACTCTTGCCTCTTGCTGAGACCACGTTGTTAGATTCAAGGCCGGCTCAAGGCAGCTAACGAGCAGCGTACAATAAACCAGGCCCAGCTGGACGAGATCAAGACCTCCATTCAGTCCGAAAAGGATCTGCGTATAGAATCTGTGAGAAAGAGATGCATATAATGGCTTTATCATTGACTATGCGTATCATAGGAATCACGTACGAACTCTTTGGAGAAGCTCGTGCTTTTGAAGAAGGAATTATGCAAACTGGACGACGAACTCGGTGCATACGGAGCATGCGATCCCGTGAAACTGGAAGAAACCAAACGCGGTATTACTTTAGCCAGAGAAGCTGCTATTCGTTGGACCGGTACGAATTATCGTCACTCCTTCTGAGCCTTTGGCACTTACCCACGAGGTAAGACAATTACAGTGTCCTTATGTCTTACTTTCTTCGACAGTCTCTTGTGGAATCTAGTGAGATTAAACGGTACCTTGGTGTAGATGATGAATATGAGGATATATGCTAGCTTTTATTGGACTCACCTTGTCGAATTCCACCCGTGCTTTTGCCCTTGCGATGTGTCATCCTTTCAATGCTCATATATGTAGATTGTCACCAGTTGCTCCGCATTAACGTGTACAGTAATAAAGCCTAGTTCGATAGCATGTTAGCAAACAATTCGGCCTCACGGAATATGCCCAAGTTTCCCTTCAGCCCATGGCTTATCCAGTCCATCTGGCCAGACTACATCGATCGCTCTTGTTTGCGGTGATATTTGCCTCGATAAGACCCAAACAGTGCAGAGCGTCTCTAGAAGCCAACCTATCTATACCAAGTATCTGATCCATTAAGACCGCAAAGATGGTCGAGCTTAGGGTCGGAAGTGAAGGCCCGTCAAGGACCGTGCCTGGCATGATTCCATAATGTCTAATACAGTTACGGCCCAGAGGGTGTTCCAGGGACAGATGATATATCTGTTTACGTCAGACTTGGAGGCTAGCGCTCAAAGGCCAAGCGAAGTTCTTCAAAATACATGGCATATATTGCGGTTTTACGAAACAAATATCGTCTAACAGCATTATCAGCTGGCTGCCAAGTAGTAAAAGAGGGAAAGCCTGGGCTTGCCTCTGTGTCTTTTGCTACCTGAAAATTACTGTCCGTTTAATCTTGGCACAGAAGTAAACGCTCATTGGCAGGATAATGCGCAGCGGCAGGCTAATTCACATGAACAGATACTGCTGTTCTCTTCGGTCGATTCAGCCCACGGTGGGACCAGATATCGTTAGGATTTTTGGACCTGTAGCACGATAGGCGGACGAAACCTAAGAGAGACAGATGCAGCTACAGTTTTCCCTAGATTCTTAACAAGAACCACGTCGAGTCGAACCGAGCAGCAGCAATCATCACAAAGGCCTTTCGGCGTGTGGCGTTCTATGTATATTTCGTCCTTCGTCATGATGGCAAGCGGAGACAAATGGAAGGATGAAGTACAGGTGAATTGTCGCAGGTAAAAGTGATGTTTCTAGTTCAACCGCCCTCGTGCTGTTGCCGATCCTCGCGTGGTCTGGATATAATTATATCAATTGTCAGTGACAGCATGAAATATCACTGGAAAAACATGAAAGTTCGTACCTACTTATCGTCATCGAAGGTAGAAGCCGATAATGGACGCATGACACGGTGGCGGCGGTTGCGAACGCGGCGTCGACGCATATCTATGCCCGCTAACTGCGGAAAACTATATAGAAAGAGAAAGGAAGCAACGACACGCCGACGTAGAGATGGACGCGTTCTGATGCAGAAACTACTCGCAGCATCCGTCTTGAAGAGACATGCGGCTTTGCATAGCCTGCTCCAGCATGGCTCGGACTAGAAACGCCGACTTAGTATCGGTTGTTCAATTCATTATTTCACCTTAAAGCACGAACAACCTCCGCTGAATGCGCCGGATCCAGGGACATTAGAATTGAAGGTCCAGCGCATTTCTAGCCTCGATTAGAAGGCGGGCTCCAGAAGAAGTAAACTGTATGCCTTACTATAAAAGGATGAGCAAGGCCAACAATAATCACATTCTGATATTTCCTCATATCTGCGTCCTGCTTGAGCGTTGACCGTCACGATGGTGTGGAATCAGCGTGAACAAAAAATACCACTCGCCATGCGTCTGTATACACTTTTAGCTTCAGGTACTCAAAAGGCACCGAGTACAGTAAGCGAGAATAAATTTAAACGTCCAATGATCCTGTACGGAGATCAGAACCGTGTTGTGTTTAAATTTTTTTCCGCATTCGCGAGAAGATAAACACACGCGGGAAACAGCATCCAAAGACAACAGAAGTTTCGCCCGGTAAACCCTACCGTAGTCAAAGGAGAGAGCTAGCGGTGAGCCTCCGAGAGCATTTTCCGTCCGAGTTGACACGAGCCTAATATCATGACCCGTTTTACGGACAGAGCCATAAGGTAGTTAAATCCGGCTTAACGCCAATACGGAAGATAGGGAGGTGTCGAGTGTCTTCTCGCTAAAGATAGTATCTTGGATGGGTCATCAGGTGAAAAAGTACAAAAGAAAGAGGTCATGGATTGATTCGGCGGCCAAAGCCAGACCCACGATTTGTGCCTGGACGGAGATATGCTTCGTATGTGGCGAAAAATAGACCTTGTCGAAACTGATAGAGAACCAAAAAAAGCAAAACATACGATTTTTCTGTCGCCTAGTTTTCGGGGGAAAAGCAAGAAGGAAAGACGGAAAGACGAGACAACAGCCGAAAATCCACGTTGATACAGATAGCGCCAGGACACCGACAAGTGATACATAGAAAACGGATAATAATGCCGGAGAGGCTAAGATATGTGTGAACAAGGGGATAGAAATAGAAGAAATAAAGAGTAGGGTACCGTAGAAGAGGCGTCAACTGATCACGGCAACACGTGCATCTTGTTGACTGAAAAAGGCCGACGGCGACTATTACGCTGAACCGTCCGACGTTTGTTTGTCCCGAACGGTAATCAGCCTCAGTACCGTCATCCACTGCCATCTTCTTTTTCTCCACCATCATGTCGCTCAGTCCTTCTGCGTCTGTGTCGAACGGCTCAGAATCTGCCTCGAAGCGCCGTAGGACGAGTGAAATAGGTCGCTCGCCCCAGGATGCGAATCAGCCTGTGCACATCCCAAAGAGAGGCGCACGGGCATGCACAGCATGCAGGAAAGGGAAGAATAGATGTGAAGGCGAGGTATGTGCTTTTGAACTGTCCCCCGTCCCGCTCACTGGACCGTCTCTCCGTCCCGGCCCGGGTTTTGTAGGCTCCTTGTCGCAGGTGCCAGTTAAGCGGTACCCCATGCATATTCGAGAAGCCAGTACGTTCTGTCATTGCTCTCTCTGGATATCATGCTGAGCCACAATACAGGAGAAGAAAAACAACCAGCCTATTGCTGGCGCCAGCGTGGAGTATGTCTCATCCCTTTTTTTTCTGTATTTTTCTCACGCAAGATCCAGGAGAGTCTCTCGCCTCGAAGGGCAATACCTTGTGCGTCTATTTCATGCTGTCAAAAGTCCTTTGCTCACAGAAATATCCATCAGGTCATGCAAAGCCATATGATTGGCATGCAGTCTTCTCTTGATCGCATTCTCGCCCTCGTTCAGAACCAAGCCCAAGGCAGCGGCAGCATGCCCCCGCCCAGCTCAATCTTCCCATCGGCTGGAAATGGCGCATTGTCCCCTTCTGGACGTAACGGGTTTGAATCTGGTCCAGGTTCCAGCGATCGAGGCCGTTTCCCTCCCTTGCCAGGGTTTGCGCCACCAGTGAGTCGAATCACACTGCGCACCCACAACCTTACTAATCAACACTCTACAGCCTCACAAATATGCTACATATGGCATTGTTCCGAGCACTGCTCCATCGTCCGACGACGAGTCCGAGGATACGCTGCCGCGATCCACCTTGAACGCCCCCATCGAAGCATTGCAAGGCCTTGCGAACGCTGCTGCCGAGGCTGCGGCCGCGCCATCTGCGTCTCCCCCCAGGTAAACAAACCCTGCAAATCTTCCATAAAGAATTTTCTGTTAATTGTTTCCGTAGAGTCAAGAAGCGAAAGAGGGCTGAACCCATTCCCAGAAATGCGTTCCCCCACGTTGTCGAAAAGGTAGGCACGCTGTCTTCTAGATCCGGAGCAATCAACCGAAGTCTATGACAGGGCCTCGTCGCGGACTCGGAAGCGCGAGAGTTGTACAATATGTGAATTCTTCCAGTATGCTACATTTAGCGGTCTGTAGGCCTCATCTCTCCAATTAGATTTTTCGCTGGTTGTCACCTGTTCATTCCTCTCTTCGATCCAACGTACGATACATACGAAAGCTTGATGGAGCGCACGCCTTGGACGTTCGACGCCATTTTAGCCATCGCCGGCAAGATTCGGAGCGGGAACGGCCCACTCAGTCCGACCTTCTTCAAATGTCTAGAGGAGGCCCAAGGGATTGCCCGTTCGTCTCTCTTCGGCCCTGTGGTCCGCAAGGAAGCGGTGCAAGGTCTGCACATCACCGGATCGTCGCCGCATGAGTTCTCAACTCTTTATAGGAATGCTTCTGTTAGCTGCATGGAGCACTAACGGTTGGCTTCCAAGTGGCCATGCTATGCGCATGGCTCTTGATCTTGGATTACATCGCGCTCTAGAAAAACTAGCTGATGACAATGGCAAACAGAGAACCCAAGAAGAAGAAAGAGATCTAGGTGTGTTCAACAATGTGTCGTTCAAACCGGCCCGCTAACACGAAGTTTGATGTAGTGGTATCAGCACGCATCTGGCTATGTCTATATTGGTTCGATCATCAGTAAGTACCATCCGGTATGCTTGCAATATTCTCATCCTGGTTTAGGATGAGCTTGGGTACCGGCCGCCCAATTGTTCTGCGCGATGAGAATTCTATCCGTCACTGTCGTCTTCTTCTTTCCCACCCAATGGCGTCTCCCACAGATGTCAGACTGATTTCCCAGGTTGAGCTGATTATTCAGAAGAGTGAGTTCACGCTGTCATCCGTATCATGGAGCATCTTTGATATATTAATTTGTCTAAGCACAAATATATGAAACACTGGCTTCCTTGAACGGTCAAGTCAATCATAATACCTTGGCCTTCATCCGACGAGCGAATGTGGCTTTAGACAAATGGTGGCAGGATTGCGATGACCTTCACCGTATGCTTTCTTTCTGTCCCTGAGAGTTATACGCAACTGATACCTCGTTAAAGGTCAGACGATGGATGAGAATTCTCTCCTTCGAAAAATTTTAATGGGCGAATTACATTATGCTAAGTTGTGGCTCGTCTGTGTTGCTCTACGTGGTGTAGCTTGGGATAAGATGCCCTTCGAGCAACGAGAGTTGGCCTTCCAGGCTAAAGATGCTGCGTTCCGTTGTTTATCCGTATTCTTAACTTCGTCTGAATACCGGTGCGAACCTTCAAGCTCACATCCACATACTTCATGAGATTAACAAGTCCCGATATCCAGTGCTGCTCTCCGATATGCGGTTCACGATAGTCTCGTGACAGCCGCATTCTCGGGTCTTTTCCTCCTCAAGATGGCGAGTTTGTTTCCCGCCGAACTGGATTTGGGCGCAATCACAACTCAAGTTGAACAATTGGCTCAGCTTCTATCTGATGTCGCTGCTGAGAGGTGTGCCCTCCTTTTCTTGACACATGAGCATAGGATAATAATGCGCACAGATATGCTCTTACGCTACGAATCATGCTAGCTAATCTTCGTCGTAAAGTTGGCCTTGGAAGTGGTATTAACACTCCGGTACCGACAATGCCTCCTCCGGGTTTTGCAGACATGATTGTATCACCTACATTCGTTGACCCGGCTATGCCTCCGCCATTTACGATGGAGGAGCTTGGCTTTGTCTGGCCAAGTGATAGAGGGATCGTCAGTCCTTCTGCTATTCCAGTTTGGCTTCAAGAACAAGTAAGTCATTTTTACTGTCGCACTTGCTAAATGGTATTGATGCGTCATGCAGAGCCTCACAGATCTGGGTCTCCCAGTCAACGGTTCTGATGGCATCTTCCTGCAGATGCATGGAACCAACGGCTGGACAGCAGATTTTGCTCCCGGACCAGAGGCATGGTAAGCAACATATATCTGATATACCCCTTGTTTTGGTTCCATGCTTTCTTGTGAACAGTGTCTCGTAATGCCATAACAGTTTCGGTGCCCATTTTTTATCTGTACTTCATGCGATTCGTGTACAATAGCCGTCATCATATTGAAAATAACGATCGTCAGCGATCCTTGGTTAACTTTGCAGCGGAATCAGTCAGTTACTCGTCCTCTTCGCTCTCGTCTTCCTGTTCCTGCAAAAACTGAAGCATATGCGTTAGATCCTGCGCTGTATCCAAACCTAGAGTACCGACCTTGACAAGAGCCTCAGTGCTCTTCAAGAAATGCTGGCGACCTTGGGGTCTTGAGCCCTTTTGGTGCCAGTATATGATAGCTTGGTCTGATATACAATCCTTATTATACAGAACCTATAGCGGAATGTATGAGCGGTGCACTGTGCGACCTAAATTGTACGAACCTTGAGAATTTGTGGAAAAGCTTTGATGATGCGAGTATCTTCATAACAGTAAACTTGTACAACATTTATGAGAGCGACTTCAGTCTTTGGTCCGTCACAGAATGGCTCTAGAATGGGTGCGAATTTCTAGACAGCAATGTTAGTGACAAGGTGAGGCCGAACATGAACGGCAACCTACTCCGACTTCACGCAGAGCGAGACCTTCAATTTGATCTGGGCGTGCGCTCCAGTCAACAGAAGCCATGAGACCCTGCCAGATGCATTGAATGAGTTCCGTATCAGGAATAGGTGTCGCTTCCTGTCGGCTCTTAATGGCCGCAATAATCTGCGACGCAACCATCAGCATACAGCTAGAAGGAGAAGCTATAGTTGAACGTGCCTGTTCAGGGGTCTCTTCGCGTTCACAAAGCTCTTGAAGGTCCTTGACAATTCCTTCCTTGACCACAGCATATTGTTTCTTGGCGTACCATTCAGCGACCTGGGGAAGTCCGCTCTTCTTGAAATGATCCTCGAGATTCTTGCCCTCGCGTTTGTTAGCTGGGAAAAAGGCGAGTAGATCTTTGATACCGCCACGCTTCAGTGTCGCTGACAGATGTTCCATGGATTGGTCCACCAGGAAGGAACGGAAGATCAAAGTGATGACATCGATAGAGACATCTACGTTACGTTAGGTAAGAAATTCGAAAAAAAAGAAGCGCCATTGCCAACTCACCATTCTTGAGCAAGTGATCCTTCGTCAAACTCTGCAAACAGGAGGCGCTAGCCAAGCCCTGAGACAACAACAGGCCAATCGCTATCGATAGCTTGTCTTTCTGGGCTGGAGACCATCGGTGTATGTATTGCAAGATTGTAGGAAGCGCAGATTCTTCCAGCGGTTTCTGCAGATATTTGTATCTATCAATGCACCGATAAGGACGTTTTGTCGTAGTTATAGAGAAACGAAACGCACCTTCTGATGAGTTTGTTCAAGACTTCAATGTATTTCCGAATGTCCTCTACCTCGGCCGGTTCCTTGGCGTTGAAGATGGTAAAAGGGGACACAGGAGCACCATCGTCAACATAGCTGCCTCCGGGTTGGATGAGACCTCCGACGAGAATGATTTCGAAAAGTGCATCGGCATATTTAAGAAATTCGAGAGTGGAGCCTGCTTGAACTAGTTTGGTAGTGAATGAGTCAAAGTCGCCTTCGGGGACAGTTTCGAGATGTCTATAAAGCTGGTCTCTGAAGACTAGATAAAGTTCGGTGAGGTATAGACCTAGGAAAAGAGGAAATCAACGAACCCGCTGGTTCGTGCTTTGCGTGAGCCTTTACGGCGCCTTTCCTAGCTTTGATTCGAACACCCTGCAACGAAGGCTTTGAAGCGGCTGATTGCTGAGACATCCACAGGTTTTCAAGTCAAATCGAAACGAGTGGACAAGGCAAGCCTGGTTGTATGCAAGTGTAAACAGAAGAAAAGGAATGGTGCTCGTGAGATCAATCTGATCTTCAGTGATCTGCCTTTTCGGGACATCACTACGAGGCTGTTGACAAGCACAAACAAATTTCGAAGCTGTCCTCCTCCTGAGTCCTGAACGGTATACCAAGGTGTAGTGCCGTTCCCGTTGCTTTAAGCGTATTGCATTGCAAGGCCACATGTACTGTGCGTGGTCTACAGCTAACAGCTACATTGACCCAGGTATCCAATCGATAATCTCCGTGTGAGTCACAGCAATCTTCATCAAGATGTTGAAAGCAGTTCCTTTTTAGATACATCTTGTCAATTCCTGGAGTCCAAGTTGGCAGACTACTCCTACATGCTATCTTTATCTTCTCCTAATTCTCCTTACATATATGTAACACCTTGTGTTTCATGGGTCATGACTAGTTCTCCACGTACCAAATTGACCTATCCTTGGCGCCCATCAAAACAGCAGATCCTTTGTAAGACCGCACTGCCTCTGTTGTATAGGATCGCGATATCTGGCGCCAGTGACAATCATCGCACACTATATAAACTCTTCCTGTCTTATCCATCTCCCACCCCTTTACCCAAGTTCACAATCCAAGTAAGCCGAATTTCGCTTGCCCTAGGCCTGTTTCTCTGATGAGAAGATATTTAATAGATCATTCTTACGATGCAAAGAAGGTGCGTAGGCATAGCGTCATATGTGGCGATTCCTAAATCTTCGGTTGTTAGGCGCAGCGGAAATGCACATTCAGGACCTATGACGATTGCAAAAGGTTCAAATACCCACGGGGTAGGCGCAGTTGGCACATTACAATGTACTTATCATGATCTCATTCTACTAGATCCTTAATCAACGGCCGTCAAGAGACGAATACTACCAGATCGGTGTGTACGAAACGCAAGGCACTCGCCCGACCATGGAGGATACGCACGCCTTTATCGTTGACTTTGATTCGGTCAAGGGCCAAGGATACTTTGGCGTATTTGACGGCCACGGAAACAAAAATGTAGCAGAGTGGTGTGGCTACTACTTTCACCAGGTGCGTATTTATCTGCCTGTTTCAGAACACAGTTCAAAACGATCGACTAGATGCTCTTGGGTGCGATGCATGATCATCCAAACCTTGCACTCGAGAAAGTTCTTCACAAGGCTTTCAGGAGAGTAGACGAAACACTGCGAAAGTATTCCCTACAATCTGAACAAATAGCCGAGTCCGGATCTACAGCAGCGATTGCTTTTCTGCGCATCGAAGACAAAGACGGTACACAGGCCTCTTTTACTTCTCCGCCCGCAGCCGAGAATGCATCTACGAGTACATCGACCCCTTCGCCGTCTGCTTCGCGATCCACAAACCATCGAAGAACACCGTCAGAAACGGCTAAACGAGTCCTGTACTGTGCCAATGCAGGTGACGCGCGCACGGTCCTATGTCGGAATGGAACTGCAATACGATTGACACAAGATCATAAAGTGACTGATCCATCCGAAGGGTCCCGCATAAGGCAAGCTGGGGGTGTGATTATGCGAGGCCGTGTATTTGGCACACTAGCTGTTTCACGGAGCTTGGGCAATCACATATCATACGACGGTATCCGGATGAAACAATACGTGATTTCCACGCCGTACACATCTCGGACGGAGTTGACGGACGAAGATGAGTTTTGCATCATTGCGTGCGATGGTGTAAGTGCTACTATCCCTCGAGACGTGGACTCTGACTAACGGACGAACCGTGACAGCTTTGGGATGTAATTACAGATCAAGATGCAGTCAACCTTGTGCGGCGTATCAAGGACGCTCAGTACGCGAGCAAGATTCTCGTTAATCATGCACTTCGTAATGACGTTCAGCCGACGCGGGACAATGTCACAGTTATGGTTGTGCGGTTCAAGGACTTTGTATCACAGTGACGGCGTGGGATTCTAATACTTATGCCACTCTTTCCTTATCTATGTGTTTAGTGGGTGTTTGGGTTTTCTTGTCGCAGTCCTATTGTATTCACAGCAATCATGTATCACTGCAATTATGTATTATGTATTGTAGGAAGATCAGGGGAGTTTGGCCTGACATGTTCACTTTCATATTTAGAGTAAATTAACGGGGTTACAACAAAGGTATCGCACTGATGTTATCCCAATAATGGAAGCATGGTCAATCTGAGCGGTGTACGTGGGCGACTTTCGGACATTGGTGGCAAGGTAAAGAATAAAGTGAAGTTCGACACAGTTATGTATATCCGGAAGCAACAAGGTAAGGAATGCTTGGGACACAAAAGGATGAGACTAATGCGCAACCCCCTTCTTTCGAAGAACCCCCGGGTTTCTCAAGAACCCGGTTCCTCAATGGGATTGAACATCTTTTCATCCCGACCGCAAATCGGCACGCCGGCCGGTAATGCCTCACACATTCCTAATTGGGACTAGTTTCGATATCGTCGTCGGTTGTCCTGTTTCTTCATTGCTGCCCCATCTCTGCCAATTTTTATGCTGCTAATCTGTTACTAGACATTCAACAACTTATTTTCACTATGCGATAGTCTATCCTGCCCTCAAAGTGCCTCAGAAAGGCAGGATTATCTCCACACCACGAGCTAGCTTCTTTTCATGCATCCGCTGTTGTCGTTGGGACCAGGGACAAGGGGTTACGTTCTCCTACATTGGAGTGGGCTATTGTGAGTCTTACGATTCTCTGCATACAGGCTTGTTTTGCTAATTAATGACTAGATACTGTCTAGGTTTTTGTGTCATAGTGTTATCATTGTGCTGTATCCACTGCTATGAAACGTGCAATTTTCCGGTCTTCAAACATGTTACACAATGTACCTGAGATATGAACATCAACACGCTTGGAGAGAAGCCAGATCCTGTAATAGTGAAATGGTGCGCCCCAGTTGATTATAAACTAGAAATATACACATGTCGTTAGCGTGCTGCTATGGTTCTTCTCTCCCTCCTCCTGGCGCAGATGAGGACTATGCACAATGTCTTCACACACCTATATGGAATATGAAACGCCAGTCCATCACATCGCCTATAGTATCTCTCATCTATCTACGTCATCATTCGCGCAAGTCTACGACACGTCTTACCCTTTGCTCCTCAAAACATCATCAGCTGGTGGGAGTTCGAAGAGGACGAACTGATAACAACTGCTGGAACTCTTATTCACCCTCACGATACTGTTTTTCGCCGGCTCGACCTTTTTCCGATAATACAGTTGATGAAGAATGAATATGCCAAAGGGCGGCCGTAGCCTACGTGTTGTCTGCTGGAATGGGTATCCGCACGAAGCCTCAGTGTTCTATTTTAGTGAAGTATTTTGTCTTTTCTCTATCCAGATGTTAGATACCGATTGCCGATGTATGTCAACACAATCTTTGATACGACGTCCCCAGGCAGCCGACGCTCAAATATTGTTAAAGACTCAACGATGATCCAACTGCATTGGATAATCGTACTATGCGTCTTCAAACCCACATATATATTCTGAGATATCCCTCTGTACGACGTATATAAGCACCGGCTAGTAGACTCAAATGAATCCCATGCATGGCGTGGGCCGGCGCCCTGTCACGCTCCCCGGGACATGTGTCGAAAGAACCGAGTTGCTGCATAGTCACTCAGGCACCAATAGGGTTCTTTCAACGAAGGGGGTTGCGCATTAGTTTTTTCCGACACAAAAGGACGAGAATAATTGGGAAACGGTCAATGCATGATGCATGATCGTCGGAAGTAATAGATTACCTTTTCTGCGATTGCCACATGGCTAGATAGAATCTCTCTTTGCAACACCCACTTGGTCGACTTCAGGTAGCGTGTAGATCAGCGCTCTTCTCCGTTCTACCTCCCTGCACATTCGCAGCTCGTCTTCTTCTTGTCTTCTTACCTTGAGCGGAGCCGGCATTACGACTCCGAAGCTCCCTGACATAACCATCTTTCGTCATCGCCGTGACAGCCAACCGACTCGGTTCTCAGTGAGTATATTACTCCGATATCAGGCGCGGTTTCCAAACTGTCTTGCCATCTCCTTGTCGTCGTTCCTGACCCCTGCTCACCTCATTGCTCAGATATATCCGTGTTTTCTCAGTATCGCCTTCATTCTGCCATGCGGTTCACAGAGTCTCCCAATGCTCGCTCCAAATCTATATCAACTGCTGAATTCGACACCCATGGCGTGCGTTCTGTACATCTTCCTGAATATCACTAGTCTGATTCAATATCTAGGTTCTCAACCGCCATGCCACCAAGAATTCCTCCTACCAGGTCGGCGTGTCTGAAGATAAAGGCAATCGGAGAACCATGGAAGACTCCCACTCCTTCGTCACCGATTTTGACAATGTTCGCGGTCAGGGCTTCTTCGCCGTATTCGACGGACATGCAGGGAAACATGCCGCTGAATGGTGTGGGACACATTTCCATGAGGTAAGCTTTCTGCGAAAGTCTTGCGGTTTGACATGCTCACCCGCACCGCCCCACGCAGTCGCTGCTCCGATGCTTACGCGCATGTCCCGATATTGCAATCCCCGACATTCTCAATGAAACCTTTCATGACGTTGACAGAAATCTTTCACGTATGTGTGAAGAATCCGACGGCAAGATCCATTCTGGCTGCACTGCTGTAACGGCCTTCCTACGTCTTGAGGATGCTGATGGCAAGCAGTCCTTCCTGGATCAAGCAACTCCGCCCTCGAAGCCTATAACACCTCTAGCCGAGACACCTTCACCCCTTGACGGGGATGACAGTAGTAGCGGGGAGAGTGGCGGTGATGCCACTGCCGATGACAGCAAGGATCCCAAGCGGCGGAAAAAAACGAAAAAGTCGGGTGCTAAGCGACTCAGAAACGCCATCAAAAGCCTTGGTAGTGTCTCGTCTCTCTCTCCCAAAGCTTCTCCATCGGTATCCCGGAAACAGTCTGTTGAAGCCGTACAAATTCAAGTCCCGGCGCAAACTCCTCCCCCAGAGGCGAGACGCGTTTTCTATACAGCTAATGCCGGCGACGCGCGTGGTGTTCTATGCCGTAATGGCAATGCTATCCGACTCACCTATGACCACAAAGGTTCAGACAAACAGGAGGCGAAACGTATCATGGATGCTGGTGGCTTTGTGATGAGTGGAAGAGTGAACGGCGTTTTAGCCGTGACGCGTAGTTTGGGTGATTCCTCGATGAAGGAATTCGTCGTCGGTGCTCCTTACACGACTGAAACGGAGCTATGTGATGACGATGAGTTCGTAATTCTGGCCTGTGACGGAGTAAGTCCTTTGTCAGCTCCATCAGACATCCACTTACTGAAGGTTATGACCAACCATTAGCTCTGGGACGTCGCGAGTGACCAAGCAGCCGTTGATCTCATCCGAGATATCGATGATGCTCAACTTGCCAGTCAGAAGCTTCTCAAATACGCGCTTTCTCATCACTCGTCAGACAACGTCACCGTCCTCGTCGTTCGGTTCAAGAATGTATTCCCTAAAACTGCATGAAGACACTGAAAGGCTGTTGCTGGTAGAACTTATTTTTTTCTTTATTCTTCGGGGCTCCTGCAATCACAATGTTTCATAATAGCAACGTATCTGTATACTACACCATACGCTACGGTCGAACCGGTATCTTACGTATCATGGACGTGTTGTACAGTCTACCATCAGGGTACGAGCGCGAATGCTACAACTATTAATGGCCGTGAATAACCTCCAGTCATCTGATCTGTGCTGCTTTCTCCTTGAGTCACAAATCACGGCTACGGCTAGTGTGCCAAGGGATGTCCAGGGCTTTCTCCGCGAACAGGACCTATACCTATGTAGAGTGGGTCATGCATTTCTACCCGAGGTTACCCCAAGACTGAGGAACATTGTGGAACGAACCCCTCATAATTTACCCACAACTTTCCAGATGCCCATGGGTATTGCCGTACGCTCTCGTTGAACTCATCAAGTAACTGCACGCACTAGGAAACTGGTGGCAAATGGCTGTGTTTAAAATTAAAGCGGTCATGATGCCCAGAAAGATTCCGGGGAGTCTAAAGAGCGTGAAAGGCTTGGGCCGCGGAGAAACCATTCGCGACGGACACCCGTAGTGACTTAGTCGTGGTCTTCGGATGGCTATGGCTATGGGACACATAGTATTGGCTCTTACGGTATGGTGCTATTCGCGACAAACTCTCAGGAATACTGAACTTGATGCTATCCAATGAGCCAAAAGGTACAATTCACATGCTTATCTCTGACCAGATCTGGCAACTAATGAACTGAAAATAGTTAGGGTCAGTGCATTTTTCGTTCGCGAATTCTATGAGTACGCCAAGGAATCAAAAAAAAAGTCCTTAAGCCCAATTGTCTCTTTGGTGTTAATTCGGCTTTTCAGGATCATGGTGAAGAGTGTATCCAGAGCTGCATAGACGCCAAAAACTCCGGCTTGGCCCGTTCTTGGCTCGCCACTTCTGATTCATCTCAGAGTCCAAGAAAGATCGCGTATAGAGCGACTTGAGCCGCCTACAAGACCTATTGCGCGTCCTCATCTACTTGGAGGACTCTTAAATAACCAATCAAGGTTTCCTAGATCCAAGATCTTTCTGTCGGCACCGACCATAACCAGGGATTCAATTTCCATGCTTCGAAGGCATATTTAGACGTTGGGCTTGGGCGAACTCGGCTACTGGCCGGACCGTTCTTTTTCAGGGCAAGTGCCTTGCAAGTCAGGGCCGTCGCTAGCTTCCTTCATTCCTTCTTCACGTACAAGGTACGCTTCAAGTAAGGCCCCCCCCATCATTGGTTACCAACTTTTTTAGCTGCAGGTTGTGAGCGGCGTATTGGCAAGAGAAAGTTTAGGCTAATGAGTATGCGACAAACCCGCTGCTTGAACATGTTAACCACTTCCAGCCTCGACGTTTCGTGATTTTCTATGTGGTGAAAAAATGGCCTAGGCATTCTTATATATTATCTAGCTATTAATAGCAGATTTACAGCACCAGAAAGGTATCATTACTAGTTTTGTCTGATAACTGTACTGACATCTATATGCAAGATAGCGGAGTCGCATACTTCAGCGGTCTCAGTCACGCGCTATGCGCACAATCGCCCTCTGGCTACAGATATCAAAACATGAAAGCATCACATTCCTTTGGAGCTGCGATTTTTTGAAACAAACACCGCATTCAATGCTTGGCATACGCTCTGAAAAATTCACTCGACATCGCAGCCAAGATTACGGATAAAACAAGGAAGTAGGCGTAAACTGGCACAAAGATGAACACTAACCCCGTAAGAGTTTAAATTCCTTCTCCTTTCGTCTTCAAAAGGTCCAAGATTAGCCGAACCAACTCAATAATGAGAGTATGTCGATGATGTGGCGTATGTGTCAAAGTCAAGATTCTGAGGGCCAGTCAATGAGTCTTATAATTCTTTGGGATTTTTAAGTATCTTTGCTCTTTATTTCATAAAAGTTATCTTTCCGACGTAGATCGAATTGTGGCGATGCAGGCCGCCCTCCGTCGGGTGCACGTGGCTTCGCTGTCCAACATTGACAACAATCCAGCTTGACTTGATGCCACGACACTATCACGACCGTTTCTAACATTCTCAAAATTATTCAGCCTCAAACTTCCTCTGCAAGCGGCGCTGATGCTAAGGTACCTCAAACAAAGTCGGCTGCGGTTTCTCGGTGTCCAACTCATTCACTCGGCTCCTTCACACAAACTCTTTTTACCAAACGATTTATGTTGCCCCGCGCATAACTCCGGCAACGATTTTGTGATGCTAAAATACTTATGGGAATTGTGACAGGCGGCCGTGCCTCTAGCGCTCCGCGTAGGTATCCAAGTTGATATTAAACTTGCGCAGCGTCCAAGACAACGACGCACTTTAACCTGAAGATGTGTACTATGATAAAGCTGGGATTTGTTCTAGTCTATCTTGACTCTAGTCGAACTCAATCTATTAGCTATCTGAATCTCTGTTGGGTCAAGGCTGATTTTACTCTCTCGCATGCAAGTGCGGGAGAGGACGGCAACTATGACATGCCACATATCTTGGCCGCCACAGCAGATCTTGGCAACTATGTCGATCGTCGATGAAGAGGAGAACTGATCGAGATAAACTGGCTCCGCGCTTTTCGAAATTTGAGTGAAAACCCCGCCTTGGCTGTGTAGTCATTCTCCACTTGAAGACTTCTTTTGCCAAGTCTCGTAACTCTGGTATATATGTCATGCTTCTGACGTTCTGTCTTTCTTGAATACGAATCCCCCCTCCAACATGTTTGGAAGGACGCTCTCTCTTTCAGCCCCCACGCGCTCCACCTCCCCAGAACCTACGTTAACAAACAGACGACGACAACGTTTTATAGCCGCCTCGTCTCTGACAGATCTATGGCGCGCAGAGGTTGACAACCGTTTGTCTTACTTTCAAATGAACGCCTATTATTTCATGGCCGGATACATGTTGGTTCATCCATACATCTCGCTTACCTCGTCTACTAACCGCGTCATATCGACAGGAACACGGTCTCGTTCTCAGCTGTGTTTGTGTGGTGCGGCTTCCAGTCCGGTAACACTACGCAACTTGCTATCGCAATGGCAAGATTATGGGAACAGGAGGCGAGACAGTTTCTCTTAGCAGATAGACAGGCTATGGCTTCGCTGTTCAGCTTCGTGGGTGGAGCCTTGATCGCGCGGTTAGGAGAGCGCATCGGACCAACGTCAAGAGGCTGGTTGTGGCTGGGTACGATGTGTCAAGCGTTGTTAACGATGGCGGCTGCCATCACCAGTTGGAAGAGTAATCAAGGATATCCAGGAATTTCTGATGACCGGTCTGTATTGTTTTTGGAGTGATATTCAATAGCTCATCTTTGGACTGTGCCAGCTATGTCGCCGGTCCCGCTTGGAGTGACGCTGTGTCTTTTCTATGTCTCATGTTTATGTCTTGCAGTATGGGCATACAAGGTCTGATGAGCTTGCGCCTTCAAACGCCCTCGGCGGCTACACGTAAGTTCCTTTATGAACCCGTGTTCAATGACTGACCGACTCGATAGTCCCGCTCACTACTACTTGGTGTGAGCTCATGGGGGTGGGAGCGCTGTTCAACCTGAATCGAATGGACTATGCCCGTGATCAAAAAGTCCTTGGTATTTTCAGCGTCATGCTCGGTATGTTGTGCTACCCTTCGAGTCATGTATGTATAAATTCTGATTACGCTTAAGGCGCCATCACTGGCCGTGGTTTGATCTTCAAACTCGGCTCCCCAGGCGCACTTGGCATAGCGGTTGGTATCAGAGTGCTAATTGCATTCAGCTGGATATTTGTTCCGAGCTCTGAGCCACCCATAATAGTGGCGGATGAGGAAAAGACAGACATCGAAAGACCGTCGCCGGAAAGCAATCACAGCAGTATCGTCATCATCGCACGCAACTCTACGGGCGTGTAACCATTCCAAAGAGGGACCAACAGAACCGCCCTTTGCAGATGCATATTTTCTTCTGTATTGAAATTGACATTATTGTCCATAAATGACCTAGGTCCTTGTACTAACCTTAGAAGCACCTTGCCAAGTCACCGTACTTGTATGTAAATTGGAATTCTGTAGTAGTAGCTGACTATACCATTAGATGTCATGTATTTCTTGGATTACTGCGTCCCGGACGCTTGAACTAAGTGCTTTTCGACGCCATAAAAGAATATTTCTGGTGATCCTTCCTATGCCTAGCAGATCTTGGCATCGGCGATCTAAATGACGTACGTAGTAGAATCGATGGTGTAGTAATCGAACACGCTGCCAACGCCCTTTAGGTGGACACACCAACACACTTTTACTCCTACGACCAGCAACGACCAGCATCGAAAGGCGATGTCTGAATGGCCCGACAAGAACCAGTGGGGTGGGGGTGGACAGCATGCGGGATCTACTACTCCATACGGAAATACAAATGCACCGTACCCTGGTCCAACTCCCGGTTACGCTCCTGCCTACCAGCAGCAACCGTTTGTCCAGGATGTCAAGGATCCATACGAGGGCGATAGATTCAAGCCAAAGAAGAGGGTCAATGATCCCATTTTCTTGGTTCTCTTTATTCTCCAGGTGTGTCTTCACCACACTATTGTTCAATCTCTCCAACTCTCTGGCAGTTCATTGGATTCGTAGTAGTTTCCGGAATCGCTCTTCAGTCATGGGTCGCGGAAGGCGGACTGGGGGGTGGACTGGGCAAGGGAGGCGTCAAATCCGGTTCAAATTTTACGCTTAATTGGTATGTTTTTTTTTATAGAGGAAGTGAGGTGCTCACCGTGTAACAGGAGTACAGTGTATCTCCTCCTTCTTGTCACCGGAGCGGCACTATTACTATCGACGGGCTACCTTCTCCTGACTAGAGCGTTTACGAAGATAATCATGCATATCACGCTTATTTTGAGCATCGCTCTTAATATGTATGGAATTGCTTCCTTCTCTTCAGGGACATCGCTAACAATACAATTTTAGAGGAATTGCCGTTTACTATTGGATCACAAAATATTGGTGTAGGCGATGTTCATCGTTCCCTTATTCATTCGCTGCTCACGGCTTTTGTAGCTGGTGCTATCATTTTTACAGTCATTGCTCTCCTTTCTGTGCTGTCTTACTGGGGTTTCCGATCACGCATTCCTCTCGCATCTCTACTTCTGCAAGTTGTGATGGATGTGTCAAAGCACCACAAGAGCGTATACGTTGTTGCCTTCTCCGCGCTGATTCTCCAGGCTGCACTGGCCGTCTGGTACACGTTCACCGTCATTGCAACATATGCGAAATGGACTCCGGGTGGTCCATCTTGTCCTACATCTTCATGCTCGGGAAGCACAGTCGCTGGACTGATCTTCTATGAAACATTTTCTTTCCTCTGGACGTCGCAAGTCATCGGTAATGTTTCTTTAGCTACTCTGGCAGGCGGGCCCTTTGGATCCTGGTATTACTTTGGCCCAAGAGAGTTGGGAGAAATGGTAAGAATTTTTGCAACTTGTTCAATGTTCATCCATAACTCATATTAGCGTAGCCAAAACACCCCACCCTATCTGCTTTTGCACGCGCATCGACACTATCGTTGGGGTCCATCGCCTTTGGTTCTTTGATTGTCACGATTTTGGAGCTCATTAGGTTGATTCTGAATGCCGTCCGAAATAACGCTAGTCAGGATGGACATCGTAAGTCATCTAGTGTTTCCTCTTCTCCTCACATGTTCATCTCCCCGCCGTAAAGCGGTCGAGGCTTGTTTAGCATGTTGCGCAGCCTGTTTTGTTGGATGCATCGAGAACCTCGTGGAATACTTTAATAGGTATGCGCCTCAATGAAACGTTACTATATTTGTACTGACCGGCGCTTCAAGATATGCGTACATTGAAATATGTACACTAGCTTTCTCTCTTTGACTTTCCACCACTCATGTCAGTGCTATATAGCTCTCTACGGCAAATCATACATCACCGCGGCAAAGGATACATGGAGGTTGTTCAAAGACCGTGGGATTGACGCTCTCGTCAACGATTCCTTGGTCGGAATGAGTGAGATCTCTCGTTTGTGCCTATGACGAATGACAGGCTAATAGATGCATATCCTGTAGCTCTTACATGGGGCGCCTATGCCGTTGGTCTCCTTTCAACTCTCTTTGCATACTTGTATCTCCGAAGTAAGCTCAACTTTGTATGCCCTTTTTGTGATATTGAACACAACTACTTAGTCACAGCCCCTTCTTACAACACTGACGGGCAGTATACTGCACCAATATTGCTGTTCTCGTTCTTAATCGGGGTCCAATGCTGTGAGCATTTACCGATTTTGCTGAGAACGTAACCTTTGACATCTTTCAGCGCTCACACTCTCATCTGCAATCGAAGCCGGGGTTTCAACGATGTGAGTGCTGTTGATCATAATAGGATCCGACTTATTGTCCACAGTTTCGTCGGTCTCGGTGAGGACCCGCAAGTGCTAGCTATCAGAGCACCAGAGTTGTTTAGAGTAAGTTTTAATTCGCTCTTCGTGGTGCAGATTCAATGCTTACGAATTTAGCACATTGCCTCGACTTATCCGCATGTTGTGAGAGGAGTCCCGCAAGTGTAGATCCTTGCACGACGTTTTGCATGAATTCGAGTTCTTTCTTCATTTTTTGATTTGTATAAGTTGTATGAACAGTCACCAGAACGATATTGTCTATCACACTAACATGTGTACGAACATGTTTATTCACACTACGAAAATTTCAACAAGGAATACCTATATATATATATATATCATTCATAACCCTGGGGGTCCAACTGATGCCCAAGTGATTTAATAATCGTATCGGAAATGGCTGCTAAGTTGTCAGCGGTCTGAAATACACAAGTTTCAGAAGATCAACTCACTCGTTTTCGTAATCTGTCACATCCGCTTCTGCGGCCAACCGTCCCAAGCGCTCCTGCTCCTCAACAGATGATCCCTTGGCAAGAGCAGCTTTATCACGTTGATGATTCACGTAAATGTAGTAAAAACGCCACGCAAGGAACAAGATCATCTCTAAACCGTACTGTCAAGAGAGACATGAATCCGGGAGGAATCCCAGTAGAAGGACTAGAGACGCACAAAAATTGCAGAAATGAGAATAGCCGGTACATAGCGGGGCGCCCACTGAAATCCCATTTTCAGTCATCAAGACACCGACAAAAAACACCGAAAATGGTACCTTTTCCTGGAAGACTTGACTTCCAACCGAGTTTCCGACACAATACGCTACCTGAAAACCGCGAATGTTAACCTTTAGCAACACACCAATTCACAGCGAAGTTTTAACTAACGAAGAGAACAATGGAGGTGACGGATTTCTTCGTTCTTCCGGCGACATTGCTCGGCACGAACGTCCATATCATCAATCCCGCAACATCTCCCCTACGTACACAAAAGCATCAGTGACGTGGTATTATAAACACCAAAAGCGGATGAGGACTCACGTTACTGTCATAAAATAAGTTCCCCATCTTGACCACAAATGCGCATCATCGCCCGGCTGCAATGCTGTGGCGAGCATTCCAACAAATGCCGGGACAACAGCAACGAACATGCACAAAAACCGCACTTTGGAGTATCTTCTTGTGATGAGGCCTACAAAAAGAAACCAGACGATCGATAACGCGTGTCGAGGGACAGTGCCTTTCAGTATAGTCTCTAGGTTGGAAAACCCGAAAGAAACGTAAACCAGTGAGCCGAAAGATGTCGTACCCCCGCTGTTTATACCCAGAAGTCAATTTCGGATAAGCGAGAGGGAGGGAATATGAAAAGGCGTACTTTGGTAGTGAATTGACAATAGTGGTGAAGAAGAAAAAATATGTTTGAGGGTCTTTGAATGCGACTGCTACTTGGTGCCATTTCCATTCTCCATGTTTCGTACGGTCCGAGCCTGTCTGATTTCCCACGACGCGCGCAGCAGCCATGCGTTTCTCTGCTTTGGACAACCACCATACTTCACGAGGAGTGCTGGACATCTGAAGTTTAGCTAGAATTGAGTTGGACAAAAAATGTTCTTACCCAAGGAAGACGAACGTGAAAAACGACATTACGATCGTGAAACCTCCCACTGACCCCAAAATTATCAGCCTTTATTCGAGGACTAATGAAGGAAATTGTACGCAACGGAAATAGCTAATGCCTCGCCAAGCATCTATTCCATTTGGATTTTTCAAAGCGGCATGTCCAATGCCATCTGAATTTATGTAAGACCGTGAATCAGCGAAACCCGAAACCATCTGGTATTACATAGTACGTACACATGCATAGACTGCTAATGATACCGAAACCTGAAGAAGCAAATGAATCAGAGAAAATATACATTTGAACAGAGACACGTACCGGCGTTTGCTGTTCCCCAGACGATACTTCGCAAGGTATGTTCACTGGTACGATACCACGCGCCTGATCGAAATACATCGGCGCCATGTTGAAGGCAAGAAGATATTCAACACGCACCAGTCAGAAGAAGAAATGCAGGTGATATAACACTTTCCAGAGCACCTGAAGTTATGATCAGCACTAGGAGATTGAAACTCAAAGATCAACCCACCCTGGAGAGCTCTTAACACCATCATCTCTGCCCACGTCGTGACAAAACCAGTGCAGAGGACTATCACACCCCAGAAGAACATAAATACAGCTAGCATTTTACCGATGTTGATGCGTTGCATGATGTAGTTCGACGGCGTCTCGAAGACGAGGTATGACACGTAGAAAATGGTGGTAAGTAGAGCATAGTCTTGGCCTTTCATACCAAGGTCCGACCGCATATTGAACCTGCATTATGCGTTTAATCTTAGGAGAGGAAACTCATGGAGAATAATAGAAAACTCACGTTGCTTGTGTGGAAATCCCAGTTTTGTCAGCTTGCTGAAGCCCGTACAGGACCCACATCAACGGCAGGAGAACGAAGTCTATCTTTCGGACGAGGCTCTTGTACTCCTCTTCGGTATACTGTTCTACAAAGATATTGAATAGCGCAACAGGCATCTACAAGGAAGTGCGTACCAGCAGCAGCTACCGTGTCAATGGCAGTCTCCCTCTCAGATTCCGGAATGGCCGACAAAGTACCGACATTCTTGACGTCAGCGTCGACAGCGTCTTTGTCCTTGACTACACTAGAGATGGTGCTGGCGTCGTTGTTCATGATAAAACGCTGCGGAGGAACTGAACTTCTTAAGAGAACATTTATTGAACGGCCCGGTCTTAAAAGTACCGACCACACTCAACTAAAAATTGAAACGGATCAAGGCTATTCAGGAATGGAGCCGCGATAAGGCGGCTAGATAGGCAAGTACTCAGTAGCTGGGGTATTGATTGTTTATGCTCGGAAGATAAGGGAAAGGTTAGATTACGGCTGAGTCTTTACATCTGATCAAGATCGTCAGGATAATGTTAAAAGAAAGTCGAAAATATTATCCTACCTTCAGATGACTGGGTGCTCTCGGCCGCGGGTCGGAGCTCGGTAAGTTGCTGGTGACTTTATGTACTGAAAGGGCGATGCTTCTCTAAGTAACGCATCAAGAGATACTCACGACGACCACCATGCAGGACAAAGCATACCGCGCAGCGCTTCTCGTCACATCCAGTTCAGCCGAACCAATATCTGACGGCGGTATACTGGTCTCAGGCGACAAAATCGCAGCCTCTGGTCCCTGGTCCACGACTATCGCGCCTCTTCTCACACCCACAACCACAGTGACTGACTTGGGCGCAGTTACTCTTGTTCCCGGATTCTTCGACTGTCATGTACATGTGTCGTTTGACCCTATGCGCATGAAGATGAATTCTAGCCGCGCTGAGCTTTCTGATGCGCAGACTAAAGAAAGAGAAGCCAGGGAACTCATGGAGAGGAACGCACTTCGGCTGCTCGACGCAGGGGTAACCACCGCCCGTGACCTTGCAAGCCACGGTATGGGGGTTATGGAGATGAAGGGGAGGATTGACCGGGGAGAGATTATGGGTGCACGGTTGATGTGCGCAAATGCCCCAATTACGGTATTTGGCGGTCACTGCAGTGCGATGGGTGGAGAGGCCGAGGGTGTGGAGGGAGTCACGAAGATGACGCAAAAACGATTGGACGAAGGTGCTGAGGTCATCAAGGTAATGAGCACAGGAGGCTTCATGACCGCTGGGTCGCATCCGTCTGAAGCGCGTTATTCGGTGGAGGAGCTCAAGGCCATCGCTGACACTGCTCATGCCAGTGGTGTGAGGGTAACTACGCATGCTTTAGGTGGAGAGGGTATTCGCAGGGCCGTCGTCGCCGGGTTTGACAGCATCGAACACTGCAGCTGGAGTACGAAGACTGGCACAAAGTTCGATAACGAGGTCGCCCAACTCATCGTTGATAAGGGTGTATACGTTTGCCCCAGTGAGCATCAGACTGTGTGATTTCGTGAGTGGTACACTGACTGCTTCCAGCGATGAACACCGCTTGCCTTGCTGGAGAGAACTATTTCTGTCCATGGGATCATCGCGCCGCTATTGTAGCAAATCTGGCTTCATTACGAGCACTCAACGCCAAGATCATCATGGGGACTGACAACGGAATCGGAAACTGTCCCTTCGAGCGCTACGCTGATGGCCTTACGGCTCTGGCGGATGCCGGATACACTCCACGCGAGCTGCTGGCCGCATGTACCGACATGGCGGCAGAGGCATGTGGTTTATCGGAAGTTACGGGCAAGCTTCTTCCAGGATTCGTCGCAGATGTAGCTGCTGTCGAAGGAAATCCGGTGGAGAGCATAGAGGCATTCACCAAGCCGAGATTCGTGCTGGCTAGAGGTAAGGAACATAAGTTGACGCCCATCGCACCGCTTCCAGCAGATCACAAAGAGAAAATCGGGGAGTTGATGGCAATGTTAAGAAAGGGCGCCGGATTCAAGGATTAAACGGTTCGCGTATTCTGGTGTGTTACAAATTGGAAAAAGGAACAGAAATAACTGTAGCAGAAGCATGCCAACAGGCAAGAATATATCTGTTCCAAAGGACCACGCAACCTACTGAAGAGAATTTTTCGACGACATAGTTGAGGTTGAAAAGTAGCTCGGATCCCTCGGGCCGGGGGACGACTTCAGAATCCACGTACTATTGTTTTAGTAGCAATTTTACAATAAGTCGATAAGTAGTGTGATACGATGCCAGTCCAAATGATCGCTAAGAAAACAGAGCAAATGAAATGAATGAGTACGGAACAATAGCCGCTGGGGTATTTCGGTGATTGCAAAGCAAAAAAAGATTCCAAAAGAATGTCGAGTAGCTAAAATATACAACAAAACGTGATAGATGACGAGATACTCTTGTTACCGCGCCAAATCTAAATGCTGATCGTTAGAGGGATACCGGTATGCCACAAAGTCTGTGTCTTGTGCTACTAGCTCCTCTAATGCTTTTCGAGAAGTGATGGACATCCTGGGTCCACCAACTGCGCTGAATGCGCTATGCCGCGACGCAGAAGTAGCATAGCCCCCGTTGGTTGTAATCTCGTCCAAAGCATCAGACCCAGCCGACTGCCGGAACGTAGGAAACTGTTGGGCAACGTTGTCCTGCATCAAATTTCGTTCTGGCTGCTTCTTGCCCAATAAAGACGATAGTCCGAATCTGGACTTTCGCTTTGTCGGTTGAGGTACACTATTCCTATTGCTTGTCGTGGCAGCATAATCAAGGCGCAAAGATCGTCTTGAGCCACCGAATTCATCGTATGCGGGACCCATTGATTCACGCCGGTCATATCCTGCCATTGTTTGGTTTCGTGCCCGTTCCGACAGTCCATCTAGATTTGGACGCGACGTGAGACCACCGAAGGACTGCCGTCGAGCTTCGGGGTTACGGAAGGGTGCTTGGGGTGGAAGGAAGTCGTGGGTCGGTCCAGCTCCAGGAGGTGGTCTTCGGGTGTCGAAAGTATATACAGTTTGAGGCCGGTCTGGTGACGTTGGGTTGTTATTAGATCGGCGTCGCGCCTCTCCGGGAAGTGGGGGTAGCGATTTTTCGCGCGTCAAGCCAGCAGAAGAAACAGGAGCATTGGTATAATTATTAGGATGGGTGGGAACAGGGGATGAGGATGCAACGCGCTTGCGTATATCGGGGTCTGAAGTCATCGAGTGCACGTTTCTCGAGAGGCTCTTTTCGTCGATGTCGTCATAGTTGCCGCTCAACTTGCGGATAACTGTAGCGTCTGCGTCTTGAACGGAAGGTCGTGATGAGGCGGGAGATGGTAGAAGGCTCGAGGGAGCTGTAGGGGGGGAAACACCGGAAGTAAGTTTTGGCGGAGAAGAGGTAAGAGAAGGCGTAGAAGCATGACGACCTTCACGGCTCATAAGATAGGTAAGGGGTGGTGGTGGTGCCAAGGGGTAATCGTCTTCGGCTCTGCGATTGGACTGTAGCTGCCTTTTCTCACTGGCAATATCGTCATGTTTAGATCCTCTCGTCACCATGCGCCAGATTTTGGCGAGTCCCTTCCTCTTCTTCTGGCTCTTGCTCTCTGAATGCCGAGACTGGCGTGATAGGGTGGGTTCCAAAGGTTCCAGGTCCGCACCGTTCCACAACTGACTCCGACGAGGAGTGTTCAAATCAACAGGAGAGGACGCATATCGATTAGCCGCATCTTCCCGTTGTAGTGCAACGCTTGAAGATCATCAGTTATGAACATGTTCCTGAATGGAACGATGAAAACTCACTGCATATCGATCATACTTCCTGACATCCCAGATACTGCCAAGCTATCGCGGCTGTTCCATCCTTCCCGGAAATTAGGGAATCCAAAAAAGCGAGAACGTCGCGGGGACGTGGAGCTCAAGCTGTGCACGTCCGAAAACGACGCCTGAGACTGAGCACGAGGAAGCTCTGGACGATCAAGGGGTGCAGTCAAGACACTCATGGGTCGACCTGGACTGCCTTGAGAATAGCGCGTCGAGGGCTTGAGACCGATGCCACTGTCAGTAGGAAGACTTGGGGAAGACATTACTGAGTGAGCATCGACGAAAGAGCTTCGAGAAGACTTTCGAGCCCGTCTCTCCTCCCTACGGCGGCGCTCTCGAGCCTCGCGTTCTTCTTTGCGGACGTCCACGTGTTCGACAATCATGCCGTTCTCCAAAAGAGTCACTTCACGAGAATGTGCGCGATCATGTAGCGGGTTTGTAGGTATTGAGGGAGATCGAGGAGGCTCGATACGGACTCCACCCGTGTCGTCGGTTGGTGCTGCACTGTTACCCATGTCGTATGCAGAACGTCGTAATTGGGAGTAAGCATCTCGCATTCTGTTATCAAGTTGTTTCGCCTCTTGCATGGCCCGCGCATGTGCGAGAGCTTCTTCTTCCAACAGTTTCCTCTGAGCAGTGACATACGTATTGAGAGTCTGGCTCCGTGATGTCGTTTCTCGTGCCGTCTATAAATTGCATTTAAACAACCGTACAAGTTGGAGAATGAACAAACGCACCACGCTGAGCCATATCTTGACATTCTGCTCGGTCAGGCGTCCACCTTTTGCTCTAGGCCTCGGAGGCTCATCAACATTGACAATTCCTGTGACTTCTTCCTCCTCCTCCCTGCGTTTTAGCTCCTCATACAAGATGTCACTCTCCCGCTCCCACATTCCAGGAGATGTTACGTCGACATCGGCCATGTCCTGGTCACGCATGGCACATTCAACACAGATTTCCTCTTGTCGAGGCGGAGGAGGCGTGGGGGAATAGACCGGGTTCACGGGGTTTGGAGTCGTGCTTTGATTGATGAAGGTCGGCTGCTGGGCATATGCTCGAAGACGCTGGGACACAGGAGGTGCATAACCTGGAGATGCAGATAACGGGATAATGGTAGGAGGCATTGCGGCAGTATAGCTGGGACCGGCAACAGCGCCGGAGACGGGCAAAGCAGGATGGCGGGGAGTGGAAGGAATGGGACCTGCTATTGGCTCCTGTGACGGCAACCTGGGCAAGGCACCTCTTCCTTGAGGCGAGGCATCCACGGGGGGCTGCCGGGTATCTTCTGGTGCTCTGGAAGGGGCACGTTGTGGATTGTCGTCCAAACTGTAACGTTCGACCACACGGCGAGAGGCTCCTTGCGGCAGGGCATATGACACTTGGCTCCGTGGAGGCTCCTGGGAAGGCGACTGCGACGATTTTATCGATGCAAGGTCAGAGACCTCTGCACGAGATGGCCCTCGCGACTGTGATTGAAGGTGCTGATCAGAAGGACTTGGCACATCCGCTGTCCGTCCCACCGGCGTGGAGCTCGCGGCCGTTGGCTCATCGTTCCCTCGATTCGAACTACCCTCCCTTTGTCCATTCGAATCCCTGGCAGAGGTGGACTTGTCTCCAGAACCGACGATGGCAGCGCTTGACCGAGGGGCAGTGGCCGTTGAGGGGTATCGGTTGTCGCCGAAGTCGAGGTCAGCAATCAGGGCTCGCGGGTACATCGAATGTACATTTGGGCTCGTGTCGGTTCGTGAAGGGTAGACAGTGGCAGCCATCGTCCAGAGATAGGACTGATAAAAATTGCGGGCTGAAGGTAACAGGGAACGTGAAAGCTATTGGAAATAAAGCGGTGCTGAAAAACCGAAAAAAGGGCTGGCGTCGCCGGCAACGACAAGCTAAAGGGATCGCGGGTTATTGTTCGACGTCGAGGAGATATGTCGGTCGTGATAAGGGGAGAGGAAGGGTTTTTGTTGGCAAAAGCGAACCAAGTCCTAGTTCAAGCTGTGTCAGCTCTGGTTAGGGCTGATCTGAGCGCTCGCTTAGGCCCGACCCGGACCTTTTAAAAGGACTCAATTGGGATCATCAAAGAGATTTTCTACTTTTTATCTTTTTGCGATTCCGTTTGTACATATTGTCTCAAGCTCCGCTAAAAGGACGGCAATTGAAATAGTTTGCAAAGATAGTTTGATTCTACACTATTTAGAATCAACGCTATATACGACTGTAACCATCAACCTTTCAAAAGAGTTATTTGCGGTACCTGTCAACCGATCCATTAGTTTCTAGCATTGTACTCTTTCTTTTAGCTTACCAAAGAACCGCTTTCCTGCTGCGTCTCATCTTGCGTTGTAGTTGCAACATTCCGTATAGGAGCGCCTCTGCTGTCGGGGGACATCCGGGTACATATATATCAACCGGAACGATACCTGTGAATCCGGATCGTACAGCGTCACTAACGTATAAATGATGGAGCCACGTACGATCACATCCACGAACAACCGAGTAGGAATAGTGGTAATATCCACCTCCATTGGCGCACGAGCCCATTGACACCACCCATCCTATAGCAGTCATGAATAACCCGATATCGCCCGCATATATATGACACGACTTACGAGGTTCAGGCATTTGGTCATACACTTTCCGCAATGCAGGTGCCATTTTGTTCGTGAGTGTCCCGGCGACAATCATAACTTCACTCTGCCGAGGACTGGCTCGGAAAATGATACCCAGTCTGTCCTGGTCATACCGAGCAGCAGCCATGTGCATCATCTCCACTGCGCAACACGCAAGACCTGCACGCAAGTATTACAACAGAATCTTCTTAAGCCCTGCAGCATATACTCGCCGAAAGTTACAGGCCAGAGCGAGCTTTGTCGCGCCCAATTCGCAATCTTGTCCACAGTAGATAGAATATACTCTACACAAATCGGCGAGAGGTGAGAAAAGATCCGCAGAAACTGGCTACCAACACGCACCTGATTTGTTCTGTGGGTGCTCGAGACTGAACTGGTTGGAATCTCTGTTCGCTAACTCCACCATTGGCTGAGCCGCAGATAACGAAAAAGAGGGAATAGATGACTGAGACGACGACGAAGGTTCCGCTTGCAAGGTCGGCCGCGTTGTATGCAGCCACCGGTGCGCTGCAACTCAATGAATATTCTGTTTGACGTGGTAAGACATTCGTAGACACACCGGAAAGGCCCGCCGGTCGCGTAGCTGCTCGTCGTCCAGCGGCAGCAACTACATAAGATACATAACATCAGCCCACGAGAAAAGAGATAGTAAATTCCAGCGAACCTGCCGTCTTCAAAGCCAGAGACATTGTGGTCAGCGTTGGAAAAGGAATTGCGACAACTCTGATTGGCTCCTACGATTCCGACTCTTCACGTGGCAACCTGGGGTCAGATAATCAGAAATCGTGGGAATCAAGCGAACCAATTTTAGAAGTGAGTGATTGTCTCGTCACGCGTGACTGTGCATGCCTCTCTTTCAAAATTGTTCGCCATGTCGACGTCAGATCTCTGCACTCTACTCCTGGGCACCACGCAAATACTATCGCACAAAGAAAGTCAAAATTGAGGTACCCGAATACTTCACTGACCTCCCGGACTTTCTACAATGGCGCAGCTATTTTCCATCCAATCCTTCACTTGCGCATCGTATATCTGTTGCGAATCCAGAAACTGCTAAAAAGATTGCCGATGCATTCGTGCCAGAAGGATCGAAAGATAAAGTCATCATTGAAGCGTATCCAGGTGTGATCCTTGAACATGAGCATGCATTCACATAATACTGACAAAAAGTCTTGTAGGACCAGGCCAATTGACAAGAGCATTACTCGCGTTGCCTAAAGAGCGTATCAAAAAGTTGATTGTACTCGAAACACATGACAATTATCTGCAGTACCTCAGGGTATGTCACTTCCACTGCTTCGGAACACGGTTCTCACCAACGCGAAGTCATTAGAAGATGTCGACGATAGAGTCAAAGTCCTTGATCTTCCCGCAGTGTCATGGTCAACATACGATACTGTGGAAGAAATGGGACTGTTAAAAGATGTCGAGGCACTACCCTGGGAGGCTGGTGGTAAGCTCACTTGCCCAAACAGTCTCCGAATGAACCAACGGTTTCTCTAGTACACCCTAACCTCCATTACATCTCCCATCTCAGAGCCACAATATCAGGAGAACAGTTCATTGCTCAACAATTTCGCACCATTCCTGACCGGCAATGGTTGTTTAAATTTGGTCGAGTACCTATGAGCCATGTCATGAGTGAATACGTATGGCAGGTATGCTCGTTGCTGGTTTTTGAGGTACTTGACTGAAATCTCATAAAAAGCGCGTATCTGGCGGACTAGGAGATAGATTAAGATGCAAACTTAGTGTTATCGCTGAAGCGACGGCCAAATGCGAGGAGGCGCTGCCTTTCTCAGAAACACAACCGCTTGAACAGCATTTTCATCCAGCACCATCTGAGGCGGTGATGACAAAGGTTGGGGAACTCCGACAATCCAAAAAAGCCGTAAAAGGGAGAAGATTGGGGATGCCTTTCCAGGTCATCAACTTAGTTCCTCGCGCAGACGTTGTATGTTGTCTTACACAAGGCTAAGGTTTCATCGTTCCTAACTATCTTCTCCCAGGTTATATCTCCTGAGACGCTAGACAAGTGGGACTACTGTTTGCGTCGGATGTTCGTACAAAAGGCGACACCCTTCAAAAAAGCACTACTGTAAGAGGCTTGTTCGTTCTTATCCTAGCATTTTACTCATTAAATCAGAATGCTAGGACCCGGTGCTGGGACACTAGCAAAGACAGTCTGCAATCCTGAGAATCCCGTGTGGGTTGATCCGGATGCAAAGATCAATTCTCTTACCACTGAACAGTGGCAGGTTGTAGTTCAGGCGTTCCACGAATGGCCTTTTGCTCCAGTAGTAAGTGATGCGGGTGACTATATCTCGTCTTTATGCTGACCGGAACACTCTTAGGATCTCGGCGTAGACTCTGTGGTAGCATCTCTAATGAAAGATTAAAGTCCATGTCATCATGACCCATCACACATGGCAAAGGGTCTGGTGAATCTGCATCCACTCAGGATCCATGGTCCGATTACCAACCTTCAAAAGAGGCCTCTATTATTTCTCGCTTGTTCGGATCATGAGCGACTTCAGTTCTCAGCAGAATAAATTCCCAATAGGCTACGATAACACCGTTTTGACCTAACTAATTCCCGGCCTTTATCCTGTCGATGACACCTGTGACGTCCCCGATTTTCGTAGTTTACGACCTTTACTCAAGGTAAAGCTTGTGCGGTGATCTGGTTATTTGCAGGAGTATGCTATTTGACTATTACTCTCGCCTAGAACAATACCTTCAGATTTATGCCTATGCCATTTCTGCAAAGTTCAAACACCAAAGCCAAGGTTGTAGCCTGTCACCATTGCAACCGCCTTTCAGCCGCATTTTACGCGCGACCTTCAATCAAAGTACAGGAAGGATAAGCTACTTCGTGGAGCAATGCTTTTTTGCATAAGCTTCATTGTAAACTGATAATACAGGGTGGTACAGATACACCGAAGGGCAAGGATCTGTGTAGCCATCAAAAATCCTATCTACGCCCTTCAGATAAAGAGAGCAATGCGGCAATAACAGGTAACAATGCAAAAGTGGGTACTACTATGAAGTTATAAAGTGTTCGATGCCAAGAAGGGTTCAAATAGGATGCTGGAGGTGTATAAAGTAGTTGATGAGGATAAAAGCGAGCCTTCAAGATGCAAATGGTAGTGTCCGAAAAGTCATATGAGATCTCTTTCACCAGGAAAAAGATTTTTAATCCGTGAGTAGCGATTAACATTCGCCAAGGAACGAGTTCTTAGGGAAAGGTTTCTGATAGTCATCAACCCAAGTCGTTAAGTTAGGATTCATGTACGCTTCAATGTATCTGTGGGACAGTCAGACGGGACATCACGCAGAACAAAGGTTTGATCGGACTCACTCGTTAATATACGCTTGTGTAGGAAAGTCCGGTGGATCACAGCCAATGTTAATGTTATTAGCAGGCTATCAAAAACATTAGTCCGAATTGTCAGTAGGTGCAAGAAGATATTACCCACCTGATATACTCGTATATAGTCAATTTTCATGTGAACTGGGAAGCCGAGATGTTCAAGATCGACAGGCCCGAAGTTTGTGGACATCCCCAAGTTTGCGATTATATACTATGTTTTTTTGTTAACGTTAGCACGCTGAATTTTGGAAAGTAGGTATACCATGGGCTCCGTTGGCACGGGACGTTCCGATATCTCAACAGACGCGTCAGGTCCCATACCAGCAGCTTTGATAGACCACGCAATCTGACTGTCCGATATCCATGTTATGTACTAGAGGAGTTTGAAGGTAAGTAAAATGCCGTAGGGTCCAGGAGAGACGTACCCCATCACTGTATCCTGATCACCATGGAATAGCACTCATTAGTACAGGAATGCAGAGTTTATCCGAGGTAGCCGGACACACCTGGTTTATACTGCAGAGAACTCAATATCAGAAACTATGCCCTGAATAGTATGCTTTGAAAGTCACCTCGAACCCATAAATCGAAAAGCAACCGCCCGTTTTCTCGTAACATTGAGTATTCGTGTTGGTCACAACCGACGTTGCTTCTTGTTCCACATTACCCGTGAAGGTGTTCAGCTGCGATATCGATGGATCTCGGACATAGAAATTGTCCGACGTATTTTGCCACACATACGCATAATTGAACGGCTGCATGAATAAGACGTGATGGTTCCTCGTACCGAGGAAAGATTTGACTTACCGCCCATTGTCCGGACTGGGATACCTGCGCTATCAACGCGTGTTCATTAATCTGCCAAAGATTAGAGACGTAAGACCAAGATGATGCCGAAACCTACCTGGGCCTCGAATACATCGATCTCAGGCGCAGAACGACCGACGAAGGAACCATCAGGATGAGTTGGGCCGGGGTGGCTTTCTCCTGGACATGTACACCGGGAAAGTCTTTGACCTGGCAGATATGAAAGAATGCCGCCCTTGCCCGCATCCCCGTCAACTGTGGCCGCTACAGGTTCACCATTGATGGTTTGATTAGCAACGGTACCAATATCACACGAGTCTGGTACGTGATATAAGCGAAGTTAATGTATCAAAGCCATTGCCACTTACCGTATGTATAAGGCCATGTGCCTTCGAGGGATGCACCATATCCTGCCCGTCCAAGATTGCCCATAGTCCAGACGGCAGGCCAGAGACCGAGGACGTTAGTGGTGCCCGGCAACATCACAGACGTCTCGATGTATCCTCCTGTGAAACAGAATTTGTTCCTATAGATGAGATAGTTGATTGATATCATAACAGTGCGTGACTCCAGTCCTCTTACCATGTCGATACCATACCTGCATATCCGTAAGGATAAGCATAAGTACTGTTTTAGAACAGACTCACTCACCGCCTTGGTAATGCAAATCGTGCGTCTCCTTCTCAGACAAAGTGATAACTAGGGACCCGTCCTCGGTTGTGATCGCTGCAGGATCATACCATTCCATGTTGTTGGTACCCTGAATATCTCATTATTAGATTAGATACGATTGATCTTGAAATTGAGAAACCAACCCAATAATGGAGATCCGCGGCTTCCCAGTATGGGTCGTCTCCAGGATAGAAAGATCGTCCGTCAGTATTGAATTCGTCTGAAAACACGAGTTGTAGATTTTGAGAAGGATCATTCCAAGAGGAAACCGTATAAGCCTCTCGAGGTGTGTCTAGATCTATGAGTCCAAAGTTTCCAGGGATATCCGGAACCTATGCGGCCGAAGGTGATAGGTGAGGAGGTGAAGCGGCACGATGGAGAAAAGAAGCCGCACTTGTCCGCTGGCATTCAAGCCACCAAAGTTGAATCCACCTTGGTTAGAAAGACCTCGGGAGGTGACATACGATGCCACTGGATATCCAATGCTGGGAAAGATCGGTAAATTTCATGTGGCGAACGGTGTGTGAAACATACAACAAAGCCAATATGCCAGCACATAACATGACGAGGCAACCGAGGTTTGTTACTCCACGTATTGAGATAACATGTCCGCCGATTTCTACCGCGTCTGGGCGTTCCTTGGGGGTGTGAATGTCATCATCCGGCTCTATCAAATCGGGCGAGAGATCTGACCCCCATTGTTGTGGGTCGGGAGAGAGAGAAAACTGAAGCACAAATGAACTAGTTTCGAAATTTGGATCGCTGTTAATACCAACTTTTTTGGATATCGCAAATAGCTCTTGGCTGACACTGTACGACGGGTATGGCGTGTCAAAGTTTGACTGGTCGAAGGACTCAGAGATGGAAAACGTTTTATCAGCAAGAAGGGCGTACGAGTTCAGACCACTTGCTGGAACTTGCACTCCGTGATAGCCTCGGTGAGGACATAGCGCAGAGATAGTACAGCGAGAACCAGTCACAGAGATGGCGAGAGCGGTCGACGACAGTCGTAAGAGGAAAAGACCAACCCTAGAGACGACGTTTAGCACGACGTGAAGCAAAAGAGGTAAAGGAAGCGAAGGCAAGAATGATGCTAATGTCTAAAAACGGCACATCCCACGCGAGCGGAAGGCATCAATCTGGCAATGCCACCTCAACAGTCGTTTTCGGGCAAATTCCGTCGAGTTCTGCCGTCCAGTAGTGACATCAGAATGAATATCGCCGTCAATTACGATTTTCGTCCCTCCGTCGGAAGCGCCCAGAGGGTGAGAGCTCTGAATTTCGGTGATTACGGCCTGTTCTTACCGCAATTTTTTCGATCATGGGCAAATCACGGCTGATCAGATCATATTTCAAATCCCTTGGCGACGACATATCCATTCTTGTGCTGCATCCTGCTACATCGCCCTGGCTGGCGACCAAAAAATACATAACGATTATCGACATGACAGCACCCGAACAAAGTACAACAACCGTGTCCATCATAAACGAGTACAACATCTACATATCCATAAACAAGAAAGAACTTAGCTAAAACGGACCTGCGCGCTACAATAACCGTGTAATAACCCCGAGACCCTGCACAAGAATAAGCGCTGTTTTGTAAACTAGGTCGAGGAATCGTACTTTGGTTTTGCCCTCTCGGAATAGCAGTTTCATTCCTTCCTTCACAAATTCAGGGTGTGAGATGAATTCAAACTGCACAGTGGCACGGTCCCCCGTTCGAAGAACCCCTTGAGGATGATCCATTCCGATGATTCTCACCGTTTGCCTCACAGCCTAAGAGGAATACATCAGCTTTTGATGGACTGCAAATGCAAGGTCTAGACATACGCCACAATGTAACATGGCCTGTAGGAAGTCTGTCAAATCGGCGCTGATACATTCAGCTTACACTCACCTGGTAGTTTCTTTGCAGCGTGGTGTTATGACTGGGAGGTTAGCCGTTAATCTACAGTAATCAACAACGAACGAAAATGCCGTACTATAGAATGAGGACCTGTCCCTCGAATTGCCGTATAGCTATAGAATGCATCAGTCAGTATTTCACACAGCTGCATATGTTCGCCGTCTCTTACCACGAGGAGGCGACTCCGATTTGCTCACCAAAACCATCCCCTTCCGGACAGCCGCTTTTCGTACCCGCTTCAAGGCAAAAGCGACACACTGGCCTGCATCAGCCGTTGTCACCGGCGCTCTGACACCCGTTTTTAGCACTATTTTTATCCGATATAGTCACTGCTGACGGGCCGCTTCTCCGCCCAAAGCCAAACGGCGAAGGATGTCATAGCATCAGCCTAGCACAACTATTTGGGGCCAAGCACGACGTATGTAGAGAACAGATGATCCCTAAGCATCCTCAGTCAGCATTCAGGTTTTGCCCGATATGCTGGTGCTGACGTATTTGCTACGTTCGAAAGCCCAGATGATGATTCATCTGGCATTTTTGTGCCCGTCTTGGTTGTCCCCAAACAGTCGGTAGCCAGGAGTAGATGCATATCTGGAGAATATCTTGGAAGAACAATCCGATTGGTCGACCAAGATATTCTCCAGAAGACCACGAGCGTATATGCTTTCACCGTTGCAACGCAGAGCTGGCAAAATATGTGAGGTGTGCCTCAAGCGGAAATTGGGATCCCAAGGAGGCAAGGCACCTTCTGGCGTAGTCGCTAAGGGCACAGTTCCGTTCCATTTCTCAGTCTGATCAAGATGCCTTCGCTTCCAACAATATAGGAAGCAAGCCTGTTCCACGGTGTCCCTAGTCCCGCTTGAGGCATCCTACACAGCCGCCGAACTCGTTTGTTACAGGATGTCTTGCATCCAGAATGGTCCGCCAGCCGTGTATGGAATAAAACACGTACCTTTTCCTTTGCATGCTCTTAATGACGGTGCTTAAATAATTCCCATTAGAATCCGGTCCCAGCAACACTGCGTCACCAGTCTTGGTGCTACCGTTGTTGACGATCCCATTCACGACTGTGCCCACATACGGCACTGACCACACGTCAGTGACAGAGAACTAGATGATGTCACTTGGGATTCAATGAATACATTCTTCCTGACTCACCTCTAGCGGCTGATTCGGCGCAAATTTGTCGCTGTCCGCCTCACTGGAGGGAAGTAGGTTCAGGAATGTGCGTATATAGTCAAGGCCTTCTCCAGTGACATTCGACACTTGAAAAATAGGGCAACGTCTAAAAGCAGGGTTATGTCAAGGATACGTAAATGCAATATACACTGTTCTTACTTGTCTTGCCCGAAAGAAGTCGCAATTTCGACGGATGTCTCAATAGATTTCACGAACACGGGTATTTTACTAGATTCCTTGAGATACGGTTTGTCATGGCAGAAATACAACTCACCGACACCCCGGGCTCCCCAGTATCTTGGCAACTTGTTTGATGGTCTCTGCAGTCACATTGGGTGGTGTCATGTCAATCTGACATTAATAGTTTAAACAAGATGCTGTAATTAGAAGATAATAATTGACCTTAGTGATACAAACGACGATCGGTACACTCAAGGCCAGTGCAATGGATAAATGCTCTTTCGACATTCCAATCAAGCCCGCATTAGCACCGACAGTTAATATGACGCAGGAAGGTGCGCCCGACGTTAGTCCATAGAGAGTAGTTTTGAGATATCGCTCATGGCCAGCAAGGTCTATAGAATGCGATCATGTTGGTACTTTTAGAATAGATGCATGGCTTACCAATGAAAGAGACAATTTTGGCAGCCTGTATGGAAATCTCTTCCCAGCCCAACTTTTCTCTTCGTATAACATCCGGGTCGGAAGAATTTGCGGTGGTAGGGAGGATCGGGGCGCCCGAAGGTCCAAAGCCAAGGATCTCCATTCCTACGCTGGACGTCCGCCCAGTTTCAATTTCGTGTTTGTGTCGAAAGAGAGCTACCCGCGCCCGACCTCTCCCATCATCTAATGCACCTGATTGAAAGTTTAGCGAGGAGTAGAGTTTCTATAGCCGGTACAACATGCATACCACGCGTCAGTACACCCAGGGTAGTAGACTTCCCGCTGTCAACGTTTCCTACTACAGCGCATCGAACTTCCGGAGTGAGAGAGACATTTGGAGGGGGTAGCCGTAGGAGGAGTGATATTCGCGGATGTCCAGTCCTAGTTTCGCAAAGTACGGAAACCTTTCAGATGAATGAGTAGCTGCCTGCAACGTGATCAGTTAAGTGGCGACTTCACCTTACCGCCAATCTCCTCAACAGCATCAGTAATTCTTTGCCGTAACGTGTCCAAGTCTTGTGCAGTCTTCTCAGTTCCTGTCCATCCGTCCGACGAGTCTGTGAGCTCTCCAGAGAACAATAACGCATGCGGCGGTTGGGAACCAATTCGTAGGACATATTCACCGTAATTTTGGGTAATCAAGGCAGCGATCATGTCTCGCGCCGAGTTGAAGTCATTGGGCAGTCTAGACTGTAATAAAGTCTTGTATTATCGTCAGTACAAGTCAAATGACAGAGAGCGTCGTATTACCAAGATCTCCTCCTCTATCTCGGAGAATCCGGTGCTATCAGCATGCTCGCCCAAGACGACAACCGTTCTATGTTCGTCAGCTTTCTCTTTCCCCTTCGATGAAAAGTCCTTGTTATCCTTCTCCTTTGCCATGGGCTCGCTCAAGACGATGACCTTTTTATGTTCATCGGCTTTCCCTTTCCCTTTAGACGGAGGATCTTTGTTATCCTTCTCCTTTGCCATAACCGCTGCTCCTTGAACTCGCCGTTTAGCCAATTCGCGATTGCGTATGTCTTCGATTTCGGTCTGAAATGCTTGAAAGCGGGTCATTTTCGAGGTAGCATCGCCTGTTTTATGTGTCATTTTGACAAGAGTCAAGTTGACGAAATTTGGCATAAACTGACTCGATATGCCAAACTTACATAATCTGACCCCAAGTTGGTATGTTCATTAGCGGAGTCGACCAATTCATACTGTTTTCCTGTTCATGGAAAGGAGAGATTCAATCGACACATATGAAACAGGGAATCCACCAAAGGGTATATGCATTTATATCTAGTGAAGCCATACTATGGAGAGATATCAAGTTAAAGCGCTGACTCCCTGAGTAGGTTCGGATCAAGCCCCTCACGTGCCGTCGAGCCGGCTTCTTACATGAGGGCAGACTCCTTCCCATTCTCCTTCATGGGGGGTAAAAGCTGCTTCGCAGCTGTGGGGTATCGAATAGCTTACATCGTATCTTATCTTATCAATACACGTGACCTTCATAAATTTCTTGAACCTTATTTTTTTTACCCCCCATTACGGAGACTGGCGTCTTTTGCGGTGGCGCGTTGCGCATGTTTGGCTGAACCTTCCCTTGCCTCAGTGGCCGTACTTCCTGAATTCGAAGGACCTGCACCGAGACGTCAAGTATTGTTACATTGTTTTGTTCAAGAATGCTTATAATCTGATTCAGCCAAGGTATGCTGCATGTAGCATAACATGCTGAAATGTATGCACAGATAGCTCACTCGGAGGACGGTATAAGACAGGTGAGAACTCAGAACAAGGTCAATTTATTCTGAAAATGAGACAACATGAAATTAAATATGGTACATAGACTACGTGCAGCCAACAAGGCAATATCAGGAGCAACTAATTGGTCGACGAGTGTCCGGCCATTCATCCGAGTTTACCGAAAAATTGCCCTCTGGCACAAGTCAAATTGGGAACAACCCAGGCACCGCATGTATGAGCGTGTATGAGCGCCGGGTGGGAGACGTTACATCCAATAATAAAGTAATGAAGTCCGTGAGTTTGTAAGTCCAAGTAGTATTTAAGTCCGTATGTGAGTCCATTATAAGTCCAGGATTAATGTCCAGGGTGGGTGCGAAGAAACACGGTGCTCTGTCGGTTCAACGAGAGCACTTCATAAGCTAAAGGAAACACTACAAGATAAGGAGAAAACGTACCTGGCGGTTCAACGAGAGCGACAGGTGTTCACGCTGAGACCGCCAGGTCTATATAGTCCAAGGAGAAAGCAAGACATGAGGAGGAAGCTAAAAGCCCGTTAGACCATGTAGGGCTTGAGGACTGTGTCGCGCACTCACTGGTGAGACGGCTGAGACTCCCGGGGGGAGGCTCCCGTGGGGAGGCTGAGACCGTATGTGATAGATACAGGAAATTACGCGCCAAGGAGCGGCCGACGCCTGCGAGAGAGCGTGAGAAGGCGAGAGGACCCGATTAGAGGGATCTCTTACCAATTAGACTTGTGTAAAATAATTCCTTTAAACCCGACTAATTGGTCGACGAGTGTCCGGCCATTCATCCGAGTTTACCGAAAAATTGCCCTCTGGCACAAGTCAAATTGGGAACAACCCAGGCACCGCATGTATGAGCGCTATTGGGTAATAGAACTTTAAGTGCGTTGGGAATGTGTGCGGTGAACTGGCTAGGAGGGGGGTGCTCTCGTGTTGATCATCACCTGTAGGATGACGGGGTTCTTGCGAATATATATTTTGAACGCTGTGGAAGACCATCGACCTCGCGCTTGTATGAGATACGGCAGTACTCCCTGTGCAGCAAGATCGGTAGTGCCTCCTGCTCGCATGGATTGGCCAGCGATCTTCATGCTGGGGAAGATTTGCCGCAGCCTCTTCATGAACCAAGAACGTGTGGGAACGGATCCAGCAGCGGTGACCCATAGTGCAGGATGAACGAGGTGTCGGCTGTCTCTGCGGGCAAGATATCGTCGAAATACAGGGAGGGGGTTGAATGAGGGGTCTTCGTCCAGTCGGAATGATGACTTTATTGCCCTCGAATGCTGTGTCGGCTTTGTGGGCAGGCAGGAAAAAGGCGTAGCCTTCAGGGAGCCATTCGACAGTTGTTCTGCGGACGATCTTCCTCCAATTGCGAGCTTTCTTCTTGTCGGGCATACTCAACTCGGCGAGGCATAGCAGGCCATTGAAGCCTGTGACTAGCAGCGCTAGGAAAAGGCAGTCATCATAATCGGTTGACTGTTCGAGTGTTTTGATTGCGTGGCGTATGTTATCGCGTGAGAGAGGGGATTTGCGCTTGACCTCGGATCCTTTGAGTCTCTTGCAGCCTTTCAGGGTTTTGCTGACCATGGGCGAGTTCCTTACATCACGAACATCTGGGAAGAAACTTTCTAGTCTGTTGCAGATCCCGGAGAGGTAGGATCCCACTGAGTCTGGCTTGATGTGGGCAGACATGAAGACGATGTAATAGCTCAAGGTATCCTCGGTGGGTTGGACGGGGAACTTGTGAATTTTGCAGAATGTGATGTAAGAGTTTAATGCAGAGTTATACGGTCCCAGGGTTGATGTATCAATTGCGGAGCCTAGAGCAAGGCATCGCTCGTGATAAAGCTTCTCCAGGGTCCAAGGTTCACGAGCCTTTTGTCTGGACCCAGGAGTGACGTCTATCAACATCTTGACGCCCCCAGCACATCGTGAGGGGGTGTGAATGGAAGGATTATGAGATCAGGGACCAAGTCTCGAGCCCTTGAGAACTGTGAGCACGACAAGGCGTCCGCAACATCGTTCTCAGAGCCCAGGATGTGCAGCACGCGCAAATCGATGCTGTGACTAATCATCACGTCGACGGCGGACTTTAATATGGGATTGTAAGTGGGGGAGGCCTTGAGGGAGCTGAAGATATTGACCGTGTTGGAGTTGTCCGTCAAAATGGTCACACGTTTCCTTAGCTCAGGAGACAGGGTGTCTGCAACCCAGTGAATCGCAGCGCAGACGCACAAAGCCTCAAAGAAAAAGATGATTTCGTCTCCACCTGGCAAGTCAGGCGTAGGGCAGGTGAAACCACAAGCTATTCTCGGGATCCAGAATCCCATACCATCGAGGCATGCATCGCATAGGATAGTGACTGTAGCGTCTGAAATCGGGTCCCAGTCAATGGAATCGAAGCAGCAGACGCCTGTTGACCTCTCAATGTGATCTGCGAGCCACCTAAGGTCGTCCTTGACGGCATTACTAAGGGCAATCCTGGCAAATGGGTTCGTCTTGCCTTCCATTTTGGCATACACGTTGCATAGTCCTGGTTTTAAGAGCGGAAAGACGTTGAAGAACCAGTTCGACCATCCTGCGATTTGTTGGTACTCCTGCAGATTGCGGCGATTTGATGAGGCAAAGTACCGAAGAGCGAGGACAAGCTCCGCCTTAGAATCGTCAGGCATAGTGGCCGTCATTGCATTTGGGTCGACGTCAAATCCGATGACTACGAGTTGCAAACCAAAAAGTTGCTTAGGCTTGGTATGAGGCACACCCAGTCGATCCCACAACTTGAGCAACTTCGTCTGCTTGGAAGGGTAGAACGCGTCATATGGCTCGTAATATTCCAATCTCCCCCACTCATCAAACCCGAAATCGTCATCAACATAGCAACCCAAGTCCTCGATTTTCTCAACGTTGATAGCTACCCATGTGACAAGCCCATTAACACTGTACCAGACCCGGTAGGACCCTCTTCCGCCGAAATTATTGTTACAGTCGACGGTCCTGACTAGTGTCTCCACCTCACCAGCAGCTTTCTGCTCGCTCGTGAGGTACCCAGTCGTGACAACTTGTTTGAGCTGCCACAGAGGATGCATCGGGCAGAGCCTGTAGGCCTTTGACACATCGGACTTGAACGCAATGAGGACCCTTTTTGCGTTACTGGGAGATTTCCGCCTGTAGCGCAGTATAGCGGAAAATAACATATGCAGGCCATCGAGACGTGAGCCCACTATGTCTGAGTGTTGAATCATCTGATTGGGTGCATAAGAGCCTGCTGACATATTGGATACCATGCGCAGGTCTTCCGAACGAGGCTTGGGGACTGCATGAACAGGGGTACTATACATCCCTGGGAGCAAATCGGGTCCGAAAGGCTCTGAGAAACATCCGGCGGCAATTTCTTCATCCCGATATCTGCTAATGAACTTCTGTTCCATGTCAGATCGGGGACTCATCCTCGCGTTGTCCCAAGTGAGTGGGAACTCCGTCGTTGGTTGCGTATCTGCCCAGGGCCAAAAACCTTCCTTGAGCGATGTGATGACAGATTGGACAAACTCTTGATTGGGATGCGTAGCAAGACATTCTTCCAGGACGGCGACCTTAATGGGCGTAGTGATCTTGAACAACCAAGGGTGATCCTCAATCGTTTTAACGGCCTCCGTGTTCTCGTATTCCTTCGCTGGAGGCCGCGGCACCGGCAACTCAAATTCAGTACAACTGGCGGTTCGGCTTCTTCCGGCATCCAACTCTGAGAACACAAAACCTCTTTTGTACTTCGGCGCGAAACCTCTGTCTCCTTTCTCCCACTCATCTCCCTTGGCCCCCCTCTCAAACCTCCCTCTTCCCTCCAAGACCTCCCTCTTCACCTCAGGCTCTGCTCGGGCAAGAGGAGACAATGTGTCCTCCTTTGCAACTTGAGCACACATGCCGGTATCTGCACTTTCCATCTGCCGAAGGGCAGACCCCTGCGTTCCACCTCCTACAGGCGTCGAGACTCCGAGCGCGTTCGTTGTTCTTCCTCTTTGGCCTCGACTCAGCTCGCCCTTCTTCAAACTCTCGGTAACCGGTCCCTGAGGTCGAAATATGCGATCGCTCAAGGTCGCAAAATTTGTCTGTTTCCGAGAGGAGGATGTTGCGGCATCGTTCGACCCTATTTCGTATGGCTCTGTCGAGGACGAACACCCGACCATGGAGGGAGATGGTGACGGTTCTGAAGAGAGATGACATGTATTGCTGGTAGAGAGAGAGTTCCTGGTATCGATGCGGGAAAGCAACGAGGATTTCCTGAGTGTATGTGTGCCAAGTCGTTGTCCATTCGTCTGCTGTTTTGATGGTCCTTTTAGGCTCGGCCGGGTCCGGCGTGTTCTCTGAGAATCGGATAGCAATTCCCTCAGATATTTCATGAGTCTGGACTTCATTGATCGAGGTGGAATGGGTGGCTGCGAAGACGGAGTCGAGATTGACGGCTTTTCCTGCCAAGAGGGCGAGCCATTGCTCTTCGGGAAATTCGGGACACTCAGGAGAGTTGGTGATACTTCGCCTGGCAGCCTTGAGATCAAGGGTGTAGTTCTCGACGAGTTCAAGGGTACGTTGTAGTTCAGGGTGGAGGAGCGCTCGCCTAATATCTCCAACAGGCTGCCACGGGAACTGGGACTCGTCGATACGCGGTCGTTTAGCAGGCCCTCGGCCCTCATCATCATGATCCCCATCTTCTGAGTCTCCCCCGTGATCAGATCCGTCTCTTCCCACATCTCCCTGATCATTCTCCTCTTCGTGGAAATCAGCGGCCCGTGGTCGACCTTGTCTTCCCTCTTCCTCTTGGTTCCTAGCCCTGGCACGGACTTGGGCTTCTCCTTCTCTGTGGAGTGTTCGTTGCTCGTTTTCATAATTGTCGAGCATCTCGACATAGATCCGGAGGGCGTTGTTGAAATCGTCGTCATGCTCGGGTCTGGCAGCGAAGAACTCGGAGAGGACCCTGAGGATTTGGGCAAGGACATCCGGCTTCGAAGGGTTGACGCCCGTGCGGAAAGTCTCGACAATAGCATCACACCGGATGGTGATTTGGGCCTGGGGTGCATCCGGTGGAGCAGGCGAACCTTCATGACTGAGAGAGCGTCTGGCAACTCCGGTGGTGGCTGTCTGCTGAGTCGAGCCTCCAGTGGCAGGCGTGTTATTAGAGGGTTGCGTGGATCCATTAGAGCCAGAAGACATAGCCAGAGTTCAAGTTTAGTTGAGTCTTAGGAGACGATGGAATAAACAGGTTTATTCAGAAGTGCGAAGAAACACGGTGCTCTGTCGGTTCAATGAGAGCACTTCATAAGCTAAAGGAAACACTACAAGATAAGGAGAAAACGTACCTGGCGGTTCAACGAGAGCGACAGGTGTTCACGCTGAGACCGCCAGGTCTATATAGTCCAAGGAGAAAGCAAGACATGAGGAGGAAGCTAAAAGCCCGTTAGACCATGTAGGGCTTGAGGACTGTGTCGCGCACTCACTGGTGAGACGGCTGAGACTCCCGGGGGGAGGCTCCCGTGGGGAGGCTGAGACCGTATGTGATAGATACAGGAAATTACGCGCCAAGGAGCGGCCAACGCCTGCGAGAGAGCGTGAGAAGGCGAGAGGACCCGATTAGAGGGATCTCTTACCAATTAGACTTGTGTAAAATAATTCCTTTAAACCCGACAAAAGGCAGCGAAATGGGCAGGAGGAGAAGGTTCAGCCAAACATGCGCAACGCGCCACCGCAAAAGACGCCAGTCTCCGAAATGGGGGGTAAAAAAAAATAAGGTTCAAGAAATTTATGAAAGTCACGTGTATTGATAAGATAAGATAAAAATACATTAGGGTCTTGTCATACTGCGAAGCAGTTTTACCCCCCATTGAGGAGAGTGGGAAGGAGTCTGACATGAGGGTAGCCTGGCAAGCCGTCTTTATTATATACTCGCGGAACTCGTATCTGTATATAAAGCCTGGTACCCGGGGCGGGGGTCCATAGGGGAACCCCCCAATCTCAACATATTTTAAAGTCCGACAAGATTGCCGGTATAGCCGCTCACTAATGTATGATGACTCATAGCTGCAATTGACCGAAATTGGTGCTGCCTCATCTTCACCCTCGCCATGGACAATACCGGACAACTCAACGATGGTGAAAACAGCCAGGATAGTGACATGGCTATTTCCGATGATGAACGCCTGTCTGAAACGACTCAAGCAGGTCAAACATCGCATGCGATGCTTCACTGGGCTGGATTCGGCTTGTTTTTGGAGCTCCTGTAGCGCTATCATATATCCAGAGAAATATGTCGTCTTGCCACCAGTCCTGACAACAGAAATGAGATGGGTGCCATCTAAAGCCTTGCAGATGCCCTCAAGCACATAATCATGGATGTCGTGGGGTAGCCGAGGCCGAATAAGCTGTCGTACAAGTGCCTGGCCCACCGGCGAGCATAATCCGTCATTTGCGACATCTTCATCGGACATAGAAGGCAGTATAGGCGAGCGTAGAGGAAGCGTTGATCAACGCAAACGAGCCACGATCGCGCTACGCGTGGGGCACGTGCCGGCTTCATGGCGGCATCCTTTCGGAGTTCGAAAATCGCTGAGATTGGAGGGTTCCTCTGTGGACCCCCGCCCCGGGTCCCAGGCTAACATGAGGGGCTTGCTTCAAAGTCCGGAAATATATTAAGACGTTCACCGATGTTTCCTGCGCTGGCAACACAACTTGACAATTAGATAGAGCGGAGTAAGATGTAGCTAATAACCTAATACATTGCATAGGTTGCTAATTTTTGCTCAAAATTCCGGGAGTGCACTTTAAACCAATTGCCGAGTGCTGTCACATTCAACAACGGCATCAAGAAGTACGAACTAATCGTAATGGAGGTGAGAGTCAAAAAAATCGGAAAAAATGGCATTTAAATAGCGAAAGACTGTAATGTCAACCATGGATTATTTAAGAGCCCAGTGCACTATACTCGAAGCAAAATTCATAGATTGCAGAATATGAGACACGTAGTCACACCTTGTCACGGGCAATCGCAACTCTGTCCGTCCTCATTGACCGCTATTGCATCGATAGCCTTCGCGCGAGCATGCATGACCTGTAGTTCATTCCAATCAGTCAACATTGAAAAAGGATATATCAGCTGTTTCGCCCGTCGTGGGAGGAAAAGATGTTGGCATAGCATGCAAGGCTCACAGTGCAACAAAGGCGCGTCGAGTTCATGTGCGATGCAGCGAAATTCTGAATAAAAAAGGAGTGCATATCAATTACAATACGTAAGACAGTCGACTGAACGCGTCGCAGCCTACCGGCAGCTGTACTTACTAAGCCATGAAGGTTTCTTTGCCAGAAGTACACAAAAGGAAGAGAGCAGACTTAAAGGCCGCAATTTGGAGATTTGAAGGCATGGAGTGGGGACAAAATAGTGCACACAGGTAGAGTAAGGTATCATGAATAAACCTCCAGATAAGCTAAGAGAGCGGATGAAAAACGAGCGAACGAGACGCGCACTGCCGTCTTGCAATTCGGACGGACTTAGCAACAAGCCCTGAGGAAACAATGCACGGTATTTGTATGTATTTGTGCGTCGGTCCAGTCTCCCCATCACTGCCCAGTCACGCAGTCACCGAACCGCTGCGTGTGACTGACCGTGTTTTCGTGGCCCACCACCATGTCCAAACTCATTTCCAACTCTGCCCACGGCCCAGGGACCACTAGCCTTGCATTCTCAAAAGATGGATCGTTAGTTGTGCCGTTGCTCGTGCATCATTGAAAAACTGACAGATGACGCGTCGCAGACACGCTTTCACAGGTGGCCAAGATTGTATAGTAAGACTATGGAGAATGGACGAAGGCGCCGAGCAGGAGCCAGAAACGGCTCCTGATGCTGATTTACCGATCACCTGCATTACAGCTTGTGTATGTGACTTCGACCCGTACTTTCATCAACCTTCTCACCAATTTCTAGGCGGACTGCTGGCTTTCAGGGAGTGAAGACGCACAAGTTCGGCGGTACCTCAAGAATAGCAACGAATGCGATGGTTATGCTGCTTCTGTCAACGGAGTACCAGTACGATGCTTGGCGATTGATTCCAAGGGAAGAAGACTTGCTGTTGGTTCCGAGTGCGTGGCCTTTCTGATTCCATACCGCCAACTTACATTCGGTAGCGAATTATCTGTGAAGGTTATAGACATGGAAGATCCCGCCAAAGTCAACAGTTTAGAAGGCCACCAGAGCGGGGTGCGACGAGTAACCTGGCACCCTACGCTACCTGTATTGGTATGTTTCGCTTATGCTACCAGTGTGTATATGTTCACCTCATAATTACTGTATAGGCGACTTGCGGGTGTGATGGTAAAATTATCATATGGGATATGTCAGAAGAGGAGCCCAAGATTGAGAAGCAGATAGATAGTATCATTCCTACTGTCAGAGACACAGAGTGAGTTTCGTCGTCAATACTTTTCTAAGCCTGACTTATGCTGTTGTAGGTCCTCTGACTTTTTCCATGATTGTTCTGCAATTTGGCATACATCCGGTGAATATTTTTTCATCGTCTCACGCATTCATGGTGGGTTTCGACTTGGCTAGACTCCGCACTTTTAATCGAACTGTATTCAGACGTAGTTGCCATCTCACGTTCCGAAGGAACGAAGATGTCGACATTCGCTGACAATGACGTTACCGGTACGACTACTGCTATAGCCATGTCAGTTAACGGCGCCTACCTTGCTTCGGCAACAACTTCGGCAGTATGTGTTTGGTCCACCACAACGCGACGTATAGTGGCGAAGTAAGCATATTCATTTAGGACGTACTCATCAACTGATTTCTTTGCGTAGACAACCAACAAACTCAACTGCTATTATTACTCAACTTGCTTTCTCGCCGAAGCAAAATATCATTGCCTGGACAGACTCAAGCGGTCAACTCATTCGCTGGATCGATGCTATCCCGTCGCTGTTTCCCGATCCCATAAAGCCGATTATCTCTACTAAGGGTGCCACGACGCATCAGGTTGAACAGCCTACGACGTCCTTATTCGATGAAGATAGTCGAATAGATGACGCCCTAGACACTGGTGATTTTGTTCTTAGTGACGATGGCGAAGCTGACGACGTGACGCGTTGGAATGACCCCAGCGATTCGAAGCACATGCAAGACACCAAAGAACCTTTCAAAAACAAAGGCTATATGGTTAAGGAAATGGGTAAGTCGTACGCCTTCTCTTTATAAACTTGAGTTTCAATGGGAACCTGTTGACAGTGAGTATTACGGAGGCCCAACCGCCTTTCCAATCAGGTTCAACACCAATGGACAACAAGAAAAGATATCTAGGTAGTTTCAATATTTTGATTCGTCTTTCAGTTTTTGAACCTCGGGAACCCTTTTAGCCTATAACACGATCGGAGTCATTGAAGTCACTGACCAGGATATTCACAATATTGTCAACATTGAATTTTTCGACCGCTCAACAAGACGGGGCCAGCATTTTACCGACAGTCTCAAATATGATCTTGGCTGCCTCGGTAGGCTCATCCACACTCCAGCCTTTCAAAGTCTCATTGTTATTTAGGTGAACGAGGAGCCCTGTTTGCTTGCCAGCCTGAAGATAACCACACAGCCAAAGTGACATTCAGGCCGTATGGATCATGGTCCTCTCAAAGTGATTGGTCCTATGATTTGAAAGGTCAAACCCGCGTTCTCGGTATCGCCGTTGGCGGTATCCCACCATCCACCAGTCTTCGTCAAGGTTCCGAAGAAGATCTGAATGGCCTTGGAAACGTCGTTGTAGCTACTAGTCAAGGGGACTTAACATTCCTGAGTGGTACTGGGAGGGAGCGGCGAATCATTGGTCTAGGCGCTGATTTTGTGTCGATGGTTGCCGGGACAGAATGGGTGTTCGTCGTTCATCGCGCTGGCGCAGCAACAATTGATGGTCAGTACCGAGGAATTTTCTCCAGCATTTTGAGTTTACGAAACCCGTTCTAGGGTCTCAAAATCTGTCTTATAAACTCATCAACTTTGATGACTTCAGTGTTCGACAGCGGGACGTTCTTCCCATCCCAAAGAACCATACACTCAAGTGGATTGGAATCACCGACCAAGGGGTAAGCATTTCTACTCATCCCATTCAACGTCTGGTAATCTCGGCGCTGTCTAGGCACCTGCTGTTTATGATTCATCAGGACAGGTACATATACTTACGAAATATCGAATCCCGCATCACGGCTCCTGGGTCCGTGTAATGGACACGAATCTTCTCGAAAGGAGAGAAGGAAAGGACGAATCCTACTGGCCTGTTGGGATTACAGGAAGCACGTTCATGTGCTTGATCCTTAAGGTGCGTCATCTTACTGTGCAAGATCTGCAGATCTGACGGGTCTTTTACAGGGAAGACAAGGGTATCCCGGCTTTCCTAGGCCGCTGATTCAAGAGCTCCCTATGCGGATGCCATTCCGGAATGATAATGCTCTTGAAGAACAGTACGCGACATCGCCTCGTGTGGTTGCCTTGATTTAATGTTCAAACAATATTTCAGAGTCGAACGCGAGTTATTTTTCCGCGATATGGCTGTCGACATTCTCGACGAGGAGCTTACTACCGAAGATATCATCGCAAAGGAGCGGGCCATGGATAAGGAATTCCTTCAGCTCATTCAAAGCGCCTGCAAAGCGGATAACATTCCCAGGGCGATCGAACTAACGAAGTTACTTCATCACGTTCACTCCTTTGACTTGGTTGTCAAGATTGCAGATTTCTACCATATGGTCGGGTTTAAAGAGAAGGTCCTACGACTGAAGCGGATACATGAAGACAGCGAAGACCGCCTAGCGCTTGCTCGTGAGAAACGACGACGGTGGAATAAAGCCGATCCTCCCCCCCGGCGCTTAGTTGATACTGAGGAGCCGTTCTCTGACCGGCCTAAAGCGTTCCAAGACTTTGGACCACCACCTTCAATACACAGACCCGGACTTTCCCGAGCTACTCCTGCCGTTGAAAAGACGCGATATTCGTCTGTAGCTCCGGTATCCACCCCAAAATCATGGGAGGAAACCACTGCTTCCGAAGAAGATATCACTCCGGATGGCAAACGAAAACGCAATCCTTTAGGAGAGTCACCCAGTGACCTGATGCCGCCTCCGAAGCAAAGTGAGTCCATCTTGAAATTATAACCAAGTCTCTGAACATGTGGTTTTGATAGAATCAAATCCATTTGCTCGCAAAACTGCGCAAGAAAATGGCCGGAATCCTTTCGCGAGAAAAACTGACACGAACAAAGTCATACAGAAGAGTGAGAGCTTTTTCGATAAAGTTGATGCTGCTGAGGCGGATCCTGGGAAGAAACGCAAGTATATCATAACTTTGTCGCGACGTCTTTACTTATTATTTACCAGGACCCGCGCCGAAGACGCAAGGGAAAGACAAGAAGGAGGGTTCTCGCCAAACAACCTTGTTTGGTCTTATGCCTGGCGTCAAAACAGGTGAAAAGAAGGCTCGTCCTAGAAAGAAGTCGGGCGATGAGATACCAACCTCCCAAGCGACTGATGTTTCTATGTCAGACGCCATACCAGAGTCGGAGGCAACACTTGTAGATCCAGACCAGGTGCAAGACCTACCCGATGACGGACAGGAGACGCAAGTAGAAACCCAACTGGTGGAAGAGATGCAAAGTATAGATTGAACGAACGACTCATATGGAAGATGTAATATATGGTTCCTAATCTCTCAGCACTTGTAGAACACTCAATTGATCTAATTTATCCACCCGAACACTAGCAGGTCGTGTGTGTCGTAAACATCCGAAGTATAAAACAGAAACTGAATCTCGTCAATCTCGTTCATCTTTTCGCAATCGCTGCCCTCAGTGCTCCAAGTCCGCGCGTAGACACAACGCTCCTCCAGACAAAATTGACGCTCTCGTCGGCGTCGAGAGACCTGAGAATTTCCTTGACGCCAGATCCAGTAGCATATCCAAGATAAACCATGGCGACCGAAATCGCATCTGCTCGACAATCCCGCGGAACCGTGATGAGCACGTTGCTACTAAGGCGACTCCGCTTTGAATGGTATAACGCCGAAAAGATGAAATCCCTGGCTGCAGTATATTGCGTGACACTAAGACCGGAAATTTTATCGTCTGATTCCGCCCTAGTTGGACCGGGTTCGTACATCATTCCCCCGCTCATGAAAATGTCCATTTCCGAACATAAACGCTGCATCTCAGGGAGATATGAGAGATGCATACGAGGTGGAAGAGATAGGTCCAGTACGCTTGTTCTGGTGTTCTCGTCGTAGTAGTGGTCGGATGTGGGAGCAGGAGGGGCTCGCGGCGTGATCTTGACGATGTGCGTAAATTTGTCGCCATTGGGTGTCGTCAACTCCTCTGCCATACTACGAACGCCACCAAAGGAGGCAATGTCTTCCTCGAACGCAACGTACAGGCAGTCCGTGATCTCTTGTAGACATCTCGACTCGTGGATTTGGAAGGGGGGCTTCTTGGTAGTGGTTTCACGGCTCCAAAACCTTTTGCTAGACTTTGCGGGCGTTGGGGAAGGCGTGCGTGTCGTTTTTGCGGCAGAAATGGAAGGAAGCTCTATATAAGATTTGTTGGGCCGACCGATTACACGCAGCGCAACATTGGTGGGCAGAGGGTCGGTGTATCGGCGAGGAAGATGGCGAGATTCTGGAGAAAGAGCTCCCTTTCCATTGCTTTTAACTGACTCGTCGTTAGCTGAAGGCGAGGTCGGGCGGGTAGAGGTTGGGAAAAAGGAGGATGTAAAGGAGGAGAGAGGTGATGAGATTGTGAATCCTTTCATCTTGCGCAGAGAAAGATTGTCTACTTGATGGTGCACTCCGGAACTTTATATACCTCCGCTGAGGCCTTTGGAGCTGATCGTGATCGTGATCGTTCCACGGAGTCATTTCGACTTTCTGAAGTCTCATCATATGAGACGGAGGCAAACCGGGCAAAACACCAGCAGAGTTCTGGGTACTTTACATCTGGCGTGGTCACATATTTCGGCGCACGAAGACGATACTGGAGACCCAGGGGAACACCCAGAAAAACACATTGGAGATATCCTTAGTCGTACAGAATTGGCAAGGAACTTCTGCTTTGACTTCATAAATCATGTCCCCTTTCCATCAAGTTCCTCAGAATGATCATGACGATCAGACAGTCCAGATACCGGGGGGAACTTTCTCGCATGTGAAAGAATTGAGCAAGTGCTCAGATTTAAGAGGCACTAGTATGAGCAGACTCTGTAGACAAATATCGAATGAAGTATTTCGGCCATGATATGCATCCACGTCGTACAGACATTGTATAGGTTGGTAAATCAAGCGAAGATTAAGCTGGAGCAAAGCCAAGTAACGAGACAGTTCGAGTTTTGGCTCTACATGTTGAAGGCGCAGTGGGAGACGTCACCCAAAGGTCGCAGTCATATAGTGAAACCGCAGGAGGCCCGGGCAATGGCGGTCCACGTCAAATTGGCTAAGCCCAAGTCAAGAGCCATCCGATGAATATGGCACGAGGTAAAAAAAAAATACGCAGAGAAAAGCATCTGTTCTTACTAATAAACTTGACAATTCAAGCCCAATGCCTGATAACAAGTCACCGACATGACTGATAACCGCAAAACCGTCCTGATAACCGGGTAAGCCGTATTACTGTGAGCATTGATCACGTTTATCCTCTATTTTTCTCAGATGTAGACCCGGTGGTATAGGGAACTCCCTGGCGAGGGAATTCCATTCCAATGGTGTGTGATCAAATATGGTTTGCAGTCAGAAATTTCATCACGCATCAGGATATCGTGTCTTTGCCACTGCACGTTCCAAGGATCATCTCGTCGACCTCGCTGAACTTAATATCGAGGTCTTTGCCTTGGACGTAACGTCGCCCTCCGATATCCGGGACGTAAAAGCGGACATTTCTGAGCGTACTGGTGGATCTCTCGACATTCTCGTGAATAATGCTGGCTTTGCGTGCACGATGCCTGCTCTTGATTTAGATTTTACTATCGTGCAAAAGACATTCGAGACCAATCTCTTCTCAGTGATGCGCATGGTCCAAGCATTTTCCAGTCTATTGATCCAGGCGAAGGGGACGATTGTTAATATAGGATCCATCACCGGTATAGTGCCCTATACCTTCGGGTGTGAGTCAGATGCCTTTCTTCATTCCAATTACTAATTGAGGTGCATTTCCAGCGTCGTACAATGCGTCCAAGGCAGCCTTGCACTCGTATAGTGACACACTTCGTATAGAACTTAGTCCGTTCGAGTAAGTTACACGTATGCGAACATCCGATAACTCTTTTTTGACCATTAGAATATTCAATATTGCAGTGTCAAGGTTGTTGTAGCCATCACGGGTGGTGTGCTTAGTCGACTTACAGTCAACAAGCGAGACCTTCCCCCGGACTCAATCTACCTTCCAATTAGCTCGGACTTCCACGACCGCCAAGGAAATTCACAGAAGACTGGCATGCCAAATGATGTCTACGCACGTAAGGTCGTCAATGAGCTTATCAAGCCCTGCCCACCGAAGTGGGTCTGGAAAGGGACAATGGCAACTAGGGTCTGGTTGCTCTCGACGTTTTTCCCCAAGGGAATCTGGGTAAGTTATTTTTATCATTGTAGGGGCCATGTACGCTGAACTGTGTGACAGGACTTTATACTTTCAAAGCGGTTTGGTATCGATAAAATGGCTGCATTGTGGAAGAGGCGACTTGCTTGATTTTAGTTCAAAGGCCCTGAGTTTGTATGCAAGTAGATCATAGGAATTGAATATGTATATATGTAGGCACGCCTCGAGCAGAGTGTAGCAACATAAGTAACAGAGTTAACATAGATTCGGAACATTTTTGTAACACCGGCCAGAATCGACCTTGCCAATCACCGCCATGTCTCGCACAAATGGACGCCCTGAGCCCGAAGTCATCATGAACGTCTGTCCTGATTATTCTTCCAGCGAGATGTCTCTCACGCAACCAACAGTATGTCGACGGTTTCTCGTACTCGAAGGGCAAAATGGACGAGGCGTTTCGACCTGGGGGCATTCTGGAGAAAGGCCCTGTCAAACCAGTCAAAGACGCATCTGTTGCGGCGATAAAAAAGGACGATATAGATATCATTGTGCGTCGCTGGGTCTCATAGATTGCGCTATACACTGACCTGGCGCTACAGGTCAATGAATTCGAATTGACACGAGCACAGGCGGAGAAAGTCTTGGTTCAACACCAGGGGAACGTCGTTGCTGCTTTGAAAGCACTGATTACACTTTGAGGTGCGCCCGTTTCTCGTCCTTTTTATTCTGACACCCTTTGACTGAGCTCCAGAATATCCACCGGCACCAACCGCGATGCCAGCCGCTCTTTTATAGAGCACCCTTGCTGCCCAGCAGCTGGTGTCGACCGGGAACGTTCTTTACAAATCGTGACGAACCGAGTATCTTCGTATGTGTCATGAATCAGGTAGCTCTAAACTCCTTGTTTACTTTTACGCTTACAATAAAGAACTATTGAGAGCTTGATTCATCTTTTTTGGTAATACATGCTGGTCTCCACCCAATGTCCCGAGATGTTAAGTAGGCGCCAAAAGCTTCTAATCCGTTCAACCGACGTAAATGGCACCACGTATCTTTCAGATTCTCAGCGCTTACTTCAAGTCCAGGCCCCCAGTTGATACAAAATCTATACTAGGTGCTCAACGTTGCATTCGGCACTGTCTGCCGTCATCCACGCCTTGGCCTCGTGTATCTCTCAGAGATCCGTCCGGAATCTCTGCATATATTTGAGCCTTGGAGTCACATTGAGGCTACCCCATCGAGAAGTCACCGCTGTACAGCGAAGCACCTCTCGGCTGTGACAAAACTTTATTTCTGCGTGGCAATTCCTATAAAGAGATCGTATCGCTCGAATCTTCTCTCTCCGGTTTCTCTTTCCCGCCATCTTTCCTCCACCGTAGCACATATTATCGCAAACATGGCAGCTAAAGAGAAACCTAGTCGGCCGCTCGTCGACATACCTCTCACACCAAATAGTACGACATCTAGCAATGCCCAGTCCTCAACCACCCCCACCGCCTCAAGCTTCTCCGTTCTCGCCTCAGCCACTGCCCTCCCAGGTGGGGCTGATCCGTTGTCTGCGATAGGAAAGCAGAAACCGGCCATCCTACCTGATATCGAGGCTGTCGCTCTCCTCATGCGTAAGCTGAAGGAGATGAACCAGCAGATGAAGGGTATGTACGAGAGCATAGAGACTCATACAGAAAGGGCAGCTACCCTTGGACCCGTCATCAAAGCCGGTGAGGAAGTGAGTTACTGATAAGCGGATTTTGGGTGTCGATCTCTGACTCCTTCGATAGATTGCAATGTTGAAGTCCAATTTGGAGAAACAGATAATCGAGCATGACGCGGAGTTGACCTCCGTGCGAAAGGAGCTTGATACCCGAGTGAAGGAACGCCTCGAAAGTCGCCTCAGACAGTACGTGACTGATGAGATCCGGGCATCTGTGGCGCGAAAGATTGAGAACAAAGTTCGGCAAGAGGTATGTTTGCACATGCCGTTGCTCTGTGTCTATCCTCATGTCGTCAATTTGTCTAGCTGGAGAAACAGATTCCTCAAGATCTCCGCAAACAAACGAACGAGCACACACGTCAAATGATGGAGATCAAGACCCATCTCCACAACTCGTGAGTCCGATTTGAAGGAAGGAAATTTCATTTTTATAGTTGTCTGTTCACCAGGGACGCACGACGAATAAACGCGACATTGACTCGCAAGGAAAAACTACGACCACTGATACCTTCGAACGGGAGCACGTCGCCTTCGCCTTTATTCCCTAACAATATCGACGCTTGTCTCGCAATGTCGGCGAAGGATGTTAAGCAACTTGTAAAAGATTATGAATTGGACAAGGCTTCTCCGGTTTCACCGGCTGGTACGTCGTCCAAGGCAGAGAACGTTAACAAGTTTTTGGATTATATAGGGGTGCGTACGTATTGACAATATATTCTATGGTATTCTTCTTCTTCGTTGGCTCATCATGTCACTTCTTGTTCCAGGCGCCATACCACGTCCTTCTCATCCCGACACCCGCTAAAGCATCCCCCAAGGTAGGATTTATACTCGTCACTAGGAAGCCAGTCATATGATAGGACCGAGGACGGAGTTTCGTTACTATGAGATTGTACTATTATATTATCACGCGAACTGTATACTCAAAAACGAATCGACAATTGTTCCCTCTTGTATCGAGGCATGTGCACGTGATTGACCACAATTGTGTTTCTCGGCGGAACGACAACCTTGTGTTCTTCCTTTCAGGTGCCAGGTCGCAGCGAGGCTTGTTTTCTCTTTCTTTGCCCTTGTACGACAAATTGAATCTTGGCTTTACGGCGGGCACGCGCATGTCGCTAATTGTCGATTCTTTGCTTTGGCCGGTTCAACGCTTCGACAGCCGTATATAATCGTCTCTCGCTTTGGTCCTCCAATATGTGTTCCTCGACTCAAATACCAGAGCTCGCCTATTCGGCCCTGTCGCCCTCAAGTCCTGGATACTTGTCGCCCTCAGAGAGCGATACCGTACAAACGCCTTTTCTTAGCGAGCCTGACCATCTCTTCAACTTCAATCCTCCCCAGCTTGAGGACCACGAAATACGACGCGAGCGTCCTATTGATTCTATGAATCGCAGCCCCGACAAGACTCTAGACGATTCTCTCAACATGTACCCTCATTCTCCCTCGTCGCCCTTGAATATCTCTCGGTTACCCCTCTCTCCCAAGGAACTGTCGCTCAGCTTTGGCTCGTCAAGGACGGTTATCGACTCTTCATTGCCTTCTCCCCCCTACCATGAATGCCTTTTATCCTCGCCCAAGCATTCACACCATCACATTCCTTTCAGTCTGGAAGCGAGCCGCTACTCTTCACATTTTCCATCGGATCACCAACTAGACGTGGACTTTGTCAGGACGTTCCAGTTGGAGGACGAGCTAGGTTCAGGAGGATATGGTTTCGTCATGACGGCTAGGCATCGTTGGGAAGGATACGAAGTCGCCGTCAAGTTCATCATAAAGGAAAAGGTGCCGGATTACGCGTGGGTGCAGGACGATAGGTACGGTCGGCTACCTACCGAGGTCTTCCTGTTGGACTATATGGATCACGACAATATTGTAAAGGGTCTGGACCTATTCCAAGATCCTTTATATTTCTATCTGGTGCGTCAGCCATTGACCTCAATCTTTCGTCGCTAATGTTTACACCCGCAGGTACAAGAACTTCATGGTTCTCCTTGGCCAAAAGCGACACGAACGAAACGCGCGACCTCTTCCACTCCTCCACTTACTCCTCCGGCTCTTACACCTTCTGCTTCTGCCGACTCTTTTAAATCCGAAACAGTGCCAGCCTCTCCTTATCACCAATTAACGTCATACCTACCCGACCCTTTGAAGATGTGGAAAAAGAGCTCCCAACCCACTCTTCACCCTCAGTACAGTCGACGACCTTCACATGACCTCTTCGAATGCATCGAGCAGTCAGAGCACAAACGCTTATCTGAGGAGCAAGCACGCTACATCTTCGCCCAAGTGGTTGATGCCGTGCACTATCTTGATAGTCATGGCATATCCCACCGCGATATTAAAGATGAGAACATCGCTATTGACAAGGATCTTCGTGTAAGTCATTCTAGTGTTTTCTATCTTCTATTCCGCTCAAAATATCCTAGGTAAAACTCATTGACTTCGGGAGTGCGATCGCCGTCGATCCGACAAAGCCCCGGCCGTACTACAAGTTCTTCTATGGGACAACCGCATACGCTGCCGCCGAGATACTTCTGAAGAAACCATATCAGGCTGCGCCGGCGGAAGTGTGGACCCTTGGCGTACTTCTGTCGTATCTGCTTCGTGGTATGTCACCGTTCCCTACAGTGAAGGAGGCGATCAAAGGTCGAATTGTCCTGGACGAATATCCCAAATTGTCTCGATTAGTCTGGGACCTACTACGAAAGTGTTTGGACCCGAATCCGAAGACTCGTGCGACGATACAGGAGGTGAAGGCGCACCGATGGTTAAACCAATGAGAATGTTTTTGCACTCGATTGTTGTCTTTATATCACGCATTGCATGTTGATCTTATACAAACCTATCTCTTCGCCTAATACTATACCACGGATAGATTCATTGCATTCATTGTATTTGCATAGATGTCACTTTGTTACACATGTATTGTTCCTTCGATTTGTTCATTCATGTTCACGTTATATTAACAGCGTTTCGCACAAGAATAATTCTCATGGCTTTACCGTTTAGCAATTATCGTTGTTCGCAGAATCCTCACAGTTGGGGAGGAAAGGTAGAGAAACGGCTAGAGCAAAGGCCTGTTCTACGGAGTGCCTTTTTTCCTCCACAGAGCATGCAATCTGGATTGCCTGATGGAAGATGCGTCTAATTAAAAGTTATAGACGGGGCACTTATGCACAAACTGATAAAGACCGTTCTCAACCTCGTTCGGTCATGGACAAAATACACTATATTGTTTCTTCCTTTACCCGCAAAAGCATAAGGCTAAGAGATACAGACAAGAGATACAGACAGATGTAACAACAGAAGCTGATAGATGAGAGATGAGGAAAGCACATTGGGTACGAAGTAAGGAGAGACAGTACAACATCGTCAACGATGATAACGAATAACAAGCATTTGAGAGACAGACAGAATACACTTCGAAAGAACGTGACAAAGCTAAGAAGCGTCTTTGTGGCAGCATTCAAATACAAGGCACCTTAGAAAGGCGCCCCGTAATCACGCGCGAGATTTTGAGATACGAGGTAGTCGTCGACCTCCCGTCGGATCTGAGAAACACGGACTGGAACCGGTTCGTCGCCGGGACTGAAGAGGACCTCCACTCGGTGAGATTTGCGATGATCTGATTCCCCATATTGGAATACACCGTGGCCTCGACGGACAGCAGCAACAGTTTCGACACCAGGATAGGAAGCCATTCCTTGTTCAGTCATGTACTGGCTGTGCTCTTGCACTCTCTGGCGGCTACTAGGTGCTGCACGCGAACGAGAACGGTGGGGCGTGGTAGACCCTTGGCGGTGGCGAGATGAGTGGGTCTGGTTGTTGGAGTGCAAGGAGGTCGTTGATGGCGAATTTAAGTTATTTTGCCAGTCAGCCGGAGAAAAAGGGAGCGGCTTGGAATGACGCGAGCGTCCTCGATGCGACGCCGTGTTGACGTCTGTGGTAGAAGGGGAGGTGAGCTTCTGGCGGGTCGAGCCGTGATGATAGACCGTTGGCGTAGACGCGTTCCCATGTATAGTCTTATATCCTTGACGAGCACACCGTTCATGAAAGGCCTGGATATTCGGAAGGTGGGGTGGGGGAATAGTATTCGGAGGCATTGGGAATTGATCGAGTGTCACCCCAGAGTGCATGTCCAGGACGTTGCCATAATCCTCTTCCTCCTGAAGGTCCGCGTTTACGTCCCTGGGTACTGGTTGGGAGGCCGCTGGCTTGTTGCGGGTCGTGAATCGTGGGGTATAGATTTTTGCAGACTTGAGAGAATTTTTGGGAGGAGCATGAGAAGTCGAATAATCATTCGGAGGATATTCGAGGGAACTACGGATAGGCATGGATTTGGTGTGCTTCAAATTCCCCTTCGTCGCGGACTTGACGTTGGGGGAGGAAACCTTTCGCTTCGCCGCAGACGAAAAGGACCTAGAAACTCGCCGGTCCACTTAAAGGTGGCAAAAAAAAGTAGAAGACGTACGTTTTGAAAATGCGACGGAAGCGATCCATGGCAGGTGGTCGGAAGAATTGAGTGGAGAGGAGCAAGGAAGCAGAGTAAGACCTTTAACCGTGAAAATTAGAGCTGAAAGTCCGGGGGTGAGAACGACAAAAATGAAAGGGCGGCCAACTGGATAAGTGCTTTTAAGTGGTGAAGTGTTCGGGTCAACACGACATCACACACCCTGCAGTGGTCACTTTCACTGGCTAATTGAGAACAAAAGATGAGAATATCACATTAAGTATGCGAAGACAATCAAGGAAGAAGGCACAAAATATCCTTGATTGGTGGCTTACCATTGTCTTTAGTGCACCAGGGTTCTGTATTTCAACTTGACGGTTCCAACAAAGGAAATATACTTAAGCTTCAACAGGGAGTTGATATCAGCCTTCCCTCTTGCGCCATTAAAATGGGTGAAGAAAGACCTATAAATAGGCTTAGCCTATGGCAAAGACGATATAGTCGAGAAAGTGGCATTCGCTGGTAACCATCTCAAAATTAATCAGCCGTTCATCTACTGGTAGTAGAATCATATGGCCTCGCGACAGAGGGGCTTGCACGTCGCTCTGCGTCAGCTTGTTCTGAGAATCTAGAAAAAGGGTCGAATCTCAGCATCATAGGACACACATAACTTGATGGAAGAACCTAGAGATAAGCCAGTATTGTACTACTATTTTGCCTGTGGTGATCGGCTTCTTTTGACAGTAGTCGCCTGAAGATTAACACCAGCAGTGGGAACTCGTAAGGAAGCGTGACGAAGTTGTTGGTATGATATCAGTCCGACAATCATATCCCATGACATCCGAGAGAATGGCGAGTGAGACGAATAAACCAGAGGAGTAACTTAGAAGTACAGAACCCGTCATCAAAGTCACGGTTAGAAGGATCGTGAGAGCACGCCGGACTGCGCGGACCGTAGACTCGATGTTTCTCTTCAACCATCAATAATCGCATCACAGATTGGTCGTGGACAACCAGAGACAATCAGCTACAAGGTCTTCGAGGGACATCCAATTTCAATCTCTCATTCAGCCTACTGGATACTACACCAGTCTTTTTCCAACCATGCTGTCCCATTGTCCGACGTCACATACTCACTCGACTGGGGGCCTCTTGGTTGGATAGACACAGTGTCCTTGAACACAGATCCTACCCTGGACTCTCAGGTTGGCAACTTCAAAGAAACAACACAGCTATTTGAAGTGTCACACATCCCACCATCCAGTGCTCGCTCGAGATGGTGTCGATGCGACAAAAATCATTGGAGCGCTCAGCGCACTGATGATCATTCCCTTGCTATCTATTTGCAACGGGAGGCTCTCATATATCAATTTCCACAATGCTTACATTCCTCTCGCACCTCGTTATCCTAACACCCTTATCTGCTGCGTAGAACTGTCCTTGACGTTGTGGTGTTTATTTTGGGTAATCACCGCCCAAAATTTTACAATGCCATCATTCGCCGTGACGATTCAAGACTATTCACCATTGGTTTCCTACGATGAAAACTGGAGAGCAGGAAATAGCCGTGACAGTTACTTGGATAGGCGAGTTTTATCTCGACAATCTGCTAAATTATCTCTCACAGTTGCGAATAGATATTCTGATAATTCGATGATGGTAACAAACGTCACCGGCGCATCTGCCACCTTCTGGTTTAACGGGACTGGCGTGAGCATATATGGTGCTAAGCGTAGCAATCATGGTTCATACCAAGTTACCCTCGATGGAACGTCATTTCCAGCCGAGAGCGGCTATGATAGCACGGGAATATTCCAAACCCTGCTGTTTTCCTCAATCACACTGGATCAAGGCTCGCATGAATTGATATTGACGAATCAGGGCGTGGAAGAGTACCTCGATATTGACTTTGTGAGTTTCTCTTTGTTCCGCCCACCTTAATCACTGTGTTAACACCCGACGAAGATTACATGGCAGACTAGTATCGGGGGACTAAATGAAAGCCTGACAGTTAACACCGTGCAAGATACAGATCCTTCGTTCACGTATACGCCATCGTTAGCTTGGTCCTCCAATCCTGAGCATTCGGATTTCTACTTTGGAAGCACTGGACAGTAAGTCGTGGTGTCTGAATATTCCTTATAATAACAACTAATAGGCTTCATGGGTAGCTCGTCTGTCAAATATGGATCATTTATGACGTACAATTTTTCTGTGAGAGAGCAGTCAATTGTTCGAACTTTCCCTCTTTCTAACACTACGCGCACAGGGGGAGGGGGTTTCGTTATATGGACCCGTTGGTCCAAATTACGCAGCATTTTCAGCCCAATTAGACGACGGTCCATTGGTAACCTCCACGGCTATTAGGGCGAATTTTGTACCCCAGGTTCTGCTCTATCACGCCGACGGACTGGGATCTGGGCAACATGCACTGAAAGTGACGATGCAGCCTTCGGACGATGCCCAAGAGCTTGCTGTCGATTTTGCCAATGTCTATACTACGTCTTCCGCGCAATCTTCGTGGGTTGGCTGTAAGCTCCTATGTATACGTTTGCTGAATTTTGACCTAGGATTTCAACAACATCACACGGGTGAACAAATCATGCTTTGTTAGAGAAAGTTTTCTGGATCTACTTTGCAGCATGCCTACAGGTGCCATCATTGGAATCGCCGTCTCTGTATCAGTCACAATTGCCTTGTTGTGTACTGCGCTGTATGTTTTTCTGAGAAATCGACGAGCGCGCTCTAGTTGTTCTAGAATCAACAAGCCTGCTACACCATTCTCACCTCCTAGCTCGAACATTGAACCATTCCTGTCGTTCCACTCGAATGGTGCTGTTAGGTACCATACTTCGGAAAATTTATACGTTGCGATGCCTCCGACGTTCACCCCCGTAAATGGTCGCTCAAATTATTTCGTACGTCCTGTATTCCTTGCGCCGAAGCAGAGATTGTATCTGACAACCGAGGTCATCAGACTAAGATACGAATAGGCCATTAACCTTGTAACACAGACACATCCAACGGGCATCCGCAAAACCACGCGTAGATAACAGTATTGCGCGTTGTCCGAGATGGAAAGAAGCATAATTCCTATTTTAAGTTAGTAGTGGGTGGGCCGCCCACTTAGGATTGTATTACTTCCAGCCTGCTCTCGATGGATTCTAGGCATTGCAGCAAGTGATTTGGGGTGTAGTTCAAAATGTACTAATGTAGGACCAAGTGATTAATCTATGTATCACGCATATACTTGAGAGAAACAAACGGGCAGCGCATTAACACCGAATTTATTAGACATCGGAGGATATCTGCTCCTGCCAATGGGAGCGCGACCTAAGTGGTGGATTACGTCAGACCACAAAATAGAGCTACCCCCTTTTTCGGACCAGTACGCTTTCCTCTCCTCACCCTTTACCCCGCAGTAGTGCCTCGTCACGCTGACGGTTTCTCTCCTCCTCTCTGTTTCATGCCTTTACACTCGTAGACATTATTTTCATCATGACGCGCGACGCGACTCAAACTACAGAAGCCATACAGCCCGTAAAGGTGCCGAAGCTAACATTCTTTACGCCAGAAGTAACATCCTATTTTATCGGTGGGTATCTTTCTATCTTGACTTGTAGTGTCTCCTGTAACGAGCGTTTTAGCGGGGGGTTGTGCTGGTGCAGCCTCAAGGACAGTCGTGAGTCCTCTGGAGAGGCTGAAGATTATTCAGTATGTCTCGCGGTTTCGCTACAGGCATTATCTTGATATTTGATTTAGGCAAGTGCAACCGAGGTCGTCAGAGCAACAGTACAAAGGCGTGTGGAGGAGCCTTGTTCGCATGTGGCAGGAGGAGGGATTTAGAGGATACATGAGGGGCAATGGCATCAACTGCTTGAGAATAGTGCCATACAGGTGAGTCCGACTTGCCTTTCCTTCTCTCCGCCTTTGCTTATACTTTCCTCAGTGCCGTACAGTTTACGACTTATGAACAGTTGAAGAAGGTGAGTAGAAGCAAACGTTGCGTGTCCAGGGTCTTGACGTCATTCTGTAGCTGTTCACCAGTCATGGGTCCAGAGAACTAGATACCCCCAAGCGACTGGCAGCTGGCGCTTTGGCAGGTATTACATCTGTATGTGAGTGTAAATAATTTTTGTTGCGCGCTTTCGGTCGAAAAGTGAGATCCCCAAAGATCTTGCTTCTCCCGACCGTTCTATTAGCCAAGAGCAATGAGGGGATGAACACATGTCACCTTATATATTTGTTTTTTAAGTCATGCCTACATGACGGGCGGTCGGATGATATCAGATGGGCGTGTAGACCTTGCTAATCGATGCTTCGTAGGTTCGACATACCCCTTAGACCTGGTTCGCGCACGCCTATCAATTGCTACAGCGTCAATACCTGTTTCTCTGCAGTCTAAATCCAATACCTCTTTGGCGTCTTCGACTATATCAACTTCGACCGGATCGACTTCGCCATTGAAACACGCACTCTCGACCGCTTACCACACGTCTGCGAGCGGTTCTAATTATACAGCATCAGAGTTGACAATCTGGGGCATGACTTTGAAGATAGTCCGGGAGGAGGGCGGCATTCGAGGGCTCTACAGGGGATTAATTGCGACGGCAGTAGGTGTCGCTCCATACGTAGGGATCAACTTTGCGGCGTACGAATTCTTCCGAGGTATCATTACCCCTCCAGGGAAGAGCAGTGTTTCGAGGAAGTTGGCGTGCGGTGCATTAGCCGGTAAGTCAGGACCTGTAGTCATGAATCTCGCAGTAGACTGATATTATATTCACAGGATCGATATCACAGACATTGACATACCCGTTTGACGTGCTGCGTCGTAAGATGCAGGTAACCGGAATGAGGTCATCAGGACTGGGGATAGCGTACTCAGGTGCCTTCGATGCGCTTACTGGGATCATTAGGACAGAGGGTGTTCGAGGGCTGTACCGTGGTCTTTGGCCAAATCTTCGTGAGTTGTATGATACCATTTCGTAACATATCTAATGGCCCATAACAGTGAAGGTAGCTCCTAGCATCGCAACGTCGTTCTTCACATACGAATTGGTCGGTTTTCTCTCTCTTGTAGCATAGCCGTTAATCTGACACGACCTCTAGGTGAAGGACTTCTTGGTGGGCCCGTAAAGCGTCCATTTCTTGGTGGCACCATAATTTGGCATCACCTCGCTTGTCGATTGCATTCACCATCGGCCACAGACCAAGTTGGATATCGTTCATACTGTACAGGAGGTCGACCGATTATTATCTCAGAAGATTGCTATACGGGAACATGAATAGAGGGATTGTCGAGGGCGGATCCTTGGGTGAGATATCTAAGTCAAGAAGCTGCAAGTGAGTCCAAGTCTTCTATAGAAGCGATAATCATTGTGAATCATCCTGAGCTGCTGATGGTCTGGTTCCGTATGATGAACTGAGAGCATGGGCCGGACAACGGGTACCGAAAACGGAGCAATATGATATCGATGACCGGCGCGGTTTAGATCTGGTCCTCATCATCTTGTGATCTCAGTTGCTAGGCCACCGGCTGGAACATTAGTGCGAAGTCCCTGGTTAGCATCACTGCCGTATCTAGCATTTGCATCGCTGACCTCCGTACCTTTTTGTAAGCATCGTTGCGCATCAGTTCCATTTCTATCGAATTCAGTAGCAAATACAGTTTCATACTTATCAAGGCCAGTAGGGTCGCTCTCCTCTTCCGTCCTCTCGCTCGTCTCCTACTTTCTCGGCACAACTACAGACACGTTCTCACGCGATCTCCACATTGCTGCATGAATCCTGAAGCTGTTACCGCGCAGTCTTTTTTACTGCGCCCTAGTGGTAAAAGCCCCATCGCCATCTCCGAGATTTTACATCTGTTCAAAGTAGTCTTGTTGGTAGTCTGCAACTTCATGTCATGAGATCGAAACTGTCAGCAACCGATGATACTCGTGTATCCGGGACTGACATCTGTCTGAAGTTGGAAGGCGTTTCCCTTCACATACGACCTTGCCTCACCTGCCAGTGTCCTACCACGCCGATCTACACTACTTAGGTGGCCTCTCCGGTAAGCATGCCAATTCATCTCGGCTCGTTTTCGATGCCGTTCATTCGGATCCGCTTGCAACGAAGTTGTGCATCTTCGCTCTAACACTTGGCGGTCGCTCATGTTGTTCCCGGATATTCGCTGCGAGCAATTGAACTGGTCACAATAATAGAACACACTCCACATATCAACGTAAATACCTGTTTGACGTATTGCGTCGCGCGATGCCGTTGACTTGAGCAAATCGCACTTATTTCCAGGGCTGCTTCATGACAGCTCATGCATTCATCACGCGTCCCTTATCATTGGAGAGAGTTCAAGGGTCGAGGTTGTACGGGAGACGATGGTCGGTCTTTATATAAGTTACTCATGGATCATGTCTAATGATGGTGAAGTGAAGGGGCCCAGCATCGCAACCTCGTTTTTCACATATGATTTGGAGATGATTGCTCTAAATACATCGTGAATGATGAACTGACACCGTGTGATGATGCAGATGAAGCTCTTCTCGGTGGCACCTTGATGCTTCTGGCCCGGTTCTTCGCTCGTTGATCGCGTTCATTATTGCGTACATATTCATTTAAAATTGTTCAATACTACAGAGGGTTGACGGTTTTATTTGAGAACATCGCTCGTTCGGAAGCTGGCTATGGTAGTGTATCTTGTGGAGCAGAAGACGTTAATTGTTGTATCAGATCTATCAGTCCTATCAGAAGCTGAGAGCAGAGTTAGGACTAGGGTAACATATGGGCTGCCCAATGGAAGACTGCCAAAAAGGGGCAAGATACTGGACCGTAACGCCGTCATCCGGCGCGTGAGTTTTGTTCCTTCCACCACGGGCCCTACCCACATGCCATCTCCAACCCCCTCTGCTCATCGTCGTCGACAGCAGCGTGCATGAATACATACTGTGAGTACATTATCACCGTCGCCAGGCAATTCGTCGTTACCAGGGCATAGCGAAAGAGAGAGGATCTTATCACTGCCTTTTATTTATTTAAATTGTGGCCCTCGCATTTGCGTTATTGACGCCTTTTCTCTTTTTCTGCAGAATACCCTAATCTAACGGCAAGCGCACCAGCTCGTCTTTATCCAGCTGCGCTTATATCATGTCTGTCGAGGCCAATCGGCCTGCGCGTTCAGGCTGGCCTGTCACTTCTCCCCTTTCGTCTCCATCTACCTCTCTCTCGTCTTCTTTTTCTTCATCCGCAGCCTCAGACATGCTGCCCCAGGACTCCAGCCAGTCAGACATTCATTCTTCGGATCACTCGGCTCTTGCACCAAAACATCCTCATGTCCGCAACCTGGCCTTTGCATCTCCTCGTCCCCGCTCATCCTCTCTGGCCGTTTTCATGGGACAGAATATCAGCCGGTCTCCTTCTCCGTCCCAGTCAAATTCTTCTTCTCAGCTCGCCTCGAAGGGTATCGCTGCTGCAGCCGCGACAGGGAGTCGCTTAAAGCGCGCGTTTGGCGCGAGACGCAAGAACAAGTCCGAGGATACCTCCAAACTTTTTTACGGCAGTCATAAGGGAAAGGAGAGGGATTACTACACGGACTCCGATGTCACTACTCCTGTATCGTCTACCTCAAGAACGCCAGTAACTCCCGTTGACGCCACTGCACCACCAACTCCTGGATACAGGCCAGCCAAGCTGTCCTTGCAGCTTGCAACTCATGTTTTTAATGGCGGTAGGAAGAATTCACGGACACCGCCCCCCGTTACGCAATTATCCCCTGTTCCTCCTCCTCCTCCCCCAAAGCCGCCTGGAATGCAAGGCTTGAAACTGGTGTCACCCCCGCCCGGTCGGAATGTGGATCAGAGAGGCTCCATAATCACTGTCAGCCCGGGTATATCATCGGCGGTTAATTTTATGCGTATAGGGGAAGAACAGAGAGAACGGGAACGGGAACGGCTAGAAGCTCAACAAAGGGAATTGGAGGCTGCTGAGAAGAATGATGCTGAGAAGGAGAAGAATAGCGACAAGGGAGATCTGAAGGAGACGTGGCGGAAAAGTGACTCTACTATGAGCCACCATACCATTCGTCCTGGCACGACTGTAGGCAACCGGACGCCACGCCCTGTGTCAGTCGCCGAATCCCTTCAGTCCATTTATACCATCGTTCCTCCAGTCAGCAAGAGACTGAGCGCCCTCATTACCGACACCGATTTCGCTACTCCGGAGGAAGACTTATCCTGCGAGACCGTTGTGGAAGACCTGCCGCCGGTTCAGCCCCAAACCTCTCCGACCTCCTCTATCAGAGTACACAATCGTCGTTCGATGTCATTAAATCTGGGATCGAGCTTTGCCAAGATATACATTCCACCATCAGCGGCTTCTGCTGGAGCAACACTATCTGAGTCGAAGCATCCGCCACGATCAGTCGAGGACGTCCATCCGCGATTATCGCCTTCTGCATCGCTCGAGACGCCCACGCTTACTAGAGCCGCAGCAAACGGTATCATTTCTCCGTCAAGCCCCGGCCTGCAATCAACCGGAAACCACATTCGTGGGCGGCTGGCTGCTTGGACAGCCACGACAAACCCTAATCCATCACAGCGCAGCTTACCCACTCCTCCTACCTCCTTCCCTCGTAATCCGCCTACGCCGCCGCCGCCTCCATCGTCACGGCAACCTACCATCAGTATGACCGGTGGTTTTGGTCTAGCGAAGCGTGCTGTGGAAAAGATTAATCGTGCTTGGGGAGGCTTGTCTTCGGGTTCGAGTAATTCTGGCTACTCTTCGTCTTCATCAAGCGTCGGTCCATCGTCGTATTCCGATCATAATTTGGCACGCATTGCGTCAAATCAATCTGGGGTTATGTCCAACCGCTACGGAAAGAAAAATCGGAGAACACCTGACGCACCTTCTGGTTCATGGAGTATCAATTCGTCAACAACAATCTCCTCTTCATCAGATTCTGACGCTTTCACGCCGACTGGTCCGTTTCTTGGCCAGAAGGTTCGTGGACCTATGCGTACGAAAAGTGGAGGCACGGGGGCTGTCGGTGGCGTCGTTTTCGGGAGAGATTTGCGAGCTGCGACGAGGGACACAGCCGTTGGTGTTGGTGTATCGTTCAGTGCCGCGGACTTGGAATCGGTGAAAGGTGATGTGCGCTCAGGAGACGTTGATAAGGACCATCTAGAACCACTCGAGGGCCGAATGGTACCTGCAGTCGTAGTACGGTGCGCGCAACATCTATTACTATGGGGAATACAAGAGGAGGGTCTGTTTCGGTAGGCGATTTGGAATTTGCTACAAGCTTACACTCACTTGGTTCTTATGTACTAGTGTTCCCGGGCGAGCATTGCATATCGCGAAGCTGCGTGCAGAGTTTGATACAGGTTCGTGCCACCTGCCACCCTAAGCTCAACTTCTGATCACCATCCAAACCAGGGGCCGATTTCGATATGACACAGTGTTCACCTGCGGAACTGGATCCTCATGCTGTCGCATCCGTTTTCAAAGCGTTTTTGCGTGAACGTGCGTGTGCTTCGCACATATATTCTTCCAGTCCTCATAATAATTCCTACCGCAGTGCCTGAACCAATTCTGACCCACTCGTTGCTTCCGCAATTCGAAGCCGCTATAAGTCAAGAATGTGATCCGAATGTTCAAGAATTCACCGGACGTTTAGGCGGGAAAGGTGGTCCAACGCTCCCGTCGGGTCCTCGAAATGGGCTTACATTGCGTAAAGCACCCTCGCTGTCTACTCTTGCAATGCCAAGCTTCAGTGGCATGCGACCGCCGTCCCGTTCAGTCACAAATACCCTCAAGTCGTTGCTATCGAAGCTTCCTTACGAGAACAAAGATCTAATCCGTATTGTCATCGAACTCATCAAGGCGACGGCCCGAGAGAGCAAATCAACCAAAATGCCTATCAGTAATTTGCTTCTCGTGTTTTGCCCCAGTCTGAGCATGAATCCTCCGCTGCTTAAAGTTCTTTGCGAAGCGGAGGACCTGTGGGAAGGGCCCCTTCTGGAGTCGCCTGTCATTGATATCAAGCGTGAGAGCGTTATCCTGGACATTAGTGCGTCTGATTCCGCAAACAGCACTACTGCACTTGAACTCGACGAGGAGGATTCAGATGAAGAGTATTCTGATGCACACGATGGTTCGGAGATGAAGACATCACCCCCACCTTCTCCAGACAAGTTTGACCAGGTTGTGGAGAGTCCTCGTTCTTCCACCGATGGTAAAACCCCCACCGTTTCCAGATTGAGGCCAATGGGGCCGAGGCAGCATATCTCAGCAGGTCTCTTTAGTGGATCGGAATACTCGTCTCGCCTGAGACCTGTTTCTCCACGCTCTACGGGTGCATCATCCGATTCTAGGTCCATAATATCGTATGGGTCGACCTCTAACGAGAGTCATTCGCCATCACATATCAGCCTGTCTCCTCCGCCCTTGTCTTCGTCTGCAGAATCATTGGCTACCCCATCAACTTCGTCTGCCCAGCAATCATTAACTGATCTTCCCGTTCGGACCGATCCTTACGCTAAGGAGGAAGAGATCATGGCTCCCGTCATTGCAGATTGTTCGGACTTGGGTCTACCAAAGTCTCCGTTGTCTGTCATCAATCGTCGCATCAGCGGTCCCATTCAATTTCCCAGTTCTGGTGGGAGCGAGCCTTCAAGTCCACTTTCACCTCGAAGATCAGTGCCTCTGCTTTCTCTGCCTAGCCTTACCTCTTCCCCTACCACTTCCCTCTCCGATTCGCCTCGGCGACATGGGATGAAGAGGCCTTCATTAAATCTCCTTTTCTCTAAGCGTCCTGCATCTCCGTCTCCGCTATCAACTTCTTCTATAGGGAGACCCTACATTTCCTCTCCGTATCTACAGCATCCATCACCTGTATCTGATTCGTCTATTTCCACGCCAACCTCTGCCGTTACTGCACCACAATCCAGCACACAGATGCTTCCCCATATTCTTGATACTCCCATTGAAAGCTCAGCACTCCGACGCGATCTTGGACTGGAGGAGTCACCTTCCATCGGATCACCGGAACGTTCAGACTCGCCTGGCAGCAGCTCATGCGAAGAGGATACTAGCACTGATGTACTGGATGAAACCTCGCCACTCACGGTCCGTCCCGGCATAACCCCCATCGCTGATCATTACCGTTCGTTGTCGAGCGCCACCCTACCGTTATCGTCATCAGACCAACACTTGTCACATCTTCGGCCAAACCCCACACTAAGAAACCGGTCTGCGTCCAAGACTTCCTTTTTATCGAACGCATCTTCCAATCATCTAGGACTACTAGATGATGAAGATAAGGAGGATTGGACACAGAGTGTCCTCATGGCAGCTGATGCTGACGGTGGTTGGACTGTAACCACGCCTTCACCGCATTAGACGGCAACGGGTGGGTGTGCTGCACTCCATCATGTTTCGTTTTCCATATTTGTGAAGTCTACGATAGTAGATTCATAACGTGAAGTTCAAAACCCCGCGCATGGCTTCTGCCTGTTCTTTATTCATCCCTGCTTTCGACGACACCTGCTACTCCACACGCCTAGTATATGCTTTGTGACTGTGGCGCATACTCTATATATTACTTACTATACCATCGGCAACGGACCAGGATTCGTCTTATATTTTGCATCCTAGTTCACTCGCTTGCCATCATACCTTGCATTTTGTACGTTTCTTATCACAATCAATCTTCAATTTTGGGAGTTAGTTAAATAAATAATGTACTTAGTCTATTTGTCGATGACGTCAATTTTATGGGGCCGGCGGCCGATAAGAGGTCCGCGCCAGATCATGATGTAACGCGTCGTTGCACGTCCGGAGCGTTGCTTGTTTCTTTCTGCCTCCACGACCATTTTCTGTAGCTCAATCGACACTCTCCAGTAACGACCATCATGGCATCCGACAGCATCAAAAAGGTGCAGGAGAAGCTCTTTCGGGGCGGCACCGGGGAACCTGTCACACAGTCCTCAGAGCGCGAGCCTGCTAATTTGACGATTAACATTCCAAAGCCTATTCCCTCTCCTTCACAGCCCCCGCCAAAGCTCTTCAAGGCCCCTGAACCTACTATGAAGAACGGCGAAAGTGCTGAACAGGCATCGTATCGCGAACGGCTGGCAGCCAAGCTTGGTGCTGAGTACAGAGGTACAGAGCGATATCGCCTTCTTCAAGACAGCAACAAGGAACGCCATTGGAAACGCTGGGGCCCATACTTGAGCGATAGGCAATGGGTGAGTTCTCTGGTTCCATATCGATTCCCGTGTCACTCAAGGCGAATATATGCGCTCTTTTAGGCCACTGTTCGTGAAGATTACTCTGGAAATGGCGACGCTTGGAACCACTTTCCCCATGAGCAGGCTCGTTCGCGTGCATATAGGTGGGGCGAAGATGGTATCGCTGGCATATCCGACAACCATCAGCGCCTTTGCTTTGCCCTCTCCTTCTGGAACGGCGAGGACCCCATTCTGAAGGAACGGATGTTTGGTGTCACTGGTCATCAAGGCAATCATGGCGAGGACGTCAAAGAACTTTATTACTACCTCGATTCTACTCCGACCCATTCTTACATGAAGTTTCTCTACAAGTACCCGCAACGACCTTATCCGTACGAAGAATTGGTCACCGAAAACCAGAACCGCACCCGCGACGTTTCCGAATATGAAATTTTAGATACCGATGCTTTTGATGAAGACCGATACTGGGATATTTTCGTAGAGGTTGGTGTTTTATTATTGTGTTGCACTCTAGTGTTAACGTTATTATTCTTCAGTATGCCAAAGATGAAGATGACCCGGATAACGTCTACATTCGCATCACCAGCTATAATAGAGGCCCCGATCCCGCCACTCTTCACATTGTGCCCCAGTTCTGGTTCCCTAACACCTGGTCGTGGTACCAAGAAAAACCCGAAATACCTACTCTCTCGGGATCGGTTCGCAGCGACATTAACTGCATCACGGCCAAGCATCCCGAATTATCGAAGACCCATCTATACTGTCTTCCTTCTCCTCCTCCTGTTGGATCATCAGGCGACTTTGAAGGAGACCCGGATGATGCCGTCGAACCTGAGCTCCTTTTCACAGAGAATAACACTAATTATAGCCGGCTCTATGGTGGTCAGAACGAAACTCCATATGTTAAAGACGCTTTCCATGACCATATCATCCCTTCTCACCGACCTCCTACTTCTGATTCTCAAGAGGCCTTCTTTTCACCCTGCACACGCCCCAGAACTGCCTCCATTGGTTCTCGTGCCGCAAGTGAGAACGAACGCGAGGAGGGTCCATGCACGCCGTTCCCCAGAGGACCTTCATACGTCAACCCGGAGAAGACGGGGACAAAGTCTGCGGCACACTACGTCTTCACAGACGTACCGGGAGAGGGTGGCTGCGTTGTAGTGCGATTAAAGATGACTCCTCTCTCTCCTAGAAAGGATCCCAGCTTATTCGATGAAGGCATTTTTGATGACACAGTTGAAGCCCGTCGCCAAGAAGCGGATGAATTCTACAACTCCTTTGTTTTCGGTCCTACTAGCGACGATCTCAGGCAGATTATGCGACAGGCGTTGGGTGGGATGCTATGGACGAAGCAGTTCTATCAATTCATTCAGAAAGATTGGATTCAGGGCGATCCTGCTCAACCCGCTCCACCTCCTGAGCGAAAGTGGATCAGAAACAGGGTAAGTTCGCCTTCTGCTCCTCCTGTTCTAATTAAACGATGCTATACAGGAATGGCGCCACATGCATGTAGCTGACATTCTTTCTATGCCGGATAAGTATGTCTTGATTAAATGGTATTTGTCCTTCATTGATCATGGCCTTTGTAGATGGGAATATCCGTTCTTTGCTGCCTGGGATACTGCATTCCATTGCATTCCTTTGGCTGTTGTAGACCCTGCGTTTGCAAAGAAACAGCTCGACCTGCTCACACGAGAGTGGTACATGAAGCCCGACGGTCAGATTCCAGCCTACGAATGGAACTTTTCAGATGTTAACCCACCAGTCCATGCTTGGTACTTATCATATTCACGTCGCGATAAAGATGCTGACATGGACACAGGGCTACTTTCCGAGTCTTCAAAATCGAACGCAAGCTTCATGGTAATGAAGATATACCTTTCTTGGAGCGCGTATTCCAAAAACTGCTTTTAAACTTCACTTGGTAGATCCTCTATCACTGTCAACGACTACATTACGCTGACACTGGTTAGGTGGGTAAATCGAAAAGACCAAGGTGGAAACAACGTCTTCGAAGGTGGCTTCCTCGGTCTGGATAACATCGGTGCCTTCAACCGTTCTGAGCCCCTTCCCACTGGGGGAGCCCTCCGTCAGGCCGACGGAACCGCCTGGATGGCCTTTTACTGCTTGAACATGTGGGTCGTGTCTTTGTTTTGAATTCTCTTATGTACTCAACGCTCCATCCCTAGGCTTAATATGGCATTGGAACTAGCTAAGCACAACCCAGTCTACGAGGATATTGCGTCTAAATTTTTCGAAGTCAGTAAATTAAATCATGGTTTAATGAACCTAGCATTTAACATTTCATAGCACTTTATCTTCATCGCTGACGCCATGACTTACAAGGAAGGGGAGGATGAGCAGAGCCTCTGGAATGAAGACGATGGCATGTACTACGACGCAATACAGTTCGGACCCGGAAACTCCATGCAATTACCTGTTCGCAGCCTCGTTGGTCTTATCCCTCTTTATGGGACGTTAGTCCTAGAACCTTCGACGTTGAACAGATTTCCGGGGTTCAAAAAGCGTGTCGAGTGGTTCATCGACAACAGGCCTGAGGTTGCTGCTCGTAACATGGCAAATATGAAGGGTAGGCCTTTCTTTTTACGATCGTTGTCAAGGAGATGTTCTGAATATGCGATAGTTCGTGGCAAGGACGAGCGCAGATTGCTGGCATTAGCAAGCAAGGAGCGCCTCATCAAGATTCTGGAGAAGATGCTTGATGAAGATGAGTTCTTGAGTGAACATGGAATTCGATCGTAAGTGTGCAATCGCTCATCTGTCAATTCGTACCTAGCCGCCTTCTAGACTTTCGAAGCTGCACAAAGAACAGCCCTGGGGAATGGATGTCAACGGACAACGTTACGAGGTTAATTATTGGCCTGGTGACTCATTGTCCGGCATGTTTGGAGGCAATTCAAACTGGAGAGGACCAATATGTAAGCTTATTTTTATTTCTCGACGTCGTCTATACATCGCCCATTCTTTTTAACAGGGCTGGCTACCAATTTCCTCTTGATTGAAAGTTTGCAGCGATTTTATCAATACTATGGAGACGACCTCCAAGTGAGTACCTGGATCTTTGCTAGACAATATTCGTTCAACACATCCACCAGGTCGAATGTCCTACGGGGAGTGGTGATTATATGAACCTTGCCGGAGTGGCCGAAGAAATTCAGCATCGCATTATCCATATATTTGGGCGTGATATGCAAGGCCGGCGGGCCACAAATGGGGGCAACCCTAAACTAGATCATGACCCCCACTTCCGCGACTACGTCTGGTTCTATGAGGTGAGCTATTACTACCAGCTATAGATTTATCTAACAGCGCTATCAGTTCTTCCATGCTGACACAGGAAAGGGCCTTGGCGCCTCACATCAGACCGGGTGGTAAGCTGGTATATTGTCAAATTTCTCATAGTCTTCCTCAACCTCTGGAATAGGTCTGGTTTGGTAGCGTATCATATTCTCCAGAGCGGCGTTACCTGCAGACTTCCGAAAACTCCTAGAAGTGAGTTTTTCCCTCATTTGGATTAGTAATGTACTTACCTTCTATATCAGCCCCTCGCAGTCTTGCACACCACTATTTTGATGTACGTTTGATTGCTCTTATCAACACCTTAGCTCGAGACTAAAGATCTTGCAGGAAACGATTGATTCTCGTTCTGAGTTTGGCGATGATGCTAAATCAGCATTTAGTATGATGAGTGGTTTCGACGTACACACCCTCGGTGACCTGTCTCCCGACGCTCTGTAGATGCTACGGGACTCACGGCTACTCACATACGAGCGTCTGTCGCTATTACTTTGGACTCGTCAAGTAGTAATCAGTTAGAGTACATTAACTATAAGTTTTACATAGATTCGAGCCAATATTAGAAAGATAGCCCGCAACACAACATATTGTCATCTTGCAAGAGCAAAAAGGTTATCGAAAGCTACGCTTTATGAGTCGTTCAATGACAGGACGATACAATAATGAATAAATGAAGATTCGAATAACCATAAGCTTAACCGGGACCTTCAGGCCCTATGTCCTCTCCATTGACCAACTGCTGAATGAAATGATCAATCTTGACTTTGTGGATCCGATGATGCTCTTGCCAGCCTTTCCAGGGATGATGAGGATACTATCATGCATGTCAGTTTCAGCAGACTGAGATCAGAAGTACAAACGTGTACCATTCTCCCAAAAGCCTGAAAAATCTGATCCGACGTCCCTTCCGGCTTACTGAAGAAGTACTTAGCAAGCAATATATCGTCCTCGCGACTATACCTCATCTTCTTATCGGGGGGCTGAGGTAGTGGCTCATCAGCATCAGTACGATTTAATTCATGCTTATGTCGACGCCAAAACTTCATCCATGATGCTCGTGAATGATGGGGAGCCTAGAAGGCAATAGCCTGATGAGTAATCAAGCCGATAAGCAAGAAACACCCTACGCACTCTCGCAGCCACTTCCTTCCAAAATGCAACCATATCAAGTCGCTCCTGTGACCTGAGAAGAGTCAGTTTCGTCTCAGTTTATAAGATGAAAAGAGGTCACTAACTTGCGGTACTCCATAAAACGGATCAAAAACGCAATATCATCAACAGTAAATGCAACCCCCTTTCCGGTAGTACTTCTGTATAGCGCCCTCGGTGGCGTCGGCGAACGCGTTCTCGGCAGATTATCACCTTGGACCCGCTGCTGAGCTGCTGAAATCGTACCGAGACCAGCGCCAGAACGAACAGTTGGATCTTCATCATCCTCGCCTTCATCGCGGTGTGGAGATTGTGACCGATCAGCGTTCATCATGTAACCGCCCAAACGAATCTGGTGTTTGTTGCAGTACCGGCGCCAGGAGTAAAACCTATTGTAGTTGTTTCAACTGAAGATATGGACGAGTTATCACCGAGAGTACGTACGTGTGATGAGGGGCCTTAATGAAAGAGAAGATGAGTTTAAAAAAGACAAAGGCACAGACAAAAAGTACCTTGACGGCGATTCGTAGGCATATCTCACGCAAACTAAGCTATTGGTGAGTTCTTGAAAGACTTGCATTAGAGCTGTCGCTGACCTGAGAACCAGGCCTTCCTCTTGGCAATAATCAATATACTTCTTGAGATATTGGACGTCTTCAGCTGTAAACAAATTGCCGCCGTAAGTGCTCTTAATGACACGACTAGGGGGGCTGGGCGACCGGGCTGGAGGGTTCCGATTAGGTACAAGAGCAGAAGTCGGCTGCCCTGGAACAGACTGTACACCATGAGTTGGCCAGAACTACTAAATATCTAAGAGGAACTAACCTGGGTCCGCGTACGTTTCCGGCCTCTTGACCTTTCGCTTTCATCTTCCACTGGCGCTGCTGGTGCAACTGGGGCAACGGGAGGTGCAACGGGAGGTGCCGGAGGTGCTGGAGGAGGGGGCGGTGGAGGGTTCGAGGATGAGGAAGGAGGCTCTTCCAGATACGAGTTTTGCGGTGGCGGCTCATAGGTATTCTCATACTACACAAAGTACTAAGAAACAGATATATGTGAAACAAGAAACTTACAGGTGTCTCATAGTAAGGATTATGGGTGGGAGGAACCCATGACTGTTCATCCCTATACCGGAAATCATAGGGCGTCGCATTTGTATCTGGATCAGGAGGCTCATAGTCCCATGTATCTGGTCGAAGTACATGATGAGGTGGCTGTGGAGGTGGAGGTGGAGGCGGGGGTGCGATGTGTGTCTGTTGCGGCGCGATGCCGGTGGTGGCTTGCCATGTCTGTGGTGGTGCATGCATGGTGCGAGGGGGTGGCATTGCATAGATAGGGTACTGGAAATGCTGCTGAGCGTGAACCAGAGATTCCACGGTAGGAATGGCAGGGGGTTGCAACGCTTGAGGATGCAAAGGCTGGGGCGGCACAATTTGGCGTGCACTTTGATCTATCTGAGGTATATTCTGCTGGCGCGCACCACCTCGTTTCTTGGCTTGAGATTGCGGCTGGGGCTGGGGTTGGGGCTGGGGTATCGACGAAGGTCCTGCTTGCATTTCAATCACAGGCGGAGCTCTTGTAAGGGTTTATATGAGATGATACAGAATTGTTACCAGCAAAATGCTACTTACATTTCATTTCCCGTCACCTTGCAGCCTGCCCAGTTGGTGTGGAAGGCTTGAAGTTCGCCTGCCTTGATACACTCATGAATCCACCTCGAGTCAAGGATAATCTTTCCTTTCTTTCCAACATACTGCCTGTACAGATTCTGACCAGATGGCTTCAAGGGATCGACTGAAGTTATAAAAACCTTAGTATATCACACCCTTGTAGTCAATAATATCACAAACCAAGAATGTAAGTGACACCACTGTAGCCCGGGGCGACTGAACCGCCATTATTCTACAGAGAAGACGTGAGAAACCACTTGTAATGGCCGAATCGTTCTCTCTTTGTTCCTTCCAAAGAATTTGCCAATTAACGACTTCGACGCGAAACTTACCGTGATTAGATTGACCAGCGCCTCTCTGTCGTGTACGTCCTTCTCGATATACACCGCCAACGGTGTCCCAAGCATGGGATCAATGAAGAGATCATGATTTCCACTGGATCCGGCGTCGAGGGCATGAGGTTGTATATGACCACGACGCGTCGAAGAACGAGCAGGTGCCATGGGGTCTTGCTGGTTTCTGCTGGAAGCCCTTGCAGGACCCCGGCGTGAGCATTGAAACTCCGACGGTGCGGAGTTAATTAGGTCAAATTGCCGAATGTTGCCGAGTTGTTGCACCTTGCCTATCCATATCTTGCATTTTGAAACAGGGCTTTGACTGTGCTTCAACGACGATTATGTACACGGTCCAAGGTGTCCGACCTGTCAACTCGACACAAGTATTTATTAAGTTTTTCGATCTCTGCGGTTCTCATGTCTTACGGAAATGTCGAGCGTGCCCAGACGCATCCACGGATGCAGAAAAACCTTGGGAGGCACTCTAATTCTGTGTTCTTCTCTTCCTGAAGTCTTTCTCTAAGAAGTACGTCCTTTGTCCGTTAACATTTTGCTAAGGTGAATGGCTTCTAGCGCAAATCAATACAAGAGAATTGACTCTGTACATAATTTAAGGACCTTGTGAAAGTCATCCTTGTATAATTTGAATATGTAAAGGCCCCAGGCGCGTCCCACGGATGCTCTTCCTTCTGAAGCGCATGCTTGAAAACTCTAAATAATTACGAACAACACAGTAACTAGCCGGATCCCGCTTTTTGTGAATATCTTGCGGTGGCCCGGCTCCGGCTCTCACACACTCATAGGTACTTCGTCTCAATGTCCAGAGTTTAGGCCATAGGAGCCAAACGCGACATCATTAAATCGGTTCATACAAGACGCAACTTGATATTATTGAGCAGCACATCCGGCCATTTGGTCCAGACCACCGAGGATGTGTCTTGATGGTGTCGCGGCAACTTAACGGTGCCTCGCCGTACCTCACCACCGGGTGTAAAACCCGACAAGTCAGTTTCGAAGGCTGTTCTATGGTGATCTCGCCCGCCCCCGATGAAATGTTCCTTGACGAGCGGACCCGCCGGTCGCTGACCTCGCCACGGCAAAAATCGCATCCATATGACGATAACAGGTAATTATCAGACGGTGAATATTTGAATGGCCACCTTCCGCACTTTGATACAAATTTGAGCGTATGCATTGATAGCAAACGATAGCACTAGCCACGCAGTATGACCCCGCGGCATATCGATAGCAAGAACCAGTTTAATCCGGCGGTCGTTTATCTGCTTTTTCATTTGATCATTTTTGCCAAGAGGCGATGATGTAGAACAGTTGTTCTACAATAACTTCCCGGACCAGTACTAATAACAGTCGGCCCGTTAGGCTTGATAGCCTACAAACTCATCATCGCTAAAAGTGGATTGTCGGTCAATGTCAAGGGAAACACAATTATGGCCTCATGAAGACGCTCCACAAGAACGACATATGATTGACTCAGAACATACATCAAACATCAAAAGGGTACTGGATTGGTCCATCAACAGGTGAAGCGTCATTTCCATATGAGCCAAGCGCTTGGGAAATATGTGATCACCAGGCCGGCCAAAGGACGGATCGGACGCTCTAGAGACGAGACAGATCTGTACATATACGCTGGATTGGAGATAGACGGTTGTTGAACAAGGCGTTTCCAACCAGTGCTGATTGTAACAGTAACACGACAAGACTTTTTACTGAAGATAAGTTTTGTGAGAGGGGACGTACAACGGAACCGAGAGGGGGACAACGCTGAGGACATCCGATGGCATAGGAATTCGAAGATCTCAACGAGATTCCGCAGAAATGAGAACTCAAAACAAACCGGCTTCGAATTTTCGAAACGGATTTCCTTTTATGGACATGGCAATATACAAACAGAGCCAAATAGCAAGCCGTTGCTCTCACCGTGCTAAACCATTCTCACTCTCCGGCCAAGATCGACATCCTCCTGCTCGTCGTTCTCCTTCCTCCCCCGCTCGTTCGACACCATGGCTTCCGTCGCAGGCCGCAAAAAATCCATAGTATCGACCACGGGCCTTCAAATTGACACCCCAGTTGCAAACAACACTCTTCTCAACCAAGCTGCTATCACCTCTCTCTACCAAGAATGCGTTCGATTGCGCTCTCGTTTATTGCAGATCCATGGCTTTTCACGCTACTTCAACCTCGTTGTTTCTCATGATTCACGACACTCTACCGACCCTGTAACACAACTATGGGACCTTTTCTCCCTCGGCATTCCCCTATGCTATATATTCGATCAACTCCCAAATGGCTTTGAGAAGATAAACAACACTGATGAGCTCAATGACGAACAGCCTGAGGCAACGGCAGAGCGTGTAAAGAAGAGAGGTATTGCACTCTTCAGCATGCGCGTGGGCAATGCCGTGAAGAAGTTACCTGGCTGTGAACTATTTACCGTCACAGATTTGTGGAGTCGCGACTCTACTGATGGGCTGGTTAAGGTGCGCCACCACGAATAGCTTCTCTCGTATATTCTAATTTTTTGTACAAGGTCATCAAAACCGTCATTGCGATAGTCAACCAACTGCCCGAGAGCGCTTTCGAGGACCCTCCCCCGTCACCTCCTTATATGTCCACTCAGGACTCATCTGAGTCGATATCTACAGATCCGAATGCACCAAAACCTCCTGCAACCACCCAAGATGGTGCAAGAAGTAACATCATACGAGAGATGGTGGAGACGGAGCGGAAATATGTGCAAGATTTAGAGATCATGCAGGTGCGTCTATCGTCCTTGTTTGTAGGTTCCTCTTTTGACCTTTCATGAAGCAATATGCCACCGCCTTGTCTCAAAGCAACATCATCGACCAAGATACCATCCATTTACTCTTTCCTAACCTCAACAAACTGCTCAATTTCCAGCGACGGTTCCTCATTCGATTGGAGGGCACTGCTGAACTTCCGTGGCCTGAGCAGCAATGGGGTCAACATTGGGTCGAAAGCGTGAGTCTCCCGTCTTATTCCATTGTCATGCTTGAGCTTTCTTCTACCAATTCGGAACAATAGGAAAACGAGTTCATTGTCTATGAACCTTACTGTGCCAACTACACCTATGCATCAGAGCTCATGCTCGCCTACGAAAACAGTCTGACTGTGAGTACCACTTTACTTTCGTTATCGTCTGGTGCGCCCTGCCATGTGTTGTCAAGCCAACATATGGCGGTCCACCGACGCGGCAAGCACCGATGGTAATATAAACATTTGTCAACAGCCCCTCAATCACTTGATCGTTGCTAAAGGCGAATTGCCTGCCTTCCTAATAAAGCCAATCCAACGAATCTGCAAGTATCCTCTCCTCCTTGATGTGAGTCTTATATATTGGCACATGCCAGACTGACATCATTTACTCATGGTCCATGTTAGTCCCTGATCAAAGCAGCCGATCCCGCAGTCTATCCTCACTACGACGACCTGAAAGCAGGTTCAGCTGCCGCCAAACGGATCACGGATAGAATCAATGAAGCCCAACGGCATGCCGAGAATGAACAGACCGTTAAAAATCTTCAAGGTCGTGTAGATGACTGGAAGGGTCATCATCTGGAGAATTTCGGTCACTTGCTACTCAACGACATCTTCATCGTCACCAAATCAGACATCGACCGGGAGTACCACGTCTTTCTTTTTGAGAAGATTATCCTATGTTGCAAAGAAGCTGTCTCGCCGCCGGCTAATGGGAAAAAGATGGGCAAGAGCAATTCAATCCTCAAGAAGCAAGCGGCTCCTCCCCCTCTCGTACTACCCGGCGGATTCGGTCAGCCGCAGAAGAAAAACACGCCGCTACTTCTCAAAGGGCGTATTTTTCTGGGTAACGTTACCAAAGCCGTCCCAGCTTCATCCCGTATCTCAAGTTCGTTTCCACCATTATTTATCAGTCGCCACACCCTGACAAGCTTCTGTTTATAGCGTCCAATGGCACACCGCACTACCCACTCGCCGTATGGTGGAAGGGAGATGATGACCTCGAATACTTCACTCTGCGGTGCCGCCGCGAAGACCAAATGCGACAGTGGGAGTCCGTCATCAACAGATTGATTGATAATGCACAGCGTCGAGCGTCAGAGCGCAGCATGGCCAAGGTGTTGGCTAACAATAATAATCCTGCCGTCAACCGCAATTATCCCGCCTTTCCACCGCTCCATTCTGCACAGCCTGGTTATCCCGTACAAGCACCGAGTAGTGCGCATGGTGCAAATAATCGGGGAAGGGGAGATAGTGTCTACAGCGAGCAGTCCAGTTATCCCTCAGGATATGGCACCGGACCTCAGGGATATCCTCCACATGACGGATTTGAATTAGAAGTTGACGAGGAGGATTTGGAAGACTACCCGCCAACAAATATCCCTTCAGGGCATTCTGGACGCGGGACACCGATCGGAAGTCGACGTGGTATGGCATCCAGTATGCCACCTGAACGTGATCCTCAACCAGCTCCTTATGATCGCCCTCGTGCTCAAACGGAAACAACAGAACATATGCAGCAATGGCGAGGGGCACCTACCAGCGCTCTGCGTCCCATAGCGTCGCGACTCAATTCGAATATGTCTACCATCAGTAATGGGTCATATGCATCTGATGCGAGCTTTGGATCCGGAGTCCGCACACGCCCCACTCTTCGAAGCCAGTTCAGTTCAACCAAGCTCAGATCAGGCTATGATGAGAGTGGTGAATATCGCGGTATCCCGAAGACGCCTGCTCCCATCAGTGCGCAGCCACCGCCACCCATGAATCGGTCACGCAGTGCCAGTCAACCGAGTGCGTACGTTCCCAAGCCAGGCCCTCCTCCGCCAGTGCCAACGGCGCAGTGGATACACTCAGTATCCTCCAACTCTCTCAGCAGCATCAGTCAGAAGCGAGGTAGTGGTTCGAGTGACTCGACTGGTAGCTCGGACTACTCTCCCAACTCCTCTTCGCCTATCACACCGTTCGGTTCTAGTGAGTCTTCACTAGGTGGTGGCGTCGGTTTACGGGCATCGCGGTCACAAACCTTCGATTCAGTCAATGGAGCGGGTCATGCCCCATTCCCTCACCCGGTCAAAGTCAAAGTGCATTTCCACGAAGATATATTTGTCATTCAGGTTCCTCGGGCGACGGAGTACGATGATTTGGTTGAGAAGGTCGGACGGAAAATCCGGCTTTGCGGTCCTCGCCGAGATGATGGGCCCCTTCGTGTCAAGTATAAGGACGAAGATGGCGATATGGTGTCACTGGGATCTACAGAGGATGTTCAGATGGCATTTGAACAATACCGACCGGGTGGTCAGGTTACCCTGTTCGTGACATGATACTTCATCCGGCGGTCTCTTTTCCTTCGCGTCACTCCTCATCTAATCCTGGGTATAATATCATATCATCTCGACACTATTTCCGCATCCGGCGGTCTCTCATTCTCTCCGGGTAAAATGTACATCAAGTTGACTTTTGCATCTCATCGCATTACTCCTTCAATTTCATGTCCTCCTTTTACGGGGACCCTCATCATGGCGACTCTCATTTCCACTGTCTTTTTCTTCTCTTGTATTACTGGCGCTTCCCGCGGATCACTCTCTTTCCCCCTCATCTCTCGGCATCATCACCACTCTGACCTCCCCTCTTCCTGTTTGGAGAGAGTTAATACGCTCGCTTTCATTGGCAGTATTATTTTCTCGCTATCTAACGGTTATTTTTGTTTGTTTTCGTCTTTCTCTCGGATTTTTAGCCCTGGAACGGCATCGTCTTCGAGGAGGGGCTTGTTTATGTACCACCTATAACACTAGAGCAAATGCAGTAGGCATAAGCACAAACAATAATTATTTCATTTTCATGCTGAACCGAAGAATTACTCAAGAAGTTTCTAACTAAAGCCAGCGGTATGCGTCAAACTCTAAGTCCCAATTTGCCTACACCGTTGTACCGCACTCAAACCTTTGGATGGAAATTGTATTTTGCCCTCGTTGCCGGCTCTATCAAAGCTGGCCGCATCCAATAAAGCCAGTGGGCGATTCTCATCCAGCCAGGCATAAATACGATCTTCTCAGCGTTATCCACTGCGGTTATACACCGCCTTGCTACATAGCTGAGCTTCAAACCGCTCTTATTCGGGTCTGCTTCGCGAACTGTGCCTTGGTCAACAGCCGAAGCGCGAAACGAACCTTCAACAGTAGCGGGAAGCACAAAAGAGAAGGAGATGGATGGATGTTCGCTTGCGAGGGCTTGATAGAGGACGAGGGAAGCAGCTTTGGTGGATCCATACAAGGCCCTTGTCGCGGCTGGAACAACGGCACCGAGAGAAGAGATCTGAAGAATAGATGGTGCTTTGGAAGTACGAGTAAGCAGAGGGATCTGGAACAACGACGCCTTGGTGTGAATGCGAGGCTGTGTTATAAGTGGGAAGAAACGCACAAAAGTAACAGCGACGACCATGGGACCAATATAGTTGCCTCGGACGGCCGCTTCAGTAATTGAAACGGTTCTGTTGACGCCTTCGCTGTCGATGTCAGGAAGCGTAGTAGCATTCTCTTGATTCTCGATCCCAGCGACAGATAGAATCGGCTGAAGAGCAGATACACCGGCAGATAAAATGACCGTGTCCAGTCCGTTCCATTCTGGTGAACGCAGAATTAGTGTGAACGATACGTGGGTAATTAGTATACTGGATACGAACCAGCTTCTAATGCTGAACGAACACGAATCATGTCATCTGCACTAGCCACGTCCCCAGTCAATGCCAGTACGCTGTGGCCCAATGCCTTGCATTCGTTGACGAGTTCGGCAAGTAAGTGCTCCCTCCGCCCCACGACACATACTTTGGCTCCCCGTGAAGAGTACTGCCTTGCTATCTCTCGACCAATGCCTGCGGACGCTCCAAGGATCAAAACTCGCTCGTCAGTTTTAAGAATGTTGGATAGACGCCGAGGGCTTCGAGTTAATCGACGGAGGAGCAGTACGACTGCGCTTGCTAAAAGGAACGTCGACCACAGAGAGCGGCTATTGAGAGAGATAGCGGCGGCCATGACGACGGAGGTGATGGAAGCAGCAAGCTAGTAGTTTCGAGGCCTGAGAGCATGGCCGTCCGCGTCAAGGGTCAAGTGATCTCCACCGGTCTTCAAGCTTTCAAGCTTCAAGGCTTCAATTCTTCGTATTGCTTTTGTTAAGAAAAGGGCCCGTTGCTGATTTCACGCATAGTACGCACTTTGTCATTTTTTGTCTTTCTGTACACGGACGCTCCCACATGATAGTAGGACTTACAAATAACTTTGATACACGATGATACAGACACAAGATATTTACGACAGGACCACGGTCTTCTATGCCACTGAAATTACATTAGGCTTGTCCAAAACATGAGGGAAAGGCATCGCTTCAGTGGGTTGCAACCAGTTCTTCGAATCGTACTTGGCATATGGAGGAGATTCTATCATGTGAAACGTATACGCAAACCGTGTGTTCAGACTGGTGTTACGTTCCGACTTGTGGAGAACAGAGCCGTGGATGAGCACAAGGTCACCTAACCACGTCATTCAATGACTGTCAGTGATAAATGAGACGGAGCAACATACCTGGTTCGCATGTCTCGAGGACATATTCACCCTTTGGTTCGGTTGTGGACTCTGCACTGACAGGAAGGGCTTCGAAGCCGGTCCCTCCTTGTGGCAACCGTACAAATCGCTTGGTTATAGGCGCAGTAAGGTGTGAACCAGGTAAGAATGACAGGGCACCGTTGTGTGGTGTGCACTTCTCCAATGCAATCCAAAAGCCCACAGCCGAAGGCGGGTTCGTGTACTGTTCATTGAAATCAGTTCCCTGATGGCCAGCTTAATGGGAACGAGCTCACCAAGAACGTCCTATGCGAGGTCAAGTTGAGTAGCAGGTACTATGCTCACACGACGCAAAACACACTCACGAGTCATTATGTTCTCCAACTGTGTTAAATGGTATGTTTTAATAAAATGGTATACTTCACATATATATAAACAACCTTCTCCGCCGATTTGAGGCTGTTTCATAATGACCATAGACTGAAGCGCTGTGAGATAAATAAATCAGTCGACCAAGTAGAAGCAACACGAGTATTCACAGACCAACAGGATCACGATGATACTTCAAATCACGTACAATGGCCTTGACCTTGTCATTTTCTAGTGTTACTTTGCGGAATAACGGATCTAGTTCATGTAAACCTTATACAATCATCAATTGGGAAGAAGGGAAATTAATACAGGACTGACCGTGGCCTATCTTATTGACCGCCTTTGTCTTATCCCTGTTGAGCTTGCCGTCCTTATCAACAGCATCTTCCTCCAAGAAATATCGTCTGTGGAAGACGGTCAATATTCAACATGAGAACGAGGAAGGTTATTCTTACATCTTGTCTCCAGAGTCTAGGAAATAGTCGTCACCAACGTGGTCATGGTCCCCAGTCGTGAATTTAGTCTCAAAGGAAGGGCTCATCAGGCTGAGATAGCAGCGAAGAAGGAAGATCTCACCATTGGATGATCTTCAATGGAGAAGTCATCCAGATATTTCTTAGATCTATCCAGAAGAGCTCTAGTTTCATCGCTTGCGAGGAATCCTGGAATGACTAGATAGCTATACAGCAGTACCAGAACAGTTCAAGCTTTCAGTTCAATCGTCTCCGTGTACTAGCCGGTGCGGCTTACCCGTTATGGTAAAACTGCAGTGAGAATTAGAAAAAGGATAATATGGAGTAACCAGAAGTAAATGCCTTCTCGACCTGCTCTTGCGCAAGAAATTCTGGCATGAGAGTATGGTGGCTGAGATAACAGGGAGATCGGACCGGTCCACGTATGATGTCAGAAAAGATAGGGGCTAGTTTCGAGAACGGGCAATATTACATTGGTTGAGCAAGCACCGTATGTACTCGCTGGTACAAGTAGAATGCCACACCAAATTCCAGGCGCTTCCGAATATATGTGTGCTCGTTTCCGAAAATACCCAGAATCTTCTGTTTATGGTCCAGTAACCACGCCTCAAAATGAGTTCCTACGAACTCCTTGCTAGTACAAGTTCCCCCCATTTGCTGTCTATGTTACAGGCTCCGTTGGAAACGCGTATTTGCTGTTTCGGAAGGATCCCGCTAGGGTAAATATTTTAGCTCAAGTTTCGTATTTCTCGTCAATTCACTCAACTCGAATGTTGGCGCAGATATGTGATTGCTATGCTGCGCCGGCTTCATCGGAAAGAGACTTCATTGGCGCAAGATGTCTGTTTGTTTTTGATGTTCAGGTCACTTTTGATAAGGGTTCATCGTTCCCGGTGGGAAATTTTCAGCTCTCGACGACAACTCCATCCGGGATACAGCAAACTTCAAATTTAAATACTAATATTAGAAGCGGAGCAGTAACCGCGCCATCGGTGTAACTTAGTACTCGAACTGAATTAGATTAGGACACATCCGAGTCGGGGGGAAGGACATCGTTACCAGGTATGAGCCTCATTGGTATGGGTATCTGCGTGCAACCAGCCAATGCCCCCGATTCAGTACATTCCTATTGCGAGGTTTTCGCGATACACGAATTAGGACTGTCCCGGAGATACGTTAGCCTGGTTCAGAATGATACGTCCAGGATTACCTCAGTGTAAATAGTATGCACGTCTGGACGAGTGAAGAATCATTAACTATAAGACATGCTAGAAGTCAAGAAAACTGCAAGGAGGGCCTCCTCTTTGCGAGTAAAAAACTCTAAGTAAAGGAGAAGTAACAACAAGAAAATGTAGAGATCTCCTATAAGATGTGAATCAAAACACAAGGCGTAGAAAGATGAGCCTTACCGAAAGGCAGCTGACATAAAATACAGGTTAAAAGAATATAGAATACGGTACAGACAATTAATATACAAATCACGCAAAATGTACACCGATGTCATGAAAGGCAGAGAGCAGTCTGGTACGAAAGGTGAGTAAGAATGTATTATTAGCAGATATTATAACACTTACTTCAGTAGATCGTCAACATCCATTTTCGCTGCCCGGTTTTCTGTGTTCCCAGTCTCCTCGAGCACGGCTTCTATCTTAGCCTTCATGTCTACGTTGTCTTCAATAATCTACAGTGTTCAAATATCAAAGAAATATACTTTTGACACCGAACGAAACAGACACATACCCGGTCGGTCTCTGAACACCATGTCCGCCAGTTTTTCTCCAGCATATCGATGACACCCTTCGCCATGAAGTTTCCGTGTATGGTCTTATTCCTCCGACTGAAAATGATTCTTCCGAGACCATCATATTCTTCGAACTTCACGGGAGGAGGTGGGTCCAATGGCACCATACGGATGACACTGCTTTCCACCATAGGCGCTGGTCGGAAGTTGTTCTTCCCAACGGCCATAACATGGTCCACTTTTGCGAACAGCTGAACATTTGCAGACAACCTTGACCAAAGGTTACTACCAGGTCGTGCTAGAAGCCGTAGAGCAAATTCGCGCTGGAACATCAAGACGCATACTCGAGGGAGAGGGCGGTGCGAGAGTAACCGAAAAATGAGAGGCGAGGAGATTTGATACGGGGTGTTGGATATGCAGACGTCGAAATAGGGCAAATCTGCTTTGACAAAGTCGCCAATGATGACATCTAGTTTTCGCTGTTCAGGTCTGCGTACGGTAAGCCCGGCACCTTTGAGCGAATGAACATGGAGCGTACTTTCCCTGAACTCGTTTCGTCAGTTCAGCTGCCATCCGTGGATCCATCTCTACTGCAGTGACGAGCTTGGCCTTCTCCAGTATTCGCATTGTCAGATTACCGGTACCTGGACCAACTTCCAGTACTTTGTCCGTAGGTCTGAGATTGGCCTAATCATCGTCAATTCACGGATAAAACAACAAAGTCACTATAGATTCACGGTATCGACGATCCTGGTGAGATATCCAGTTAGTGCATTGTCTAAAGGAAGAGACCGTGACAGACTTCTGAGCGATAGCTGGATTTTTCAAGATGTGCTGGCCGAATCGTTCTGTATTGAATATCGGGTTGCGAACAGCAGACGAGGAGGATTCTGCATGACTTTTTTCTTTTGAAGCTTTTGCAGATGGCTGGTGGGCTCTTGAAAACCGATCTGTCGTCGCCCGAGGCATGATGATGACGGTAACTGGCAAAAAAAATCTGGGACTGATCGGACCGTCGGACCGGAACCGCGACGCGAAATGAGTACGGCGTTGTCTCGTTTCTCCTTACCGCCATTTACTTTGACCGTCAAGGCCTTAAAAACTTCTCAGTTTACTACAACGATTTGAGACGGACAGCTATCTCAGCACTTCAAAGCTCAAAGTTGCCTCTTGTTGGGATTTGCAACTTCAAGCTTATGCCAGAAGATTCCCGAAGCTTCGGCTTACTCATTTGTCACGATACTTAGATATATTTAGTTACTTTGGTAGAATATTCTAGATACTTTTCGTAGTATATAAGGAGCTCATTAGGAGCTCTAGTAGCAAAACAATTCAGTATTATACCTACTGCAAGCCTCCCACTGCAATAATTCCAACAGGTTATGGGCCCCGAGCTCCAGTAGAAGTCTCATCTTCCACACGCATTCTCTTTCGGACCACCCGAGCCGGCTTTCTAGCCACACGTCAATCACCATCAGTCCTCTTTAGGCAGGTGTAATTAAAAGTCCTCTCTAGGCCACTGTAATTCCTCTCTAGGTTGGTGCTCGAAGTCCTTTCTAGGCCGTCGTAAATCCTCTCTAGGTAGACGAAGTTGTTAAAAGTCGTTTCTACGCCGCCGTAAATCGTTTCTACGTAGGTGAAATCATTGTATTAGTCGCTGTAAACCCTTTCTAGGTTAGCACCCCATTCCCGAAGTCCTTTTTAGGCACCGTATACTCGCCTTTTCAGGCACATTACATACTCTCGTTACATACCACTTTGATACCTCCAGTTATGGAAGACCGGAGTAGCACCCGATTTGATCTCCTGAGTGAAGAGAATTACTTCACATGGAAGTACCGCATGGAAATGCACTTAATTCGGAAGGATTTGTGGGGAATAGTTTCAGGTACAGAACCCCGCCCCGCAAGTGGAACAAGGACACAGACTGTCTGGGACAAGCGCGCGAGGCTTGCCGCTGCCGAGATCATTCTGCATGTGTCTGATTCTGTGTTACCGCTAACCCGGAAGACCACGGACCCTGCCCGAATGTGGCAAATTCTGAAGGAATATTATGAATCCTCAGGATGGGCCAATCGTATGACCGTTCTTCGTAGTTTTGTTTCTCTCAGAATGGAAGAGGGAGCATCTGTGCAGGAGCACATCAATAATTTCAATGAACTTGACCAGTCCCTCAAGGATATTGGAATTACATTGGTAGACATACTTAGGATGACTATTCTATTGGCATCCTTACCCCCTACCTACGAGAACATCGTTACCGCCATCGAATCTTACATCGAGGCCAATACTGATCCCAGCGATCCGACGCGAGGTCCAGACTTCGATTATGTCACTCGTCGATTGCTAAATGAAGAGCGCCGCCGGAAACTCAATTCACCGGAATTTGAAATGGCGTTAGCCGCGCGATCAATCAAGGGCCGACCTCCCGATCCGGCTAATATCATTTGCTACGGTTGTGGGCAGAAAGGCCACTACAGAAACAAGTGCCCAAATATTGCTCAAGGGGGAGAAGATCCAACAAGAGCAAATGTAGCTGATGAAGATGATGAAGAAGATTATGCATTTTAGTAACTTGAAGTTGAGGGGGAGTGTTGGGATTTGCAACTTCAAGCTTATGCCAGAAGATTCCCGAAGCTTCGGCTTACTCATTTGTCACGATACTTAGATATATTTAGTTACTTTGGTAGAATATTCTAGATACTTTTCGTAGTATATAAGGAGCTCATTAGGAGCTCTAGTAGCAAAACAATTCAGTATTATACCTACTGCAAGCCTCCCACTGCAATAATTCCAACACCTCTCTTTCTCTCTATGCTAGTCTCAGACGAATCCGGACCGCCCTATGCGACTGGCGTTCGACCTAGTCCAGACAAGTTAAAAGTGGGCTTCACAGGCCACAGGTTACATGACTCAGAGCTGTATGGACTATTAGATGGAGCGGCTGGATGGGTGCATGTCGCGGGTGATGTGGACTTCGCTGTAGGAAGTGATACATCCGTCAGAGTCAAGAAGAGACTATTGATGACCTCAGGCGGAGAGGCTTTGGACAAATCAAGAACCATTAAGATCTTCCTGATGGCTATGTACGACATTTTGGAAGGTAATGAGCCTTGGTTTGGAGCACGAGTACACGTTAAAAAATTCCAGCGCTTCGGTATGGTATCAAGAAACATGTAATGCATCGAGATATCAGCCCTCGTAATATCCTCGTGAACCTGTTTGGCGTTCCTACCGAAGCGCTAGTGGAACCTACATTCACCAAGACCATTTTGGACAACTCCGGCCAGCGACACCCACCAACGGCACTATTATGCGATCTAGACAACAGTGGCATATTTGAGGGAGAGACGGATTACCGATCCATAGAGCTGCTCAAGAGTCGTACAGTGAATTTATAATATCATGTCATTATCATTTTTGCTCAAGCGACGATGAAGGGAACACCTATGTTTATTGCACGTGCAGTGGAAGCTGGGAGGCTTCTTGGTGGGGGGCATCTCTTTTCACCCATGCCCGAGCTCAGCAATAAGGCTATTGCAGAGAGATATGTTGGATGTTATCAGGGGGAAGCTATGCGCACCTTCCGAGATGAAGAGGGAAAATGCCACGGAGGTCGCCCGAACGAATCAAGACAACGTGAAGCTTATTTCAGCGATGAAACAACGAAAGCCTTGTTCTACCATCAGCCACGGCATGATGTTGAGTCGGTGGGTTGGTGCATTATTGCGTTTTGCCTCCGTTCACAACCAGAGGATAGACAAGGCGTTGAAGACTCAACTGAGGAGCTGAAGAGGGTGTGGCTGTTATTATCGGGGCCAGAACGGGAGATAGTGTTAAGGATGACACGCCAAGATTGGGAACGGGCACTCCATCCCAGTTTGAAGTTCCTGAGCGTGTTCCTTGTTAAACTTTGCATGCAGATGGGACCCGAATATGGGCTTCTTGAACCCCCTCCTGCAGAGGACCATTTACACGAGGCCTTTCAGAGGCTACTTCTCAACCAAATTTCCGAGATGGAGAAAGACGTTGATCTGGATACGATGACTTTCCGTGAAGTAATCCCGGAGTTACAACGCGCAGAGCATCGGAAGATGGACGTACCGTTTGGACCTTCTACTGGCCAATGTGAGAGAATTTCCAGTTCTTTGAATTTTTGGCTTTGGATTTATCTTAAGTTAGCCTCTGATTCTCCGTCGGAGAGCGAGAGACGGCCTACAAAGAGATCAGCATCAATTCAGGATGAGCCAACTACCAGTATGTGTTTTTTTTTTGTCTCATCATAGGCTAGATATCTAAGTCGCATTACAGAGCCCCGGAGGGGACGAAAGCGAGCCAAGAAATCCGGGGGGACATCACGCAAGGATGCTGAAGAAGATAGAGGCTTCGACTAGGTAAAACACGCCACTAGCTTCCTGCTCCAATTTCACAAGGAGGTTGGCTATGCCTTGCCGATGGTCGATGCACTCTTGTAAACTAATCTGCCATCACTCAAGGCATGATAGTTATTACCACTGGCGAAAAATTTCAGCAGACGGCCGGGCGGGGAACGCGCTCGCAGAGTTGTGAATCCAAGCTGTTGAGATTTTCTCAGTATGTTGATTCAAGTTGGTACACAAAAACAGAAGTTACAACAACACTATTAGCAACTCAAACTACCAAACAAAATACAGGGGATGTGGTATCGTTCATAATAAAAGTGGTATCCAGATAAAGAGTAAATAAATATCACATCAATAAAATACTACCCTCGCTTTGTCCTCCTGCAAGCCTCAATGCTACCACCTGACTCGTCAAACTTGAATATCCTACACCAATAAAAAATGCGGCCTTGCTGGCCACTTCCATGTCAACTCCGATAGTGAAATCGCCCTCCCCCCAGCTGGCTGGGATCATTCCACTGTGGGTCACTCTGTCCACCCATCCCCATGTTTTGACAGCTTTTTCGATCTTCCACATATGCGTATACACAAGTGGGTGATCCCATTTAGCATCATGTAGTATATGAAGAACGCGTGCGTGAGGTGCGCGCTCGAGGCCTATGCGTATAGCGTCTATCACTCGTGGAAGAGTTGGATAGCAATGCTCCATAATAGATGAAGAATTCTGGACATCCAGAGCTGGTGGGAGTATGCTGAGAGCGGGTAGGGTTGCCCACGTCGTAAAGTTCTTCTGTGATTCCGCGAGGTAAACACAGTGGGATGAGAAGTCACCGCGACGAAGATGGAGCGCGATATAAGGATCTGCCACTGGGTACGATGGAGAGCGTAAATTGAGAGCAGCATGCGTTCGAGCCGCGAGGTGCTGTATAGGAAGAGACCATAGGAAATAGGTGGAAAGGTAGACGGAAAAGGATGGGAAGATATCCGCTACTGATACAGATTCAAGGAAACTGGACGCGATATATCGGATTGAGAGTGATTTCAAGTCGACGCGTGGCGGCACTCACCTCCAGGGTAATACCCAGTTATCCACAGCGATGCATCCATCATCTGAGGAAAGTACATCTAGAGCAGCCTGCCAGAGCTCATCATGAGGGGCATCGATGGTTACGTGTGTGACCTGTTCTGTAGGACAGACAGTGTCAAAAATTGCTGCAGAAAGTGACCCCTCAGTGGGCCCCAGCAGGAACGCCGACAATGGTAGGGGCTCATTGCGGGGGCGCCAGAAAAAGGGCTGGTAAACGTAAGCCCTGTCCGTCAAGAGAGAAAGATGGTGGAAAAGGAGTATCTCCTGGGCTTGGTTGTTGAATCCTGCGCCTTGGAGCTGCTGGAAAATCACGTAGCGCCTCGTAGAGGATCCCGACACAAGCAAGGATTGATGGATTTCTGTGTCAATCAGGTCTGTGTATAATTCATAGGATGGTCGGTAGCTGAGGTATGCGTACAGAGTACTCAGGACGAGCACGAAGACGCCTATGGCCGCAACACGAAGAGGGAGGCGCATGGAAGGGCATTTTCCGGCATGAGTCTTGGCGTGATGAATTGATTAGTACCCGTGATGGCCGCCCTGAACGGAGGGGCGCCGAAAACATATTTCAGCGGCGTAAGGGGCCTGGCAACGCAGATCGAAACCGATCGTTGCCGACTGTGCGTGCACTGAAGGTTGTACCTAAGGTCCCAACATCCCACTGCAAGGTTAGAGTAATTTCAGAGATGAAACGTACTCCTGATGATGCTCTAGAAGCTTGTTGGATAGCTTATTGGCATTCACTGACGATTGTCATGTCGACGAAAATCGGAAATGATAGCTCCTGGTCAGTCAGTTCGATGAAAGATCAGTACAAGGGCAAGGTCATAAGGATCTGTGGTCAGAATGATCTAATAACCCCCCTCCATGGATTCGCATCACATCTGGAACCTAGAGGAAATGCAACGAGATGCAAAGCTGTCTCGATCCCCTTTTATAAATGGATTTCACAACATAGAGACATTAAAATACACTACCAATTACAGACAACAAGGAGATACTTGATAACAAAAGCACGATAAATTGAGGAAAGGTAATGCCTTATTGAGCTTGTGCCTCCTGCAAGGTTAGAAGACTGGTCAGAAAGGAGACGGCCTTGATCATTCCCACTGACCTGGTCAACGAACTCCTGTGCCTCTTCGCGCTTGATAGCTCGGATAGAGGACACTTTCTGGTTATTGAACAAAACTCCATAAAACTTGTCCGCCGTCACCAACATCTCTGGACGGAAGGTCGTAGTAATAAACTGTGCACTATCGGACAACGATTGGATCATTGCTAAATATGCTTGTTAGCAGACTACTTTTCGCAAGTAAAGAGTCTGATAGCTTACAAGCCACGGCAGTACGATACTGAGCGTCCAAATTGGCATCGATCTGTTAGGGTACCGATAAGAAACTGCAGATAATTGTGACTATCCCCGTACCTCATCGAAGAGATAAAACGGCGCAGGATCACATTTCTGGATGGCAAACACTATAAGGCAACACAAGTCAATGATAATTTCAGTGCATGAACGAGGATCTGACCGGTGGCAAGTGCAACCAATGACTTTTGACCTCCAGATAGCTGCTGTATTCGCAAACCTTCATCTACTTGGGAATTGAAAGAAACCTGGTGTCGTGTTCAGTCGACCAGCACATACATAGATCAGACAATGCTCACCTTTATTGATACCCCAGTGTAATTATCAATGGCACTTTGCTGTGTCTCCTCCGCGTCTTCGTCCGCATCCTCGTCCTGAACGACCGTTCATGTCACGCTAGATTTCAAACCAATGGGAATCAACATACCTGATCCATTCGCCTCTGAATAATCAACCGACCCCTTCCAGCAGGAACCAGCTTGGAGAATACTTCCTCAAAGTTAAGAGCAACTTGTTTGAATGTCCTCTCGATCGCTTCATCCTTCCTTTGATCCAGAACTTCGACCAGTTCTTCGATGGACTGCGCAGATTTATCTAAATCTTCTCGTCGCTCTAATAGCTGGTCCCTTTGTCTCGTGAAATTGCTATACTGTTCAAACGCCTTCTTATTGACGTGCGCAAATTTCTTGAGGCCTTCGTTGACTGTGTGGAGTTTCTTGACGAGCTAAGGGAATAGATGAGTTCCTGTGCACTAAGATAATGTGTGTGCGTACTCGATCTAGTTTTTCACTAGTATACTTCTCGAAAGCCTCCTCCGGAAGAACACCTAGATCGCGGATGTTGCGACTACACTCATCTTTACGATTAGCCAACATCTGCCGTTTGGCGATGTAACGTTCGGTATTTTTCTGCTGCCTCGAAATGTTCCGACTATCTTCAGTCTGTTGAGCTTGGACCCTCTCTAGCGACCGCTGCAATTCCTGTATCCGGTTCGTAAATTCATCGCTCTCCCTCTCCATGGTTTGTGTGCGTTTAGTCAAGCTCTGAATGGATACGTTCAAACTGCTCAGTTCGCGCTTCCGCGTTTCGAGGTCGTCGGCAGCCGACGCTTCATCGCCGTCCGACTCTTGTATCAATTCCATCTTGGACCGTAGCTCGTCACGACGACGGTACAATCTTTCATTCAACTCGATCTCGATGATATTCTTCTTGCTTTCCGGCTACGGGGACAAAGATCAGCCACCGACTGGCCTTCATCGGAAACAGCACCTACCGTATTCTTCTGTTTGGTCAGCTCAACCAGATCTCTCCTCCGCTTCTCGACTTCTCGTCCAAGACTTTCGATCAGTCCTTCCTCCTCGGCCGTCAATTCAGCCATAAGAGGAGTCTTCAATTCGCTCTTTAGTCCTTCGAATTTAGCACCCATACCGTTGAGCTCTGTTTCCAGCTCATCGATATCGGTCTCCAGCTTTGCAACTCGTTCCTTCAACCGCTCCTTCTCCCTCGTCAACGAGATACCTTCTTGCATGAGTCGTTCCCTAGATTCCCTAATCTGCATCTGCTGCGCATTCAATACAGTGATTCTTCCCGTCACCTGCGTGATCCTCTGGTCCAGTTCCAGTATCTCTGCCTTGATGGCCTTGGACTTCCGGCTATCCTCGTCATGTTTGGCCCGCCATTGCGTGACATTCTTAATGGCATCAATTCTTGAACGGCGAATGTCGTGGAAACCACCAGTAAGAGCTCCCTTTCGGTCGACTTTGTCGCCATCGAGAGTGATGGTGTTGATGTTATGACTCTTGACATAGGCTGCTGCAATAGTCAGATCTCGGCAGACACATGTCTTTCCGAACACCTGTTGGAACGCAGTCTCATGTTCAGGATTATATCGCAACTTTTCAAGGAGAGGAATAGCCTCTGCAGTATGTGGCAAAGTTGGGTTTTTCGGTTTGAGTCGATTGAGGGGCATAAATGTCACCCGACCTGTCTTTTCCTTGATCATGACATCTAGGACTTTAGAAGCCGTTTCGTCGTTATCGACTACCACGTGGAAGAGACTAAGCGAGACTTTAGTATAACTTCAATTGAAAAGAAGAATTTCTCACCTGTTCCCAGCCGTGAGCTCCACTGCAGTACTGAATTTGGTGTCGATGACCTCGAAAAGACGGTATAAGGGCCCGTATACACCTTCAAGTCTGTAGCGTTCCGCGATCTTGTCTACAGCGCGAAGACCCGTTCCAGTATCCTAGATAGAACATCAATATTATGCGTGTCAGAGAAAAATATACTTCATACCTTATCCATCATGCCTGCGAGCAGACGTTCCGCCGTTCTCAGCTCGTCAGCAGCGCGACCGACTAAACTTTCCAGTTTAGTATCCTCCCTCCACTTATCCTTCCTCGCCTCTGTCAATTCACTCTGCTGTTCCTTCAAATTCCGGATCTCGTCTGCCATCTCCGTCACTTTCTGTCTACCGTCCTCGATTTTACTGTGGACAGAGGCGATTTTCTCATCCACCTCTGCCTGCGATTGTCGAGCAGCATCCAGTTCTGTTTTAGAAACTTGTAGGGCTTCGGTCTGACTTGTCTGGTACGCTTGCATAGATGCGATCTGCTGCTTCAGATATCCGTCCCGATCTGCTTTATTCTTGAACTTCGTCACACGACCCTGCTTGGCGAAAAGAGCAGAAAGCCTTGCGTTGGCCTCGTCGAGCCGCCGCTTTTCGATAGTCTCTGCATTCCTTCTAGCATCCCAGTCGGGCAAGAGTCTTTGAAGCGATCTTTCCTTCTCGTTGATTTGCGTCGCGATATCCTCAAGCTCGGCTTCAAATTCAGCCTTTTTGCCGCCAGCACGAGCACCAGCCATTTGAAGATCGTCCACTGTACATGTAAGCTCTGTGCGGTTCCGGATTAGCTCAGTAAGTTCCGTTTGTGCCTCTTTCCGAAGAGCAGAATGCGATTGAAGCGAATGTTTGACCTCAGATAGCTCTTTCTCCATGTCCTTTATGTAACTGTGAGCAGCAGAAACACAAATCGTCAGCTAACTCTCGTACCTGGATCTCTTTCTCCCTGTCATTGTAATTCTCTCGTCTGACGTTAGCTCCATGAACCTCTTTCTTCCGTTCCTCCTCAATATTTGTCAGCGCCTCTCCAACTTCCTCCAATTCACGCTGATACAACGCGTATTCCAGACAGCGCCGCTCCTTATCCTTGTCTTGAAACTCCTTCAGTTCCTCCTTCTCCTCTTCAAGCTCCGCCAGGCGCGACTCGATGTACTCCAAAAGTTCATTGATCTTCGACCGCTTCGCGTCTGTCTCAGCCATGATTCTTAGTGACTCTGCCCGTCGTTGCTCGTACACCTTGGTTCCGGCCACTTCCTTCAAAAGTGCGAGGCGTTCATGATCTTTCGCGTTTGTTAACGCCGTGATCTATACATGGTTAGCATATACTTCATGGGTCAGGACGATACTACTCACCCGGCCCTGTGGAACAATGTAATATGGATTCGATTTACTAAATCCCGCACTCTCCAGCAGATTCATAACATCCGCTTTACTTGCACTCTTCTTGTCCAGACTGTATTCATCCTTTTTCAACCCAATGGTTCTGCGTAGAATAACTTCGTCATGGCCGGTCGGGAATCGGTTGTCGGAGTTATCGAAGACAATTTCGACTGCACAGCGTTGAGGAGATAGGTATGGAGCAAATGAGAGAAGACGAACCGTAAGCCGAAAGCGTAGTTGTCGCCGAAACACCTTCGTGCATAAGGCTCTGGCGCTCCTCACGCGTCATAGATGAGTAGGCATCCGAGAGCACAAACCGGATGGCTTCACAATGATGAATAGTGATTGCGGTGGCAATGGCAGCACAACGCACCTGCGAAGAAATTACTCTTTCCTGATCCATTTCTTCCAACAACAACATTATGCCCTGGGGAGAACGGCTCGATTTGCGTTTGATCACGGTCTGAAAACAACATTAAAACGGGCTGTTTCCCCAACGAATTACATTACATGACTTGAACCCTTGAATCGTCAAGGTCTTGATATACATCTTGTTCAGTCACTCTGAGGCAGCTGTAGCTAGTTTCCCTCACAGCCCCGCAGCTGAATAGAGGAAGATGAATAGCGTTCGTGGTGCGTCGCGTCGTGAAGGTTGCAGTTCAATTTCAAACGTAGAAGTGTCCCTTGTCACGGCAAGCACCGAATAAGGAACCCCGTGACATGCGCGTCCGTGACGCGCCTACTCAACGCCTACTTGCTCAAGAGTTCTGTACTCTGCACTCAATGCTAGTAGACGCTAGAGAGCCGAGACTCATCGCATTGACACCCGTGCGTAGTCGTATTCCTGTAGTGGTTGTACCTTCGTGATTGCTTCACGCTGTTGAAACTTGATAAGTAACTTGCGAAATCTAGCTGAGTTAATGAGTATCGCCTAATGAAATTGGGACTTAGGATTATCCACGAGGCGTTTTTTATCAGAGAGCTTATATGCATATGATGCTCTTAGTTGGTGCCCCGAGAGCTCAGAAACTGGAAGAACTCAATCGGACTGTTATCGGACTTCGGACTATCGACCCGATACATTTATTTATTTATTTTCCATCCATGCCAATTTATTCCCGTTACCCCGCCGGTAAACGGCTTACCTTCTTACCGCCAACTATGCATCCTTCTGCCGCTCGTTTGCTCAATATTCTCGTTCCTGTGAAGCGGTACGTCCTCCTTTTTTGGTAGACATGACCACTAAGGTTCCAGATTCCAGTGCGGTCGACTATGCGGTCAAGATCCGGGTCAATGCTCAACAGACGGGTGTGGATTTGAACGTGAAGCATTCCATGGTGCGTTCATCAAAAACAAGAGGAAAGCACGGCTCATCTGAATGTTGTTGTCAATCCAGAACCCATTCGATGAAATAGGTTCGTCATATTCTACCTTTAGTCATTAGTTTATGAACTTATAGTTTGCCCGTCTGCGTTAGCGGTGGAAGAGGCCATTCGGATACGCGAACGACTAAAGGAAACAGTGAAATCCATCAAGGCGGTAACAATTGGCCCACCCAAATCTATCGATACTCTTCGTACAGCTCTCGCTATGGGTGCCGACTCCGCATTTCACGTCGAGATCCCCGAGTCTGCACCGTCACCGGAACCTCTCGGAGTAGCCAAGACTCTTCGTGCTATCATTGAAAAGCAAAAAGAAGCTGGGGGCGTTGACCTAGTCATTCTGGGGAAACAGGCTATTGATGACGATTCCGGACAAACCGGGCAGATGTTAGCCGGTCTTTTAGGCTGGGGTCAGGCGACATACGCAAGCAAGGTCGACATCGACGCCGAGGGCAAGGTAGCAACAATACTTCGTGAAATTGATGGTGGTTCCGAAGAGCTGAAATGTCGGTTACCCCTCGTAATTACAACAGATCTAAGGTCAGTTTCTCCCCAAATAAGATGACTCTGGATACCAACGGTTTCACAGGTTGAATGGTTAGGTCCTTATCCCATCTTCTCATCGTACTTTAACACATCCGTACAGAGCCGCGTTACGCTTCGCTACCCAACATTATGAAGGCTAAGAAGAAGCCAGTAGAGAAACTAAAAGCCGAAGATCTCGGTGTAGACTTGACGCCTCGTCTCGAGACTGTAAAGGTCGCGGAGCCTCCTAAGCGCGTTGGTGGCGGAAGGGTTGGGTCTGTGGACGAGTTGGTGACGAAACTAAAAGAGGCAGGTTTCACCGCTGTATGATAGAGGACAGGATTCTGCACTGTCGGACAAAGCAATGTCATTCACCAAATTCTCTTGACCATCGTAAATCTTGTAAGATCCTCTAGCTTAACTCTTTGCCTCCCACGATGTGTGCCCTCTCCCATCTCTGCAACCCTCACAACATCGTCTCTAGGATCATCTAGCATCCCTTTCAGCTCGCTATTATATGCCCTCTCTTCCTTGCCTTCCCCAATTGCCGGTCTCCCAAAATCGTTTTCCTTATCCTCTGCCCTCTTTGCGGCTTCAATGCTCTCCTGCCTTGAAGTTGCATACCCGACTAAGTTCACGCCTAGGATGATCTTCACGCCCAGGAAGCACAACCAGAACAGGAGCCCCATAGCGCTCCACTTCACGTCCAGCTCACGAACATTCTGTCCGCATATAAGGATGGAGAGCACAGCCAGGGGGAGCGGGGCAAACCCCAAACGACGCGCAACGAGCGGGGATTGGTCTACGTATGTGTGCTTCCTTCGACCAACAGCGCTGCCACAGGCGAGATCCCGACATAGAACGTCCATGTAGCGAGCATAAACTGTTGGCCGTATATGGTTGAATTTAGTAATGAAAGCGTGCTTGAGAGAGTCCACGAGGAACTCAGATAGCATGACTAACAACACGGGATATCCTATCGTCCAGAGTACCCCGGCTTGCGACCACCCAAAACTAAGTGGGAGAAGCGCGTCGTCAAAAAGGCCGGCACTTCCTGTAAGATCGATGAGATTCCGAAAGGCTACGGCCAAAAGCATGAGGGAGAGTGTAAAGCGCTCTACAATGTCAGCGCAGGTGAGTTGGAAGAGATTGTCCTTTTCAAACTTTTTGAAAACGGACGCTTTGATTTCAACAAACTGGTTGGAGACGAGGAGGGTTAAGAGGGTGTGGTCGTATGCATTGATGGCGACATTGAGTGAAAGAAGCTGATATAACATCACGAATGTATGTGAGACGGTGTAAAGGGTAGCAAGGAAGAAGTAGACGATGGGACGGAAGGAGAATTGGGCTAGACTGGAACGGGAGAAAAGGCAGTCGAGCATATCCTGACCTATGGATGCGCACAAACGATCTGCCATCTCGAGCGCGTTGAATATGACATATAACTTGATCGTATCCTGACCGCGTATGGTGTGGTATATCTTGCTTGCGTCCGTCAATGGGATGCAAATAACGATTGTAACCACAAGAAGCAACGCTCGTAATAAGTCTGCTTTTTGAGAAGGTGGAAGCCGCTTGAAAGATAGCAAACGCCACAGAGCGATTGCAAAGCGAATTGGGAGGATGGTGAACGTGTATAGAAACGAGTCCAGGCAAAGCAGATACCCGAACCCAATGATCTGCAAGGTGTCAGAACCATTTAATAGTATTAATGGGGGTACTCACATGCTCAATCGCTATAGGAATATTAAGGAAATTACTGACACGCTCCCATTTCAGCTCTTGGTGCGAATCAAAGTCAGTTGCCAGAAGCTCTTCCCGTAGGTAATCCCAAAGCGAGAATGGCGGCGAAGGTATTTTATTGAAATTGGTGGACGTGGGTGACACTGGCGTAGATGAGGGCGGTGAAGGTGAGATGGGAGTGGGTGGCAGCGATGCATATGCAAGGACGCTATCTTGTGGAATGTGCAGCAAATGGTCGAGCGACGCTGGGCGACGGCGGAGGGATTTATTCCAGTTGTCTGGTTTGGCTTTCTGTTTACGAGCCATACATAGCAAAAGAGGTGACGCTGTGCGAGAGAATTGTTATGGAGTGCTTGATCAAGTTGTGACGTGTATATCTGCGCACCAGAAATAATAAATAAATGGTAGCTGTCCTCTGTTTCGATGATTTCGCAAACGAAATATCTGCGTTGAACAAAGATAGAGCCTAGCAACAAAGTTGTCTGGCGGAAGTCTGAGAGAGACCTGTCCAGGCCACGCAGCGCGAGTCGGTAACTCGGACCGAAAGGCCGGCAAAAGCGTTCAACTACTAAAGTAGCAGGAATTTCTAAAAATTGTACATATCATCTATGCAGAATACACTTGGATCTTCGCCATCTTCCGTATTTTATCGGGCGTCAGCGCTCCAAGCTCATCTATTAGCGCTGGCAGAAACGACCCTCTCCCTTGAATATCCTTTCTCTTTGCTGCCACTTCCGCTGCGATAGTCAAAACCAGGACCCTATCACACTATCTGTTAATAACCTTCAAGAGATAAAGAATGGATGCTCACCCTCCTACTGCCCCTAATAACGTTTCTGGGCGTACCAGACTTCTTGGACTAGGACTAGTGACAGAGCAGTATGTAGCCACGCATGAACCAACGATACAGCCTGATCCTGTTATCTTTCCCAGCATTTCATCACCGTTCGATAAAACAATAACGTAGAACCCGTCAGAGACATAATCGATGGTCCCCGTGAGGACAACGACACATCCTACGAGTGGTGACTTCGTTAATGAATACAGAGGCGATATGAAAGCCGTAACCTACGCTCTTTCCGTGCCAAATTTCGCACGAAGGATATTGGATCCCGAAATCCGGGGCCAACACTGTCTACACCTTTTGATAGGACTTCGGTTGACCCGGCAAGGGTGGCTAACTCTCCAGCATTTCCCTTGATAACACTAGGCTGCCATGCATTTAAAAGTGCTTCAAGACGTCGGTTGATACAGACACGAATGAAGGTGATATGCTCGGTTACCTTGAACAGATTCTTTCCTGAAACCCGACGCACCGACTCCTACCGGATCAAGAACAACTGGTTTGTGGTTTCTATTGGCATAGTAGCCTTGGCGACTCTGTGAGCAATGGGTCGTCGTGTGGAATGTAGTAGAATACAAACCGGCTTTGAGCATCCCATCTCGTGTTGCGTTCGTAAGTGTGCCGATGTTAATCAAGCTTGCACCGCACACTTTCGTAATATCTTCCATTTCTTGGGCGTCAAAAGCCATGATGGGACTGGCTCCGAGCGCAAGAGTAATGTTAGCAGATTGTGTTGACACTACAGTGTTGGTGATCTTCGATAAAGGTGAGATATATATGATACGGAACTTATAGAACAAACCTGATGTATCAAAGGATTCGATTCCTTCGCACTGCTCATAAGTCTGATGACCTCTTCGACGATGAAGTCCGGGTTTAAAATAGACATGCACTTGAAGGAGGTAGTATTATCCTTGAACGTGTTAATAACATTACCCAATTCTTCAGAGACAGTTCTGGGATCCATGGAGGCCACGATTTCAGAAACAACAGCGACACCATCCAAAGAATGTCCTGTGGATGAGACCGATCCATGAAGAACTCGCATTAGGTTGGACTGTTTGATCCCCCCTGAGATTCAGGTCAGCAAATTCAACGCACTGAGATATTCTATTCACCAATTGCAACAGCTTTCACTCCTGTCCCATCCAATGCTTCTAGCAATGATCCAACACCTCTAACACCGACTTCTGGATTAGTCAACTTCTTCGTCTGTGTCCCATACACGGCCCCAATACCGACATAGTCTGCGCCACTTTGAACAGCCTGTTTGACGTGTTCGAGGGTGTTGCACGATACCCCGATTACAGTCTCTGGAGGTAAGAGCTTGCGAGCGATGTCTATCGGCATGTCCGTCTGGCCTAGGTGAACACCTCGTGCTCCGACAGCTAGTGCAATATCAATACGGTCGTTGATAAACAAGGGCACATTATATTTGTCACAGAGTGTCTTCGAAGCTGTAGCAACGGAGAGGAACTGAAGGATTCAGAATAAGTTGGTGGACCATCGTTAGAAGTACCTCTGCCGTATCAGCGGTCTTTTCTCTTATTTGAACGACCGTTACACCACCGATTAAGGACTGCAGTTTATCTGAGTAAGGAAACAAAGATGGAGTAGGAGGGCAGAACTTACCTCTTCCAATGAACGGAGGTAGTCCTGTAAAGGAAATTTTTAGTAGCCGCATGTTTGTTTCAAGTAATGTACATACCATGCCATGCGGAAGTAAATCTCGTCCTGTTACGAGATACAGAGAGTAGTCAATATCATCCCCATTTCTGGTCATGGTAAAGGCGGCGACCGGAAAAACTCGACAAGTTTGACGTCATCGATCCATCTTCATATGACGAGTTTGCTCTTGTTTGTCTCCGAGGGCACTAGCACAGCCACAATTTATGACGTTTAACCACGTGCCTCAAATTTCTTGGATTTTCAATTAGGTTAACGTCGACGATTTTGCGGTCTACCATGGTTGTAAGTTAATTTTGGTAACACTGCTACATATACTCATATCTTTGCAGAAAATATCTGTTCTGCAACATGCGCCGGCGTTGCACCTTCCTACCCGACCAGGGGATCCCACACCCACGTCTCGCAATTTGGATCCTCTTATGCATCCCTTTTCTCGAGCCAGAGAACGGATACGGGCCCTGAATGCCGCAAAAATGGAAAGAATGTTTGCGAAACCATTTGTTGCTAGTCTGGAAGGCCACGTCGATGCGGTGGAGGTCCTGATGCGGAAACCGGGCGACCTTAGCACGGTAGCAAGTGGTAGTTGGGATGGAGGTAGGCTTCTCACTCTGTGACTGTGAACCTGCCTCTCTAAATGCATCACAGGACTAATTATCCATAATATCTCTATGAGAACCCATCTGCTACGACTGCCTCAAGCTCATAAAGGCAAAGTATCCGGACTATGTTTCACCGAAAGCTCGAAGCTGCTCAGTTGTGGAGTGGATCGTAATATCAAGATGTGGGATACAGAATCTGGCTCTGTATGCATATTTTTACCACCCTTTGTGAAAATCTCATGAATTACACACTCAGGACCAGCCCGTGATGGTATTTCCGGGCAAAAGCGCGTTCAAGTAAGTTCCACTTCATTATGTCTTGGGGTATGTTGTGATGGTCGTCATAGCTCGATAGATCATCATCGTTCTGATCCCGTTTTTGCCACCGCCTCAAATCTTATTCAGATATGGGATGAATCAAAGTAGGTTCAGGATGTATCATGGTAGGGTTAAATTTGTCATTGACCGCTTTCATTCAGAACTTCTGCAATATCCAACTTAACATTCCCTACATCAACCGAAACAATAACGTCCGTCCGATTCAATCAAAGTGAATCGAGCGTATTGGCAAGTATAGGTTCTGATCGGACGTTCACCTTATACGACATCCGAACGGGAAAAGCAGAGCGGCGGGTCGTGATGCAATTCAGCTCCAACGCTCTCTCATGGTGCCCAACGCATCCAACAACATTGCTTCTAGCCTCGGAAGACCATAATTTATACACTTTCGACATTCGACATTTATCAACGCCAACACAAATATATAAGGCGCATGTTGCGGCAGTTATGAGCTGCGAGTGGGCTCCAACAGGGTTAGAGTTTGTCAGTGGTGGTTGGGATCGAACTGTGAGGATATGGAAAAAAGACAAAGGCAGCAGCGAGGATGTCTTCCATGGGAAGCGCATGGGTCGTGTATCGTCGACAATTTTCACGAATGATGCTAGGTTTGTGGTCTCGGGCTCGGATGACGGGAATCTCCGTGTCTGGAAGGCAAACGCGTCAGAGAAGCTTGGAGTAGTCAATGCCCGAGAACGTGCGGCTATTGAATATCGTGGAAAGCTTGTAGAGCGGTGGAAGATGGACAAGGAGGTGGGCAAGGTTGCCAGGTGAGTGGCGTCTTTTTCCCCCGGGTATTTAGGTTGCTGACAGCTAATGTAGGACGCGACACTTGCCGAAGCCTGTGTACCAAGCCTCGAAACTCAAGAGAACAATGTTGGAGGCTCGGAGGGTCAAGGATGAACGCAGGCGTAAGCATACTAGAGAGGGAGAAGGCAAGCCCAAGGCTGAGAGGAGGAAGGCGGTTATTGCTGAGCAGAATTGAGGTTCTGGCGTTTCTTGTGTAAGATTACACCGGCGTTCTCAGGCTCATCGTCATGAGTACTGACTCGGCGCTCGTAGATTTATACCACTACTTCCGCTCGCCCCAGCTTGGTTCTAACAAGTACGTCATATAATTCCAGTTTAGAACAGCTATTTCAAGTAGCCGACGGCATTGAATGACTAACGGCCTTTGATCTCTTATCATCAATCAATGGATCTCGAACTGAAGGATGTGCATGTTCTCGTAACTGGTACGCGGCTCACAAGCATAGCGGACGTTGTCGTCTCAGTCGCCTAAATAGGGGCCAGCGGGGGCATTGGCCGTGAGACGGCTTCTGAATTTCTGAGCACGTACAGTTTCTTTTTACAATCATGTCCATCCTTATAATCCCTCACACGCTCTAGAGCAAGGTGCCAGGGTCACAGCGCATTATAACACAAAACGTGAACTATTGCTCGGTCTTCTCTCCGGCTACGGCTCCGGGCGCGTCCGTGCAGTACAGGCGAATCTGATTTCAGAGAAAGAAGTGGAAAGTATGTTCCATGATGCGTCTGCAGCATATGGCGTAGTACAAATTGCGGTGGTCAACCACGCCGTGTACGTTGCTGAAGATATACCTCTGAAAGATATGTCGCTCGAGCAGTGGAAGACCACCCTTGACGCCAACCTCACCTCCACATTTCTCGTGGCACGAGGCTATCTGAAACAGTTGGAACACGCATGCGACTCCGAGAAGGCCAAGGCATCTCTGTTATTTGTTGGGTCCTCGGCTGCCAAATTTGGTGAAGCGAACCATGCTGATTATTCGGCCTCAAAGAGCGGTGTGTTAAATAATGTGAACTTCTCATTTTACCGATGGCGTTTTGACGGAACATTTTCTTTAGCGATGATGTATGGTCTTACCAGGACCCTTAAGAATGAGATTGTCAAGATCGCACCCAAGGCGCGGGTCAATTGCGTCGCCCCCGGGTGGACCAGGACGCCTTTAGCAGAAGAAAGTCTCAAAGACCCAAATGTGGTGTACAGGGCGATGGCCACGTAGGACGTTTCAGAGTATCATTATGAGGAGAAACGCTAACGTATCGACCGTTTCAAGGACCCCTTTGAAGAAGGTTGCAGTGCCGGCAGATGTAGCTACACAAATAGTCGTATTATCTTCAACCAAGATATCGGGTCATGTATCGGGTCAAGTCCTCATGGTTGCAGGCGGTATGGAAGGTAAGCTGCTCAGAAGCATTTCAACTCAGACGAACCATGTGATCTAATGGTTGGTCGGGTTTCAAGGGCGGCTTCTCAATTTCCCCCAGGACATCGATCTATGAAGCGCACCGGCTATGCGTCCGAGCTCTAGATTAGGCGGCCAATAAGCGAGCTTGCGCCTGACAAGGAAGATGAGGAAGCGAAGATTGATACATATAAAAAAATTTCCCTATCACAGGTATCTATGTACTTGGCCATGAACAGGATAAGGCATCGTTCGTAAGGTTTTGATCGCTCATGGGTGCAAAGGTGACTTGCATCTCAACAACAAAAACCTGTCCCTAAAAATACAACTGCATCAAGCCAATGAATCACCCCATTCGATAGATCTAACCGACGGAGAAAGAGGTAAATTTCACGGCGCTACCATCGAGAAAAGTAAGGGGTCACCATGAATATCACGGTCGCACGTTCCGAATCCTGCCTTCAATCCTTCGTTGGAGATGGTCCCTTGATCACCCTGACAATGTAACTTCTCAGATCGAGTTTCACGCATATCATCATGCTGTTTTCGAAGAACAAGCATCATAGTGTCTTACGATGGACACGGTCCTGAATATGGAGGTGTAGACCAAAAATATGATTACGAGGTTACAGTAGCACAGCTTGTCAACACTAAGATGAATGAGCATATGCAACACAACCATGAAGTCGTTAGAAGCACAAGGGTAGGTAAGAACAAGGTGACAATATTCTTTGGCCTTCGGCAGAGAGTCCTTTTAGTAGTTGGGATCATCATCATGTGGACGGTGCCGCTACTTGAGGGCCTGGTGGAAGACATTGTTTACTGAGTATGGGTATCGAGACACAGGGAATCACTAACCTCCTCGGCCTCGGCCCCTTCCGCCACGACCACGATTCTCGCCGTCACCCCTGCCTCGGTAACCGCCTATCAAAACCGTCAGTTGCAGAGCAGCACATCAAGGTGAAAGACACAAACCACCCCCTCGTTCACCGCCTCTGTAGCTGCCCCGTCCACGATCACCACCCCGGAAGCCCCGATCCCCACCACGGAAACCGTTACCTCTGTATCCACCACGATCGCCCCCACGGAGGCTGTTTCCCCTGCCTCTACCCCCACGAACGCCACGGGCCTGAGTGAAACCATCATCTTCCTGTGCTGGCGCAGGCGTGGCAGCTTCCTCGACGTGCCCATTCACCTGAGGCTGGGCTTGGGCCTCTTCAGCTAGTCCACCAACAGGTGTGGCGGAACCAGAGGTGCCAAACTTGGCGTGTAGCCCAGCAATGGAAGGAAGACCATCCTCTTCATCTGCCCAGTCAATGGCCCCGCTACTAGTAGCGGGTGCCTAATAATATTAGAACGGTAAGTAATTAAAGGCAAGCAGGAAAATACATACTTGTTCTTCAGGCTGCGCTTCGGAATGCCCGTTGGCTGCGACTACCTCGGGAATTTCGCCCTGAACGGGTTCCTCGGTGGTAGGCTCGATGGCGTCCGCGCGCTCAACCCACTCTGCACCACTCTCAAAAGACGGTGATTCGAGTTCACTCGCCTGCATGAAATGGAAGCTGCTTGACGTCGCCGGCAGACCAGGAACACCAGAAACAGGTGCGGGTTCAGTAGCTGTAGAAATTGGAGAGTCAGGACGGTCTGGGGCGCTGACCTCAGGTTCTTCTGGTGCAGGTGTCGGCGGACGAGGGTGCAGGCCATTGTTTGCGATCTCCAACAAATGTGAAACTGCGTTGGCATTAGTCCACAGATTTGCCGAGAGAATAATGCACATACAAGGAGTTCCCTCATACTCGCCGGAGCCTGTCAATAGACCGGTCACTACAACATTCTTTGATGCTCCATCTTCTCCCAGAAGAACATCGCAAGCTGAGAACACCAGATTTACCTCTTCCTGGCTCAGTTGTAGAGGAAGGAGATCCCCAGACGCTAACAATGACCGGAAACGAAGGAAGAGCAGGATTTGGGAGGTTTTTACTATCATTTCTTGCTAAAAAAGAGTGGTGTTTGAGAAAGGCTGGGGATTGAACACTCTCATTCGCACCTCAGTGGTTGTAATGGCCTCCCTGACCCGTATCTCCTGTATTTTCTTGGTTTCTGCTTCCTTTTGCGCAATTTCTACAGCCAGCTCAGATTCGTGCACCTTTTAGCGCCTGTAAATGAAAAGAACAAAAACACAAGAAACACAATACCTCGACTGCCTTCTTGACATCGGCCAGTTCTTTCTGGATGGCCTCCAACGTGGGAAGCGTCTTCAAAGTGCGCTTCTGGTCATCGTTCAGCTTTTCGGGGTCCGTTGTAGCATATGATGATATCCGCAACTACGATATCTCTGTAAGTACCTCGTTCCATTACTGAAATAACCCTAGACGTACAATTTTTTTGTTGGTAGCTTTGAGACGTTTATTAATGAGCTCTACAATGGGGCTCATCTTGAGCGGAACCTCAGGCTCAGCCGGTGGAGCTGGCACGTCCTCCTGAGCTGTTGCCTCTGGTGCAACTGTGTCGTTCTGTACGTCGATGTTTTCTCCCTCCTTCTCAACGACGGTAGCAGGGTCTGGAGTAGCAGCAGGGGAACCTGGGATAGACTCGTTGGCCTTGGCCTTGGCCTTTCGTTTCTTTTTGATCTGGGATTTTGTTAGTGGAGGAGGAGGAGGAGCACCTGGAACAATGCGTTGAGGTACTGCTTCGACCATGGTGAGCAATGGAGAGGTGGAAGTAAGAAAGATAAGTCTAGAGGGACCGAGCAAGCAAAGATGGATGTTGAGCGCTGACGAAAGCTTTTTGAAAAAAAAAAATCGGACGCGTCTTTCTCACGATCCACTTGCCTCTTGTCACTATCTGTCGCGTCCGTCGTCGTCGTCTGCCACGACCTCGACGCTCAACATCCCTCCGTCAGTATTCTGTACAAGACGTTATCAATTTATTCAGCTAGGCGATTCGCAACCACGCTCTTTTCGACCCACCTATTCTACTTTATTCAACATGTTTGCCGATAATGACTTCAGCGTGAACCAGTACATCCCTACAAAATTCACTCCTTCCCGCCATCCTGGTCTTTGCTTCAACGACGGAAATATCGCTATTCTCACTGGCCAATACTACTTTCTCATCCATCAAGGATTGCTCTGTCGCCATTCTCCCGCTTTGGACTGTGCTATCAAGGCTCTTGATTCGACCTGTTCGTCAGCCCGTCTAGAAGGCCGCCCGGTCCTTCACCTCGACGACAGCCCAGACGAGATGTATCACTTCTTGTCCGCTCTGTATGATGGAGTGTCAGTATTACTGCAATAGCGTCCTGCACGGTATTCTAAACAAACTCCGCAGATCTCATATCAAGTATACCAACAAGACATTTTCGAAGGTTTCATCGCTGCTTCGCCTTTGTACGCATTACCAAGTTGGTCATCTTCGCCAAGAACTGCTTCGAGGATTATCGGCTACCTGGCCTACAACACTTCAAGGCTGGGACGCTCGCGAAGCAGCTGCAACGAATGTGGCAGGACTATATGAGCCGCGTGAGAAATACCCACACCCTATGTTAGTTTCCGTTGCCATGTTGTTTCAATCTTCGCTGACAACCGGTGCAGTCTTGTCATCAACTTATCTTGCGACATAAGCGCACACGAGATTTTACCATCTGCGTTCTACGATCTCTCTCGCTCTACTCCAAGCTCTATCGTCGAAGGTTTCCGAACCTCTGGTGTTGGATTCTCGTCGGTACATGTACTATCGAGTGACTGTCTAGTGAGCTTGCTGAAGGGAAGAGAACACGCATCTCGGTTCTTATCGACTTTCATCGTCAATCAGCTGGAAGGAAGAGCGCCCGCTTCCGAATGCATCCATCGGCAACAGTTAGACAGCACACGCCAGCGCGTATGTCAAGCGGTCTTCGAGGCGATTACCTTTGAGATGCTCCGTGATGCCAATGGTGTCGTTTGTCATCGCAGTTCGGACCCGCTATTTGCCATCATGGATGCAGAGCTGATACAGACAACTTACGACAGACAGAGCACCAACCTTCGCCCCTGTGAATATTGTAGGTCAGAGTTCAGTTCTATAGTTGACGCGGCTAGGGCGGAGTTTTGGCGCTTACTGCCGGAATGGTTTGGTATTGACGTTCCTTCTTGGGGCTGACGATATATCCTGTACTTTCAGCTAAATACCAATACCGTCTTACTGCTTTCGTCGATTTCGGTGTGTCCTTGTATATGCGTGATATCAAATTTAGCCTGATTGTATACCCTCGATAGTCGCTGTGATCATTGATCAGGGCGGCTTGAAAAGCGATGCGCGCCCTTCACGAAAACGAAGTATCAGTTTGATGTGGTATCACATTCGTACGTGTTACATCTGTTCATCGTGTTCCTGTGATCTATGAGCGGTTGCTCAGTAGCAGGCGTCAACCTATGTCTGAATCGTGCACTAATGTCTTTGGGCGTACTATCCCTCTAGCGCTGTCACTGTTTCACGGATTTACGCATCGTCTCAAGTGCCGTTCTCCCTCTGATCAACTGACTTCAGCACGGTGATCCATAATTAAAGTGATGTTTTCTTGACTTCTATACAGGACCGGAGAGACGACAACGTTGGATGACCTTATCAGCCATTCCTTTATATGAAAGGGTTTGCGCGGTCTAGTGGTTCACTGTCCTGGCATCCCTGTTTTGTTACTTTCTTGGTCCATGCTTTAAACTCGGTGCCGCTATATAGATCACATTCCGAAGCTTTTACTCGTTACAATGTCTCGTCGTGTCCCTCCTTCAAAAGACAGTGTATCGCTGCCTCCGATTTCCCAGATATTCAGTGCGTCTTATTTTCCAACGATATGTGCTCGCGCTGATTTTGGGGTATAGATATGCCCCAAGGTCAGCCCCCGACCCCTGCATCACTTTCGCATATCACTGGCAATGGATATGGAGCATATACTTCTCACATACCGAACGAATCTCAGGCACGTTTCAGTCATCTCCAAATTCGATGCTGACTGACTTCTTCCTGTTCTCTTTCGGCCAGCAGTCTCGGAGGCACTCTTATGCAGCTCACAGTCACGGCGGTTCCCAGTCGTACACGCTTCCAAACTCAGGGAGTTCTTCATACTACGATCCAGGCTCGGCTGGCCGATCATCAGTGCACTCTGTGCCAGGTGCACCTTACTATGGCAGCTCGTACCCTACACAGACTGAAACAATGCCCGCGGGAAACCCTTCATACTGCAATTCATACGGCAACTATCCTTCGGGTAGCTATCCGTCTGGAAGCTTGGACTACAGGGGCCAAGCTGCTCCGGTAGCGACCAATTCCCACTACGCTATTCCCGGACAGGGGGTTCCCCTGACCATATATTCCGGGCAGCCAGTCCACTCAGTCTCACGGATCAACGATTCTTCGTCACATAGTGGTCGAGCCGAAGCAGGGGACTCCACCTCGCGTTCTCGTGAAGGGCACACAGATGACTCTACAAATAAGACGAGGTACGAATGCAGCTACTGTGGAAAGGGATTTAGCCGTCCGAGTGCTTTAAAGGTGAGTTCGTAACGTTGCAACGTTGATGGATAATTTGATGAATTGTTTCACCACCAGATCCATGTTATTTCTCACACAGGAGACAAAGGTTGGTGTTAGCACAACTAATGGTATGCTTTGTCTGATTCTTCTCTACAGATTTCGTCTGTCCGGAGGAATCATGTCGACGAAGATTCGGTATTCGAAGCAATATGTTACGCCACATACGGCTTGTCCACCAAAACATGCATACCCCGAGTGAGTTCGATGGGACAGAATGATAGTGATGGACGAATCCCCGGTAGAAAATTTTGATGCTAACAAGAGGTTAATCAAGGACTGTCTTTGGAACGCTTCAAGTTCAATGTCAGGGAACTAGACGAATTGTAGACAACAGATAAATTCCACGTCATAGAATCATGATACAGATATTTTTTTTACGATACTTACAATCCTATATAATCATTTAGGTACATTACCAGTGTATCAATTATTATTGGCATGCTAGGTCTTCGTTAGATATCTTGGAAAGGTTCGTCATCGGGTTACGGCAAGGCATCTTGAAGGAGTTATCATGTGCTTTAAGAGTACAAGTGATGAGCGTTGATGGGCAGTCAATCACATCACGGAGCCGTAGTGCACTAAGTAGAACCTTTGCTGCAACGGCCCGTCATCGTCGGCGGCAAACGGCGGCGGAGCTTCGGTTTAACTCAGCAAATACCTAATTCCACAAAAGATTTTTTGATATTTGGGATTTTTCAGTTTGATGCTGCACAGCAAGGAAGAAACTGTTAACCGGCAAGCAACAGTTGCTCTGATCTTGACAAAACATCTCTCCTGGACACCAACATCTCCTGCTCAACAATGACATTGCGCGCGTGGACCTCACATGGTTCGCACGTGCCCAGCGTGCGAAATCATTGCCACTTTTTCTGGTGCTTCAACCTAACATCAGTGAAAGTATTCTACGGATTTCAAAACGCGGTGCTGCTTGACAAAGTTTGCGCTTCAGGAAGCTATTCACCCGATACCCATGCCAACGTTTTGATGTCTCTGGATCTTAAATCCTATACCTAGTGGACGACTCTGTTTCATGTGGCTGGTTTGATGTTAACTCAATTTCACAGCTATATATGTGCAGAGATGTGAGTTAGATCCACTCTATCCGACTTTCCCTTCTGCGATAATGTACTACGACCGTACTGTTTGCTCTGGGAATACTTCCAACGACGATGAACGACCTGTGGTTTTGCCCTCAATCGGCCGCATTTTTGGTAAGTCCTTGCCATTCATTATCTCAGGGAAAACAATACACGTCGCTTACTATGTCTGTAGATGGCGTGCCGAGACGTGGTCCTCCTGAACTGACATTGCCGCCTCTGAGAGATGCTCATAGACCTTCTCGGTCGGAAACATGGCTTCACTATACACAGTCAAGCGTGCATGTACGTTTATGCTCCCTTTAGATCATGACTTCATTCTGATAAAGACAACCACACTGTTAGGAATATCCTTCTAGAACGGCCACGCAGTCCTATTATCTACAGACAAGAGAGACGCGCTCTTCCAGCCCCCCCGATTCATATGTTTCTCCATACGAAACTAATAGAGCTGTGTACGAAGCCAGGTCCTACTCGTCGATAGGCCGTTCAGAACAACTTCAATATTACAACCCTTCAGGCCCTGGCTGGAAAAAAATGAGGTCGCCATCACCTTATGATTATCCTTCCGAACAGCAGGCACGAAGATATGACCCCATTGCAACCCATCGCCGCGCGCTTTCCTATTCTGAGGTTCAACGCTCCCGTACGCCGAGCCCCGCGCTTTACAGGAGACCAGTGTACGACCATTTGTCCGTTAAACAGTCCTCCTCGTCATCGTCTTCCAGCAAGCACGCGTGTGGCTACTGCGGAAAGCGATTCAGTCGACCCAGCGGGCTCAAAATTCATCTGACCACTCATACTGGGGACAAACGTCAGTGATCATCCTCGCTCCTTGCTGCTGTGTCTCATAATTTTGTTCGACTAGCGTATATCTGCCCTGAAGAAGGCTGCGGGCGTGCGTTCAGTGTTCGCAGTAACATGCGTCGCCACGGTCGTATCGTACATCATATTATACCCGAGGGCCAAACGACTTCAGAGTCCGGTGATGATACTCGCAGCAGGGATGAGTAATCTCATCATGAATCTGACCTCTTACGACAAAATTATCTTCTTCTAATTTATTGAATATTTTTGGACATTATGTAGTTACTCCCATACTGTATCGCTCTTTAACTCACCAACACCCATTTATGTGACCCCGTGTAGCTCATAGTTGTTTGTTTCTCTTCCTGTACCGCAGCGGTATCGTGGACAATCGTACTGCGTCTTTACTTTCGGATTTGCTTCCGACATCATTTTGTGGCAATACTCCGGGCCGGTGCTCAATCTATTCAAAACGTCTTGAAAATTTCGGTAAAATCCAATTGGCCTCTTATGCCAGATCCCCCTGATTTACGTGCGCTGTGGCCGCATTTTAACTCACAGTACCGATATCCTTCAGCTCTATCTGAAGGCTTTCACTGACCTACCAATGGACGATCACGTTCTACTGATCAGGATCGCATTCCTATATGGGGTAGCGCTGTGGCCGTGGCATGGTCAGCCGGAAGAAATCCAGGCAAGCTTAATTTCATGCACTATGCTGCGCTGGGAATGACGCACCGCTTTATAAAAAACCGTTTCAACTAAAAAGCCATGATATCCCGTTCGCACGCAACGCCCCGCAGCCCTTAAGACCTCCTGGTCACCCAAGCACCGCTCTCTTCATTCTTTTCGCTTTTGATACTAATCGTCCACAATGGTCCCCCTACGTATTTTTTGGCCTCTGGCCCTAATTCTCTTTGCCGGAATATCTGCCACCCATGCCTTGGTTCTTGAGTAAGTTGTACTTGATTATGCCTATGTTGTCTTTACTGTGCTAAGGTATTTCTACAGTGTTCGACAAGATACAACGACATCCGATGGTACGACGACTACGACCTCTACAACATCGTCGACGTCGAGCCAGACATCCACGACATCCACAGCTTCGACGACGAGTTCCTCCTCCTCCTCCTCCTCCTCCTCCTCCTCCTCCTCCGGTACAAGCTCTACCACCTTGAGTAGTAGCAGTACGAGCAACAGCGCCAGCGCCAGCGGGTCAAGCACAGTTGCAAGCAGTACAGTTGCTCAGTCCAGCAGTACAGTCGCGTCTTCCACAACCGCCAGTGCCTCTGCAACAGAGTCTTCCTCTACCATGTCTTCGGGCTCTAGCCTTGGAGTAGGCGCTATTATCGGTATTGCGGTAGGAGTCTGTACGTGATTTTTTTTCTCGGATTCACGTTATTTCCAGAGCTGACACTTACTTTTATAGTGGTAGCAGCCAGCTTCGCTTCGATCCTCTTTTCTTCCATCCGTAAACGAAGGCATATCACGAGAAAGAGACCTCGCGCGTCGTTTTACGATCCTAAATTCTTCGTCCTTCCTCACAAGTCAGCCGAGCCTGATCTCTCTATGACGCAATCACAGCTGAAAGGGTTTCTGGCTCCTAATGCTACAGTCGGCAGGAACAGATCACACCGGCAGACAGACAGCATGGGAACGTCTTCGACCCCCCTTCTCCCTCTCAACCGCCGTGATGACGATACATCGCACGGAGGTGAGTCAAACGTATACGCAACATCTTCTTCTTCAACTCCTCGGGCGTCGGTAGATCATGAGCGTGACGAAGACATTTCGACGTCCGACCCTTCATGGCTTGGCCATGACCACTATCCATCTCCGTACATAGATACTGCTGGCGAGCCTCCCTCAGCCGCCCAATCCACGGTCTTTTCCCCGACACCCCAGCTCGGATATCGTCCGCTTAGTACTACAGACCAAGCGGACTTTTCCTTGAAGGCGATACAGGATACCTTGGATAAAGGCAAACGTAATTCTACCTCCCCTGCAACGGGGGTGTAATGGACATCATCGCACATCATCCTCCATCCATGTTATTGCTATAATTCGTAATATCGGACTATGAAAAACCTCTATTAGAGTATTATACCATTCTACAGCATCACACATTCACTCAGGACTAATTCCATTGTTACAATTGCCTATCCTTTCAGCCAATACCGGCCCTTACAGATCTTTGTAAAAATAAGACCATCTAATAACACCTGCAGCATCTCAATATGACAAACATAGATGTGTTTGAGGGAAGGGTAGTATGAATCAGCTTCTTCTCTCTGTGATCATGTAGTACGGTATATCTCCTTGTAACAGGACCGCATGAGGAATACAGGGTGAGAAGCCGGCCCCACATAAAGGTCAAGTACATCAATCAGTTCCCTCTCCGAGTCACCACATAGGACTCGAGCAGGTCGGTACATAGGTTAGATACCCGAGATATTTCGACGCTCGACTGAGTTCTAATGTGCTGCTAGAAAGGGGAAGATGACGATGGATGTATACATTCCCAACATTCAAGAACTTAATATAGTATCAGGAAATTTTTTAACCGTCTCGTTCCCGTTCTCCATCACTGTGTTATTGAACTAGAACTTTGAAACTGAAGCAGAGAACGCATAGATGAGATGAAGGATGTCGGCAATACGAACTAGGCGGATCTAATACCATCTCGACACGTCAGCACCCACTAGGCAGTGCTTCCGTATTTTTGCTTCTGTTACAAAGCTGGAGCGTGAATCTGTCGCATCCTGAATGTCAGCCAGAGACTCAATTACCTTCAGAAAAGCTTAGCCGTAAGAAGAACCTATCCAGCACCGCCATTACACGGTGGAGCGGCAGTATGATGAGACAGAAACCTCCACAAAAGTTCCTGTTCGAGCCCTCCCCAAGCTCAAGGATTCACATCCGGTAGACTAGCTAGCATCAGACACCCAATCGAGATGTCAGTGGTTGGCAGCTCAGAATCATGATTGAATGGCCCAGATTGGACCTGGATCTCATGAGATCTATTGACGTTACAAATATAAATGGCCGCCAAAAAGCTGGTAATAATGAGCGGTAAGATCCAAACTGATCTAAATCTGTGCAGCGGCGTCGACTTTTTCGAGAAGAGAGCGCTAAATTACCTCAGCGTCTCTCAGAGGTTGCTTGCAGTAGAAATCGCGTCGCACACGTGGCCGTCGCGCCGCCTGTTGATGGCGGAGATTCAAATCTCATTTAGACAACCATGACGACAAAGTGGGAAGTTGGAACGGGCGGGAGCGTTATCTGGACACTTGTATCTGGATGGATACACTATCATTATCTTTGAAAGTACCTCAAGCTCGCAGACATAATCATCAATATTCACTTTTGGCATCGAACATAGGTACCTTCCTACGCGCTTAATCCCTTGAACGCCCATCTTTGATGTCAGCAATTTCATTCAGCTCCGCCGGTACAAGCAAGCGCCTAGCACTGATCATTTGTGCTCTACATGTACTCGAAAAGACTCCTCGATGAAGGACGAATTGATGACAAGACATCGGCATCATCAATTGTGCGGGCCTTGAGACAGTGCACGGCGGACCGCAGAATTAACCGGTTGTCATTGTTAGCGCTGTCATCGACATGAATCTCGCTCTCGCTCCCCAACTGGCGAGAGGGCGACCATCTCCGTGAAGAACGGATACTCCCACATACTGATATCGCGAGAAATGTTGCATCTGAGTGTCTATCACCGACGCCATGATTGCATCGAAATATTCTTCGTTAAATAATTATCGAGGCTTCCATGGTTTGATATCTTCGTGGGATTCTTATTACAATTCTGAATGTTACCAATGATCATTTTGTAATATCATTTTGTTCCGGTACAAACGTAAGGTTCAAAAATGCTCCTGGCAGAAAGGCGCATCTCCGGGTCACCCTGACATGCCAAGTGTTCCACGGCCAAGTTCAAACTCCAGTCCAGGCATAACTCCAGTGCATTCTAGGGCACCAACTCCTCTGCTCAATCGATATCGCCAGCGTTTTGTGTACACCGAGCCCACTGATGGCCTCCAGTCTCGCTCACAGTCCAGAGCTCGACCTGGTCGACGGTTTTCCCTTGATGTAGACGGAGGAGAAGACCCTATTTCGAATACAGCTCGTCGAGGACCAACGGCAGTACGTTCAACGTCGGGATTTGTTCTTCTGCTTACCATCGGCAGAGATTTGCTTCTCCAGTCCACGAAAAGCAGCACTCGTTTGAAAAAACTGAAACAGATAGTAAGTATTCAGGCTTCCACGATGACTTATCGCGCTTATCGACATCCTTCTGGTAGCCATTCGTACTAAAGATGGCGTCGAAATATATCCTAGAGACCGACGGGGCGAAGAATTGGATAAAAACGCGCGCATTTGGCGCATATACACGGACGAGGCGCGCAAAGCCGACGCACGGATGACAGAGGGCTGGAATCGAAGCATAGATGTGCTGCTCGTTTTCGTGTGTGGTCATTTACCTTCGCATTGGCCCCGACCGACTGTATGCTGCTAGACTGGATTATTTTCCGCCGTTCAGACAACATTCATCATCCAAACATACCAGATGATGGTCCCCAATGATTCCGGCACAACTAATGCCCTCCTTGTCCGACTGATTTCACTGCAATCTGGAAATACGAACCTAACCGACTTACCTACCACATCCTCTGTACCGCCGACTCACTGGGTCAATGGACTCTGGTTCGCCGCGTTGGCATGCAGCCTCTCCACTGCTCTCATTTCGATGCTCGCAAAACAGTGGCTGCAGGCCTATGTCCCGCATGTTTCTGGTACTCTTCGATATTGCTCACGCCAACGACAATCACGCTACATGCAACTGGAAGCATGGCACGTCCCTGCTATCATAGATGCGCTACCCCTCCTTTTACACATCGCGCTGCTGCTGTTCTTCGGGGGCTTAATTGTTCTCTTGTGGACTGCAGACCTCGCGATCACCATCGCGACATGGGCAATAGTTGCATTTGCTTACATTTTCTACCTCGCCTCTGTCTGCCTCCCTTTGATGTATGATGATTGCCCATATTATCACCCTGTCACCGATTACCTTCGTCAGGCCATGGGATCGCGAACCGCCAGACATCCGGTCACCCAAGCCAAAACTCTCCTACATGTGAAGAAAAATCCAGAAGATGGTGCTCGTAACGCAAGGTTCGTACACCTGAAAATTCAACCTACCTTACCAATAACATTCATTTTCTAGCCATGACCTAGTAAAATCATCAGATGCCGTGCTCGAAGATATTTTGGATGCTTCAGCTTTAGTATGGCTCTTTTCCAAATCCGCCGACACCGACGTCGTTTCCGCCGCCTTGCAAGCTATTGCGGGATTGCCCCGAGATTTCTCTGCCCTTGACGTCCTCCGTGAAGCCGGCGCATTAGCTCTTGTGGAGCAAGTTTTCCAGGACTGCTTTCACAAGGACACTACCGTGGACCTACAATGGCACTTGATCGATGCCGATGGAGCAGAGTTGTATTGCAGGGCATGGATACAGCTGACCCGAGGAACATCTGAGCAGTGGCCTTTGGAGATCATCGAGCCTCTGTGGCTCCTTCAAGACTCCAAATTGCATCCTGATGCCGCTGCTATAGCTTCTTGTGCTGTGGCACTTTCCTCCTTTGAATCTCAAGTGTCACAGTGGGAGCTGTTAGCGTATCTCTCCAAATGCGCATCAGGCGAATTGCAACTATCTCAAGCAACTCAATGTTGTTTGTTAGATAGTATCATTGAATGCATGGTTCTTTGGGAGATGCCTGCAGCCGTCATTGAGGAGACAACAACTCGGGCGATCCCCACCTTACTGCGAATTCTACACCTCACTGGCGACTTGCCTACTTCCAACCTTCGGAGTGCAGCTGCACTGGCCCTCTATGTGTTTACTCGCGGCCCGGTAAATTTAACGGATTATAGGAATGAAGACAAACGGAGGGCTGATTACTGCGAGCTCACTCTCGAGTCCCTCTCGATGCTCGTCGAAGCACCAGAGCGGTTTGGCGTTCGGGATACTTTGATGGATATAACTTCCCAGGAATTATGTCGCTTGGCCGCATCCATCGTTGCTCAGTCCGAAAGGTTTCCACAGCCGTTAAGAGACATTGCCAGGTCCAGCCTATCCCAACTTTTCATTGATGGCAAGATTGGAGTAGGAATTGTTCCAGAGTCCGTACTTTCCGACGTGCTGAGATTGCTATATCCACCATTCTGTGTTCCTGATACCAGAAGGCCTCTGTTCGTTACTACCTTGGTCGAAACATTGGGAATAGCTTCTCATCCCGACATCACTGGTTGGTCGGTTAGATTGCTGGAAATCTTGTTGCATCGATGTTCAGTAGATGTCTTGAAAGCATTCACTGACAGCAACGGCATAAACGCTGTTCTTCGCGCAACAAAAGCAGGTTTGGTGGACAGCCGTCGGCTCCAAATTGACAGTCTAAGAACACTGTGCGCCTTCATCGATAGCAGCACCCGTCTGTCTATCGAAGGAAAGCGGGATTCTATAGTGGATAACCAATTCAACCTTGTCTTTGAGTCCGACTTCTTCGATACCCTCGTCTCTGTAATAGCGGAGCGACGCTGGTGGCTATTCGAGGTGAGCGGCCATTGGATGCCAGCGCTGGTTCAACTATGCCGAATCCGTCCACACGAAGATATCTGGAAGATTGTGGTCAAGGTTTTCCGAGACTTTGCGGAGAGAAACGTCGGGGAGGACGGGTACATGGAGACTTTGCGCCACTTGGATACTATGACGAAGCTGTATGAGCACACTGGAAATGGGTCCGTCCAAGAGACAGACAAGGTAGCGTGACGTCCTCACGCCCACCAGTCTCTTGCCGTATCCAGCCGGAGCAACAGCGTTGCCAATGCCTGTGTCCCTCCTGGGGGTTTGCGAAGATATCGATCACCCTCAGGGTGAGCGGTCTGCATGGTAGTGGAGATGTTGCTGTCAACCATCGACTTCACCACACTAGTCTAATGGACGGTTCGTGTTTAGTGACCACGGAGAATGTAAAGCGGATGCTTACAAAATTTAACATTTTCTTTCGAAGTCTTGTGTAGAGGTCGTCAAGTAATGGAGCAGCTTGATATTCTTCTAAGCTCTTCCGCCTCAGTTGTCCGGCGAGGATGGAGAACTCTAAAATCAGTTCAAGGGAATCACGTAGCAAATCACCGGCCTGTCTCTGACTTGAGCGCATGAGACAAGCACTCAGGATGTCATCCAACAACACGGAATGGGCACGAGCTAATGCAAAGACATCCGAAAAGCCTGAAGGCTCGCCATTGTGAAGGAAAGGTGGGGCATGAGGTGATAATCGTTCCAGGAATGTGTCGAAGTTGCCACCAATCGCAGTGTCGCAAATGTATTGACATAACGTAGACACTAAGGAGTGCGAAATAAATCGGAGATGTAGTAATTTCTTTCTCGGTGCTGACAATGTTGGGAAAAGCGGAGCATCAAGTGATCGTGTCATGCGGAACACAGCCGTAATCGCGTGTTCAACTAATAAGAAAGGTGAGTAATCTGACTATGATGAGCTGACAGAATTACCTCTCATCAAGCGAAGAAGAAACGTAAACATCCTCTGGTACTTCGCTAAAATTTCAGGCGTGATCAATACCTGCAAAGGGCGGGGAGGTTTGTATTCCATGTAAAGGAAGTCAAGAGACCTGATACATTCTCATCAGCAGTATATTCGCTTAAGAAGATCGAACCTACTCTATTGCTAAGACAAAAAGCAAGTCAGCACCATTCTGACTATTACAGCGAAAAAAAACGCACAAAGCGGATTAAGCCACCTGTCTCGTCCCCGACCAGTAGGAAGATCACGAATAGCAAAGCCTAGTCTGTTGTCTACTTCCTCCAACAATCCCTGGTGCGTGGTTTCCGCTCTTGTCAGCTTATCAGCTTGAACGACTGATTCGAACGAGTCCACAATCACAGTCCGCAGGAAAAAGCTTAAGTCAGCGCCAACGGGCGGCCACATCTCTCGATCCAAAAGACTAGGTGCAAGACCAACGGCCCAAGCACTGTTCTGCATGTCGACACGGCTGCTACGGTTGCGGCGGCGAATTCGTAAGGCTTGTAGGGACATTGGGTTACGAGCCTGGGCATCGTAGTTTTCATTGTCTGAGAATAGAGCTGCAGCCAAACGGGATTTGAATTGAGGAGAACCAAGCAGAAGATAGGATTGCAGCAGTTTCATGTGTGTTCTTATGTTGAGAGGCGTAGACGGCTGTAAAAAGAAGGAGAGGAGTTCTCCAGACAATTTAGATGCATGAACAAGCAACGGTCGGAGGACAAGGGAGGTGAGATGGGGGAGGGTTGGCGCTATCAGGGGCAGTGTCTCCGGAAAACTATGGATGTACGCTTTTAATTTCGTGGTTGACGCGATAGAGATATGGTCAAGGCACAGTTGACTAGAGCGTGCACCCGGTTCAAGATCGAATACATCGAACTGAGAAAATTCTGGTGGACGGGAGAAGGATCGTTCATTGTCATCCTGCCTGTGCACGTCTGTGTTGTTAGATGAAGGACGAACGGGACGATCATTGAAAGCATCATCAATTTCGGAAGGAGACCAAAACCACCGGATATCTTCGGCCGAGTGCGCCTTAAGCATTGGGTGATCAGGCCGCGCCGCCATAAGTAACACCAATGATTTCCGAGCTGCCGGCAAGGCATCGGACAATTCCGCGAAAAACCCAGGGAAAACGTCTGAAGACTCTGATTCCAGACCGTTTAATTGTTTTGCAGTATCAGTGTCATCAAACAGTCTGCTGGTATATTCATCAGAGCGATCACCGATGACGCGGGAAGTCTGGGGCAGAGGTCGATGCTTGCCAAAGCCAACAGAACGGGAAACCTGAAGAAGATATTCTGGAGAAGTACTTGTGAGGATATAGGCTAGAATGGCGATGATATCCTTGTGTGATCGCCGTTCAATGTGGATGTTTAGGTGATCGTATATTTGAGAAAGCAAAACTTGCGGTCGTGACTCGAGCACTATATAGTCCGTAGGATCAATGTCCTCATCCTGAAGCAGGATCAGACTCGGCAATTGATTGGAAAAGAAAGTCGCACCCTTCCGCATAGTCTCGCTAACACAACCATGATATCTTCGTAATAAGCATAGAAGGCGAGTTTGGTCGAAAGCGCGCCTTTTGCTATAAGCTCTTGAGTCAATGGATGCTCAGCTAGGGATTCGCGTAAGAATGACAAGACGTTCGACATTGTGTGAGCGAACGCATGAATGGTAGGCCCTTCTGTCGGAGATCTACTCAAGCTCTAAGTATGCAAAAAGACTTCGTAAGAGAATTTACCTCGATCTTAACGTGACGATAAATATTTCAAGCCGTCGTAATAAGGTCCCAATGCGTAGAAAAGAGGCACAGATACTTAACAGAAACATTCTCAACCGAGATAGAGGACATGCTCGAATAACACTCACCTGTCAGAAATGCTTTCATCTTTTCCGTCGACAATGATCACGCCATTTCTTCCGTTCCTCACGCCCAGCTGAACGAATTGTTCGGAAATCAGATTCCACACATGTAGCTGCGACGAAATTCCGCAGATAGTCATCTTGAGGTTTCGCCAGAGTACATCAGCTGTAACATGTAAGACTTCTGTATCGGGGTCACGGAGACGAGGTTGTACACTGGTAACTGCGGTCAAAACGCTACACATTACAGGAGGCTAACCACGCACTGATACCGAACAGATGCAAAGGTCCCGCTACCCTGTTCAGATAGAAACCCGGTTTGCGCCGCTCGTTTACTTTGAAACGATCTCAAATTATCCCAAGATAATATACGAGTCTAATAATATGACCATGAGGGTACGTTCATGGAAGCATCGAGAACACGCACCGTTACACCGGTAACTTGGACCAGGGCATTGATCCACAGCGAGTCATCATCTTCCAAAGGTTCCGATACCAAACGGAGCGCACTAAAATCTGCCGCCATGATAGCAATTTCAGGCGGCTCCAAGTTCTGGGTCCTTGTTGAAGCGTTATCGTCATGTTCCCTTTTCAAGGTATCCAATATCGGATTCTGTGGCTTGTCTGCGAGTCGAGGGATGAAGAAACCTGGAAGTACAGGTGGCAATGTATCCTGTAGAGAGTCCTCATCTTCGACCAGTGGGAGAGCGTGCATAGGAAACATGGGAGTCCACGGAGGAGACGCGACTGCCGCGTCAAGGTTGAAGCTGATGGGAAAACGCGACGTGGTGACTCAGCAAGGATCAGCAAATCAAATTCCAATAATAGCAAGAGACCGTTCAAGAATCGGACATTGCGAGAACGACGAGGATAGAACCGCTGCCGCATTTTTCCCGGTCACGGTCTCACTGTATGCATTACATTTACTCCAAAAGGTACTTAAATCCAAGGGCGAAACACCTTCCAAAGCCCACAACCCACCTCGTACAGGCGACGACATGCAAGTAAAACAAGGCCTGCCTCCGCCAAAGCCTGATTTCTCCTTTGCTCGCTCTCCAAAATCTCAAGTTGCCTTCTTCTTCTGGCGCTGGAGGATATGGTTCGAAGCTACCTTTGCGCTCACTGTACTGGAGCCCTGGGAGAAAATAGTCCTCCTTGTTATCATGTTTATCAGCGTGACCTTCTTCCTCGCGGCGCTGTTCAGATATTTACCAGAGCAAGTGGAGAAGATGGAACGACGTGTCATGTACTATCTGTGGGGCCAGGAGGGGGCTCCTGTACGCAAGCTGCTCAACCGTGGGGCTGTAATATTATCCGAAACAGTGTCACGAAAAGTATAGTCCATAAGTTGGAAAAACAAATAACGCGTAGATTATTCTTACTCATCAAGTTTTCAAGGGCAATGTTTTGTGGGTTATGAAATACGACATTCAACATGATTGAAGACATTATAGACATACATTGAAGGGAGGGCGCCACGAGGGAAGTGCGTTCTGGAAAGTGGCAAAGATAGTATCTCGTTTAAGCAGATATGTACCTTTTTAACTTATGTTATCGCGCTTCCTACCTCAAGATGAATAGATGAAAGAATAAAGATAGTGCGAGTTTGGTAAACTTACCTTATCGTAAGAGACAATACAGGAATCAGATGTCGTTATTCTCCAGATACGGGTTTGGATGTGGCACGCAACCATGGCATATATACAAGCCTGCAGCCGATGTCGCTGTAAATTCACTAGTCGCGGTCATTACGCGTCTATGGATTTGCAGGGATACATCTAAGATACAACAGTATAGATGTATGAACGCAACAAGATCACAGCAGCACCAGAGTACATGTATAAAGCAAAACACGACGACACGATTAATACCTGCCAAAGTATAAGCATGGTGCAAACGAGATGAGTGAGATATGGCGTGAATCATGACCTGGCAATCCATCAGCGTTGATTTACACCGACAAACCCAAATGGGAAGAGTCGCCACAGGCCAGAAGAAGGGAAAAAATACACTGATAAGACGTACATTTTGTAGTTGATAGAGGTTTCTTGCTCTCGGGGTGTTCTGTAGGTTATTTTGATGTCTAGGTCACGATTGTTCCTGGCGTTGGGGGCACAAGAAAGTGTACCGGTAATGGGTTCACCCTGCGACACAGTCAATGTCGACGGAGTGTAGAAAACGGTTTGTCTGGAAGAGATCAATGCATGAATGGCACCAAGAAACACAGAATAGACTCACTTCCAATGGGTATAATGAGCCTGAGGCCCTGTAGAAAACTTGACTTTTGTATGCGTGCAGTCGAACACGATGTCAAACCAGGCCAAGAATGCGTGGACATCTTGACGTATCAGACGTCAGATATCGCGACGCAGCAGCACATATAAAGTACACACAATCATTACGAGTGGCGGATAATGAGAAGGGAGTGGTGAATGTAAGATCCTCCTTCTTCGCGGTGCGAAGATCAATGTGCTGTTGATTCATCAGGTACAGCAATCTCAACGATAGAACGGACGACGAACCTTGATCGAACAAGGTTTTGTGACTACCGATTTTACGTCCACTGTATCCACCAATGGTTCGCGTAAAGCGATATCCTTGATGCACGAGTAGTCGAATCCATAGACGTTGTCCCAGACTGTCACACTTCATTCAACCCCGAGACGCAAAATACACTGCAATGCGCGCACGCACAATTGATCTTCTCGTCCTTGTAGTCTTTGTCCTCGATGGCGGCAAGGAAAAGGGTTGCGTTGTCCGGGAATATGAGGCCATCTTGCTTGAGATACTTATCACGAGCCAGAAGAACCGTGTCAAGCATCGATTCATAGAGAAGGAAGTAACCCATCCATTCGGATATTATGATATCGAATTGTCCGATGGGCAGGGATGCTTCTTCAAGCTTTCCCTTGACGAGGGTAATGGCTATCGGGCTTGATGAGCGCAGTGGAACGACATTACGGCAAGAAGACATACTGTCTTTAAAGCCATTGGCCTCGATGATTTTTTGGGCTTGATCAATGATGTTGGACATGTCGATCTGTGGGATAGTCAACCATTGATGGATGCCGGCGAAACGCAATAAAAACAGATACTTACACCAACGACATGCTTAGCACCAGCTTTTGCAGCAAACATACTGAGAATTCCTGTCCCACAGCCAACATCCAGTACAGTCTTCCCTTCGAAGAGGTGCCGATTGTCTATTATGGCGTCCCGGTAGGAGCCTGTCCGGACAGAATCTTTTAACATTTCTTCGTGGATACCTAGCATTTTTATCAGATATCAAAGATTATGAATCATCGAGGAGCTGCCTACCAAAGTGAGCATAAGAATCGGCATAGCTGTTAGGTGCACAGAATCAGGGTTACAGAGCGCTGCATCCTACAAACGTGAAATACGCAACTAGTCCTTTGATGTCATGTCAAAGAGAGTCGCTTCTTGCGTTGAGGTTGCTGAACCGTTCTCCATGGCTGAGGCAGTGATCAATGCGAAGATGAAGAAATCGGTGTCAAAGACGAAAAGGGACAAGCGAGAAAAGAAATCTCAAAAAAATCGATCGCGTATCACGTAAGCATTACAGCCACCCCACGTGCGCCGAGCATTTGCGCAGTTCCGACCCGTGATGCCGAGCACCGCCTGGACGTCGTCATCGTCAGCGCAGGCAAGTGATATAAATCCGGAGCAAAGAGCAAAGAGACCTTTCCATCATTCCACGACGATAACATGGTACGCAACCCAAATCCTCTTTCCCTACCTGTATCTGACGGAACTATTCCTAGTCCAAGGATAATACATCTCTCGATAACCCTCCCTCTTACGACACTGTTCAGCACAGCACAGGTGAGTCGGTTTTGTTGTATTTTCATTGGTATTGACGTGTTGGATATAGGAAATGACCACCCCGAGGATGCAAAACAACCACCCAAGCTGCCTGTGCAACCGTCAACTCAGCCCTACATGACGGCTGGACCGTCTTATGTTCCTCAAACTGGTCTCCAAGATCCTATAGTTTACCACTACGTTAACCCTGCTACAGGCGACCGCATTGCCTCGCTATTACCGCCCAACCATCCCGAGATGATATGTCTTCAAGCAGGCGCACATGTCCCTCATACACAGTATGGGCTGCTTGGTACGCAACTTTTTTGATACACACCTTGCGCTCGATCTGACCGTTCCCAATAGGTATTCTCGCTGCGGTATTCTGGTTCCCTCTAGGCGTTGGTCTCTGCCTACTCGACCGTCATGTAACGTGTAGCAGATGTGGGGCCGTGATCAATGACGGCATATGCGGGTAGCCCATGAGGGGTAATGTAATGGACCTCTAATCTAATCCCTTTCTTGAATTCCCTGTACAATAGACGTCTGTGCCAGATACGTATCATATATATTATTCCCTGCATTGCAAACCGAAATGCTTGGATTTAGAGGTAATTAAAGCTGCGTACTGTATAGGGAACCTGAAAATGATACCGTTAGCTTGACGTCAAAATGTCGAGCGGCCGGTAAAATCATACCTAGAGTTCGCCGTGCCTTTCAATAGCACCGTTGCTAGTCCGGTGCCATATCGCAGATTTTTCCCCTTCCTGTCCGAGCAAGTAATATACGACGCGTTGCTGTACCCCGCCAATATCTTGGCGGATGTATTTGAAGAGCGCTGAGAGGACGAAGGAAGAGCATATGAACAAAATAGTGAGGAGCATGATCTTTTCCCAAGGTTCCAACATTGACAGCACGAAGGTGGATTCAAACCATATGCGCCAACGCCAGAAAAACAGAGCAACCTTCGATTTGGGAGGCCTGGTGAAGGTGAGGTCGGGTTTAGGAGGTGGAAACTTGGCCCTCATACGGGTATCCATGCTCAAGTTCTGTTGCTCGTCAATGTTAGCTGGCAAGGAACAGAGTATGAAGGGGCGCTAAACTGTCACACCATTATAATGCAGTGCACACGGCCCGTAATGACTTCAAGATTTGATTACCGCTAACGCCCTGGTCCCGCTCTAGTCTCTGCGGTGGGAGGACTCGTCATACACTACGAGGCCTCCAGACGCTTCTGGTGCGCTAGATTATCCCAAATTTCAAAGTTCTTGGAATTTATATTCAATAGTACGAGAGCCAGAGTTATTCGTATGAATAACATAAAATTCCGTCAGTGGTGCTGATAACATCACGTATGATAAACTCATCAAACAGGCCTTCACCAGTGGTGACCGAATCCATCTGACATAGATGTAGTTTGGGTGCTACGAAGACAACGAGGAAAACTCACATGAAGGTTCGGAGGACCACCGTTGGAATATTCTTTATACACTGTAATATTGTCAATCATCTGAACACTTCCACCTTCAAATGCTCGTGCATTGAGCTCATTCGCGTTCTGCCAATCGTACCAAACTTTGTCAACCATCTAGGATGGTTAGCTAAATGACAAAAGAGGAAAATGCTAACATACCGCATGATGTAGCCAAAATATCGGTTCTTTCGATCCACGATCAAAAATTCTGAAATACAAAGTTGAAAAACATACCATTCGCAGAAAATGTTGGACCGGGTTGACAAATGGTGGAATCTGATGGACAGATGCCTCCGAGGTCACTGGATGTTAAGTGAGGTTTGATATCATGGTCGATAAACAAGACTTTACCCGCCAAAAATCTCATGTACACTCCCGTGTGCTCCCTTCACATTTTTGAGAACTTCCACATGACATCCGGAGGTTAAGAAATCAGCTCACTGTGAAGAACTCGAATTTTGTTTGAAACCCTTTGAAGTCACCCACGTATCCGTATACTAGATCACGGACCACTTCCGGTGTAAAACTGCTATTGGCCAAGAGCTCTTGGTCGGGGAAAAATTCCAGAGGTAGCCCTACGAATGGCCGTATCGTAAAATTTCGTCGTAAAGGATGGTAGGATGGATACGATAGTCGGAAGGTAGTATAGACCCCGAAGCCACCATCTTGAACGTGGACGTCCTGAGATGGAAGACCCCATCCACCAAGTCCGCTTTTTGGGTCAAGGTCAAAGATGGTGGACATTTTTACGTTGTTGGAATCTGTTGCGTGACGCTATGAGCAACCGAATCACTTGATAGAGGGGGAGAGGAGCGTTGACCGGCGGCCCAATTCCAGTAGGGAGAGGTTCCCTTGTAACCGCATTTGTCTTTGAGAGCGTTCTCGTACTTTTGAACATACCATCGATACCACGGCAAGAACAAACCAGTGAAATGAATCTATGCAAAAAGTCAAATCAGTGAAGATACGTCACTGAGACGATAATACCTTGTGGTTCATATCCATGTGCATATATACGATGTCTGCTTGGAATCAGCTAGAGGCATAAAATGAGGAAGGCAAATTGTACTACCATCGTAGTATGAACTAGAAGCATTCACGCCAACTATATCGCCTGGCCTAACCATAGGAGTCAAGGATTCATCATGAGGTAGGGTTGCCAGACACTAAAGACGGTAAGTTACAATGATGGCGTTGAAAAGCATAGTCACCTACATTGACAGCAGCGATCCATTCTGCCCTTTCTCGTGACGAGAGAGCGCGCCATTCTTTTCTAACCGCGGGGTGCTTGCAATGACTCGGACGAGCCGATGCTGATACAGTCAAAGTCAATAATAATATGATGAAAGCGACGAGGGTCCGCATCAAGAGAGCCATTTCAGCCCAGATTACCTCCAAAGCACGAGGCAATTAGGCTTTTATACTAAAAGGCCCAATTTGAAGTGGCAAAACGGCAAAACGGCGGGCATCAGGCGTATTGATGAGATATTTTTGCTTCTGTGTAGTAACGTTACAGGCATGGGAGACATGGGATGAGATGAAGACTCGTGGCCAGATTATAACAGCTCTTTTGAGGCATTTATTAGCTTTAGCATTGGTGTGTTTATTGTGAAGACAATTCGCATTAGTTGAGATGTATCATTGTTATTTAAAGCCTATTCAAAAGTCGACGACAGTGTAAGCACGAAGACAGATACAGAAACATAGCAGGCCATTCGCGATAGATATCTTCGAAATCAACGGGACTTTGACATACCACTGCACATTAAAGTTGAGATTTATACCAGACTCCCCCTCTGATAGTATGCAGTGCTTCCAAGGGCGTATTTAATTCAAGTGTTCAAGCAGGAAAATGCATTTTTTCGGGGATCAGTTCGCTCAACTCCGAGTTAATCGCATTCGCAAGGTTCCTGGGCTGTACCGCATACAGCAAGCGTGTGCTACTGAAGCCATTGATTGAATTTTTGCGTGATGGAATTGGCAAGGACTGTGCCGACGGATAACAGATCAACAGCAAATTTGATTCAGTGGATCAGGTGGCACGGACCCACGGTGGGAGTCGTAGTATAGCGTGAGGCATTAGGCACCAGTTAGCAAAGATTCGAGGTATTCGGCGCCCTGAGTAACGAGTTGTACAGCGGATCCGACGACATTCACGGAGAAGAGATAAACATAGAAGACGCTTGAGGGAGGGAAAGCTTCGCGCCGAAATTGTGCCGTCAAATGCCGTTGTCTGCGGTGAACACCACGTGATTTTGGGATCTTATCTGATAAGATGATTACTGTCACAGCGGCGAATGACATTAGACTGTCATCATCATTATTGTGATGGGCCGCTGCCAGCATTTTCTAAATTGACCGCTATCCTTTCAATGATCGTCTCTTCTTTCCCCAAAAATTCCAGCATGGCTTTGGACCATCTATCTTCCACTCCAGGCGACCTTCTACTCGAAATCGCTTCCCATCTCGACTGCAGACTTGACCTGTTCAACCTGTGCTTGAGTGCAAGTCTGTTCGTTTCGGCATGCGACAGTTTTCTCATTATTTATGCAGTCTAGTCGAATTTTTACAAATGTTTCGTCTGTCCTCTACACCGAGGTCGTCTTGAACAGCGTCGACCAATGTGTGGCTACCCTGGCAATGCTCCGTCGCCGGCCCGACGTTGCACGTCATGTTCGCAAGCTCGTCGTGCGACCCCGCAGGAAGAGCTTTTACGGATTCAGCTTCAAGGACAGCGCCCTCATTTCCGCTGCGGTCCGTGATGTCGTCTCATGCCAGCGGCTGGACGCACTCACGACATTCTGTTGGGAGGACGAAGAGCTCCCATACCATGATGACATGTGGTTTGCCCTACGAATGTGGTACGTCCTTCAAGAGCCTGTTTTTCACGCTAATGTGCGGGTCGATATAGTTGTTCGCAGTTGAAATACATCAAGGCGTCGATAGGTTCCTTCCTCCCAAATACCAACGCTCATGTGAGATCGTTTCCACCATATTGTAGCCGGGACTGATCTCTTTTTAGGTTTTCGATTTCTCGAATCTTCGTGGATTTTCTCTCACTTTAACTCGTTCCTTCTACGAATTCCGAGCGGATGGTTTTATAATCGACGGCGAGTAATTATATCTACTTTATGTGGTCATCCGCTCATCCACAAACCTTCCAGAAACACACCCGTTAGCAAGTAGACTCTGGGATATGCTTATCAAACGGAGCCCAGACTTAGAGGAGCTGGAGATCGAAGGTTCTTCCCCATTCCCCGTTGACGTGCATAGGCTTCTTGATGGTCATTGGCCTAAGTTGCGAAAGCTTTCCCTCGGAGACGTAGTCTTGGACTGGTCTCTGCCATCGACACCAGATGGCAAGCGTCCTTTCATATGTTTCCTCGAGGAACATCCTGACCTTCAGAGACTGAAACTCTCTAAACACAACATTCATTCCGCTCATCTGTCTACTCTTGATGCTCCTAACTTGAAGCTTCTATCATTCTCTGGGACCATGCAACAGCTCCAGGCCCTCCCTGATATCCATTATTCATCCATTCAATCGGTCACGTTTACAGAACCCATGCATACGCGAGAGATAACGGCTGTCGCCATTGCTTCGGTTCTGCACAACCTGACGTCTTTGCTGAACCTCAAAGTTGCCTTCCATCTTCACTCGATGTATGATAGCGGAAATCTTCTTCGTTCCCTCGTAGCGTCATGTCCACGCCTCGAACATCTCCAACTTACATGCACCCAAAAACCCTCTTTCCAACTAGATTCATTCTCTAAAGCCATCAAAGGATTCCTTCGTCTCCGTAGCCTTGATCTGGCTATTGTGCGATACCCCGGAGATGATACCCTGTCTACCGGTGCCGAACGCATCGCCATGTCAAATCCCCGCCTCAAATCGTTCACACTTACATTCCTTCCTCTACCATACCCTCTCCAACTCCCATTTTCTTTTCCTCTTCTCCCATTTGCTGGACAGTCTACTGCTCGTGGATCGTTCCATCTTACCTGTGATCAGCATGGACTGCCACTCAGCCTTCGTGCACGAGAACGGCGAAGGCTAGTATGGCCATGGGGAATGGGATATAGCATTCGCACACGGCAATACACAAGCGACCTCAGACCATCAGGCTTCCCTGGAAAGAGGAAGCAGGGTATGGAAGGGTTCCTCGGGTTGATCACAGAGAATTCGTCTGCCGGCGAGGAGATGCGGATGATATTATTCTGTGGATTCCTGGTTTGCCTTGCACTTTGGGGCTTTCTGGCAAGCACAAGGGGTCATGAAACTAACATTGGGAGTATACACGTATTGTAGGTATAATTAGACTGAATTTCTTCCTCAAGTTTTTGTCTTCGGAGTGTTACATATGGAAAGTTAGTATTATCTGGATCGCCTTCTTAATAATTCGTAGTCAATCCTCAGATCACGGTGGTCTTAACTGCAGGAATTCCCATCATGCTACACATCGAGCTTGTGATGTCGTGGTCGTGATGACGCCGCCTTATCGTACTAACATACAGATGAGCTGCACCCCGTGCGCGTCAAAAAGTAGATCGGAGTGAGTCGGTCTGCGGGGCATTTTTTTTTAGTGTCGGAGTCAGAAACACAGAGAAAGGAACTCACTAAAGTTACTTCTGCTGCAAAGCTACCTTTTCAATCTCTTTCAAGACTTTGTCAAGACCTTCGTTCTCCCAGAATGATCGTTCGCTCGAAGGTAGTTTCCGTAGTACATAGTCAGCTGCGTCGGATTCGTCACGTCCGATTCCTGCTCGGAACTGCCAAAAACCAGTTTCGCCGCCCAGTGCTGACATGATGCTTTTCAGGCCGTTGTGTCCGTTGGCCGAGCCTCCAAGACGTGCTGAGAGGGTTTGTGGTTTGTGAGAGAGTGAGTCGGAAATGACAATCATGGACGAGGGTGAAGATACAGTTGCACGATAGGCCTCAACTATTGACGGTCCTGATATATTCATGAGTTTTTCTGCAGGTGCGATCAATCAGTCGCGTTCTTGGAATTCAAGTAGGAACACGTACTCGACTTAAAGAGCGTCAACGCCACGGGTCTTCCTGCAAGCAAAACGTTTCCTTGGCCGGAAATTCCGCGACGATTCGACAACATATGTATGCCCAGCCTGCTGGCAAGCGCATCTACCACGAGTTGGCCAACACTAACAAACGTGCCACAGTCAGACAAACGTGTGGGGATCACATTGGACACATAATATACCTATGCCGAGTAAGAGGCATCGGAAGGTTTCCCAATCCGACGATGATAAGCTGAGGTGTCCCGAATGTCATTTGGCCAAAATTTGTTTTGTTCTGAGCACGAGGGTGGTGGCGCAATATCCGGTTCTGTGCAGCTGCAGTCCTCCCCCTCTTATACGAATCAGAATGCACAGGAATCACTCCGCCATTGTTAAGGAGGTCGAAGTAAAAGGAACCGACAGTGACTAATGCTGACAAGATTTAATTTTTCCTTGTTGACGGGCGCTGACTCGGTAGCGTGACAGCGAAAAAGGAAGGTGTCACAGGGATCATCAATGACGGAATTTTTATTTCTAGATTCCGAAAATATAGCCGTGGGAGTTTATGCGCTCCAGAGGTGTTCCGGAATTTGTGGACATGTCTCGTCCGACCATGCTTGGTTAATCTTTTACTACCACCACCACAGCGCGTCGTCTTTTCGTCCTTTCTTTCATCCCTACTTTTCTTGTCTTCCCATGGACCTCACTTCCGATGACACGCAGCTAAGACGTCGGCGGCGACCGTCGACGCCGTATGTTGGTCTTAATACAACCTGCAGACCCTTGCCGTATTCGTTGGAGGCGCTGGACCTCTCACCGAACTCGCCTACCCAGGCTATGGCATCTCTGCGTTTCCTCGTCCTGTCATACCTCGCCGAGCTTGAAACCAGGTTGTCGCAGTTGGAATCCCCAGATTTTGAGGCATGGAAGGTCAAGGGAGAGGTTGCTATGGAGGATGCCAACCAGTGGGTCAGCAACACGCTGGAACTACTAGATTCAATTCGGACGGACGTCTCGTTCCATCTGCCTGATATTCATGCGCTGTCTGTTGACAGCCTTACGTCTCACTTTCCCGACGTTCCGAACATTCGTTCACATCTTCCTGACATGTCTGATATGCACGTGCATCTACCCGACTTTAGCCTTTCGGACATGCGTGCCAAGCTCGAGGATATCCGCGCCCGGTTTCACGACATAGACTTTGATAGACCCGTCAATTATCTTCCTACACTTCTCGAGCACCTACATGACTTGACCTTGCGCCTTTCATCAAAAGAGCTGCCGTCTGGTTTTGATATTGGCCTGGCGGCGCTTAGCTCGCGTCTTACAGACTTTCTTGACTCCATATTGTCTTCGAATCTCGTCGCCTCGGTCCCTCATATGAAGGATGGTGAGGATTTGATGGGCCGGGCAGCGATGGAGGTGGTGGAAGTTGCAAGGGCCATTAAGCACTCTTTCGAGGGCGTTCATCTCATCCAGTACTCTGACCTTCCCCGTAAATGGCGTAACAACCCATTCGTTACCCGAGGTTATAGGTGGGTGTTACTTTCTCCGGATCCCAGCGTATGCTGATATTCCCTAGATTTATACCTATAGAGAGATGGCCTCTTCTTGTCTTGTCTTTATTCGCCTTTCATAATGAAACATGTATGTTTGCTTCACAAGTTATTCCTGTTTCTTGTACTCATGGTTTTGTTTTAGTAAATATACACACGCATCTAATTCCCTTCCTTCTCTGGTTGATCAGTTCCATACCGTTCTTTAGTACCGAAATCATTGACACCCCCGAGCGATGTTTCATGGCGTTTGCTCTCCTCTGTTTGTTCTGCAGCTCGGTCTGGCACACGATGGCGGGTTGTGCTCACCACGGTAGTATGGAGTTTTGTGCAAGAGTGGACTATGTTGGGATTGGCTGGTTCGTTTTTGCTTGACGTATCAGGGAAGCACCGCTCACTTTGACGAGCAGGCTCATCAGTGCGAGTGTGGGGACAGTTGTCTGGTATGGCTTCCAGTGCCATCCAGAATGGGGTCAATTTTTCTTGTCTCTATGTGCCATTACGGGGTTAGCTGGAAATGTCTTTCCATTCATGGACTGGTTTAATCGATACGAGAATCGGGTATGTTACATTACACATTACATTTCGCAATTAATCGTTCCCTGACGTGTTTTGTAGGGTTGGCGCATCGCCTTCTTCTTGTCCCTTGCATTTTCGTCGCTTGCGCCGTTGGCTGCAATTGCAGTGTTACATTCACCCCGTCAAATGATGGATTTTATATGTGAGGGTTCTTCATGCTGCCTGTCGCCATTGCTAATGACGTGATAGCCCCCGTCGTGCCTTCATTAATATCTTACGTGGCAGGACTGGTATTTTATGCGACGCATGTACCGGAACGGTTCCTTACTGAGAAATGGCGTCAACGCCTTGATGCAGTTGGTGGAGGTCGGTTTGCTTTCGTATCCAGTCGGAAATATTGTTCTTACTTGCATTCAGGATCTCATTGTATCTGGCACTGTTTCATCGTACTTGCCGTAAGTCAGCATAAGTCGGCAATACGTAATATGAAAGAAGGGGTTCTGTGTACTCTGTAGATGATTACTGCTCCTTTTGAAGTCCTTTTGAGTCTGAATATATAGATACATTGGGACTAATAAGGACCCACAAATCCCAAATAGGAGCGAACCAAACAAACATCATCGTATCACGACGTCTAATTCCGTTTCTTCCACTCTTTCTTTATATTCAGTTCGCTTCCGGACGGCGTTGACTAGGCTAATGCGGTTTTCTCTGCTTCGGCGGTTCTCTCATCTAATCCATCGGCGAACCAGGTCGGACACATTCATTATCAACTCGTCCATCCAAGCCGTGGATGGGGTTACCCGGTCGTTTTCACTCAACAACGTCGGCGAGCTGGCTCGCCCTTCTGCCTTGGATTCTTTGATCCCCAACATTCCATTTGATACTTCCGGCCTTGCCTCGGAATCATCGGCCCCGTTCTCTAATCTACAAACTAAACCGCCGGTTTCGACATCGGAAAAACTCACTGCAGTGAACCGACGCATCCTTGAACTAGAATCTGAAATCGCCCGGCTCAGCTCGGAAAACGTCCACGTCAAAGCTGCGAACAATGCCCTCAAGTTCGACACAGAGCTTCTTGAAGAACAGCTCGGGTTTCTTGAAAATGCTGAAAGGCCTCTATCCTCTGATGTGCGGCTCATCACCAAGGAGGCATTGAACATGCTGAAAAACGAGGCGATAAAATGCGCTGAAATGGAGAAGCTGGTGAAGAGCCTGATTGATCTGGGTCTGCAGACGGAGGAGCCTGTGTTTCCGCGAGTGTATAAGGCGGTGATGGCCGGCGAGGCGCACGACGAGGCCATTGTAGAAGCTATACGGGACGCTGCGTCCAAGCCTGGTAGTGCCTGGTCGAGCATCATCCCTGCAGTCATCGGGCCACGCACCAACGATCAGTACATCTCTGCCCTCAACATGACGCTTGAATGCCGACGGGAGAACCGCGAGCTGCAGGCAGTCAAGAAGTTCTGGAAAGGGGTGGCGAAGGAGGATGAAGCCAACGCGGACCTCATTACACCCTCTGCATCGACGCTCTCAGCTGTTCAAGTTGCGCTTAGCGAGGAACGCCAGCACGCCGTCGACAATCTCCTCACTAAGTTGCGAGACGGTACTATTCCCCTTCGCAGTCAAGTCGTGCGTCAGGCGACGGTGCCATCGGAGCCAGATCTGTCGAATATAACTACGAATGAATCTAGCGTGGCTGCTAGTCTGCCGTCCCTGCAACCCGAGTCTTCGACGTCCTCGGATAGCTCTGTCTCTTCTTCGTCTGGTCCTAGTTTAGCTCCGTTGGCGAGCCAAAAGTTCAAGGAAGAGCTCATTGCTAGTCACTCTAGCGAACGATTCTCTATTGGTTCCATCACGACCTCGTACAAGCAAGTGCGTCCCGTGTTGGCGAGCCGTGATCTGAATCGTCCAAGCGCTTCAGCAACGAAACCATCAGAGAAGGCGTTTGGCAAACAAAAGGTAACGGGAATCCTTCAGTACACTCCGGTTGATGTTACATATTCATCTTGTGAGTCTTTATTGATAGCCTTCCCTGCAGACGGATGCAATATTTGAGCCTGCCCGCATCAATAATATAACCGGAGCAACTAGTGAACTTCAATATACTCTACCTGATTTCCCACACGACTTCTCCTCTGGTTCCTCTGAACTGGACGTATTAGGCTCATGTACGCGTTCTCCAGCTCGGGCCGATCCCATTAACAAAGAAGGCACTCTCGGCGGAACAACATCCCGCGATACCACACTAGACACAACTCTCATTAACTTCACAAACTCTTCTTCTACCCGCAATGACACAGATACCACATTTGTAGAAGATACCAACAACAGTACTACTGAAACCAAGTACCCAACTACACCCTCGCCTAAAAAATCATTGCTACCTGTACTCAAGAAAGGTCCTCGACGTCTGTCAGTCACGTTTGCTACAAAGCCTCAAAGTCCAGCTCGTCCTAGTTCTCCCTCTTCCTTGCGCAAACCTACGATATCGTCGATGCGGAAGACAGTTTCCCCTGTCTCGAAGCCCATTCCAAGGCACATGAAGCCCACCTCTCCTCTACGCATCAAGAAAAAGGCCAATCGTGCTGCTCCTATACCACCAGTTCCTGAAGTGGTAAAAGATGGGAGGCTCAGGACGTCGATGAAACGGCTAAGTAGGATGATGGCTGGTCCATGATTTTTGTATATATGGAGTAGACAGACTAATTATATGAATTACATTACATGCCATTGGGCCCGATCGCGACCCATTCAGCGTTCACATGAGTGAGCATATCAGAGGTCTCGATGTCGGCAATCTGTGCCGGGAACGTGTATGTTTCGGGGTGTGCGTAAGGTCAGAAGATCGATATGCTTTAGCGCCTACCTCCTAGTCCCAGCTATCATGAGTGCCATACATCGCAACACGAGGGCAGGGCTACCTAGCCCCAAAGTCTGCCAACCGTTCTTGCGTGGCAGCTGCAAATTTGGAGATTCATGTCGATCTTCTCATCAAGCAGGGAAGACAGGTTTACTACCAGTGATGAGCGGCAAACCGGCCTTCCCCCCACCTTCACCTTGCATCTTTTTCGCTCAGGGTACTTGCAGGAAGGGAGAAACTTGTACTTTCCTCCACGTCGGCCCTAGTGTGGATCCGCGCCCCATCGTCAGAGGCAGTGAGCCTGCCAGTGTGCCATCCGTCTTTGCGCCATGCAAGTTTTTCCTTCAGGGAAAGTGCACGAAAGGCAAGGACTGTCCTTTCCCGCATCCAGAGGGGCATAACCCGGTATGCGAGTTCTATGCACAGGGAAAATGCCGCTTTGGGCCGAGGTGCTCGTCCAGCCATGACTTGACGAATAAACGTCGGGTGCCTATCCAACTGGCCAAAAGAACCATCGCGCCGATCCCGATCGTGGTTCGCCCGAGCGCTATCAAGGAAGAGACTACAATTTTGGGGGACACAGCTGTCCGAGAAGATCAAGAAATCGAGAACAGAATTGTCAAAGAGGCGAGTACTTGATCTCAAAAATATCATTTCATGGCTGACAGTATGTATGTAGTCTGCTGAAGAAGTCGACAATGAAGAGCCCTCAAACGAGTCAGAAATGCAGCGCAGCTTTTTCCATTGTAAAGTACTGTTCGGTCCCGGTGCGACCATCCAGAGCATCACTACCTCCTTCGAGTCACGTACAGTCGTGATATCCAACATCCCAGACGATCAGACTCAAGGCACGCTTATCGCCGTGCTAGAACCGTTCGGTAGACTCAGCAGCATAGCACTTACGAGGGATGCGGAGGCTGCTACCGCGCGCGCTACTTTCTTCACCATCGAGGAAGCTTCGGAGGCAGTGCGTGGACTCGCGGGCTCCGGCATGCAACTGAAGATGGATTTGAAAGCGGTAGAGAGTGGAGAAGCAACTTTGCGAAGCACAAAGGTCAAGGTAGGATGGTTCGCTCCCCGCCGGATAGGATGGGCGCATTATGGAAAGATTGCCGATGCAAAGAGGAGCGCAGAGAGACTGAACGGTTCTACGTTCAACGGTTATAAGCTGGAGGCCAAATTCCAAATTCCATCCATACATCAGACGACATCATTCTCAGTCGAGATCAAGGGTCTTCCTATGAGCACGACAGACTTTCATCTGCAGAAGTTCTGTGGGAGCCAATGCAAGTCTGTTATGTTGAAGGAGGCCATGTATGACCGCCAGAGTTCCCTTTTGGATGTCGAGGAGCAGCTCAAGCAGTTCGGTACTTTGGACAGCTTTGATGTCTTGCCGGAGGACAAGCAAAAGTCAAAGATATCTGCGTTCGCTCAGTTCATCAATCCTGATGATGCGGCGAGGGCTGTAGAGCAACTTCAGAAACAGCCGCAGTCGTTCCTCAATCGATCTCCCATGTGGCTGGAACTCATTCATGCCGTCAAATACAATATTCCCTCTCCATTATTTGCCGTCATCAAACCGTTACTGGAAGAGATGAGAGAGCACCACCACGACTGCAAGCTCAGATTTTATGATCGGAATGCAGCTGGAGAGCCCCTTGACATCGTTTGCATCAGGCTCTTTAGCGGAGATCCCAAGTCGCTCGGGCAGCTCAAGGATAAAGTCGAAAAGATGCTTGATGGCAGAAAGTTGATGGACGGAGCTGGGAAGATTATGTGGGACGACTTCTTCATCACCGATGAAGGGAAACAGTACTTGGAGGAGTTCGGCGACGTACATATTTCGTGCGACTCCAGGAAACGGGAGATTCACGTGTATGGAAACGCTGCGGAGTCGGTGATTGATGCTTTAGGGAGGAAATGCCAGGCATTGAAGTCCGCTCCAAATGTCATCTCCCTCGACCGTGCCATGCTGAGCCAGTTGATCAAAGGTGGCCTCAAAACTATGCAGGAGAGATTCGGTCGGGCAAACTTTACTATCGACGTCGCGATGCGGTCATTGATGGTAAAAAAGAGCGTGGACATTGATCAGATTCGGATGACTTTGGCAACATTAGACCACGGAGACGGTGAACGGCCAGGAGACGATGCTTGTCCAGTCTGTTGGTGCGAAATTACCAACCCGATTACGCTCAAGTGTGGGCACTCGTATTGCAAAGAATGCTTGCAACATATGCTCCTCACGACCGACTCGGCTTCCCCATCTCCTCGATGTGTGAAGGAAGTCGACGGGCATTCATGCACCGAATACGTCGATGTTGGTATTATACGCAAACTACTTTCGCCCGAACAAGAAAGTCGCTTGCTCGAGGTGGCTTTCCTTGCGCACATCCACGCAAGGCCTGAGGAATTTAGGTATTGTCCTACACCTGATTGCCAGGTTGTATATCGGCCTGCGAACGAAGGGACCGTCCTCGTATGTCCATCATGCTGGGGGAAAATATGCGCCTTTTGCCATGTGCAGTTTCATGAGGGGCTGGCATGCAAACAACATCGTGAGAATATGGAGGGTGGATATGAGGCATTCCAAAGGTGGAAGGCTGAACATGGGGTCAAAGAATGTCCGAGTTGCAAGGCTGTGATAGAAAAGAACGGAGGCTGCAACCACATGACCTGCGCACGATGTCACACTCATATCTGCTGGGTTTGTATGAAGACTTTCAAGGAGGATGATACATCAGGCGGGGTGTATTCGCATCTCAGGAAGGCGCACGGAGGTATATCCTGAATCCTTTGTACAAGAGAATGATACCATGAATAACTATCGATGAGCGACGTTAATGGTACTAAGAAGATCTGGCACACATACAGACAGAGAAATTATGAGGGCCTAGCTGGTCGAGCATCTGGACCCTTCAACCGCTCCTCTACGAGTTCGCTGAATTCCTCTCGCAAAATTGCTTCCCGTCTTTCCCTCTCCTCCCTCTGCAACTTGAGAATGCCCCGCTTTTCTTCGGCACTGATGACCTGATTTTCCTTCCGCATACGAACGGCATTCATACGTCGATGGCGACTGCCGCTCATCACATAACCAACATCCTCATACTTGGCAATCTCATCGGACGTGAGACCGATTTCACCGCGACGAGGGATGCGCGCATCTGTGCCACCCTCCTGTAAGAAAGCGGCCATGGCGCTACCTTCGCCCCGAAGCAATGCACCACCGTAAGAACGCTCGTCAAATTTCTTAGACGAGTTGGGCTTAGCAATAGGCTGAGGTCCAACTTCTGTGTCGGAGTCGCCATCTCCTGCCTGTGGACCACGAACGTCATTTGGTGTTGAGGCACTAGTGTTTCGCGCCGCGACGGCAGGAAGGATAGGGGATTTGACGACCCATTCCTCTTCATCGGAAGCGTTTCGACCTGGACTTGGGCCACGACTTCCACTGCGTCGTCGGCGTTCTACGCTCGGGCTCCTACTCTCTGAGTGCCTTCGTCTATGCCGCTTGCGCTCTTTTTCATCGTCATCTTCAAGCTCCTTCGACCGCCAAGAGCGAGAACGATGTCGTTTACTCTCTTTTTTCTTCTCTCGCTCCCTCTCTCTTCTCTTTCTCCTCTCACGTCTGCGTCTTTCCTCTTCTTCGGACGAATCATCCGTGATTGAGGGGGACCTTGCGCGCTTAGACTTTTTACTGGACTTCTTGCGCTTCGGCGACCTATGTGATATATAAGACGTCTGCCAACTTCTACCAGGAAAGCTGTACCTACACTGAGCGCGCAGGTGCCTTTGGAGATGGAGGCCATACATTAACAGTCATGCTCTCCCTCTGCAACCTCCGACTGTGACATACCCCATCAGCTGTAGAACTAGTTGGACATAGCTAGAGAAGACTGACCTTTCCATGAAATCGGTACCTCCACCTTTTGAGCCACCGTGAAATCCACTATCACCTCCACCTCGACGATTAGGGTACATATTTTCGGGTTGTCTCCATGGCGCCTCACGACCCGACTCCGGTCGCCTGTAGTCATCATATTCTGGGCTTGCTCTTCGCTCCACATTGGTTCTTCTATCGCCGCGATGTTCGTACTCATCTCTTTGAGATCTGTCTTCATGCCTTCCTCTGCCTCTGCGATCCCGGCTTCGACTTCGTGTGGGTGTCGGACTACGACGAGGACGGCGAGGGGATGGCGTGCGACCTCGACGACGGTCATTTTGAGACGGTTCAGGGTCTCTTGGGACAAGTCCCATGCGAGAGGGATGCACCATAGCCATTGTAGCAGAACGGCCAAGCACTTAGCAGTAAGTGGTAAATGGTTTGATGAAGGGGCGTGAGAAAATATTGGGTCTTGATCTCGGCAAAGTCGCCCGTTTTGGCAAGCTCCTTGACGCCAGCCTCTCCCTCGCGCTGCCTCTTGTCTATTAACGCTCTGCCGCCAGTCTCTATAGCCTGCAAACCTTTGGAATTGGTACATCTGGGATCTCTTGCCTTTGTGTCGTATAATTCAGTCCTTTGAAACTCCTCACGGTCTCTAAAGCTTCTCTGGTACTGATTATCCATTCAACGCTACCTGGGTAAACCATCGAAATCTCAAGTGGCGTACCATTTGCTACCAAAAGCTTCACGGAATTCAACAATATATGACAGCGAGATTTAACCGAGCGTTCGCCCGCTTGGCTGATTTAGAATTCTATGCTGTTGTACTGTCTTCGCGTCTCCGCCTGAGTAGAACCAGAAAAGACCGTCTCTGCAGATTTCGAAGTTTTTCTTGCGGCGCTAATTCAGCGACTCATAGATGATACGGGGCGCCGCGGTAAAGCCCGTAGCCATGCTATTTTGGGGTGCTTTGGTAACAGTTCCTCAACCAACAATCTGATTCGCCTTTGCACGACCACTTGAGAAAGCAAGTGCAAGAACATGCCCCGTTACCTTGGCCTTGACCGTGATCACGAGATACCTGAGCGGTCTGCACTATAACACGTTCCATGTGCTGCAGGGCATCGGTGCAAAGGGATTTCCTTCTTTAGGACGTCTGGCATCCCAAAGTTGATTCAGCAAAGCTTTCTGTGTCTGATCCCCGGGGCGAATTTCTTTTGGCTTCGTCTGTTGTGGTCCACTGGCCAGTATTTTTGCGAAGCCTCTAAAATAATCTAATGCCACCACTCTGGAGCCGCTGGCGCCGCTTCTTCTACCAGCTGCTCATTCTCGTGAGCGCTTGGGCCATCTCAGGACCATGAAATGGAAGATTAAATAGGTCACAAATCCAGGCACTCCTTCCGAATCTTCAGTTTACTGGCTGCTCTGCTGGCTCCCTACTCGACGGCTGCATTCTATTAATCGAATCGGCTGCGCTGCAGAAGCCCTTTGGACCGCTCACGAGTTGCGACTGCTGTGGCGTACAAGGCGGTCGCAATTCACTTAACCCTTTTTTGTACCTCATCGTGTCTGTGCTGCTTCAACTTCATTAAAAGCCTGTCTGCGTTAACTGGACTTACAACGCTCTCATGGCGCTGCCCATCTTTCTCAGTTTATGTTTCTTGGCCCTGGTCAAGAGCCAGCCGTCGCCTGATGTCCAGGCGAGAATTTCAAAGGCCATCGCTGATGCAGCCTCCTCACCAAAGCCCGACTATGCCTCGATCGTGAATCCTTTCATTGGCACAGGTACTGTGCTCCCTTAGCTTGGCGTGTGTCAAATGCTTATAGTCGTACCCAGACAACGAAGGCGACGTTTGGTAAATTAACGGCAACCATAGATTGTAACTAGCACTGATAATAGTTCCCTTTAGTCCAGGAGCGTCTATTCCCTTTGGCATGGTATGAATGAACCGCTTTGATGCGCCTCCATTCCATTGTAATTCTACCAATCAGGCCAAAATCACGACCGATATGACGGGATATGCCCCTGCTGGTAAGCCTTTATACCGTTCTGTGAAATATGCGTAACTTTAACGTAAATTCTAGGCTACATTACGGACGTTACCCAACAAATTAAAGGTTTCAGTCCCCTTCACGACAGCGGTACCGGCGCATCCGGTAAATATTCTTTCGAATTTTACTTCATGACAATACTAACCAATTGCTAGGTGACTATGGCCTATTCGAAGTCATGCCAATGCTCTGTCCCGGTGGTTTCCAGACCTGTACAACTCACTTTGACAAAAGGTTGCGGTCGCGTAAACCTAATACTGATGGTAAGTACAGCAAACATACACGTCTACTGAGTACTGATACCGATATCCTTTAGACGCTACTCCTGGTTACTTTGCTTTGACGTTGGATAACAACATCACTATGGAAGCAACAGCCACTCGACGAGCTGGATTGGAGAGGTTCAGATTCCCGTCTGGATCCAAGCCATACTTTGTTATTGACCTAGCGAACGATAATGCCGGAACGTTCGCGGGTGGGTCCATGGATATTGATCCTAAGAAAGGGCGCATTACGATTGGCGGACATTGGGGCCCAAGGTTACTATAACATCTCTTCCATGCACCCATAGGCACTAAACATCCTCTTTCAGTTTTGGCCCTTCACGATTTAACTACCAAGCATTTGCCTGCTACGACATACTTGACGGGGGTAAACAGAAGCTGGACGAGTATGGCATCTGGACAGCGGATGAGTGGGTGCAATATTATACGTTGACCGTACCATACTGACATAACCTTCCTAGTTACGGTATGGATGCGAAAGGTCTCGGTCAGACCCACCTCAATCTCTCTGTGAACCTCATTGGCGGTTCCATTTATCAATCCGGTGCACTTTTCTCATTTGCCGACACCCCGGAGGAGATACACTTCCGTGTAGGCGTGTCGTTCGTGTCTACAGAGCAGGCGTGTGCCAATGCCGAATCCGAGATTGGTTCATCCTCTTTTGAAGACATCCTTGCACGGGCAAAGATGTTGTGGAATGAGAAGTTGAGCAAAGTCGAAATCGACATTGCGAACACCCCAGCGAATATCACTGAAATGCTGTACTCTTCACTCTATCGGGCTTCTTTGACTCCGGTGCGCTTCAATTCTAAGCTTATTTTTGCCCTCCTAAATTCTTCGATAGAACAACGCAACCGGAGAAGGACAGGGCTTGTTTACCGATACCTCATCTTATTACTTCGATTCCTTGTACTGCAGGTGAGCCGCATTTCATCCACTTCTTTCTTTACTGTATTTTGATCGTCAATCATTCAGCTGGGATACTGTAGGTCCCCGTCGTATCGTGATGACGGAAGGTCTTGATGCCTTACTTAGTTCCGAACGTTTTACCCCCTGTTGGCGCTTCACTCGCCCGTGGAATACGCGCATATTGTAGATACCTATATCGATGGCTGGCGCAAGAATGGATGGATGCCCGAATGCCGCACGAACAACGTCCCAGGATACACTCAAGGCGGTCAGTTTATGGATGTCTTGCAGATTTTTAGTGCTCATGCTCTCGACCGCTCCAGGCTCTAGTGGCGACGTTATCGTCTCCCACTTCGCTATGAGCTACCACAATGAAGCGAAAGATCTGGGGATTGATTTGAATGAACTATTCGCGGCTGCGCTTACAGATGGTGATCTCAATCCTCCGGAGTGGAATATCCAAGGGCGACAAGTGAACGTATACAAGTAAGTCCAATCAGAGCGATTTGAACGAGGATACTGACGGCCATATAAGGCAATATGGATACGTTCCTTTCGGTGTCCTTGATCCATCTAGTACCGGTCGGCAAACAAGAGAGGCAAGCAGAACACTCGAGGTGAGGTGTATGACATCGTATCATTATTGATCGGCAACTAACTCTCTCTGTTAGTACGCCTTCGAAGATTTCGGCATACGTCAAGTAGCTCTCCTGTTGGGGAATTCCGAGGAAGAAGAACGATACTACAACCGCTCACTGGTATAACCCTTTGTTTTGCCTGAATTACGGTCGCTTATTATCTCCAGTTCTACCGCAACATTTGGGACCCTACGGTTACAAGCGATGGCTTCACAGGGTTCATGCAGAAGCGTGCAATGAATGGAACCTTCATTTACAGTGATCCTATTAATTGTTCCCCGAAGAATGTTGGATCGCGGTCGTGTTCCCTGGAACAGGACAATGTCAACGGTTTCTACGAATCTTCTTCTTGGGAGTACAGTTGGTTTGTGCCCCATGACACTGCCTATTTAGTAGGCCTCATGGGCGGAAACGTGAGCATTTTTCCTCTTCTCTTAAACACTTACATCATACTAATACTGTGGGCGACAGGAAACCTTCCTAAGTCGTCTCGATCACTTCTTTGATGTAAGATTCCATTTTGCTATTTCACTTGAAGCAATAGAATGACCTACTTCATTATAGGGTGGCTACTACCTTGCTGGCAACGAACCATCGTTCCAGGTTTGTTGATCTGCCATTGTGTCTCCTCGTGAAGATGACCCTTCTCGCTTTAGACACCCATTGGTTACCACTATGCTGATAAACCAGCCCAATCCGTTGATCGAGTGCGACAAGTCGTTTTCCAAAACTTCGGGATCAGTACGTCGTTCTTATACCGCGTCGAACATCGAACATCTGATTGAGGGTATCGCAGCTGCGGCCGGTTTACCGGGCAATGACGACCAAGCAGCTATGGCCTCTTTATTGACATTCCATCTTCTCGGCCTTTATCCGGGTTAGTCGCACCTGCAGGAGAATCATCTTTTTTTTTTCAGCTAATAATGCCTATTTTTTAGTCCCATCCACGACTGAATTTCTCGTCCTCTCGCCGTTCATTCCCAAGTATACCATTCACAACTCATACCTTAACACCAGCACCACGGTTACTGTAGTCAACTATGACGCCAACTCTGTGCAGGAGACCATTCCTTCTGGCGTCCCTGCGTATGTGGCGAATGTCACTGTGAACGGAGAAGCAACCACGAGGTGTCATTTCGACTTCTTCGACACGTTTAGAGTTGGTGGCGACATAGTCATCACTCTAACAGCGGATAAGGACAGCGCAAACAGTTGCGAGGGTTCCCTACCCGCTAGTCTTTCCGCTGGAGGGTTCGGTAAGCCGAGATAATTCCCTCCCTTCGTCCAGGGTTGGTGCATATCTCCATTTGTTAACTTCTCCCTTACGATTTTAAATGAGTGAGGTTTGGATTTGCGTCGGAAACAGTTAGTAGCAATAATGTATGTATATCACGACATTTCCATGTCTTGAATAATATTAAGGTCAATGGGATAATTCTTGGGATATGAAGTCACCCACCTATGCTCACGTCTGCAAGGAATTTGAACAATAGTCTTTCACTTTCTGGAAGCGCCGTTCGAAAACTGTCAAGGACGTCGGACGTCAAAATGAGCTGTCTTAATACTTGGGGCATTCTTTCGCCTCTGTCCATCATTAACCCCACCAAAAAAACAATATCTTCGAGATCCGATGCTAATTTGATACCGTTCCAGCGGTCTCCATATGTTCTTATCTTGTGGGCCAACAGAAGATTGCATGCAGCATAACGAACGTGGCCAACCTGTCGCGTGTAAGACATCAGGGAAGGAAGCGCCGTAGCATAATTGGTGGACATGTCGCAACGGATGGCTTCTAAGGGATGCATATAGGTAACATTGAGACATGTAGCTGAAACTTGTCGCACTGAAAATTCTTTAGGCAGAGCGGGAGGTTCAAAACGCGATCTTTGAGTGAGGAAATTGAATGACGCGACATTTATATCCAAATCCTAACAACCGGTTATCCCTCCGCAACCAACAGAAAAAGAAAACACAATTCATCTTTGTAAAACGATTCGAACCATTCAGCGACACTGCTGCCCCCCCTACGAGAATAGCAGGGACCTTCGCCCTTACAGCGGCTTGGAATATGAGCCTCGCCGGCGTCATGAGACGCTCAGGAAGACGCTCCATCTCCCCAACCTTCTACAGAGCTTCCCATAGGAAATTTAAAAGAAATTGGGCGGGAAAGAGGCGGCCCAAGTTGGAGTCCAAATTAGGATAGATGGAATTGTTGGACACGGTCACGACAGCTGAGAAGCTCGATCGGCCACCCCAGACCCACCCTTTCTCTCTTTTCGACCTCTACCTCGACAACAAGCCAGGCGCTGTACATGTCTCTGAGCAGGCTCTCTCCATCCCATCATGTCAACAGAGGTCAAATTTCGAGGCGCAATGTCCATCTTTCATCGTCTGAACGGAATACCAACGAACAAAGCGGGAGTCCGCGCCCTACGACGGTAAGCATCATGTAGATATATGCTTATTTATGTTAACATATGTACAGCTAGGTATAGAGTCGGCTGTGATGCGTCTATTCGCGTCTACAAAGAAGTTGTTGGTAGCATTGACACAGTGGAGTTTGATGAAAGTGAACGAGGACTATGTCAGCGATGTATACGTTCGGGTGGGAAATGACTTCCATGCAGCCATAACAGCATTTTCCCAGTTTAATGTCGACATGAGGTGAGTTTCACTTTTATTGAATCAGCGATACCTGACCGTGGATAGTGAGTTTTCTTCATTTCCAGCCGACTTGCGGAATGTCCTAGAGCAGTGTCTTGCTGAGGACCCTACACCCGAGAATCTCGAAGTATACCTTCCGACTGTGAAAAAGATTACCAACGTACTCTCCGGTCTGCACGTAAAGCAATCTGCTTGCCGTCGCCAGCTCTCTGACCAACGGCGGGGTTCCCAACATGACAGCCGAACGGACAGTCGCTCGTCCTGCCGACCAAACTCTCGCCTGAGCCCACTCTCGAGGAGCACTGCGGAGGATGGTGAAGGTCGGGGAACTGCTCCCCCTTCCAGCAGGAGGAATAACGAGAAAGCGTCCCGCGGCCCGCTCAGTCCCGTCGGGGAGGTTTCCTTTGAAAGTTTATCATACCCCGAACAGACATCTTACACATCCCATAAATCATCGTCATCACACCGCCCGCCTGTTCCATCCAAACCTCCTCCAGTCGTCGGCTCTTCCCCTTCAAAGTCTTCTTCTCAGCGAACTTCCACAACGGAGACGAGGCGTCACGCATATGTATGCTTACCACGGCCGCCGTCTCCGGATGTCATTGTTGAACCCCCGAGTCCGGAAAGCCAAGAAGAAGCATCAAATAACCGCGACCTTCCGTCGACTGACGCCGCGACTCCCGACGTGGTAGATTCACTTGTGGCTCTAAATCAAAGTGATATTCTTGAACGCCGGGCTTCAAAGCGATACTCATCCTACAATATTTCTAAAATGATTGACTCTACGCGAGAAAAATTCATGGGCAAGACGCGCTCCATGTTGGTCTCGCCTGCGTTGACGCCGAGGGAGCTGGCAGCTCTTGCTAATCTAGAAGATGACAGTGCTTCTCCTTCTTCCTCTTCTCCCGGACCGCCTCTCGGCCGAGGGTCTGTTTTGTCTTCTCTTTCCCCTTCGCTCGGTACAATTTTACAGTCACCAGCACGCCCAATATCTCCGTCAAAAACTCGCACGCCCAATCGCACGCCCAACCGCACTCCCAACCGTACTCCGGAACCACCGGAACGTCCTCCATCCCCAAAGAAACCATCAACTTCAATTCTCGGCAGGGGATGTCCACCCGTTTCGTCAAAGTTGACTGTCTTCCTACAAGTCGATAAAGAAGTGAAGAAAACTGTAATTGAACGCGGTCTGTCGCTGCCTTCGATTCGATTGCTATTCGTCGACCGTTTCTCCTACAATCCCAGTGCTGATATTTTCCCTGCCATCTACATTCGTGATCCCTCGAGCGGTGTACGGTACCAGCTGGAAGATGTAAACGAGATTCAAGACAAATGTTTACTTTCATTGAATATCGAACGTGAGTGCTGACAGTACCTTGAAATTGAAATGTCTAACGCGTTGCATGTAGCCCTCGACCAGGTTAAACAACACATGGATACGCAAATTTTGACCTTATCTGAGGATATGAAAGAGTTGAAGTCTGCTGTCAACAGAATTAGCACGCAGTCCCTCATGTACAGCCCCATAGCTGAGAGTGCCCCCTCGACTCCCCCACCGGTTTCCGCTCGCCTGTCACGGTTCACTGGTTCAAACTTCTTCCCTGCCACTCCGCCTCAGACTCCTTCCACCTCCAGTCAGGCGTTGAAACCGCAGTTGACGTCTACTGAATATCCTCCTCGCGCCATGGCCGAGCTGAGGACCCAGTTTGACGAGGTACAATCCTTACGGAGGGATCTGGGCGTCATGAGACAGCTCTACACTGATTTCATGAAGCAAACCAAGGATTCTTTGGGCAATCTGCGTACGCAGACTCAAACAGTGAAACAACTAGCCAATGCCAGTGTTGGCGGCGATCGTGCTATTGTTGACGCCGGCAAGAAGGCTCTCGATTCTCGGAGCCAGAATATTTTGACAGAGGTGGAGAGACTGCAGGATGCGATTGATGCTGTGAAGGCCGACGTATTGAAGAAACACATAACGCCCAAGCCGCAATACATGAAGTCGATCCGGAAGGATGCAGACGCGGCGGCATCCGAGCTAGAGAGCCTCAAGGAGCACCTCGCGACGATCAAGCCCATGTGGAAGAAGACGTGGCGAGAAGAGCTCCAGAATATCGTCGAGGAGCAAGAGTTCCTCAATCATAACGAAGAGCTCCTTAGTGATCTTCTGGAGGATCATAAAGCTTTGGGGGAGGTCCTGGGACATCTAGAGCAGGTCGTTACCATGGGATCACATAGGGGACGGGGACGCCCTCCTGTGGTCCGCACGGAAGGCAAGGGTGATCTGGGCACCGTGTTGATGCAGATACGAAGCGCGGCTGTAGATCCGGACAAGCGTCTGAAAGCCATAGAGGAGAGCCAGAAGAATCGGGAGAAAGAGATGGCTAAGAATCGGCCAGACGACAATCTACAGGCCAAGTTGACGGAGTTTGTTGGCGGGAAGAAGTTGAAACTAACGGGTGGAGTGGAGGAAGTGGAACGGCTGAGGCAAAAGCGGAGTGATCAGGCGTTAAAGACCATGTTCAATGGCGCTCAGGCGGGTTTGAACAGTCCTTGAATTCTCGTGTTTCTTCTGTGCGTTGTTAAAATCCTTGTAGCGATTTCTTGGTTATACCAGTACATATGTAGATTTGCTTATCTAGTCGGACTTTTGTATATCTTCGGACTATTGTATATTCTAGGATCGTGCTCCTATGTAACACCTAATCTCGTAGTATGTTCTCAATAGCTAGTGTTGGTAGCAAGTCGGTAGCAGTTATGTTGTATTGTGCATTGAAGATGCGGCAGGACTGCTTCTAAATTTAGATCTTGAGCGCTGTTTCGCCTAAATTTAGGTTCCCATTCACTTCGCACCCTGCACCTGCGGATGCACTGGTTTCAATTCCCATCGCCTCGTTTCACTTTCTTTTTCCCACAACGACAATGTCGAGCACTCCCCCTCAAGCCTCTTCTAGCGCTTCCACTGGAATTCAGCTCGCTCGCGATGCAGAGCTTCTCATTCAAGACTTCTTGCCTCCATATAGCGAGCATACTGGTCCTTCCAACGGAATTCCGCTTCCCCTTTGTATCCCACAAACTGCCACTAAATTCGGCTCTCCCTTCTCTCGCGGCTACAACAATGTGCTATCAGAGGCTGTGGACCTACCTCAGGCTGAGCTTTTGGCTTTCATCGACGGTCTGAACCTCGCTATGACCGCGAGTCCACCCCTTCGTGTCGTGGACACGGCGGGTATGATCATTGGTCTTATGTTAGTACCTTGAATCAATTGTATCCTGTCATTATAAAATTGACACTCTTATTCCTAGACCATATCACTGGACAATAATAGCCAGTACCGTAATACAAACCGCCGCCCAGACGGGAATGCACGTCCTATCGAAAACCCTGACGGACCGGTACCTGCGTGCAGCCAATCAGCGCTTGTTCAAACCACGAGGTCTCTCCGTTCGCTTGTGCACCACAAATGCCATGATGAGACTCATCTCCGGTGAGGGCGAGGAAGCGCCCAAAATCTCCACGATGAACAAAATTGGTCGAACAGTAGGAACCGTCCTATTATCGCTCCCAATTCCTTTCAGCAGCCGTATCGTGCGCCTTATCGCTGATAAACCTGAGAAGATTGCTCCTTCTGAGGGCCCGAACAAGAATCTCGTGCTTCAACGAAGGCTTCAACTCGTCGAGGGTCTGGCGCTCCCGCTGGAGCTTGATAACATACCACCCCCCGAGAAACCGGAGGGGATGATGGACAAGATGAATGCATATGGGGTGAGGTTCGACAAGTATAGGAATAACAGGAAGGAAAAGAAAAATGAGACTCGACGCAGGGAGCTGGCCCGCTTAGAAGCTGGAGGCTCTGATCTGAGCAGGAGAGAAAGATTGAGGCGTATGGGGATGGAACGCAGCAGGAGACGAAACGGTCTAATAAGCGGGATCCTCGGGCCGAAGGAAACTAAGCTAGAGAGGCGAGTTGCGAATGCCGACCTTCTGGAGTACTGGAGCACTGATAAGATCATCTGGGTTGTCATAATGAACGAAGATAAAGGTGAATATACATTCATTGACTCAAAAAATTCCAATCTTATTTAATAATCCAGACCGAGAAATTGAAGGAATTGAAATCGCGGATAGTCTTGAAGATGAAGAACGCATCGATGACAGGGTGTGGAATGATGTTATGGCTTTAGAGCGGGATGAATTAGACGAGGAGCTGTTAGTGGAGGCAGAAGAAAAGAAGTAGAAATACAGTACAAAACAACGGCGGACTTTTGGGGGTTCATAAATGAGGTATAATAGCATGGAAACCACAAGAATCATCTGAGTTGATATGCTACCTATGATGGTTTTGACCTTTCTTCGCAGAAGTGGAGTTCTGTATTAGTCCACTTTTTGAATTATCACGTGGTGGCGCACCTACCATTTCGGTATATACTCTTTTCCCCCGACCTGGGCATCTTCTGGGTCGAATGTGCATGCGGTTAACGCAAGAGAATCATTACTAGATGCATCATTTCAGTATGCACTAATACATCTAGCTTAAAAACGGTTCGAAGTTCTGCAAAAGGGAAATCATGCTTGCATGGCCGAAAACTTCCAGATTTCAACAGATTGAGATTCCTGGACGTGAGAATTCAGAAAGCGGAAGTGCTAAGTCATCAGAGGACCTAAAATAGGGTAAAAATTCTGCCCCCTGCAAGGCTCGAACTTGCGACCTCGAGATAGAGACACGTACTGCCCTCACATATAACTATGAGACTCGCGCTCTAGCCAACTGAGCCAAGGAGGCTTGAAACGTAGTTAAATTTATATATAGAAGATGGCTAACTTTAGGAGCCCCTACGGTTATTATTTATTTTAGATTTTTTTGGATGGAACTATTAAATAGATTTTCAATTAGCTTATTGAAGACTATAATTAGGGACTACCCGCAAGAGGGTATCTCTATTTTTATAGTTAACGTTATTCCTCATTGATGGCTCTGGGAAATCCTCTTAAGTGACCCACGATATTCGATTGTGCTGAGGATAAGCTTTCGGAAGCAAGCAACCTTCTCTTACTGCATCGCTCAGCTTATCATCTTTCGTTTACTTTACCCCTTTCCCCAGTGTTCGCGAACTGCTAACGCCACCGTTACTCGACATTCTGGTTCAGTGAAGGTGTTTGTCAGCTGAAAGTCACGCTGACTATGCCTCCACTATAGTATATATTGCGAGCACTGATAAGCACAGGCTGATAAAGTTATGTCTTCGAAACTCTTCCATTCGACCGAGGTGGGAGCTGTATCACTCAAGCATCGCGTCGTCTTGGCCCCCTTGACTCGGCTAAGGGCTACGAAAAGCCATGTTCCTCATGCGCCCCTCGTCAGGCTGTACTACGAGCAGCGGTCCCATACTCCTGGAACCCTACTGATAACGGAGGCTACAGTAATTGCTGCGAAAGCCGGAGGCATGGCTCACATACCCGGTATATGGAACCAAGAGCAGACTGATGCTTGGAGAGAGGTAAGAGCTTTCAACCTGGCGCGGTTGAATGAATTTACTCAATAACCGGTGGTGTAGATTACAGACGGCGTTCACGCGAAGGGCTTGTTTATCTTTTGTCAGCTATGGGCTCTCGGACGTGCAGCCGATCCCAAAATTCTGGCGGAAGAGGACCTTCCTTCCCATACATCTCCGCGTCCGATATTCCCGTTCCCGGTCGCTCCGATGTTCCCCTACCAATGACCGTAGATGAAATCAAAGAATACGTGGACCTATACGTCCAGGCCGCACTGAACGCAGTGAAAGCTGGGTTTGATGGCGTTGAGATACACGGGGCGAATAGTTACCTACTCGACCAATTCATACAAGACGTGACAAATCAGCGAACTGATGCATACGGTGGCAGTATTGAAAATCGCGCAAGGTTTCCCTTGGAGATCGTCGATGCAGTAGCCAAGGCCATTGGGGCAGAACGGACGGGATACCGTATCAGTCCCTGGAATTCTATTCAAGGTAAACGCATGCCGAAGATCGTAACACGAAGCTAATGCTCGCCGAGGTATGGGTATGAAAGACCCCAAACCAACCTTCGCGTATCTCGTTTCTGAGATCAAAGCACGACATCCGAACTTTGCTTACATCCACGTTATAGAACCGCGTGTGAATGGCACGAGGTCCCGAAATGAAGGGGAGTTCACTTCGCAGATGAAGAATGATTTCATACGGGACATCTGGGCCCCAAAGCCTTTCATATCGGCTGGCGGGTACGAGCGCGTCACCGCCGTTACAGCCGCCGATGAGAAGAATGATATAATTGCTTTCGGAAGACATTTCCTGGCCAACGTGGGTAATGCTCCTCGTGTCTAAAACTTTAATCCTGATGGGAGTTTCCAGCCTGACATGGTATATCGGCTAAAGAAAGACTTACGTCTTAACGCACACGGTAGATCGACTTTCTATCGACCAGGGAACGTTGCCAAGGGATACACAGACTACCCTTTTGCCGAAGAGGTGCTGCATGTAAAGTCCCCGCTGTAGAACGGGGATGATTCATATGTTCTTCCGGTTGGTCGCAAGGGGAAGGCCAAACAGGCGGTAGCTGGCTGTCAGCCACGTCCCTTGTGAGTTTTAGGTATAGAAAATTTAGAGGGGATGACTTCGGAATGTAGACTATCTACTTGCTATTCGGAGTACTCGACGTCATCTACAATGGTTCTGTCAAGTTTCAATTTAGTCCTTCATTTTCATACAATTTCAAACTACGCTTGAGGCCGTGTGGGAGGAGATACTACGTCGAGTGCGTATCCACAATATTAAATTAATGCTCCAGTGGAATGGACCATTGCTGAATTCATTCGGGGGCGAAGGCCAAGACGATGGAAGGCCATCGAAATATTTTTCTGATGACAGCGCAATCGCTTTGGCGGAAAACATCTAGTTGGAGTGTGGCGCAGCTCGAGATAGTAACTGTGGTGTATAGCCGACTAAGATGACGATAAGCGATGGGAACCCGAGTACGAGGGCCAGTATCGAGTGTAGCGGCCAGCTTTAGAAGACTAGGTGGTGTTCCCGCCACTGAAGAAATTCTTCGGCGAAACATGCTAGGGTGCAACACGCCATCAAAAATCTGATTCTGATTCAACGGCGGGGAGCCGGGTATCAAGGATTTCCGGCCCCACTGGGGGAATTTGGGAAGTTGATTTGAATTCGAACACGTTCTTGGATTGTTTTTACTACCCGTTTCTTATGCGGAACTGAAAGTTTCGGATACGACTCAGAGCCGGACACGTCAACATTGCAGGTCTCACGAGTTGTAATCACGAAAGAGCTTGAGTACGAACTATGATTAGGTTGGCAGAAGGTCACTGCGGAATTACAGCCCTAGCGGGTGATGCCAGCGCTGTTTATCGATTGACGAAGTGGAGTAAGTATAAATGGCAAAGGAGTGAAACTCACGGCATACGGGTGGAGTGAGAAAGACATAACATCGTCCATTCTGCTCCCGGATCTGACTCACTCATACACTATGGAAAGGTCAAATACTGGACGAGCTCTAACCAAGTAACGAGTGAAAGCTATGCTCACGGTACCAGAAGCGGTCATATGATCTGCCCACGTCTGAATAAGAGTTAGCGGTCTAACCACGGAAAAACCCACGAATTGCTGGAGAAAGCGTCTCACCTTTAATTGTCGAGCCAAGGGGATGTCTCGACGTCACTCTGATAGGAACTTACGTTGACCCCCCTTCGGGTTGCGGGGAACCGCGCTATCAGCGTTACATACAATGACGACGCGCAAATCCCCCGGTCACTGTGCCTACGAATTAGATATAGCAAAATATGAAGCAATTCGGGTGGTCGGAAGTGGTGCATATGCATGGTAACTAACATACATGAACAACAATAAATGATAGGAAAGGATGATAGGATGGTATTTAGTCCGGTCGTATGATACGTGAGTAAACGTGGCGGTATACTAGTGTAGTCTGAATAGATAATGAATGATGATAAACCATGTTACGAAAACGAATATGTTTAACTTGACCAAATGGCTCCGCTTCCAGGCGCCCTTCTGGGCACGATGACTCGCAGCATCTCGCCATCGAATTCGGCACGGACCTGGACGAGGTCGGCGTCATAACCAAATGATATGCGCCTTTCAAAATGACCTCCGCCAGCATCCCATGAATCTGCGACAACATGTAATATACGCCTCCGCTTCGTAGCGAGTGTTCTGTGGCGGATTGATTTTTTAATTATAAAAATGGAAAAGAGCGAGGTACGCACATGGCATCACGCTTGAAACCCGGTAAGCACACGTTGAGACGGTACTCTTGGGGAGTGGTCTCGACTTCGATCCACGAGTCTGGAGGCGGGGGTGCGTTTGATAGGAATGGCTCATGGGGGGCTAATGATGGCTCCGAATGAGCCGGAGGTTGTTGTGAAGGGAGGATTGTTGGAGGTTCGGGCGGTGGGTATGAAGAGGAGGATGCTGAGGATGAGGGTCTGGTTCGTGATATAGACGGAGGTCTGGGAATAGGTGTCGGGACTGGGAGGGATGTCGGACGCTGAGTCTGGGACTGGGGCTCAGGCAGGGGAGGTGAAGGAAGGGGGCCAGGATGCTCATCCTCTTCAGTAACAGGCGCTGCTTTTGGAAGGGTATGAAATGGTATTTGTGGCGGTATTGGTAAGGAAGCAGACGACGTCCGGTCAATTTGAGACGGAGCAGCAGCGGCAAGAATTGGAGAGGCAGGTGAGCTCTGCGACGGCAACGAGTAAGGCCTTGGGTACGGCAATATCTGTTGCCCCGTCGAAGCTCCCGACGCTGTTGTTATGTTTGTCCAGTCCGACTCTACTTGTTCTTCGCTGTATGCGGGTGGGTCCACTAACGGTAGGGGTACCTCTCGCGGCGTGTCGAAGGATGCATGTCGTCTGCTGAACGAAGAATTGCGTGGTGGATGTCGAGGGCGTTGCTTTGTCAAGATGGTCGGCGGTGGCGACGTCGACATCGAAGTACTGAAATTGAAGTAAGGATGATTCTCCGCGTTGCCTATATTTCACTTTTCGAAACTGTTGGCTTTGTTTGGTCGTGGCGTGTGAATCATGATGTCACCCGTGCCTTGCAAATTCAGCCGCCGGGTTCTGGCCGCGCCCCTTCTCCACCGCCACCGTTGTAAGCCCACTTCAATTGCTGGTTCCGACTAGCGGAGCATTATAAACTTGGCCTCGGTTGAGCGCTCCGCCCTTTGTAAATCTCTTTTACTCCAGTTTTCCTCGTGCTTCTAGGCGCGCTCAGGTATCCACATGCCCGTTGGCAATTCTACGTTGCATTTGTGTCCTAATACAGCTTATCCATGATGCTGTCGTTACCATCAGGGTTATTACTGACGCTTACTGACGCCTTAGTCTGCTACTGCGGTTATGCTCGCCGTTGGTGTCGGTTAGCATTCTACTGCTGCTTATACAAACGTGCGATCATATAGGCTTCTCGCTATCGCCATCTCCACAGCATCAACATTTCCCCACTATGAACACTGGAAAACTGACAAATCAAGTCCGTCGCGACGTCTCTGTAGTATTTGTCTTCGGCCGTCGCGGGGCTCCCACATCATGCTGCGATATGGACGCAATGCGCGTCGATCCTCTATCTGTTATCCTTCGGGCTCATGCTAAGAGACTCAATCAAATGTCGGTCGGATGATATCGCGGCCCGTGTCCATCAATGCTGTCCGTCTATTCCACTACATATCACTTTCTTGCATGCGTCACAATTTGTAGCAGTGGTGGCTCAGTCCGTCGAATCTTCATTCTACGTCTTCAAGAATAAATTTTACATGATCGAAGCTTTTGTGTCGGAACCGGAACTGCGAACGGTAATGGTACGATTTTTGGCTCCAGCACAGAATGAAGCAATTCGACTTTCGCACGAGTTCCAGCTCCGGTGCCGTTGAAGAAGTTCTTCCATTCTTGATGGTAGGCGCGCGTCGTTTCGTATTCCTGCGGATATGAGACACCGTGAAATGTTTTCTCAAGATGCTACACAGATCGGCTACTTGGCAAGTCTCACAGCCCTTCATGTCTCGTAGACCCGCAGACATCGATACAAGTATTCGACTTATCAGATCTTAGCGCCCGGCGTTCTACTCCTCGAATCTCTTATCCTCTGCAGGCCTCTGGCTGGAGGGGCCGGGAGGTACTATCAATAGACGTGCCTGGGCCTTGGATTTTGCTTTGGCTCCTTCGGTCGACTATCAGTAACTCTGTCGGCTGTCACCGGTTCTCCGGTGAGAAATTTTGCTGAAACTCGCTAGAGACTTCGTGATCAAGGAGGCACTATCTGTCAAACTTCTTTTTCTCGAAACGGTCAAATACTGTAAATCTTCTCTTTGGCGACGGAATGTGATCGATCAATCACAGGCTCTTCAAGAGGACAAACCATTCTGCATCTGACGCCATTTTTGACTTTAGGCATGCATTGCCTTACTTGAACAAATCCAGCAATGCTCAGTTCAACTCTGCTTGGCGCCTAGGTCAACCGTTAACGCTGCAAGACACTAGCGTTCTTCGGCCACTACTACGTGTTCTACCTTCCCGCGGACAACGGAGGCGAAACGGAAACATGCGCCGTTGATACCTGGACTTCTGTCTTCCTTCATCAGAGTTGAAGTAGCTCTTCCATATGCATTCGTTTGGCAGATTATGACTACAGTTTCTCACTGAAAGGCCCCTGGGAATACTTCGAAATAGCAAGAAGATCAGGCAACGTTTACCGCGTCTTTCGCAGCCGAGTACGCTTCGTGATATCCTCTCGTCCAAAACTCCACTTGAATCTCTGCCAAGGTCGTAACTAGGAGGTCTGACCTCTGTAATAATTCAGGCATTCAGAGATGAAGGAGTGGTAATATATACCTTCCATCGAAAGATCCATGTCGCCCAGCCTACCCTCGAATAGTAAGTATGTCTGTGACAATAATCATTGTACTATTAATGTTAGTGTGTCACTGTATGAACCTGCATAGCTGCAGTTAAATTTCACATAGCTTTTCGCCAAGGTAATACTTGTTCTTTCCGTTCCGGCTCTAGAAACCGTCGGGCTTGAACTCTTCGTGCTCGGACGTGATTATTTAAGAGGTATTCATTCTCAATAGCATGTTTGTTTTGTTTTGTGTCCTTATGATATGAATACGATAACTGATTCTTGGAGAAGTTCTTCCATTATTTCGTGAGTTCAGTCACAGAGATTATCAGGAACTGATTTCTACTGATTTGTAAAGATGAGCAGACATAAATAGACAAACATTATATTTCGATGGCCAAAATGAATGCGAAAACTCATGGAGAACAAAATAAGAACATGATAGTGATCACCCAATATCTAAGCACGAACGTGGTACAAGACCCGGCCTTTCGGCGTGCTGAGTTCCTCAGTCCCAACTCTTCAGAAGATGGGAGGAATAAACCAAATTTAGGTTTTTCGCGCCTACATTTGCCGGGCCGCAAAACGTCATTAGTCACCACGTGACCTGCCTTTGCTTCTTCCCTCGATGAATGTTCGGTCCTGTTCAACCGTTCGACGGTTTTATTCGCGAATGGCCTCCATTTTAACCTGATCGCACCGTACCCATGGCGTATTCGATACCACGCTGCTGTCTGCACTAATCACTTTGTATAAGGATCACCATTCACTCACCCCTCGCCATCACGATACGTTTGTTTCCACTGGTGGCGGATGCTCTAACGACGGATGATTGAATGCGACAGCATTTATTGACATTGTTATTAGAGGCGCAGACGAATGTCAATGAAGTATCCTTATGTCGACCCTGGCGGCATTGAAGGGCTTGGAAAGACTACGTGAAGAAAAGACACATATTGACGAACTGGACGGCGAGTAACCTAGGAGACAAAACGCGAACCTAGGGACCCTCCAACTAACCCAAGCAATCCTTACACATGGATAACCGTCACTGTCTGAGTACGTTGTCCTGGATATGATTGAATACATCTACAAGTGGCAGGTGCGTAAGCTCGATATATGCGGCAAAATCTTGTGCTAACTGCAGCCCTAAGCAACGGATGGCGTAACTCCCAAGGCAATCGGGTATTGAATGTGGATCTTTTCAAGTTGGACGATCCTATCAGGTGCATAGAGTAAGAAAGAATTCAAGTAGGTCCCTGGCGCATACCCCGAGAGCTCCATAGCGAAGCAGACGAACTCGCCAAGGCTGCTGAGTCTTGTAGATCGTGCTTCGCTGCTCCATTCTTTTCCGATTCCTGAAAATTTGACTGCACATTTGCTTGCTGCCTTTCAGTACTTCTGTACATGTGGATACGCGACGAGTACCGAAATGCCACCTCAGGCTCGTCTGTGAACTATTCTCTTTTCTTCCAAATTGATACTTGTAGAGTATTGAATGTGCGTCGACCAGTTCCTCAAATATTCTATGCACCGTCGACAAGTTTTCTTTGTCTCAAGGTATACGATACCTGTACAACACGACTAAGAACCATATCAAGCCAATGGCAGCCTTCGCAATGACTTTTCAGAGGACGGTTTTCCTTGTGCGCTTCTTCAAACTGGTCAATACGGATATTTTTCAGCGTCTGACGTCAACAGTAACGAAGGTGCTCTTCTTTTCATCCTTGATTCCTTGCGTAACCTTTCTATTTTCGTGTATGCGCTGATTCAATGTACCCTTTGCAACGCAATGCTCATTTGCCATTACCATCATCAATCCTTCGAAGAAGAACACTCTTGTGTCCTACACTGCAAGCTCGTCTTGAACAGCTGCGTGCCTGCGGTTGAAGATTTTGGTTGTTGCCTGCATGGACTTAAGCAATACTTGATGCGTCAGAGTTTTCTGGGACTCGTGACGACGGCCCGGGTATGCTTGATATCAAGTTCTTCCATCCTAACCTGAACTTCTTAGCAATAATAGGGCCTGTTCACGTCTTGTGGTCAACGTCGGCTCGGAGCTCCCAATTGGCCTAGATAAGTGGGTGGTCATGCGGGGTGTACTCTTCGTCCGTTTCCAGCCTCGAGATGATGAGCTCCTGCATTTTGCTCTCTTTCCTCCTTCTTTTAATCGCTAGTGATCCTGCGCTAGGGCAAATTTCCATCAAACCTGCGCGTACATGTCCAAAAACAACTCGTACTGCGTTTGTTCGTATTCTGCCGTCTCTGATCGACACATACTTAGATTGATGGCCTTTACTGCAGGAAGAGACTCATCATTTAATGAACAAGTATTATAATTGGACTTCTGGTCGGTTGAACGGTGGTTCTGTCTGGACTGATGCCGTGAGTTATCTGTAACTTCCAAACTGACCACTCTGATGGCTCTAGTGACCACAGAACGCTCTTGAAACGGTGCACATGTTGATGTTGCAGAACGAACGAACAGATTGGGACGGCGTTGCGGACAACTCTTATCTCGGTCGGCACGCATTGAACACGTTATCAGACTGGCAAGCCTTTACGGGTGGTTATATTGATGATGCTGGTGTAGATTTGTTTCTCTCTCGTGAACGATTGCTTCTCAAACGTGTGTTTCAGTGGTGCGTCCTTGATCTGTGGGCCATGGCCGACTACAAGACGTTCAGAGGCGAGAATCACGTCGAAGAGTACTTCGTAAATACATCTTCTAAAATATGCTTCTCTGTTGTTCTAAAGGCCACAGATCAGCGCTGGTCAACTCTACGACAAGATGGCAGAGAATTGGGACGATACTTGTGGCGGTGGAGGTAACTGATTCCTCAAATGTGGTGCTGGTAATCCTGAAATCGACTAGTGTGGTGGACGACCGATCACGGCTATAAGAATGCGATTACGAACGAGCTTTTCTTGACAATTTCTGCTCAAGGTGAGTCAGATGTTCTGAATTGGAGAAACTTTATGCACTTATCGATTCTCATCCAGGATACCTCAGGTTTGGGAACAAAACATATCTGGAGAATGCGAAAAAGGTAGAGTTGCGGAAATTGTTGTCAGGGCAGACTCAAGGATTCACCAAACCATTGATATAGACCTGGGCTTGGTGTAATAATTAATTCCATTACGAACGCAACGATCTGGTCGCTGACGGTTTTCGTACAGTAGAAGCATCTGGAATGCGCAACTCGGACGGTCTCTACAACGATGGTTTAGATGATACCTGTATCAACAACGGTCAAGTAGGTGGAGAACCCTGTAGATTCAGCGGGTTATATTCTGATGCCTATTGCAGACTACGTGGACCTACAATCAGGTGCGCTCAACGCTTCATCAACATTTTTATACATATACTGAGCTTGGCTCGCCACTCCTCCCCAGGGTGTGGTGGCGTCGGGTCTCGGCGCACTTTGGAAAGCCACAGGAAACAGAACTCTATTGGAAGAGGCTGAGATAACCCTAGGTGCGACAATCAAAGATATGACTGTGAACGGAGTGTTGAAGGAATCCTGCGATAGTGTCATTGAAACTGATGATCCTTGTGACATTGACCAGGTTGGCTCATTAATCCTGTTATTCTTGCAAATGTAATACTACTAAATTGATCTTCTCAAGCAAACGTTCAAGGCGTGTCGTCCATACTTCATTTCATGAACCCGTCATCTGACTGGTGTACATTATAGGGAATTTGGACCAAGCACCTACAGTACTACCTCATTTTTACAAACGAAAAAGAGAAGATAGCCAAATACGGTTCGTTCTTGGGAGCACAAAGCCACGCAGTGATCAAGTACGCAACGAATGCGACAGATGATATTAGTAATTTGTGGTATGCACCGGACAGTGAGGTGGATATTCCTGCTTTAGTTGTGCTGTTTGCCATGCTGACTGAGCTAAAACCCAAGGGTGGTGCAATATATAATATTAAGAGCTTGCCTAGTGGCATTATGGCGCATGTAGCTGCAGCTCAGTTTGGCGATTGTGAAAGAGTGGATTCCATGTTCTAAGCTTGAAGCTTGCAGTGGTATCAGAAGTGAGGTTGCTGTTACTCGGCACCGCAACAACCACCGTTACAGACAATTCAAGTCAAATATGATAATTAATTGAATCAAAGATAGACCAGCTGCCCAATACACACTGTAACTGATGCAAGCTCTGTAAATACGTTTCTGGAGATAGATATTCATATACACAACGTTTGTCGAAGACACTTGATCACATCGTTCACCGCTTATCTTTCTTGCGCGTTGTTGAGCAGGCGTAGGATGTTGAGGACTATTTGAGGGATAGTGGTTAGAACAGAGCGAAGCAATTGATGTTTCATAATTACATAGATTGATGAAGCTATGAAGGAAATGATTCGTCAGAATGGCCAAAATGGCTTATTCGAAAAAACTTACTCTAGGTAAAGGCTGATCGATCCCATGATATATTCATCGGGTGATAGTTTTGCATTGATTAAGTACGTGTCGTAGACGACATATCCGCTGAAAAGGAGGCATCCGAAGATAGCGTAGATGAGGTCCATAGTGCGTCCGAAGGGAATGAAGATGCCAACAAAGCCGGTCATGCCTACACAACACGTTTACTAAGGAAGAGATAATCGTTGTTGCGTACATACACAGTGCGATGAGACCACCAAAAAGGAAAGGGCCCATCCCTTCAAAGTCATACTAGATCGCACGAGGCGTCAGAGAGTAAACCACGTTATAGGCACTCTGACTCGTACCTTTGATTGGAAAGTGAACAGTGTTAGACCGATGAACACCCCCAGAGTAATGAGCCTAGACATAATCAATCAGCTCGATTCTTTTGATGGAGTAACAAAAAACTCACAAGGCTTGAATAACAATATCAGTTCGGTAGAAAGCGACTACAACTCCAAGCGTGAATGCCTCCAAGACAGTAAAGGTTGAAAGCAACAGAAGATTGAGAGGGTGATCATGGCGCTTCCAATACAAGAATCCGAGGTTGACGAGTGTTCCGAAAAGCGGAACATAGAAAGACCAAGAACTAGATGACGAGTCAAAGCCAGAACAGGTTGCTAACGCGTTGCAACGTACTGCGAGACGACCCAGCCAATTGTCGAAGGCGACCGAGACATAGCACCTGAGACGATACATGTTGCAAGCTTTGATGATCGTTAGAAGACAAGACAAAGCACCGCCTCGGAAGCTCAAGGCTTACTATTTGACAGACTGGATGCCGTCGACTCAGCACTGCGGTACTTCAAACAGAGCTGTGATGCACTCACGAAGGATAGTGTACACTTTGCGAACGAACGCCCTTCGGATCTCCGGTGCGCTTTCGGCTACGCTGACACCGTACTATTAAATGCAGGGGGTTAATGAAAACGCCCAGAAAAGCTGTCATTGGCGGCTTACCTTGAAGTCATCAGGGAGGTCGCCGGCCTCAGGCTGGTCGTAGAAAGCGCCTCCTGAGCTACTACCAACGAGAGGATCACGGGGGTCTCTGCTGTGATTTACCTTGGGGGTAGTACCGTACGAAGGAGGAGGGACTGGATATTGGCTCATGATGGTCGTATAGTACGATCGCTTACTACAGCGCCACTGGAACTTTCCTCGCGTATGTAAGCGAGACACGTGCGGCAGTAGCACAGCCACTGACGGTAATCTAAGAAATTGAAATTCTCTTTAAAAATTTGCCCACACATCAGTTTGCTTCAATTCGTCCAGCGACCGCGTTGGTCGATGTTCGCCTTGCGACAATGTTCAGGCATCGTTCGCGGATACGCGTGTGTCGCTAAAAGACTTCAGAAAATTGCTCGTAAACTCCTCCCACCACCTCCAAAACCGTGGCACGGAGACGCGATCGAGTCCTTCAAGAAGGCTATAGATAATGGCGAAGAAAGGAAGCTGCTGTTCAATATTTATCCTCAAAATGAGTTGGTAAACATTTTGGGAGAGCTACCGGAACACATTCCTCGAACTGATAAGAAGAGTACTATCCTGGTACTGTGCATCGCGGAGAAGCGCATGCTTGAATTATACAAAATGCTGGAAGTTCGATATCCGGACTGGAACGTTGCATGGGAAGGCTCGCGTGGAAAACCGTCGACTCCTGCGAACGCAGACGTGTAAGTCCCCCTCGCTTCAATGGCGTGACTGATGGTTTCACCTCCTCCAGGATGTTAACGACAATGAGAGGATTTACCAAGGAGGAGGCGTTCAAGCATCTTCTAAACCCTCGTGTTCAGGCGATTATTCTTGACGAAGTCCAGCATGGCGGGAAATCATTGTTGGTACTTCAACGGCTATGTGGATTGTAAACCTTCTTACATGTTTTCGCAATAGTTGGGAACGACTTTCATGGCGATTCGGTGCCAATGATCCGTTGCCCTGGGTCATTGGTCTGACGTCCTTGCATCCTAAACAGCTTCAAGCTCCCATGCAAATGAACGCGCACTTCAAAAAACTTTTCTTCAGACACGATCTACTTGACGAATGCAAGGAAAACTGGTCTGTGATCATGTTCTGGATACAAAAAGGCCGTTCTGAAGGATCTCTGATAATAAAGGGAGTGCGAAGTGCGATTTAGCACCGTACCGACGCACATAGGTCTGACGAAGCTTGAATCCTGGAGATCAAAGTTCAGAACGGAGGAGCTCTCCCCGCTGATGTCGACACCCGAAATCATTTCAACGACTGTTAACGCATGGGCAGAGCGCTCTGTTTCGAGGAAGTCGACCATCGTACAATGCGTGGACTCGTCTCATTCTCAGGCGCTGGTAGACGCTTTTACAGAACGCCAAGTCGACGCTAGGGTCCTCGGAAAGAACGACGAAAACATGGAAGCTTTTAGATCAAACGAATTCCCCGTCCTTCTTGTTGAAGGTCGGTAGAATATTTTTCCGCTTTGATTATGCAAACATATCTCTCCTATAGATGCACAGCACGTTGAAAACGCTAATCATGTTGACATGGTCATTCTCGCCAACCCAGTCACTGCCCCAAATACATTTAGCCGGATGGTAAGATATTCGTCCTATCAGTTTTAGGGAGGCTCATCGACGCAGTATTCAATGGGCACAATGGCGTCTCCCGGAAAAACGGACTGTCATGTTGTGGAAATTGTTGATACTGAGCGTAAACAAACTGGTGGCCTGCAATGGATTCCAAACCCTATAGCGCATACACTGTATACCTGGGCGAGATTGGACCCTGACCAGCCATTGAATAGTACGCCAAAAAAAAACATCTTCAACTTTCATCCCTTTTACTGTTATTTCATAGATGCCTCTATCGATGATATCAGGGAGCTTATTGGAGGACCCTCCGACATCACATTGCCGAATCCTAAAAGCCCCTTTCAGAGAAGGCAAGAACAAGCCCAGACAGTCCAGGAGTGACAGCAGGTTTCCGTCATCATAGAAAGCAGCGAACAATCTCGACCGTATGACTTGACCAAGGTGTCAGAGGATGGCGTAAAAACTGGTGTGGAACGCGACCTTAGGATTCTTAACTCTATGGAAGATATTGTATGGTTCTACTGTGGTAGATATGTGTATGTTACTGATTTGGGCGAACGGGGCTACATCGTGGTCGTGGCAATCGACCCAAACGGTGGGCGTGAATTTCTTTTACGACGTCTGGCGGCTAATGACTTTGCAGAAAAAATCCCACGGCTTCGTTATCGTGCTATTCACGATCCCCATCCGCTCGACGGAGGTGCCATCCTCGAGATCTCTAGCACTCGGGCAGATATGCTTCTTAATCTAGTCAATTTAACACCCGACGAGGGTCTTTCGATCACCAAAACCAAGAGCGTCGTTCACAAGTACATATTACAGGCGATGAAGATGAGGTGAACTGTCGCATTGTCTGCAAATCAAAACTAAATGTTGACATTCAATCCAGACTGACCACCCTGAGAGGATGGGAGCGAGTTGGTCTTAACACTCGACAGATGGCAGCTATCAAGCGCCTCTGGCCAGTGGAAACGGTAGACAGTATCCGCATCAATGGGCAAGGGATACCCAGGGATGAATTTCTGACTTGGATGTCTCGCCTCAACGGTTCATCTTTATTGGCTTGTCTACGGAGCGGTATCCCTAACGAGGTATGTGTATACTCGACGCGCCCTCATGCCAAAGCTATAATGTTCACTATCAGGAGCATCCCGTTTTATCCAAGCGTACAATTCATAACGTGGCAATCAGGCTACGAAAGGGATCAAGGGTAATATCCATCACTAATTTCACACTAGTCTTTTTATTGACTGTCTGGATACAACAGAGGTGGGACAGCGTCCAAAGCACGAGGTTTCTTAAAAGGCAAGCTAAACAAAGGAGGAAGGACCTTAAGAAGAAGCGTCTAAAAGAGAAGAGAGAAGCTCAAATGGAGCGCAGAGCAAAAAAGGCGGCGAAACAGGCGAAGTAACAGCTCGGCGACTCCACTAGTTGTACTTGGCCTTGAAGAGGTAGTGCCCAACACCCCATCTGCAGGAGGACTTTAGCACCAAGTCAGAAGGGGAAGAGGGGAACAACGCACTGCTGTCCATTGTCCATGTTGAACAGCTCAGAGCATGCCATATAGAACACGCGAAACCTGTACAAAGTTGTGTTTAGCGCAGATTTATGCACTCGTGCGAAATTTCGACCTGTAGAAGGCCTTGACTCCTTCAATTGGATCTTTTCCTTTGGATATAGCGTCTTCTCGCAGTTCCTTTAGACAAGCTAAGAAAATTATTTTCCCTTGCTCTGGAGAAGAGTATGCTGGGTACCTGCTGCATTCCTGTCTTGCAGCTTTAGCCAATCTTCTAGCGTTCTAGAGTAGTTCGTTCCCGATAGGTACCAGCTTCGAATCAAGGTGAGATTGGACTGGAAGAATAACTGAAAGAGAGGTCATTCGGTTGGTGTAATTGGTCCCGCAGGATGTCGCGAACTTACCAAAAGGTCATGAGATGGCATTGTTCCACCTAGAAGAAATCAGCTCGGACGGTGTTAGAATAACGCAGATAGATTTGACCAGAGAAGAAATTTCGCGCCATCCACCCATCACCTTCTTCGAAGTGGTACGGGGTGATGCGATGGCAGAAAATATGGACGAATAACAACGCCTCGTCCGGATAGTCGTTGTTAGAAGGGTGCAACCAGCCAGACACTTTCTTGAGCAACACTTCGTAATTCTTCATGTGCTCAAACATCTGCTGACGGTCAGGAAAGAAGTACAGTCAAGTCAAGTCGAGCATGCTTTGACCTCGATAGAGAGAATTCTGTCAAAACTAGACCAACGGATTCAGCCCCATCACTGACATATTGTGCTCGATACATACTGCTTTGACCCAGAGAAATCGAATGTGTTGACGTCCGCTGTAATGATCTGTCGACACATTCTTCATGCGACCTTCAAGTTGGACAGCGGCTAGAAAGTCCTCACTTCAACGTTGGAGAAACCACGCTCCTTAGCCGTTGCATCTATGTGTGCCTTCTGAGTAACAGAATTAGAAAGACCCGTGATCTTTGCGTTGGGATATTTCTACATTCGAGGTGGAATTATAAAGCCAAATCAACGGAGCACTGGACATTCTTACTTTTGCTAAGAAAAGACTCAAGCTACCCCAACCTGTTTCACATAATCAGCTTGGAGTATGCTAAACATTTTTTTCGCCAGCGTACCGCATCCCAGATCCAAAATATCCAGCCCATCATGCAGCTTGGCCTTCTCACAATAGCTTTCGAACATGAGAATTTCGGCTTCTTCAAGAGTCTCCCTTCCAGTTGGATATAAACACGAGGAATATTTTCCGCATGGACCTAGCGTTGACAAAATGAACTTGGTGGAGACCTATTGATGTTGATGACAAGTAGACACGAAAAATATGAAATTTGCAGATACCTCATAATGTTGCTCATTCGCTTTCTCTGGAACGTCTGCAATTGTCGTCCTTGCCCGAACATCTTCTATCCACTTCATTTTGGCGGCATGATTGGCTTCAAACGATCCCAGGTCTATTTCACGCAGCCTTTGGCGACAAAGAGCGCGAATGACACGTCGTAAGATGAAGTCCGGGATCCAACCCTAGCCTGGAAGTGTAACAACTATTGATTCAATAAGGTGAAAAGAAGTACCCTGTCAAGGAGGTCATAGCCTATGTCGAGGAGAGCATTAAGCATTGTTCTCGGAATTTGAATTGCCAGGTGGTAGTTCGTAGATAAGTGACCGTGATCGTTCTGATCAAGTTCCAAGGCAGCGGCAATAGGGTTAGGGTTCGCCGCTTGACTGAACCTTCCTTGACTAGCCCGTAGATGATGAGTAGATGATACATTTCCGCTAAGTATTACATGGCATTGCTATCATACATCTCATGTGTGTCAAGGTAAGCCCGCAACATACTGGGATGGACGCCATCGTATATCTTTGCGTCCAGGTAGGACTGTTTGAAATGCGCGGACACAGGATCAAATGCATTCCTCAATGCAGACAGGACAGCACTCGCAGTCTTTTGCAGGCTCCATATGGTCACAGTCTTGAGGCGTCGGTTCATATTGGCTTCCGTGACATGATAAGCCAAGGCGTCGTACATCTGTGATTGGAATAGTCAATACGTTTGCAGGCCGTAGAGTAGGAAATGAATTCTACCTTTAAAGATATTTCATCCATGAGACCAGCTGAACAGATCGGTCAATCTCGCACATCATGGAATCAAATATTGTACTCACAATCCCAGAGCTGTAGAAATGATGGTCAAATTGTATTACGCAGATAGAGCGATCAGTTACTCACATTCCATGAACCATCGAAATCGTCAAGGCTTTTAACTACTCGACAATGTATAGGAACGAGGGTTCTGTTCGCACTGCATTCGACAAGTGAGTAAGTCATCAAATAAGGCACAGAAGATTCTTACTTCATGAATGCAACAATGGGTCTGACCAGGGCATTGTTGACATAGGAAAGATCTCCAGTAAATATTGGAATGGCGGCCTTGACATCCCTGAATCGTAAATCAATATCCACTATAACGCTTGGCGTATTCCGTCCCTCGTCTTCATTCAGTGCAAGGACATCCGGCGCAGTAAGTGGAGGTTTGATCAGTTCCCTTTGACCAGGTATAAGCTCTAACGTTGGGTTTGAAAAAGATGTGGTGATAGCGTCGGCAATCTCTCCTAGAAGAGCGTTGAATTGGAGACTGTCCTTCGGATCTCGAGGGAACTTGATATCAAGTACAGCGTCTACTTTGCCGGATGTTATCCACGAGATTGGGCCCTCCATGGATGTCGAATGCTGGAGGTGATCTACATTCACACCATCTATCCTGATGCGAGACTGAGAGAAAAGAGTCATTACAATGATTCGGTGAGTGGTCAAAGGGAAGTGCCAACCATACGTGCCCAGTCAGCATCTTTGAGATCCATCTCCGTAGTCCGACCGATACTCTGCGGTTTGTGCAAGCTGAGAAGACAGTTATCAAATTGACCGACAATATTCTCAGCGCAGAGGAAGTCATAGAATAGCCATCGCTTCCTGAAACAGCGAATATCGGCGCGGAATATAGATGCCGTGTACGGACGAAAACCCCCTGGTTGATACACAGTAATGAGAAGGTCCTCAATTTGCAGAGATTTCAATTCAAAATCTCCTGGTTGATATTTGTGTCGATAGTCCGCCGGATTAAGTGGATTATCCGGGTCCCATGAAACTGATCTGCGGTCTAAGGGAAACCGTCAGCGCAAAACAAATGATTACCAGAATTCGCGTTACCAAGGATCCCGCGAATACCTTTCACAACCGCATCCTCCACTAAGCCCTTACCGTCAAGCCATCTCCAAAGCGACAACGTTACATCGATGGAATCAACGTTAAGATCAAACATTGCATAATTAAAATCATCATGGGAAATGTTGGACGTTTCCTCTTCCTCCTCTACTCCGTGATTGGCTGGGTGATCGCTGACATCGTAGCCGAGTGCAGCTGCATGTCCAATGCTTTTGCGTGAGGGAGCAGAAGTCGTTGGCCGTCGAGAGATGTACACATTCTTGAATGATATACGCGAGTCCTTCCACTTCGGTACTATAGCAGACTCGAAGATGATAGTAACGCCAGTTTCTGATGTGAGATAATCACTAATTGCGCGTGCGACGAAATCTAAGAAGAAAATTCAAGACAGGTCAAGGACAGTGCCGTTCCACTTACTCTGCAGTCTCAGACTATTGGCGATAGCAAAAATTACGGAGAAAAAGGTCGTACTGCAGATGGTGAGTTCGAGGTAGAACGAGACTAAAGAGAGCAACATACGTTCCAATCAGTATCCAGATTGTTTGGCTCATTACAAACCAGGTCACGAAGGCTGAGATGTCATCGGCGTTGAACTTCCGAAATGATTTAATTGTAAACCATTTGAAGCGGACATTCATCCGCTGCCAGAACCCATTAGCCACCTTCAGGAAATCATCTCGTGTAGGTCGATGAAGATGAGGAAGTGAGGCTGCTAGACGCCGAAAGAATCGCGAATAGTGCTCTACGTCGTGTGCCAAGGGAGGAGGAGAGGACGAGCCCTGAGCCCTGTCGTCAAGAAACTCTAGTTTGTCCTGAATGGGGAGGATCCTTGACGGAGAAGGAAACTGCGAGGGTGTTGTTTGGGATGGAGAAGGAGAAGTATGAATCTCAAAGGAAGACTCAGAACTCTCTTTGTTAACCTGTTTGGAGGTTTCGGGACTATTCCCGGCAAGGACAGCATCCTCATCACTCGAAGAGTTACCCGTGTCTATGGATGAATTTTTCGCAGATATATGGAAGGATTTTGTGCTCCAGGACGAGACAGAGGACGGATCAGACGTGGACGAAGGCAGAGACTTATCAGATAGTGACGTCCTTTGTGCCTGTTCTGCTTCATTCTCGCTACTAGGGCTGCTTTTCCTCTGCCTGGAATCCAAATTGTCATTTTTGGATGAGAGAGAGGAAGATAGTCGCGGCTCTTCGGAGTTAATCGCGGTGGATGAAGAAAGATCTTGCTCTGTAGTATTTGACTTTTCAGGTGAAGCTTCGTTGGACTCCCGAGTAGGACTAGGCCCTAATCTAGGCGCCCCTTCACCACCCGCTAATGTAGACATCGTCGAAGACGGTTGGAAAGACGGTGGAGAAATTGGTCCAGGATGTTCAGGAGGTCGAGGAGCATGATTCTCGAGATCTGAGATAGGCGAGGGGTCCTGAGGGTTCTTCGGAGACCTATCGTTGGCCATAGTCCATGACTGGTTACGAGACTTGCGTGACCGCGATGCTGCACATGTCGAATGAAAATGATGGACTTGTCCTGGGGCGTAGGTCAATGACAACGTGCCTCCAAAAGATCCCCTCCGTGACAATGGCGAGTTTCTGTGTGGCTTTGGAATAACGGATTCCTTCGCGGACGCCCAACCAGAGGCAAATTGGACCTGGAAGAATTTACGGATGATGCCATACCGGTCACAGTTAGCCTGGCTAGACCGCCCTAATGACGTGGCCAGCGTCCGTCCGATAAGTCGCCCGCTAGCAATGGAGGTGAGAGACATCGTGTCTCTCAACAAGGGTGGTCGGACGACCGAGATAGAGGTTCATGGCGAAAATGGAGAAACTTCCGTCCTCTGCCGGAATTGGCAAGCACGACCATACAAATTCGGGCCGGCTACCGATGCCTCTGGAGTAAGGCTGGAAGCCTGACCGAGGCAAACCTGAACGTCGTCCTGAGGAACAGTAGCAAAAGACTCAGACTTCTTCATCCGTACCAATGAATGAATTTGGTCTCATTTAGATATCTTCACCAAAAATTGGGCATGTATGAATAAAGGCTCGGGAATAATATATCAATACGATGTGTCTGTCCAGCTCTTCCAGTCTGAGCCCAAAACAGACGACTTGGAAATAGCAGCAGAGATAGCCGTGTAATAAAGGCGTTCAGAGGTATCCGACCCATCTCCCGTGTTGCCGTACTCGGAAAAAATTCTATGAGACTATCATGAGAATAGACTGTACCTCAATACGATTATGCACGTACGGCGTTGCGTTACTTGCCAAAGTGGTATAGCCTTCTGGATTGATTAAGTCTGGCAGTTCGCTATTCTGGAATACAACCCGCGCTAGGACTCTCCAAGGACGTCCAAGATAGACCTTTTCCGTTAAGTCGCTGGTAGAGGAATTAGCTTGGATGACGACGGAGTCATCGATGACATAGTAGTTTGGGTCCGATGCCTCTTCGCGAGAGTTTGCTGTGATCGCTCCAGCACCGTTACTTGCAAGGGTGCACTCGCCGAACCACGCTGAAGCATCTCCATAGATATAGTCAACTGCGCCTTCAATATAGCAGTTGCTATAGTACTGATAGCCACCATCAGCCAAAAGTGTATCCTAATACAATATCAGCATTCAGAGTAGAACGGAAGAAGAAGAAGAAGAGATAACCTGGTAGCCCGTGAAACTGGAACCATAAAATCCTTGTTTATTACCTCGAGCTGCAACTGCTGTCGCCTGCTTGCCTTGCCCGTAAGTATTCTACGCGAGAGTGTCACAATGCTTAAACGGTATGAGATGGAAAGTAGACCCAAATTTACCTTAACAATGCAATTATACAGGTTAAAGCCATCTTTTTCAGCTCGAAGCGTTGCACATGCATCATTACCACCGTCATCCTGAGCATTCAAGTTGTTTGTAATAGTCACAACATTCGACTTGTACGTGTCGGTGCTGTTAGAGTCCAAAGTCAGCGAGATAGAGTCATTTTCCCGAATATCAAAGACATACTCTTCCGTATAACATAGCATAGTGACATTCGTGACGCCAATGCTCACTTGCTCTTCATAAGTGCCTGGATATATGAAAACGGTTTCACCACCGGAGAGTGTGGCTACGGCGGCACTTATTGTACTGCATTGAGGAGTTGAGCGCACGCCGGAGGAATGTGTAAGTCCTACGAACCTGTACTCTCCGCTCTTTGTACCGGACTGTCGTACGACAATAGCGCCATCTGGAGGGGAGGTTCTAGATGTTGCAAGGACAATAGAAACCAACGAAAGAAGACAGTAAGGTAATAGACCGCTAGAGTAAATCATATCGACAACTCCAGTGTGAGAAGGCTTCAATCTGAGGGAATCTAAGCTACATATAACCCTTTCTTTATGAGGAGTGCATAATGCGTCCGAGATTTTGTGCATGATGCGCCTTGCGCGGGCCGTCACTGATCTAGACAGTTAGAAATAGACCTGGACATATGGATTTTGAGCATTCGAACCGTAAGAATTCTTCTGATCACGGTGTTGGAATCCAAGTTTTTCCGTGCATTATTGCCAGGCAAATAGAAAGATGCTTCACCGGGAACGCTTCCTTCGATCGTTAAGCAGGATTTCCGGTGTGAGTGTCAGCGTTAGGTGCATCATCTTTTTCTGCTACATTGTCGACGCGTGAAAAGATCAAGCAAGTTTTGAAACGAAGAGGAAAATGTATGGTTAGACCTCGGCCGGAGAGGCGGGCTGATCCCCTACACGTGTTCCAAGCTGCTTGGGCCCGCCTTTCCGGCCGAAGTCTAACCGTACATTTTCCTGTATTCCAACTTGAACTTTTGACTCATCGACGTACCAGAAAATGATGATACACCCAACGCTGATACATACACAATATCTGGCTGTCATATGCTAGCAACACTTTCCTGTACTGTACTGTCAGGAAGCACTACAGTGGAGCACCAGTGTTCTAACAACGGTCGAGCGTCGCACGGAAGAAACCAAGATCCCAGCATTGCGCCAAGAATTCTCACTGCTCGAACGTAACACCGGGTGCTCGGGTCTATTTCTAGATGTCCAGATCAAATCGGACGGCCCGCCTCACTATGAAGGCCGCTCCTTTAAAGACTCACAAGCTTTGCTACGGCCCGTTCAGATGCAAAAATGCTGACTTTTCTCCTCGTGCTGTTATTCTCAACCTCTTTATCTGGTGTCTCTGCTACCCCTGCTTCAGTAGAGCCAACACCAACTCTGGTCAAACGCGCTACCTGCACGCCTGCAAGTGCGCAGTCATCTTCAACAGACGATGTTCCCGCCATCGAGTCTGCCTTCGCTACCTGTGGGAACGGCGGTGTGATCGTCATTGCGGCCGGCACGACGTACGCCATTCGTAGCACTCTATCCTTTGGTACGATTCTTCCATTCCCTACTTATCCGTGCCATAGCTAACAAGTCGCGCTGTAGCCGGCTGTGAGGGATGCGAGTTCCGAGTCGAGGGAACCATGAAAGTTTCCTCTGACACCGATTATTGGGATGGTGTAAGAGCTGTTATGCTGCTCGACGGTATTAGTGGTGCAACTATCCATTCAACCACGGGCTCAGGGTTGATCGACGGTAATGGCCAGGTAAGCAAAACCAGCCATCGAAGAAAAGGACCTACAGGATAAATCTTCTCTCGCAGCCATTCTGGGACGTGTTCGCCAACAACAGCGATTTCGACAGGCCCACCTTGATGTATATTGATGGTTCTAGCGACATCACAGTCGAAAATCTCCGTTTCAAAAACGCCCCCAATGTATTCCATTCGGTCGTTGGCGGATCCACCAATATCCTGTATTCGGGCTTGACTCTCACAGCGGCCAAGGCCGACGATGACGGCGCTGATCCTAAAAACACGGACGGATTCGATGTCGGAAAGTCAACGTATGTCGAAATCACTAACACCACAATTACCAATCAGGATGACTGCGTTGCGTTCAAGCCTGGGGCTAATTACGTTACAGTCACTGACATTACCTGCAAAGGGTCAGTAAATCAGAACAATATATGAGAAGGAGGACTCACTCTGTTCTCGTAGGTCTCATGGTTTGTCTGTTGGAAGTTTAGCCGGCGGTGCAGGCTCAACGGACACTGTAACGAATGTCTACGTCAATCATGCAACCATGATAGATTCGACAAAAGCCGTTGGAATCAAACTATACCAAGGTTGAACTACCTGACTTCAGCGGCTTCACCAGCGCTAACCTAGTACATTGGATTAGGCGGCTCCTCTCACGGAACGGCCACCGTAAAAAATGTTACTTACAATGATATCACTGTCGATGGATGCGACTACGCTGCTCAAATCCAATCCTGCTATGGCTCTGACACAACCGCAGAGTGCACTGCTGCGCCATCGACTGCTACGTTGACTGATGTTTACTTCACTAATTTCAAGGGCACAACTTCGGACAAGGCATGCTTCTCGTCATTTTGCAGTCCTGTTTCGAATTCTGACAATATCTGTGTAGTACGATCCCGTCATTGCCAATCTTAACTGCCCCGGTGCTGGGACCTGCGACATTTACTTCAGCAGCTTCAGTGTCTCGTCTCCTTCGGGCGATGCTGAAATTTTATGTTCTAATATCGACAACAGTGATTTTGGCCTGTCATGTTCAGGTAGCGCATCTGGATAGGTGTATGTAGTATTGCGGATGATTATCCGAGACTTATCCTATCACCGGTAATAGGAATGTAAAGGTAGACTATTGACCAGTTACCGATGCACATGCGAAAGAACCAGGCGAGTGGTGCCTTCTTATTGGGACTCAACAAAGAAAGTGCGCGCCTCACTTTACACAAACAAGGTTGCCGAATGATGTTCACTACATTAACCCTGCGTGTACGAAGACCACTAGCGCGACGACATATTCAGTCAATATCCTTGTCCTGTCTGTAATCTGATAACTTTCAGCTAGACCTCAAAGTTAGGACATTGCATAACGGATCACCGTGACAGTAGTGTGATCGATGCCATATGTTGATATAGAACCTTTAAAGAAATAACCCAAGCACACCTGTCAAGAATGGTGGTAAGCCAGTGATATCAGAGGAAGAAACAAGGGTCGTTGTTCCAACCGAATAAAAAAAAGGGTTGTTGACCTGATAAAACGAAAAGACGCACGGTATATCCCCGTTATTACTACTCCATGCAGTACATGAGTCCATTCTTTCAGACCACCAGCATCGGAATAAAGAGGTCCACTGATGCGAAGCTCAAATGACCATCTTGTTATCATCGGAATCCTCTCCGGGCTCGTCATTCTTTTCCGTGCGCGCTTTCAACCCAGGCTGTGCCCTATAACTTACGCATAGCTTCATCTTCGACCAGACCACCTTCGCCGACTCCGAAGCAACATCTCTCGCCTGAACCAAGTCCTTCTCATCGAAACCACCAGAAAACGACCGCCAATTCGTCCAGACGCACTTGACGCGCTCATCAAGTCCGTCAGCAAAAAGGAATGCGAAGCATCCGCCCGCATCCAAAAGTGTTGCCTCTTCACTGGATGGATCGACAATGAATTGCTTCGACGAAGCTAAGCGGCCGACGGTGACGGCACAAACAAGGCCTTTCATCGGTATGGAAGTGGCATTGAGAAAGGCGAGCGTGCTGGCGTTGATCATCGCCGCTGTCAGGCCGTCTTTCCAGGTCCTTGGCGGCGAGCTAAGGGACTGGACAACGAGCTGAACGAGAGTCCTAGGATTTTGGGTGAGGAGTAGGGATAGTGTCAAAGCAGAAGCAATGGCGGATGCCATTGATTTGGATTCCGTCGCTGAAACATTGGAAAGTGGACGCAAATGAACATCTAGCGTAGCTTTTGAAGGATTTTCTGCAGATAGGCGAACTTCGATGGGCCCTGAGAGCGATGCCAGTGCTATATTTTCAGGTCCTAAAAACGATGTTGAGCAATAGTCAGCACTAACGTTTTACAGGACTTACCGAAACCAAAACGTGCGGACCCATCCACACGGGCCAGATCATCGAACTCAACACTCAAATCGCGCAAGTCGTTGTTTTTTCGTCCGTCGCGTCGGGACATGAGAGGCAGAGAAGGGGTGCCGTTTTAGGCTTGTTGGCTTGAAATTACCTCGCGGGACGTCGGCCCGGAAGTGCGGTACAGCTTTCGAACATCAATTTATCTTCAGCCGTCAGACTCATATGCACTAGGAAACGAAATGCATCGCTCATGTCGTATTCGTGATCGTAATCATTAATTAATAAATACATAAGAGTCCAAGGATGCGATCATTGAATGGAATCATTCAAAGAAGGGCAAATCGAGGGTGGCTGTTACAGTCAACATCTTCACCACGCCGTCGATAGCAATACCTACAGACCCGCTGGTTAGTATGATGTGGGGGATGATTTGACAGATTACGAACCAGTGATTGATGCCTTCCGATCCAACCTGCAGCAGTCCGGTAAGGTTGGTCACTTCCGTCACGTACTTCTGGACCCAAGTAACTGTGTTCTCCAACGGCGGCGGCAACGAGCTCATCACTAAGTTGAGCCAGATATCAGTACCAAATTTATCAAGAACTGATTAATGACAAACCGGCCGATGTCGTATCCATCGGGAATGATGTTATGGCTTTCACTTAGGTCCTGGAAGGACGGGTTTCAATCATAGTACGCTGATGTTTCTCAACAATCTTACCTCCTCCTTGGAGACACTGTGAAAAAATCAGGTGAAATTTGTATGCTTCTTGACGAAGATTCTACTTACGCGAGGAACAGTGCACCACTATTCGCAGCCGGGCCAGTTTGAGGGAAGACACTGCTCCAAATTTAATTAAAAAAACTTGGTGACAGGCTGCTCGATGACGCACCGGAAGTGATTTCCACCGGTCAAACTCTCTATGCATGTGCCAAGGATGGGGATATTGAAATCCTGCCGGATGACTGCCTAATAACAGGTAAATCGAAAGCGTTAGACCAACACATTGGTGACATACCGTTTCGTTGACATCTCCCCGACCATCACCCAAGTTGGCGGACTGTGGAGTTCCAAGATGTTGGCCAAAGCATTCGATTGAGCTGCGGAATGTGAGAAGACGAAGGTTTCGAATGGAAAAAGATTGAGTTACAAGCCAATGGCACGGAAATAGTTGATAGCTCCCAGAGGAGAATTGATGTCCAGGACGGTGGATGTGCTCTTTGCAGATATAATAACCTACAAGGATTTGAGAACTTTTCCAGGTAACTGAGGGCCAACATACATTAAGAGGCTCCCCAAGTCCCGCCGACTTGTCAAGCATTGAGCCGCCACTCAAGAGGGGATTATAAAAGTCTACATCTGCGCTGCGGCAAGAGATAGGACTCGCGAAAACCGCAGGCAAGAAGAACGATAAAAAGAAAGACAACATCATAGAGAACGAAAGAGGGATAAGGTCAAGACGACGGGGAAGGGAGAAAAAGGGTGCGTTAGAACACAAAGAGATAGCGAGTGGGAATGGCTTTTATAAATAAGGACGTCTATCCTATGTGATCGTAGTTGCTACTTTCGTACATCACGGTAGATGAACGGTATTGCCGGTACATTGTAGAGTTAGTGTCGCTGTGTGACGCAAGACAGAGTTCCATATGGAAGATAGCATACAGATCACGTTCTTGGCCCTTCTTGCATCTCATGTGAGCCCAAAGCGGGTTCGTTCGATAAATCAGGAGCGAACGCGTTAACGTACATTGAGTTAACACGTGTCAATGTCCAAGAGGTAAAATAGGTTCCGGACCATCATACTCATTCCTTTGAGAAAAGAGTGCAAGGCCAGTAGCGCAGAGTCCTGAAGTGCTTGTCTTAGGAACCTCAAAGGGCCGGAAGGACAGTACAAGCTGATCGGCCCGCAGCGAGTCCGTGGCCGAGATAAAGACAAGATGCTGAAAGTTTAACCAGCTTTTCCCAGGTCAAGATACAGTCACCAGCACTGAAGAAGATTTCGAAGCGGTCGAAGCAGCGGTACAGAAAGAGAAGCGCCACGTGCTTCCGATCATATGGCTGTCAGACTCTGTGTGACTGCTGCACCCCTTTCGACCAAGCACCACGACCATGCTCCTTTCCTCTCTCAATATTCTCAAGGCTTAACGCACATCAAGACATAATTACTCTTATATTCTACATCAGCATATTACTGCAAGAGCAGGGCCGTCAGTGATCGGTACTTTCTCTTTTATACTGATATTTTTTTTGTCAACCTTATCAGCTCCCTTTCAGTACTTGCGATTTCTTCTTTCAATTGAAGTGACAGCTTCATGGAGAATCTGACGTTACCCGTTCCCAATTTTACGGAATTCAAGTTCAAAGACATTGGACGGCCTCCTGCGCTGCTCCATCGCTTCACTTCAGCACACCCGAGCGGGATTGAGCCTTCGCCATCCCCGAGTCCACCGCCTGAGCAGTATTTCGATGATTCTAGCCCGTCGACTTCCAGATCCCGACCAACTTTAATGCAAGTCCTTGGAACAGGCCTCAGTGACACCGATGCTGCTGGAGACGCCGCATCTACTTCGGGTGATGCCATCCCTGGACTCATGATACAGCCTTCATCCAGCATCGCCTCTCCTACTGTACCTTCTGTAATAACTCTCCCCACCGACACGGCTTTATTGAATGCATCTGAATGGCAGTTGCGGTATCCATCTTCTGAGCCACCAAAGTCTGACCCGCATACACACCCCTCTTCCACGCCGTTGCCTGCTTCCACCATCGAGGTCGTTCCTCCCGCTTCAGACGATATACCATTGCAATCAGGGAATTCTTTGGAGACTTTAATCAAGCTCAAAGACCAGCTCTTGTCTTCGTTGGCCTCCTACACCCCTCCAAACCCATCCACCGGGTTTCTTCTCGCGAAAGCATCACGCGAACAGTCTTCCGCGGCCCTCGATGCCGCCAAACGTGCTCATGCACTGGCACAACAGTCGTTGAGTTCTGTTCAAGAATGTGCCAATGTTGCACACGAGGCACTTGTCGCGGCTGAACGGGCCCATTCCCTAGCAGAGAACGCGACAGCTGCTATAGATAAGCTCAAGACCGACAATGAACCATGGAAGGTCCTGGAAGAAGCTGTCAGAACGGAGCTTGCCTCTCTGACTCAATGGATAGCATCGGAGGAACAATCTAGATTATTGGCTGAGACGAGAAGACTCGCCAATAGTGCACGAGATTTGGATGCTAGCAATGATGCTTCGGGTGAAAACCCGCACTCCGACAGGGCCACCCAACTGTCGCGAGGCTCCATAAATGGTTTCGAGGCCATGCCTGACAGCGACATCGTTATGGGCTCTCCCGACGATCTACGTAATAGTGCGGAACTCCCTCACGAGAAGATCAACGACCCGCCGGTGCCAGATGATGACCTACGCCGTCGGCAGGAGATACAACGCAGACTTGACGAAGCAATGGCCGCGGCTGAGGCCAAACGGTTGGAAGGTGAAGCACGAGATTTGGCATTGCGCAAGGTCGAAGAGGAGCGACTGCAGAGGGTGAAAGATGCCGAAATTGCCGCCAGGCGGGCCCGAGAGGAGGAAGAGGCTGAAATCCTGCAGGCTCGACAGCAGCGAGAGAAGGAAAAGAAACTACAAGCTGAACAAGCGGAAGCTCAAAGGGCCGCTCAGGAAAAGGAGCGACGCGAGGCTGAGGAAGCACTTGCTAACAGAAGCAGGGAGGTCGAGAGGAGACGTGCACTCGAGTTGAAACTGGCTGAGCAGAAGAAACAACGCGAGGAGGTTCAGCTCGCGAAGATGCAATACAATCGCGTACAGGCGGCTCGGATACATGCAGAGAGAGCAAAGGTTTTGTCTGCAGACAATGCAACCAGTCTTGCTCCGCCCCCTCCCGCTAGCTCGTTGATCCCGCCGTCGAATGGGACTCTACACCCTTCTGCGTCAGAAGCAGTACCTATGAATTCAGTACCGCCTGTGCCTACAGTACCCTCCTCGCAACCTCAAGTCTCTCCTCCTATGCCGTTGTCTTCGCTTCCCACCCATCCGACTATGACTTCGTCGGGTCCCGCCAGCATGCAAATAGGAAGTGTTGGAGCCCAGCGGACGTCTGTAGAGGTCCCGTTGCCTGTTCAAGCCCCCAAACAGTTTCCACTGAAAGGGAATCATCGGGCGCTTTCGGGGGAGGTGAAGCCGGGAACAACTCCCGCGCTTAGCACTGACCCGCCGCCTTCTTTAATCCACACAGCTTCTCTTGGATTACGACCGCGCGTGTCTGAAACGTCGCCGGTGCCTTCAGCTTTGCTGCCAGTGGATACCACCAGACTGACACATGCTCTCCCAAGCAAGCCAGATTCAACGTCTCCATCCGACATTATCAGTCCGTGTATAGGTATCCTCGAATCCCAAAGGCGTTTATCCACCGACAGGCACAGTGTTCCTCCCATTGACCATCTTCCGCAATCCCATCTCGGCACACCAGAGTCCGAGACAATGGTGCCATATTCCACATCAGATAGTGGTAATGTTCCCATTATTAAGATGGAAAACATGGATGAGCTTTTTCATGTACAAGAAGCCAATTTACGGCATATTCGAGAGCGGACTCGTATCGATCCGTCGCAGATGGTCAAAGCAGAGGAAGCCGGCCGCCAGGGTCCCGACTCTGTCTCTCAGCCTCCACAGCATGCAGACGGCCCTTCCGATGCCCCATCGCCCGTCCCAAACGTTATTCCTCTCAACAATATGCCCGCTTCTGCTCTTCCTCCTATCGTTGGTTCCTTACAGACCTCAATTACCTCTGTTCCACAAGAAGATGCTGCCCATATTCACGCTCAATCAACGCCCGCTGCTGCAACAAACTCCCCTTCTTTACTTCGGAAGCCCAAGAAAGCTAAGGCTTCTAAAACTTCGCCGACTAATCAGATAGCCTCTCAGCCATCTCGAGGGAACCAACATGTGGCTTCAACCAATCAGCCGACTCCTCAGACCAACCGAAAGGCACCACCGCCTCCAGTCAATCAGAAAGCACCGCCGGCCAAACAGCAGGCACGCGTTGCAGCCGTTCCGGCACCGAAGCCTCCTATTCAGAAGAAAACGCCTACGAAACCGCGATCAACATCACCTCTGACAGGTCAGGTAGACCTCGGACGTACCATTCACAACCGATCTTCATACTCATCAGGGTCTTCAACTTCTCGTGTATCTGAACCCCGTGGACCATCTCCGATGGGACCGGAAGGCTTTCCTAGCGAAAACGGATGGCATAATGCTTGTCCTGTCGACGAAGATCCTACTTATGAGCGTCACTCCTACGAACCTGACCGATATTCGTCTTCATCCAACAGACGTGGTTGTTACTCTCCCACTCAGGATTATCCCAACGCGCCCAATCCAAACTCATATGATAGGCGTTGTGATTATTATTCTCCCTCTCCTCCGCCGAGTCCCCGAGGCAGACCCATGTCTCCGATCGCTCGTTCTCCTTCACCGACCCTTGGCATGAAACGGCGAAGACGAGAAGAGTCTGCCTTTGTTCGCAATGGCCGTCAGCGACAAGAAGACGGTGATCCTTACAGCCGTGTACCGATGACAAGAGCGAGAGGCATACCTTCACGACCGCAGACACCCCCTGCCGTTCGGAACCGGGACACTTCTCCACCTCCAACGTTAGTATCGCGACTCGGAACGAACATTGACTACACTGGAGACAAACCTGCCGCGGACTACCACTACTCTGCAGCTCTCGCTCATCCACCTACATATTCCTACAAGAGTAGCCGCCGGCTTAGCAGCCCACCTCCTCGGATCAGTAACGGCAACAACCTACTTGGACGACTTAGCAATGTATCTGGGAAACCTCCTCTCAACCAGCGCGCGGTCGCAAGGGTCGAGGTGGTGGAAACTCCAAGCCCCGTTTAGCTGCTCGTATCGGTGACGCTGGTATCAATGACTCTTATTAATCGACGATGAAGTGAGTTTAAGTTGAGACACAGTGATTTGGATGTGTTGAACTGATTCAGACAAGTAGATGGTGTATAAGTATAATTCTCTTCCATAATTCTCTGTGCCTTTGCTGCGGACTCTGACTTGTAAAGAACAAATGTTTGCCCATTTTCGACGGAGCGCATTATTTATGGGTATTGTTAAACAGATGTCATTGTATCTTGGGAAATAAACAATTCCGACATACGATGCGAACCAACCTTGAATGGAGAGCAGATCCAAAAATTCAAAACGAAGTTCTCACGGCGGTCTCCGTCAATCGAGTTCAGGGACTTCGATCGTCGCAAAATACGAATAAGGGTGTGCGCAGGAAAAATAAGTCTTGAGTTCTGCCAAGGTGAAATACTCACGAAAGCGAGAGCCGGTGTAGCGTCGGTCTCCGTTCAGTCCCGATGGGATCGATCCGCAGGTGGCGTTGGGCGCATCGTACGCATCAACAGTAATCTTCACCAGCGAATTTTGACTCACCTCCATTTTTCCGATTATCTCAAAGACCAAATATAGATTCGATGATGCCAACTCATGTCTGTTGCAACCGACACAACAACTCGCATGGCTACTGGCACTGATTTCCGCGCGCTCGGACCAAGCCTAGTCTGCGGCCCTTTTACAGGAAAAGACTCATATCGTAACCATACTTGGTGCGTGCCTGCAAATCGACTAGTATAACTCTCGTTTAGTAGACTCATTTTACATTTTACCTTCTCGCAGGTAGCACCTTCTTTCTGGCTGGCATAACCCATTCATCGGGTAGTCGGGGATCAATATCTTGAGCCGGGACTCGCCTGGGTAGCAAAGTAAACCGTGCTGCGCAAAATATTAGCACCGTCGGGTCGATTATTTGATGTCAATCGAGCTCATGTGCGGAAGGCTGCCACCTTGTTTCGGTCCATTATCCTCAGGCTGCGGACCTATCGATATCATATTCACACGCTCGCTGCCACCCCCGTTCAGGATATAAAAGCATCCTCCTTCCCCTTCTTTTTTTTCACTCCAGTAACCGGTACCCCGCCCCCACCACTCCTTACTCTCCCCTCACATTCTCTCATCTTCAACCATGTTCAACGGTGCAGCAATCGTTCTCCTTCTCACCCTGACATCTTTTGTCACCGCCACCATCAGCCTTCCCCACGGTGAACGTCCTCTGCACCGTCGTCGCGGCTGGGCCCGCCGCACCCTGGAGGAGCGTCAAGGAGGATCTCATGGCCTACGAAGACCACATGTCGCACCCAGCTTCTGGAGGCTTCTCTTCGCAAGTCCAAGTTGCGGCGGTGCAGACCACTACTGGTCAGTTTTATCTTTCTTCTTTCCTTGAAAGTTAAGATATTTACGACCTCAATTAGCTGCAACTTCGGTCACTACTCAGGCGACTGATACGACGACTAGTTCGTCGTCGTCATCCACTGGTTCTGCCTCTAGCATCGTTGCGGCTACGTCGTCGAGCCCAAACACCGGAGAAAGTAAGCTCACCGTCACCTTTGTTCCTTTCCCTCTTGCTCATATCAAAACCTCCCAGTTACTTACTACAGCAGTACGTCGTCGTTCGTCATTGGTAAGGTTGTCAAACATCTAACATGGTTTTGTAGCTGGTCTAGGCGCTTGTGGTGTAACTAGCAGCGACACCGACCGCATCGTCGCGCTCTCCCAAGAACTGTACGATCAATACACGTATGCCTAACTCCAAGCTCTTTTATATACCCCTCTCATGTTGTTTGGCTTTAGCACAAACGGCAATTCGAACGACAACACCCTGTGTGGAAAGACCATCCACATTGAATGTAAGTTGTTATACAAGTTTGTCTTTGAGCATGCACTGACGACATTGCAGACGGCTCAAGTTCGACCGACGTTACCGTGGTAGACCGATGCACTGGATGCTCAAGCACTGACCTAGATCTATCTCCCACTGCGTTTACCGACTTGGCCAGTGAGGATGATGGCCGTCTATATGGCGCCTCATGGTACTTCACGTCCTAAACTATACCCCTCGTTACAGTTTTAGAAGGTTAAAGGAAATTAACGGTTTGATCTACTGGATAGGTCGCCGTTGTTTATTTAGGGCCTGGTGCCGTTGGTATTATCTAACTTGTTGTACGCTGTACTTGCTGCTGGCTTTAATTGTTATCGCTTCTCTTGATGGGATTTATCGTACTTCAAGCTTCATCTTCTGCCGTGGAAAAGCGACCGAGCCTTGGCATGATACCAGAATTACAGGAAACACTACGTACTCATTGCTTCAACTATATAATAAATACCCCTGGCTTCTTCTACTTTTGATTCACAAAGAATACATTGTTAAAGTACATATTATTGATCCTCGCTCTATGCGCCGCATATTGACAACTCTCGCATTTCTTGGAGTACACCTTCAACCTGAGCATCCAGCTGACCGGCTGCGTAATCATCTCTGACGCTATCCGCAAAATAACTAGGGAACGGTTCAATAAAAGACACGCGATCATAGATAAAGAAGACAAACCGTTGGACACCGCTCAACTTCTCATAACCTTCCTCGGCGAATTTGGACTGCATTCGTATCATGGCTTCGAAACTGGGGTCAAAGTACGGTACGCGCAGGTCAAGCAGCTGTGGGAGTTCGGCAATCAACTGGTCATTGAGCATGTCGAAAACTTCTTTCGCTTCGTCATGCTCTTGTTGCGCCTATGAATAAATGTAAGAGAAGTATACTGCATGCGACGGGGAAAACCAACTTTCGGCAATTTTGTAGGGTCTTCACTGGGTTTGTCGATTAGTTTCCTAAGTCGACTTCTGGCAGCATCGTAATCTAACAACTACGCTCCACTAAGCATAAAATTTCTCGAAGATAAGACTAGCATACCTTCTTGTTACGCTTGGCAATATGCTCGTTCACGACAGGGAAGTATGCACACATTTTCCCCAAGGGTTCTGAAATTGCCGTTCGATACGGAACATCCTAAACGGTATTAGACTTCGGAAGCTGAACCGGGCCTGGCTGATACTTACGAGTTCCCGACCAAAGCTTCCGTCTAGATCCTCGACCGACCGTTTGTAAGCATGACCAGCCATTGCACCGTCAGATGTACGGTCAGCCGCCCCATAGAAGGTCTCCAACGTTTCCGCTATACGAGCCTGCGCAGCTGTCATCGCTGGATTAGGTATCCGTCAATGTCCCGTAGATAGCCCGATGCTAGAGTCCTTGCCTCTCATAGCATCCCAGTAGCCTTTGCTATCTTTCTGAAGTACCTGACATTCCTTCTCAAATCTATTACACGTCAATATGGGGTGAGTAGGGGTCCAATGCACAACATACGTCCGGTATTTGGCCTCCTCGTCGGCGAATTCTCTGTCGACAGTTCTCTCTATCTGTCCGGTCTTTTGAAGGAGCTGTGATGATGCGATGGCGTCGAGTGAGGGAGAGACTCATCAAAAGGTAAAGTGCCTACCGTCGTGCCAGCTCGATTTACTGATTTCTTGAATCTAAGCAAGGGCGATTAGTGAAAGTTCAGTTGAAAGAAATTCGTGTCGTACCCCGACCAGCTCATTGCGAAAGGGTATTAAGAATATTGGCTTGGTAGGTATAAGGCCTGAGGTAAGCCTGAGCAAGGTGATGGTGCCAGGACAAAGCGATGTTGCTTAGTCATCATTTCGGCAAATCGCCGCTTTCGGTCCTCGGATTTTCCGTGACTAGCCGTTACTTCATAGACTTCATAACACGATGCAGGCAGCAGCACTAGCCCTTATTCATTTTTGCCGGCAGGATCATTGCAACATGTGAAAATGTGTGTACAATGGCCTAGCTTGACATTAATCCTATGGTGAGTTTTTATCTATGGGTAGTAAGGCTGCCGACACAGAATATTTGAAAAACTGATCTACTACGATGGCAGAACAGAATGGCTTACCCCAGTCGCTGCTCAATGCTAACACTGTCTCTCGTATATACTCTTGGATGTGTTTCCGAACACAAAATGTAGGCTCAGGCTGGTTGCAAGCCTTCTCCATCCTACCAGTGGACCAGGTGGCAGTGGTTGTCTTGTCGATTTCGAGTTCTCAGAGCCGGTATCTCCTAGGCTTCAACGAGTTTCGTAATTCATCATTACAATATAACGGAATACGTGTGAATTGTCTGTCACCATGTTTCAGGCAAGACGACTGCATCGTTCCAACCACTGGTGTATGTATTTCTACTAGACTGTTTCAACGACGACAATGATTTTATTCGACTTCTTGGCAGAAATGGTGGTCGTCAAAGAGCCCACTTCGAATCCCTTGCCGGCATGATCATGGAATTGGCCTCTCTCCTACTGGGATGTCTGATGTGGTAACAGTTGCAAAGTCCAGTATTATAAAAGATCACAAACCTTAATCAATTTGACTCTAGACTTATTCCCGGGAACTATACGGATGATGTGTGTGTATCTTCACCGTTCGACTGTCTTCCATTTCAGGTACGGTCTCCTTCGCTGGGGTTAAGTTCATTCCACAATACGTATAGGTTCCGACATTTGGGATACTGCCTTCCTCCTCATTATGACCTATCTGGTTACACGAATCCCAGCTCTACATCCTTTGGTGTCTGTGAGTGGCATCGCAGATTCCATTAGCATGCTCGCCGACTGCAAACTCAGCCTCAGTTCAAGACCACGGCGTCTTCATCTACTGCATCCATTGTTGAAGCATCTTCTACCGTCACTGAAAACGGAAGCACTCTCATTGCCTCATCAGCGGCATCATTCAATCCAGCTTCTACTCCTGCTCTAGCGCCACGACCAGTCTGCGGCATCCGCCGCATATTCTCAGCTAGTTTCCCCTACGTCGGCCTCCGTCGCTCAGGGCTCTTCGGTAGCTCCACCCACTGCTTTATCTTCGGCAGTATCTATCACGATTACATCCATGTCGGCTGCAGCCACGTCTTCATCCACGTCCGGAATAATAGACCGCCAACATTTGTTATGACAGTAGGTTTTCTTCGGGTATCTGACAGGCGATGCCCTACCGAAATATTTTATAGACTGGCGCACTCGTGTAGCAAGTCGCCAAGCACCGATGCTACGGGCGGCAATGACGACATACCTGACTAAATCGGAGATTGATTATAACATGGTCAGTCGCGAGAAGCAGGACGTGACTCTTGGATTGAATGGGTATTTTTCCGTATACATATCTTGTCCGCTGGTCTTACGCAAATTTGAAAAGGAATCTTGCTTGCGCAGTCCATGACTAGATGCCATGGACATTGGTGAGTGTCGCTTTCTCCGCAACAAGACGCCTGTAATGCTTTGATAGTGATTTTCGGGATCATCTATAGTTACATGCTCGACGCCTTCTCAAAACAGACGCAGGGTATGAGGAGTATCAGGGTGCATCAGGATTGGATGCTTTTTAGCGCAGAAATGATTTGATTTTTAGTAAGTGCAAGGGGTCGTCGCATCACTAAGTGCGCGCATTTTTCGAGGGTAGTTTCGCTCGGCGCATTTCTTCTCCTTTCGCCGCCCAAAACGGACAATTCCTTCCCTGCATTTTCCTGAAGGACGTAGAAATCACTCATCACCGATCTTTCTTATTCGCTCGGTTTTGGTTTTTTTCGGACTCGTCCTTTTCGTTGTCCTCCGATCAACAGTGACATGGACGATGGCACTGCGACCCTTCGATATCCCGGGCCATTAACCCTGTGCCGCTTCTACAAGCGTGTGCACCTCTTTTCTTCGATGCCGAGCCTCAGGAGACCACGCTTCGGAAAGTTTAAAATGAGTATGAACAGGACATTCAAAGGAGATATCGTGGCAGCGTAAGTCCTTCATAAGAAAGTTCGAATAATGATCGATCAATTAATTCTTAATGCTCGTTCCGTTGGGCTGGTTACCGCCTCGCTATGTTTTATTTCACTAGATTTGATCCTTATTTTTCCCTGCCCATATAGACATGAGAACCTTTTCTGGAATTCTGGACTCACCCGATGGCATTCACCTCTTCTAAACTTCCCTTATCATTATAGCCGCTGAGTAACGAAATTCGGTTATATATCGATCAGTTGCAGCTGCTTTTACTGCCGCGATTTTGTCTGCAGCGGCCACGTCAACCCGTCCTTGACTGGCGGCCTACGGTTCCTTAATCATCGGGACGCGTACTAGATCGTCACGGTCGCCCGTGTAGTTGGCAACCTTTTGTGATGATTTGACCCTTTCCCAAGTTTCAGTGACAACCGCTGATGCACGATGATACAGCACTTGGTACATTTCCATCTTCTTATCCAGGGGCCTGAAAACTGAACTATTTTTTTAATAGCAAGACTGCTGCCAAGAACTCGATTGTGGTGCCTAGGAGCAATCGGTGAATCATCGGTGATCTTCATTTTGGTTTGATCCTGCCGCACGTGGAATCACTCAAACTTCCAGGCACCCAGGGGACGACTGTCTCTCAACATCGCAAAAATGCCTCCGGTTGTCAAAGGAATAATACTCTGTTGCCAGTGCCAAGCCACATTCCTTCAGGCCAAGCCCAACCTACCTTCCATTGTGGAATGTGCATATCAGCGGGATGTCGCCGGCTGAGGACTTTCGCGAATATAAAAGAGCCAACTGCTCAGATGGGTAGGCCAAATCCCTTCCTTCTTTTTCCCTCTAACTCATACACGCCTGACAGGCATCCTCACCATCTTTTTCCCCTTCACGTTCACTCTATCAAAGCTTAGAACCGGTTTCCAGTCGTAGAACCTTGCCAATGAAGTCTTCTACTGTTTCTCTCATTCTTGCCAGTGCAGCCTTCTTCGGAGTCGCCAATGCTCACAGTCGTGTTTGGAGTGACTGGGTTGATGGTGTTGACCAGGGTAAATCTTTGATTTAGTCGTTTGGTTGACTACAACATGCTTATCACTCCACCATTAAGGCGCGGGTGCTGGTGTTTATATTCGTCAACCTCCAAGCAACAGTCCCGTCAAGGACCTAACTTCGTAAGAGTTTGGCTTCTTGTTGCTCTCCTACAACTGACTTGTGAATGCAGAGACGACGTCTTCTGTAATGTTGATGGCACTACTGCAGCGTCTAGCACCATCTTCATTGCAGCTGGTGATACTCTTACTTCAGGTGAGCATTACCCGTGTTTGAGAGGACGACAATCTTGCTTTCGTTGCAGAGTGGTATCACGATACCCGGTAATTTGACCATCTTGGTTTTATTATTTTAAGCATGCTGACAGCAACACACAGTGGTGACGACATCATCGCTTCCAGTCACGTTGGCCCCATCGTGGCTTACATTGCGCCTGCCGTGAGTTCTTGCCAGGGTGTGTTATGGATAATTGACCGTCTCAACCCAATGGATAGGACGCTACCCCAGGAGAGGATGCCTGGGTCAAGATATACGAGGAAGGTTACGACGGTAGTGAATGGGCTGTTACTAAACTGATTGCCAACGAAGGTACTGTTTCCCATGATTTGAAAATCCCCAATTTTAATACCTGTTCAGGCAAGGTCGATATTACCATTCCTTCGACCCTGGCTACCGGTGATTATCTCTATCGTATTGAGATTCTCGCCTTGCACGAGTCAGACACACTGTACACCGCCAACTCTGCTCGTGGTATTCAGCTCTGTAGGTGTCGTTTGTACTCGATGTATCGCGTGTTGACCACCCCTTTTACTAGACCCTTCTTGCCACCAGCTCACCGTCACTGGATCCGGCAGCACAAGCCTCCCGAGTGGTGTTCCTTTCCCTGGGTATGTGCTCTTATTTGTGAATTTCCGCAGTTTGTCACTGGTGCTTCTTAAGTACCTACACCGACGATGAACCTGGGTACGTTCATAACCCACATGTCTGATTTTGTGCCATTAACTTTACAACTTTGCAGCATTTTATTCAATGTGTACAACGAAGATGCTTCTACCTACGTTATTCCAGGTCAGTCCTCGCAATCGTATATCACTGAATGTTGCATATTCAGACTCTATAGGACCCGATGTTTGGGACGGAACCTCTTCTTATGATACTTCTGGATATACCGATGGTTCCTCTGGTTCCTCTAGCTCTTCAACGGCCACCGCAGCCGCCGGTGGGTCTTCTCCGATGTAGTAACTTTCACGCCCTAAAATAAGCCTTTGCAGTATCATCCATCCACTGCTGCTACTTCTTCGGCTGTTGTTGTTTCTTCCAGTTCGGTGGCAGTTGTCTCCAGTACAACTAGTGCTGCAACTGTTATTGCGACATCGGCTTCTGCTTCTGCAACCACCGCCGTTACCTCCACCAGCAACGTCATCGTATCATCTTCCGTTTCTTCTGCTGTTTCCTCTTCTGCTGCTGTCTCTGCTACCGCAAAATCTACCTCTTCCGTAGCTACCACCGCTACGACGGCAGCTGCAACAGCTACCTCTACCTCCGGTGTTGTTGATGCCAACGTCTGTTACAACAGTGGGTTCGTTCCTCGTTCTTCTAGCATATTTCCTGATTAGATTTCAGACCGGAACACTTGCGTTGCCAAAAATCGCCCAAGCACTGATACTACTGCTTGCGACACCGAGAAGACTTCGTGTTTGTCCAACGCGGAGATCAACTACAATATGGTTACCCGTGCCAAGCGAGATGGCAAGTTTGGGAGACTACTCATCTAAGCGGTATGCCTTCACTTGTCTTACTGCTTTCAGGTCATCGAGGTGACGAAACACTGCTCTTAGGAATTTCTTGCACGATAGTTCTCGTAATTACCTGCTTGTTCATGTCTAGATGTCGTGGACGGGCAGTTCTACCTTTCCAGCCGCGACATCAGACTCTTGATGATGATGATGATTTGTGGTTGCTTCAAATACGCGCTTTGACAGCTATTTTGTTCTTTTTGCTCAGTATTACAGATGGAATATATTGCCTGCTTGCCTGCCAAAAAAAAATTGAGATCGGTCTTGAGTTCAAGCCAGTTTCAGGCGATGTCTCGCTCAAAGGTGCCCACTCCAATTGGTATAACGGACCTACCACAGGTATGATTAAGTCAACGATAGTGATGGTCTTAGTAGCCTCGACCACCATCAAGTCCTAGACCCATTCATTGAGTATCCAGTGTTATTTGACATTATTACTAGACCATAATTATATCCAAAGATCCGATGAAAGGTTGATGAAATAAATATAAGACACGACATAAGGCAACACGAATGCGAAAGTGGGTAATAATGCTCTCAAGAGGCTTTTTGGTGTTTACTGAGGCTGTGCTCGACGAGCACGATCCTCTTCCTCGGGAGATTGAGCTCGTACCGGTTGGGCGAGGACCGGTTCTGAGAAGTGTTCGCGAAGGCGTGTGGTTGCCTGTCGTTGAATCTAGTGTGGGACGGGACGTCAGAACTGGGCCCCATATTAATACTGCAAACATACCTCGCCACCAAGAGTTCGAGAAATTTGAATGAGTGGACCCGTAAGCCCGAGTTGGATGATAAGGTATCTGGAATGAATGTATTCATTCAGTAGTGGACGGGAGATCGAAACACAGTTACGCACGCAGCCGTCAAGGCGAAGAGTAAGAAAGTGAAATATAAGGGGTTAAACAGTACGGCCATTGCTTCGTTCCAGCCCAGAACAACAAGCATTCCATACATCCAGTAGGGTATCTGTGCCACACTTGAGACGGTACTCCGTTTCGCCTCTACATAGTAGGCATCGGCATCGCGACGGAACTTGTTCGTCAAATCAATGGATTTAGTCTCTGAGAAAATAATCAGTGATGAAGCGAAGTCGTATTCTTCGGTAGCAGAGAGAGGGTCCGCGGTAGTAGCATCCGAGGGAAGCGTGTACTCCAGTGTTGAATCTTCGGGAGAAATCTTTGAGTAGATCGGAACCAGTTCAAGCGTCTGTAGACATGGCGATTAAGAAAATCAGGTAGGGAACGAGGACTCAATGACGTACTTGGTCCTTCGCCTTTTTGAAGGCTCCATCAATGTCGTCTTCTGGTTTCCATACCCTGGGCACTCCATTATCGTCGTAGCGGAAACGCTCCTCAAAGTGGGCACGCAACTTTCCGAGGATGACTGCATCAGCAGTTTGCTCATCGATCTTCGAACGAAGGGTCTGCCATGCGCGCCGCCGCAGAGTAGCAAGAGCATTGGCATTCTCGTCATCGGTACAATTGAAACCTAAACCAAGATATCAGTTAAAGCCGCAGCGAAGGATCGCTGAATGCATACTCTTGGCTTTGGACAAGTAGCTACTCTCAGCCTTCTCCAAGATCTGCTTAAATGCCTTCAGTACCCGGTCCCACATGTCAGGCGACGGTTTGTTCAAAGCGAGCTCCACGGGTTCCGAGATCTGCTTTTTGAAGTTGCGCTATTTTCAAGTGAGCACAAGTCAACGAAACGCATACTGGTATATCATGCCTTACCTCTATCATATTAACCATTTTCTTTGTCTCATCCTTCCTACACTGATCACCTAGTATACCCATCTCTTCTTTCAGAAGTTCCATTTCTTCCTGCCAATTCCAATCTGCACTATCTTCTACAACGGCTTCTTTGGCATGTTCCATGAATGTCTTCTCCCAAGTGGTGCGTGACTTTTTCACTACATCGGCGAAGCTGTAGTCATCGCCTTTTAGACCCTCAAGAAGCTCCTTCTTGAAGGAAACAAGACAGTATTTATGAAGATTCTTGAGCTGACCGAGGAAGAGTGGTGATAATATTGAATCGAGCGAGCTTGCCAGATCAGCGCGTTTGCGCTTGTAGACGTCTTGGTGATACCGGTAAGCATCACGGTCATAACGTTCTAAGCGCTTCACGTTAGCCTCAGTGTCCGCGAAGAAGAAAGAAACGTACTGAGAGCGTCTGTTCTCCACTGTCTCATCATCTTTCCCAGACCTTCCACCACTTTCCCAACCTCAATAGGCCTCTTCTGAGATTTAGATTGCTCATTAAACTCAGACAGCGCCACACTAGAAATCTCATCACAGCGGAATTGAGCCAGCAATTCTTGCTGTGTGGGCAAGTCAAGATCCTTGTTCCTTTGCACTTGTTCCTTTGGACACCCATCAGCCGTAAGAACTATGAAGACTAACTTGACCTACCCAGATATTCTCCATATAGAAAGAGACGCCATCCGCTGGAATTCGTTTGTGATAGGCTGGCTTGAACACGTAGTCTGCATTGTCCTTGTTTACAAATCTGCCCCTCAGATTCCTAACCTCGGATTCGAACTTGTCCGCTGCTAATATCTTGTGAGGGAGAGCCGTGAATGCCAAGTCAAAGTAGTCAGAGAGCTGACGGTCACTCAATTCCGTCGGCTTGGAAAGAGACTCCCATATACGTTTGAGGTCAGCCGTGAGCGTTGCCTGAAGATTGGCGAGAGGGGTAGTGCCGATGTGATCTCGTATGACGAAGAGCAGCAACGTGCGACCATTTGTTCCGTCTTGAGCCTTCTTCCCAAATAGGCCTAGATTTACTTCAAAAACGGTCTTGAGCAACCCCATGTTAGCTCCTTGGTAGAGTCCGACTTGGTGTTCCCAGACATTGATGATAAGGACCTCTGACGACGCCAGCGAAAATAGGGCAGATTTGCGCTCGAAATCCTTAAGGAAGTCGAGGAAGTCAGTCAACAGTTGACAGGTTATTGATGACGTCAAACGAACTTGGTCTTCCCCGCGCTCTCTGCCGTCCGTACCCTCGACATCCATGACCATCACGCTCATATCCTTGCCTTTGCACATCCAGATACCTGCTCGCCTTCAGTATGTATGGCAGTCAGATAGCATGTATAGGTGACCTTTCGTAGTCTGTTGCCGTTTCGTCTCGTCCATTACGTCGAAGTTCGTGCCGAATAGTCTGTTCAGTAAGGTACCTAGGAACATGAGCACTGCTATTGACACGGATTGAGAAATACCAACTTTTTCCTGTGGACTGAGATCCGAAAACTGCTACAATGTTGTAGCTGAAGCCAACATCCCTGAGTCCCCAACGTGCAATCTGAGTGTTCAACTCAGTCCTGCTCGGCATTCAGAGAGGGAAGCAAGTAAATGGAGAGCTTCATACGTGAATTTCTTCTCGTCGTCGATGATTTGTATTCGTTCTGAGCTCGTAGTCGGTGATGCACCGTTGACCGTATGTCCGTTCATAGTTGATCGTGCACCTGCTGTTTTGGCGCGTCAAATCACGCCCAGTAGTAACGAAAAAGGTGAGAACCTTCCATGGCAGTTGGCGGGAGCGTCTAGAGGAGTGCGTGAAGAATGGGAGGAATTGCAAGGTGCCAGGACGTCAGCCTTGAGTCCAACCTGCGCGGTCGTGGGGATCAGCCACGTGGGTTTTGTGGCTGTTTGCCATCAGCTTCATTCCGCACTGCCACTCCTGTCCCTGTACCTTCGAGATCCTTGACAGCATCATTTCAGCTTCAACTTCACAGGGCATCATACTGTATTGTGCTTCTGCTGTTGAAGTGGGCATTTGTGCGTCAGATGGCATCTCGAAATACCACTGTGGTCCTCATGTGTTCCCGTGATTGATGCCGCGGCATCTCGGAACTAGTAGTACGTACTAAACACACCGGTATTCATGGCAGATGACATGGGCATTGGATGGTCTAAGTATTTTAGGTGATGATCTCGTGTGTGAATTGTTTCTCAGCTCATCATGTCCTCCTACTTTAACCAGTCGCGTTTGGTTTGGAAACCCTTGCCTCGAAACTGCACAGAAGCCGATGCTTTTAGAAGGTTCATCAACCGCAAGCATGGCTTCCAACTACGTGCGTTCTTCGTTCGATGCTTGCTTAATCTCACCCTAATCTGCTGTTTAGAGAACTACCACGAGTTACACCATTATTCCGTCGAGGACTATACATTCTGGCTAGACCTTATGGGAATTTCTTCATATCGTTTCCTCAGTGCCCCCGAATAAGTTAGAGGTGCCTTCCTTTCTTCCTGTCTGAAGTCGAAGAAGGCTGACGAGATGATGCCTAGATTATAAGCCCTGGACGCATACCTGAGGTTCCCATCTGGTTCCCGGGCGCTCGTCTGAACTATGCTGAGAATCTTCTCGTACGGAACGATGACAGCATAGCAATCACCGCCAGTGGTGAGTCCGGGGAAGTCGTAGATTATACTTGGAAACAACTCCGGAGCATGGTTAGAGAGATGGCGGCTGCCTTGAGGGTGAATGGCTTGGTTGTTGGTGATAGAGTAGCAGGTGAATCGCTAACAGCCCTACTGTGGAGATGATCTCACGCGTCTCAGCCGTCGTCAGGAATTCCGCCATCGCCATTGTCCTTGCTATCGCTACTGCGAGTATAGGCGGCATTTTTTCGTCTACAGCTACCGACATGGGCGCTGAGGTAGGTCTTGCATTGAAAATATGAAACACAAACTCGAACTAAGACGACTGATAGGGAGTATTGAGTCGATACCGACAAATCCAACCCAAGTTCTTCTTTTCGGAAACAGAAGTGTTCTATGCTGGGAAAGCCGTCAATCTTATGTCGAAAGCTTACGCGGTCGTCGAAGACCTACAAGCACACGGCCTACAGCATGCGATCTTGCTCCCTAGTGGGATCACAGGAAGAGAGCTGACTCCGAAGGCCGGATCGAAGCTGTAAGCCGCCTTGACGAACTTTGCGTTCTCCCCATTTACATCTCCGAAATTGCAGGATGAAACTCTCTGCCTTCCTTGCAACAGGTGATAACAGAGAACTAGCTTTCGAGCAGCTTCCATTCAGCCAGCCTCTATTCATTTTGTACAGCTCGGGTACTTCGGGACCTCCGAAGTGTATCGTGCATTCGGCAGGCGTTCGTTTTCTTCTCGCTATCGGGCTTATCGGGCTTGCTGAAATCTGCCCTTAGGGTACCCTCATGACTGCCAAAAAAGATATTCATTTGGGGGCTGACCTTCACTTTGGTCAGACACTGTTTCAATATACATCTGTACGTCTTCTGTCTGGTAAGTGAGATAGCGCTAAATTGTATTAATAGACGGGATGGATAATGTGGACTCTCATGCTCACAGCGCTGAGCTGTGGCGCACACGTTATCTGTTACGACGGATCTCCCCTGCATCCTAATCTCCGAACTTTCCTCAAGTTCATCAATGACCAGAAGTAATTGTTTCGGCGTGCTCTGCTTAAACAGAGATGCTAATTTCCGCCCCAGCGTTACTCTATTTGGAACCAGTCCTCGTTTCTTGTCAGAAATACAAAGCCAGGGAATAAAGCCTTGTCAGTTTCAACCATGGACCTGATAGATTATCGTTCATTTGTACTTTGACAGTGGAGTTAGCGCCTTTCGAAGCCCTCGCATCAATTCTTGTCACTGGTGCCCCGCTCACGCCCTCGTTATTCGCATGGACTCAAGAAGTCTTTGGGGACACTGTTCATCTTTTCTCCACGTCGGGCGGCACTGATGTTTGCGGTGGATGTAAGTCTCGTATCTGACACATGTACAGTGCCCTTATACAATTGTAGTCGTGACAGGATCTCCCTGCCTGCCATCATACGCTGGAGGTACGTTCCTGCCTAATCCCGATCACGGCTCTCAGGATCTTGATGTTCCCAGAGTTAAAGGTCAAGGCTTTGGGAATGAAAGTTGAGGTCTTCGATCCTGAGGGAAATAACATCGAGCATACCTCCGAGCCAGGAGAACTCGTCTGTACGCGACCCCATCCGACGATTCCACTGTACTTTTGGGGCGACACTCTCGACGGTAAGAAGCTACGGGAAACATACTTCAGTACCTACCCAGGCAAGCAGATCCCATCCATGTACCTGTCAGATTGCCTTGACATGTTTGATTTAGGTGTCTGGCGGCAAGGCGATTTCATGGTCATCAATCCGAAAACCAAAGGAGCCATAATTCTTGGTCGCAGGTCAGCCTCAGCCCGCTCTTCATGCGCACCTAATCTCAATGTGATTTCGACAGCGACGGAGTGTTAAATCCAAGTGGGGTACGTTTTGGTTCGGGCGAGATCTACAACGTCATGGGAAGATTTTCTTCTACCGTGGAGGACTCTTTATGTATAGGTCAACGTCGCCCGAAGGACCTGAATGAGCGCGTTCTCCTCTTCGTAAAAATGCGACCAGGAAACAGCCTCTCTTCCGCCTTGATCCAGGATATTAGAAGTTCTATACGTACCTCTCTGAGTCCCCGGCACGTTCCTGCGTACATATTCGAAGTGGAAGACATCCCGTATACAGTCAATGGGAAAAAGGTACCTTCTTACTTTGTTGGCAGTCTAGAGCTGGATTCTAATGATGGCGGTCGTTTACTAGATTGAAATTGCAGTGAAGCAAATTGTATCTGGGTCCAGCATGAAGCCGAGCGGTACTGTCGCAAATCCAGATTCTCTTAGACTGTACTACAAGTACGTGAATCTGGAGGATCTTGTCAACGCAATGTCGAAGTTATAAACGTCCGTAATGATACAATACCGTTAACTAGACCACGAATATACGCATCAGGGTCACGTGGAAATTAGATTAGCCTCAAATCGATTTGAATTTTTTACAAATTCCAGTTTATTCCCTTCCCCGTACCAGCCCGTACCGTTCCAATCGCAATGCCTGCATGTGCAAATCCACTGTTCTTGAAATGGGTGAAAGGTACGCGTCTCAATACAGCTCTTTTTTGCATTTCACCCCTTGGCATCTACTCACACAGAGCTCCATGCGGAGAAAAACTATAAGAAACGCGGGGGTCCCCCACGCGCCACAGGTTATGAAAACGCGATCCGGGGTATCCAAGCATGTGCAACGAAATTCGAGCATCCAAGCGAGCTGAAGGGAGTCCCTGGTGTAGGCCCGACGTGCATTGAACGGTACGTCGCGTCCTTCTTGTTATGCAACTGTGACCAACTCTCTTTGGGCAGCTTGACTGAAAAGTTAGAAGCGTATTGCGCGCGCAATGGAATGGACATGCCCCAGCCTAAGGGTAGAGCCAAGAAGCAAGGTACTTAGATCACTGCATCTATCCTTCTTGCTGACGCGTCCCAAGTTAATGCAGTGCGCCCTAAGGGAAAATCTGAATCTTTGGGACTTGCAGAGCGTTTGCAGGAACTGGAACGCGTGAATAGAACACAGGAGGAAGAGGACGAGAGTTCCCAAGACGAAGGTGGACCATCAGTCTGTGCGAACCCTCTTTTCCTTCCAATGGGTTCAAGGTTCCCCTTCGTTTCTGTTTTCCTCACCCGGCGCGTGGGGCTTGAATATGCTTTCTACTTCACAGAATTCATGACGAGAAAGGATTATCGCAAGCGTGGCGGTCTGCCCTCGCGCAACTGGATATGAGAATGCTCTGCGCAGTATTGAGGCGTGCAGTACGAAATACGAAGCACCCAATGGAACTTGCGGTTCTAACAGGTGCAGGCCCGACGTGTATCGATAGGTGTGTATACGTCTGACGCGTCTGATCTGAGTCACTTACGTGTTATAGGCTGACAGAGAAGCTGGAAGCGTACTGCGAACTCAAGGGTATAGAAATGCCAGAATATCAGCCTAAGACAAGGAAAAGAGGTAGTATTGACTCTGCCCATACGCTTTATTAATTGATCATTTTTTTTGCACCACAAGCCCTCTCAAAGAAAGTCAAAGTGGACCAAGAAGCAGAAAACGCAAATCCTGCCAAGAAGAGAGGCGAGAGATTTGTCCTTTTATGTTTTCCGATCTTTTCGGTGAACATTTTATTACAGCGACCGCGAAGAAACGCAAGAGTGATGCCAATGAGAGCGATGAGGAGTACCAACCTTCGCAGAAGAGACGCAGTGAGTTAGCGCATCTGACTGCCAAGTATCTCACCAATATCTCTTTACAGCGGGTCGGAGCTCTCAAACCAGGGAGTAGGTAATCCCTACTGAACTTCAACATTTGCGATGTAGCACTTCACTGTCGTGATCGATTGAGGGGGAAAGCTGATAGTACTGGAGCAAGATACTGCTATATCGAACCAATTTTATCGTATAATTGACGGAAGAAAAATGAGGAATCGGCTTGCGTGCAGATGCACAACTGATACGGAAGAACAAAGCCAGACCTAAAGGCTCCATATGCGCAGGCGTAGAGTTTCTAAGGCCTTTGCTTATCGTCGGTTCAGTTGGAGATTAAGAGCCTAGAAAAGGATCGGAACGCCGTGGCGTACTCGTGAGCCAAGTGAGGTACGAATTTGGCTCGAATTTCATCTTGCCAAGACCCCGTGACAGCCTTATCCGTGTGGGCTTGTCAAAGCGCAAACCTTATCTTAGACCTCTTTTCTTTTCTTAATTCAGCACTATCTCAGAGCAAGTACCATTTCACTTTCTCCCACTTTTTCCTTGTCAAAGTCGGATCTTTACGAAGACAGAGTAACCTCCCTTGTACGCAAAAATTGCTTTGTCACAACCCCGGATCAACTTGGTCCCATATCGATATCCGTTCCAGTGGCGTCGCGTCGATCATCAAATACTGAATTCCAAAGCTGCTCTTGTGACGCATCGCTACAGGCCACTCAGCGGCTCAGAACATGCATTGAAGGCGTTGAAGGCGTCTGAATGCTCTGGGTCTTTCGGGGCCGTAATGTCAAGTGATTGGGGCACTATCCGACCAGCTGCTCTCGACTCCCCGAGATTTCTACCGCCTTTCTCAGTACTGCGACTAAACGCGCTGCCCGCGGGGGGTAGTTCTATATATCCGAAGCCGACCACTATGGCCTGTGCGTTTCAAGTCCGAGAACTGTATAAAATTGCAATACCTGAATTCTTTTACTACCCACATCCTGCAAAATGGGTTCCAACGAAGAAAAGGGAACGAAAACGAAGCCTGACGTCTCCACCGATGTCGAACCTGCTAACGACACTGCCGGTCAGCCTACGCTCGCACGTCAGCTAAAGAATCGACATATTGCGATGATCAGGTGTGTGAGGAGTTCCGTTTTACGCCGTCCTTACGCTAAATTTTGGTTGTATCATAGTATTGGAGGTGGGCCTCGTGTACTTCCGTTTCTGTTTTCCATGACATAGCTGTGTTGTAGGTGTTATCGGCACCGGATTGTTTTTGGGTACGCTCAAATCAGACTTCGAGAAGCTTAACTAACAGAATACCTCAGGAACTGCCACTTCTCTGAAAAATGGTGGTCCAATCGGTACTTAACCCTCATCAAAAGCAATCATTCAATCATCTCACATTCTTGAAGGCCTTCTACTTGGTTATTTGACCCTTGGAACAATATGCTGGAGTGTCATGGTACCGAACGTTTATTCCCGTCTGTGGAATTTGTCATCATCTGCCAATAGGTTTCTCTGGGAGAGATGGTCGCCTACCTACCGATCCCTGGTGGTCACATTAAGTTGGCCGAACGATTTGTGGACCGTGCCCTGAGTTTTGCCATGGGTTGGAATTACTGGTGTGTCTGATGACGACTGTGGAAGGACGCTTAACATATTTTTTGCAACAGGTATAACTGGGTTATCTTCATGCCTACTGAACTCAGTGCGGCATCCATCATTGTCCAGTACTGGAATAATGGCGTCAACACTGCCGTGTGGATAACAATTGGGCTGATTCTCGTCATCACCATTAATATGATGGGCGCTGGGGCGTACGGTGAAGCAGAATTTATCTTCGCGTAAGTCACAGAGACCCTCACTAAGACATCTCTTCCAATCCACGATATCACAGATCCATCAAGATCATTACGATTACCGGATTGATCATCCTCGGAATCGTGCTTGATCTTGGAGGTAAGATTCCCTCTAATCACAGTAGAGGCGTTATACGATCTGTGTCTTACTAGGTGGTCCGAACCACGATCGAATTGGGTTTAGATACTGGAAGAACCCAGGACCATTTGTTAACTACGATGATATAACTGGAAACACAGGCAAGTTCTTAGGATGGTACGTCAAGGTCTGCGTTTTTAATAAGCACCTGTTCCCGCTGATCGCAAATCTAATCCAGGTGGTCTGTGATGTCACAAGCAGCCTTCGCATTTGTTGGCACGGAAATTGTTGCTGTAAGAATAGTCAGTGTTATTTGAGAACTTCTTTGATTCAGAATTCCTCAGATCGCCGCTGGGGAAGCAAAAAACCCAAGGTCTTGACTTCGTTTCCTGTCATCGTCCCTGAGCTAACTTGTAAATTTTCCAGACGTAACTTGCCTAAAGCCATCAGGAGGGTATACATCCGTATTCTTTTGTTTTACATCGGAGGTGAGGTCCACCGATGTTTACTCGACTGTCAGGCTAATATTGAGTAGGTACAACAATCATCGGACTTTTGGTCCCTTCGAATGACGAGCGACTTGACTTGAGTGACGGTACTGCGGCTTCTTCGCCTTTCGTCATCGCCATAAAGAACGCTGGCATTGGAGGGCTTCCATCTGTACGCTGTCTGCTTAATGCTTTGGACGTCCTTCCTGAATCTTGTTTCAGGTCATCAACGCTGCACTTCTGACGTCGGCTTGGTCTGCAGCTTCCAGTGACCTTTACACCAGCTCCCGAGCCCTCTGTAAGCACCGCACTTGTTCGAGCTATCCATATCATTCTTATGGCTTCTCAGATGGTCTGGCTGTTGCCGGGAACGCTCCCAAGATCTTCATGCGTACTACACGCACAGGCTTGCCTTATGTTTCTGTCATTTTCTGTTCTCTATTTGGAACACTTGCCTATATGGCTTCTAGCAGCGGGGCGGGCGACGTATTTGAGTGGTTCGTCAACATGACTTCGGTACGATGGACACCTTCTTTCCCTTGAGATTTGGCAATTAAACAACCGACAGGTCGCTGGATTATTGACTTGGCTTGGGATCTGTGTTACCTATATTCGGTTCTACAGTGGCCTCAAATCTCAGGGTTACGATAGAAGCAAATTCCCATTCAGCGCAAGGTTCCAACCCATACCAGCGTGGTACGGTCTCATCGCCTCCTTTGTAATATGTTTCGTAAGTTGGAACATTTCACTCGCTTCTATTCTGTTAATTATGTGTGTGCAGTTTAGTGGATGGAGCGTTTTCCTTAAGGGCCACTGGGCGCAAGACACCTTTGTGACAAACTACTTCCCCTTAATGCTCTTCCCCGTCATGTATCTTGGCGCCAAGATTCTACTATAAACAACCTTTCGTCAGATCCAAGGACATGGACTTCGTTACAAATATCGCTGAAATCGAAGCTGACACGTATGTCTCCGGCGCATTGAAATTAGTATGCCTCTAATTTCGTTTATAGATATGACGAACCTCCACCTAAGAACAAAGTCGAAGCCTTCTGGCAATGGCTTGTAAGTCATCTCATGCTTCCAATAGAATGCTCTCTAATTCGTTTAATGAAGATGTAATGTCACAGTTACTGTGAGCATATGCGTCTGTAGTCCCATTTTTCCATTTTTGCATCATACAGTTGTCCAACGCTTGTAAGCGCGTGGTCTGTTGGAAGGAACGAAGGCGTAGTTGGATACAATAAATCAAGTTTGTCCTTCCAATTCTTGGACAAGTAGCTATCATATAACGCAAATATAATCTTGTAAATCTCATTGTTGAGTGTACCACTCAGTTACAGGATGAACTACGCGGCTCACATACTTTCTTTCACGAGAGATAATAGTACAGATTAATGTCGTAATAACATCCAAAATTTTGCGAGGGCTCAGACTGACGCGCCACTTATCTATAAAAGGCAATTAGCCGCCACACCTGACTCGACCTGATCGAAAATTTGTTTTTTTTGGTGATTGATCGAGAAGTTTACGCTACTGCAGCTTCTAACCAACTTCTAACGCCAATTCACAACCTTTGCGACTTCGCTGTTCTGACTGGCAGAGACTGACTCAGAAGCGCACGCTGCGGCCGGCGGAGATGCTCACATCAAATGCTTCAGCATCATCGTCAAGTATAATGGTGTAGAGTCATCCATTTCTCTTCTTTCGGTCTTTTGCGCTTGGGCTCCGTCCTACGGAAAAGCAAAAAAAAACCCACTTTCAAATCCGTGCTAGCCGGTTCCGACCATCAAAAAAAAAATCTATCCTTCGATACTCGTGACGCGATGTCGTTGAGGAATGCAAAACTAGCGATGATACGACCCGTACGTGCTTCGTCGCATTTTTTAATGCGACATCGTCAAGGCGAGGGTATTTGGACGGCTCATGCATGCAAAGGTATCAAAACAACGAATAGAAGCTAATGGGTGGCGATTCCGCCCCGCCATTTGCAGCCAATGCCTATCGTCTCGACTGCTGTATTTCTCGCTGTACAGTTTGACTACCTCATTGTCGGCGGAGGAACCAGTGGTCTCTGTGTTGCCGCTAGGTCAGTTTTCTTCTCCATTTATCACTGGAATGGAGGCCTACATACCTAATGCAGATTGAGCGAAGACAAAAATGTCGTAGTTGGCGTCCTCGAAGCGGGAGGCTATGACCCCGATCTGCCCGAGATTGCAGTGCCAGGTCAGTGGTGTATGTATCCCACATGAGTCGTACTGAAGTATCTTAGGGCTGGTAGGACATACAATGGCACATCCCATCTACGACTGGACATTCTTCAGTGAACCCCAGGTCCACGCGAACGGCAGGTCGATATTACAATCTCGTGGCAAAGGACTAGGCGGGTCCTCTCAGGCAAGATTTCTTGCGGGATCCGGCGAGTCCCTCAACTCACGTCCCTGATTCTGGCAGAATAACTTCCTAGGCACGCTTCGCCCATCAAAGGAGGAGTTTGACGCGCTTGAAGAACTCGGAAACAATGGATGGAACTGGAATTCGCTTCTAGAATCAATGAAAAAGGCACGCTTGGTTTTTTTACGTCTTAGACGCGACTGAAATAGTTTTGTTGATCGTCCTTTAGAGCGAACACACTCTTCAGCATAATTTCTGCTCGGATAACGATAAAATGTTTTCCATTCCTCCAAATCCACAATTCCACTGGACAAGGCGGTATATGAAATTAAAATCTAGCATGACCACTTCACCAATCATTCCTTAGGACCTATCACGAAATCACTATTTCCTGCTTCCATCCCCCCTATACACGCAGCCTTGTTTGATGCAGCAGAGAACCTGGGTGTAGCGAGATGCGCTGAAACAGTGAGAAAATAGTGGCTTCCACTGACTTATTCATAACACGACATCCTTCAGGGCCATGGTGTCGTGCTCGGTGCGATGCCTGTATTTACGACTGTCGATACTCGTACCGCTACTCGATCTTATGCGGCATCGGGGTACTACAAACCTAACGCTAATCGTTCAAACTTATTGATCCTTACCGGAGCCCAAGCAACAAAGGTAAGTCTAGTAGTAGCTGTTGGTTGCATTTGGAACTTTCTTACGAATTCCCAAGGTCATCCTGGAAGACCATACAGACGGCAAGAAAAAAGCTGTCGGTGTCGAATTCATAAGAGACGGTTGTTGGCTATCGAGCTCAGGTCCGGAAAGAGGTGATATTATCTGCTGGTATGTTCTAGCATGTTTCAGTCGACCCTAAGCTAAGGCATGAGTTACAGGATCGTTCCAAAGCCCCCAGCTTCTCGAGGTTCGTCGCATAAATTTAGGATCCTGTTCGTGTTACTGATGACTGCCGAGCTATTAGCTCTCTGGCATCGGTAACCCGGAGATTCTAAACGCGTACGGCATCGAGACACTAATAAACCTTCCGGAGGTTGGCGAAAACCTACGTACGTAGTGCTCAATTATCTGCAGCGTCTTCTCTGACTGAATTCCTGATACAGAGGATCATACCATGATTTTCACCATCGCGGAGGTTGACGAGGCCATGGACACAATGGAGCTCTTACTTGATCCACAACAGCAACGAAAGCATGTTGAACTCTAGTGATTTTTTGTTCCATCGCATGTCGTGCGTATTATATTGCTAACCACCTTTCTACGTCAGTAAAAGCCAGCGAGGCATGCTAGCATCCGTGCCAACGTCGGGATCCATATTCCTCGAACCATCAAAGTTGGGCAATGCAGAAGAGCTGCGAGCGTGGAGAGATCTAGCTGAAAGTCAATGCAGCTCCTACCTATCGAATATCAGATATCCCCGCCTTAAGAAAGGGATACAAAAACAATACAAGCTGCAGAGGGAGTGGTTCTCTCGCAACAAACAAGCCGAAGGGGAGTAAGTACCATATTCTCTTTTAAATGGCATGACAACCTTGCTGATATTTTTTTAGAATTATATTCTTCAATGGCCATTACCCTTCCGCAGAATTACAGCCTAGGTTGGGGAAACGATACATCTCCCTCAGCGCCGCCCTCATGCATCCTTTTTCTCGAGGCACTGTTCACATCAAATCGGCTAATCCCTTGGACCCGCCCGCGATTGATCCAAACTATTTCGCGAACGATGCTGACGTCGAGATGACGTTACGCATCCTCAGACTCGCGTTCAAGCTCCAAGAGACTGCACCACTGCGTGACGTTATCAAGGAACGCGTGAGTCCTTCAAAGGAGGTCCTTGAAGGTAATGAACAGGATGATAAACTCAAGGAGTACATCAAGAATACATTCAGCTCCGTTTTTCATCCTGTCGGAACTGCTGCTATGATGTCTCGCGAGCTTGGGGGCGTGGTAGATGATAAACTGATAGTATATGGGACGTCGAACCTTCGCGTGGTCTGTCTTTGTTGGACTACGTGTACCTCATGTTGATATCATTTCCTACAGGTCGACCTATCTATACTCCCTATGGTATAACTTTTTGCAATTTCCTACAGAAGTCCGTGACTCAGAGCCATCTAGGAGCTAGCATGCCATACACAGTCCATCGCCTACGCAATAGGTGAAAAGGTGTGTTGTTTCCATCTTGAAGAACATCTTATGGGATGATAACATGCATTTTAACAGGCAGCAGACATCATTCGTGGCGTACATATGCAGCCCGCTTACGCACAACGGAGTACATTATCTTTGCTTTGAAATTTTATCTAGCAATGACGCCCGTAGGCGCACGCGTAACATATATGCAATACTTTGCCTACTTATACTGGACGCTAATAATTATAGTAGACCACCGAGCGATGTAGACCAGAGTAATTGTCGAGATACTATCATATATTCTATGCTTTCAGGGAGACGAGACGAGACGACTCCACCTCGGTAAATACCACAGGAACTCAGGCAACGAAGTCCATCCCTGATGCATCTCTCGGGATGTCTAGGTACCGTGAGCTATCCAGCACAGTGAGACTGAGTCAAGGGCGGCTTCTTATTCATGCCACCCGAGTTCCGCCAATACTTATTGCGAAGAGCTGTACTTTCCTCGGATAAAGCAGTGCCTTGTCTGTCTCGCAAAACGGGAAGCATCATCCCTAACCGCTTCGCCGTTGATGCTTGGAACAAAACCGGGCGATCCCGCACAAGCGAGAAAAAATGGCAACGGTATTGCAAAATTACGCGACTGGTACCGTGCACTAATCTGGAATATCGCCAAGAGAGCGTCCCTACTTTCGGTAATGAAGGAGCTTATTGAAGGTCGGACCTCAGAAGAACCTGAGTTTCGCAACGTGATAAGTAGCTAAAATTTGTCTCATGTGTTTGGGGACGCATCACATGGATACATAGACTGCTCAACTCCGTCTCGGTTGCAGAGCTATTAATTTCATGCGCTCAAGACCCGGTATTGTTGGAACTCTTCGGCGGTTCCCTAGCAGAGTGACATGAGTAAAACACGCAGCTGCGCTTAAGCCCCGGCGTACCTTCGACTGTTTTGCACCCGCAAAAACAGCCAATCGACAGGCGTTCCTTACACCGGTCCTGATATCAAGTCATGAATGCCCAAAAGTAGACGGAAGTCAAAGATGCTTGCCCTTGGATAGCGGAGATACCCATGACTTCTAGACTTGCGATACGTTCTCTCCGTGCGGACATCTCATCGCCTCCCCCATACCTAACGCTGCGGCGCGCACTCTCCACTTTTCTCTGATACCAATCCTCATAATCATGTCGTATCTCCTCCACGGACAGGCTATGCGGAGAATCTTGTTTGTTCGCAAGGAGGAGCAGAGGCAAACCAAGGATTTGAGGCGCGGAAAGGACGGCATCTAGATCGCTTGCACATATTCAAACGGGGAGCTCAGATGACGCAGGGCTTCGCGAACATACCGAAGACTTCCCAGCCCTCGCTCAACCGCTCCCGGTCATCTGCGTCAATGACATAGGCTACTGCGTGACAGTCATCGTAATATTTTGGCCATATATTTCTGATACCACGTTGGCCACCAAGATCCCAGAATTGCAAGATAGTCGACGGTAACGCGATTTTCCCGGCTACGCGCGATAAGTTTAAGGGAGTTGCCTTAGAATGTCACGCTCACTGTTCTGCCCGACAGTAGGCGCAATTTTGTCAGGGGATAGACCAGGAGTATCAGTATACAACGTCTTGATTTGTTCCAATAGAGTCTCCAGGAATATTTGAGCATCGCAAAGTCGTTACCATGGAATGGAAGCTTACCGTCTTGCCCGCCCCGTCCAGGCCAATGATGATGACTGAGAATTCCTCCTTTCTTCCATATTCAATTAGCTCAACGTCGGTTGTCCATGCGCAGCCATTGCTACTCACCGCGTTAAATATTCATGAAATCCTTTGAGCAAGTGGTACATGGAAGAGGAGCAATAGCCTTAGATCCAAACACAGCACAACGAGGAGACTGCCGATTTCGACTTTACACCCCTCATTCATCATCATGGGGTACTTTTCCTACGGTCTACCCTCGTTTCTTGTTCTTGTAATTGCTCTTTATATTCTACTTACTGGTAAGACTCTTCTAGAATGTCTTGGACGGTGACTGACTGCATAACTGTAGGCTCGGGAGAGGCATTCAACGTCGGTCGGTTTTTGGAAGAAACAAGTCCCTACGCCTGGGCCGCGACTGGTATTGGCCTTGACATTGGCCTGAGTGTATTGGGTGCGGGATGGTGCGTGTAAACCTACTTTGTCGTCGCTTGTTGCTCATCGAAGCGTAGGGGTATATTCGTCACCGGTGCATCCATCCTTGGTGGAGGTGTCAGGGCGCCTCGTATCAGCACAAAGAACCTCATTAGGTGCGCCTCATGATTGTGTCGCTTGCCTTCAACAGTTCAACCAGTTCTCAGCATCATTTTCTGCGAGGTCGTCGCGATATACGGTGTTGTACGTAACCGTACACCAAGTGTCATGTTCCTTTATTCAACTTTGCTCTAGATCATCGGAATTGTGTACTCTGCTAAAATCACATCAGTTGCAGACTCAGTTCTGTATACACGAGAAAACTATTACACTGGTACCAACCTTCACCTTTGACTCTGTCGTTACTCATTCATCGAAGGTTTTGCTCTCTTCTGGGGTGGCCTGACGGTTGGCGCATGTAACCTCCTTTGCGGCGTTTGTGTTGGAATTACCGGGTCTACCGCTGCACTATCAGATGCCGCAGACCCCAATCTGTTCGTCAAGATCTTGGTCGTCGAAGTCTTCGGCAGTATCCTGGGCCTCTTCGGTTTGATTAGTACGTGAAACAACACTGCCTCTACCTTTATCATGCTAAGCCTTTCCTCAGCCGGGTTGCTTATGGTCAGTGCTGCTGATGATTTCAAAGGGTCTGCAGCAGCAGCAGTTGCGGAAGCCGTAGTCTCACCTTTTGTACATTGATTTCCAACGGAACAAGCTACCACCACGATACATCCATCCAATGCATAATAATTTGCTGCTATTTCCGGCCCTTTAACCGTGAATATACTGACTACCGTGATATACAACATAACCAAGGCAAAAGAACACTACATATATACGATGCCCACTACTCATTACCTAAATGCACGTTTATTTCCTTCCATCCTCGAAAGGATTCTCGATATATTCAAGGTCATGGTCATTAACTGTGTCTCTCTTTGTAGGAGGCCTAGGTTGACCCTCTGCTGACGGCGACGAGGTTCGCAACAGAGAGACAGGTCGCTTAGGTAGAAGACCCAGTTTCCCTACGATACTATCAGAATTGTGATACGATGTACAATGACTAAAACGACATACCTCCGTCGATAGGCACACCCTGTCCGGTGGAAGGGGGTCTAGGAACTGTTTCTGCGGATGGGCACAAATCAGATGGACGTCATAGGAATGCTGTGGTGATGCTAACCTTCTTTCGGACTTGGGCTCAAGTCGTAGCCTTGGACTTGAACGGGGGAAGGAGAAGGGGGCTTGTTGGTATGATTGACCGGAGGAGGATTGGGATCATAGTATGATGCCTGCTGTCCACTAGAACCGTGAGGGTCATCGTAATTTACCCAAGGCTGCTGGGAAGTCGATGAAGATGCAGCATTGTTATTCTGTCTGATGAACAGTTAGATATCGGCAACAGCTTAGCTAGTACAGCATATAGTTACCGTGATTGATCCATCTCCGAAATCTTGGCCTTGACTTTAGAAAACAGGCTGCCAAGGGTCTTCTTGCCCGCTAGATACGTAGTCAGCATCTCCGCAGCAAGCCAAGGACGAGGACCTGCTTTCGGCAAACTTGTTGAACTGTTCTCCCAGCTCAGCCATAGTGTCCTTCTCGGGAACGTTCTGCGACTGACGCCGGATAGGTGCAGGCTGTTGCCATTGGGATTGTTGCGACTGCCAGGCAGCGTGTTGTTGTTGCTCATCCTCGAGTAAGAGCCGGCGGGCCAATTGCTCATCAAGCTCAGTTTGAGTCTGTAGATTAGTTGTTATAAACTTTGGTCAATGCAATAATATACTCTGAAGGCGCACCAGGGCAGGTTCCGCAGGTCGAGATTCACCCTTGTATTCAGGATCGCTCATGGCGAGCAACGCGTCAATGGCGCGACCTTGATCACCGTTAACGGAATCCAATACTGATTGCCTGTGTGCCAGTGAGCAAAGGATGCAAATGAATACCTCGCAACGTACAGCACAGTGTCATCAAAGTCAGGAAACATGGCCCGGAGCTCGACAACCTGGGGATTCACAGGCGCGTCTCTCATTGGTGGTGCTGTTAGCTGCGCAGTAGTTTCTGTGGCGGGAACCGACAGCTCAGTGGCCGTCGGGTGTACATCATAGGGTGGCGACGCCGTCTCATGGTTAGCTGGCGAGTCCATTGAAGCTGGCAAGTAACGTCGTCGTCGTCAAGTATGATGGTGATGAAGGTCAAGGGGATATTTCACATGCACTGCCACTCAAGCCCATCTTCATCACCACCGCCATCCAATAGTCTCGGTCTAGTTTTGGTGTGTTGTGTGTCACTTTCTGTTCCGTAAATTATTCACTTTAGTTGGAATATAGCTGCAGATCATCAGGATCTGGATCCGTCGTACTTGAACGCGTCAGTCGCGCATACAACATGATCTTGTCCGGGAGATTACCGGCGGAAATAATCCTTGAAATTCTAGCATACCTTCAGCTCGATTCATTGGCATCGTTCGCTGCCGTATCTCGAAGCACAAAAATCTTCATTGACGCTAATGAATCCACGGTATATCGGAACGCTGCGGTGATCCACGGCTTGATATCCTCAGAGGCCACCCAGCCGGCAGATCTGCGAACAAAATATACTCCCAAGTCAATGCAGGGCGTCGATAGTTGGAAGTCCTTCTGCAGGCGTCAGATCACTATCAAGCGTGCATGGAAAGGGAAATCACCATCATCTGCGAGAAGACTAGCATATGCATCCTTGCACAGGCAAGATGTCCACCGCATAAAAGTTGACGAGTGGGCCGGAATCATCATCACCACGTACCGAAACGGTGGCCTTGCTGTAGCAGATATTGCTACCAACCGTGTACTGTGGTCTTTGCCATCATCGCATGTTGTCCCACACGCTCATTGCGAATACGACAAAGGGTTTTTGATCTTCAATCGAGTAGGTCGGCGGAAGGAGGTTTGGCGGCTGGTTGAAGGTCAGAACGAGACAGTCCAGCCGACATCATCTTCGCCTCCGGACCATACCCAGCAAGCAGCATCCACCGAGGCTGCAACGGAACATCAGAGTTCTTATCCCAAAGGACATTTCGTACCTTACAGCCTCATCATAACACCCACCATGACCTATGCATTTCGATTTGTCTATCCGGTATTGTTCGCCGCAACGGAAACAAACTTCTTCATATATGATATTCCCGGCGGCAGGCTTCTACAGAGCATTGTCAACTCTCCGGAATCCCTTATTCATTTGCACTATGTCGACATCTCAGAGCGCCACCTCTTCCTTTGTGGCTGGCCCAACGTCGTTGTCTTCTCCCGCGAAACGGGGAAAAGCGTGCTCAAAATCCCCTCCTACCAATTGCAGTATTCCAACAAGATCTACTCCATCTCCAAGCAGACTCACCCCGTCGCCGGATCCGCCTTACTTCATCACGACGTCGTCACTCGCCCGGCCGAGACTACACTTCCTTCCCAGGTAGCCCACCTAGCCGACACCTTCTCTGCGGTGCATGTGTCGGCTTGCGGTCGGCATATCGCAGCACTCCTCTCCTCTTCACGCCTACTCATCATCCCTTACTTCGAGCGACTTATTACAGGGGAAGCGGAGCTTCAGAACATCATCCTTGACATTGAGCTAGGGTCAAGGTCGCGCATCTCGAGGTACTTAGCGTTTGAAAATGAGCGAGTCGCTGTGGTAACGGACACTGGATTGTTCGTTGTTCATTGGGACATGGAGAAGCCTCCAGAGATTTGCAGAGCTCCGATTTTTGGAGTGATGTCCGCTCTTCCGGAGGTGACATGTTTACAAATGACGGATACGGGGTTGTATCTTACATGGAAGCACCCGATCACGACCGAGGTCAACGAAGAGGTCTTTGAGCGGTTGCTAGATGAGGAGGTCTCGTACACGATGAGAGATAACTTCGCTCAGCTTCTCGTTCAGCCCACCGTTGAGCCAGACGAGATCGTAGAATCACACGACTCCGCGGTATGTATGATCGATTTCGTTGTGCCGTGATCTACATGCAAATCTCTTTGTTCCTTTATCTACACAATCTCTACATACTTAGCAGTGGTCTTCGATTCGGTGGTTGTGCCTAACTTGTGCTATCAGATGTTCAGACTGAAATTCTGTCAAGTATGAAATATCATGGATGTGTACATGCGTTACTTTTAAGGTTTCCACGAGATGTTTCTCGAGTCGGGTGACAACCTCGCATTCTATCACCAATTTCTACAGAATTTTTCAGTTCCTAGACACATGGATTCGCTGTCCTAGGAGATCATGCGGCGGTTTTGTTTTATGAAATAATTTTCCTGGGAACCAAAATGGACAACTCAGACAACGAGGCGACCACTGCTCCTTCCCTGCTAGCACGTTGGCCAACAGAAAACAGTTTCGTAACCTGGAAATTCCATCTCTTCTATTCTATTCAGCCCGACTATCGCCTACCAGCTCCGTGCTTGGACAAAGTTTCTACCGCGCCTCGAACATCATTTCAACAAATTTCACTCAAACCTCGGAGGCAATGAACAGAATCTAGGTCCGAAATGGTACCGCGAACCTCCCTACGTGGCGGAGAAGGTCAGGATTGAGGTTCGCGGGAAGGAATCTTCTTTGCCACTCCTTGTGACGCTGATATGCAGTAAGGTTATGTCTATTGTCGCGGGGCAAACGGAACGATCTAGACATTCAGAGTTTCGCCTACATCTCCCCTGGATACCACGGGGGCCTCGGTCTGCACAATGATTGCCGAAGGACAAGTACTTCAGGCTACAAAGGCTTCAGATGGGCCGCATGTGGAGATAGGCGGAACTTGAAGGAAAGGATAGGGACAATGGTTCGTGAATACAACGGAACTACAGATCTTAGTTTTCTTTACCATTACCGTCGTTCCCATTTTCTACACCAAGTTACTATAACGGAGTAGACGAAGACCTCGGAATGTTTGTTTAAAGGCACATAGTGCTTACAGGTCACTTGGTACGCAACGTTCGCCACTCAAGAATAAATCAATTTTGGGATAAGATCCAGCTGCGTTTCCACTTTGGCAGCTATTCCGATACTTAATGGAGGACCTCAGTTCATGAGGCCAATTTATTTCGTGAGATATCTCATAACAGGAGCTGAGAAGAGTGTCATCCAGACGACATTGGGAATGCAACAAAGTACATTCCATATTGCATGAATTCGAAAAAAAAAAAATCCTCGGCGATGTGTCTTCTACACATTGAGATGAGGAAAAGCATAAAGAATCAGAAGCTATAGCCTAAAGTTGCAGGCCATTCGCGCACATTTGGCCCTCTTCACGTTAAGAAACGCGATCGCTTGTTCTATTTTTGAAGAGTCGGCCATCAATTTATATCCTCGGCCAGCGCTCGGCAACGAGATTCGACACCATAGGATCTGGATCTACCTCCTCTACCACTCCTCTGAGCGGAAAGCACATACTTATGCTGATTCCTATTATCTCGGAAAATATCAGATGGAGACTGTGGTGACAACGCTTCCAAGTTAACGGCTTCGCTTCATTTTGACGAAATGCATTAAAATTCTACTTCGTCGATGACTCGGGTATGTACTGCAGGAATACTACGTTGATTGTCATAACACTTTAGTGATTTATGCAACAGACACGGGTTCTGTCAGCCTCGCTAAACCACGTCTTTGTGATTTCTCCTTGAAGTCCCGGTATAACTAATTTCGTGTCGGATTTGATGAAACTTTGAACGTCTGTCATGCTCTTAGCTACAGGTCAGCAGCTGCAAATAACGTTTGCAATGTCGGAGAAACATGTAGACGTTGCACGATAACCCCGATCACAACGGAGTACAGTTGGACACTATGCTGAGAAGCGATGTCCGGCTTAGTCCCATACCGTACACTAAACCCGATATAATTCTCAAACATTTTTGACGTTCCCGCTCAGACTAGCCTGAGGCCGAAGCAATTCACTTAGGATTCTTCAACCTTCCTTTGCGCAATCTCCGCAGACCGTCCAACTCGTGCATCCTTGGAAGATGTGCTATTACACCTTTACCCGAGGCTCGGTTCTAAGGATCGCGGCTGTACCGAAGATACAGTCAAGCGCCTACTGCGTACCGCTGTTGCTCTTTAATGGCATTGATGTTTCTAGCATGATATCTTCCGGCTCTAGTTCCGTGGGTCGGCTTCGTTACTTGACGCACGACAAATTGGAATTTCTCAGAGTCACCATATCTGGCAGACAACAACTTTTTTTCATGATATTATTTTCTTCTGCAATTGCCGCGAGTTGTCTCAATTTCAACGGAGACTTGTCAATTAATGCAGCGGTTGCAGTAATTAAACACATACAGTTTTTACTTGAAAGTTGACGTGACATCGGGCAAGGGTCAACGCAACCTTTCCAGGGCGACGGCTACAGTAGGCTAAGTAGTCCTAGCGCGCCTGAGGACCTTCGCAGTGATTTTCAAGGCATACTGACATCCGCGTTTTCTGACATGTCACGTCTCATGTCTTCATTTGACGGATCCGTGTTCAAACCTTTTACGTGGAAATGCCAGATCTCGGAAGATATCAGGTTTGACGGCGTAAAACATACAATATTCATCGAGAGATACGTCGGCTAAACGTTTTTTGAGAATGTGATGCGATTGTCTCCCATGACTGTGAGATGGACTCCGCGTCATGTCGCAACCAGTAATTAGGCCTTCCGAATTCTTGAAGTCTTGATAAGGCAGATCGAACTGTTATTAAGTTTGTCTGAGGTTCTGATGTACGCTAAAAGTCCCGCAATATTTTAATACATCGCAAGTCGAGAGGATTCGCCGCAAATAGATGGGAGCAGCGAATAAGGACACGACTTGCCGGCCCCCGGTGCAATTAAGTACCAATTAGGTGGCGCAGGGTCATAGATAGAGAGGTACTGTCCAACCTAACTTCTGATTGGCCTGACACGACTAAGAGAAGAACCAATCGGATGCAGACACCAATCAGGAGCTAGGAACTTGTTATACAGCCAGTTAATGAACTTATCGAACCACGTACTGATCCTCCTGTTCTTAGGACTTCACCTCAAGTCGCTATATTTCGTAATCAATTAATCACCCCAAAATGTACTGCCGGAAGTCCTTGAAATGAAGATGTAAGGGTAAGAGTCAAATACTATTCGTTCGTTATAGGACTGAGCGAATATATGGAGCAATCGTCTGCAATGTGTCCAATAAGCTGACTGAACTAGTAGGTCACGGCGTTCCGCTATTGCTGTCGAGGCTTCTTATTCGTCTTTGCGCTTGACACCATCGCATCTCGTTTTCTCTTCGGGTTCTCGAAGGGAACAGCTTGCAGCGCCTGCAGGGTACCGTGTAGAATTCTCTTCTCTCCCAACCTGACGATGGTCGCATTTCGTAGATTTAGCGAAAGCTCCCCCGAAAGAGCCATTTCGTCATCCTGTTCAAACCAAATGTCAGAATCAATGGCGATATATGAAACAGGATCGAACAGGATGGCATCCAGATAGATCGCATTAGACAAATTACCTGGAGACTTGTGGGGTATTGCTGTAATCGTTGGTCCAGCACATCTTTGATGATGTCTACCGTAGCGGAATCTAATTTGGGTTTAGGCGGTTTGCCCTTTCCCCGCACCTTTCGCCACTCATCCGAAGAGAACGACAAAAGTTTGATCAATGAGATCAAAGCCGGCGGTATCTCAAGGTCCGCCTCTATAACGATTACACTGTCCGAGTCGAAGGATTGAGAAGGGTGAACAACCGAAATGGTGTGTGAAAGTGAACTTACTCATCACCGCCCTCTTCTAGCCACCATTCTATTCGTTCGTCCGCGACGACGGACGAATGATCGTATCTCTTCGACACGACGGCCACTACCAGGTCCGCTCGAACTTCGACGATGTCGCCCGGATTGCCCTGTCCCCCTGCCGATAAAGGGAGCAAGTCCACATGACCATAACGACGAAGTAATTCCGCGTTTGGTAAATCGCCATATGTGTTCCACTGACATACACACACACGTCAAGAACTCAAATTCTAGGAGCTGTAGAAAATACCCACGATCTGTTCTCCCTTCATTATGCGCTTCGTGGTAACCATTTTAAGTTCATTTTCTTCATAAAATAGTTTTGCCTGTAATTTGTGTAAATCCGTGACAGAACACCTAGTAAAGGGACTTACGTTCTCTGCTTCGTATCTCGCATTCAAGAGATCAGCTACAGGAACCATGGAGATATCAGACACGTCTTCTTCCTCTTCTTCGTCCTCCTCCGCCACCTCCTCCCCATGTGCCCTTTCCGGTGAATCACTGTTAGCCGACGCTAGCGGAGCCGGGTCGTCAACGTCCATGGAGCTGTTTTGCGCGAGCTCGTCATCCCCAACCTCATTTTCCCATTTTTCGACATTGAAGCTCCTTGACAGAATTCGGCTGCCCATAACATGATATTGATGCAGGGAATAGTGTGCAGGAATGAACTCTGGTTGAAATAAATCGGGTCGACTCTGAGAGATATTATTAACAGTCAAGTATCCGAAAGAGCCAACACCAACCTGGATGGCAGGAAGCACTTTTCCAATGTAGTCTTGCTCAGCATCTGCTTTACCTAGTTTATCTTAAAGGGCGTAATCAGAGAAGCGAATGGGAAACGAATGTCTAGACAGACCTACCACCGAAGTTCCCTTCAGTGCATTCAAATCCGATTCGTCCCAAAACATGGGAGTATCGAATTCAGTGGGTAGGGTGTCTAATGGCATTCCTCCAGATAAAAAAAAGTCATGAATGAGAAACGAACCGAGATAAGGTGCCCATTTTGACTTGTTTCCTTGGGCAGCTTCCCACATCATACAAAGAATTAATCCAGACCAACCTCGGTCCAATTGCCTACTTTTCCATTCATCCGGCCCAATATGTGCAGGTAGGAGAGACGTTCGTGTTGATATTACGAGTGATCTCGGTATCGTGAACAATGTATGACCTTCCTGAAAAAAATTGAGGTAGAGATTGTTGTACAAACCGATACTCCGTACCGGGATGTCGTGCAGCGCTACGGCTCCACGCCCCCCTTCAGAAGGAGGAAATACATGAAATCCCATGCGCTGTGTGTCGATGTACCCATTATTGTGTTCGAACCATAAAATGAACGCGTCCAAGTTGGGCGTTGGCATTGAAAAGGGATGCTTACGTCATCGCAATCACATGCAAATTGTCGCTCTTGCTACCAACGACACCGAGTTACCCCAGGAAATTCATCTGCTCTGCTGTCGCCGTCACTGACAACGAGCTCCTCTTTCGCTGCCGCAGCCGCTGAAGTCTGCTTGGAAATGTCATGGATATTCACGCTCTACTTAAGACCAACTGCGATAAACTCCTGGAACAGTATCACGCTAACTTGCGCGATGTCCGCGCTCTGCAGGAGACGTTGATCAACGACATACTGCCTTCTGTATCCGACGAGCTCCGCCTTGGCGATTTAGAAACTAGTTGGGCGAAGGAATGGCTAAACGATACCTGTCAGTCGAATTGATTCCGCCCATTTAAACGATAAAATGCTGATTTGACACCCAGTTTCTATCTTCCATCTATTCAGGGTGAGTATACTAAACACTTTCCAGAACAAGTACACCCGGAGCTTACAACCTAGTAGAGAAACAACTATACGAAGTCCTTCGCGCTAGAAGCAGTTCGCAAAAACCTTGTATGGCGGTTGAGCCATGTATGGCCACCGGATCCAGATATATCGACACGAATCGCTGCAAGCGTCCATTTTCTCCCTGACGACGTCACAGATCCTCTAGGAAGACCTATCATCATGCTCAAATTCGCCCCATTCAACTACTGCTTGGACGAGTACGAAGGAGTCGTCTACCGTGCTCTAGAGTGTCTTCGATGTCACCTGCAAGAAGTCAACAGAAACGAGGTAGAAGGGCGTCCTGCTCTGCAGTACGTCTTGCTTCTCGACCTCAAGGGTCTATCTATGCAAAGTATCGTGGGTATTTCGAATCTGTCGTGACACAAGGTTTGACAACCCATGTATAGAGTTTTGACCTTGTTTCTTGGCTGTTATCCGACGTCATACCACGGTTCCCGGGAATGCTGTCAGCAGGTACCTCAACCGAAATGTTCTTTCGACTCGGTGATTAACATCGTTTATAGTTTTCATGATAAACTTCTCATGGACTCACTCGGGCATCTGGAGCGTAGCAAAGTTAGTAGCTAGCAAATCAAGTTCACACTTTCGATGCGACTCAACTGACAACCTATATAGACGTCTTCTCCCGGCCAATGCACTCTCTCGAGTCTTTTTCCCTAAGCAGGAAGAGCTTATCAGCTACTTCACACCTTCAGCTTTACCACAAGGCATTTATATGGCTAATATACTTCCCGTACACGAGCTAACTACTTTGATAGATTATGGCGGAGTCTTGGAGCCTTTGTCAACTATCTGTGATCCCTCACAAAGAAGACAAATATTCCCTTCGTCTCAGTCATTCTCTACCGCGGAAACCACTGATTTATCTCCTATACCCGAGTCATCGTCCCTTTCTCCGACGTCTATGATTAACCCATTCTTTGGTTATCCAGTCTCTGTGACGGGGAGATCTGCATCCTTGCACCATGGGCGCCGCCGTAAGCGAGATCTAGCAAAAACTTTGATGTTGCTGTTATGGCTCCGATGGCGACGGCAAATCAGGACTTGTTTTTGGCTGGGGATATTCGCATTAGCGGTGAGGTTATGGTCTCGCCGATGGCTATTGCGTTCCCCCAAGGGTCTCGCTCTATTGCAGGCATTCTGGTCCTCATGTAGTTAGTAACCGTCATAATCTATCTTGGCATGCCAAAAGCCCATTCATCCTGCCATCATCTAATTTCGTCTCTTTATTCCGTATGACTCTGCAACGGAACTTGGGCGATCAACGTCGGGCAAGTAATTAGAAAGTTATATTCGTAAGACCTCATTCCCCGACCCCGAGTATTGAGTGGTACGTACAACTGGTATCGTCAGATCCGTAGACTACAAAAAAGCGCAATGCATGATACCGCGTGGGTGGTGCCGGATGGGCGTTTACAAGAAATACTCCGGAGGCTAGGGTGTTACAAAAATAAAATCAATTTCTGAAACAACAGACAGACATGAGGATGGATTGACGTACTTTACCTCCTGCATTCTGAGCTGCCTGCTGACTCGGTCCGTCTCTTTCGTTCTCGGGTGCGGCTTCGAACACGTTAAAATACATGGATCCTCCCGGTCCGACTTCCAATATACTTGCCGAGTTCCCACATCGGTAGCAGTAATTGGGGGCGGACCATACCGTCGACAGATGCTTATCGAACAGAGAGGAATAGCCCTCCATACATAGCTGGTGGGCACGGAGGATATGCGACATGTTGTTGATCTCGAGAAACTTATGGACAACGCCGGATCCAAACGTGTATCCAGCCCCTCTAACGGCCCTTGATTGAGGAATTGAGTCAGAAACGGAAGCATGTTACGCACCTTGGAGAGATTGCGAAATCCTCTTTCTCAGGATCGGGATCTGACCAGACGAGGTCAGCCATAGGACCCTCATGGGGTATCTCTATTGCGAAGCGTCAGTGAACGGAACAGGTGCCGAAGGCTAGCCGCGCACCTCGAAAGCGGTCATAGACTTTGATTTGATCTATTGAATGTATAGAGGGTGATAGACCTGGAAAAATAGAATTAGCCCATCGTGTCCATGTGCAGAGCATAATGAATGATGGGAGTTTCTCACCGCCGTGTACACAGAATATTCGGTCGTCAATGACCACCGACAGAGTCAGAAAGTCGAACATGTCGGTGAAGTATGTCCAGACGTGTGAATTACCATACTTTCGGAGGCATTCAGCGTAGAACCCGTACGTCTGGGACGGCTGTGAGAAGGGCGCTTAGGAAAGTCAACGAGCACACCGACTTGAGTGACAGCGCGTGATTCATGGTTTCCTCTTATTAATTGAACTCGATCGGGGTACCGTAGCTTCAAGCACGTCAATAGAGAGATTGTTTCGACGCTGAACAGCCCTCTGTCGACGTAATCACCTAGAAAAGGCGTGAACGGCGAGGCGGGGCAGTGTGCGATGCAAAACGCACCAAGGAAGAGGTAGTTCGTGTTGGGCGCATATCCACCTATACGGAATATTTCTACAAGATCATAGAACTGACTTGCATAACCGATCAAAGGTCGCAATCAGGGAAAGATAATGCACAGTGACTCACCCGTGGATATCCCCCACTACAGTTACGGGTGCACTGACATGTACTACATTGGATTCCCGCATCAGGACCTCCTTCGTTTTCTCACATATTTCTCTCAGCAGTGCCTCGTGCAGGGGCTGTTTTCGCAGCAGCTGTTCTATGCACGCATCCAGGTCAAAGGGTGCCATGAAATGAAAATGTGCATCTTCTCTCCAAATGCGGTAGACAGTGGATGACTGCAGTATTTGTTCCTGCTTGCCATCAGCCTCTCCCTTCTCCTCGAACTTCCCTACCCTGACCGACCGGTGCTAGGACGGCGTTGCAATTGACCGTTGTTCGCAGAAAAATCAAACTGTAAGTCGAGTCTTCAAGGGATGCCTTGGCATGGCTTCAAATTCCCATTCGCCTTTTTTTGCTTCGACGTGCTCCCGAAATTCGGTATGGGAACTTTCCTACGCCTCGTTGCGGGACGCAAGTAATACTGAATTGGGTACTTTTTTCAGGCGTTGCCGGCCGAACTCATGGGGGAATTCTATCCTGCTGCCTGCCATTTCCTCGAGTGCTTCGATCTTTGAAGCGACCGAGAATTGATCGCGATTTTTTCGGGTGCAATCGGCAACTTTCAACTGCGTTATGTATGATGGCCCTTGGACTTGCTCTGAAGGAGAACCAGACTTGCATTCTTAATGCCTTTCTCACCTTTTTGTGATTTGATGAGGTAATGTCCTGTTTTCACTGTCCAATTTGTAGGACAGAAACGACAACAAGTCTTTCGGGTGTAATTAATTCTTGCCCTTGCTGTGAATCCCCGAGTCGTGACAACAGGATTCCCCCGTCATTTCATAGTATTTCATCCGCGAAACGTTTGTTCTTCGTGGGCGGGAACATCATGAAGGCCGGATCCACGCGATTGTACCTACCCTTGTACCGGATTGTCGTCACTTGTCTTCTAAGTACTCCAAAATATCTGCACTGCATCCGAGCAAGGCTGCACTATGATCTTAGTGTATGTGACATCGAATCTTGCATCTGCGGAAGACGTCTGGCCTTACCTCCTTCTCTTCTCAGGTGCAAGTTATTTTGGTGGTCACTCAGGCTCTTACGGCGCGTGTTTAGTCTCATTTCGCCTCGACATACATAATCTTCCACGATAATCGGGAGGCTCGAGCTGTGAAGCACTCTATTCTGCAGGGTTCGTACACATTTCAACTCAGATCCTTCTCATTTTATATGTCTTTGTATCCACCGCAGGCCATCATTCGGCCATCTATGCATCGGCGAGCGCGTTAAGCACCCTCATTTGTCTATTATGGGAATGGGGTACTCAGCCGCTTCCTCGGTGCCTGTTCCCACAGCCGTCATTTGCATCGTACTGCCAAGGCAAATGACAACAGGTAGACCTTTATCTGTGTTATAATCGACAGTGTACGGGAACTACTATATCGGCTATCAAGTGACACGTTATTGGAATTAACAAGGCACAGTTCCGAAATAGCACGTTCAGTGATTCCAAATGGGGCCATCGAGGACACTGTGTAGCTACACATTATGGAGTATATCCTTTGTATACTATCTTATGCCAGATTTCAGGCGATATTCTTTTTCTAACAGACATCTCGTTCACTGACCGTCTTCTTTTTTCATTTAGGGTATCCTGGTAAGTTCCGGGTACTTGACTACCACGGATGCACGTATCCGAAATTCATCGTCTCCGTTCGGTACCATAGGTATCAACCAATTATTTGGTAACTCTAATTCGACACAGAATCCCAAAGCGGAAATAACCCTTGCCTCCCTCCGGCCTATTAAACCTCGGGGTGTAGGATCGACCGTCCACGCTTAAGTACCTTCACGCCTCCGCCACTCACTTGCACCTGTCGTCATCATCGTCAAAATGTACAGCCAACCGCGTACTCAGTCTTCAGACACTCGCTATACGCTCAACGGTTATTCCTCCGCTGACCACGAGGTCCCCGTTGACAGCAATGCTGCCTACTCCATGAACGGCTCCTACTACGACCAGCAGAATGGTGTTGGTCAAGTATTCTGCCGCGTCTTCGGTCCCCTTGGGTATGTTGCTCGTTGTTCTTAGGCCGCCGCGTCGCCAATGCCTTTCCAGACAGCCAGGAGCCGTATATGTCATCCGGGGTGATGTCCGGACATCGGTATGCGCGTGATACGTCGTACTCCCCCACAACGGGCGGGTACATGTCGCAGGAATACGACGGCGCGACCAACTTACAATTATTCTCAGCAGTCGCTCCCTCCATCCTCACAGTTCATCCCGACGCCCTCTGAAATGGCTCACTATTCGCAACCCGGGAGTCCCACCCATCCCCGGAGCCCCGACAGCATGTATTCCTAGTACTCCCTACTCGCGACACGCCCACTATCAGTCTCGCGCCCCTACCACTACCAGTCGATCCCGTTCTGGCTCGAACTCCCTTGCCCACTACCGCCACGGTCATCACAGCCCCAACCTCTCTCCTCACGTACCGCACCGGACTCCCGCCGCTGCCGCGGGGATCGTGGCTCCCGAGCGTTTCGTCTGCCAGATTTGCAAAAAATCTTTCTCCCGGTCGCATGACAGGAAGAGGCACCATGTTGGACAGCATCTTGATTCCCATGCCCGACCAGTCTGTCCCAACTGCCACAAAGATTTCAGTCGGTATGTGTGGTGATTAGGCTGTTTTAATTTTACATTCTCATCGACCCTTCACAGACCCGACTCTTTGAAAAGACACAGAGACAATGGCTGCGACGAGTCCGTCACTTCATGATGATCACGTTCTGGGCTCTGTCTTGTTGTACTTTTTTCTTGTATCACGTCGACTTCTGCGAACTCGACCGTGTCTCTCGTCTCTGTACTTACTATATCGTACTTACTCCTTTTACTTACATATCTTTAGAACTATCGCGGAGTTGGAAATTGTTGTCATATATCGCATTTGCTTTCCGTCATTGAAATCACAAATACATTATACAAGGTTTCAATGGAGTCAGATCCGAAAACGTGTTGTTACTTAGGATATCCACTTTCGCATTCCACACTGATCCCCGTGTATGCTCCCTTGGCGTATGATCAATGATGTATTGCTTCGAGGAATAGCGTTGTCATTCTCCAATTTACCTCTTAGTACGGTGCCGATTTTGGCTTGACTTCTCCTCCGATCGCATCAAACACGTTCACAATTTTGTCGATACAAGCGGTCCACTGCCAGGGTTGGGGGGCAGAACTCACTTCACTGGTCAACCTGTCAAGAGGTGCAGGCAAGAAAAGTCGACGTATAGCCGCAATTCGTGTTGACGCATTGACGCGCCTTAAGAACACACATGGAGGTATAACGAAAATATAGGGACTTAGGCGCCCGCAACACTTCGTGCCATTCGATGAGATCCTTCCTACGGAAATACAGGGCCACAAGTTTTTCTAGGCACACATAATCAAATGATCTACACAAATACTAAGTTTTGGTAGCCCAGTCAGCCGCTTGTTAACGTTGGCAGCAGAAGGAAAGTAAGTTTCCGTGGATCAGGGCGAGGAGATGGCCGATGTCAACACCCAAAGGCATGTTTTACCGACAATATGGATTCAGTGACAATTGGGCGATGGTCGTCGCCCTGGGATTCGTTGGTCCCTCGAGAACCTGGACAATGAAACCAAATGAAACCTTGTACGAGGCGAGAAGGGTAGGTCGGAGACGGTTAACGTTGTGACCCGCCGTGATTCTTTGACCTTGAACACGGGAACACAATTTGATTTCGTGAGCTGATGAAATCTGAAATGCAAGTAAAGTTCATGAACATGAATGCTAGGTTGTTTTATTTCCAACGCGGTTACATACCCGCTTCCTCGGTTAGTGGGGGGATCTCAATCCTGGTCGGAGTCCTCATCGGAATCACTGTTAGATCCATCATGGCCTTTCTTATTCCCGCTCTCGTCACCTAGTCCCTCAATTTCAACGCCTTCCCCTTCATCATTCTCGCCGTCAGATTGATCCCCCTTCTCCTGCCTCTTCTTGTTCATCTTTGCTATGACCTTATCTGCTCGGTTAAACATTCCACCTGTAGGTGCACCGCATGCGGCACACTTGGGAGTCTTTGCGAAACGTTTGATGGCGCAGGCCGAACAGAAGTAGTGTCCGCAACGAGTAACTATAGGATCTGTGTAATGTTTCCGGCAAATTAAGCAGGCGAAAGGAACATCTTCATCATCCGAATCGGATCCAGAAGACTCGTCCTCGACTTGTTTTTTGGGTTTTTCAGCTAATTGATCTAACTGCCAACCAGCGAGATCTATGGAAAAAAAACGCAAAAACGTGTCAACTCAGTTCACAATTACGACCATGGAGACTTACAAGTTCCGCGATCGTGGAGGAACTTGCAAGTATCGCCGAAACCACAGTAACCAGTTTCTGTCCACTAACGTTAGTATTGTGCAGGATCGAGGCAATAGTTTTTGCAAACGCACCTTTGTAATCCTTGCATACGTCCGGTTGGTAGTCCACGATTGTAACCGTCCGAATCGTGTTTGTGCTGCGTTGGGGTCCAACCCTCATGGCTTTGGGCACCTCTTTGTTCTTCTTCAGGTGGCTCTTGTACGCACTTTGCCCCCGATACTGTCCATCATCTGGTATCTCGTCGTCGCTCCCAGCTGCTGCCTTCTCCTTTAGCCGCCTCTTCTCCTCCAGCTCTTCTAGTTCATCTCCAGCTATGATGTCTAGGGCAGCATTGACGTGAGAGCCTGACGATGTCCACTTGACGTCAGGGCCTTCTCTTTCGGGTGCATCCAAGTCAGTCGTCTCTGTCCGAAATTTTGCGTTTCGTGCCCGCGCTCAGGAGGTTCGATGCCGCCTTTTTGTTTGGTAATACCACTTGGGATTTCGATGACGACGCTGTCTCTATCTGCGCAACAGAAGGAGATGTAGAGCGTTTACGCGCAGTTGTCGGTCGAGCTTTGCCTTTCTTCTTGAAGAAGGGTACCGTCGGTGTCTCTGTCGATGCCATGGTGGTTCTTAATAGAGCAACAGTGCAACTTTCGCGGCGGTGGCGGCGGATTATGTGGCTGTGTAAGCGGTGCACCGATTTTGGCTCTGCTTGACAAAGCGCTCTTTCGCTGACTAATGATCGATGTTCGCCGTCGGCTCTTCCTTCCGTCCCCCTTCCATTTAGGTCCGTCCATCGCTATGTTGCAGCCTTCTTGAACACGTCAGTAATATATCTCTTCATATTTTTAGGGTCCTGGGTGTTCTCTGTGTCGCCTGTAGGCTGCAGGGCTGCCAGATTTTTTTGTTAGAGTTTGTCTGATGGTAGGCTTCGAATTCTTCGATGAATTTCTGGGTACCTCGAGCTCTCTTCGGAAAGTACAATTCGTGTGCTTCATTCTGACACTCATATATAAACAGCTGTAGCAACCTTGGAGCTTTGAGTTGACAACGAACGACAGAGAAACCAAGCCTTCTTGAAGTTACTGCTTTCTCATTCTCGACTACCCTGTGACTTCAAATTCAAGCCGCGTTCCTGTGCTACGCGGTCTTTGATGGCCATTTTAGTCCTAGATTCCAGGTAATAGCATTTTCCCCTTTTCGGCGGTTTATGGGCATTAACCTCGGGACACATTTCAACACGCAACCTAACGAACCTTTGCTTCTACGTCTTTGTAATCCTAGGAGCTACAGGTATACCGTGGTCTCCGCTCTCCATGGGAAGCACCTTTGTCCCGGTTGGCCCCTTATACCTGTTGCTCTCCATAACAATGTATATCCGCTCCATCGATATCGATTGTTTCACCGACCGGGCGATGCGACGCATTCGCTGTGCTCTAGCGCATGCTCTCTACGGCCTCGGTGATCTTTTACTTGTGCTCCAGAAATGCAGTCGAGACTAAACATGCCATCGACGTTGTAACTTTAATCAATTGCAAGTTAGCGCATATCTACAGATAACAGTCTATCCGTGCCGCATGATAGGTTCGTTCTTCGATTACTCGGTGCTGACGACGTGCGTAATGATGTACAGTTCGACGGAGCTGATTCTGACGGCTGGAATGGATTTACCACTGAGTGTAGCCGTGCATGAGGAGTAGAATGGGTCACGAGTCGTATTGCGCCATCGGAAGAACCACACAGGCATATGCCATTGGACGCACACCTGAGAGCGATGCGCATGCAGTGATTGATACCAATTTTTTTCCTGGTCTGTTTCATTGCCTTGAGATTGTTCCTCTTTATTTTTTCAGTCAACTGCGACGAGGTTGTCGTAGACTGGCTAAGAAAATAAATAAAACATGTTTGGGACTTAAGGGCATTTCGACTGAACTAATAGGCTCGGCAAGCTCGGCACGCGTGCCTCGGTCCGTGCTCCTTCCCAATTCCGCTTCAATTCCGCACGGAGCAGATGGGACCTGTCGGATTGGGGCTGATTTGTAAGACTTTTGAATGGGCGGATTTGATTTCCGGCTCCTTGCTTTGCCAGGGCCCAAGCTTTCTTCCCTTCCCTTACCCCCAGCACTCATCCTCGCAAGACAGCAACGACAAACCGCACCAACAAGGAGCGAGCGGTTACCCATTCTTGTACATATTTATCGCTCTCAGCTGCCTACTTCGCTCGGAGATGGTTGCACCCAACCTGCAAGGGCTAAACATCGTACACCCAGTGCAGAATTTAGATTCACAGGACCTCTTACCTGGACACCCTTACCCTGACCTCTCTGCTCAGTTGGACTTGTGGACCAACCTGCCGTTCGATTCGGAGGAGAGCCCGGTTCTGTCGGGCAATGAGTCTAAATACGCTAAGAAGATGGTAGGAGAGGAGGAGGAGGAGGATAGGCTACGGGATGGACCGAAGAGCGCCGCTATCCATGACGGTCACATTAATGTCGTGACCGGTACTACTGTCGCCAACAGCCAACAGCACCAGCAAGTTCCAGGACCTGCGTTTGACTTGAACTCATTCTTAGCCGGGTTTAATGTCGATCCATTCAGTGCTACCCAGCCTGTACAGAATCCAATCCCCCATACAAACGCTATCGCCCCTTCTCTTGCACAGCTGCTACTCTTCCACTCAGCTGCGAATGGGGTCCAGTCTCCTCCCAAAGCGCCTACTGCAGCTAGCGAGAAGTCAGCAACTGAAGACCTGGCCCAGCCTCAGCCAAGCGTGCGCGCACTCGTAGGACCTCTGTGTCGACAGTAGACTCACCTGTAGAGAGCGCTCCGCTCTCTGCTTCCGAGGACAAGCGCCGCCGCAACACCGCTGCTAGTGCGCGGTTCCGTTTGAAGAAGAAAGAACGGGAGGCGGCATTAGAGGGCAAAGCGAAAGAGCTTGAGGCGAGAGTCAATGAATTGGAGCGGGAATGCGAAGGCTTGAGACGCGAAAACGGCTGGTTGAAGGGACTTGTCGTGGGCGTAACAGGCGCTGCCCAGGGGACAACGGTTGGAGGCGCACCATCGACTGTCACTGGTAAGCGATCCAGAGACGGAGCATAGCGCTTTTGAAGGTTAGGTTTCGGGATTACGCCATTTTCCTCACAATTGTTCGTTAGCATTGTCCGGAGAGCTAGGACCGTTGTGACTAAATTTATCGCCTCCATTCCGTCAGCGTTCCATTTTTTTGATTATGAATCTTCACGTATTGCTTACTTTCCATGAGATATCTCTCTTTCTCCCCTCCACCTCCATCTGTAGCACAATTACCCAGGCGAGCAGAGGCAGTAGACAAAAAAAACGTAACATGTATTAATTGCGCCATTGAGAAGAACTATGTCCCATGTTTCTAGTGTTCTCCGAGTAAATCAATCAATGATAAGGTAACATAACATGTCCTGATATACGTACTCGTCGGGAATGATGACACTACGTACAGCGCTTCAGCAATCATTAATAATTAGCCGCCCAGTATGAGGTGGCGCCGTGTTGACCTACGAGCATCCCGAAGGAATTTTCTATCGCCACTCCGTATATTATGTACCCTTGTAGATCCATACTTCAAGTGCCTCAACTTGAGTGCCAGTCGGCAAGAACTCAATTGAAGGTCACATAGTTAAATCATTCCGTCATCCCTGTAATGGAAATGGAAACAGTGCATGGCCATTGACAGCACTTTTTCTTTATCACAGAAACGCAACCATGCCTCTTCAACTACACCCTTACTATTCCTTCTTGCTACGCAGGCGGCGCTCAGGGATGGTCTGACGTCATCGGTAGGATAGCCCCTAACTCTTGAAAGCCGGAACCCTCTCGATTAAACACAAACATACAATCTTCCCCCGTCTTGAACGGCCCAGCAGCCTAGCTTGAATTGGGAGCTTCTTGTCGCCCTGCTGCCTCCGACATGCAAGTACCATTCGACAATGGTACGGACAGCAGTGGTATTACCTTCAACCCTTTCGCTGAGCACGACTCACTCTTGACGACACCGCCTATCGACACTTCACCAGACCTTGACAACCACCGACCGAAACTGCGATGCGGTTCTGGTTCAGACTACACAACGGCGAGCATAAGTAGTAGTACCTCAAGCGTATCTATCGACCACAGGCGGACTGGACATGTACGAGCACAAACCGAAGTTCTTGCTGCGCAGCATCCATTGAGATACAGTGGTTCAGCGCCAGGCCCTAGTGACGCCAATATTACTCGGCCCACACTGACGCGTTGGGTTAATGTCGGATCTCTGGTAGACGTCTCGGTTAATGGTTCCCCGAAAAGACATTGTCGAGAGCGAAGTTGAAGAACCAGACCAAAAGGTGGTATTGATTCATGAGGTTCGTTCGTTTCGATATCACATAGAAGGGTTAATTAATTCGCCAAATTCCAGGTTTCTGCAAAGGACTCATTAGCAGGTGTATCCCTAAAGTACGGGATCAGCTTGGCGGATTTACGGCGCTCAAATCATCTTTGGACGTCTGATTCGATACATTTGAGAAAGGTGCTCTACATACCCCTTGATAAATGCTCTCGGCCTCAGGACCTCATCACGAACGGCGAACCGTTCGACATTTCGTTGATGTCTGCTGCTTCGGATGCCACCGATTTGAATGGCTACAGACCAGACCTCTCAACCCTAAATCGTCACGCAACTGCTAATGGTCATGATACAGATCCGAAACACCACACCATTGCTGGTAAATCACCCTCGCTGAAACTTCGCCGTGTTCCAATTTCCCAATTGTCGTTCTTCCCCCCTTCTGCGTCGAAACCAAATCCTCCGAACCGATCAACGAAACCCCCTTCCACGATCCCGTCTCGTCCATCTATCCATACCCGATATACCTCTTCTCCTTCAAATTCTCTGGGTACACTATTTACAGCTCTTCCTATTCCTGTATCCACACGTGATACCATAATTTCCCGACTGTCTTTAGACAGCAGTACTAGTTCCAGCTGCTCTGATCGTGACAGAGAGGCTGAAGACGGCGAGAGACTCGAATTGGATGATGTCCCTATCGAGCGCAGGCGATACGCCTCTGAAGACGGAATTTCATCACAATTCCCAATGACGCCCAGACCACCATACCGAACAACCAATGGTATCAAGTCCTCGTCGTCCTCTCCCCCTTCTCCTACGCGAATTAGAGGCAGCATAGCGATGGAGAGCACTCATGCCCGGAGCTATCATCCGCTGCACAGTTCTACTGTTCATGTTCGCAATGTACAGTTGGAGCCTTCGCCTGGAATGCAACTTCCAATACATGACGCAAATTACCAACAGAAGACTTCGAGCCGACCGAACAGTCGAGGGAAAGCCAGACGTCGTTTAGCTTCCGTAGACTTCGACGTCGAACCAGACGCATTGATAGATGTATGATAAACATTTGGGGTATAAGTGAGCTTTTTGCTATCGGAGGATCTAAACTATTTGCATATTTTCATCTATGTAATACTAGCACATTTGCAACCGGTGAGTTCTTCGGTCACTTTCAATGAGCGGACCTTTTCTGAAAGCCGATATGTCGTTAGGAATCTTATGGCGTTAAGCGCTAGCACATTTGATGGAATTTACCACCCTCGTTTTTGATCACTGGGAATCGGACTAGCATGCCTGCCTTACTTTCTCTACGCGTACGTCGGCGCCGGCATTTATTGGAGAACACGGTGCTGCAAAGATGTACCTGGCAATGTGGTGGCGTAGGCCACTGAATAACCGAGCGCTGCCTCCAGCGTTGTTGCTTCTTCGTTTCAAAGGTTTGGAACATGCTCCCGGTTGTCCGGTAACTAAACTAACTCTCACGGCGATATTCTAATCTCTAGGTATCCGGGCAATCACCTTACGTAGCTTCAACAGCACGCGAGGTTCTAAGATATGGTACATTGCTAATCGACAAAACGTACGACGCCTTTACATCCAAAAATATGTAGATTTGGACCTAGTCTCCTAGGCATTCTAGTCATCACATCATTTCGGGATCGTGTCTACCCTTCCTCGTCTCACTTCCTGGGCGTGGAAGAGAACATCCTCGCGTTGCATCGCGGCGCGATCCGACGGTAAACTTGGCCGGCATATCACTATGAAGTGTGTGAATACACTCGGTTCGACAAATGGTGTCCAGACTGTTGACGGTGGCAAGGAGCAGCCAGCACCGTGGGGAGATGAATACGCATATAACCGCTCTTCCTATCCCATTGGTGGGTACGCAGAGTCGGGAAAAGTGAATGCAGGAGCGTGAGTCGAAAGCATATCAGCTTCGGTTTCTAGTACACTGTTCCGCCTTTTCCACGAGAGAAGCCAGAAAGATCACCGCTGGCTGTCTTCGTTGAAATCACTGGTGGCAATGGCTCGAATACCCCACCGGGTATGTTCGAGCCAGGTCTGTGATTCAGGTCTGTGATTTCGAAAGAGATGGTTGACCACTGATCGCACGTCCTCGAACCTTCTTTCGTAACGGGTAACAAACAGTGTGTTGTAATATTTTGAAAGGCCCAGTCCCTTTGATCGTTCAGGCGCCATCACTTTTTTGTTCATCTTTAATATCTTAGGACATCGGCATTTCATGCTTATGGGTAGGCGGCTTGTACCGGGAGTCGAGCCTCTTTCGTCTGTTCATCGTCCTGGGAGTATCGTAATAGATCAGTTCGTGCCACCGTAGCAGTCATCTTTGGTGGCGCCTGTACATTGGAGTACTCATGTTTGCCGTTGTTCTGTTGTTCCAGAAGGGTATCAACAGCCGATAATGATGAAGCGGTCCTGATCTGTTTTCCTTGGTCCATCCACTGAAGGGGCTTTATCTGTAGGAATCGAGGAGAACAGAAACCGCCTCCGTCGTTGATCAACCGAAACCGATGACCGAAGTATAAAGTTGTGTACGACATGTCTTCCTCCAACGAAGACGATGATTCTGTGCGAGAGAAACAGATGAGACGCCATTTTTATCTCAGAAAAGATGTTCAGTTGAGGTTTTCTCAGGCCGAAAATTTCGTTCAGAGGTCTCGGTGTTAATCGCGATGGAGGTCAGTCGAGGCGCAAGGATGGCTTGTCTTAGCCGGTATGTTAGAGTCGGATGCTTTCGGCCTAGCCTTCCCTTGTCTACAACGTCTTGCTCTTTTCTTTGACAGAAGTATATCTATCTGATGAGGTTAGGGACCGCAGCTTTGGCTCGTGGATCTTTTTTGGTCAAGCCGTGTCCGAGTCAGTGGGTTTGTATTCCTTTCAGGCATAGGCTCGAAGTAGCCGTACGCGATATCCACCGGCAAGCTAAGAAAGGTACGTCGAAACAGATTATCCCTTGTGTACGACCCTAAGGATTTGGGGCTTCCTGGTTAGATGCCGTCATATGTGATCGTCAGATCTCCGCATGTTACAGGTGCGGTCAAGCTGTGGTAAATTTGTGCTGCTTCAGGTCTTGATGACACGCTTAGGCGCCACCATCATTATGATTGTAACCGAGACCCAGCTCTGCAAAATGTTTGTGCGGTCTCCATAACTTAACAGGGTCTGCTTATTGCGGCAATTCAGCGCTAGGATCGTACCGCGAAGCCTTTAAGGGACGTCCGGTCCGAAGAGACCCTTTCCCCCTTAGCCGACACTAAGTAACACAGACCTTGAGAGCTAGAACAGCCCATGAGAATCCCCGTATAACCGAACAATGCATCGAACTGATTGACAGACCACGAGTATCTGCTACAAGATCTATACTCGTACTCTCCATCTGGTCAATTGACCATCAGATGAGCTGTGAATGAGAAAAGGACACGTTATCAGAATCCTTTGCCATGACCTCCCTGCTCATAGAAAGTTTCCATTCTCGTGACGATATCGCTTAGCGCGGCGAGCCATTTGTCTAGTTCCTCGTTCAAGACGTCTTGCGATGCCGAAGGCCCCCCTTTGGGGTCCGCAGCAAGCTTCTTGTAGAAATCTGCACGATAGGGACATGCTTTCATTGCAAGCTTGTAATGGTTAGCTCTCGTTCGCTTTGAAATAGGATGGCGCCATACAGAGAAAACACCCTTAACAACGAAGTTGTGGAACTTCTTCAATGTGAGTTCGTAAGACTTGGAGAATGCGACCGAAAGCTCTTCGTCCTTATCGAGTTGGGCGTTCTGGAGAGCCTTGCAGGTGAACGAGAGACCTCGTAACAACCACATCAATCCTTCGGTAGCAGTCCTCTTCTTCTCCCCCTTTTCATTCTCGACTAACTGTTCCAGGGTCGCTGACTGAGAGGGCGCCGCATCATATCGAGCGCGGACTTTCTAAAGCGATAGCGGTCTGCAAGGGACCAAATGGATTAAAACATTTCGACTCACTGCAATGTTCCCCCTAAGGTCCGTCTGTACGACAGCAAACGCACTGGATCCGAGAAGATCTGACGCATCGAGGGAGTTAGACAGATGATATGATAACATAGCAAGGTTCTGCGCACCAAAAATCCCTACCAATCCTTGAGATGCTTCTAGGAAAGCAAGCGTATCCACGCCGGCGTCAGTTACGGGTACATCTGCAAAAGACTGTGACCTAACAGTCAATCATTATGAAACAGCAGACAGGGAATTCGTACTTTGACTGTTTCGAGATAGGGCGCCATTGTGAACGGTACTTGTGTTGTAAGGATGAGAGTAGGACGAGGACGGTCCTGACCGCGCGACCACGCATCTAATCTCGATCATCAATCGACATAATCTAATCAAGAAATAATTTCGCCATTGATTCTACGAGATTCGCAATCGCAATCATAAACCTTGCAATTGCCACATACCCTTTCTCTACCTACCACCACCAATGCCTCACGCCGATACATCTCTCGTCCCGGAAAGGTGAGAGCATTTTCTTATTTACGACCATCGGTGATCAAACTGTAAAACGAAGCATCACAACCAAGTCCGAGTTTTGGGAACATGTTCACACCCAACTCGAAGTTCTCCTTGAAGGACAGACCAGCTGGGTAAGGCAACTAGCGCCATAAAAATTTCTCTTACACTTGACTGACAACACAATCATGATCCATGTACCCAGGTATCCAATTTAGCCAACACCTCGTCCCTTGTGTTCAATTCACTTCTTGCGTTCCCCGCGTATTTTGGGAAAGATGATGATAGAGCAGTGAATTGGTGTGGTGAGTTATAGGCGCCATTTGTTCTGCATCTCTATGTGGGGGTGAAGTAACTGTCATCTCATGATTATTTTGTTACAAGGGTTTTACTTAGATTCGCCGTTGTTCCCTCCATCGGTCAATCAGACCTCGAAACCGACAAGCAGCAGACTTCTGTTGGGACCTTTCTGTGGGAAGCCTGCATGTCAATTCATCAACGTCTCTCCAGGCAAAGCGCGGGGCGTCTGCGCAGACGCCTTCCTCAAAAGAAAAACTGTACTCGTCTCGAACGTAGACGAATACCCAGGTCACATTGCTTGTGATGGGGAGACAAAAAGCGAGATCGTATGTCCATTGATCATCAAAAAAGAAGACGGAGAGAAAGTCATTGGCGTATTTGATCTTGACTGTCTAGCTTTGAATGGCTTTGACGAGGACGATAGAGTGGGCTTGGAAAAGATCGTTACCCTCATTATTAATAGCTGCCAGTGGTGATTATGGTATCATTTCAATGCGTGTAGAATACCAGATACAACAGTATTATCCATCCGGACGTCGGCAGGCCTATGAAGCGGCCGCGTCTTTCTGCCACGCTAGAAATTCCTCATGGAGTTTCTTCTGAGCGCTCCAATCCTTTTGGACTTTCTTTGCCTGATTCTTGCTAAGCTCCTTACCCTCACCGTCCGTAAGTGGTATCCCATCGTCATTCCAAGAACCATATGCCCCTTCCGCCACATTCGGAGGTCTAAACATGTGCTCAGGAGCCACACGACCCCTCTCTAACTTCTGTAGTCGTTTCTGTCGTTCCGCTGCCACGGCTTCTGCTTTCTTCGCAGCTTTGGCCTCTTGTGCCGCGCGCTTCTCGTCCCTGGCCTTAATTAAGTCCGTCGGCGGAACCAGTTTGACTAGAGCTTTCCCATCTACAAAGAGGCGCAATGAATATCAACATCAAATACAGGGAAAGGAAGAAGGCGCTGACCCTCTTGATCATCCAAGGCAACTCCCAAGGGAACGAGATCTATGTCTCGTAATTTGTCGCAAAGGGCCAATATATCCTTCAGGGCCGTCTCGCTTTTCTGCATGGCAAGCTGACGAACACCATCACGGAAGGACGACAGAGTCCGGAGATAGGGCATCAGGACCTCTTCCCGCTGAGCAGACAGATAAATCAGTAGAAGCTCAAACCATCATTGCGAAGAAACACCGACGTTTACGTTCCCTTCCACAGCATCCTGGCCCCAGCCTAGCTCCGTGTTTTCGCCCTCTCCGAGTCCGAACATCCGTAACATCTTACCTACCCAAATGGCCACATTTTCCACGACGCTGACATTCAGATTCTTCCCTCTCGAATTTATGTAGACGTTCGTCTGAGAAACGAGATCACGAAGAACGTCTATGGCTACGGGCGTGTTAAATGAGTCGCAAAGAGCGGTCCGAAAAGCAGATCGATGCTCGTAGAAGCTGACCGCGGGGCACAGGCGTTAGTGAAGAGGATTAAGGTAACGATTTGAACGCACCTTGACGTCAATTCCTTTTCAGGAGCGTCGTAATGGTGGCTACCATCCGATGATGGTCCATTAGCCCGGGCCTGGCTCACGAGGGCCTTGACGGTGACGAAGAAATTCTAAATGGACCAGAATCAGTAAACTCAAAATACAAAAAGAACGAAATAAGATTAACATTCAGGGTAGTCTCAATGTTTCTTACTTCTCCTGTCATTAAAGATTCTGAAAAGTCGACTTTGGCGTTCCAGAGTTGAGTCAAGAATGCCAGTCTCAGTTGGCGAGCTGAATGTCTTTGTAGAATTTCCTGTAGAACCGTGAGCGCAAGTATTGTGAAGTAAAGCTGTCAAGCTTACATCGATAGTAATAAAGTTTTTGAGCGATTTGCTCATTTTAAGTCCTTCGATATGTAGATGGCCCGTGTGAAGGAAGTAGTTCACCCATGCACCGCACTCGTGGTACGCCTAGGGCCTCGGAATGAAAACGCTGAAATGGAGGGCTAATTATGCTCAAGGCTCACCTCTGATTGAGCGATTTCATTATCGTGATGAGGGAAGGCAAGATCAATCCCGCCCGAGTGGATATCCATATTGTCCCCAAGAATCTCGCTGGCCATCACAGAGCATTCGATATGCCATCCCGGGCGCCCGGGACCCCATTTTGAAGGCCAAGAAGGCTCTCCCTCTTTCGAAGCCTTCCACAGAGCAAAGTCAGAGGCCGAACGACGTCCAACCCTATTCTTCGACGACAAGCCTTGGTAGGTCCATGAGGCCTCTTCCTAGGGCGATTCTAACAGCGAGGACTTACCTCCTTCGCCATCTTCGAGTAATTCCCGGTTTCCTTTACTCCACGGCTCTAGCTTGGCATACGCATGGTTGTCTGCACTGTCAAAGGCCTGGGTGTCGAAGTAGACACTTCCCTCCGCCACATAGCCATACCCATTCGATACAATTCTTTCAACGAATTGAACGATCTCGGGAACGTACTCCGTGACTCGGGTGATTGTATCCGGGTCACGGACTCTTAGACGAGCCATATCGTCGAAGAACCGGCCTTCCCAGTATGTAGCCAATGAACGCGATACAGCGGGATCGGTTACAGTAGAACCAAACTATAAGATTTTTTTTAGCCTCGACCTCATTTTGGCCAATCCTAAAACGAACTTGAGTATCCAACGCTTCGGCGAGCACGTCCTGCGAATCATCAATCAACCTCTGTGCAGCCTCGGCGCTCGTATTCCCAGCATCTAACTGCCTTTGGGCAGTTTCCACGGCGGCGAAAGTACGACTCTATGACAGACGTGAGATTTAGGGTGTACGAGTTTATTGACCTATGTGGACGTACCGCGGAGGAGAGATACATGTCAAACTTTTCGTCCCGTCGCAGACACTCTTGCTTCCACTGCGCGTTCTGGGCCAGGACTCCGATTTTGGGCCACTTGGTGTCTTCCTCACCCGGAGAGAGCGCCTCGGTATCGGGTAGACCTTTGCCTACTTTTTCGCGTACGTAGGTGCGCCATGCGACGCGTATCCGATCAATTAGGTCGGACGACACGCTAGTGGTCTCTGCGCGGAATTTGTCGAGGAGGTGGTTTTGACGTGCACGTTTGATAATCTTGACGAAAGTCAATGTGTCAGCATGGAAGAGTCAGAGAGAAGCTTTTATTTACCTTGTCATCGATGTCAGTGATGTTCATGACAAAATGTATGTCATATCCAAAGTAGTCAGACATAATCCTGCGGAGAACATCCTGCGTCACGTAGTTCCTGCAGCAATTTGAGTATCCAACTAATGGAAGCGACAGTTTGAATGTACCGAGCATGGCCCATGTGCGACGCATCGTAGACGGTAGGACCACAGTTGTACCATTTGACCAGGCGTCCATTTTTTGGAACAAATACTTCCTAATTACCCACTAGTTATTGCACCAATGGAAGCGAAGAAAACCCGTCTAACTCACTTTCGATTTCGTTAGAGAGTTGTATACTTTCAATACCGGCTCTTTTTGTATAGGCTCCGGGATCGCCCAGGGAGGTTGCTGGACAGACATCTTGGATATCCACGCGGAGTGACGAATGGTATAGAGCAGAGGTCGAATATCGATATCGCAGACGGAATAGAGTCACGACAGATTCAACGCTACGAAAGGTATGAATCATGAAGGGGTTTCCTTTTTCGTCGATAGATCAGCGTCACGGTGCGTGATGGTCACGTCACACACATATCCTCCAGAGCTGCTAGTCTTTTTTAGACTTTATTGGATCCTTCCGATAGCTGCGTTTGCCTGCCTGGTTGATACTCTTGCTCGTCACTTATCCTTCTTTCTGCGCCTTTATTGTGCCCAGCAGCGGCCATGGCCACCCCCGGTATAACCTTACGCGACCTTCCCTTGACTTTCCCTTAAAAGCCTCTCGGACTTTGTCTCGGCCGGAGTACTAACTGGAGCCTTTCAGGCGGGATCACAAAACCTATCTTGTCGCGCTTAGTGCAATATAGATAGCAAAACTTGTTTCATGTCCAACGATCTTCGTGCAATCAGCAACAGTGAATCGGAGCCTCTTGTCCTTGGCAGCAGAAGAGACGCTGGCGCAGAGTTATCCACATGGTTGTCTGGGCGTATCAAAACTTTATGAAGTAGGGGACCATCATGATCTCCTGTGTTCCCTGTAGTTGCATTCGCTTGGCCACCCGGGTTTATTAACAGGAACTGTCCACAGGCTGTCGGACTAGTGCGATTTCCAAGGATTTGCGTCCAAGTAAGCTCGACATCGCTTAATACAACCTTTTCATTCGGACACAACGGCGTCGACGCCGTAAGGCGCCCATTCCACAGTTCATCAAACCCATCTGCTGTATTGTTGTACTAGCTTCGATCTGTTCTGCTTCCTTCTAATCAGCTGTTCGCCGTTACATGGTAAATCACGGCCATGTCCACATACGCTTTCACATGGCCGCATCAATGATGGACTTGAGTTTTTCTCGGCACTGTAAATAGCACCTTGGGAGGCATCGCGGTTCTGAAATTTTCGTTACCCGGCGCTATGTTGGCAATCTCGAGCGTCGCAAAGCATTTCGGAGGACTCGAGGTTGGGATGCGTCTCCCCCAACAGGTACAGCAAGCCTCTCGCATGGTTCTAACCCCTTACCTCCGGCCTCATCTCGAATTCGGCAAAGTGGACGGCGCGATCTCTACCTACGGTTAACTCTGGTGAAGCACTTGTCTAATTTTAGTAACAGATACTGGTCCCCCATTAATCTTAAACGAATTCTTGACAATCCTACACCCTTCCCCATCAGGTAATCGACCCCTCACCCTGCGGAATATACTTTCACAGCCCTCTTCCTGCGTTTGTGTCCGAGGTTCGAAGCCTTCTATACTTTGCAGGACCTTGTCTTCGACGACGTGAGGTACACGGAACGATTTAATAGACTCCCGGCTTTTGCGGACGTGTGGGTTGATTTCATCAATAAATATGCAGCGGTCACGGCGAGGATATGATGTATGGCTTTAACGAGGCAAGGTACGAAGGTATGTTGCATACAATACTGTTTCAAATAGCACATCTGGAATTTTACGATAGAACTTTCCCGCCGGCCCTTGAACAAGTTACCTTGTTCCTTAGACCCTATTCCTCTTTGTTAGGATTTTCTCATCCGGCCGTCTGGGGCAGGAAATTATACATCAGCTGCTGATGAATAGAGTCCCAGTAAGTTCTCGCTTGATTGGCTATCCCTGCTGCGTGACGTTGTTCGTTCGCGCCTATGCATCGCTTATGAGTTAACATCTTTGATCCTGATCATCACAGCATTCAAAGCAACTATACTTCTTTCCCCACCCACCCGTTTCTAAGTATAAAAGACGACCACTCCGTTCTTCCCTTCAAGCGCCCTCCAACCTTCTTCAGCAACGTTCGACGTCCACGGACCATGCAGCGACCTACTATCACGGGCATCCGCGTGCGCACCCCTTCAGACGCCCATGCCATATTCCATGCTGTTTCCCTCAAAATGCTCCCTATTGTGTCTCGACGGTTGGACACTGAGGAGCGTCGATTGATTGCCTCGGGTTGTGTGTTTGTCTGGGAAGAACGGGGTCCTAATGCAGAGTCTTCTTGTGTAAGACACACTCTGCTCCTTGCTGCGTCCACCGCCCATTCACTCACTTGCACAGCAGCTAGGAATCGAGCGATGGACGGACTCTATACGATGGGGACCAAGCAGAGTGAAAGATGTGCGTTGAGCGAACTCTGGTTAACGTTCCCTTGGGAGTGCTAATTGACTTGCAACTTAGGAATTTCTGTATTATCAAGAAAAGGGCCCCGAGTCCACGGAGATGGAGCTGACATCCGACTCTGATACACCGTGAATATTCCATTCCCTATCCAGCAATTCACCATTCGGCTGAGCTATCCCTCACAGAGTGTATTCACCTACAGACTCGAACCGTGCCGTCTTCCGGGACAATCTGATCAAACAGACATACTCCGTGTTCGTCGAAACTAACAGAGGCCGGCGGAAATGGCATCTCAGTAAGTCTGTTTGTATTACCCATTACCCGTGACCTCGAGTCTAACGGAATCAATTGCTGTCAGTCGCGTACTTCACCCAAGAATCCCTTGACTACCTAAGAACGATTGACGACATCCCTATGCTGTCGAACCTCTACGTACCCCCGGGAAAATACACGAGCGCTCGATCGGCGAAAGGGAGGCCGCGGGATAGCACAGCGTGCGATCCCTACGTTCTGAGAAACTACCACCGATCTGGAGGTGCCCAGCCGAGTCACTGGCAGGGCATCGGTATGATTCACCCGTATGGTGCTGACTCGGTCAAACCTCGGGCTGGGTCTGGGTGTCTGGCCCCATTGGCCTATCTCGAGAACATACCTCCACCACGAAGGCACCCAGCCGATGAGGAAGCGTTGAATGCAATTGGGTTTCGATAATTGAATGTTAATCTGGACTCGGACTTTATTTTGTTCTATTTTTACGTGCTTTTTTTCCGTTGCGCTTTGCTTTCTTGTTGTAGACCTTGACCATAGTACATATATCCTGCACTTCCTCTCTCTACTTGTATTGTAATGCTACTAAATCTTTTCTTACCATCAAAATATGATAAAGAGTTCGGAGCCGTCGGTGATGCACTTAAAATCTTCAAGATCATGACTCTCACCATCAGGTCGCCCTGTTCTTCTTTTAATTTAAAATAACATAGTTATAAGTGATTCCATTCTTTTCTCGGAGACGTGAATTATGATGTGCGACAACCATGAAATCGACATCTCATCATAAAAAGGGGGAACCTAGGCCCGATGCCAGGCATCCACAACCATTACGGGACCATTACATGCAGACCGGCGGTGAGAGATTCGAGCCCCAGGCGAACCCCACAGCCTGTACATGGATCACAGCTCTGGTCAGAGAAGTCCAATGAAACGTGTTTTCAGTACGTGTTGTACTTCTAAAATAACGTACTTGGTAAGGGTTGAGGGGGGAATTTGTTTTTGGAATGAAATGAAATGGATACCGGTACAGCCAGCGCTAGCGCTGTCAAGGCGTAATATTAAAGAGGAAAGGGCTAACATATGACTGTTCCTCTTTAGGGGCACAAGTAGGGTCGCTTGGCGAAAGCACCCAGGCAAGGGGGGATGATGTTACCACAGAGATGGGGGACATGCCGTCTTTTCCGAGGTCGGTGATTTACAAGTAGCTTGAGCACTTGACAAGCATGAGACCACTCTGTCCAAATATATCGTCAGCATTCTTTGGTTCACAGCCATGTATCCTAAACCAAACTAGCAGCAACGGCACGGGACAATATGTATTGTATTCAAGTTGCCACACGACAGGACGAGTTGCAGAGAGGGGCGCGTGATAGATCGTCATCTCAGCGGCGCCAACCTTCGGAATGATGATAAGAAATTTTTTTTATACAGACAAGGAGAGCGGTGCGGTAAACGTAGTGGATCGTCGACATCAATCATAGACCGCACCAACACCATCGGGTCAGAAGAACGGGTACTGTGCTGTGTGTGTCATTTGGCGTGCCAGGGAGCCACATGTTGCGAGCCGATTGGGCCGAAGGGGAAGAGAGCTCGAGAAGGAGGGTAGAATACAGTTTTGTTGTACCTTGATATTTCCGGTGGGGAACGGCCAAAGGGCTGAGAGAAAAAAAAAACAAGAGGGGAACGGGGGAGGCGAATGTGGGTAAAAAGGATTTGACGGACAGGGTGTGTCATGAAGAATAATAAGAGTTAGAGTGTTTAGAGTTGGAGATTGGTTATGATAGGCCACCAGATACCGATCGATGGCGCCAGATGCCCGGTTGTTCCTGCCCGGCAATGATCATAGTTTGATGCCATGGAGGCTTTACAAATGTCGGACGGTATGAACCTTGTATGAACCAGGTCAAAAAAGAGACTAATTAAACAAATGTCCGTCCCAGGGCCATCTTGCTTTGCCGCTACCATATAATAGGAACCGACTACAACGAGGGCCTCGTCTTCCCTCTTCCTCCTTCTGCTCTCCACTTTCAAGCTGCAACCATGCAGCGCCCGACGTGCACGAACATCCGTATACGCTCAGCCCGTGATGCACACAAGATATTCGTCGCCATCCAACTGGGCAGACTCCAGATGGTCAACCGGCGCCTCGACGCCGACGAGAGGCTCGCCTTGCGCCCTGGGTGCGTCTACGCCTGGGAAGAACGTGGGCCGAATGCCGAGGTGACGGGGCTGGGCATCGAGCGCTTCACGGAGGGGAGGCATTGGAGCCCAAGTCGCGTTCGCGATGTGAGTTCACTGTCCATCTTTGCCCTTGGCTCCTTCCTTTTCTTGCTTTTGCTCACGCACGGGCCAGGAATTCCTCTTCTACCATGAAAAATATGTCGCGCCAGACTCAACCAGGTTCGATCTCGCTTTGACCGTACCGTGGACGGAATGATTGAGCCTCCTGCAGTGATGCCGCTGGAAATCAACCACCACGAGGCTGGGATCGACTTGTGAAGCAGACGTATTCTGTCTGGGTGCAGACGCAGAACGGCAAGCGAAAGTGGCATCTTAGTACGTACGCTTCCGAGCCTTCCATCGCGTCCGATTTCGCTGACATGTTCTAGCGTCCTATTATACCGAAGGTACTGTCGACAATCTCGGTACCGTCGATGACATCGAGGGCCTCCGGAACATCACCATTCCCGAGGGCATGTTCACCAAGAGCACTCGTTCCACCAAGAATCGCAAAGCTCGCCAAGGGCGCACCAAGGATGCAGAGCCAGCGGCGGTGTCGAGGACATATGCCCCGTATCCGTCAGAGGCGGCTAACAACCAACCGCCGCCACCCGCCTCACCATCCCAGTCCCAGTCTGTGCAGATGTATCACCCCTATCCTCGATCCAACCAGCAGTTCCCCGAATATGATTCCCAGCCTGTGCCGTCGTCCTCCGTGCGCCCCGCCGTGCCAAACAGCGGACTATCCTACTCCCAAACCCAGCCCTCGTACCCAGCCAGCTCCATGCCTGGTCCCTCTCGACCAGCCCCACCTCTCGTAACATCCGGTCTACGGTCCGCCATAAACTACCCTCCCCCGCCCGGCCACCCGTCGCCTTCGTCCTCACACAGCTCGCAGTCAAGCCAAAGCAGCCCATACATGGAACGAGGATCCTCGCACTGGTACACCGCCCCGCCCCAACAGCCATATGTCGAAAATCAGCCACCCGTTTATTCGTACTCCGAACAACCCCCAGCGTCCTTCAGCAGCACCACCTCCACCGGGTTGCCCCCGCAGAACGCCCACCTATACGCCATGGCCAAATCCCACCCTCTCCCTCTCACGGGAAGCACCGTTCAGAACCTCGTTGCGCCCATTCCCGTCACGTCTTCGTCATCGCTGCTTATCCATGATCAGTATGATCCCGGGGCCGATTCGGACGGTACTCCGTCTTCTTCAAGCATGTCCAGCGTGGATGACACACGCAGGGGGGATATTGGTCCTAGTAGGGCCCTGGCGCCTCTCCATACGCTCAAGCGGCGGCACCCCTACCGCCGCGATCCCGCCGACGATAAGGCCCTGAGGCTGCTCGATCCTAGTCTAGCGGCTGGTACCTCTCCCGAGACTCAATAGCGCTCTGACAGTTCGACTGACGCTTTTTTAAACAATGACCGCTTGATTAAAATCAAACACCCTACGTATGTATCTCTGGACCCTCATCGTGTTCTTAAGTATCGGCCTACTCACTCTTGTACAAGTTCTGACCAATGCGTAAAATTTAGCGTCCTACATACCCCCTTGTTATATTTCATTAGTACTCCACCCCCTGTATTAATTAGAGCATTCTCAGAGAACGTAACACGGTTACAATACTGGATTAATGACATGAAAACCCTGGGATCCGGAACGGTGCATGGGTACGTGAACTGGTGCACTCCTGGGAGGGCATATGGGAGAAGCACGATCTATATCGAGCAAAACGCGATAGTTTAACCGACTAATCTTTTGATGCTGAAAAATCGGAGAAAAAGTGACTGTGGACAACTGTGTATCCTAAATATCCATCAGAAAGATCTGTGAAGTAAACATTTTTTTCTCACCGGTCGATTTCTGCCTCCGGCGTTTGGTCCTGTACAGATGAGAATCCGATACCTGAATTAAGGTCTGCTATTGAGGTTAGGATTCACCCAAGGACGAACATCACGAGTTTAGCGGAGATAAAAATGAAAGGAGATAGCCATTAACAGGCAGCACCATAACCACATGTTGTAACGCTTTAATTCTTTCCAAGCAATTAGGCACCGGCACTATTGCGGGGAGAAATCGCATCCTCTCCCCCCACGCTTTTGGTTGTATCTAAAACAGATTTGATTGCGCTGATGATGCATATGTGTGTATACAGTGTGTGTGCTGTGAAGATATAATAAAATGGTAATGCAATTTATGCCGGAGCAATAAATTTTGGGCAGGCGAAGAATGGGGTAAGATCACCTGAAGAGCAGGGACGCAGGGAATTGGCCGGTCTCGGTCACTCAGTACGACTACCACTCAAACTCTCTATAGGGTTGCGTAAGTTATCAAAGCTTTGATGTCAAGATAGATATCGGTAACTTACCCGGTACACTTCTGGAAAAGATAATCTTTACCGTTAATATGGATCATGCCATCTTTGAGGATGCACTTCCACTTGTTCTTGACCCGTGCAACCTATAACACCCGTCAGTGACAACGGGATACAAGGAAAGGGACGCATTCAAACCTTATCGTATGTGCAAAAAACGATATCTGTATCGCCCACGTTTCCATCCTCCGCATCATCCTCCGCTTCCGTGTCTGAGTCATCTAGATCGCTATTGATAGCCTCAGACTCGTTCGGCGCGGACGATGCAGAGGACTGTAACTGCGGCTGCGGTAACGACGGGTGCTGAGAACGTGGAGCAAACGACGGAGGTGGCGTGGCCGAATCGTCGGAATCATCAGAGGGGCCGTCGACCTGGGGAATTTTGCGGGGTGTCGCAGATGCTGCAGCAGGTTGGCCTGGGGAAGATGTAGGAACGGCTGGTGGCGGTACATATAATCTTCCTAGTGGCGTACCTGAGGAAGGGGTGCCGTTTGTCGGCTGTATGGGAGGCGGACCGGGAGGGAAAGAGAGAATACTCGTTTGGCCTCCAAGACCGGTTCGAAGTCCGCTCAGCGACGGTCCCGGTAAGGGAGGGAGAGCGTACGCAGGAGGAGCGGCAAGAATGTACCTGCTAGCATCAACAGGCTCTGTCTTGACATTTGGAACGCCACTGTAAGGACCTGTGGCATAGTGTGGGTGTCCTTGTACGATATGCATAGGATGTTGAACATTGTAGTGGGGTTGCTGCTGCTGTTGCACCTGTTGTTGAGGCGGCTGATGTCCCGACTCGAACTCCGCGACGTGTGACGCAATCACTTTGTCTTCCCATTTCTGTAACCGTCCAACAAAATTGACAGAATGAATGCACAACGAAGAAGGCGAGACTCACCCTTTGCAATTCCGCCAAGACGTCCTCCGGGACGCCGTATTCTTCAAATTCGGGCTTAATAGCATCGATGACATCGTCGATGACCGCTCGGTACACGTTGGGCTCAAGAAGCGGGAGCGTTACTTGGGATTCTACTACCCACAGCAATTGGTGCATAGCTCACCACTATCTTATTTGACATCTCGACGCTGGGCTAGGGCACGACTGGGTGTCAGGAGACACGGCGGCGGGCACTGCTGGGGGCGTTGGTGGTAGGAGGCAGAACAGAGGGCTTTTATACTTGATGCGGATTAGTCCATGACCTGTGATTCAAACTCCGACTTGCCATGCTGGCAGCGCACAGGACCCTATGCACGTGACTCAGACGCGCCAATTAACCCCGTGCCTTCAAGGCTCTCCAATACTTTGGTAATACCGTACCCTCGCTGAACGGCTAAGGAGCACTCGTGATCTTTGAAGCAAGAAATAGGTTTGTCCAAACTAAATAAATCCCCCCGATCCCCTTCCCGCCCGAACAGGTAGCCTGTTCCGGGGATGCTCTCAATCAAGGCGGAAAATACAGAAGCGAACGCGGTTACATGTCTCCCATGACACTGGAGGCATGGAGGATTCTTCGGGCTAGTGGTCGCCGCAGGTCCAGTTCGGATGGAGGTGACCCCAGTATGCCGGCGTCAGAAAGTGACAGACGCGAAGAATGCAGACGGGCGCATGTAGAGAATCGAGAGAGAGAGGTCTAGGAGAGTAAATGGTTCATTTGCTTTGAAGACGACGCTGTATATGGCTTTCCAACATGAAGCGAGCCGAAGCTAAATGTTAGCGAGACAGGCTGGCTCCTGCGCCTGGGGCATAGCTACCCGTATATTATTCTTTCTACTACGAGAAGTACCCTTCCTCGCAAGATATAATCGGGTTTATTATCACATTATTTTACGTTTTTGAAGTTAAGAAATTTACAGACTTGACTTTAGCATTATGAGGCACATGAATGACATCATCTGTCAAAGCTCGGGATCGTATGTTTGGCTCCGTCGCTGCCACAAACCAAACGATCACAGGCTGCGATCGCCTCAACGAGCCAACTCAACAAAATGGCCCCCTTTCATGCTTTACCACTCCATCTTACAGCATTTTCGTGGCGTCAGAATATTGCCGGGAGTCATGTCAGGGCCAGTCCAACTTCGTCGTAGTGCACGCGTTAGGACGGCGGTGGCTCAGGCGACGACTGCTGCGGTAGTCAGTGTTAGGACGAGTGTCAAGTCCAGAGAAAATTATCATCGTCAGACGACGACTCGGACCTCACTTCGTTGGAAGATGAAAAGTCTACTACTACTACCGCCGCTGGAAAACAGAAGGCCAAGGGCGTCGTCGTCCCAGAAGGAACAGAAATGGTGAAGAAAAGGACACGGAGACCGAGATCTCCAATACCGGAGCCTGTTTACCTCATTCCCGACGTTGAACGGAAGGAAACAACGTTCAAGGGGCGTTTGGGCAAGTTAATATCATTTGCCCGACCGGAGTCTAACCAGCTTTCTCCTAGGTTACGCATGTTTAAACACTATCTTGCGGAATAAACGACCGGCAGCTGAATCAATATTCTGCTCTCGAACTTGCAGGTTCGTCGGCGAATAGCAGCTTCGAAATTTCAGACTATACATCCACTTATAGAATTGAAACCATCAAGAAAAATGGCTTGGAGTGGGTAAAGGACCTAGGACGGAAAAACTGCCAAGACCTCCTTTCGATTATGCAATGGAATGAAGAAAACGTGGGTTGAACCCTTCCATATCTGCTTTCAAAGTTCACGTTACCGTTCATCAGAACATCCGATTCATGCGTATCTCGTCAGAAATGTTCCCGTTTGCGTCTCACGCAACATACGGATATTCTCTGGAGTACTGCGCTCCTCTGCTCTCACAGGTGGGAGCCTTGGCCTCGCGACTCGGCCATCGGCTCACAACCCACCCGGGACAGTTCACTCAGCTAGGGAGTCCCCGAGCTGAGGTGGTCCAGTCTTCTCTGAGAGAGTTGGAGTACCATGCGGAGATGATGGATCGAATGGGGCTGGGCGTGGATGGGGTAATCATAGTTCATGTAAGTGCAATGTGTCGCTTTTTTGGTTGATCGCCCTGTTGAATTGTCCTTCAGGGCGGTGGCGTATATGAGGACAAAGCTGCCACGATCGAGAGAATTAAGGAAACGATTACTCGAGTTTTGCCGAAGAACGTTAGAGAAAGGTTGGTGCTAGAGAACGACGAGGTATTTCGGTCTGTCACGGTATCCATGACAATTATTCATCCTTTTAGCTATGTTACAACGCTGAAGATCTGCTCCCACTTTGCGAGGAGTTAGACGTCCCGCTTGTCTTCGGCAAGTCGCGTGGTTTGCTCCCGTTCGATGTGTCTTATGTATCTTATCTGTTACGGCCTAGATTATCACCACGACGCGCTCCATCCTTCGTCAATCTCGCGGCGCGAGATTATCGAGCGTGCGAATGCTGTCTGGATACGACGCGGCATAAACCCGAAACAGCACCTCAGCGAGCCGCGACCTGGAGCGGAGACTCTCATGGAGCGTCGGGCACATGCTGATCGTTGTCAGAGCTTGCCTGAGGAGTTACCCGAAGATATGGGTCGGTGTTTTATTTATTTCGGTGTTGGGCGGGTTGACTCATGTTCGCATTGAATAGATCTGATGATTGAGGTGAGTTTTTCAGCCGCAAATCCAGATTGTTTATAGACCCGTCCGGGCGAAGGCGAAGGACAAGGAACAGGCCGTGTTGCATCTGTACCGCATATACGGGCTACAACCTGTCAAGCAGGGTAAGAAACACCTGGTAGTTCTTGGTTTGATTCGTGTTCGTGACAAGTCTTTACAGAATCTTTACGACCACCAGATGAAAATCCGACCAAAGAGACCAAGGGACGCAAATCTAATAAGAAGGGAAAAAAGAAGGAGGAAGGAGAGGAAGAGGCAGATGACCCGGAGGAGGACGTCTATTTGACAGGTTTAGTGGCGCTTGAATCCGAACCCCAGCCGCCAGTGTCCAAGAGGAGAAAGCGAGTACCAGTGGGGACGTAACTAACTGTATTTTGATAATATAGAACCGACGTTGCGACATACAAGGGGCACCGTTGGAAATTTCATGTCTCCTTGATGGCTGCTATAGGTTGCTATTAACCTAAGCTGCTTTCCGATTAAGCGAAGGAAGAGTAAGTTTTCTGGAAGAGCACCTGAAACGATTTTCGTTCATTGCTCAATAATCATTGTAAGGGGCCAGCCAAACCATCGTTTTGGGGATTACCTACCACTCGCCACCCTTTCGCCGCTGTGCGCGCCTTGCCGCAAGCCCCTTAGGTAGTCTCTTTCTGACGAGCAAGCCGCCCGCTGTACGCATCGTAACCCGTGTAGCCGAGATGTAAGAATATTCATAGCGTTTATACTGTATTTGCAATTTCATCCTGAGTCTTTCGATATTCTTGGTACAGCGTCCTCCCCGTCGCGTATATTTCTCAGAAGGAAAAGTGATATCTAGTAATGATTGCACCATAAAATCACTAATATCACGGACGATTTGATGCTTTCAGAAGCTTTTAGTTACCCGCCATCATGACTTTCGGGAACTTCCTGTGCGAGCGATCGTATTTTGGTCTTGAATTAATTCCGCGAAACGTCGAACTCGTCCGTGGAACCACGTATTGGTCTATAGATATACTAGACGCATATCAGGACCGTGAGACGTGATCTTGTCGATGAAGTTGACATTTTCGCGTCTACTTAATGAATATGCTGATGGTGGTGACTACTATCGTTTTAATCCACTACTTAAGGGGCAGTGGGCTTTTCCCCGCTGAGATGAGAGGAAGCTGTCCTGATGTTCCGTGTACTATTAATGGTCCCATAATATTAGCATGTAGTATTAAAAACGTTCCGAATACTAGTATAGTACGCGGCTTTATGACAAGTTCTGATAACTCCACAATTGGTGTATACTTATGTCATCCAAAATATGTGGAGAACCTGAGTGCTTCACATTATATATATTTCTGACAATATTGAGGATCGCGCCGGCACATATGGTGGTGCACATTCTGAGGTGGAGACAGGCAGGTTTGTCATGATGTTTGTAGTAAATATAAGTTCCAATTCAAGCCCATGGCGACGATGCGCTATAAAGTACTGCCGTCCATACGTCTGTATAATGGGATGGAAATGTCAGACTTAGTGGTGAAATTCGAGATGGGACTATACCACGGACAGATAAATGCATTGTAGTTAAGTAGTATCGCGAGGAAAACGCTGGTAGTAAGTTGTCGACTTTAGGACGTCCCCTTCCTACTGACACCTAAATCATGATGGTACAGGAGCAGTTGGCTCGTCAGACATTGTCACCAGACTACAATCCATCTATTAGACACTAAGAAGTTATATTAGTAGGTATTTCATGGCTGGAAAATCGGCACGCATCTGGAACGGCGGTGGCAAGAGCGGGGTTATCACAGAGGTGGGCCAGGAACGAGTGGATTTGAATGGGTCGCGGCTATCGACTTGGAATTATCAGCGGCCCGTTCTGGTCAATCTTTCATAGAAAATACGGGCGGGAGGGGAAGCCTGGGAAAAGGTCGAAAGTTCAAGATCCAGCATACGACTGTACCACGGGAGCTCAGAGCAGGTATCCTTGACTATTGCTTGCTTGCTAACCTCTATTACGGCTGCAATGCTCGGTAATTTGTAAAGGAAGGAGAGCCCCAAAGCTTGATAAAGTATCGACCGTAAAATGGCAGTCATTCATGAGACGCCGCGGTTGGAATAAGCCACCAGTTCTAGTTTTACTATCTCTGACTGTCGCAGCAGAAGGATGAGCATAGGCATGACCAGAGGAAGTAGTGGAAATGCGGAGGTTCCTAAAAGGATATACAATTGGTTATAATGACAAGATTGTAGTGCCAGTCACCTTGCCACAAAAATGGGGGAGAAGGTTCATGTACATACTACCTTTTGGGGGACAACATACGCAAAATCAACAGCTGCAGGTTTAGATTCCCCTAACGGTCTTTGAATTTATGTCAGCTACCAAGCTTTGGATGCTTCTGGCGCTGATAACGAGCAAAGAAAGAGAGGGGGGAGGGCACGGAAGCTCGCACAGCTTTATATGGTATCTTGTGTGCTTTTAAGGGCAGAGTCAATGGTCAAACAAGCGGCTTTTGGTGTAGGAGGGATCCCAGAGCAAAGTGCCAAGTGATTGTGATACGCCACAATGAACCATGTACAAATGTAGCTTCAGCGCTGTATATCGTTGATAGCATCATTCCTCTACAGACTCAAAAGCCCAGAAAGCCGAGAGAAATGGAAAGGACTGAACAAAGTTCCGGGGGGAACGGTGTTACATCCTTTCGGAACCGGAAGTATTTTTTATGATCCCAGTGAGTTTAGGAGACGATGTACGGCAGAGCAACACGTGTATAGGATCCGAGAAAATCGCCCAATAGCGGAGGAAGGCGAAAAATGACACAAGATGTCAGGAGCAAGCAGAAGTTTAAGGAGGGACAGCAGTGATTGATCGACTCGGAAACGTGGAAGTGCAGGGTTGCCCCCTCGATTAAGTACAAAGTCGTCGAGTCCAAGGATGGAACAATGGAATTATCGATAGTTGCAATTACGCTGAAGCGACGAGCGAGGTAAGGAACACGCATTTTTAAAGAAAACAAGGAATTCTCCCTACGGCTGTCCGGATCGAGAATAAGGTAATATGGGCACGTGCCTTTTTTCTCGAGTCCGCCACCAAATTGCTTCTTACCTTTTACTTTCATCGTCGTTTTATCTTTCTTTCCTTTCCTTTCTGTGTGGCCTCACCGGGGGTCGTCTGCCGATGATCTGGTCGTACAAGCGCCCGTCCCAGCCTGTCACCATCAAGAACGCCATTTGTGACGCTGCGCTGTACAATACATCTAATAGGTTCCCACTGCACCATCCATCTGGTTCTCAAGAAGCGCCATCCGTAAGCCGGTCCGAATACATACCAAGAATATCGAGGTGAGCTCACGGTGTGTATGCGTAGGAGACCAAACGAGTCTGAATCTGTGAACCAGGTGAGTGGCGGAGACTGTACGCGTAGGAGCCTACGACGGACTGAGCAGATAGAAGAAACCGAAGAAACAAAGCGTTACCTTCCTTCTCAATTGAACCGAACCAAACGCCAGCCGAGCGCGTTCCTTTACTTCACCCATGAGCGACACTCGCCGCCCAACCTATGTATCTCGACCAGACCTCTACACAGTCAATGCGCTCAATTCGTTTTCGTTTGGGAACGTCCAGACCTCTGTACCAGTGACTTCTCCTTCTATCGGCCCGCTTGATGACCCCGACGACGATGCCCCCGGTACAATCGATGTTACCCCCCGCCCATCCGTCGTAGACCATAATGCATACCGCTCCAGTCAGTATCGTGGCAGTCCCTACCGCAGTCATTCATCGCAGAATTATGATCCAGGTCATGATCCAGGGCCACCGCTACCCTCCCGACGAGATCCCTCACGAAATCACTCTTCGGATACCGCGTCGAGGCGGACATTTGAGACTTCCTCTGCCTCTGCCTCAGTTACGAGTCTTTCCAGCATGGGACCCTCCTCTAGCCACCTGACTTCGGCTACGACCACTGACGATGAGCGCGAAGAGCGCGGTGTAGAGTTTGATGACGACTATAATGACTATCATGACGACGACATCGAGATCAGCTCGGTAATGTACGAAGGAAGTAGCGTTGAAGGCCCTGCAGTAAGTGGGAGGTGGATGGGAAGTCTGTCAAGTTTTGCCAGCGGCTATGGCGAGCGGAGAGTTAGCCTTCCTATCGCGGTACCAGGGAGTAGCAGCGCTAGCACCAGCAATGATGGAAGGCGAACCGATATCCTTACACTACGGAGACCAAGTAAGAGTCTGGACGAGGACTCGATGTTGTCCAACATCCATTCTTCTGCAGATTGCCAGACTTCATCTTTACCGGAGAGCGATGGTGATTGGCGAAGTCTGAATGCAAAAGGCAAGGGAAAAGCCAGAGAAGAGTCGCTACCACCACTGCCGGCTAAAGTCACCGTAGAATCACAAGACTTTGATCTCGACTGGAATGCCTTTGGACGGGGAATTATTTCGTTTGATCAGCCAATATCTGACATTGTCAGCACGGCGGACTCGCGGCGTGGTTCGACGAGCCGATCGCTGATGACATGGGGTCGTAGACCTAGCACAGCGACGACAGGGAGTTCCTTTAGCAACGATGATATTTTTACGCGTCATGTTGCGAAAGGGGATCCTTATTATAAGGACCAGAGAAAGGTGTGGACGTTCCGGCGAGATCAGTCGGAGGGGAGCGGGGGACCACCAGTGTCGAAGAAAGGTGGTTTGCTGAGTCCCCGCGGGAGCATGAATGAGAGGGAATTATCGGAAAGGGAGAAGCGAGAGAAGGAGGCTCGATCGGTCGCGAATTGGAACGGTATGCCCCCGAATTCACATGAAATTTGGAGGAACCCCATGGTCGGTAGGTTCAAAGTCGAGCGCAGGACCACTCCGAGAAAGGAAGAATGTCTGTCCATTTTATTTCTATTTAACATGTCTATTTTTCTGATTTCATCTCAGCGTCAGATGTGACAGTTCGAGGACCCGTTCAGAGACTACTAATCGATCACTTCCGTGATGGAAGTCCTACTAAACAGGACGATCCTTGTGTCACGGTTCACAAGCACTCTAAGACGGTCGCATTTTCTATTTCTCGGGCATACAGATCTAGGAGGCGGAGATCGTATGCAACAAGGCCGACTTCCTCGACGACTTCCTCGAGCATGATTCTGTTGGCTCCAAGGAGCGTGCAGGAGGCATATACCAGCACTACGACAACGAGAAAACTGGAAAGCCATGGACTCCTAGACGAACGACGGGAAAGGGACAAGAGCGTTGGGAGAAAGGAGAAAGAGAAGGACCGCAGACGAAAGGTGTCCGGCACGGATGATAGCTCGAAGAAGAGTAGGAAGAAGAATGAGCAGTCGAGTGTTGGCAGCGTGACATCGAGGCCTGTTTCCACTACGGAAACGACATCGTATGGTCCTCCACCATCCAGCGCATCGTCTTCCACCACAGATCACTCGACATCGTCATCTATCCGCCCTCTTCGACGACGCAGACGTGATACGTTGGATTCGGACGATGATATCCCTCCACGGACCCCTCATAGCGAGACGTACGGTACGATCGACGTCGCCGAGCTCAACCAGCTTCGCGCACGGCAGCACCAGACGCACCACAGCACCGACGATCTAGGCGGCAGCTTTTGGAACCGTTTCAGACGGGGACGATCGACACGCGCAGTGAACGGGCAACTGCCTGCTCAGCGAGACGTGTCCTACCAGCCTCCCTGGGTGACGCTGGAGTCGCGTAACCGGCAAGAACAGACGCAGCGCGTGGTGGATAACCTGAACCACTCGTTCCAGGAAGTGGGGTTGCTGCAAGTGAACACGAAGCCCAAGCCGGGAGCGAGCCGTAGCAAGACCAAGGCGCGTGTGGAGAAGGCTGTGTGGACGGAGATTTTCAAGGAGATCCCGGAGGAGTCGTTGTATATGCTCATCCCGCTGTGGCCGTCTGATACGGACCCGGTATCGGCGCAGATACCGTACGAGAGGCCCGTGGTGGATCGACAGTACCTGCTTGTGTGCTATAAGGCGCCGGAGACGAGTCAGCCTGCGGTTAAGCACAGCAAGAAACGCTCAGTGGAGAATAAGAGCAAGTCGCCGACGTCTTCCTGGGATTCTTCAATGCAGAAACGAGACGAGCGCAACATTCTGTTGAACGAATTTCGGATAACTGGGAGGCTGGTGTCGCATGCTGATATCCAGGGATCAGGAATGCGCGTGTCGGAGGGGATCATCGTGACTGGGTCGCTCAAGGAGGCGTATGATACACGGCCACCGCTGGCGAATCCAGGGACGAGGCTCATTGGGCAATGTCGGAATCGAGAGCAGGGTGTGGAGTTTGATTCGGACGGGCTGCTGTCGTTAGGGGTTGTGTTTGACGAGGAATCCATACCCTCCTGGCATGATCGCTGAGGAAATTGAACCGTCACAACCCAAACCAGAGCAGGTCCTTACACCGATTGGGAAGGCTGTGGTAGAGATGGTGTGGATTGGAGCGTTGGCGCTGACAAGCTTTGGATCGGTTGGTTAATTTCCTTTTGGTTTCGATTTTCGATTTCGTGATAATGTAGTTTTGCGTTTTGTTTCGTTGTTTTTGTCATTTGTTGTTGTTGTTTTTGCTTATACTGTCTATGCACAAGTTTTTTTACGCACTGCTATCTTAAATGTTGATGCTTGCTGTAGGAGGATAGGGTACGATCACACGTACATACGCGTCGTGGATGACAGGTTTCGCATGGTCGGAATGTTCTAGAGGTCGGTTAAAGTCGGAGTTTTTACCTCCTTTTTTGGTTGATTTAGTCCCTGAGTTGGTGGCTGTATTATCGCGAATGATTGATCCCATGTTCCGGACTTCGTATTCGAGATCTTGGAATTTTCATCGCGAGTGGAATCTTTATCTTTCAAGTTGTCATCCGAGATCCTGCGTTCACAGGAGGTTAGGCGGGCGAAGCATCAGTACTACTATGACAGTGCTACTACACTGCGCATAAACTGGGAAAAGCAGACTACCAACGAACCTTGTCCAAGTTAAAAGAAGTCCTAGTTCTCGGCACAGTCAGAGTAACGCATCAAGATATTGAAATACAGATAAAGACCGTTATGTACTTGGAAAAAAGAGAAAGAAACGTAAAAGGGTATATAGAAGGTATAAAGGTCCACTATGTATGTTCTTAAATATCAACTTTAGTATGGGGCCAACGGAGAGCTGGGGGAGCTTGCCGCAGCAAGACGACTTTCGAGGTTTCTGACAGGTAACACATCAACGAGTGAATAGGTAACAAGGTTTTCGTACGACCCACCGAAGTGATTCCTCTTTTGCCAAGAGTTGTTGCCTCCTCTCATTAATCTCGCGTTGCACACGGAGCTCGACTTCGCGCAACTGGAAGCACCGTAAGTGGGACTCGGTAGTAAACCTGGATAGCGTACCTTCTCTTCTTCACGGCGAAGCTGCTCTTCCTTCAGTCGTACACTCTGGTTAGCCAGATCCTCAGGAAGTAGACTCGAGTCACTGCAGGTATTGACTTGTCAGCAGGGGCTATCGAAGAGGTACCATAAAGCATACCGCGCATCAGAGTTAACACCGCGAGACAGCTTCTCCGTTCGGTAAGTCTCGTAAAGCACATCTTCGGTGAGCGCCTTCAAGTCGCCGAGGTGAGAGCTTGAACGAAATCGCTATTAGGTGAAACGAGATGGATGTGAACGTGACAACAGACCTCAAGATCGCACTTCTCAATCGTGAAAAGTCAGAGTGTTGAGGATTATCGACCTCAGCAATACCCCATGGGTACACCCTGGCGCGCACAGGTTCTCCGTCAAGTTCGATTTCCTCTTCGGATCCAATCACCGCGAAGGGGAGCATGGACTTTAGGCGCATCAGAAATGATATTGCGGCGGCTAGAATGAAATATGAATTACCCGCAACTCCATGTTTTCTTGGATGGTATCTTCGTCGTCTTCCTCGACATCATACGGGAAGTTGTATATAGGAATGTCGTAGTGTTCAATGTCTTCCATTACCTGTCAATTCTCATAAGAAAGATGGAATTCAGGAGCAGAGATCACCATACCCTCTTCTTGAAGGCTCTTAGTTCGCTCTTTGTTAAAGAGTCCGCACGTCCAATGACGGGAATAACGTTGACACGAGGGGAGAGTCTTTGCATAAGGATTACGTCCATTTCCCTCAATCTGTGGAAAGAAACACGTAAGAAAAAGTCGCTGGGGTCGGCAAGATACGCACGCGTGGCCGGTGGGAGGGATGAAATACAGCAAGGCGTGGACCCGACTGTCTTTGAATCGTGGGTTACGTTTGATACGAGACTGCTCCGCCAAAATGTCATCGTATTGACGCTCGAGATAATTGACGATTTCTTGAAACCTAAATGCGCAGTGTCAGTGGACCGAGCCCATATAACAACTGGAAGGGATGTTTGCTCACGCGGACTCGTTATCGATGTTATCGCCGAATCCTGGCGTGTCGACGACGGTGAGGGCAATTCGGATCCCATCCTCTTCGAGTTCTGCGAGGTAAAAAATAAATAAATATCTTTTCCATAAAGTCGACTAGACTCCACACACCGACATTGTGAGGCTTGATTCGAATGGGCTCCTCAACATGAGCATTGTTTGGGTCGTCGCAAACTTTGTGAGAGAGGACGCCAGATTCGCAAAGAGTGTTTACAAAGGTTGTTCTGCCCGTTCCCGAGGCGCCTGAAAAGTACAAAATCTGAACAAGCATATCCAGCTACCATCGAGGACTACGTACCAACGACCATAATAGTGAACTGGACGCCCTTGATTTTGTTTCCTCGTCGTCGGTAAGCCATGATAACGTTCCTGCTTAGCGGTAGAAGATGATGGTTGTAACGAAGGGACGAGGCAACGGTCAAGCTATAATGGGCCGGATATTGCCGAAACGCACGCGAGCGAGGAGGGTAAATTTTTGTTCCCCTCCATACTCATCACTCTGTCGACATGGGAGAAGGACAACACCACCACAGGCCAACACTAAAGCAGGTGTGATAGACGTTGAATCAATATTTAGACATATCTTAATTATTTTCAGCAAAATAAATCATTCAAATCTAAGCACGCAACAAAATCATCGCTCAAGGATGCCGCAAAAGGTGAGTATTGCTTGCATCTCACTGCCTATGGTATTAAAAAATTCGCAGGTCGTGTGGCTCGTCAGTCACCAAAGGTTGTCGTGTCGTCAAATACAGCTGCGCAAGCAAGATTGAACCGGAAAAACAACGCGAAGCAACAACAGTTGAAGAAAAGAAATGCACTCATTTCAGCAACCCGTGTATTCAATGGTGTCGACGGTGCACCTCGGATAGTTGCTGTCATTCCCCTTTCAGAGGATGTAAATGTCCATACCATCGTTTCTGCTCTTGCGGAAACTCTGGATGTTTCGACCGATGGCTTTGTAGAAGGGGGACTCTGGAAAATGAGGTGTGTCGAACCATCCAGTTCTTCTGCTTGTATTTGACTCAATTTGAAGGGCGGACCGCTTTAAAACATCATTGCAGTTCATCAACGTACCGTACAGACACATATATGCCGCCTTAGACGCGTGCAAAGTGGCTGACTACGTTGTCTTTGCATTGTCAACCACCGTCGAAGTCGATGGCTGGGGTGATACCCTCCTCCGTACTCTCCAAGCCCAGGGATTACCGGACGTCGTAACCGTGGTCTCTCCCGATTCTTCAGTTGACGCCAAAACACGTCCAGGCATCATCAAGTCCTTGCTCTCCTTCATTCAATATTTCGTTCCTGTTCAATCAAGAGTATTCGACTTGGAATCCAGCTCTGATCGTTTGAATGCTTTGAGGGCCTTGTCAGAGGGCAAGCCTTCCGACGTTCGGTGGCGAGAAGGTCGGTCTTGGGTGCTCGGTGAACACCTAACCTGGAACGAAGGCACTTTACAGGTCACTGGTGTAGTTCGTGGTACTAGTATGTCTCCTAATAGGCTCGTTCACATACCGAACTTCGGAGATTATCAAATTTCTAAGGTGCGTAGGTCTTTTGATAACGTTGTATATTTGTGTGAATATCTTTCCAGATCATGTCGGCACCACTACCTCGACATTCGAAGTCAAATCATGCTTCCATGGATATCGAGCCAGTTAATCTCGCCGAACCCGACGCCTCATCAGCCGATTCATTGGTGTCTTGCAATGACCCGGACGATATGGCCAACGAACAAACATGGCCTACCGAAGAGGAGATGAATGGTGCTCCCGGAGACGACGGCGAGTATAGCTTACCTGATGCCAAATCCGGTACAACGCCAAAGGTTGTCAAGCGCATACCAAAAGGCATGAGCGAGTACCAGGCGTCGTGGATCGTGGATGAGAGCGATGAAGAAGATGAAGGCGATGACGATGAAAAGGAAGACGAGGAGATGGAGATGACCGGCGCCGAGTCAGAGGAGGAAATGGTTGATATGCAGATGGATGAAGATAATGACATGGAAACTGATGCTCGACGAGGCGTCACTTTTCAAGATCTGGATCACGAAGAGGAATCTAAACAGTATGTTCCCTCTCCTATGTGCTTTGCAGGATAGTAATTATCTGTTTTACTAGGTTGCAATCTTGGAGGAACCGAGAGCGGGAGGAAGAGAATGACCTCTCATTTCCGGATGAAATCGATACCCCTCAAGACGTGTCTGCTCAAACACGTTTCCAGAGGTTCCGCGGTATGCGATCCTTCCGAACGAGTCCCTGGGATCCATTTGAAAACCTTCCCCGGGACTACGCCCGCATTTTTCAATTCGAAGACTATAAACGGACGGAATGGAATGTCAGACGACGTGCGGAGCAGGAGAACACAGTCGTGGAGGTACGTTCACTGTATACTCTCGTTCATGTGGTTCTTCTATTGATATTTTATACTCGAAGCCGGGTACTAGGGTTACAGTTCACATTAATGGAGTGCCAGAGGAAGCAGCGAAGTGCTCTCCGCTCACTCTTTTCTCCCTTTTACAACACGAACACAAGGTTTCAGTGCTTAATTTCACGGTCCAGCGGAACACCGAGTATGATGGAAGTGTTCGATCCAAGGTATGATGTCGTCGATGACATGTATCGGGAGCTCACCGTGGGCGATTTATAGGATCCTTTGATCCTGTGTGTGGGACCGCGGCGACTGAATGTTAACCCTATCTATAGCCAACACACACGAGGTGGCGGTAAAGGTGCTAACAAGGTGCACAAATTCGAGCGATTCTTCCGGCATGGTGTTACAGCGGTTGCTACCACTTATGGACCGGTGGTGTTTGGCAAACAACCCTGTGTTCTGCTGAGAGAGACTTCGGATCCGCAGGGTGCGTATAGATTATCGGGCTCTCGTCCTGTGAGAAAAGTCATTTGACAGTCTGTTCTAGCTCCACACCTTGTGGCTATGGGTACTTTCCTTAATCCAGACACGACGCGTGTCATTGCGAAGCGCGTCATCCTAACGGGACACCCATTCAAAGTTCACAAGAAGACAGCAACAGTCCGATATATGTTCTTCAATTCCGGTTGGTTATATCTTTCCATCTAGGGTCAATCTCGTGTTTAACCGATTTTCTTGTATAGATGATATCCATTACTTCAAACCGATACAGCTGCATACCAAGCACGGCCGTATAGGGCATATCCGGGAATCTCTCGGAACCCATGGTTATTTCAAGGCTCACTTCGATGGTCCTATCAATCAGATGGACACTGTGTGTATGTCTCTTTACAAGCGAGTTTATCCCAAGTGGGCAACTATGTGGAGAGAACCCGTGGTTGGCGAGGATAAACCATCGGATGTTATGGAAGAATAATAGTAGGATTAATACGCTTGTTTGTTTTTGCTTATCCTCTGCCTCAGGTTCATAGATCTATCCACCAGGCTGTCTCAGCGCCCAAAACTACTTCGTGCATCGATTATAGATTTCAATATGAATAAATCGTCGCAATCGCGTCCTATCTTTGTGACCAAGAAATACAAAACTGTCAATGATTGATGTAACGGCAATATCACTGCTGCGTATACTGCTGCAGATCCGCAAACAGATTTGGTGAACGAAAAGCCGAGTATGCGAATCGATAACAATACCAGAGGCAGACAAATGTGGCAAGTTGCATCGGAGCTTCCTTGAGATCTTGTGGCGAAATTGAACACGGACTGGCGGAACAGCCGTGCATGATAGGCTCGAGTAAGCTCCAACACACCCATAAATCAAGCTTCGATCTGAATAGACTCGACTTGTATGTAGCACTTCACTCTGAAACCAGTTTGGTCCGTGGCTCAGTCCGTCGGGGCACTAGCTGTGACCTCTGACCACTGTAGAAGCACTACCTGGTTCATGATGCTTCGTGATAGGAGCTCCCTTTTTTCGCCAGCGCACCACTATCAGTGACACCAGTTCTGAAAGTATCCAAGGAGCTGTGAATCTTGGTACGTAAATGATTATTCGTCTTTTTTAGAACACGCGTAACGGCGGTCACTTTCAGCTCAGACAGTTCATCTCAAAGTCTGCATTTAATACATGCATTGATCTTGTCAGACTCACATTCGATGCGACGGATAACCCTGTCCTACTCTCAGGTAAATCCAGCGGTTCACCAGCTGAAGAGACTATCTCACGGGGACGCGAAGAGAAAACACCTATGTCGGTGTCTCTAGGAAAACTAAGTTACGTTGTCGAAGCTATAAACACCGCGAACGTCAGCACCCTAAAATCCAAGGCCTCCATACAATTTTGCCCCATCTTCTTGTAGCTCTAGTACTTATCCATGTTGCCAAGCTGTGACAAGTTTAAATGTACAAATTAGCAATTTGATCGTCCTACTCCAAGGTTTGCTGGAAAGCTGAATAACAGCAGGGATTGCATCACCCCGCAATGCACGTTTGTACGTCTTCGCATCACCAGTCATTTACTCTGGTATCTACCGCAGCGATTCACCAGGCTCCCAGAATGGAGCCCTCTGTGGCTGTTAGCATACTTGTTGCATGCCAAGAATGAAAATATCCATCCCCCGCCAAATTCACCGAGAAGCATCCGCCAGTGGGTTGAGGCAATCGTCTCTATCACGTCGCTCCACTGAAACTATACGACACATAGACACTCGCTACGTGTCGACATCGCCACATCGCCACATCGCACTAGCGTATGAAATCCTATCTATGATCACGACAATGAAATACCTTTTCTTCGCCATTATTCAGTGGTTTCTAAACGCCGTACAATCTGGCGTTATCCCAACGAAATTCAAATTCAAATACCCCGCCCTTCATAACTTTCTGAATAAGGTCGATTCCGAATGTCGGGATCTAACGCATTTCCGACTCGCTAATCAATATCAATAGATCTTTGTCTTTAAGGCGCAGATAATTAATTTCAGCAATTTCCGACTCGCTCACCGACGCCGGGTTTCTTCAAGTTTGTCTCAAGACGCACCACACAGTATATAAAGATTCCATTCCGTTATTCAATGTCAGTATTCTACAGCATCTCTCAGCATTTCTTATCTTCCTCAATCAACCCATTCACAGCATGGCGGATCCGTCTGGTCAACGGCTCCCGAGCTCGCCATGTAAGATTCGCAATTTGTTTATCAGTAGTACCAAAAATGTTCATCTTCCCAGTGTGCTATATAAATTAAAGACGCGCGACTTTTAATCTCGTAGGCACGAACGTGAGGAAGGGGGATCTGTACGTGACAAAGAGAATGCGTTACAGTAGATAGACCCTGATAAATCGATAGGAACATTCCTTGTCAAGTCGAATGTCATTGGACACAAGGACTGATTTCGTAGAGAGATGACAGATAGACAGATCACAACCGTATTATATTGGCACTGAGGGAAATTTCTTCTCTAATGTAGTCCTGCAGCATACACCCTCTTCCAACTGTCTCTCACAATCCAAACCCTTGCATAGTTCCTCACGACTTCAGGAACAGGCTCACGGAAGATCTTCTCCAAGGCCACAAGAGCATCAGCAGCGCTGGTCGCTCCAGACGTAGCAGAGATACGTGTTAACCATGCAGCGACATGATGGAAATCGGCTTCGCCTGGAGTTGTTCCCGCGATGAAGCCGTCAGCAGGGAGGACAGAGGGTAGAATGGTATAGAGATAGTACTTAAGGTTGGAAAAATGCTCCTGAGACTGGGCGTAAAATGCAGAGGGGTTTTTGTTCGTGCCCGTGTATATATCAAGGAGCGCCCCATTCCCAGCAAGCTTTTCGGCGTAGAAAGCTGCGTAGCGGGAGTTAGCAGAATCTTGAGAGTGCTTTACAAGGGTGGCTTGGCCTGAAAATGTGAAAGTTCAATAAATGAAGGTAAAGGAAGGGATGTTGACCTATGATTCTCGACAAAGGTCTTGGGCAACGCGCCAGCTTTGGCGACACGTTCGGCGTCATCGCGAACGAGAAGCAGTGCAAAGTTGGGATCGTATTGGTCTTCATGGACCTGTTCAATGATGGCTTTGTGAGAGGTTGGGGTGGAGAGCGCGTTGGCGCGTTGGCGACAAGGTATAAGATCACATCTGTAGTGTTCCGGTAAGACTTTCCGTCCGCGGTAAGAGTAGGAAGGGTGGCAGATGGGTTGATGCCAATGAATGAGGGATCGAAGTTTTCACCGTTTACGAGATTAACAGTCTTCGTGGTGATGGCATTTGCTGGGTAGAGTTCAGCACTGTGAAAACGTCAGGACGCGGTTTGGTAGTGACTTGAGCGTAATTGTTACGTTCTGGGAACGCAGTTCGGGGGTCAGTAAACTCCACATTTTGGAAGATCCCAATCCAATAACGCCAGATCAGCCACCCAGAACCTCACCTTTGTGTGCACATTTTTGTCGCCCTTGAATTCTCATCTTTCCAGTGTGAGTAAGCATCAACGCCGATTTCAAGATGTATCAGCTATCCTTCTTCAAGGCATGTGCAAGTAACGAACCAAGAAGTGATAGTTCCTGTGATGTCCTTCAACCACTATATGATCAGCATGGTAGTTCTTGGATGGTTCTGTGTAATAGCGAAGAAGCCATGAGTTCCGAGTCCTATGAATATAGGTAATCGGTCATTATGCAGTTGGGAAAGGCTCGTGGGAAAATCTATTCGTGAAATCAATTGGTCTCGGTGATTGCCGGATATCTCGCTCTGTGGGTTGGGTTTACTCCGTGGGAGTTTTCTATTTGTGTGCAGCGTTTGCCGAGCATGGTCTGGGTTCGTCCCGCGGGATTTTTTCTATTCGTGCGCACCCTTTGCTGGCTCGTGCCTATTTTTTGCCCTGTCTCCTCCCGCGTCTGCCGTTGTGTTTCTGTTTTTCTTATTTCCTTTTCTTATTTTCTTTTATATTGTGTGATACGACCTGTATTCCTTCTTTTCTTCGCAGTCCGTTTTTGCTTCGTCCTCTCCCCTTACCTTCTTATGATTATTCTTTCTGCTTGCGTTTGGGGGCTTCTCTTAATGGACTTTTCAACGCAATCATAACATTCGACCGATCTTCTATGTATGTTGTGTCTACATCCCATTGGCCATGCCATGGTCACCGTCTCTGTCGATCACCCTGTTCACCTTCTTCGTTGCCGCGTAATCGTCCTCATCATCGTCTTCCTCGAACCCTATTTTTCTCTTAATTCTTGTAGCCGCTGGCGCCGGCATGTTCTCTGCATTTCTCCTGTCCGCGTTAGCTTTCTGTGGGTGTATCTGATTAGTGCGCTCTTCCTGTCTTATCCATCACGTCACTCACCGACGAATGATCACAATTCACTAGTGCCAATGCCCTCAAGATAGTCTTCATCCTCGCAGTGCCCTCATTGTTCCTCATGAATACCATCGAGCATTGCGCTTCAACAACGTTGCCTACTGGGAAGATTTGTGGCTTCACCGTCACGTATCTGTATTGCGCGGATATCGTTAGTCTCCAGTCATATTGCATGCTCCGTGTCTGACCTTTTTTTCCCCTCGTCGTCAATCATTCCTCTGTAGTAACGTACGACATTGTCCTCCATGTGTATCCACTTTCGTTGGGCTATCCTGCGCAGTACGCCAGCTGGGTCGATGTCGGCTCCGATGGGTATTTCTTCCTCCTCGTTTGCACTGGTTTTGGGCCTGAAATATCTGTTCGTCAGCTCCACCATCTCATATCCCTTCACTGTCACCGGTTTCCACTCTTCTAGTTCTCCGTCCCTGAACTCACACTCTCCCATAACCTGTATTTCCTTGATCGCGGACACGGCTTCGTCGAATCTTTTGCTGCCTAGCCCTATGAGAGGCACGGATTGACTCAGAAATCTAGCCTTCTCCTTCAGCATCCTGGTTGATCTGTGAGTTTGTATCATGTTCGCGTTAGAGTGTCTACTCACCTCGTTTCCTTCATCACAGGCGGCAGGTCCATCGCAAATATGGCGCCGGTGATCGTGAACACTGTCTCCTTTGTGCTTTCATCGTTTGCATTCTGGCGTACGATCCTCCATACTCCCGCGTCCTCGTCTCGCCTGATGGATGCAGCGTTGATCCTGCCATTGTCCTGCGCAGTCGCGTCAATTGTTTTTTTTTTTTGCTCGACTGAAATCTGTACGACGCTTACCTTCATCACCCTAGATAGATGCAGTTTATCCTTCGCAATCCGCTCTGCTATCAAAGATTCAATCGTTTCTTCTGTTTCGCCATCATGTAAGTGACTCAACATCATCTTTGTTTATCGTGGTAACAACTTACTTGCATCTTCCTGGTTGTAGAACCTGTCCATTCCGGTTCTGCTATACATACTTTTGTGAATCTGTGTACACTGAAATTGTCCTACACGTCTCGGTTGTTGGATGAATTGATTGTTGGCACCTTCGTAAACCAAGGCAGCCAATAGTCGATCTGCGGGCCCGATACTGGCTGTACATCAGGCATGGAGGCGCTTAAATCTTCCAGCACATGATTGCGAATGGGTCGTCATAGAACTGTCTCCCGGCATATGGGGCACTTGAGAGTCACAGGACTCAGGGCCGAATAAAATCGGAATAATCTCCTGATTCTCGGTATTTGTCCTCCAGATCTCGAAAGTGACGGGCTAGACAAGGGCAGTGAAAGCTATGGCCACAATCCAATCTGCTAGAATGATCAGGATGACGATACAAACAATTCAGAGTCGAAAAGCTGACATACACACCTCTGTGATGGGGGAGACACAGAAATCACAGCGGATAGCGTCGAAAATTTCGTCTCAAAGCTGTACCGGCAATTAATATACGTAGTTCTGGTGATAAGCTTGTCCTTACATTGCGATTTTGTCTACGACGTTCAGCCGCTTCACGCCAATGAACGCCGGCTCTATGATTCTCTGTTCGCAAAGCCGCGACCTCGTCTTCCAAGTCAGATATCTGCTGACTCATCTGGTACCGCTCCTGTAGAGACAGTGAGGACACCGGTGCAATACAATGGCAATGACATACCTGGTATTGCACAACTCTCCATCAATCAGCATCCGCCCTTTCCCTGAAAGCTCGGTCGTTCGCTTCTTTCGCTTCTCTTTTGAGATTGTCATTGGACTGAGTAGAGATATCAGCCCTACAACGAAGGCATACATCATACTTCCAAGAGCTCTGCAGTGGACTTCCGCAAAAGCTCTACTTCAGTCATATGCCGATGACGGGGCATAGCAAAGCAACCAGCAAAAACTCGCAGAAACAGACTGGCAGGAGAGCAAAGTACCTAGTGGGATAGCGAGGGGAGCGATCATGCACAGAAGCCCTCTTTGATATTCGAGATCTTACTGTTTCCCATGAATTACTCGGCGCTTTGTGGACTTCATCTTGTCGGTCAACGTCTCCCTTCCCTTCCACGTTTTTTATCGGTTATCCCCTGCCACGCCTTGGTGTACCAACGATTTCCAGAACAAGTGTGACGAAGATAGGACTCGGTTTTGCCACCGGATGAGCTGGCCCACACCCACTAGTCAGTCAATGAAGCCGTTCCACTATTCAGGGTCGCAGATAAACGGACCGTAGATCTTCAGCCCCTCATTTTGGAGGAGGCAAACATCCAACCAAGCAAATTTAATGTTGTAGTTATAGAAAGCCTTGTAGCACCACTGGATGACTTTCCATAACGTTTAGAATGGGTTCTAAATTCAGATTTCGTTCTAGAGTGTGACTTGCCGACATGCCGGTGCGATTGGTAAGCTGTTTCAAAAATTTCAGGATCGTTCGACCCACTTCCAAACCACCCATCTGGATGAGGCCTCGGACCCCTCTTCCAGCTTCTAACCGTCATCCAAACCTGTTCCAAATGCCAGCTTCCTCTTTTGGGATGCCGTATTTCAATTTCCTTTCAATTCCGATCAGGTGACGACACGCTCCTTAATTAGCTGGCAATAATTTAACTGAACTTGTACTTTTCCACCCTCCCGACACACCGTTGAACCGTGAAAATGTTGAGGATGCTCACCAATTTGCCCTCAGATCAGTTTCCTGTCAGTTTCCCCGGTTTTGTCCTGTCTGCTGGCCAATAACATTCTATTTATGACACCCTTTGCTCATCCTGTCGCAATTTTGTGGGAGATAATGAAGGGTGGGACTCTGATGTTTGGGAAAAGATGTATCCTACAGAGACTTTGCATTCCGTCATCATGTAATTTCGCTGAGTGGTGATGTGTTCTTGCCAATATAAAGTGCGGGCATTTTTTGTCTTTTTCAGCACATCCTTGAAGCTTACTTGCAGCACTAGCTGATATTTATATTCTCTATGTCTGATCCTGTCCACCCCCAGGAACTCCAGTTCTTCACCACTGAGGATGGCCGCCATTCCTATCTGTGTCATCCATGTGGTCAGAGTCCAAAAGCAGAGCAGATCAAGATCGGGCAAAGAACTGTTTATTTCAGAATCTACAAGGTCAAGGATAACGGTGTTATGGTTTGAAAATCTACGATACTTGGATTCTAAATAATTTTAACATACATCTGAAAGTCCTTTTGGAACTCCAAATCGTTATGGAAAGTCATCCACTAATTGCACAAAAGTACAATTACAAGTAACTCCTAACAATTATGCGATTGCTGGAAAATATTATCCCCGAGCAATCCTTCTTTTGGGAACGTGTTGGATGAGTGGCGTGGACAATCGGAACTCGAGGAACGAGGAATAGAGACAGAAGCACTTCAAGAAGTGTACCTGTGTTCTTGAGCCGTTTGATTCCCCCAAATCTTTTGCTACATGTATCCAGTTGGATAAGCATCGATCAGAATATAACGGCGGCCCAGTTTTTGGACCTTTGGAACCTTTTGAATCCGTCTTCGTTGTTATAGCGGTTAAATAGAACCCTGACCTACCAGCTCCACTTCCTGATGGGAGTGTTGGGCATGATTCAAGTACCTGTGTGACCTAACTTGAAATATAAATTTCAATCTCCCATTCCTATGGACAATATTCCCGTATCAATAGGCCGCTGTCCGAAAATGACGTTATACATTGTCTATAATATATATTCCACGTAGAAATTTGAAGCCTCTTGAGAAGCTTGTGATCGCCTGGAAGGAGCACGACGTCATACCCTGAGATCTCATCAGTTAGTCGACATGATGCCTCGACCGCTCATGAGACCGCGTATGATGCAACAACCGCCTGGGTCGACGACCCCAGACCAAAGAACCGTAAACCACTTTACAGGGTGTACGGAGGGATAACGAACACAGGGATAGATATACAGTAGCAGCGACAGTGAACTTCATGAAACAGAACAGGTTTTCCCATCAGTATTTATGCTGGAAGTGGTCATCAGCGACGAGTTAGAGCATCCTCGGACGACTCACAGAAGGAATGATAAAACGGTACAAGTCGCCGATGTAGTGCTATACCACCAATGAGCTTGCAATTGGCTTTGTCTGCGACTCGGAAATTTTGGCAGATGCTTGGACTGAGGAAAATCGATTCGTGAGGCCGTTAGGTAGACAGTAAAGTAGCAGAGAAACGTACGCATGCCCTGCAGCCTTGCAGAGACGTTTGGCGGTACTTTGGCCGCAGCGACTTTATCAGGCGATAGGTGCGCACTGTACATAGAAAATTGACGAAGCGTGTAAGCTGCTAGCTCTCGAGAATAACGTAGTTTCTCTGCTTCAGAGGAGGATGAGGGAGCCATGATTGACAAAGAATAACGAGAGCGCGATGAATACGTTCGTATGGGCACGCCAAATCAGAACAGCCGGAGATCTCAATAGCAAAGCCGGGCGCCTTTATACACCTGCGAACACCATGACATCACAGCAATCGGGGTTTTGCCAAATTATAATAATTAAAAAATTGAATACAGATATTCACCGACGAAAAAGATTAGGACTCCACGATACGATTCGTCGAATGATATCAGAAGACCACGTCCATAGCTCCTCTAGTAGTCCGTCTAGGCCCCCACGTTCGTCGAAAGATAGTTCATGGTCGGGTTTTTCAGTTGCAATAAATCGAAGAACGTCTTTCACGGTTACTAGCCCTGTGAGCATGCCATGATCCTCGACTAAAATAACTCGAGGCCTGCATATTGGGGATTCAATCTACGTCAAATCATGAAATTTGATCGAGTCATACCCCATTTTTTTGAAAAGCTGCATCACAATCTCTAAGGGGAGTTGCCGTGATACCGTCATCGGCGTCTGTGGAGCAGACGTGGGTATGAGAGAAAAATCATCTGAGGCATCAATAGACGCACTTGGTTAACCCAGGGCCAGAACTTCAGGCCTTCATTGGTTGACGCTGTCTGTAGTATTGTTTCCGAAAAGTCCTCCTCAATACCCACGGATCCAGCGGGCATATTCAGACGTTCTCTATCACGATCGTCGGAAATAAAAGAGCATGGGGTGTCCGAGTCAACATCCCGGATCTTCCTGAAACGATCTGCTCGAGATTAAGTAAAAGTAAGGTGTGATGGGCCTTGCATACCAAGGATGAATTGTAGTTCGGCGCGTCCGATGTAACCTATCAGAGTCCGAAAACCATCGGCAGATACTATGGGAAACCCTTTCACATTCGTGGCGGCGAGAATCGCCTCTAGTGTTTCAATCAAACCAATGATCTCTGACTTGTAATTTCGGAGGCACCTACCGACGTCCTTAACCTGCATACCGGTCTCGGTCAAGACATGCAATTCATTTCGCATCACGGCAGATACTACGGGCACATCAGACGTGAAAAAGAAGTCCGTAACAATATGACGCACCAGAAACATTGTACGCGTGGTCTTCTTTTTCTAGGAAAGGGAAACCGTTAAACCTGATCATTTCGTCAGCGATTCCGTTAGTGCCCAGGAGGTCACCGACGGCTTTGGTCACTAAAAGAACGATCTATGAACCATGTCGAACCATTCAGATTGACATCAAAAAAGTACGAAATTTTTACCATCGTTGGTAATATGTATGTCAAGGCTCCCGTCAGTTCGAACATGATTACAACGACAGTGACCGTTATTCTCATGACACCGCTACGAAGCATCGTCAGGATGAGTTGGAAAGTGGTCGAAAGATTTACCTGAGAGCCGCAGCCGCACCTAGAAATGCGTATGTCCCGGGGGTGATGCAGGGTATGTTAGGGTCGCACCAAGCGAAGATGCCTGACTGAGGATAGGCTCTGTCGTCGAAGCACAGTCAAAACATGGTGGAGCTTTAGCAAATAGCACTGACCGATACATGGCCCGAACGATGATGCCCACCATCCTTCCAAACGTAGCGCCGATCGCCATTGAGGGTACGAATATACCAGCAGGGACTTTACAACCATATGAGATCACGACCAAGGCTGTCCGTATCAAAGTTGCTAGTATGAGCGAGTTTGCTATTCGCCACTGAGTGGCCGTTCTGAGCATATATGGGCATTATTGTCGCACAAGATTTTAGAATGGCTTACTGGCAGATGTTATCAACATCTCCTTCGCATTCCCGGAATAGAATTGCCATGCTTTCAGTCATATCTATACGCAGGAAGCGGTTGGGGTACCCTATGATAGCAGTCAAGGTCGCTAGAGTGACGGCCTCTGCCACACCATGCTTAGCCAGAAACTTTCGGCGAAAGGCGGCCGCCTGAAGATTGAACTTGACAACAAAGGCCCCATACAAGCCCTGATGTATGATCAGACAAGGAACTGATACGAAATTTCGCGCTCACACCAAATATTCCAAGCACAACGAAAAATATAATTTCAAAGAAATGCCAATCGCGATCATATGTGACCTGGAACAGTACCAGTTTACCTGTGCGGAAAGGGTTCATGGCCTAGGGCGCGCCATATGAGCGATGAATTTCTGCCTATCTAACTGTGATAACTCACCGACAAAGTGACGGTGGCCATTAATGCGCAGAAAAAACTACGCCACATAGTCCGGATACTGAAAGCATGGCTCATTTCCTGAAAATAAGGTCAGTTGACGGTACCGAATGGTAATGCGAACGCTAGATACCTCAATGGAAAATAGCACACCGCCAATGGGTGAACCAAAAGCCACCGCTACACCGGCCGCACTGGCTGCGGTTATAATTTCACGCATTTTCCCTGCAAGTCAGCGGTGTTCAGCTGTCAAGGAGCATGGGAGCTGTTAAAGGGGAGCGGACCTTCGCTACGAGAAAACCGCTGGAATAGTCCCGCGACCAGATAGCCTACACAGCAAGCCACATGTACAGATGGCCCCTCTTTACCGACAGACAACCCCGACGCAATTACTAGAGGCTACACAAAATGAGACGCGTCAATGAACCTATTCAAAGACTCACCAGAGTTATGCTCTTAATGAAAAACGTCGCGAAACCGAGAAAGCCTTGCATAATAAATCCGGCTAGAATGCATTTAATTTCCGAAATGCCAGATCCCGCCGCATACTTGGCCAGAGAACGGACGAGGTGGGCAGCCGTGAATGAGAACGCGGCCTCGAGGAGGGTTAGTAAGTTACAATAAGCAAACAAGAGACATACTGCAAACAAGACATAGATGAAATACCGCGCCGGAGTGACTGTACTCCAAGGGTGCCACGAATCACAGGCGTCCGTCTCCTCCCCCTCGATTTCCCAACAGCAAAACTGTTGATTTAACCACCATCCATCAGAACAATATCCCATCTTTATGTCAGATAGCCATTCAGTGACGATGGAAATAATAGCAGCATTCAAGCCAATGCAAACTCCTGCGGGACGGTATTAATCGTTTTCATTGCAAGTTGCCTGTTGCGCGAACGACGTACCAACGAGACTGACAACAAACCAGCTCTGCCCTGTCATCGCTGCCCTTTTAATTTGCGCCCATAACCACGAAAAGGTGACATGCCGTCCACGTAGTGCAATGTATTCATTTCGCGCGTTCCGGATGCGCCTGTTCCGTTCCAAGATAGCGTCCTGAATCCAGTCTGTAAGAATTCGCTTTAGAGCCTTCGATAGTTCACGTCTTTAACATCTCTCACGAACCTATCGTAGTGAAGTCTTCATATCGTCTAGATATGGTCACCTCTTCAGCAGACATTAGCTGCGGATGGACACACGTACCCACCTAATCTGTTCCAGTTCTTCGTCAGCTTCTTCGTTCATCTGTGACCATTCACGTCGCTGAGGTCGCGTTCAGCGAGTAAGAGATGGGTAGGGAGCGGGAGATAGCAAGTACTGTGCTGTAAACTTGGCGGTACGGTGCAAGCCAGGGCAGGTGGCTGTGCGGGAACTCTCGGGCAATGCCGATTGACCCTCTATGAAAACACCGTCCACTGCTCCGCTCCGACTCGTCTTTTCAGCGCTGGTCGCGTCGCGGCTGCTGATTTCGTGCACTTCTATACATGAATACATTCATTCACGACCATCAGCTGTCTTCCCCACTTACCTCGTTTCTTAACCGTACGTTCGACCCTGCAACGAATGGGCACCTAGGTTGACGTGTTATGTAGTGAAGGAGGGCATATATCTCTTCAATAATGGGGTAGATCCATACTCTGGAGGTGTATTTCGACACGTATGTTTCTTCAGCAAAAGTAACTCTGTACTGATGCTCAGGTAGTCTCCACTATACCTTTCCCTTTTTCACGACCATTTTGTCTCCGTCTCGGATAACCGCATCCATACTATGGACATTATGCGACTCGATAGGTGCTTGGTCGATGATACGCATATGGAGGGCTAGGCAGAGGGTTGCGCAGAGCAGTAGAGACATTTTGGTCGCAACCATGTAGCTCTGCAAGTTTTGCTTCTGTATTCTACACTAACTTCTGCTTCCAGGTATTTCTTGAATCCATATCTGTTCCTTCCAAGCCTGGCCTTCTCCACATCATCCATCGAAAATGCTGTATGTTTGCTAGCCATAATGTTTGCGTGCGAAAGTGAGTCTTTTTGTTTCTACGCCGTGTTCCGGTGTTCAGTTCTTTTATCAGGACGGACGTCTGCATCATTGCTCGCTTTGGCTTTTCTTATACAGCTATCTCTTTCTTCCGCTCTCCTCATAACGCCAATAATTCTCCTGCTGATGACCAATCCAACCTCGCAACTTGCATCTCCGAGACCCTTTTCTGGAAAATGGATTCAATCATTGGGACTTATTGTCGAATTAACTGTATACTCCATCGTTCTTACGCTTGCTTCAACTCTTGTCTCTGGCAGCTTCCTTTGGATATCACAGACATGGGGCGCAAGGTTATTCAACATCCTCCTCGATGGACTTTGCTAACCGAAGCAACCAGTCTCACACTTCCTGATTTAACACCTAACCCCGGGCTTTGGTGGTATTTCTTCACCGAAATGTTTGATCATTTCCGCCCATTCTTCTTGATGGTGTTTACGGTAAGAGGTGGTCATTCTGCTTCTGCGTGATATCTTGACAGGTAATATAGGTGCACCTCCTGACTTACATTGCGCCTATATGCATCAAATTTCAGTACGCTTCACTTATCTACCCCTTCTATCGTACCTCACGCATATACCCAGGTACGATACACTGTATGCTACATTCCTACTCGTCGGAGTACTTGGCATATTCAAGGCATACCCAACCCTATCGGATCCGGGGCTGTTCCTGTCGATGATTTCTCTGTTCCCGGAGATATACCCTTGTAATGCCATAGTCTCTTGTACACTTCAGAGTTTATTAACGGTTTAACAGACTTCCGACACCCCATCGTTACTTCATTGCTTCATCTACATGCCGCAATGCTTCTGCCTTTGTTCCATAAACTATGGCTTGCGCAGGGTACGGGAAACGCCAATTTCTTCTATGCATCCACTTTAGTATTTGCCTGTGCCAATGGCGTTGCTCTTGTGGATTGTGTATGGGCCGGTCTGAGAATTGCGATTGGAGAAGAAGTTGATGGGTATACCGTTACTCAAGAATAGAGGGAGGTACCCATCGGACATTGCTCAGCATCTGAGACGAAGGCAGTATCTGAATACCATGGTGGCTCACCGTCAGTTCTGATGCAGGGAGAAATACAACATGGTGGTTACAGATTTGTGGCAGCTAGTTTGCTTTCTGGTCCTACTATTCATTCTGAAATTTTTAGCCACATGTATGATACTGCTTGCACCTGAAGGACTATTTACCATTCTGGAGACAATACTACACAACCACTCTAGTGTGAACTGTTCAGTTATTGCGTTTGAGAAACGACTTGCTGACTATGCACCGAGGTGGAATGGATAAACGTATGTCATGCCATGCTTTGTATTGATTCTATTGCGCCTCGTTGCAAATCCCGGACACTCATTGCTGTGTACACTATGAATACAGTTAAAATTCATGCGCTTTTACGCGGTAGAGACGTTGACGACAGCCCCATGTTTGAGTGCACGGCTGTAAGGGCAGAACTAATTTGCACTATGTCAGTCCAAGACCTGAGTATTCATACACGCGACGCACCGCATGGCCAGCTTGCAACAGCTCATCATCAATACCCTCCACTTTGATGTCAACCCCAATTCCGAACCCTTCCATATCCTTAGGCTCTCCGAGATGTACACTAACGTGCACTTTGGCATTCTTTGCCATCTCGGTCTTGCCCATGCCACGGGCTACGAGCTGTATCGCACCTAAGAGACATGCTACAAGAGACACCCGTGAGCAAAAGATATGGCGAGACGAGGCCGGTGCGTACAGGAATAACCCATTGCGAACAACTGTTCGGGATTCTCGCCCTGTCCTGTGCCGCCCAACTCCTTCGGCGTCGCGAGATTGAGTTCAAGGTCGTTAGATTTGTTGGTACCATTGCGACCGGCTCCCTGTGCAGTAGCATGGGCGGTGTACTAAATGAGACAATGAATTCGATGTCCCAGGTGTAGAAAGTAATTGAGGACCTTTACGCTCTGCAAAGTAACAAGCGTCCTCGAGGAAACTTTTCGTGCGAGCTGGGACCGAATGAAAGAACGTGAAGCGTAGCGGGCAGCATACATGATGGACATGCTCATCGTTCTGGTTGAAGGGCTTCTGATGACGTCGACGAAGATACTCAGGGTACCTCTTCTACCTACGGGTAGCGTGATCAAAACGCCTCCGACCCTGATAATACATGCAACAAAATGGACTCTAGTGAAGTAATGAGATAGCAAAGCATGGGAAATGTCCAGAAAAATTATATTATACAACAAGTCTAATACAGATCCAATTAATTAAGCATACTACATTCAAATTAGCACAGGTAGATACCAATTTATTAAGAGCACACTCACCCGTGTAAACGTTCCCATGGTTGTGAATGTTTCCTTCCTCTTCGGTTTACCGTCGGAATACAGGGATTTCACCGCCTCGCTCATGTTTGCCTTTCGCTTCGCCTCTTCCATCGCCAAACTACTCACAACGGCACGACTTGCTGCTGTAATTCCTGGATTCATGCTAGGAGCAACAGATTGTTTCTTGCTCGCCGGAGCCTCATTCGGAGGGGAGACGTTCTTTCTCTTCTTGGATTTCTTCGGCGGCTCAGACAGTCGTTTACGTTCCATAGCTTCCCGCATGCGTTCCTCTTCCTCGGGCCCAGGATTGAGCAGAATAACGTCGTCTGTTCGAGAATACTTTTTGGCGCACTGAGGACAGATGTCAAGCTGTTCGCCATCTTCCTCTTTCGGTGTCGTAGAAACGTTCTTCAAGCCTGCCTGAGAGAGTACACAGCCGCAAGTGGCGATGTATACAAACGGTAGGAGACCGTTCATCTCCTTAAGGGTGATTGGGCAGATGAATTGTGCATGGTTAGTAGTTGCATCGGGGGAAGGAGGTGTAGGATTCGGCGTTAAGGACAGTGTTTTAACATCCTGTTTACATATAAGACAAGTTACCAAGTCAACGAAGTCAGTGATACACACCTTGAGTGACCGTATGTGACCGCAAATGTCTTCCCCATCGCCATATGCAGACTTGTCAAGTAAGTACTCCAATATTGAGTCCTTGTTATACAATTTCCCCAGAGCACATGCCACTATGGGTTCCTGGAGTATTCGCTGTAGAATACATGAGCTTAGTAAGAGACATCGATGCCACCAATGGACTAACCTTGGATAGTGCGCAAAAGAACCAACGGGCGCGGGTCTGGTTCGCTTTGTCGGCCTGTTCTGCCTGTATCTCTGTTAGAGGAGACGATGCATAAAATACACAATACATACCTTTGGCTTGTTTCGAACTAGGTCGCGACGGTCTGGGATACTTCCTCCGTCATTACCCATCGCTTTCGACAAGGGGGATGGTGATGGTAAGGGTAAAAGTAGTAGGTAAACAGATGTCAACACAAACTTTTTCCTAAAACCAACCACGACCTTTTCTTTACCCAGTGTTCCGTTGCGTTCTTCACTGAACCGTGGCGGCCATTGACCGCGCTCGACCGCCATGCATCTGTATAATCTTACGCTTCAGCCTCCAACGGCAATTACACAAGCCATCGTCGGCAATTTTTCTGGCGCCAGACAGCAGGAAATTATCGTTTCTCATGGAACACGCTTAGAATTACTACGACCAGATCCTCAGACAGGAAAGGTCTCGACAGTCATTGCTACGGATGTTTTTGGCTCCATTAGATCCTTGGCTGCCTTTCGACTAACGGGAGGGACGAAGGGTGAGCCCTTGTACGTATCCTTCTTGCGATCGTTCATTTACACCTCATTTCTCAGACTACGCAATCGTAGGGTCTGACTCAGGCCGTATCGTTATTCTGGACTATGATCCAAAGACCAGTAACTTCGTCAAGCTTCACCAAGAGACATTTGGTAAATCCGGCGCGCGTCGTATAGTGCCTAGTCAGTACCTGGCTACCGATCCCAAAGGAAGAAGTGTCATGATATCTGCCATGGAAAAGAGCAAATTAGTCTACATTCTCAACCGAGATGCTGCTGCCAACTTGACGATCTCTTCACCTCTTGAAGCTCACAAAAATTCAGCGATTATTCATCATATTGTTGGACTGGATGTCGGCTTCGAGAATCCGTGCGTATATATACCAATGTTTTCTCTTCTTATGCTCACGTTCATATAGAATGTATGCTGCACTAGAAGTTGATTACTCAGAGTCTGACCAAGACCCGACGGGCGAAGCCTTTAACCGCGCCGAAAAGGTGAGTCACAACTATCCTTCCTGTTATGATAGTGCTAACTGTGTCTAGATGCTCACTTTTTATGAGCTTGACTTGGGACTGAATCATGTTGTTCGCAAGTGGAGTGAACCTACTGATCCTCGTGCAAATCTACTCTTGCAAGTGCCGGGAGGTCAGCTGGCGTCCTCAGATCGGTTTGACGGACCATCTGGTGTGCTGGTGTGCTGCGAAGATCACATTATATACCGACATATGGACGCCCCTCAGCATAGAGTTCCTATACCTCGGCGAAATGGTCCTTTGGAAGATCCTAATCGCAGCTTAATCATCACTGCTGCAGTCATGCACAAGATGAAGGTGACCGTCAACCTTTTTCTATTGTGCAAACTTACTCAATCTTAACCAGGGCGCATTCTTCTTTTTGCTTCAAAGCGAAGATGGCGATTTATTCAAGGTTACAATTGAACATGAAGATGAGACAGTCAAATCTCTGAAAATCAAGTACTTTGACACAGTTCCAGTCGCGGCTAGTCTCTGTATTCTTAAGTCTGGTTTTCTTTTTGTGGCGTCGGAGTTCGGTAACCAGTACGTCGTTGTGGCTCCTTTTAGTCCACTTTCGCTCACCACTTTCAACAGCTATTTGTATCAGTTCCAGAAGCTAGGTGACGACGACGACGAGCCTGAATTTAGTTCCACCTCGTACCCTTCGTTCGGAATGGCCGACCCAACTGCGCCGCTACCGCATGCTCATTTCCGCCCTCGCCCGTTGGATAACCTGGTTGTTGCTGACGAACTTGAATCCTTGGATCCTATTCTTGATTCGAAAGTTCTATCCAGGCTTCCTAACTCAGATACACCCCAGATCTTTACAGCTTGCGGACGAGGCCCACGTAGTACCCTACGAACTTTGCGTCATGGTCTTGAGGTGGAAGAATCCGTGAGCTCCGATCTACCTGGTATACCAAATGCCGTGTGGACAACGAAACGAACGGAAGACGGTAAGTAACTCATGGTGCTCGCGGGACCCTTCTCATGTTTTCTCCCATTAGATCCCTTCGACTCTTATATCATCCTGTCATTTGTTAACGGAACACTGGTCCTTTCGATCGGAGAAACGATCGAAGAAGTGCAGGATACGGGGTTCTTGTCTTCCGCGCCTACGCTTGCCGTTCAACAGATAGGTTCCGATGGTCTGCTACAGGTTCATCCCAGCGGCATTCGTCACGTTCTTGCTGACACCCGTGTAAACGAGTGGAAGGTTCCCCACGGCAAGACCATCGTCAGCGCCACAACGAACAAACGGCAGGTGGTAGTTGCACTGAGTTCTGCCGAACTCGTGTACTTCGAGTTGGATTTGGACGGTCAACTGAATGAATATCAAGACCGCAAAGCAATGGGAAGTACGGTTCTGGCATTGAGCATAGGCGAAGTCCCTGAAGGTCGTCAAAGAACTCCTTTCCTAGTATGCACATTCATTATTTTCAAAAGCTTTTTTTGACCAGGCGATTATCTAGGCCGTGGGATGTGAGGACCAGACTGTCCGCGTCATTTCACTTGATCCCGAGAGCACGCTAGAAACAATCAGTTTGCAAGCTCTTACGGCCCCGCCTTCATCCATTTGCATTGCAGATATGCTTGACGCCAGCATCAATAAGTTGCAGCCGACGATGTTTGTTAATATTGGCTTGCAAAACGGAGTACTCCTTCGAACCGTATTGGATCCGACTAACGGTCAGCTTACTGATACCCGTACCCGGTATGTATATTACTGAAACGATGTACATTGCAACTGACCGAACTTGTCATCAGTTTCCTAGGAACGAGGCCGATTCGTCTAATCCGCGTCCAAATTCAACAGAATCCGGCAATTTTAGCATTGTCATCCCGCTCGTGGCTCAATTACACGCATCAAAACCTCATGCATTTCACGCCTTTGATTTTCGAAAACTTTGATTATGCCTGGGGCTTTTCTGCAGAGCTCAGCCCAGAGGGTCTCATTGGGATCACGGGAAGCACGTTACGGTGAGTTGCACCGTTCTTTTTCTCTGGCTGTCTCTGGGGAGGCATCAAGATGACCTTAGAGATCCCGAAAGTGTCTTGAGACACTTCGTGAAATTCACTTTTTTTAATCAATTGTTCCTACTGAATATGTTCCTCTGTCGGGCTTTTGCTTTGTCTCGGCCTGCTACTGACACCTCGCTTGTTTACAGGATTTTCCAGATTCCTAAGTTGGGTACAAAACTGAAAGCAGATTCGATCCCGCTCTCCTATACTCCCCGAAAGTTTATTACGCATCCGCATAATGAATATTTCTACATCATTGAAGGAGACCACCGCACGTTGGGTGACGATGCAGCAACCAGGAAACTGGCGGAATTGGTGCGCCTGTTCGATGGGCAATAATCTTCAGGTACTGATATACTATGCAGCGCAAGCAAGGCAAAAAGATTGATGAAGAGGTCGTCAATTTGCCTGTAACAGAATTTGGCCGGCCAAAAGCCGCAGCAGGCAATTGGGGTTCATGTATTCGAATTGTGGATCCAGTTGAGGTGTGTTATGTTTCTAATGTCTAAACGGCCCAACTAAACGTGATTTTAACAGGCAAAAACGGTTGCCGAAGTGCAGCTGGATGGTAATGAGGCCGCGTTCTCTCTTGCCATTGTTCCTTTCTCTGCAAGGAACGGAGAACTGCACCTGGTTGTAGGGACTGCAGCTGACACCGTTGTTTCGCCAAGATCCTGCAGTACTGGATACTTCTGCACATACAAGTTCACTGATGATGGTGCTGGCTTGCAATTATTGCACAAGGTGCGCTTTTCGCATGCACGATGACAAGGTGTTACCTGATTTTTTCCACCAGACTGAAACAGATGACGTTCCTTTGGCTCTAATGGCATTCCAAGGCCGTCTGGTTGCTGGCGTCGGGAAGGCCCTACGGATATACGATATTGGGAAGAAGAAGCTGCTGCGCAAGGTTGAAAATAAGGTAAGACTGCCATATCTGAGAAATCTCAACGTTTATTCATTCTTGTCGCAGACCTTTGCATCACCCATCGTCAGTCTTAATACTCAGGGTTCCAGAATCATTGTTGGCGAGATGCAGGAATCAGTATCATTCGCCGTTTATAAGGCACCTGAAAATCGCTTGCTCGTTTTCGCGGACGATAGCCAGCCGCGGTGGATATCCGCTGTCACTATGGTTGACTACAATACTGTGGCATGCGGTGATCGTTTCGGCAATGTCTTTGTCAATCGTCTCGACTCCAAAGTGTCCGACCAAGTCGATGATGATCCATCCGGCGCTGGAATACTGCATGAAAAGGGTCAGCTGATGGGTGCACCTCACAAGACGAAAATGCTCTGTCACTTCCACGTTGGGGACCTTCTGACCTCGATACACAAGGTATCCCTGGTCGCCGGTGGTCGTGAGGTTCTGCTTTACACAGGCTTGCATGGAACCATCGGTATCCTTGTTCCTTTTGTATCGAAGGAGGACGTAGATTTCATATCAACATTGGAGCAGCATATGCGGACGGAGCAAGCCAGCTTGGTCGGGAGAGATCAGCTGAGTTGGCGTGGATACTATACGCCAGTGAAGGCTGTGGTAGATGGTGACCTTTGCGAGACGTTCGCTACGCTGCCAGGACCTAAACAGAGTGCTATCGCTGGAGAGTTGGATCGATCTGTAGGCGAAGTGCTCAAAAAGCTAGAGCAGTTGCGAGTGACCGCGAGTGGGTTTTAGGATATTTGCTTCTTTGCTGGTAATTGCTGTGATTATTTGCACCGACTGTATTTAATTGTATTATGTATTCACGGTGCTGCAGCTTCAAGGTGGTTAGAGAAATTGGTATTATTTCACTGACATTGGTCCCTGACAAGCGAGGTGTTGTGAACCTACCACGAACAGCGGCATGTAGTGCTTCCTGATACTAAACCGAGGGGATGCTGGTTGCTCAGCAATTTCCTAGCATCCTAGCACGGCAAACGAGGAGGTTGCAGTGACTGAACCATAAACGTGGACAACAAGATGCATATAATACATGACTCTACATGGACTTGATGAGCTCGCCGGCACCTTCGGTGCCGGCTATTCTCTCCAGCCTAAACCAATCGTATCTAGAGTACAGAACACGACAAGTCACATCCGAACTCTCGACGCCATCATCTAAAAAAGGATAAGACAGAAATTCAGCGTAAAACTGATGGTGGTCTGGAGGACCGTAGAATATGAGATTACGGATTCCTCGGATTTTGTATCTAGGGGTAACGGTTAGATAACTAGATTTCGCTAACAATGATGGACGTGCCTTTTGAAGAAATGGAAACGTTCACTAATAAGAAGAAATGACTTCTGGCCAGTGAAGAATGCCTGGCGAGCACGGGAAATGTCTTGATTCGACGAGTACCTTTATAACCGAAAGTTACGCTGTGTCAATATTGCTGGGGCAACAACCACGTACTCTGACAAAACAGTGTATGTCACACCCTTTTGCTTCCGGAAATGGTTGTGGACCCGAATGAAATCAAAATATGACGGAATAAAGATAACAGTGTTGGCGCTTTGTACTGCCGATTTGAGGACAGATGGAAGTAGCTATTTGCCCGTTGTTAGCATAGGAAAAAGTGGGGAATGGAGCGCGTTACTTGGGTCGTAAAATGGTTGAAGCGTTTGTCGGCCTCATCATTTGGGTTACCACAATCAAAATGGACGAAGTCCTGGATTGCAATCCATGATCAACGGCTCGGGTTCTCACAGCGCAGCACGCTCACCTGGCTGATACCATCTGGGACCTCGATAGGAGCCCATCGCTTATCAAGTCTAACTTTTCCAGCTACATTTTTGAGGTTTGTATTGAACACGGAGCGTATCTCAGGCGTCTCAAACGCGGAGAGTAATATCGATTGCCGGAGGTACGCGGCGCTTAAGAACCCAAGTTAATTGTGGTCATACCAAGGGCGCTGACGGAAGAGACTTACTGTCCATCTAGATACCATGGTTTGACGCGTGAAAAATCGGTGTCGTGGGATTCTTTGGGAAGTGCGTTGAGATGTGACAGAACGAACTGAAAAAGATAAGAGCTTGAAACAAGTTTATATATGGAAAACTCACCTTGACATGCTCCCAATTTTGCATAGTCAGGGCGTCAAGCTGATCAATGATGACCATCTCAATGGATGACAGGTAGTCAGCGTTTCTACAAGTTTATCAGACTGGATTGAATCCCCACACATAAATCTCCACCTACTTTTCCTTTTCAATAGACTGACGAAGACCAAGAGGACTGGCCATGATGATATCACATCCATAGAATTCGGCAAAAATTTTGATAGTTTTCCTAGTCAACTTGATGCCCACCCGAAAGCTATCGTCTACGTTGCCTTTGAAAGTCTCGACGTGGTCGCGAGGGTAGGTCCCTGGTACTGCGTTTGCCAGCTTGTCTACCGCACCTGGAGGTAAGCCATACTCGGATAGGAATCGAGATTGGTTCTCAATTTGGTATGCGGGAGAAGGCGTATGTGATTTGAGAGCGTTGAACCAATCAAGCGCATATGACCTGAAGGGAAGGAGAACAAGTACCGAAGGTCGAGTGAAACCCTGGTCTTGCACATCCTCAGGAGGAGGTGCATCTGGATTTGTTTTGGCTGCATGCGAGAGTCGTTCGTTGTTTTTAAGAACCCGTCGACGCTTCCTAACGATTATGTTACCTAACAGCCTGGAAGACAATCTCGTAAACTCACTTTGTTACATGATTCAATGCATGCAAAGTTATCGCTTCGCGGAAGCACTTTTTTGTCTCCCAGGTACTTGGAGCAAGGTAAACATCCTGATACGAGGAAATAGTTTCCAATAAGTTGTTTTGTGTCTCCACCTCGTCTGTAAAGCTTAAGTTTGGATTCAGAGAGTAGACTAATCAAGTACCTTGTGTCAAACTCTTTTGGCGAGCTTTGAATGAAGTATCAATGCGGTCCAAAATCTGTGCTTCCATTCAGGTGATGATCAAACTGTAGGGTCTCGAGGACGTACTCCATTGTTTTTGGGGTGGAAAGAAGGCTCCTTCGAAGCATCGGGGACGATTTCGATGATGGATCCAAGTTTTCCGCGTGTTTTCCTCCCCGATTTCCATTGTCGGTTATCTACAGCTACTCTTGAACTCTCGGACAACGCAGATGGTTTACAACCAAAATGGTATTCATATGGGTCATGGTCATCTGGTATAATTGGTCGCATTGACAAGGATTCACGATATAGAAAAAATATAACACACCCTCTACGGGCATGTCTTCCGCCTCCTCGGTAGGCACCGTCACATCCTCCTGTGGGCTGGCATCGTTGGCGTGTTCTTGCTCCTTCGCGTCTGGACCTGCTATTGTGACAGAAACTCTCTTCTTCGATTTTTTGGACACAGGTGTATCTTCATTCCATTTCTGTTTGTTGCCCTTGGTTGCAGAAACGTTCAAGAGAGTGAGAAGTCGGGTGGTAGTGGAATTGTCCATCGCAAACCGGAAAGGGAAGTCGAATTTTTCTTCCTCGTGCACGTGATTTGACGCGTTCCACTCCCGGCCCGTGACCTCAACCTTTGTGCCATCATCGCGACCGCCAGCATAGGCTTGCCTGCCCGGACTTCTGATTGATTTCTTTCTCCCTTTCTGGTAGTAGAACGCCATTATGCGCGTCCTTTGCGTCGCGGAGAAGCCATCAATCTCGAAATCTATCACCCAAATCCTGTCTGGTGGCCAGTTTTCAACCGTGAATACCGCTTTGTTCGGCGTAGGGTCCTTTGCTTACTGAATGCTACGTTACAGCGAAACACCACCAACAAATTTGTTAAGAACTACGACTTCGAATACCACTATACCAACGACTACTACACAGTGACCTGTGTATCGGGCCACTTAACGACCCACGACTTCTTTGATACCCACCGCAAATGGAATTCATGCGATCCTTTCGATTTGTTTGAGGCACCCGTGCAGGTCACCATTCCAGAGACTGCCAAGAGCATCGAGAGAAATATCTTCAACGAAGCCAAGAATGCTGACATGCTCATGATATGGACTGACTGCGATCGGGAGGGCGAGCATATCGGGTCTGAGATAGAAAAGGTCTGCAGAAGGGCGAAACGTAATATTAACGTGAAGAGGGCCAGGTTCAGTGCTATCATTGCACAGTGAGTTGTGCTTGTATCTGACACATGTATAATCAAGACGCTCTTTATAGGCAAATCCATAACGCTGCCCAACATCCTGTGAACCTTGACAGGGCTCAGGCAGATGCGGTGGAAGCCCGGACAATCTTGGACCTCAAGGTAGGAGCTGCATTTACCAGGATGCAGACTCTTGTTCTTCAACGCAAAGTGAAGAAAATCGAAGACGAGAAGAATATAGTATCTTATGGTGCTTTGCAATGTTTTCAGCAGCATTTCTTCTACTAACTTGGCCTTCAGGTCCATGTCAGTTCCCCACCTTGGGTTTCGTGGTCGCCAGATACAAGGACGTTCAGACTTTCAGCCCGGAGACCTTCTGGTTTATATATCTCAGCCTGTCACAACCCTCTTCTTCTCGAGGATCCTCCGGAGAGACGCGGTTCACCTGGAGAAGAGGTCACCTATTTGAGCACGATGCAGCTCTCGTCATTTATGAGATGATGATCACCTCTGGGTCTCTTGCGCGGGTCGCAAAAGTCACCAAGAAGGAGACTAAGAAATGGTATCTAATAGTACTTTTTGGTCGACGGTCGGAAACTCATGTGTGTGCAGGAAGCCGTTACCTCTCACAACCGTCGAGCTCCAAAAAGCGGGTTCAAGATTGCTGAAGCTGGCGCCAAAAAAGATTTTGGATGCATGTCTTTATTGTTTACTGCGGTGATTGTGTCGTTGACGTCATCTAGATTGCAGAAAAACTATACCAGCAAGGTTATCTCTCTTACCCTCGGACAGAGACAGATCAATTCGACCCTCAATTCGACTTCGCATCGCTAATTGACAAGCAGAAAGAGGACCCTATTTGGGGAGGTTTCGCTGCATCGTAAGCGACTACATTGCACCCGCTCATCTTTTACTTAATTCGATTGTAGTTTGTCTGACGGCGAATTTGCGCGACCTCGTAATGGAAAAAATAATGATAAAGCGCACCCTCCGATTCATCCAACGGGACACGTCTCGAACCTCGTAGGAGACGACAAACGAGTTTACGAGTTTATCACAAGACGATTTTTAGGCGTCTTGCTCCAAGGACGCTCTTGGATGGCAGACAACTGTCGAGATAGATTATGCAGACGAAGAGTTCTATGCCACAGGTAACAAACCATTTTTTTCCGCCGAGGTTAGCTGACTGGACCTTCTATAGGGTTGACCGTCCTGGAAAAGAACTACTTGCTTGTTTATCCGTACGACAAATGGGTAAATAACAACATTCCTGACTTTGAGGAGGGAGAGGAATTTCAGCCCTCTGTATGCGAGCTGAGAGACGGCCAAACAACCAAACCGAATCTGTTGACTGAAGCTGACCTGGTTGCTCTTATGGATAAAAACGGCATCGGTAAGCCTCCATGCCTCCTAGTCTTACCATAAACTGTACTTTACACTTAGGAACGGATGCAACTATCGCTCAACACATTGACACAATTATCACTCGCAACTACGTTATTGAGCGATATGAAGGAGCAACGAAATATCTTCTTCCCTCCACGCTAGGTATAGGGCTTGTCGAGGGATATAATCAAATGGGTCTAGAGAAGAGTTTAGACAAGCCCATCTTACGACGAGAGGTAAGGCTAATCTGGGGGAATGATTTACAATAAGCTTATCCGTGCATTACAGACGGAACGTCGTATGGTTCAAGTATGCAATGGCCAGAAGTCGAAGCAAGAGATGATCACTCAGAGTCTAGAACAATACAAGGAGATGTTCATGATCGCGAAAGGGAACTTTGACAAAGTGGTTACTGTGGGTTGTAATGCCACGGATTTACATTTTTCGGACTGACAAGTGCTGAATAGAGTGTCCGAAATTACCTGGAACGACATGGAGATACAGCACAAGGCAGGCCTGCCGATGGCGGCGGAGGAGGAGGAGGAGGAAGTGGTGGAGGAGGAGGAGGAGGAGGAGGAGGAAGTGATGGTGGTGGTGGTGGAAGAGGAGGAGGTAATAACGGGGTAGGCCCTCAAGGAAGTAGTGCCGTTGGTCGTGGCGGGAGAACTGCAGTTCCAACTTCACATGCAGGACCGATCATCAATATTCCCGACGATGACTCTGAAAATGGTGTGTGTATTTGGAGGTGTATGTCACTACTCTTTACTCACGTTTAAACACAGACTTCCAGCCTCCTCCGCGCACATCGAAGCCACCGTCCACTCGACCACCTCCCAGACGTCCTACCCCACCTCCCAAACCTCCTGCATCACGAAATGATGATTCAGGTCAAATACATTGCAGTTGTGGACCAGCTGTGCAGAGAACGGTCGTCAAGGAGTCAGCGAGCAAAGGAAGACTGTTCTGGACGTGCCCGAATAAGCCTGGGTGCGACTTTTTCAAGTGGGACGATGATGTGGCGGGACCCTCTAACAGAACCATTCCTACAAAGCGACCTTTTTCAAATGTGAGTCACATAGCAGTCGTACTTGAAGATGCTCATTATCTCTCAAGCGACAAGAACCTAGTGTTAATGAAAGTGAAAGCCGTCGATGTCGGTGCAACTTGACGGCCGTCAGAAAAACTGTACAGAAGGAGAGCCAGAATAAGGGAAGGATGTTCTGGATATGTCCGAACTCGGATGCGGCTCGCTGTAGTTTCTTTGAATGGGATGACGAGCCTCCGCGGACTGAACCAGCACATGATGGGCCTCCGGCCGCTTCGGGTAGTGGCAGTAGTAAACCAGGGACTTGCTTCAAGGTAAGTGGCTTCGATTTCACTACTGCTGTTCTGATGTGTAGCGCTATTTCTAGTGCAATGAAGAAGGGCATTGGGCGAACTGGTACTCTCTGTTTGCAAACATCAAACTCTCGCTGATAAATTTTACATAGAGTGCCCAAACGAAGGCGGTCCGAATCAGAAGAGGTCTCGGAGCTTTGGATCAGAAAAAGCGAACTTTCCAAGGTCGAACTCGGGAAAGAGTGGGTCGTGCTTCAAGTGCAATCAAGAAGGACATTGGAGTAGTGGTTCGTTATCACTTGGTTTATATTCTAGTACCCTAGTATCTGATCTGATTCTTGCAGAATGCCCGAATGACGGGGCCCCTTCACGTTCAAGCAGAGGTAGCCGAGGCTCCAGAGGTAGAGGACGGGGCTCACGGGGCGGTAGTACGCGCGGGAAGAGGGGAAGAGGTGCTGCCAAGTCTAGGTCTGGAGGCTATAGTGCTCCAGATGAGTTTTAAACCGCATTTTATCCTCCAGGAGCACTTGTATCATAAAATTTCATACTGCAGATGTATCACTTATTTGTTCAGTCTATATGTCATTAACATTCACGGCAGCTTAGCTTGTAGAATATATGATACAATCCGATATGCCAAAGCGGTACCAACAGCCGGTTTCAAGTTTGCCTAGCTGCCGTAGGTTCAACTCGTGTACTGTTTCGAGTCTGGACAGGTGGTGATGTGATGGTCGCAAAGAGTTGGATGTGGTGGTAGTCATCACATTCTGCCAAGGAATGATATTAGATAACACTTCGTTCATCTAGTTCAGCGCTTCATGAGTATCGGACTGAGATGGAAACGACTTGATGCATGCAATGTTATCAGAAATACCTTCGGCTTTGTGATAGGACTGTATTCGCGGTATGTCAACAAAGCGAAAGAAGCTTAAGACGCGCGTGAAGCCGTGGGTTCGAAGAATTTCGAGGTTACGGACAGTGAAAGTCCGTTATTTACGTCAATTGCGCGACTCGGAGTTGAGATGATAGCTCATTACAACGAACACTGCCGTGATTTACAAACAATACATTTCAACGAATCTTACAGATTTCCTAAATTCTACACACGAAAACTCGTACAGATATGTGATACATTAGACTCTACCGTATTCAGCATGGAGCCTATTATTTAGAAGTAGGATCCGGCACCTGCATATGTTGGGCTTGTTGCGGTAGACGCCTCTGCCAAGCTGTCACCCACGGGTCCCAAAGACTTCTCGTCCAAGCTCAAGTCGAGTTCCTCGGTCCGCTGTTGAATAAATTCCGTAGAACCCGGCCCAAAAATAGGCGAAGGCTGTGTGTACGCTTTCGCCGCAACAGCCAATCGGCCAGCAGGTATACGTGCTTGTAGATCTGCCTGAGGAGGTACCGGTTGGAAATGCAGCTGTACCAGTACACCGCGTGAAATTAGCTAGTCTCTTGACCGGTCGAAAAAGATGATACTTACCGTGTCGTTTGCTTTCTTGTAATTCTTCAGCCAAATGTTGACACTCTCTAGTTCTTCCGCAACTTTTCCTTTCCTTAAGGTACGGCTGGTCTTCTCCTTCTCGCCCCGCGTGATTCCAATACCTTTGCCGCCGTCTTTCAGGTCCTCTAGCTCCTTCTTTGCCCAGGTCAGAAACCCCACAGCATCTCCACCCTTGGCTGTGCCACCAAACTCGCCTGCGTCCACGCCAAGCCATTTATGTGCTAGGGCAGAGTGAAAGGCGTATTCATCAGCAAGATATCGACGCAGAACCACGGAGACCTCCCCAGAATCACCCGTGGAACCAGGAGTCTTGGCTAGTGACCGGGTGGACGAGTACAGCGACCCACATTCCAAGTGGAGTTTGGCTATGAGAGCCGGAGACGGGTGAGACTTCGGAAGGGGTGGTCCTGGGGTAACATTACTGTCATATGCGGACTTAGAAAGGAGTTTGCGAATGGCAAGACTTTGAGCGTCTGCTAGGGCTAATCTGTAGTAAGGAAACATGAGTATTTTGTCTGTATGATACCAAAGGGCGACGCTTACTTGGATAACGCGCCGTTGACTTCGGTGCTTAAATCTGGTGGGAGCCTGAGGCCTGAAAGACCGCTATCGCGGCTATCTCTCCATTCAGGGAGTACTGTTTCGCTGATGAACGAAAATATACCGCTGGCTCTGCAGAGGAAGGTAATGGCATGATTCAGCTTCTCATCCTTTGACCTCCTTTCAACATCCGATATGGCGCGATCATGCTCATATGGCCCTAGTGATGCAACAATAGACCTAGCCATATTTGACAAAGCAAATGCATAGGTCAACAGTGTATAGGCATATTCGGCGTGCAAGGACGGCAGAGATACGCGAGGCGATGAGTTGAATACGTGTGCAGAGAGTGTACTTCGCCAGCTGAATACTATCAGTACGTGGATTCGTAAGCTAAGTTGTGAGAGCAAAAGACGCGAACCTGGCTCAAGCTGCAGGCTTATTTCGTCGTGTGCTGTGCAACTAATTATTGAACAGAGTTGAGGTATATATTCGTCGAGAATCTGTTCGTATATGAGGTGAATTGGGGCCACCAGCATTGCAATACAGGCTTACCTTTACTATCTTCAAGTAGTCCTTTTCGCCGTCAGTACGCTTGTTTTCTTTCAATGCGCCGCGAAGATTAGCTCGGCTCTGCGTCGCATTCGCGATATGAGTCGTGTATACCTTTCCAAGGCTGCGGTCTACGCAAAAATCGGCGAATGAAATAGCGCCTGTTGTCGGTAATTCATACAGAAAGGTCGTCATGGGCGTACGGAATAGGAAGAGATCCGGGAGATCCGGTCCGTTGCCGATCCTCTTCCACGTTCACGTTCACGACCCTGCCTGCCACTTTGCAACCATGGATCGTTCCACACACTCGACTCACGACGAAATCAACTTGGTTCGTCTCATAAGGCGCCTGGAAAAGTCTACGCTTGACCCAAGCTGGTCTAACAACGGCGACGATGTCTGGCTCAAGGCGTTGGGCACACTACAGGTTGGTCTGTGCCAGACTACGTTTACAGGCGTTAATTCAAGGTATTTAGACGGTCAAATATGCTAGAAAGCTGCTCAAGAACGTGGAGCTCAACGATTATGACCCTGCTCTGTATGTTGAACAGCACCAGATGCAAGGACGAAGCTGACTATCTGAAGGAAAAACGTGCGACGTTATAATGAATTACGAATGACCCTTGACCGAATTGATACATTTGCAAAGGACGTGGAAAAGGTGTCGTATTGATTTGGATTTCAACTGGAGTCATCGTCCTAACACCACTTCGTTAGCGCGCAACTCCCGCGCAAAAACGTCCTGAACCATTGCTACCACGTATACCGATACCGGAGGCACCTCCAGAGCCTTCACCGCCTAACACTACGGTCTCTTTACCCGAGGAAAACGAGATGTCTACCTCACCTATGCCACTGCCAACTGCTGACAGTCTCCTGCTGTCGCCCACCGACCCGCCCTCCACAACGATATCACCTTTACCTACTCTTTTGCCAGCCTTAGCTACGTCAAAGGCCACCGGTGCTTCTCCTCACTCTCTCCAAAACACGAATGCTCTCCACAACGAACTATCTGACCAGCTCGCACAAATGGCTACACAGCTCAAACGCAACGCCCTGCATTTCTCTAATTCGCTGTCAGCAGACAAGGCCGTTGTTGAGGCAGCACAACAGAAGATAGAGAGCAACTTCGATGTCATGAAGAAAGAGAGAGTACGTTTGAGAGATCATCGTGGAAAGAGTGGGTCTACGACATGCCTGGCGATTATGTCTGTCATCGTGGTGACAGTTTTATTCATCTTCATGGTGATGCTTATACGTCTAACTCGATAGAGGGAATCAGACATGATTATGCTTGTTGCATCTGTACTGAATGCAATGGTCTCCCACCATGAAAGCCATCCTTCTCTCATGAGGAACAATGGTGTATATCTTTTCATCGATGCATACTACCCAGATATTCGGAAATCAAATGACGCATGCTTATAAAATTCACATACAGCATCACAACACAAGCAACCAAGTCTCAGTACGTAGGTCTATTTATTGATCGACATTCCTGAATAGGATCTTAGAGAAACTTGAAGGATGGCTATAATCTTAGCTTAATTTACTAATAAACGCTGAATTTCTCTCTCCTACCGAAGTACATATTAGTCGAAAACTCTCTATCGTTGATCCATTCGCAATCCAGAATCACGCCGTTCCCTCTTTCCTTAGTATTCTAGTCCTAATACCCTAATACGTATTAATAGCGAGAGTATATGTAAAATATATGGGACGTTATGCTGGGGACCACATTTCACGTGCGGGATAACTCGTCGCCGGTCATCTTGTTTACAGATGGCGAGTGAAGGGATGCATCATCTCCAATGTCACCGTTCTTTTGAAGAGTATTGGACATTTCTAACTCGAGATTAGGGATGTCCATCCGAAGATATCAAATACCTTACCATACTCCTCCTGACCGTCGAAGTCATGCTGTGTATAGATCTGAGTCGTGATATTGACGGCGCTGCAACACGCGACATATGAGGCCTGGATAAGTCATCCTGCGTAGGAAAGCACGCACACAGCACCCGACGTCTTCTGGGTTTGGCCACTGACGGTGACGTTATCCGACGTGTAGGCGCCTTTCCTTTCGTTGTAGACATTGATACCGGTGGAATGAGCCACCTTGATGAGAAGACGCGACATGGTCATCTCGATCTGGAGTTTGACGATGTACGTGACAGGATGAAACTAGCCAAATCATTGTTAGAGGACTCCACATTAACATGAACTTCTGGCCTACCTGAGTATAAACGAAGGGATTCTTGAGAGTCGTCATGCTTATGAGAAGAATATCCATCCCGATAGAAACAATGATGATACGCTGGCTGAAGCTGTTTTCGAGAAATCGTCAAACGCAGGTATATGACGGTCGTGCTGTACCTTACCGCATGACCCTGTCGTATTTCTTCAAACCGTAGTCTACAAGGCGGCCTTTCACCATGCGAATGAAGAGGATGTTTAATGACAGGTCCAGCACTAAGGCGGAGACTATAAATCGCTTTGGACAAAAAGAGCTCTCGGAAACTTACGAAGATAGATGCCTTTTTCAAACTTGTCCCACCTACAGAAAGGCATGAGTATCCGATAGAGGTCGTGAGTACGGCATTCACCACTTATTCAACTGGAGAGGACCGGGTTAGTGTCTTTCGACAGGCAAGAGGAAATAGAGAAGCATACCCATATATATTTTGAATTAATTTGTAACTCGGCAGGGTATCCCTGAAGAGTGATGCTCAGTCGTAACGCGCTTTCAAGGATGAGGTGTCCGCTCACAAATGCAAGATGTAGAAATGGAAATGACGGAAACAATCCCGACCACAACAAGCTTAAGCTTAAGCTGTGCGAAATGAGCCGGTGAGTTTCGACGTCTGGGACGAGAATAAGGGAGACGCCTCACTCTCTGAGATGGTTTCTGAATTAAAATACAAAGCCGGTTAACGATGATGAGCATTAGACATTGAACCTTCAGAATGGCACGTTAGCATGCGCTGAAATGCATAGCCTTGAAGGACGCTTACCTGGGCAATCCAGCAGAGGATACATGTAATAAAAAATCCAATACTAGGTTTTATATAGCTCTGCCTATGATTTCAAAACAGTTTGCGTGAAGTTGAGTAAAGACTGAGGGGAAAAGCTTACAGGTAACACCAAGCTATAACCTTTGGGGAAGGGCACATGGGAACTTGCCAGCGATAAGGATGCAATAAAGGCTCACCGCATAGGTTGTGTTTCTGATTGTAAAACGTCAGACTTGATAGCTGTGGTCAATGTAGAGAAGCCATACCCCAGAATTGCCAGCCAGATCATGACAATATAAGCAGAAACCTGGAATAGATTAGAACGTCCGAGTGAGCAGAAAAACCGACCAATAATCGTACCCTCCTCGCTCGTTTAGTCTCTAACACTGCACCCCACACAACCTGGATAGCAAAGCCGAACTAAAAAAAAAACGGTCAGATAAAACGTAGTATAAGATCCAAGGCCGCACTCACGAAAAACCCAAAGACGATGGAACCAAGCATCGAATCTCCTCTACTCAGGTGTAGCAGCTCAAACCTAGGGAATACATACACTAAGTTTGGGTCACCCATCGAACGAAGGACAGATGACACATACGGCTTCTCAGTTTTGAACCCAATGTCGAAGGTCTGGGAATCAGACATTCTCCTAGTTGCTTGCCAAACGCCGAGCGCAAGGGTGAGTAAAAAGCGTGGAAGCGAACCCTAGAGTTCGTAGGAGATATAGTATCCTTCCGAAGTACATTATATACCGCAATATCAGGGTGAGAGGGTGGCGAAAGTCACGTACTCTCACAAAGGAGCTTCACGCAATGTGTGACAGGTGTAAAGGCTGGTTGTTGCGAAAAACACGGCGAGCTACTACAGCGGTACGTAGCTCTTATGTACTACTAACGGATATCAAATAGATGCTATGGAAACGGTTAAGCGAGTGGAGCCACAACGCGGGGAAGAAATGAAGAGTAAGGACAGGGCCAAAGGCCGGCTCGTTACACAGGGTAACGGCCCACTATCAGGAGACTTGTCCTCCAAGGATGCCGTGCCACGGGGAAGTTGATATGTTGCAGATCGATCACTGATCGAGGCCAGGAAATGAATAGGTCCACAACCCTAAATTTCGCTCCGTCAGTGTCAATGTCCGTGAGGTGAGACCGTAATGAGGGGAGCTTACTACATTGGGCACCCGCCAATCCTTTTCGCAGCTTGATATTCGGGTTAGAACGGGACCCTGGCCTCTTCACTATCATTATTATTTAGACCTTTGGCTGGGATCTTGACATCTGACTACTACTCGACATTAACGTCACTGTCCTGGACATCAAAATTACAGGAACGCAGGACGACCTGGAGGTAATTGCGGTGTAAAAGAGTCAGGTTTGTACTCAATCCAACAAATACCACCGAAAGCAAGCTTATGCCGACGTACTACTACGAGTTCTACATTTTCACTTCCTCGGCTTGAAATTGGGCTGCATGATCTAAGAAACAGTCCACGCACAGTGACCAAATTTTTATGGTGGTATACGGTAAAGATCATTTAATTTGTTACGATCGACATGATCTGCTGCCCTGAGTAGTAGTAGAGTAGAAGTGCCTTGGAAGTGCGGCGTGCCGCATCGAAAAAGTCGTCCGAAGGATGCCAGTCAAGGAGTTATCCAGAAAAGCATGACCAATTATCATCACCAGAGATATCAGAATTATAGCCTATGAGCCTAGAAGATGTGGAGAGGGCCAGGGCCAGAGCGCCAAGATGCACTATTTTTGGTTGAACAACGAAAATCAAGATACGAAGTCTAACTGCGGAAGTGGCCACGTGCATGGTGCTCAAGTCTATGTCGGTTCCGGATATCTGAACTGGCCCAGAACAAACCTGGCCAATGCCAGACTCCTTCCCATTCTCCTTCATGGGGGGTAAAAGCTGCTTCGCAGCTGTGGGATAATCGAATAGCTTATATATTATCTTATCTTATCTTTCACGTGATGTTTTGATCTTTCTGAACCTTATTTTTTTTTACCCCCCATTACGGAGACTGGCGTCTTTTGCTATGGCGCGTTGCACATGTTTGGCTGAGCCATCCCTTTCTTACCTCGGAACGCACTAAATTGTGATGCTTGCTGCCCAGCTCCTGATGACTGAGTCTTCTTGCTCGAATAGAAGATCAGCGATATCTCCCGCACTTTCTCGTAGAGCAGCCCGAGAAGCATGGAGGTTTTGCGCAACGTGCCCGAACCGAAGGACCTGCACCAAGACGTCCAATATCACAACGTTGTTGTGATTGAGAATGTTTATGATCTGGTTTAACCAAGGTATGCTGCTTTGTTCTTGTGTGTAGCCTACCATGCTGAAATGGATGCACAGATAGCAGACAGAGTGCAAGACAGGTGACAGCAAGCTTATATTATTCAGTATAATGATACAATATGAAAATTGCCACTTGACGTGTACCACGAGGCTTATCACCTGAAACATCGAGGCGCCGAGGGGAATGCCAACACGCTCAACGCGCAACCAAAGCGCAGTCTTCTTGGGGTAAAAAAAATAGTTTAGAGAATTAAGATCCTGAAGTTGATAACATTAGTCACTCGATTGCCTCGCTCGAGCAGCTTTACCCCCACGAGGGGAAGGAGTCGGCCGCGGCCTGTTACCCTCTCTGTATTGTCAGATCCGATGGTGTCCTCTCTACGGCTCACACCACACTCAAATATTCGTTTCTTGAACGCGACGACACGAGCTGAAGAGGCAATGGCCAGAAACTGTTGAATGGCTCCGCCGTCTTACGTTGAAGGACCTCGTTGATGGATACATGGCTCAGGGTGGCGTGACGGCGATCAACCTCGCATGCAGAGTGCCGGCGTGAACGACTGCTTTCTTCACGGTGCGGCGGCGACTGACTCTTTCGACTCTCTTTGGTTCCTTGGGTTACCACCACGCTGCCGTATGCAAATGGCACACAACCTAATCAATGCTTACCACGCTGTGTCTCCCCATGCCCGTCTTCCCGCATCCATTCCTCCTCACCTTTTTGCATCAGACGCCCCCATGAATCCTGCCACCCTCTCTACGAACTCAACGCTCCGTTACATTCTCCTCTGTCTCACACAACTCTTCCTAGCCCTTAATCTCGTCCGTACTTCTGCCTGGGTTTATCGCGGTGAAACATACGGACTGATAGCATCGACAATACATCAATACAACTTACCTCCGCCTCCTCAAAATTCGCCATCTTCCCCAACTCTTTACACCGACCACCTCAACTCAACCCGCATCATATCCTCCGCCCTCCAAGGTCCCCTTTCATGCCCTGCACATCATTCCTTCCGCCAACACGCCGCTCAAACACTTATCATGGAGAAGTCTCGCATCCTGGACTCTGCAGAAGTGCCCCTGCTGATTTGCAGGGCATTTCTTCATATTGTCCAACGTCTCTTTGAAGACGCCCAGTATGGCCCCAATCGGTATCTCGCTTCTACCTCGGTCTAACGCCATCCTCACCCGCACTCCCTGGACTAAAGGGAGAGAAAACAAACCGGGTGTTGGTTCGCATCTCTCATACTTGGCACACAACGTGCATACGTCTGGCAGGCAGAATTTGGGCTGAATACAAGCGAAGAGTACGCCCAGCCTCAACCAAAAACAGCGCCAACACCGTAGCCATACAATGACCATCCTTTTTATCGCATATCTCATCTTCTTGACCGTTTTTCTTAATACGTATAACCTTATTTACAACGAGCTACCGAGGTAGATTAGTTTACGCTTATTGACCTGAGCTGTATCAGCAGAGGTGGCCAATCAATCCAGTTTTCCAGCTTTGTCATAGACACTTGATCAAGACCGGACACTACATAGCCTACTTTCCAGACAAGCGTGATTGGCATTATTCGAATTATTTTTCTTTATGTGTATTTACCTTAGTTGAATTGACAGACACTCCAAATATAAGGAAATTTCCGGACGCTTTCATTTGTCCGAAAACTAATTACGGAAACTACTCAGCCCCGGCAACCTCCGGAGGTTATCCATATCTAGTAGTAGTACGGGAGATTCTCCGGGACGGACTACTGTATAAGGGAATTCCGGTGAGGGAGATACGGTGGAACGATTTCTGAAATTAGTTTTTGTTCACCAGAAACGTTCCGGAAATTTCCTTATTTTTGGAGTGAGATAAAAAATATTTTTTCCTCCAGACCCTACCCAGACCCAATCTTTTGAATCCGCAGGCCATGGGGTTTCAGTTCCACCCTCATCGTCATCATGCAGTCATCAATGAATGGATCATTGGAGCCTATGACGATTCATAGCCACATAGCGTATATAAGGAGAGCCCAGTAGAAATGAAACCTACTTCAAAGACTGCCAGCATGTACGCTGTACGTACTCGCCCTTTACCTTCTATCTGGCGCTGAGGACTTATTCGTATAGACCACTGAAGTTCCTGTCTCCCAGGCCTGCTCAAACCCTCAGTGCGGTTGCACTGCGTGAGTGAAGTCATTTTTCTTCGGACGTTGAACTAATCGGATTGAGTAGTTGCACATGCACGCCAGGAGATTGTAAATGTACTGAATGCAAGCACTAAATATCTTGATACGAGCCTTAATTGTACATTAGTAGGAAAGGACGCCAAATTAGCTTTTGTGTTTGGAACTGCCTCGAAAATTCAGTACCTAATCTCGCATGGGAGTACAAAGAAGTGATTCATGTACGTAAGTATGGGTGTCTTTGCTAGAATATACATCGGCAGCGAATGTATCAAGAGGTATCAAGTATACACTGTCTTTCTCTCGGCGTCGGAGGGAGCATGGGATTCAGTGGTCAAATATAGAGGAAATTGTGGACTTTTCGAAAGAAACAGGAAAGCGAATGGTTAGAATAGTATTTTTTCGGTCGAACTAAGGTAACAAGAGATATCGCTCACTATTAGAAGAAGTCACTATGAGGCTTTTGCTTCTTGGCTGACGACGGTCCATGCTCCGAATCATCGAGAGGTCTCTTGCATCTGGCTGGGCTACTGGCTCCCTCCATGGACAACGGTGCATTATTAGGGTTCACCGAACCATTGAGAGCACCAAGAATCCATGGGAGATCCTCTCCAAGCACAGCCTTCTGAATTTCGGTGTCTCCCAGACTGTCGAGCAAACCCAAGCCTTGCTGTCTGTGTGCCAGCCATTCTGGTTTGGATATCTTATGTTGATTGAGTGTATCGAATCACATGTCTAAAACAAAACCGCTCACACGCAATATTAAGGGCCTAGTGCCTCTCACTGTGCCCCATTCGACGCTCCACTTCTTGGCTTCGAAGACCTGAAGCCTTTTCTCAACGTGAGCGCGGACGCGTTGAACGTCGTGAATGTCGAACGAGACTGTAGGACCGTTATGCAAGAAGTACTTGGTACGCTCACACTCGGAGCAGCCGCAGCCAAAGGTTGTAGCATCTGGAATTTCTGTCCCCGAAGGTTTCTTGCCAACAACTGTTGACACAAATAAGCGCGTAACCACAGAGAAGAAGGTTTTGATTGGCCCTTCTTTTATAGAGATGCCAAAACCGATTAACAAGGTACGGAGAGGACCGATAAGAGGGACGAGGACGCCAGTGAGATAGGGTTTAAGAAGCTGGGCTCGAGTGATGCCGGCAGAGGAAAGAAGCTGATCCAAGATGGCAGGGTAGGAATTTACGCCAACCCCAGAGTCAAAGCAGAATTTCAGTAACGCGATGGCTTTATTGACTGCCTCTTCGCTTGCAAGGTCCGCCAGGCTGGCGAAATCAAAATGCTCGATAACTGCACTTGCGCATGCCATGAGAACTTCGTCAAGATCTCGCCTAGCCGGAGCTGCGGCCTCTGGTGTAAGTAGGTTGGCATGCATATTAAGGGCTAGCCTCTTCAACGAAGCTTTCTTTTTTTCAGCCATATAGGCAATACCTTCAGCGTTCATGCTGCCAAGTCACGCATTAGCTGAAGCATAGGGAAAGGAGAACGTTCGCCTCACATTGACTTTAATGCAAGAACACCACCAGCTCGATTGAGAGAGATAGTTATAGTAGCCAAAATATCATCATTGAGGTGACTTTGTTTGATGCTCATCTCTGCAGCAGCCCGAAAGAATGGCGCCCAAGGATCATCTACGGCAGTACTATCGGGCTGTGAACGTAAGAACTCGTCCAGTTTCCCGGCAAGTTCGCTGTAATACTGCCAAGGCATAAGTTCTTTCACGTCATTTCTGTTTGCCCAAGACATCATTTGCTCGAGAATCGGGCCACAGTGTTGGGTATTACCGGTTTGGACACAGAGAGCCAAGACATCCATGACAAGGCTGACGTTCATTTTCGTGGCATGGGAGCAGCTGAGATCAAACTCCGTATCGTCGGGTTCTGCAAGAGCTGAGAATCTTTGGGCGACCAATTTCATGGTGTCAGAAATGAATGCCAGGAAGGCCTCTGAAGATGAGAACATATCCTCAGCAGACCATATGTTTTTTCCAAGATCCAGCCAAAATCTGACACACAGGTTTTGCTCTCTTAGCGAAGAAAGAACGCTGTATAAAGGTATAGATGAGCGTTGTTCGCAGAGGAAGCGGTATTGAGCTTACTGATCTCGGAAAAACCCGATGCCACGTTCCTTTGCTATCTCCACCAGCCAAGGAACTTCATCTCTATCCACTGGCTTCAATGACGACAGAATCGAGTCTCTCTTTTCTTGACATCCCTCGATCGCGGGAGTATCACCTTTGGTAATGGCGGCCTGCATCACTCCGCTAACGAGCCCGTAACTCAGGCGGCTAGTTTCCCAGGCAGTGATGATATCAACAAGCCTGCGCCAATTTTAGTCCAATCGATAATTAGCCAGAGGAAAGGATCGATACCATCTTTCCGCATTCACCCAGAAAAACTTGTTGTAAGCAGCCACGAAGTCTTGAACGCTGATGTGACCAGCTACGTCTGTCATGACCGCCAATTCACGTACGACTCTTGAAAAGAGCTCAATGTCATTCCACCTGATCGCGCATCGGGTAAGGACACTGGCAGCCCGATTCAATTGTTCGTTTTTGGCACTTGGGTCGTCATCCGCAGGCTGATCTGACTCGTCTGAGTCCTCCCCACACCACTCCATCAGAAATTCAACTGCGGCAGTCTCTGCAGCATTGGGATTGTCGGAATTCGATATTTGAAGGCGATGATAGGCATACTCGAATCTGTCTCCGACGCCCCTTCTGACCCATTTTTGGCAAATAAGAAGAATGGTTGCGTTCCATTCTATCGAAAGTTCGGTTTAAATGGGGGCCAGTAAATCGGAGGGTACCACTGACTTTGATTTACATATCCTGCCTGTCGTGGAGGGATCATTCAATAAGCTTTCCGATATTCACTTTAAGCAACGGCTTACAAGAAAGTCATCTTCATCCTGTAGGAGAGTCAGAAGGTATGTAGTTCCACTGGTCAATTGAAGGACTTACCGCGTATGAGTCAAACTCTTTAACGTCTGGTTCACCGCGGTCTTCATTCTCCCAGAAGTGGTCATCTCTGTAACCATGATCATACTCAGGATAGCCTTGTCCATACCCTGCATCGTGAATGATATCTGACGTTTGGAGGTCGAGATTTTTGATTGTTACAGGCATGCCATCTAGGTCGACCATTTGCTTTATCTCGATTCCCCGATAAAAGTAAGCGTCCTCGGTAAAGTCCGCCTCGTTGTCATCCTTGTGTCGTTCAATAAAGCTGAATATCTCCGCCTCGGAACTGAAGCGCGGTTTCTGGTAGGACATATCCCATCTATTCCGAGTTCGGGTTGCTTCCCAATCAACTTCGTCTTCGTCTTCCTCATCACCTTCACCTTCACCGTCGTCGTCGTCACTCTCGTCATCCTCCGAATCGTAACGGCCTTGGATGTAATTGTACTCGCTTCTTTCATGCACGATGTTCGCAACGAGGAGCTTTAATCCTAGGACATCAGCAACAGGCCGTATGCAGGATAATAAAACTTCATCGGGGCCTATTAATGATGAGCCATTAAACGAACTCGACGGTTGGTATTTGTGAGACAGGTTGATGGACACGACTCCAGGAGGATCATTTTGGGGGCTTAGCGTGTCCCGAAGCCTTGCTACAGCCCTTTTAGGGTCGAAAATGGGCTGCACCTCAGATCTTTGGGGGGCAATTATCCGATAGGACAGAGATACTCGGTATCCCGTTTGTATCGGAGCAACGGCTTTAACGTATCCACAACGAACGCCAAGAACAGTGGTGGATTGTTCACTCTGCTCCGACCATTTCGTGAGTTTTTCGGGGTAAGAAGGCATTGTGGGATATGCAACAGTCACATCGCCACCAGTGAATTGGGAAGGGAGGGAAATTTCGATGGACCCCAGCTGGGTTATCCGTGTAGACCTTGGAAGAAAGAAGGAATGTCGAAGTTGGCTGCCTTCTGACTGCAATGAACTGATACAACTGGCATTCTCAGCCGTTCTGACAAAAGCAAGATTATTAGCAGTGTTCCACCGGTAGATTCTACAAAGACATACGAGGAACTTTGAGACTGTATGGTCATCTTGTCGAGTTCACATCTGCAAAGGTCGAGACCCAGTCGCTCGCACGCTTCAACTAGCACAGTTTTCTGGACCCACTGCTCCCAAACAGGATTATGAAGTTCAATCTAGACAGCATCAAAACTTCGGATATTGTAGCAGAAATCTACCTACTAATTCTTTGCCAAAGTCCCTGCAGGTTGAACTGTCCTTGGATTGGCGAAACGCCATCAGAGCGCGAGCATTTTCATTGTTCAGAGGAAATCCAACAGGACCAAATCCTTTGATAGTTATACATGGGTTGGGTGCATCCATTCCGTAAGTTTGGAAGTAAACCATGGCGCCTCGAATATTGAGGTTTTCATCTAAGATATCTCTGACTTGATCCAATACACGGCTCTCATCATCCGTATCAGATTCTTCTTCAGAACGCAAATCCCAGTCATTTTGTATAGATGACTGGGATGATTCGTCGTCAGACATTGGAGATGGGCACCGTCGTCGCTCAGCGTAATGGCTGTAAAGTAAAGACCCTGAAAACTTTCTTCAAATGGAAATTACCGATTTGACAGTCTGAGAGGTGTTCGTCATTAATACTACTGTACAGTTATCTGGTAGGAATACACATGAATCCCGAATTATTACGATATCTTTGTATGTAGGTGCTATTGTGATGCGAAAAAAAGGTCAAGATATATGTCAAATACACGGCAATATGATGGTAGTACATCCTCGAGGGTATCAATTGGCTGCGCCAAATCCAAAAGTCCAGATTGAAACGTACTTTTATGTCGAGGACCGGACCTCAAACACTTGGTTGGTTTTGATAGCATTCGAACATATCTGTCTTCACCAATCTCCGCCGGGAATCATTCCACTTGCGGAGATATTCCCTCGCCCTCTCTTCGAAAACCTCGCAGCCCTGGAAAAAGTCCTTGGGAATGAAATCCTTTCGCTGTTCCCAAGGCTTGATGTCAACGTGCTCGCAGCGATCTAAGCACACGAGTATGATCCCAAAACTATATGCATCGGCCAGCAGCGCGTCTTGACATTCGCCTCTAAGAATCTCCGGCGCACAGAACGGACGCGTACCAGGATGTATCTGCTCAATTTTTCTAGACGAAAGGAGTGGAGTCTGACTGGACTGTCGGCGTACGAGATGAGCGAATGGATCGACGGGTTCGTCGTCCGGGGATGTATATATCGAGTCTGCAGACACAGAACGACCGAAATCGAGGAGTTTGACTGTATTCGCAGGAACCGTGACTTGGATGTTAAGCAGTGAAAGGTCGCCGTGACTCAGGCCAAATGAGTGGAGATGTGTTAGGCCGTCAAGTAACTGGTCGTGGTAATCGATCTTGGCCTCCCTCGTCAGCACTGGGCGAGCAGTAACAACATCATATAGTGTCCGCCCATCGATGTACTCCAGCACCATGCCCACGTTCTCGAGCGCCCCCAGAAAAGCACATATATTCCGATGCCGCGTCACCGTAGTGTATACACGCAGCTCCGCCAAGAACTGTATTGTGACGTCGGACGCGTTGGACTGCATCTCCCCATTTATCTCTAGCTGGATGACATCGGGCTTCTTGACGACACACTTGAAGAGCACTGAGGCTGAGCCTTGGGCGACTGGCGAGAGGTTGACGGTGGGGTTAGGTGGAGCCGAATATGCTGTCGGCGTTGGGAAAGAGAAGATGGATGTTGGGTGGCGGGGCGGGTTGTAGATAGGCGGTGAAGGAGGCGGCGTGGGTGGTCTGTGCGGTTCTGATGGATCAAGTTGCTGGTAATCAAGGCCGTCGACCACTGTCTCCTCCGACGAGAACGAGTTAATGGACGGGGCAGCATTATCGTCTTGCTGGTTGTCCAACTCCACTAAAAAGCGGCAACCCATATTAGAACAATTCTCTTTGGCAAGAGCAAAGCAACACACCCATCCACCAGTTTTTCTTTGACGTCAGAGTAACCCGCTTGACGTGCATCGTTGACGGTGGGCCTAACAGTCGTGGCTGCAATGTGTCAGATATACTGAGTGCCCTCTTCATGGTTGGACGCAGATTTTGCTGCATTGCCGCAACGTGCGGTGGAAATGAGATGCGACAGTGATGGCTGTCGTGACGAACGTTTTCACAAGGCAACAAGGCGGTGATTGCCGTTTATGGCATGCTACTCCACCACTCCTGGCGGCGTTAGCGGCGTTTGCGATTCGGCTTGGCCTACTTGGCTTTCTTCAAAGCAACAGGCCAAGCCAAATTGCAACCGTCTTTCTCCGATCAAGGCAGCGAGATTTGTACATTATTTTGTATTTGATCCAGTGAGCTCAGTGGTAAGTCATCAACTTTGAAACACAAACGAACGAATGAAGTACTTTTGAATAGTCCGAGGCGGTATAGTCTACAATTTTATACGTGAGGATAGATTTAGCAATAAGCAAGTCCCGTATAGATACAAAACCGTCCATCATAATGAGCGTAACAAAGAATGCGTCAATGATCCGAAAGCGAGGTGAAATCTAATGCACGAAAGAAAATAACAAGAAGGATGTAATTCACAATCACAACCCTAAAACGAAAGACGCGAAGATAACGAAAAGAACAGTCCAAGAAGTATAGATTTTGTTTGAGAAACCAGCACTTTTGTCATTGCTGTTGTTATTGTTTGAGTTGCTTCCACCTGAAGAACCGCTGACGTCCGAAGCCCGAAGAACGCTGGATCCTGGAAGATTGGCAGAGGAGTCAACGGTTTGCTTCTCGACTTTTCCCGAGCCAACCATGACCTGGACACCAACAGAGGGAACGCCGTTGATGACAACAAACAGCAGAGCAGGTCCAGGAACAAGAACCGCCGGGTTGGGAGGCAGTTGGTTAACATGCAGAATGGCAGTGTTGTTCTCGTATCCAGTATAACTGGTCTGGAGCTCAACATAACGTTGACCCATGTTCTATTTGGAAACAATAAATATCTAGATGATTGCCTTATCAAAACAAACTCACCATCGAATGCGTTGAAAATCCCGTGCGAATGACTACAACCTTGGCCGTCTGCACATTCTGGACGTTGCCGAAAAGATCAGCTGAATCCAGAGTGATATCGAAGTATGGTCCTCCATATGACAATTGCTTCAGGATACCATGAGGCTCCGGACGACGTTGGTTGTAGTACGATGGGTAGAACTTCTCGACCCGATACTCCGTAGGGTACGTAATGCCCACACCCACATTGTAATCAGAGTTAGGATTCGATCCCGCGACGAATACGGAGCCTGATAAATGAACGTCAGTCAAAGGTCAGATGCGATCCGTGGTACCGTACCATCGGGAAGAAGAGTCGCAGACGAATGATACATCCGCGGAACCGTGCTGGGCGAGAGACCCTGGCTTGACCAGCGGGATCCCTTCGGGGCAGAGGGATCATAGATGATTGGCTGCAGAACAGGTTTGTCTGCGTATGACTGCCCTATAGCCCAAGTGTCATTGCCATATCCAGCAGTGCCTGGCAACTGTTGAGTAAAACCAAGTCCTAAACAGGCCTTGAATAACCTTACCAAGGTTCGCGCCGTTAAGGCACAGGATCCGCCCGTCTGGCAAGAAAATGAGGTTCGCCATTGAACGTCCTTCGGGAAGAGGATCGTCTTGGGAGTAGGATCCTGACGAGTCTGGGGTAATGGTGACGCAAGACGTGGACGTCGGGTTGGCCGCAATGTTCCAAGTGGGAACCCATCTGGATGAGCAGTGAGAGACAAGCAAGGAAAAGTGAGACATAATACATACTGATTGGGCTGAAGGTTGGTTCCACCGCAAAACAAGATAGTAGCCGTCCAGTTATTGGCGGGAGTCATAGGCAACATGATAGTGCCAGCACTGGCGGGGTATGTTCGCACGGCATCTGGTATAGGGTCAAGGGGTGTCTCCTCGTAAGTGTGGTAATCTATAAGGGAAGTATTCCAGTTCGACTGTATGAAAAGCTTTCCGGAAGGAAGAAGCCACGTGAGGGGGTACAAGTTGGTGGGAAGCGTTGTCTGAAGGATGTTTGAAGGAATAGGATCTCCTTTGGTAGGGAAGAACTCGTAGGTAGGGTTGTCTTGCCCAGCATCGTTCACGTATCCCCCATTTTTACACCCACCGAGCTATAAGACGTCTGGTCAGATCATTGCGAATGGCGAAGAGTGCAACATACGATGATAAGCGATCCATCTTCTAGCGTTTCTCTGTGAAAACACGTCAGATCTTGTTGGAAACATCCGAGAAAGAACGTACACAGTGGGATACCATCTTTGAGTTGTCATATCTCCAAATACACGCCAATCGCAAGAGTTATCATCGCAGGGATTCAACAACCGGAGGCTGGGGAGCAGATTAGATTTACCCGGGAGTTCACAGATAAAAAGACTATGAAACATACGATTGTCTGCCATCCGGATCGTCATAGGGAGCACCTCCGGTCTGACTTAGAGCTGCGGCGCCGCCATAAGTGACGGCCTGGTTTCCCCCGACGTTAAGCCATGTTCCATCGCCCATAACGTTCCCACCCTACCCGAAACCATGTAAATTGATTGTTCGCACGGCAAAGTATTTCATTGCTTACCGCACAGAATGAGTTCGTCACGATGTCCATGGGTTTCGCGTTGTTGGCGGCGACACCATACTCTGAACATGATGTTAGAGGCATGTCGGACATGTTAAAACAGCCCGAATGATGGCTCACCGACTGCCCATGCTGGATGCCCATTGACTTGACCGGGGTTGTTTTCTACCTTGTCTACAATGTATACCTTGTCCTCCGTTCCCAAGAAAAGCTGACGATTCGCTTGTTACATGATTACAACTTGGAATTCACAAAGAAACTAACCTGTTGAGCGCTAACTAAACTTTCGCCAACGATCTGGAATTGGCCCACAGGTCCAGTTTGGAAAGGCTGTCCAGGAGCCGTCGCCGTACTTTGCAAGAATGCGACATCAGCAAGCACCGACAAAACGCACAGGGGAGCAACAAAGTCCAATAAAACGCCCATTGATTTAGGAGCGGAGGGGCAGGGTATGAATGAAGAAGTGGGTAAAAGCAAAGGGCTAAGACGGGAGAAACAATTTGTACTCCCAATGTTTTAAGGACCACCCTCGAGCCAAGCTGTTTTTGTCTGAGGGTCGGCGATCACATGAATAGACACAAGTAAGAATGCACTACTGGAAACCATGATGAAACAGTAGGCAGAGACGATCGACTAATTGGGGCGCTAGCGGGGATGCACTGGCCGTGCAGTGCATGAATTGACCGACTGAACCATTCATATTAATCCCTCAGCAAGTGCTCTAGGACACATGGAAATATCGTACCTTCCTTCCGTATACCATGTTGTTTACTGATTGGAGGTCCAATATAAGCGGCATCAGTACGGCAACCCGTGCGCACCACCGGGTTGTTGCCGCGGGAACAAAGTTCTAATTCTGATCGAGTTGGTGCAACGCCTGAGTCTTATTCAAGTTATTGACTCAGCCGTGCAATGCACGAGAGACAGTTGGAACCGGTCAGTCTCGCCCTTCACCGGCTTCATCATGGGGGGAAAGTTCAGGAATATCAACACAGCCACCATCATACCCCTGGAATTCAATTTGGCGCTTATTTATCAATTTATTACTCTTCAATTGGGCCTTCTTTCTGATTATCGACTAGCGCCTGTACGTCAAGATGAAAGGCGGTGTAATTCCGAGCTGCTGTAGCAGGCGTTATTCGTCTCTTCTTGAGCCCTCCCTTCCCTCCCAAGTTTTTACCTGAGCACCGATTATTCCCGTAATGTCTTTGTCTTCAACCTCCCAAGGCATAATATGTACTCCCGAGGAAAGTGCAAGATAGACTTCTGATAATTCGCTCCACTGTTTGACTCGCGGAGAAAGCATAGGCTTGACGGTGAGACATGCTCCCATTTCGCCTTGGTGAAAGCAGGCCCATGAGTCACCGCCTCCACCTAGATTGTCGCAGAGAGTGGCTTTGTCTCACTTTTTGCTGTCCTCTTCGTGTTTGGGATTATCTTTGTACGTTACTTCCGCTCATTTTGTATTGCGTATGCTGATATTTTGGGATGCCCACTTTTTTCAGCGAAATGCACTCCATCATGTCCGGAAGAAAGCCGTAAAAGACTGGGATTTTCTCCAGGAACCTGTGGATGTATTTATGGTGGGTTTGGAACGCTGACGGAATGAACGGGCTTTGAGTTTAACAAAACGGACTTAGCTCTCTTTATTTTTTGCGGATCTCGTACAAGCCCTTGGTGCCGTTCTCGATATTAAATGGATAAACGAGGGGAAAGTGGAAACAGGTCCTTTCTGCACCACTCAAGGTCGGCCATTCAATATTGACAGCACATGACGCGTCGTTGATACCTATTGCAGGTATCATACAACAATTAGGAGAAACGGGGGTAGCCATCACCACCCTAGTGAGCAAGGCTAGCTCACACTCCGGTATACAAAGCTCACTAAGAATAGATCATCGCGCTCTACACCTTTATCGTCGTATGGTGGCGTAAAGGCATGAATGCTATTCTCATCTCCAAGCTCGTCGTTCTTACAGTATGGGCCTTCATCATTATCATGATAGTCGTTGGAAACACGACTCAAGGTCCGGATTACGAGGAACCAACACCAGTAAAATCTTCCCTATGATCACCCTCCTTTTTATTCTCACACGCGACTCTTTCTTTCCAGTACTGGTGCTGGATAGGCGAACACCACACAGCTCTCCGAATCATAGGCGAATACGTCTGGTTCTGGTTAACCTTGGGGGTATCGATCTTGGTATACATCCCTCTATTCCTTTGGAGCCGGGGCAACATCGCCTTTGACGACAGGTCCTGGTGGAAATTTACCTTCCATAGTCGGCCCGATGAGCCTGAAAGCGAGGAAGAAAAGGCCCGCAGGCGAAACTCCCTCAACCTGATCGCGTCAGCCCTCTATCATATACCCCTTGAACTTTCTAGCTCATCCTCCATCAGGTACCCCGTGGTCTACTCAATCCTCGTCCTCCCTTTAAGTGTGGTCCGCTGGATCACGTTCAATGGCAAGAATCAGCTCGGCTCCGCACCCAACTTAATAGTGATCTCGATTTATGGCTTGAGCGGCATGATGAACGTCATTCTTCTTTTGGTGACTCGGCCTAATTCGGTGCTATTTGGGAGGACGGGTCGTGCGGGACGTGGTCGTGTTTCTTCACCGCGAGGATGGATCGGCCCTCAAGCACATGCAAAGCAGGATGGTGCAGAAGAGAGCAGTCAGTCAGGACGAGATGATGAATCACAAATGGGAAGGCTACCATCCATCGATGTTGAAAGTATCCCTTCACGTTAACCGTTAAATACCATCACCATGTTTTCTTCTTAATATATACCCCGCACTTCCCAAGTGGCTACAAATTACAGATGTCCTTAAAATACACATTGTACATTTATTGTCTACTTTCATAAATTTATCTGCACTCAACCCCTTCTCTTCCTCCTCCGCTCGGTCTTCGTACCTCTCCCCTTCGCAATTCCAGTTGCTTTCTCCTTCTCCTCCTTGATCCTCCGATCCATCTCTTCCTGCTCCTCATCCAAGAGCCCCACAGCAGAGATGTGATCATACATCTCAACCTCTTCGACCGCATTCTTGTCTTCCACTCCCCAGCCATCATTCCAAGCGTCGTCGAAAATTGGTACACCACCACCACCGTCCTCGACGTCTTCCTGATCAGGGTCCATAGGATACATGCTCGTAGCTGCCGTGGATAGAGAGAGGGCATTAGAATCCTCATCTCCACGAGACGCACTACTATCGTCGCGCGCCCCGTCATCGCTCGGCGCTTGGAAGACAAAGTCTTCCTCTTCTTCATCAAATTCTAAGGGTACTGACATACTCAACCCCTCATCTTCATCGTTCTTCCTCGGTCGTCTCTTACCGCTCCTTCGTCGGGCTACCATCATCTCCCTCCTCAGCCTCCCAAGACTTTCACTCACACCTCGAATTGGGATCGAAGTCATACGGCTGGATCCATGCCCATGCCCGTTGGGCAACATAGGCAGAACCGTTCCAACGCCTCTCAATCGTTCACTGAACTCGTCACCTTGAAGCAGTGCCGATGCAAGAGGTTCGTCAAAAGAAAATGACCGCCTTGAAGCCGACGAAGAGGCCTCGATGAATGCTTCGCCGCCTATATTTGACGTTGAATAGGCGCTAACCTGCACCTGCTTACGCACTTCAATGTTGACACCAGGAATATCCAGCTGAAAACGGCGGATGAGAGCGTGATAGTCCTCGCCCAGCGTATGGAAGGTAAATTGATGTGATAAATATATAGATCTCGGAAGAATCTGACGCGATTTCGAGTTTGTCGAAAGTTCGGCCTGGGACAGAAAACTGTGGACTGTTAGCATCGGCTACCACTAAGAAGTGTGAAACATACTCGGATTGGACTCTGGTCGTAGCCCCTTCATCCTCAAAGGTCTTCTTGACTTCATCCCAATCCTTTCGTCTCCTTAGATCCCAGGTAGCAACAACAGTCTCTTTATTCGCAACGAGCTCACTCTCACCCTTCTCTTCTGCGTTATTGACGGTCATGTCCGGAGAAATGCCGCTTCCCGCGCCACTGGAAAGTCGTCTTCCTCGTTGTCTCGGCGAGACGCCATTTCCACCGATAGCAAGACTAAGAGGTAGTGAGACGCTCGTCATTCCTCCTATTGACCCCGAGTCCATGACGTCGCGAACGCCACCAGATCCAAGTAGCCATCGCCTGAGCTGTAGTAGTCCATCAGCGGCATCGAATACAAGCAGGTCTTGAAAGTTCTTCATAGGCTGCCGTGGGTACCCTTGAGCATGCCGAGGGGAACCAGAGTCTGATGGAGATGAAGACGGAATAGGTAATAACGCTGGCTGAGGAGATGGAATGGGTAGGAGTGATGAAGGAAGAGTTTGACGGGGAAAGGCCAGAAACTGGAACACCGGAGGCGGTATAGGCGGAGAAGTGGGTTCATTAGCGCTTGTTGTGCTACTGACGTGAATGTTCGATGTTGGTCTTATTCGGATGATTGGCGCTAGCTCTATAGAGAGAGGTTGCTAAGAAGATAAATGAAAATGAAGTGAATTCAGTGTTGGAAGAGTAAGACGACATACCAAGCTCTCAGGATTTCTAACGCGTCCACACATATGACTCTCCAAATCAGGTGCGCCTCCATATGGATTAACAGCGAAAATGTGAATAGTGCGCTTACGAGTGCTGATAGCTATCCAGCGCCCGTCCGTAGACCATTCCACATTGTCCACAATCGCTGATGTCCGTCCACGACGGAGGTCATAAACATGTTGAGTTGGGACAGAAGATATACCACTCGGAGCAGGTCTAAGCCGGTGAACGCGGCTCACCTGCCCATCCTTCGAAACTGACAACAAAGAACAGCCATCAGGAGAAAATGATAAACAAGAGATTGACGAATGCTTAAATGCGGGAAATCGTGCTAGTGGCGCAGCAGCCTGTAGGTCCAAAACCGTAACATAGTAGCCTGTTTCAGTGCGTGTCTGATCATCTTGGCGCAACGTATCGGTATCGCTGCCTCCTGAAGCTGCTGGCGCACTTCGAGAGACAGGTTTGGCGTCCCCACCAAGCTTGTTCAATGCAGCCGAGTAGGCCAGTCCACCAAGCGACTTCATGCCGCTGATGACGGACTTGGCAGTGGTTGCGATTGGCTTGGGGGGAGTAACAGACACATTGTTGATCGCGGTCGCGGAAGAGGGTGGTAGAGAGGCATACGCGAGGAGACGGCGTGATAGGGTATAGATAGGGTGAGGCGCGGAGGCAGTATGAGTGAATGGAACGAGTGATGAAGAAGGAATGGTGTGTACAGTAGAAAACGTGGAAGCAGTGAGGACTTGTAATGTAGGGGGATTTGTTGTGGACTAAAATACGGTGAGGCTTGATACATGGGAAAACAAAGGACATGACTCACTATTACAATATACTCATGGCTGGCAGAGAAGCTATGGGCAGGAACAGCCAGTGGAATCCGTTGAACAACCTGATGTGAAGAAAGCGAGTATACAAGAAAGTTGGAGTCTTTGGTGAGGACACCGATAGCGAACTGGCCGGGTAAAACCGCTGCGTAGGTGACCACATCGTCAAAATGATTAAGATTGAGCACTTCGACAGCGGAATTAAGCCTTGTGCAATCCCATATCTGAAAGCCCGATGAATAACCAAGAAGGAGCAGACGGCGGGATCCTAGCGAATCCCACCTGGACCAATAAATGGTATCTGCTCCGGTGGTGTTCTTCTGCATTGACTGGGCCAGCCCAGACGCCAGCGGTTCATCAAAAATGCTTGATGCCTGGCTGGTGGACGTGATGACCGGACGAGACACGAGGGGAGGGGAAGGCACTGCGGCTGGGATTGGAATAGAAGAAGGAACGTAGTTGCGCACGGTTCTAGAGAACGATTCGAGCATTGTCAGCTCCCGGGAGAATACTGGCGACCTGGTATGGCCGGTATTCTGTATGTCGTCGTGGGCGTCGTCGAGAATGTCAATGGGGTCTTGGTCGTTAGATTGGTGAGATTGGTGAGATATATTGTTTCTGCGTGCATTTCGATTATTCTTGGGGGGCATTAAAATTATATGAAGCGAAAACGATGGACGGTAGCCTTGCAAGCAAATCCAAGGCTGAAAGGGTGGTATTCCGATTGTGAGACTGTCGGCGATGGTGGCAGTCTGGAACAAGGGGGGATAACGGTGCATACCATATATATATCTATCACGTGATGCTCTGGCTACCATGATGGTACGCGTGCGAACTTGAACAGAAACTGCTTTGTTCAGATTCCACTTGGAATCTACTTCCAACGATGGCTTTGAACAGTAGACCTGGAACCCTCTTTCTCTCCCGTAGCAGGGGACGTATTCTGACCAAAATTGAAGATACTTTTGGACCAAGGGTTACCGGGCCGTCAAGCCGGTCCACTAAAGCAAACCCCGACCACGCCATAGAACCTTTTTGACTCATTCTCTAATGATCACGGAGCGTATTAATCTTGTTCGAACCTCGAAACTGTTGGCGATGGCTGGGGCGGGGCCATGGGTGACCTAGCGAAAAGAGTTGTTCACCATGTTCAGAATCAACCCAAAAGTTGCGGTGCTTGTCCTGATGGACAGGAGCAACTTGTTGGAGTATCCGACGCCGGGATCTTCAGTTATCAGGAAGGATGTATTGTTCTCCTCCTCAACTTTCTTTATTATATCTCCCTGCTTCTACTCGTGTATACAGCATGTAGACAAATAAGTAGATCAACGACAATGGCTCTTGCTGAAATCCGGGTTAGCACTGGAGAATTACCGCTCATTCTAACACAACTACACTGTCCTTGATACTGCCAATAAGTCTTGTGAGTGAATGCGGACGTACATATCATCTGTGATTTTGAACATTAGTGCAGTCACTGAGAGCGCGTTTTAAGCTTGAAGTACGATTTCGTCACGTGACAAACGTGATGTCGCCGTTTGTTTTTCAGAATCTCCAGATTCCACCCACTGAAGTCCGCTTTCAACGATAGTTTCGAGACATGTCTCCCGAAAGACGCGAAAACCGCTCTGCTCCCATTAACAGACGTATTTTGGTCGACATTGAAGACACTCTGGACAATGACCTGAATATCCATGATGTACCATTTACATACTCTCGGGAGTATGGTCTGGATCCACCAAATCCATTTGTCCAGCTACAGGATTTCGGAGCAATTGGTCTTCCTTTGAGCGAAAGAGATGCGCAAGCCTTCATCTCGTTCAGCGAGAAAGACGCGTCTCAGCCAACGAACTTGTGGGAGTTTTCGGCCTGTGATGCAAGTTGAATTCAACTTCCTGTCGTCATCGTTTGTGTTAATCTTTTTTGGCAGGTTCACTTTATGAATCCCAAATGGGGCCAGTGGGTGAAGAACACGGTAGCTAAGGATGTCCGTCACGTCTTAGGGCTTCCTCCATGTGAATGTGAATTTGGCAAAATGTCGTTACAATCAGCTGGGTCAGCGTAAGTGATCCCTCCATTTTCCACTAATTACGACAAACATGGATCATTTCGTATAGAGCACGACCCCCGCAAGATTCCAGGTCACTACCTATTTTCTCCCATTTTCCGCCTACTGATCGCCTATGCAGGCAATTGAAAGCATCTGAAGATCGACCAGTGTTCGGTACGATCGAAATACTCCTACCATCTTCGTTTATAGGTGGAGACGTTACCATCGCGTATCCCGCCATTCCCTATGAACGGACGACCACAACAGAGGAAAGCTGTTTTAGCACCTTCGTTCTTGGCTTCCGAGCGGGCGCTGTAGAGACAATCGCGCCTCTGCAGTCTGGCTACCGATTATCTCTAACGTATTATCTGGTTCATTCTGGCAACGACTCGCAGCTGCAGACGTCTTTCGACCTCGCTGCCGCGAAGGAAAAACTTCGCAGTATTCTCAGTACATGGAAAACGGATGCTTCGTCTCCCAATGTGATACCGATAAAACTCGTTCACAAGTATACAGCAGGCTCTTCCTTCAGTTCCATGTCTTTACGCCATCCAGACGACGTGCTATTGTTGTGTCTTCAATCCATTACCGCAGACCTCCATCTGCCAATGTTCATCGTTCATGTCGAACACTATAGGGTCTCTTTTCTCAGTATTGACGGAGACCACTCCGATATCAAAGACGAGGAAGATACGCTTCGTGAAACACGTGGATATTATAGGTCATACGATGAATTGATGAGATTTTTGGAGCTGTACGGTGACGAAGATGAGTACCGCGTTGGCAACGTAAAACCGAACGGCGGATACCGTTATGGAGGAATGGTAATCAAACAGATTGTTGACATGGAAGGCATGCCAGTGACTGTTCATAACCTGGATTTTCCTGCCCAAAGTATAATCCACGATGCTTATGACGTCCGGTATAACTCGTTCTACGATGACCCGGAAATGGATCGCACTGTGCGAGGAAAACCTGACTTCGAAGACCTAGATGTTGAATATGTGCGCATAAAATTCTTGTAGTTATTCGGAGTTGCTGATACTTCATTCTCAGAACCACAAAGATCTAGTGGTGAGCACATTTTTCTTTAATAGGCCTTAGTTCCTCATGGCTTGTTGCTGCTTGTACAGACTGGAGATTATCTTGAAGGTACGGCGGTACCTGCACTTAGTACGAGCTTCTAATGACGACGGTGCCCCTTCAGTCTGGAAGGACACTCTCCTCGTGCTCTGCGGAGATCCTCCTTCGTGGACGGTCACAGTTGGAGATGTCTTTGATTACGCTTGTGACCATCTGGAATTGTCGCAGAGTCCCAAGGCCGGCACTAATGAAAATAAGTTGGTCGAAGCATTGCTGGAGTGCTGCAAAAAGCCTCAGTCTCTCAAGAGACCGATGGCGGACAAGGAGGCAAAGCTTAAAAGAGCAGCAATGTTACTTGTGGATATTGCCTCCAGATGGAATGATGTTGGCCTCTTCGACAAAACTGTTGAAGCATACGATATCAGGAGAAAAATCGATCGCATTGGAAGTCAAGGATTTGTGACTGCGTATAATACATTTCCTTGGATGAGTGTAAAGGCTTTGTATGTGTCTTACTTCCTTGAGAATCGCGAGTATTGATATTCCCTAGTTTCAGTGATGCCATCATCCAAGGAGAATCTAATCCCTATCGAACCGATGTTCTCAGAACGTTGAAGCAGGCTGCCGAGGCTAAAGCAGATTTCGAAGTCGTCAGATGGTGCCAAGAAATCGAAGAAACAATCTATTTTAACCTCAAGCCAGTCGACGAAACGCAAGTCAGCTGGCTGGTGGATCTAGCCAAAGAACGTGGCGTGTCATTTTTCAGAAATCGGTAAGAATCGATTCAGTTAATGTTGAAAGTACCATATTGCTGACAAATTACAGTTTTTTCGAACGATTTAAATCGGATAAAAATCTCCCAGTGCGCTTTTGGCTCTCCCTATCACAGAACCTTATACAAAGCCAACATGCGTTCGGCCCGCTTGCACGAGAAACATCTGATGCTCTGATATCAGAGCTTACCGCTTTGGCTGTTCAAAGCCTGCCTGCGTTTCCTTTAAAGGAAATTGTAGTTCCTCCTGAAGAGAAATGGCATGTGTTCGAGATTCCAGCTGATAGTGATAGTGATTCTGCTGAAGATGTGTATGAAGTAGCACCCGAGTACGAGATGGACATTGATCTCATCATGGACATCATCGGACTATGCGTTCGGTCGAATAACTCAAAGCATTGCGGTATTTACTTCGATGCACTTCATGGTGCTTCGCGTGACGCAGAGAGTAGCGGGCAGAAATACCCTCCTTGGTATTTTTATCGGAGTTTGGCTCTGAAGATCGACGTCCTCTTGACTTCGGCAACAAATGTGGACACTTGCAACGACCCATGGACTTCTTTCTTCCAAGCTGCAGCACAGGTGCTGGTTTTTCATAGTCCTCTGACAGCGGATTCGGACTTGGATCTGCTTACTATGACCATCGCACGAGCAGGCGGTGTCATGACGTTAGAAGAAATGTATGTCACCTTCAGTCACTCAAAGTTATTTCACCTAATGTAGATATTCAGACTAACTCCACAAGTCCTCGTTGATTTGGCAAAGAAGGATCTGCCTTCCTTCAAGGGACTCGTGATTCATCTATATTCAAACCTATTACCAGCCCCATCAGCTCCCGTATCCCGCCAAAGCCTCGCCAGTATCATCTTTTCCTGCGTACAGACCGTCATTGAAAATGCTCCCATCTCCACCGTCAGGAAGGTCGAGAAACTACTGAAATTCTGTTTTCGCGTGGGCATTGGGAGGCAGATCTATCCATTTGTTCTGGATCGAATTCTCGCTCAAGGCACGGTGAATGATCCCGAGGGGAACACATATCTCAAGGATGTTCTCGTTCCAATGATCCTACATCTACGATCTATTTTGACTGACTACGGCATCTCGCTGATGGAACAGCCGTGCAAGGTGTTCTGCTTGACAGTAATGCAACGGTATACTTCCATCGTAGTGGGAAAGAAACCACCACATACCATCCCCACCGAGCTCATAAACTTTGGCTGTGGGTGCAATTATTGCGATGATGCTAAAGCCTTTTTCAAGAACGGCGTCCAGCTCACGCACCATCTTTGCGCTGTGGCGAAGGTTCGTGCTCATGTAGAGGAAAAACTCGTAACTCAGCGAGTTCGCATTGAGGCAGCTGGTGTCGATTGGTACACCATGAGGACCGGCTCTCCTCACTCGTTGGTTGTGAGTACATTCTCATGCTACTCGAACGTGAGGCTTAATTGCCACCTTGGTTACATAGATAACAAAACCCAAAAGTATGTCACTGTACCCAGCTTGGGAAATCAACAGCCAACGCGGTGTCGAGCTGCTCACTGCAATGGGTGATGAGAAAACTCAAAAAGTCATCCTTGGCGAGCACTACCTATGGATCCGTGATATCTTGCATGGAGACCCGGAGACCTCGGTTCCGCTGCCCATAGAAGGCTTTCTTTCGAAACTTCTAACTACGTCTGGCAATAAGAGGGTCTTTGATGATGATATTGATTCAGAGGATGGGTCGAAAAAGAAAAAGATAAAGCTTGAGGAATAAGCTGACGCGTCTCGAATTTATTCCACGATCTCTATCAATGTTGTACAATATTATTTACACCCATACGATTAGTCAAAAGATATCGTTCGTAAAGCACACCAGATAATGTCGCCTCCCACCTCCCACGGATAAACAAATTTCAATATCCAGATCCGTTGTGAGTCAATTCACTAACGTTAGTAAGGTATTTTCCCCACTCATCCAACCTGTAAATCATGGAAACCGTCAGCCTTGCATCAGTCAGAACTGATTTCAGCAAGTTACGCACTCAAATCCGGTCGGCCACATAGCCAAAGTTTCGGCATCGGTGAGAGGTTGCGAAAACCCGTCCGTCATGCCCACATGTTGCTGCCCGCCGGGCATCATTACCATAGGATCAGGTATGCTATCCACAGGCGGATGGATAACATGGTGATACTGTGCTTGGTCATAAAAACCATCATTGAGAGGTGCAACATCATATGCACCAAACATTTGCTGGGAAGCCGACGGATCCTGACCGTGTATAGGCTGATGATGGCTATTTGATGTTTGATTCGAATCAAACCAATAGGCATCCGAGAAAGACTGAGCCGCGGCGGACAGGCTAGAGGACGATGAGGAAGGCTCGCTCATAGTGAAAGGCGTGTACACCGAATTCGAGTATTGTTGAATCTGAGCGACAGTAGATGAGTGTGTATAAACCTCATCAGGCGACATTATAAAGTCTTGCTGATATGTTGTCGATACGCGCCGGTTACTTATGATGGGCCGAATCCCGGGATTGGCCGCATCAATGTCGGAATAGTCGGTCGGTGGAGATCCCACGGACATCGGACTGTCAGAATCGCGTTCCCGCTTGTTTGAGGGAGATGCGGCTTGGTGAGGGAGAGGTAGTTCACCAACAGAGGCTAGCTCGTAAAGGATGTCCCTGTATTTTCAATAAGCGTCCCTGCGGCCATGTTTTTGATCAGGGTAAACACGTACCATAGTCGACCTGCGAAGGGCAATCTGCACTATACTGTGAACTCGCTAGCAGAGTAAGAACATAGAAACGACGTACTGCTTCTCAAATATTTGCAAGGTCTTCATGCACTTCTGAACGTCACTCAGCTCCTTTTTCTCGTCGAATGATATTCCTGCCAGTGATCGTCTCCCACTCCAGATATTCAGGAGTAGAACAATTGCAGCACTGAAGATAGACATCTAGAAGGAATTAATTCGATGGAAATGTCGTATTTAAGTAGACAGCTTACAGCGCAATGGTACATTGGACTCTCTGGTCTACGAAGTTGACAGTCCAGAATGTGACTGATCGAACGAGCCGCATTGGTGCAGATGGCAAGAGAGGGAAAAGCAAGGGGCGATGACTTTCCCGGCGAAGGAATGAAGGGTCTATGAATGAGTATCTGGAGGTGGTAATATGAGCAGTAGAGGAAGACTGATTGGTTGAAAAAAATCTGATTTTCGCGATGAGGATCCCAACGAACTACGGAAAACGGTCAGTCGACCCCGATTCCTGCAACCGCGGACAAAACGTACTATGGTCAGGCACGGAATCAACCCATTTGTTAAGGAACGAATCTAATTCGGCGACAAGGTCTTGCTTCCATTTCCCCACGAACACGAATAGAGTTTTCGATCTGTTGAGAGAATACTGGGCGGTGACGTGAACAGACGATAGCTTGGAAACGACATAGGACATACGATCGTACGAAGGCACAAAGCGAGGATTCTGTTCAGAGCTAGGTAGGATATGAAAAAGGACACGAGCGACGGCTTATCCGGAGGTTGCACGAACGCCTGTTCTGGGTCAGGATGTTCCCAATGTTCATCGTCGCAATCAACGGGGAACTCCGCGTCGATACTATGGAAGTCAAGATTAGACGGAGAAGTAGGAAGTACGTAAGGGCGCTATACACACTCTTCATCTTGTATAGCACATGGACGACCTAACGCTAGACTTATCAGTCTATCCAGGGAGACAATAACCCTATCTCTCATGTGAGATCGATCCAACATGAAAAGCGGAAACAATAACGAACCAAAAGGCCCGTTTCAGTAGCTCTTCCTCGGCGTTGCGTGGTTGACCCGGCCTGCTATGTCTTCTATGTGCACCGAGGTCTTGGGCCATGCGAATACCGGTCCCTACCAACGTCCAAGAAGTGTGTGGCGCAGCACATCCTTGCACGTAGAACACAGACAGCTGGTGGCCGCAATAAATAACAGGTTTCTATTTGAATGAAGGCATCACTCACTGCGCATTTTTGCAGGTCATACAGGTTTGGCGGTCGCAACAACGACATATGAACTCGATGTACTTGGATAAACCATTTCCAACCGTTCAAATGCCGTGTTTTCGACTCCGTATCGGAGTCATCGGCCCTTACGCGAGGATCGTCAGAGTAGCGTGAACCGACAGCGCACACCAGGAGGACAAGTGCTCCAAACTCGCTGTCCGTATGATGTAATCCAGCTGCCAGAGATCGTTCAAAAGTCGGTCGGTGAAGCAGAGGCCAGAACACGTTTTGGTTAAGGAAGTATAGTTGAACGAGGTAATTAAGGAAGTCGGGCTCTGGGAAAGAGTAGTTAGCAGGTTGCAGATCGATATCGTCGTAATTCAGCTGAAGCGCATGAGAAACAGGATGGTAAGGATTGTGAGGCGCCTACCGAACGTATATTATTAGACCAAAATTCGGCACGCCTGCTGCTCATGATTTTGAACTGGTCCTTAAGGTTGGTGATGTCTCCTTCGTCCAGCTCTCGCCTAAACTCAAAGGCTGTGTGTGCCAGAGCAGGACCACTCGACTTGCCAAAAAATCGTACTTCAGAAGGTTCCATATCGAAGGATCTTAGCCTGTCCGTAAGGGCGACGTGTTGTATGTCCTCTTCGTCCGTTATGTGATCTTCAGAGAAATCGCTAGGCTGTATGCGTGGCGGCGCTATGGTCGACAGCGAGGGACTAGGAAAGGTAGCCATGTCTTGCGTGGTGTTCCGCTTGGAACCTGAAGCGTCAGCGGCTGGACTCCCCTTGGCAGCGCCGTCTGCATGCGTAAGCTCTTCGTCGATGTCGGCATTCGGCATAAACTAGAATTCATAGTGAGGGGGGATTCATCGGTAGAATCGAAAGGAAAAATACCTTGTGCAACAGTAACTCCATCTTGGCCAATTTATTCTCTAGAGTTTCAATATAACCCTTCGGGTGCCTACGTTTCTAGATACGCATGATGAGCACGGAAGCAAACGCAATGGAGGCGCATACCTTAGACGCCTCGACATAGGTACACTCTAGGCTATATGAGGTACAATTGGTGCACTTGACATCCGGCATGCGTCCTCCTTCACCTGTACAACAAGATGAGCATGTCAAGATCGACGATCGGATAGTCTACTAGCTAGGATCTTACATTTTACTGCGGGAGCCAACCGTCAATTTGTTACTTCTGTCAAAGCATATCATCAAGAACGTACTTTTCTTGCGCCTGCAGACGTCGCATGCCCTCTGCATCTTCCTCCGTTTGGCTACGGGAGATGCGTCTTCGACTTCGTTCTGGTGCTCGTCGTTGCTGGAAGACATGTTGGACTGGAGAAGTGAACGTGAGATCCTCGTGTATGCGCTTATATGTTCGTAAACCCGGTATTCATGCAACAAAATACCAATTCCAGGGGATGTCGATCCACTTTTGCAAATTGAGGAGAAATCTTGTTTTGCTGTGAAAATCAGAAGAGCAGGCTTGGATGAACAAGATTAAATCTCGTAGGCTATCCTGTATCACTGCGCGTTGGCTTTTTTTATGAAAATATAAGAAATACAAGGTCACACGAACTGAACCCAAGGACGAATTTGGACAACTGGTGCAACTAAGCAGTCAAGAACAGAGATCGGCAGTGTCGGCAGACAGCCACAGTTGCTATTTCTGTCCACGGCTCCTAAATACGACTTTGATCCGCGAGCAGTGCGCACCGCCTATGTGCGAATCCGACGCGTCGTGCCACACGATCTCATTCATGAATCTTTTCTGTGCAGAAAAAAATCGGCGGTGTTTCGAGCAAAGAAAAGATAATTCCGCTCTACAAATGTTGGTTTCTACTGGCGAAATCGATCTTTGGGGAAAACCGACACGAAGGTCTACAACAGAAGGAGCGGCCGTCGCGCGAAATTGTCAATTACTAAGTTAGTAGATACCGTGATCGCTTAGTGGCTTGCTTTGTCAACCTGCGGTGAAGTAGGAAATCAATTAGCCAAGATCAATTGACGAAGCATACGCCGCCCAGCCGTGACGAAGAACGCTTGGCCTCAGTGTCAAGTATCAGAGAAGCTGGGCGGATGTACATGTTATTCGTCTTGAAAGACAACCACGATCTAGAGAATATTGTTTCCGGAATTCTTGTCTTCTTCCGCCGGACTTGACTGAGAATCTCGAAGCCGTTTAAGATGCGCAGGGGCACGTACCTTTCAGAAACATCAGCACGGACTAGCACGGACTACTACGGTGCTGCGCGTGGTTTCCCAATCAAACGTTTCAAAGGTTTGATTGCACCCTTGGCGATAAGATGAAAGGAGTAGGTAAGGATTTACACGTTTTAACTTTGCCCATTCAATGCTGTGAACCAATTGAGTATATATCAAACAGCGAACACTCGGAGAATGTCTGGCCTCCAATCCAAATGTACACTGCCTGAATCTCTGATGAAAATCAGACAAGATAGCGACAAGCGCCGTGCGAATAGAGCAACATTATATCGAAACCTAGACAGAGTATTAGTGAGCTTTTCCCAGGTCCTGGTAAGCAATGTAATCTCCATCCGTTTCAGTGAGCTCTCACCTCATCGGGAGAAACGGACGGATCTACGTGAGCGGAGATTGAAAACAGAGATCTGCATGTTTTCGCACTCCGTCCACATGGTACGGTCCGATTCCCCGGTGCCGCGAAATCAACCGAGATGGATGGACTGGCCAAAGATAAATTACGCGTCGGGCGGACGACTTGAGAATCAAAACTGACGTATGTACTGCATTTTGACCGGAACGACGTCGATGTAAAATGCTTGGGGCCGTTTTCGGGGGCGAAAAAGATATGAAACTGCGAAACCTCGCAATCAAGAGGGAAAAAAAGGAATGAATCTTTGCCTAGACAGAGCAAGCGGTGTTTGGTGACTTGCGTCCAGGGTCCACGTTCTCCGGGGATGTCTCTATCCGTGAAAAATTTAGCATCCCTGAGGCTTAGGAGTCTTGGAATCGGGCCATGATGTACGTATCACCATGACAAGAATCAACTAGGCCTTGCTATAGCACATTCTAATGAAACGAGAAGCATAATACAAGATAATAATAAGGATGATGGACTGAACCCATCAGAACGTAGCAACCGGTGTCGAGCGCTTGCAGTGGCGTAGATACGCACTTTTAACGCCGGGGAAATGTCGGCTTGACAACGTGAGCAAACAAGCGCAGTTGCAGATGTGTCGAGGACTCCAAGTCCATTGCTGGTCAAATCGTGCCTTTGAGTTCTCATAGACAATAAGATAACAAGCATCGCGTTAGAGAATGGAGAGGGTAACAGCCAAGACTTCATGCTCCTGTCACGGTTCGGTCGGGTCACATGCACGTGATGAAAAGTGACCGTGACCGAGACAAAAGCGAAGGGCCCAATGGGGAAATGACCTTGGATGTTATTGTCCTTGACGCATTGTTCGCGTGGCGGAGGACTTAACGAGTACAATGGCATCGGCAACCTCAAAAAGCTTTCTTTCTTTCTTTTTTCCCTCCTTCCACGTCCCTCGTTAGTTTTTTCGACGTCGCCGGCCGACTCTTGGCATGTCCCTCGCACCTCCTCCGACGTACGACACCATCGTCACGACTTCCCTCAAGCCCTACCTTGAGCTTCCCCATCTTTATTCTCTCACATGGCTGGCATATCCCATTCTTTCTCTTTTCTTTATTGCGTTCCGTCTGTATTCTTCTTTGGAGTCGTCGCAGGATTCTATCGCGAGCGCCAAGTCTACGTTGTTGGCTAGCTGTAAGGCGGCGGAGAAGGCCGCCACGGCGACAGCGAGCATGCCCCGTTACCTGGCCGTTGCAACGAACGAGCAGTATGCAGATGCGATCAATGGCACCCTTCAACTTGCTCGCGCGACTTTGGTAGTAGCACTTACCATGATGGAAGCGATCATTAATTTCATCATCGACATTTATCAATCGACGCTCTTGTGTTTCGTGGAACTTGTTGTCCGTGGAGGATTAGCGATCCTGTCTGCTGCGGTGAAAGAGGTATGTGGGCACTTTTTTCTTTCCTAGTATAACGCTCATTCTTTGTAGCTTAATGATGTAGTCAATGCTGCTGCCAGTGGTATCGAGACGGCACTGAACAATAGTATCTCCGCTGCTAATAGCGCCATCGACACAGCCGTGAAAGCAGTTAATGCCGTTAACCCCTTCGACGACATCACTGCACCCACTATCAGCACCCCAGATCTCAGTGCATTGTCTAATGTCTCTTTACCGTCGTCTTTCACTGACTCGATCGACAACTTGAATAGCTCCTTGCCGTCAGTTCAAGAACTTAAGCAGAAAATTGAGTCTATGTATGTACATCCTTCTGCAATGTCCTCCGAAGGCGCTAACCTACCTTGGTAGCATTGATACACCTTTCGAGCTCTTAAAGAAGGAAATTAATGATACTTTCGGCGGCTTAAATTTCAACTCATCCCTTGTCACCGTGCCTCAGCAAAACACCCTCACGTTTTGCAACGACATGGATACGTCCGTAGTGGATGACTTGGGTCGCGACATAATCAAATTCACCAAGATTTCTATTGTTGTTTTGATTGCCTTGGCGCTACTGCTCGTTGCACTCAATTGTCTTTTGGAGTGGTACAAGTGGCGCTGCCAGCAGCGACACTTCCAATACACCCGTGAGGCATGGATGACTGACCCCACGATGTATCATGTCCCCGGCGCTGTAGGAGCTCCGCAAGTCAGCCTCACAGATCACAATCTGCTGATGCTCCAGGCCTCTTCATCGCATCCCCTCATCACACGCATCATCAACCAGATTTCCTCCCGTCTACATCTCTCTCCGTCACAGCACACAAATATGACGTGGTTCTTCCACTACATCTTTCATCCTCCGGCACTGGTGTGCTTCCTCATAGGCTTTTTTGGAATCCTGAGCGTCCAGCTCCAGCTCCTTGCTCTGGGCCCACTCGTCGCCAAGTACGATGCTCAGGCTGCAGCTTCCACCGCTGACTTTACGAATACCATCGCGACCTCGATCAACAACAGCATGTACAACCAGTCGGCAACGTACGCCAATGATGTCAATTCACAGGTTACCGCCATGCAGTCCACCATCAACGATGGTATCTTCGGATGGGTAAATGTCACCACCACCACTCTGAACGATACCGTCGTGGAATTTTACAACGGCGTTCAGAGCGCCGTGAATGCAGTTTTCAATGGTACGATCCTCGAGACGCCTGCCCAGGATTTCATCCAGTGTTTGATCGGGTCCAAGGTCGACGCGATTGAGAATGTCTTGACATTCTTGAACGAGCACCTACAAGTCGACCTACCTCTGATGAACGACAGCGCTTTGGTGCTATCCCGGAGCTCAATTGACGAGGCCTCTCAGCCCATTGCCGCTGCCGCCCTTGGCAGCGGGTCTGGCGACGAAAACGATGGACTGGTGGGGAAGCTCGTCAGAGCTTACGCCTCGTCTCTGAAGAAGGAACGAATCATGTTCGCGATCTTCCTCGCACTGTGGGGCGTAGTGGTCTTGATGGCCATCTGCATCCTACTATGGCACACTCACGGGAAAGGTTGGGTCGAGGCAAGGAAGCGACGCAAGTGGGAGAGAGAGCAGAGAAGCGGAAACCAAGGACTCGTCGTCCCTTTCAAGATCGACCAGCCCCTTGCTGACGAAAAGGCTCAGAATCAGAACCGGAACTACAGCTCGGAATCCGTGTCTGCACCTCCTTCTCCGAGGCGCGGGTTTAATTTTCCTTTTGTTCGGACCCGTTCGCGCTCGCCTTTTGCAGCTCGTGACGAACCTGCCGAGAAGAGCTGGGATGGCATTTTTGGGGAGAAGCCCGATGCACCCTCCCAGGAGCCCATCAGCAAACCGCAGCGCCTGATGGCGATCGGGAAGAAGGCTTGGAGCAAGGAACGATCTGTTTCTGACAAGCAGCAAGATAACGGGACCACACCGTGGTACGGTCGGTTTGCTGGGTTACTGAGCAAGAAACGTACCGAGGAGGAACCTGTCTCCGAACGTTCTTCGACCCGGGTCCGTCCAAACTTGCGCATTTCCGTCGGTCGCGCCGCCAGCGCCACACCGTCGTTTCCCCCCATTGCCGCCGACAACCCTCGCGACACCCTCCACTCCCACTGGTCCGCCTCTCCTGAACTCGCCCGACCTACTCCCTGGACGAAGATGCTCTCACCGCCTTTCAAGCTGAGCCCGCGCCGGCCGAACGACGTGCCCTCCGACGTTAATTCGGTGTACGAGCCAGATTCCCTCGCTCCGCCCTTGCATCATGGATTCAACCACCGTCGATCGATGTCGGACTCGTCCAGGATCCTGAACGCACGGAAGGAAGATCCTTTCACGACACCTTTTGATGATGAGCATCGTGTGACGATCAGCTATGCTGGTGATGCCCGAAAGAGTATCCCGACGAATCCGTTTGCTGCTGTTGCTATTTAATACGACCGACTCATTCAGTTGCGCTAGCGCATTGAATCTGCAATGACCGTCACGTTACGAGGACAAAAACAAGGACAATGCTATATCTAATACTCGGTGTTCGCACTTAATTAGGGTCTGCATTACGCTGTATTTCTAGGTATATGAGCTGGACTTTTTGCATACGCACTCATCATTGTAGCTAGCATCTTCCCTCGGGTATAATATAACTCCTTTATTATCTATCTGCCCTATGGGTAAACCCTGGCTGTTTTTTTTAAAGGTATGTTCAATGGACCTCGGACCTCGGATGATCTCTCATTCCAGGTCATCATCGTCGCCGCCTCTTTGTCCAATAGTGAATGCTCATCACCTTCAAGGCACGAGCTTGATCTTGTCTTCTACTACTCTGGTGGTTCGGCAACGAGATACAATTATTCTTTCTTCGGAGACACCATACATATCCCGGGACTGCTACACTAGCGGTCACGGTAGCTAACTGACAGTCAGATACAAGATATTTTTCTAGTCTTCAACGAGGCAATGCTTTCTGCAAGGTGGCACGCGTAGTGGGGCCCGGCGAAAATATTGCCGCAAAATGTCGGGAAAGTTGTGAGACGGGAAGACATTGACAAGATGAGGGAAGCAGATCTGTGGATATTAATAACATGGCCTATCTCACAATTTCTCACACGTGTCCCTTTCTCGGAGTAGATGAGCAAATCTGAGCACGTTTGCTTTTTCCGCATTGTCGCTCGCGTCTGTCATTCCATGACCTTCCTTAGGAATTCCTGCCCATAGAAAAATGCTCGTGCGTTCGTTGACATCTTCTCATACACACACTGTGGAGGTCCTCCGATGGGCGGAACAAAGACGTCCTCCCGTTCCTCGCTGTCAGCGTTTGTGCCCGTCTTGTGGTTCAGAGGTCGAGGATGAGGCACACATTTTGTTGTGCTGCGACGGAACCGACGACTTGACTCTCTGGCGTTCGGCAATGAATGTAGCGACCTAGGATGTATTAGCTGCTAGAATACACTGAGAAATAGCTGACTGAGGGCTCTGGAGCGTTCATAGGGATGAGGGAGAGATTACAATTCGGAAAGAAGGCAGCGGTGATCAAACTCAAACTTGGACTGCGACCGCGACCTCGGTGTAATGCCTCCTCCTCCTCGTCACTACCGTTGGTGTCGCTTATTGACCTCAAAGGCTGGCTCGTCGACGTCGCGCCCATCGTCGACGTCGTTCCCCTCCTACCTCGTACCCTCGAGCCCCCAGTAACCCACACATATCCAACCCAAACACTCCTCAATGTCGTCCATTTCGTCCTTCTATTCTGTCTCTTTCGACGGCCAGACGTCGACGGTGGCGAGTTTCTATTTTAAGCCAGGAGCTATGTCTCTACCTTCAACACCACCACCATGCCAGAGCCCCTCCCACCAAACCCATTCGACCCGCCCTCGCACGAACACACAGCATACGAATCTTGCTTGAACCTTCAAAGTCTCTGGTTCGTGGGACCTGTCTTCCGAACGCGCGGCTGCCATGTTCAGGTTCAGCCCTCAAGTCGCGGCTCGAGTCTTGGGTTACGCGCTTATTCACCACCCAGGCTCTTCTATGGCCATGGCGCGAGAGATATCGGGTTGTGATGATAATGCAGAGTTTATGGCGGGGTTGGGGTATTTGTATGTTATGGCGTGATTAGGATGTGTACGTCCGCGTCTCAAGTTCCGAGGATGATGACGTTCACTGCGACTAGTTAAGGGTTCGGTACTGGCCCAACCAGAGTCACCGCCAGACAGCATCGATATCGCAGCCCTCTCGAATTTGTCGCAATCCACCGGTGCTAGTCCAAATGATGCTAAAAAGCTAGTAAGCAAAGACTCGGAGCGTTGTTCAGGTTCTCAGCTGAGGCTACAAGTTTTGGCGCGAGACAACTATCGGTGTATACTCTCAGGGAACGTGGACGCTGCCAGCCTTCGCAACGGGCTGACGACGATCGATTTAGTTGCTGGGGAGAGGAAGGCGGATATGGAGCTGTGTTATATTTTCAAGATGACTGGGGACGAGGAACAGGGCTATATAGGAGGAGGACTGACGGATGTGGCGCGGAGGAAGGTTTGTCTTGTCTTTTCCCCTCCATATACTTCCATCTAATTAAGTTACTTGTCAGTTAGGTTGGGCGTCTTCTGCTGCTGCTGTTCTCGAACGACTAGCTGGAATTCCAATGGTCCAAGATATTCACGAGGCAGAGAATACGTTCACGATATCGCCCAACCTCCATGGTCCATGGGACCAGCTCCAGATTTCTCTTCATCCAATCGCCAGTGAGGAGGTAAGTGTGACCGCAATAAGTCTCTTCCTCTTCGCTTCTGATCTGCATAGGATGATAGCAGCAACATGTATGAAATCCACACCTACCCTCCCTCCGAAAACACGCGGTACGGTCTTCCCTACCGCACGACGAATACCCTTCCCAGTCGTCGTTATCTCGCGCTCCATGATGCTTGTGCGAAGATTGCGTATCTCTCAGGTGCGGGAGAGGTTATGGAGCGGCTGTTCTTGGATGTGGGGAATGCACGGGTCTTGGCGGAGGATGGGGGGATTGGGGTCTTTTAGGTTTAGCGCTGTGTTTGTCGCAATGATACATTGATTGCTGCGCATGCTTTGTTCGATGTCTGTAGCCTTCCTCCAGCTATGTTTATCAATAATAATACTTTATTTAAGAGTAACACAAATCTACTTACATCCATTGAACGACTTTCTTCATACGGATCGTTGAGTCTGGTTGACGAGACTAGTACATCAGCCTTCAGGATATGTGGGTTCGGTATGATGCCGTTCAACGCGGCTACTCGATTAGTATCCTTTTTGTATCAATCAATAATCCAGGAAAAATCCAGTGAAATATAGATCCAGACGCTGTTAAATGAGACTTGGTATCCATAGCACGTAAAGTTCCACCGTTCTCGATGGACTCGCAAATTAAAACGTTGAAGTTTGGGAGAGAGACATGTCGAAGTCAACTTGGCACAGTTCCAGGATAGATATCGGCGACCAGAGCACGACAAAATGGTACAGCAAGATGGAAGCTGACGCTACAAAGGTTACTTAGACTTGATCCGCTGGAAGATTTCAAATTCACACATTTCCGAAAACCTTCTTTCACTCAAACCACCATGGTCTCTGCGTTCATACTTGCTTACCTTTCCTCCAGTAAAAATATCACGAATTTTGATGAAGACTTCAAGCGCTGACCGTGGGAGAGGGAATGTAGACGCTTGGGAAGGCGCCTTACACAGCTCCTTACAACGCTGAATCTGACTCCCATGTCCTCTGTTCATGCAGCCCAGGACAATGAGAACGACAGCCATTCATTGGCGTCCAACGCCTCTGAGGGTGAACCTCATTCAAGGACTCCTCATATCTCCCAGGATCAAGGTCCAGAGGTCGAGAATTTGACGTCCTATTCTCGCCGTCGACGACGCAAATCGAGGCGCAGGACAATGGGCATGGAGCGTTCTGAGTATATTGTCAGAGGTGCGTCTATTCTTCTCTTTCATGGCCGCCCGTCTTATGAAGTGCCTAGGGAATGATCCATTTGACTACGAACAGAAATTCCCAGAGGATAAGCAGCACGAGGAGCTTGGGCCAACAGCTAGGGTGTGGAGAACATACCTTGAAGAATGTGTTCCATTTGATATTGAGATGGTGGAAGGGTGGAGAGACGGTCTAGATGTTCTCCTCGTCTTTGTAAGTACAATTGCTGAAACTGAGTATTCCTCCATTGATAGAAGAAAAGGCTGGTCTTTTCTCAGCGGTTGTCACGACATTTGTTGCTCAGACATCACAGAGCCTCCAGGTTGATTATGGCGCGGTCACTGCCTCACTTTTAATCGAGCTCATCAATGTCCAACGCTCTGCATCGAACGGTTCCCTCGTAAACGACGTCCCTCGCTCAGACCTCACCTTTCATCCCTCGGCGTCCGACTCATGGGTCAATGGCTTGTGGTTCACGAGTCTCTCACTGAGTCTCACTACTGCACTGTTCGCTGTCTTGACAAAACAGTGGATCCACCAGTACATGTCCGTGCCTTCAGGAACACCACGGGACAGATGTCGTGTACGTCAATTCCGGTACATGGGTCTTTAGCAATGGGGTGTAGCCTTCATTATTGGACTCCTTCCTGTCCTGATGAGTGCATCGCTTGCTGTATTCCTTGTGGGATTGGTTCTTTTTATCATCCCCTTGCGTGTGTCTATTGCCAGTGTCGTTGGAGCAATCACGTTTATATCGTTTTCGGCCTATATCGTCACCAACTTCCTTCCGATCTTATACCCTTCATGCCCCTACAAGACTCCGTTGTCACAATACATATTCCCTCTGTACACCTATATCTTGCACAATGGCGTTTTCAACTGGCTGATCTCTCCGATCTCCAAACTTGGGGCGGGGCCACCCCATAAATCAACCTCTGACACTCCTGCAGTTCGCACGCTGAGGGGTGCTGAACGTGCGGCTGTGGATGCTAGTGCCGATGAAACGGATGTGCAAGCACTTTCTTGGCTCATTCATATGTCGTCGAACCCTAGCGTGGAGAAGATTGTGATAGAATCAACGGGTGCTTTGCCGCTCAAGTCTGTGCATCCTCTCAAGCGCCATATAACCCATATCTCTCGCACATGTTCTACAGCCCTCAAATCCTTTGCCTGCCGACAAGAGATCTCCGTGCATGAACTTAGTCAAGTGGATCGTCTCCTTCGAGCCCATCTCTGCTTCACGGACTGGCCCATTTATTATACTAGTAGAATACCACGACCTGCCAAGGAATGCCTCTCGCCTGCCATTTACGCAGACCTTTTGTCTATTGACCCACTTTGTGAAACGGAGATCAGAGAACTGATCATATCGAACTTGAAAGCCGGACCCAGTGACCCTCCCGCTCTTCAGTTACAGCCCATAGTATGGGCATATCTCCTTCGGAAGCTTGATCCATCCAATCCTGATAATTTTGGAGTGATGCAGATGTTATTCACAAATATACCGCGGTCGTATTGGAGTGCTGATTTTACTCCTTCTCAATTCATTATGTGTAGTGGTATAACAATCCTTTACGGAGATACCGCCGTGGCTACCCTTGGGACAGCGATTCAAGAGTCTTTGTACCCATATGTTGCTGAAGTCATGCTTCGAATGTGTGGTGAACGCTTCATGTCCCCCCTGAATCCCACCTCTCAGGATCCGCGACTCCCTCTTCTCTTGAGCATGGCCGACTCACCCTCTATACGAAGCATGCCCAGCTCCACCTTTCATTTCCATGATAGTTTGTTTATCGGGATAATACGAGGCATTGGTGACTTCCTAGGCGTGAAATCACTTCGATCATATGATGGCGACATACCTACTGTCCCCTTAGATGATAATCGTCAAGCTGTCCTGGAATTTCTATTCACGCTGATCTCGCCCGTTGAATTCGACAATACTTTAACTCCCCCCGAGTGGAACTATGTCTTGATAATTTTCCTTCGTGTTCTGAATTCCACATCGCCTCACCCACCATTCCTTGCCGAAGACTGGTGCACACCACAGTTAGCCACCAAATTTGTGCGAAACACTTTGGAGGGCACTTCACGCTGGCAATATTCTAATGCCTCTGAACTGGGTACTTATTTCTTCCGGTCCACCTCCTTCACCAATGAGACTGTGGCTTATTTTGTATCAAGTTTCTTTAAACACCTGTGCACACAGGACTCCAGTCCTACTGTATCAATATTTTTGAGCTTGATTGTCACCATCCTCGCATCCGAGAATTCGGATATTCATATACGCCAGCAATCACTGGAATATTTGTATGAGCCCAACAATCTGTTCACTTCTTGCAGTACCCTCATTGAGTGTGGTCAATCGGGGACTCTTCGTCGCCTTGCTCTCCTCCGTCCCAAGGACCCTGCCTGGTCTGGCTGTCTACAGAGGCTGCAAGACTTTGAACTCCAAGAAGGGATATGGAATCAACCCCGTATTATCGTGGCCAATTTCAAAGTGTTTATCGAAGGTGGGTGTGTGGGTACATTTGGGGAGGATGACATGGCATCTTCCAATCCCCCGGGACCAGTTCAAGGAGAAAACGACAATTCTCCACAGCATCCATGGTCAACGGTGTGGCAGTAGGGTACAGCGATTTATTGCAGGAAAACCTAGTTGTGAGGAGATAGAATTATCAAGTAATGACAACAGAGTGTAGTCCTATGTGATGCTCTGATTATTTCATATTAAATACCACTTCAGAGAGTATGTGCAGTACATTCACACATATGCAGAAGCACCAATGAGCTAAGCGGGATGTGCTTGTTCCAAGAGAAGTGACCTATGAATCTTGATCTCTATAAAGGAGCATATTGACGTGGGAGTTTGGATGGCTCCTTGTGGCACATCACTGAACACAGTCAGTATTGGTATTGAGTTAGTCTAAGTTTCTCCTTCTCGCGCCACGAGTGCCAACAATGAATCACGACACATCTCCTGACCCTTGCATGGCACGGACGCCAAAGAAAATTTCAAGTCGTTACTGGGTTTACCGTAAAAGCCATCTCAGGGCGAAGAAGAAGAGAGCCAAGGTGAGGAAAGCAGATTCGCTGACGGAAAAGCATCGTGACTGATACTGAGGACCCGCACTTGAGCCGTAAATTCCCTTTTTTTTCTTCTGTGCAACCTTGGAGACCACCGCTGGTGTTTTCCTCGATCCTATAATTACGACACGAGCCCGGGGATTTAGAAGAGAGGACACATGACGAACTCGCTCCGATTCGTTGCCTGAATTTTTTTCCTTTTTAGTGACTCGGAGGTCCGAGGAAACGTTGGAGATGAATTCTTTGGTGGTAGAACTTACACCTTGCACTGTGGCATCTCAGCATTGTTCATTGAAAGGAAAACCGAGCACCTCATCCCTGAAAAAACGTCAGACTCGCCCACAAGAGAGAGATACAGGTCAGAACATATACCTATGGAGCTGATCGGCTTGGTCACCGCTATTTTTGGACAGTGGCCATTTTGGGTTGGCAGAAATTTTTTTTTTGCATCTTTATTTTGTGTGCACCAACTGTAAACTGCACCTTCATACCTCATAAGTGCTGTTAAGACATTCCACCATTGGGAATACCACACACACAGATGGATAGTAGCCTAGTACTGGGATGGTTTGTCAGCTAAGGATACATCATGTGGCTGAAACCCTAACCCTATATTTCCTTTTAAGGAAGGTGTGGCCATTTCAACTAAACCAACTTTATTAATTTTCATCATATGGTTAATCGCTCTTGTGGTGATGTAGATACACCTAAAACAATGTCTTTTACAAGAGCAATTAATTTTCTGAGAAAAATTGTCGGACCAGTTTCCGTTGTTCAAAAGTAGTGGTGACTAAGCCGATCGCTCCATAGGAACCGTTATGCACGTCATCAATGTCGATGAATGGCTGAGAGTCGAGCGCTTGCAGAACGATCATCCGGGAATTCTTCGCCACCCCCTTGTTGGCGGTCGCAGTATACCTGTCCAAAGTGAGTAGTTATAGAACCGAAATAAAATTTCCCGGCGTTGGAAGAAATGACGAGTTCGAGTAGGTGAGAGAGCGTTTCAAGAATAGTAAAATGATTCCTGCCGGGAATCATACATAAAGTCCTTGCACGGACTGCCAAAAAAAAATTCCAGGTAGGTACTGAGATCTCAGAGCATAGATGCCAGCATCTAGAAGAATGAAGCTAAGGACCAAGAGAGTTGTAAGATAAGAAGAGAGTATGGAGGGAAGTAGATTTGCGGATATAAGATGACCGTCCGAATTGCGCACGGGCTGTAATTCCCTTCCTCACTTCAGCCTGTCACCACCACCACCATGCACTCTGCGTGCCACTCTCGCTGGAATTATCCTCGACGCATAGTCAAGGTGTATGCGCGTTTCCGATCTTACACGAATGGTTATGGCAAAAGAGCTTGAGGATTCCACATCTCGTTGGTCTTTGGTGCGTAGATCCCTTGTTGTCCAAATCGTTGTTGTATGTATAATACTTTTGTTCAGGTTTACAAGACCGATGGCCTATTTAAATCAATGAAAAACACACCATCTCCCCAAATTCCGCATGGCCCCACGACACGAATACGCTCCAATAAACCCCCTCGAAGATCCCACAAGTAACTTCGTCGAGATTGCCTCTGCACTGATACACGACTGCCTCGAGCACGTCGGCAGGAGTAACTTGATATCCCTCTCGATCCCAAACGCCGACCTTCCACAGCGGTATCAGTGCCTGTCCCGACTAGCAGAACTCCGGGATCAGGTATTCTGGGATAGGAGGGAGCCCCGCCATGTCCTTCATCGGGTTGCGGAAGAGTGGGATGGATGGAGACGCGGGAAGGAGGGGAGGTTCAGCGAGCTTGTGAGGGAAGTTCGGCAGAGTCTGGCCTTGGGTGACATGGTTGCTCTGTGAGGACATCAGGATAGGATCCGGGCGTTTTTGGGTGTGCAGAGAGGGAGAGTTCCCCAGGGAGGCCTGAATGACGCGCGCGCTGGTGATAGACGAAAGGCAGCGGTTTTGTATGATATTTTGCAGGGCCTTGACGCGTTGTTGGATGGGTGGTGTAATCATGGCAGTATCCTCCCGAGGCTCGTTTCACTGGACAACGACAATCTCCTCACTCGGCATCGTGGGGACATGGAGGAGCTCATCATGGCGCGAGATCTGCGGGATCCTCCCTGGTCCATCGATCCTGACATTTGAGACTGCAGTGAGGAGATTCTTCGTGCCGCTCCTTGCAACGAGGGGAATGAACAGGTTCTGTGAGTAGCAAAGCTTAGTTGGTATACTGCGTGAACTGATGGTGCGTAGTTCGGGAACGACAAGAGTTGGGACGGCTGTGTGAGCGTGTTGCGTTTGGTGAGCGGGATGCTGTGGACGCGCTTGATGAGGCGCGTCAGGTTTTACGCCAGGTCGTGCAAGAAGCTCCCAACTCACAGCCACAACCTCAGTCACCTACCCGTCGTCGTTACGATCCTGCGCCGTACAGGAAGCGTCATCACATCCACCACCTACACTGGTGCGATTCAACTACATGTCGGCTTTATCGTCAGCGAGAGACCAGGCTTACCGAATCTCCTTCGCACCATCCACTGGCGTCATCACCTTACCAGTATCAGCCCCACCTATTCCCTACCACCTCCTTCGACCCCAATCACCCTCCGCCAGTGCCCTCCCCTTTCATCCCACCTGAGCCACAATTCCCATCAACTGGACGATTTACTTATTGGGTCTGACCGACGCGTGTAATGATAAGTTTATACGAATATTATTATATAGTGTTTCTTGGAAATACTACTGAAGGTCACTACCCGTCCACTGTCGTGGATTACGCCAATCCTGTCTAGGCTCCAGCTGTTTGAAGAGCCACGATGCATAACGCGTGCATGCCAACTAACTTCTATTTCGGGCCAGGAGCCATGTTTCTACCTTCAACAACATACCAATACCACCAAGCCTTCTTCCATCTTCCACCATCTATCTTTCCTTCTTCTACCATCACCACCACCACTCTCCTTTCGACACCACTGGCCGCTGTTGCTCTTCTCATCGATTCCTTGTAGGTGGTCCCTCGGCCATGTTCACGATACCTGTACCTTGTACCATCTTACTTACTCCTTGTCGTCAATGCTCTCTGTCTCAATCGCTCAGCCTTCGCGTGGGCTTAAAGGCCCTGCCGCTGCCGTTGCAGACGGTGCTCTGTTGTTACGTCCGCAGATGGAGTCCCTTGCGAGGGATTTCATCTGTGCAGTGGATACGTCCACAGGAGGTGTCCTTTGCGAAGGATATCGCCTGTGCAGTGGTTACGTCCACAGATGGGATCCTTTCCGAAAGATCTCACCTGTGCAGTGGTACTCGGTGGTTACGTCCGCTGGTGGTGTCCTTCGTGAAGGATGTCACCAGTCTGGTGGTACTCGGTGTTTCGTTCGCAGGCAGTCTCTTTCTCGAAGGAGCTTGCCTGTTTCGCTGTTCTTAGTTTCCGTTTCATATGGGCTAAGGCTTGAGCAAAATAACGGGCCTCGTTTGTTGTGCGCACACCATGCTTGTGTTTCGTTCCTGCAGTTTGTGGTTCTTTGTTTCTTGGTGGATGATTCGTATGCTCCCATTGTGCTTGATATCTTCTCATTGCTGCTGACCTTCCATACACCTCATGGTCCGTGTACCATGTCTCACTCTCCGGTTATGCGTTTCACATTTGTTCACATGTTCTTTCACTGTCATTGTTGACGCACATGTCTCATGAGCCATTTCATAACGCTCCTTTTGGATGGCACTGATTCTTATTAAGGAGTCATGCACCGCACCGGATTTTCGAGGTATACACCAATGCTAACTGGTTCTCCATGTTCGATTGTGTTCATCTCCATCACTTTTCATTCAATTGTGTACCCTGCGAAGAGTCTCTACTCCGCGAGACGCACTCAACAGTGTGATTACAACGGTATGAGCCTTTGCAGCCACAGCGCATGGTTCGCCATGTCAGGGCTGTGGACCCGGCCGTTCCTTATTGGGACCTGGTGCCGGTAACACCACCACCACCACCACCACCACCACCCTCCCACCAAACCCCTTCGACCCGCTCTCCTATACATCTGAACACACAGCATACGAATCTTGCTTGAACCTCGAAACTTCTCGTTCGTGGGACCCGTCTTCTGAACCCGTGGCCATGTTCAGGTTCAGCCCTCAAGTCGTGGCTCGAGTCTTGGGTTACGCGCTTGTTCACCACCCCGGTTCTCCTATAGCACGAGAGATATCGGGTTGTGATGATAATCGCGAGTTTATGGCAGGGTTGGGGTATTTGTATGTTATGGGTGTGATTAGGATGTGTACATCTGCATCCCGAGTCTCGAGTCCCGAGGATGATGACGTTCACTGCGACTAGTTAAGGGTCCGGTACCAATGTATAGTCCCCAACCAGAGTCACTGCCAGACAACATCAATATCGCAACCCTTTCGAATTTGTCGCAATCCATCGGTGCTAGTCCAAGTGATGCCAAAATGCTAGTAAACAAAGACTCGGAGCGTTGTTTAGGTTCTCAGCTGAGCCTCCGAGTCAGGTTTTGGTGCGAGACAACTACCGGTGTATACTCTCAGGGAACGTGGACGCTACCAGCCTTCGCAATGGTCTGACGACAATAAATTTAGCGGCTGGGGAGAGGAAGATGGATATGGAACTGGGTTATATTTTCAAGACTGGGGATGAGGAACAGGGGTATATAAGAGGAGGACTGACGGATGCGGCATGGAGGAAGGTTCGTCTTGTCTTTTCCCCTCATATACTTCCATCTGATTAAGTTACTTGTCAGTTAGGTTGGGCGTCTTCTGCTGCTACCGTTGTCGAGCAACTAGCGGGAATCTCACTCGTTCAAGACATCCACAAAGCGGAGAATACGTTCACGATATCACCCAACTTTCGTAGTCCATGGGACCGACTTTGGATCTCTCTCCATCCAATTAAATCTGAGCAGGTAAGTCACGCCGCAATCAGTCTCTTCCTCTTCGCTCCCTTCTGGTCTGATCTACATAGGATGATAGCAGCAATACGTATGAAATCCACACCTACCCTCCCTCCGAAAATGCCGAGTACGGTCTTCCCGACAGAGTGACCCTCACTGGATAGATCCCCCTTCCCAGCCTCGCGCTCCACGATGCTTGTGCGAAGGTTGCGTATCTCTCGGGAGCGGGAGAGGTCATGGAGCGGTTGGTCTGGGAAGTGGGGAATGCACAGGATGGGAGGGACGGGGGTCTTTTGGCTTTAGCACTGTGTTTGTCACGCTCTGAGTGAGGAGCAGACATAAGGTATACGTTGACTGGTGCCTGTAACCTTCCTCCAGCTATGTTTATTTTTAATAATAATTTAAGAGTAACACACAGCTATGGATACAAGTTATCAGTACAGATTCACGCCGGTCAGACTCAATAAGTAAATCGCCCGTTATTGAGGTGGGAATTGTGGGTCGAGTGAGATGATGATGGGAGAGGACGATGGCACCAGGGGGTGAAGGGCAGGGAAGGTAGAGAGTTGTACCACAGAAGTGATGGTAGGACACGTCCTGTATGTCACGATGATGAATGCGTGCAGCCTGCTGTAGTGTCTGACGCGCAACACCGTTCCAACTCTGGTCGTTCCTGAAACTCACAGAATGTAGCCATGCCCCTTGCAGTAATGAACTTCCTCACTGGTTGAACGTTGAGGTTGAAGCTCGCAGGCATCCAGTGCAACGAGGACAAAATAGCGCAACAGAAGGGCATTGACCAATGGGGGATCGGAATCTCTGAAATTCACACGGTGTGAGCCTGGACTCTGCTCCAAGTTCTGTTGTCAAACCACCATAGTCTCGGTGCTTCCTCCGGTCAAACAATCACGACTATGATACTTAAGGACTGTGCTGCTGATCGTGGGAGAGGAAATGTAGACGCCTAAGAACGCGCCTTACACAGCTCCTTACAACTCTGAATCTGACTCCCATGCCTTCTGTTCGTACTGTCCAGGACAATGATAACGACAATCATTCGTCAGCATCCGACAGCTCTGATCGTGAACCTCATGCAAGGACTCCTCATATCTCCCAGGATCAAGGTCCAGAGGTCGAGAATTTGACGTCCTATTCTCGCCGTCGACGACACAAATCGAGGCGCAGGACAATGGGCATGGAGCGTTCTGAGTATATTGTCAGAGGTGCGTCTATTCTTCTCTTTCATGGCCGCCCGTCTTATGAAGTGCCTAGGGAATGATCCATTTGACTACGAACAGAAATTCCCAGAGGATAAGCAGCACGAGGAGCTTGGGCCAACAGCTAGGGTGTGGAGAACATACCTTGAAGAATGTGTTCCATTTGATATTGAGATGGTGGAAGGGTGGAGAGACGGTCTAGATGTTCTCCTCGTCTTTGTGAGTACAATTACTGAAACTGAGTATTCCTCCATTGATAGAAGAAAAGGCTGGTCTTTTCTCAGCGGTTGTCACGACATTTGTTGCTCAGACATCACAGAGCCTCCAGGTTGATTATGGCGCGGTCACTGCCTCACTTTTAATTGAGCTCATCAATGTCCAACGCTCTGCATCGAACGGTTCCCTCGTAAACGACGTCCCTCACTCAGACCTCACCTTTCATCCCTCGGCGTCCGACTCATGGGTCAATGGCTTGTGGTTCACAAGTCTCTCACTGAGTCTCACGACTGCACTGTTCGCTGTTTTGACAAAACAGTGGATCCACCAGTACATGTCCGTGCCTTCAGGAACACCGCAGGACAGATGCCGTGTGCGTCAATTCCGGTACATGGGTCTCCAGCAATGGGGTGTAGCCTTCATTATTGGACTCCTTCCAGTCCTGATGAGTGCATCGCTAGCTGTATTCCTTGTGGGATTGGTTCTCTTCATCGTCCCCTTGCGGGTGTCTATTGCCAGTGTCGTTGGAGCAATCACGTTTATATCATTTTCGGCCTACATGGTCACCAACTTCCTTCCGATCTTATACCCTTCATGCCCCTACAAGACTCCGTTGTCACAATACATGTTCCCTCTGTACACCTATATCTTGCACAATGGCGTTTTCAACTGGCTGATCTCTCCAATCTCCAAACTTGGGGCGGGGCCACCCCATAAACCAACCTCTGACGCTCCTGCAGTTCGTACGCTGAGGGGTGCTGAACGTGCGGCTGTGGATGCTAGTGCCGATGAAACGGATGTGCAAGCACTTTCTTGGCTCATTCATATGTCGTCGAACCCTAGCGTGGAGAAGATTGTGATAGAATCAACGGGTGCTTTGCCGCTCAAGTCTGTGCATCCTCTCGAGCGCCATATAGCCCATATCTCTCGTGCATGTTCTACAGCTCTCGAAACCATTGTACGCGGGCCAGATATCTCCATGCATGAAAGTCAAGTGGATCGTCTTCTTCGGGCCCATCTCCGCTTCGAGGGCTTGTATATTTTACTTGAAATACCCCAGAATGCCAAGGAATGCCTCTCGCCTGCGATTTATGCAGAGCTTTTGTCTATCTGCATGTTTTGTGAAACGGAGATCAGAGAACTGGTCATATCCAACTTGAAAGCTGGATCCTATAACCCTACCGCTCTTCGCTTACAGCCCATAGTATGGGCATATCTCCTTCAGAAGCTTGATCCATCCACTCCTGATAATTTCGGAGTGATGCAGATATTATTCACAATGATACCGCCGTTCTATTGGAGCGCTGATTTCACTCCTCCTACTCAATTCATTGAGTGTTGTGGTATAAAAATACTTTACGGAGATACCGCCGTGGCTACCCTTGGGACAGCGATTCAAGAGTCGTTATACCTATATGTTGCTGAAGTCATACTTCGACATCATCAATGTGCCATATTCCCCCTGAATCCCGCCTATGTATTTCCCTCTCAGGATTGGCGACTCCATCTTCTCTTGAGCATGGCCGACTCACCCTCTATACGAAGCATGCCCATCTCCACCTTTCCTTTCGACAACAGTTTGTTTATCAGGATAATGCAAGGCATTGGTGACTTCCTAGGCGTGAAATCACTTCTATCATATGATGGCGATATCATACCTACCGTCCCCTTAGACGATAATCGTCGTGCTGTCCTGAAATTGCTATACACGCTCATCTCGTCCGTTGAATTCGACGATACTTTACCTCTCCCCGAGCGAAACTTTGTCTTGATAATTTTCCTTCGTGTTCTTAATTCCACGTCACCTCGCCCACCATTCCTTCCCAAAGACTGGTGCACACCAGAGCTGGCCACCAAATTTGTGCGAAATGCTTTGGACTCGGAGTACACTTCACAGCAATATCCTAGTGCCTATGAACTGGGTACTTATTTCCTCCGGTCCACCTCCTTCACCGACAAGACTGCGGCTTATTTTGTATCAAGTCTCTTTGAACACTTACGCACACACGACTCCAGTCTTGCTCTCTTAAGATTTTTATACTTGATTGTCACCGTCCTGGCATCCGAAAATTCAGATATTCATATACGCCAGCAATCGCTGGAATACTTGTATGAGCCCGACAATCTGTTCACTTCTTGCACTACCCTCATTCAGTGGGATGACACCAAGACGCTTCGTCATCTTGCTCTCCTCCGTCCCAAGGACCGGGCCTGGACCGACTGTCTACAGCAGCTACAAGACAAATTCCCAGAAGGGACATGGTTTCATCCCCATATCGTGGCCGATTTCAAAGCATTTATCACAGGTGGATGTGTGGGTGCATTTGGGACGGATGACCATGACGCGGCGTCTTCCAATACTGTGCAACCAGCTCGAAGAGAAGACGATAATTCTCCACATCATCCATGGTCAACGGTGTGGCGTAGAGTACGACGATTTATTGCAGGAAAGCCTAGTCGTGAGGAGATAGAATTATCGAATAATGACGCCAGAGTGTAGTCTACATGATGCTCTGATTATTTCATACTAAATATCACTTCAGAGAGTATGTGCAGTACATTCACATAGATGAAGCACCAATGAGCTAAGCGGAATGCACACGTCCCAAGAGAAGTGACCTACGAATCTTGATCTCTGTGGGATTTTAGATGGCTCCTTTGTGGCACACCGCTGGACACAGTCAATATTGATATTTAGTAGAAAGAGTGTATGAACGCACCGTGCGTTCATTCCCGCTCACTTCCCGGCAAATCCATCTTCGAACACTAGACCTTTCGGCCTCCCCGATATTTGGTCTCCCGATGCCAACTCTACATCCCTGCCCAACAAAGATGTCCGGTGCCGGCTTTCCTTTCATAGACACCTCTCATCGTCAGACGTTCCCTTCAAATACGGACCCGTCTTTTCCTCTCATACCTCAGCTAGTCGCTACTGCGAAGGTGAGGCGGTGCTGCTGGAAGGATGCTTGTAGAATCCACATTTCTCTACTCTCCCATGGATAGTCGCTTTACTGGTGTTCTGAGGTGCTTGCATTCAAGATATCGCCGTTTGATATCTAGTAGCCTTCAAAAATAGTTAACTAGACGTCTTTCGGAATCGCACCTACCATACTGGCTGGTCGCGATGAAGCTTCATCAAAGCGATAAGTGCTGAATGAATGGGACAGAGTCATCTCGATCCATGACGTTGAAGAAAGTTGTCAGAATGATGGTGCAGACTAGTTGTAGTCGATGTTGACCGGTTAAGAGTCTTGAACGGTACGACCCGTCCCGTCCGTCGCTGAGAAAACGTCGGTGCTCAAAGTTGAAATCTGACCGGGAACATAGTATGATGTCTTGGAGCAATCGGTTTCGGTATACATGTTGCAGTGAGCAGGTATCAAGACAGCGCATTGAGACCCCATCCGCCAATACACAGGGTGGAGAACCTGCGTTCCTGCCTTCAAGTCTAGGTAAGCATCCACTCAGGCTCCAAACCCAACCATCCGGTAACGGGCGCACGCAACGTCAGGGCTGTTGACCGTATCGCTGATATCATATATGGATCACGTTAGACGATAGGCCAAAGTTCTGTGTTCGATAAACATGCAATATTTATTATTACGCTCCGAGGATAAGAGAAAAAGTGATAGACAGCACCCGGATCCCAGTAAGTAGTTTCTCCTTCTAACGCCATGCTGCGGAAATTTTTTCAGGTGGCACGCGTAGTGGGGGTCGGGCGAGAAGATTGCAGCAAAGTGTCGGAAAAGTTGTGAGATGAGAAGACAATGTGAGGGAAAGAATATGGGTGTAAGCAGACGACCCGGATTGGGCACGGGCCGTAATTCCCTTCTTGACTTTTGCTTGTCATCATGCACTCTGTATACCACTGTCCTCGACGGGTAGCCAAGGTGTATGCGTGCCGCTGATCTCACATGAATGGTTACGACAAAAGAGCTCGAAGATCCCACGTCTCGTTGGTCTTTGGTGCGTAGATTCCTTGTTGTCCAAATTGTTGTTGTATGTATAACACTTTTGTTCAGGTTCAATACAAGATATATGGCCTATTTAAATAAATAAAAGACAAGTTCGCATGGCCGCACGACACAGATACGCTCCCGTAACCCCCCCTCGAAGATCCCACAAGCAGCTTCGTCGAGATTGCCTCTGCGCTGATACACGACTGTCTGGAGTGCGGTGGGAACAATCTGATATCCCTCTCGATCCAGACCGCCGACCTCCCACAGCAATATCGGTGCCTGTCCCGACTAGCGGAACTCTGGGATCAGGATGGTAGGGATTCGCAGCAGCTACGCCATGTCCTCCATCGGGTTGCGGAAGAGTGGATTGGGGGGGAGTTGGCACGAGGGAGGGAGGGGAGGGATTTTCATCTCAGGTTCGACGAGTTTGTAAGGGAGGTTTGGCAGAGTCTGGCCCTGGGTGACTCGGTTGCTTTGCGCGAACACCAGGATAGGATCCAGGCGTTTTTGGGCGTGTGTGTTCCTCAGGGAGGCCAGAATGATGCGAGCGCTGGCGATAGACGGGAGGCGGCTATTTTGTATGATGTTTTGCAGGGTCTCGACGCGTTGTTTCATGGGTGGTGTAATCACGGCAATATCCTCCCACAGCTCGTTTCGCTGGACAACGACAATCTCCCCACTCGGCATCCAGACACGGAGGAGCTCATCATGGCGCGAGATGTGATTTGTGGGATCCTTCCTGGTCCTTCGATCCTGACGTTTGAGACTGCAGTGAGGAGGTTCTTCGTGCCACTCCTTGCGACGAGGGGCATGAACAGATTCTGTGAGTTATCGATGTTTAGTTGGTATACTGCATGAACTGACGGTGTGTAGTTCGGGAACGACAAGAGTTGGGGCAGCTGTGTGAGCGTGTTGCATCTGGTGAACGGGATGCTGTGGATGTGCTTGATGAGGCACGTCGGGTTTTACGCCAGGTCGTGCAAGAAGCTCCCAACTCACAGCCACAGCCTCAGTCGCCTATCCGTCGTCGTCACGATCCCGCGCCGTGCAGAAAGCGTCATCACATCCACCATCTACACTGGTGCAATTTGACTACATGTCGGCGAGAGACTAGGCGCACCGAAAACCTTGGCACCCTCCACCGGCGTTATCACCTTGGTACAACTCTCCACCCCACCTATTCCCTACCACCTCCTTCGACCCCGATCACCCTGCGTCAGTGCCCTCTCCCTTCATTCCATCTGAGCCAGCCACAATTCCCATCTCACTCTCAGACCGGACGATTTACTTATTGGGTCTAATGACCAATGTGTTGATTGTTTATAACTTATATTATTCAATATTATTATAGACATACTACTGGAGAGAAAGCCTTCAGACGTTACAACTTGCGATTCCTGTCACGACGGACTGTTCGCCAACACCAACACCGATTCTGTTCCGGATACGATGCCTTTTATTGACTTGGCTAACCTTATTTCTGACTTTCACAGACACTGCGATGACGGCGCCAAAGCTCACTGGTGGATACGGTGAGTTCTTCATATTCCTTACCTATTTCTTTTCTTTCTAACGGTTGCTTAGGATTGGTTCGAGGTTCTCGCTTACCCCAGCGTTGAGCAATAAGGGTCAAACGGTATGTGAATATTTTGGCTTGGTTAACTACTCTTCAACGGGTACTCTTCCAGATTCTTACCTCTCTCTTAAATATTTCTACTGATGTATATTCAGTCATTTCACCGTGCCTTTCTCCCTCAAAACTAGTTCAAATTTTCCTTGTTATCTCAAGCGACGACGCATCACCCTCGCTCGCCACGACACAATAGGCTATTTCTTACCTCGTTCCCTGCTAACATGCGATCCGATATGCTAAGATTTGACTCGCACCGCGTGAACCATGGATGCTACTTGGTGGAATGGATAAGGCTTTGAGGAGGTTTGAATGCGGCGGCAGTACAACCATGGGTAAGTGTTAGTTTCTCTTATTTCGTAAGTATATTCGCAAGACTAAGTGTACTCTGTAGTTGCGTGAGATGGCGTCTAAGCCAAAATGCGGATGTGTGCTCTGATGCGGAGGGTGACCGGTGACCCACCATGACCGAGTTATAACTTGCAAGCCTGGGTCGATGGAGATGAATCATTCGAATAGTTAAGTACGGTATTTAAATATTTACAGCCCATGGACGCCAGACGGTAATCTTTGGGAATGGACACGCATTCATCGTTATCGTTGGATCGGGTCCTTGAACTGAGTAATCGGTATTCATCGTTTTGGTGAATGTTGGTTTGAAAAAGCAAAGAGAAGGCGCCCCTTGACTCTCTGGCATTCGGCAATGAATATAGCGACCTGGGATGTATTAGCTGCTAGAATACACTGAGAAATAGCTGACTGAAGGCTCTGGGGCGTTCATAGGGATGAGGGAGAGATTACAATTCGGAGGACATGCATATTGTGGCGGTGAAAGAATCTGATTCCTTCTTTGATGGTCTTCTCGAGCCCGGTAATCCTGTATGTAAGTGTGATGGACGACGAAGGATTTTTGAGATCGCAGACTTCACAGACGAGGATGGCCATGATGGCGAGAGGAAGATGGGGAAACCAATGATGCATCAGTGTTGTGCCAAATCATGTGGTGCGTGCGACTGCCGTTTAGAGCTTTTCCGGTAACAATAATTTCTCGCCAGTCCAGTCACTCCAGCTCCCTTCCAACTAACGGATCCCAGTGTTCAAACGTTCAAGACGAAATCCAACTGGAAGCAATTGTTCCCGACCCGTCAGCATATGCACTTCTACTATCCGGAAACAGGTCTGGTAGGGGACGGAACAAGGCGTTGGAAATGAGACCTGCAGGCCGTGAGCGATCTGTTGCGTGGCTTTGCTGTTGATTTCTTTCTTTTTCTCACTATGGTGACTAGCCAACATGTTTTGGGGCTTCACATAATTCTCAAGCGTGCGATGAACCCTTTCCAGCCTGTCCGTCCTGGCTCGACATACCCCTTTTCCAGTACTTAGATTTCTGCTTCATTTTCGGGGAACGCCTTACGCATAGTCGACCAGACCGTCCATATCTGAGCCTCAATATCAACGAGCCATTGAAAAGTGCAGAGCTATGTGATTCGGTGAACGCCAACCGGGACACCGACTGCGGCATCCCGAGGACCGACTTCCTTCCCATTTATACCGCCCGAATACAGGAAGTTGATTCACAGCCACGTATCTCCCAGCTGTGAAAACTGAGAAGACAGAAGTTACCATCACGTACAGCACACGTATCATCCTGAGAGCTTGGTATGTGTTTTTTAAGCTCGCTCTTATCGCTTTTCCTCATATATTTGCCCTTCCAGCACCTGGCAGCCACGCGAAGGAGGGAACGAAAGAGCATGCTACCCGGAATTCAAGTGAAGACAATCAAGTGGCATGGACGACACACTGCGGTATGTGGCGAACGTCCTAGATACCGCAATTCATGCTTATGGTGTTGTCTCGCAGGACACGGCGTAGTTCCAGCATGAACTATCATCAAATTCGTACCAGGTGTTCCGCTGGCCGTATACAAGCGTACTTCTTCCTTCCGACTGTTTTCAAAGTCTTCCGCTTTCCCTTCTGTGCCGGTGCGAGTACTGTCTCGAGCGAGGGGGAATTCACCATGGTACACAATCAGCGTATTCCTCAATTTTTGCCCTAATCATTGGATGGTTTAGACACCTATGGAACAGGGCTTATGAGACTGCCTTCAGTGATGTTCTTGTGTGTGCTCAAAGCATCCCGACAGCGGTGACCAAGCTCAAACTTGGACTGCGACTGTGACCTCGGTGTAATGCCTCCTCCTCACCACCATCGGCGTCGCTTGTCGACCTCAAAGACTGGCTCATAGCCCCCAGTAACCCACACATATCCAACCCAAACACATCTCAACGTTGTCCATTTCGTCCTTCCATTCTGTCTCTTTCGACGGCCAGACATCGACGGACGGCGAATGCTGGCGAGCAGCCGACAAGCGACTTCTATTTTAAGCCAGGAGCTATGTTTCTACCTTCAACACCACCACCATGCCAGACCATGCCAGAGCCCCTCCTACCAAACCCATTCGACCCGCCTTCTCACGAGCACACGGCATACGAATCTTGCTTGAACCTCGAAACTTCTGGTCCGTGGGACCTGTCTTCTGAACCCGCGGCCATGTATAGGTTCAGCCCTCAAGTCGCGGCTCGAGTCTTGGGTTACGCGCTTATTTATCACCCAGGCTCTTCTATGGCCATGTCACGAGAGATATCGGGTTGTGGTGATAACGCCGAGTTTATGGCGGGGTTGGGGTATTTGTATGTTATGGGCGTGATTAGGATGTGTACGTCCGCATCCCGAGTCCCGAGGACGATCATGTTTACTGCAGCTAGTTAAAGGTCCGGTACCGACGCGTAGGGTCCAACCAGAGTCACCGCCAGAAAACATCGATATCACAGCCCTTTCAAACTTGTCGCAATACACCGGTAGTGATACTAAAAGGCTAGTAAGTAAAGAGTGTCTTTCAAGTTCTCAGCTGAACCTCCGAGTCAGGTTTTGGCGCGAGACAACCACCGGTGTATACTCTCAGGGAACGTGGACGCCACCAGTCTTTGGAACGAGCTGACGACGATCGATTTAGCGGCTGGGGAGAGGAAGGCGGATATGGAGCTGTGTTATATTTTCAAGATGACGGGGGATGAAAACCAGGGGTATATAGGAGGAGGTCTTACGGATGCGGCGCGGAGAAAGGTTCGTCTTGTCTTCAAGTTTCTCATGTATACTTCCATCTAATTGTTGCTTATCAGTTGCGTTGGGCGTCTTCTGCTGCTGCTGTTCTCGAGCGACTAGCTGGGATTTCCGTGGTCCAAGACATTCACGAGGCGGAGAATACGTTCGTGATATCACCCAACCTCCATGGTCCATGGGACCGGCTCTGGATTTCTCTTCATCCAATCAAATCTAAGCAGGTAGGTCACGCCGCAATCAGTCTCTTCATTTTCGCTCCCTTCTGATCTGATCTACATAGGATGATAGCAGCAATACGTATGAAATCCACACCTACCCTCCCCATGAAAATGCCGAGTATGGTTTTCCCTACCAAATAACCCTCACAGACACCACAGGCAGGAAAACCCCCCTTCCCAGCCGTGCGTACTTCCAGCTCTACGATGTTTGTGCGAAGATTGCGTATCTCTCGGGTGCGGGAGAGGTCATGGAGCGGTTGGTCTGGGAAGTGGGGAATGCACGGGATGGGAGGGACGGGGGTCTTTTGGCTTTAGCATTGTGTTTGTCGCGCTCTGAGTGAGGAGCAGACATAAGAGATACGTTGACTGGTGCCTGTAACCTTCCTCCAGCTATGTTTATTTTTAATAATGATTTATTTAAGAGTAACATACAACATGTTACTATTACACATACAGATTCCGAGTCGCGTCGGTCAGACACAAGGGCAAACCATCTGGTTTGAGACTGAGATGGGAATTGTTGGTCAAGGAGAGGGAAGGGGGTGACGGATTAAAGGGCAGGGCAAGCGGAGAGTTGTACTGCGTGAGGTTGTGGATAGAGCCGACATGTATTAGTTGAATCAACGGTGGATATGATGACACACCGCGTGCCTCACCAAATGCAACGCCGCCCCAACTCTAGTCTAGCAACTATACTACATCTTTCTTTAGCCTCGGGTGATCCCCGTCGAACCAGTATAACAGTCTTTCCAACAGATAACCTCGGATGGTGCTCCAGGTGTATGTGCGTAAGAGCCAGGTACATCAGTCTTCAGGATACTGTGGGTTCGGTATGGTGTCGTTGAACGCAGCTACTCGATTAGTATCCTTTTTGTATCAATCAATAATCCAGGAAAAATCCAGTGAAATGTAGATCCAGACGCTGTTAAATGAGACTTGGCATCCATAACACGTAAAGTTCCACCGTTCTCGATGGACTCGCGAATTAAAATGTTGAAGTTTGGGAGAGAGACATGTCGAAGTCAACTTGGCACAGTTCCAGGATAGATATCGGCGACCAGAGCACGACAAAATGGTACAGCAAGGTGGAAGCTGACGCTACAAAGGTTACTTGGACTTGATCTGCTGGAAGATTTCAAATTCACACATTTCCGAGAACCTTCTTTCAGTCAAACCACCATGGTCTCTGCATTTATACTTGTTAGCCTTTCCTCCAGTAAAAATAATACGACTTTTGATGAAGACTTCAAGCGCTGACCGTGGGAGAGGGAATGTAGACGCTTAAGAAAGCGCCTTACACAGCTCCTTACAACGCTGAATCTGACTCCCATGCCTTCTGTTAGTACTGTCCAGGATAATGAGAACGACAGCCATTCATTGGCGTCCGACACCTCTGACGGTGAATCTCATTCAAGGACTCCTCATATCTACCAGGATCAAGGTCCAGAGGTCGAGAATTTGACGTCTTATTCCCGCCGTCGACGGCGCAAGTCGAGGCGCAGGACAATGGGCATGGAGCGCCCTGAGTATATTGTTAGAGGTGTGTCTATTCTTCTCTTTCATGGCTGCCCGTCTTATGAAGTGCCTAGGGAATGATCCATTTGACTACGAACAGAAATTCCCAGAGGATAAGCAGTATGAGGAGCTTGGGCCAACAGCCAGGGTATGGAGAACATACCTTGAAGAATGCCTTCCATTTGATAACGAGATGGTGGAAGGGTGGAGAGACGGTCTAGATGTTCTCCTCGTCTTTGTGAGTACAATTGCTGAAACTGAGAATTCCTCCATTGATAGAAGAAAAGGCTGGTCTTTTCTCAGCAGTGGTCACAACATTTGTCGCTCAGACATCACAGAGCCTTCAAGTTGACTACGGCGCGGTCACTGCCTCACTTTTGATCGAGCTCATCAGTGTCCAACGCTCAGCATCGAACGGTTCCCTCGTAAACGACATCCCTCGCTCAGACCTCACCTTTCATCCCTCAATATCCGACTCATGGGTCAATGGCTTGTGGTTCACGAGTCTCTCACTGAGTCTCACAACTGCACTGTTCGCTGTTTTGACAAAGCAGTGGATTCACCAGTACATGTCTGTGCCGTCAGGAACACCGCAGGACAGATGCCGTGTGCGTCAATTCCGGTACATGGGTCTCCAGCAATGGGGTGTAGCCTTCATTATTGGACTCCTTCCTGTCCTGATGAGTGCATCGCTCGCTGTATTCCTTGTGGGATTGGTTCTTTTTATTGTCCCCTTGCAGGTGTCTATTGCCAGTGTCGTTGGAGCAATCACGTTTATATCATTTTCGGCCTACATTGTCACCAACTTCCTTCCGATCTTATACCCTTCATGCCCCTACAAGACTCCGTTGTCACAATACATATTCCCTCTCTACACCTATATCCTGCATAACGGCCTTCTCAACTGGCTAATCTCTCCGATCTACAAACTCTGGGCATGGCCACCCCATAATCCAACCTCTGATGCCCCTGCGGTTCACACGCTGAAGGGTGCTGAACGTGCGGCTGTGGATGCTAGTGCCGATGAAACAGATTTGCAAGCACTTTCTTGGCTCATTAATATGTCGTCGAACCCCAGCGTGGAGAAGATTGTGATAGAATCCATGAGTGCTCTGCCACTCAAGTTTGTGCGTTCTCTCGAGTGCGATATAGGCCATATCTCTCGCGCATGTTCTACAGCTCTCGAAACCTTTGCCCGCCGATCAGAGATCTCCATGCATGAACTTAGTCAAGTGGATCGTCTCCTTCGAGCCTATCTCCGCTTCATGGACCGGCGCATTTATTGTAGAATACCACGACTTGCCAAGGAATGCCTCTCACCTACCATTTATGCAGACCTTTTGTCTATTAGCCCATTTATCGAAACGGAGATCAGTGAACTGATCATATCGAACTTGAAAGCCGAACCTGATGACCCTACCGCTCTTCACTTACAGCCCATAGTATGGGCACGTCTCCTTCGGGGGCTTTATCCATCCAATCCTGACAACCTCGAAGTGATGCAGATATTATTCACAATGATACCGCCGTCGTATTGGAGTGCTGGTTTTACTCATCCCACTCAATTCATTGAGTGGGATGGTATGAAAATTCCTTACGGAGATACCGCCGTGGCTACCCTTGGGACAGCGATTCGAGAGTCTTTATACCCATATGTTGCCGAAGTCATACTTCGAATGTGTAGTGAACGCTTCATGTCCCCCCTGAATCCCACCTCTCAGGATCCGCGACTCCCTCTTCTCTTGAGCATGGCCGACTCGCCCTCTATACGAAGCATGCCCAGCTCCACCTTGCTTGGCTATGACAGTTTGTTTATCAGGATAATACGAGGCATTGGTGACTTCCTAGGCGTGAAATCACTTCCATCATATGACAGTGACATCATACCTACTGTCCCCTTAGACAACAATCGTCAAGCTGTCCTGGAATTTCTATTCACGCTGATCTCGTCCGTTGAATTCGACAATACTTTAACTCTCTCCGAGTGGAACTATGTCTTGATAATGTTCTTTCGCGTTCTAAATTCCACGTCGCCTCACCCACCATTTCTTGCCGAAGACTGGTGCACACCACAGTTAGCCACCAAATTTGTGCGAAACACTTTGGAGGGCACTTCACGCTGGCAATATTCTAATGCCTATGAACTGGGTACTTATTTCTTCCGGTCCACCTCCTTCACCAACGAGACTGTGGCTTATTTTGTATCAAGTTTCTTTAAACACCTGTGCACACAGGACTCCAGTCCTACTGTATCAACATTTTTGAGCTTGATTGTCACCATCCTCGCATCCGAGAATTCAGATATTCATATACGCCAGCAATCACTGGAATATTTGTATGAGCCCAACAATCTGTTCACTTCTTGCAGTACCCTCATTGAGTGTGGTCAATCGGGGACTCTTCGTCATCTTGCTCTCCTCCGTCCCAAAGACCCTGCCTGGTCCGGCTGTCTACAGAGGCTGCAAGACTTTGAATTCCAAGAAGGGATATGGAATCAACCCCGTATTATCGTGGCCAATTTCAAAGCGTTTATCGAAGGTGGGTGTGTGGGTACATTTGGGGAGGATGACACGGCGTCTTCCAATCCCCCGGGACCAGTTCAAGGAGAAAACGACAATTCTCCACAGCATCCATGGTCAACGGCGTGGCGTAGAGTACGGCGATTTATTGCAGGAAAGCCTAGTCATGAGGAGATAGAATTATCGAGTTATAATGCCAAAGTGTAGTCTACGTGATGTTCTGACTATTTCATACTAAATATTACTTCAGAGAGTATGCGCAGTGCAGTACATCACACATATGCAGAAGCACCAATGAGCTAAGCGGGATGTGTTCGTTCCAAGAGAAGTGACCTACGAATCTTGATCTCTATAAAGGAGCATATTGATATGGGATTTTAGATGGCTTCTTGTGGTACACCACTGGACACAGTCAGTATCGATATTTAGTAGAAAGAGTGTATGAATGCACCGTGCGTTCATTCCCGCTCGCTTTCCCAGCTTGTACGCCTACGAATCCATCTTCAAACACTAGACCTTTCTGCCTCTCTGATATTTGGTCTCCCGATGCCAATCTAGGTTCGCCTGCATCCCTACCCAACAGCTCTCTAGTCGCGACCAAGATGTCAGGCGCCGGCTTTCCCCTCATAGGGTTTCCCCCCCACCTCTCATCATCAGCGCATACGACGTTCCCTTCGAAATACTCAAATACGTCACTTAGATGACTCATCTTTTTCCCATACCTCAGCCGCCCGGAGCTAGTCGCTACTGCAATAGGAATGTTATGTTTTCGAAGGTGTTGTACGAGCTTGCGCACACCGGAGAGAAGGGGGACAGAGGGCAGGAGGAGGATGTTCTTCTGTTTGTCCAAAGCCCAAGTTCGCTCACCATCAATAATGAGCGCGCGCGTCAGGTTATCCGTATCGCTGATTTCTTTTCAAAAAAAAGGTCTATTATGGCGTCCAGGTAGGAGCCTGTATGGACAGAATCTTTTAACATTTCTTTGCAGATACCTAGCATCTTTATCAGATATCAAAGATTATGAATCATCGAGGAGCTGCCTACCAAAGTGAGCATAAGAATCGGCATAGCTGTTAGGTGCACAGAATCAGGGTTACAGAGCGCTGCATCCTACAAACGTGAAATACGCAACTAGTCCTTTGATGTCATGTCAAAGAGAGTTGCTTCTTGCATTGAGGTTGCTGAACCGTTCTTCATGGCTGAGACAGTGATCAATGCTAAGATGAAGAAATTGGTGTCAAAGACGAAAAGGGACAAGCGAGAAAAGACATCTCAAAAAAATCGTCAGGACAGCACGTTGAGACCTGATCCTAGTACACATGGCAGTGGAGCATCTGCGTCAAGTCTCGGTTGACATCCACCAAAGCCCACGTTTGTTCAACATCAATAACGAGCGCACGCATCAGGTTAACCGTATCGCTGATTTCTTTTCAAAAAAAAGTATATTGATCCTATTAGATGACACGCCGCTCGATAAGCACGCATTACGTTCTTGTGAACCAGACGATTGAGGGTGTTGAAGATCCTGGTTTATTTCTGGACAAGTTCAGCCTACAAGGATAGAACGAGATTCACCGAAGAGTGTGGCTTGAGGTGAAGGATCAGTTCAAGGTGTTGCAGAGTAGATTTGAAGCACATGCCCAGGTGTGCATTTTGAGAGAGCACCCTATGACCTGGGCGAGACATCAGGTCTGCTTGCGAGGATATGACACCTATCACGCACCGTTGGGTGTATTAGAATGCACGTATTCAAACAGCGGATGTAGTTTGAATGCCCCAACTCGATATCGTCGATTCTGTTCTGTTAGCACCGCGATCTCATCCAGACTAGAGACCCGGATAAATGCGTCAAGAAAGAATGACGGACCACGAATGAAGGGAGTCGTCATAAGCATTGCGTCAAGACCCACGACGCGCTTGCATCCCCGGTAGTCCAAGTTTCTCCTTCTCGCGCCATCCTGGGCACGGACGCCAAAGAAAATTTCAAGTCGTTACTGGGTTTACCGTAAAAGCCATCTCAGAGCGAAGAAGAAGAGAGCTAAGGTGAGGAAAGCAGATTCGCTGATGGAAAAGCATCGTGACTGATACTGAGGACCCGCACTTGGACCGTAAATTCCCTTTTTTTTCTTCTGTGCAACTTGGAGACCAGCGCCGCTGGTGTTTTCCTCGATCCTATAATTACGACACGATCCCAGGGATTTAGGCGAAAGGATACATGTCGAACTCGTTCCGATTCGTTGCCTGAATTTTTTTCTTCTCAGTGACTCGGAGGAAATGTTGGAGATGAATTCTTTGGTGGTAGAACGTGCAAGGTGGCGTCTCAGCGTTATTCAAAGGAAACCTGAACACTTCATCCTAGAAAGAACATCAGACTCGCTCACAAGAGGGAGATGCAGTTAAGAACATATACCTGGGAACCGTTATGCGCGTCATCGATGTCGATGAACGGTTGAGAGTCGAGCGCTTGCAGACCGATTATCCGGGACTTGTTCACCACCCCCTTGTCGGTGGTCGCAGTATATACCCGTCCAAAGCGAGTAGTCATAGAACCGAAATAAAAATTCTCAGAGGTGGAAGAAATGACGAGTTCGAGCAGGTGAGAAAGCGTTTCAAGAATAGTAAAGCATTCCTGCTGGGAGTCATACATAAAGCCTGAGTCCTTGCACGGACCGCCAAAAAAATTCCAGGTAGGTACCGAATGTAGATGCCAGCATCTAGGAGAATGAAGCTAAGGGCCAAGAGAGTTGTAAGATAAGAAGAGAGTACGGAGCGGGGCAGTGAGGGAAGTAAATTTGTGGATATAAGCGGATGACCGTCCGAATTGCACACGGGCCGTAATTCCCTTCTTCACTTCAGCTCGTCACTATGCACTTTGCGTACCACTCTCGCTGGAATTGTCCTCGACGTGTAGTCAAGGTATATGCGTGCCGCTGATCTCACACGAATGGTTACGACAAAAGAGCTCGAAGATCCCACGTTTCGTTGATCTTTGGTTCGTAGATCCCTCGTTGTCCAAATCGTTGTTGTATGTATAACACTTGTTCAGGTTCATTGACAATACAAGACCAATGCCCTATTTAAATGAATAAAAAAAAATACGACATCTCCCTCAATTTCGCATGGCCGCACGACACGAATACGCTCCAGTAACCCCCTTCGAAGATCCCATAAACAGTTTCGTCGGGATCACTTCTGCACTAATACACGACTGCATCGAGTACCACCAGGGTCGGGGAACCCTCGTATCCCTCTCGATCCAGAACGCCGACCTCCCACAGCGGTACTGGTGCCTTTCCCGGCTAGCAGAGCTCCGGGATCAGGATGGTAGGGACTCGCAGGAGCTACGCCACGTCCTCCGTCGGGTCGCGGAGGAGTGGATTGGGGAGTCGGCACGACGGGGGAGACAGAGAAGAGACTTTGAACGATTTCATCTCCGGTTCAGCGAGTTTGTGAGGGAAGTCCGGCAGAGTCTGGCCCTGAGTGACTCGGTTGCTCTGCGCGGACACCGGGATAGGATCCGGGCGTTTTTGGGTGTGCAGAGAGTAGGAGCTCCTCAGGGAGGCCTGAATGACGCGCGCGTTGGTGATAGACGAGAGGCGGTTGCTTTGTATGATGTTTTGCAGGGCCTTGACGCATTGTTGCATGGGCGACGGAATCATGGCAATATCCTCTCACAGCTTGTTTCGCTAGACACCGACAATCTCCTCATTCGACATCCGGACATGGAAGAGCTCATCATGGCACGAGATGTTATCTGCGGGATCGTCCCTGGTCCGTCGATCCTGACGTTTGAGACTGCAGTGAGAAGGTTCTTCGTGTCGCTCCTTGCGACGAGGGGAATGATCAGATTCTGTGAGTTATCGATGTTTAGCTGGTATACTGCGTGAGCTGACGGTGTGTAGTTCAGGAACGACAGAAGTTGGCGCGGCTGTGTGAGCGTGTTGTGTTTGGTGAGCAGGATGCTGTGGATGCGCTTGATGAGGCGCGTCAGGTTTTACATCAAGAAGCTCCCAATTCACAGCCACAGCCACAGTAGCCTACCCATCGTCTTCACGATCCTGCACCGTACAAGAAGCGTCATCACATCCACCATCTACACTGGTGCGATTCGACTACATGTCGGCAAGAGACCAGGCGCACCGAATCTCCTTCGCATCCTCCACCGGCGTCATCATCTTGGTACAACTCTCCACCCCACCTATTCCCTATCGCCCCCTTCGACCCCGATCACCCCCCGCCAGTGCCTTCTCCTTTCATCCCACCTGAGCCGCAATTCCCATCTCACTCTCAGACCGGACGATTTACTTACTGGGTCCAATGACTGATGTGTTGATTCTTTATAACTTATATTATTTAATATTATTATAGACATACTACTGGAGAGAAAGCCTTCAGATGTTACAACTTGTGATTTCTGTCTGTTCGCCAACACCAACACCGATCCTATCTCGGGTCCGATGCCTTTTTTTGACTTGGCTAACCTTATTTCTGACTTTCATGGACACTGCGATGACGGCGACAAAGCTCGCTAGTGGATACGGCGAGTTCTTCATATTCCTTACCTATTTTTTTTGTTTCTAATGGTTGCTTAGGATCGGTTCAAGGTTCTCGCTTACCCCAGTGTTGACGTTGAGCAATACGGTCAACGGTCAGACGGTATGTCAATATTTTGGCTTGATTAACTACTCTTTAACGTACTCTTCCAGATCCTTCGCTCTCTCTTAGATTCTATTGATGTATATCCACTCGTTTCGCCGTGCCTTTCTCCCTCAAAACTAGTTCAAATTTTCCTTGTTATCTCAAGCATCCTCGCTCGCCACAGGACAACCGTTATAAGGTACAGGTAGGGAGCCCGAATATTGGTGCGTGGACTATTTCTGACCTCGTTCCCGGCTAACGTGCGATCCGATATGCTAGGATTTGGTTCGCCACGCGTAGATGACGCTGCTTGGCGGGATAGACAAGGATTTTCAAGGAGGTTTGAAGGAGGCGACAGTAAGCTCACGGTAATTGAGTATTTTCACTTGGTTAACTAATGTCTAATGAGTGCTCTTTTAAAGTCTCAGCTCGCCGTTAAATCCTTTCCATTGATGTAGATTGACTGGTTTCGCCAAGGTAAGCCGTGCTTTATCCCCTCAAGTCAAGCTAACATTTTCTTGACATCTCAAATGACGACATATTGGCTCTTGTTCACTACGACACGGTAGGACGACCATTGGAAGACTGGTAGGGTGTTATAATACAGGTCCACAGGATATCGAGAATCGGGGGGGCAACAGCTGCAGAAAGAGTATGTTCGCAAGACTAAGAAGGTTGATCGTAAGCGTGAGATGGGCTGAGACCAACGTCTAAGCCAAAATGCGGGTGCGTGCTCTGATGCGGAGGGAGCCGGTGATCGTTCACCCCACCATGACCGAGTTGTAACTTGCAAGCCCGGGTCGATGGAGATGAGTCATTCGAATAGTCGAGTATGGTATTTACAGCCCATAGACGCCAGACGGTAATCTTTGGGAATGAACATGCATTCATCGTTATCGTTGGATCGGGTCCTTGAACTGAGTAATCGGTATTCACATCATCAGTATCCTGCACAAAACTCGACTGTCTTCAAAACGGGTATATCACTGCTACGTGTGAGTCTGGCCACTTATCGATTAATTGAGGCACACTTAAGTAGCAGCCTAAGATCGAGACTTAGATCTGACTTTGGTTCCAAAAACACAGGCGCGTCGGAGAAGGGTGTGTGATAGATTCAGATAATGGTTTACATGTCATTCTAGCAATACCATTAGCACTCGACTGGTAGCCCAAGCTCAAACGCACATAATACACGTTTTTGCTTATAGTTCACACTTTTGCTGCCAATCTCTCAACTTTATGCTTGTTCCCTGTACCAGGTGCGATCTCCTGGTCGACTCTGGTACTGATATGGATGATACGAGGGATTCCCTGTGCATGCACTGCAGCGTGGCAGTCTTGCAGACGTCGGACCAGGAAGAGATTTGGGTTATACGACGTAGGATATGATTGATACCGTACCTAAATTTGTTCCGTGCCCGCTGAAAGACGTCACGACGATGAACAGAACAGAATCCAGATTAATGACTTGCTGCATCCGTAATATATTGTTTTGGTGAATGTCGGTTTGAAAAGCAAAGAGAAAGTGCTCCTTGACTTTTCCAGGACTCTTTGGCATTCGGCAATGAATATAGCAACTCCTGGGATGTATTAGCTGCTAGAATACACTGAGAAATAGCTGACTGAAGGTTCTGGGGCGTTCATAGGGATGAGGAAGAGATTACAATTCGGAGGACATGGTGGCGGTGAAAGAAGACAGCGGTGACCAAACCCAAACTTGGACTGCGACCGTGACCTCGGTGTAATGCCTCCTCCTCCTCGTCACCACCGTCGGCGTCGCTTATCGACAAAGACTGGCTCGTCGACGTCACGCCCATCGTCGAGGTCGCTCCCCTCTTACCTCCTCGTACCCTCAAGTCCCCACTAACCCACCAAAACACACCTCAACGTCGTCCATTTCGTCCTTCCATTCTGTCTCTTTCGACGGCCAGACATCGACGGTGGCGAGTAGCCGACAAGCAACTTCTATTTTAAGGCAGGAGCTATGTTTCTACCTTTAACACCACCACCATGTCTTCGCTCCTCCCACCAAACCTGTTCGACCTGCCCTCTCACGAGCACACAGCATACGAATCTTGCTTGAACCTCGAAGCTTCTGATCTGTGGGACCTGTCTTCTGAACCCGCGGCCATGTATAGGTTCAGCCCTCAAGTCGCCGCTCGAGTCTTGGGTTACGCGCTTATTTACCACCCAGGCTCTTCTATGGTCATGGCGCGAGAGATGTCGGGTTGTGGTGATAACGCCGAGTTTATGGCGGGGTTGAGGTATTTGTATGTTATGGGTGTGATTAGGATGTGTACGTCCGCGTCCCGAGTCCCGAGGATGATGACGTTCACTGCGACTAGTTAAGGGTTCGGTACTGGCCCAACCAGAGTCACCGCCAGACAGCATCGATATCGCAGCCCTCGAATTTGTCGCAATCCACCGGTGCTAGTCCAAAGGATGCTAAAAAGCTAGTAAGCAAAGACTCGGAGCGTTGTTCAGGTTCTCAGCTGAGGCTACAAGTTTTGGCGCGAGACAACTATCGGTATATACTCTCAGGGAACGCGGACGCTGCCAGCCTTCGCAACGGGCTGACGACGATCGATTTAGCTGCTGGGGAGAGGAAGGCGGATATGGAGCTGTGTTATATCTTCAAGATGACTGGGGATGAGGAACAGGGGTATATAGGAGGAGGACTGACGGAGGCGGCGCGGAGGAAGGTTTGTCTTGTCTTTCCCCCTCATATACTTCCATCTAATTAAGTTGCTTGTCAGTTAGGTTGGGCGTCTTCTGCTGCTATCGTTCTTGAGCGACTAGCCAGTATCTCACTCGTCCAGGACATTCACGAGGCGGAGAATACGTTCACGATATCGCCCAACCTCCATGGTCCATGGGACCAGCTCCAGATTTCTCTTCATCCAATCGCCAGTGAGGAGGTAAGTGTGACTGCAATAAGTCTCTTCCTCTTCGCTTCTGATCTGCATATGATGATAGCAGCAACATGTATGAAATCCACACCTACCCTCCCTCCGAAAACGCGCAGTACGGTCTTCCCTACCGTACGACGAATACCCTTCCCAGCCGTCGTTATCTCGTGCTCCACGATGCTTGTGCAAAGATTGCGTATCTCTCGGGTGCGGGAGAGGTCATGGAGCGGTTGTTCTGGGATGTGGGGGATGCACGGGTCTTCGCGGAGGATGGGGGGGGGATTGGGGTCTTTTAGGTTTGGCGCTGTGTTTGTCGCAATGATACATTGATTGCTGCGCATGCTTAGTTCGATGTCTGTAGCCTTCCTCCAGCTATGTTTATTAATAATAATAATTTATTTAAGAGTAACACACATCTACTTACATCCATTGAACGACTTTTCTTCATACGGATCGTTGAGTCTGGTTTACGAGACTAGTACATCAGCCTTCAGGATATGTGGGTTCGGTATGGTGCCGTTCAACGCGGCTACTCGATTAGTATCCTTTTTGTATCAATCAATAATCCAGGAAAAATCCAGTGAGATGTAGATCCAGACGCTGTTAAATGAGACTTGGTATCCATAGCACGTAAAGTTCCACCGTTCTCGATGGACTCACGAAATAAAATGTTGAAGTTTGGGAGAGAGACATGTCGAAGTCAACTTGGCACAATTCCAGGATAGATATCAGCGACCAGAGCACGACAAGATGGTACAGCAAGGTGGAAGCTGACGCTACAACAGTTACTTGGACTTGATCCGCTGGAAGATTTCAAATTCACACATTTCCGAAAACCTTCTTTCACTCAAACCACCATGGTCTCTGCGTTCATACTTGCTTACCTTTCCTCCAGTAAAAATATCACGACTTTTGATGAAGACTTCAAGCGCTGACCGTGGGAGAGGGAATGTAGACGCTTAAGAAGCCGCCATACACAGCTCCTTACAACGCTGAATCTGACTCCCATGCCTTCTGTTCATGCAGCCCAGGACAATGAGAACGACAGCCATTCATTAGTGTCCGACGCCTCTGAGGGTGAACCTCATTCAAGGACTCCTCATATCTCCCAGGATCAAGGTCCAGAGGTCGAGAATTTGACGTCCTATTCTCGCCGTCGACGACGCAAATCGAGGCGCAGGACAATGGGCATGGAGCGTTCTGAGTATATTGTCAGAGGTGTGTCTATTCTTCTCTTTCATGGCTGCCCGTCTTATGAAGTGCCTAGGGAATGATCCATTTGACTACGAACAGAAATTCCCAGAGGATAAGCAGCACGAGGAGCTGGGGCCAACAGCCAGGGTATGGAGAACATACCTTGAAGAATGCCTTCCCTTTGATAGCGAGATGGTGGAAGGGTGGAGAGACGGTCTAGATGTTCTCCTCGTCTTTGTGAGTACAATTGCTGAAACTGAGAATTCCTCCATTGATAGAAGAAAAGGCTGGTCTTTTCTCAGCGGTTGTCACGACATTTGTTGCTCAGACATCACAGAGCCTCCAAGTTGACTATGGCGCGGTCACTGCCTCACTTTTGATCGAGCTCATCAATGTCCAACGCTCTGCATCGAACGGTTCCCTCGTAAATGACGTCCCTCGCTCAGACCTCACCTTTCGACCCTCAACGTCCGACTCGTGGGTTAATGGCTTGTGGTTCACGAGCCTCTCGCTGAGTCTCACTACTGCCCTATTCGCTGTCTTGACAAAGCAGTGGATCCACCAGTACATGTCTGTGCCGTCAGGAACACCACGGGACAGATGTCGTGTACGTCAATTCCGGTACATGGGTCTGGAGCAATGGGGTGTAGCCTTCATTATTGGACTCCTTCCTGTCCTGATGAGTGCATCGCTCGCTGTATTCCTTGTGGGATTGGTTCTTTTTATTATCCCCTTGCGGGTGTCTATTGCCAGTGTCGTTGGAGCAATCACGTTTATATCATTTTCGGCCTATATCGTCACCAACTTCCTTCCGATCTTATATCCTTCATGCCCCTACAAGACTCCATTGTCACAATATATATTCCCTCTCTACACCTATATCCTGCATAATGGCCTTTTCAACTGGCTGATCTCTCCGATATTCAAACTCTGGGTGCGGCTACCCCATGAGTCAACCTCTGGCCTCCCTGTGGTTCGCACGTTAAGAGGTGCTGAGCGTGTGACTGTGGATGCTAGTGCCGATGAAACAGATGTGCAAGCACTTTCTTGGCTCATTCATATGTCATCCAACCCCAGCGTGGAGAAGATTGTGATAGAATCTTTGAGTGCTTTGCCGCTCAAGTCTGTACGTTCTCTCAAGCGCCATATAGCCCATATCTCTCGCGCGTGTTCTACAGCCCTCAGATCCCTTCTCTACCAACCAGATATCTCCATGCATGAAAGTCAAGTGGATCGTTTTCTTCGAGCCTATCTCCGCTTCGCGGATCAGCCCATTTATTATAGAATACCACTACCTGCCAAGGAATGCCTCTCGCCTGCCATTTACGCAGACCTTCTGTCTATTTGCCCATTTTGTGAAACGGAGATCAGAGAACTGATCATATCCAACTTGAAAGCCGGATCCTATGACCCTACCGCTCTTCGCTTACAGCCCATAGTATGGGCATGTCTCCTTCAGAAGCTTTATCCATCCAATCCTGATAATCTCGAAGTGATGCGGATATTATTCACAATGATACCACTATCGTATTGGAGTGTTGATTTTACTCCTCCTACTCGATTCATTGAGTGTAGTGGTATAAAAATCCTTGACGAAGATACTGCCGTGGCTACCCTTTGGACAGCAATTCAAGAGTCTTTATACCCATATGTTGCCGAAGTCATACCTCAAATGTGTGGTGAACGCTTCATGCCCCCCCTGAATCTCACCTCTCAGGATCTGCGACTCCGTCTTCTCTTGAGCATGGCCGACTCACCCTCTATACGAAGCATGCCCATCTCCACCTCACCTGACTATGACAGTTTGTTTATCAGGATAATACAAGGCATTGGTGACTTCCTAGGCGGGAAACCACTTCCATTGTATGACAGTGACATCATACCTACTGTCCCCTTAGACAATAATCGTCAAGCTGTCCTGAAATCACTATACACGTTCGTCTCGTCGGTTGAATTCGACGATACTTTAACTCTCCATGAGCGAAACTTTGCCTTGATAGTTTTCCTTCGTGTTCTGAATTCCACGTCACCTCGCCCATCATTCCTTCCCGAAGACTGGTGTACACCACAGTTGGCCACCAAATTTGTGCGAAACGCTTTGGAAGACACTTCACGGAGTTATTCTAATGCCTATGAACTGGGTACTTATTTCTTCCGGTCCACCTCCTTCACCAACAAGACTGCGGCTTATTTTGTATCAAGTCTCTTTGAACACCTGCGCACGCAGGATTCCATTCCCCCTGTATCAGCATTTTTGGACTTGATCGTCACCGTCCTCGCATCTGAAAATTTAGATATTCATATACGTCAGCAATCGCTGGAATACTTGTATGAGCCTGACAATCTGTTCACTTCTTGCACTACCCTCATTCAGAATGGTGATCCCTGGACTCTTCGTCGTCTCGCTCTCCTCCGTCCCAAGGACCCAGCCTGGTCTGGCTGTCTACAGAGGCTGCAAGACTTTGAAATCCTGGAAGAGCCATGGGTTCTGCGCGATGCTATACCTGGTGTCGTGGTCGATTTCAAAGCATTTATCGAAGGTGGGTGTGTGGGCACATTTGGAAAGGATGACGATGACGCGGTATCTTCCAATCCTGTGCAACCAACTCAAGGAGATGCTGATTCTCCACATCATCCGGGGTCAACAGTGTGGCGTAGGGTACGGCGATTTATTGCAGGAAAACCTAGTCATGAGGAGATAGAATTGTCGAGTTATAATGCCAAAGTGTAGTCTCTGTGATCCTCTGACTATTTCATAATAAACATTACTTCAGATAGTGTGCGCAGCACATTTACACAGATGAAGCACCAATGAGCTAAGCGGAATGCGCACGTCCCGAGAGAAGTGACCCTACGAATTTTGATCTCTATAAAGGAGGGTATCGATGTGAGTTTCTGAATGATTCCTTGAGAATCGACTAAGGTCAACGAGTTGTCGAAGAAGGCTACTCGCGTCATAGCTGCTTGAAATGGAACTTCTTGGCGGGCATCGATAACTAAGATACTGTATGTGTTTAAATAGAGTTTTAGTTAGTAAGGTAATTGTCGAGTGTGAAACGCAGAATACACACATAACAATCTAATGAAAGCAAGACTACGAAAGTTCCTTGTCATAGGCTGGAAGGCCCCATTTCTTGGGAATGAAATCCTCAATGGATCCAAGGGTGACATCTGCCTTTTCGTCTCCAGTATATTCCACACCCAACCACTGCAGTATTGATATTTAGTAGTTGAAAGAGTGTATGAATTCATTCCCGCTCGCTTCTCGGCAAATCCACTAGACCTTTCTGGGTGCCTCTCCGATATCTGGTCTCCCGATGCCAACCCTACATCCCTGCCCAACAAAGATGTCCGGTGCCAGCTTTCCTTTCATAGCCACCTCTTATTGTCAGACGTTCCCTTCAAATACGGACCCGTCTTTTTCTCTCATACCTCAGCTGTTCGCTACTGCGAAGGTGAGGCGGTGCTGCTGGAAGGATGCTTGTAGAATCCGCATTTCTCTACTCTGCCGTGATAGTCGCTTTTCCTGGTGTTCGAAGGTCGTCCGAACTTGCACTCAAGATCACATAGTTGGTGATCGTGATCTAAACCGTTTTGATTTTTGGCCTTGACTACGTCTTTTCTAGGGAATCGTACCTACTGGTCACGTTGCGGAGTAGATGTCGCCTTAGTTCATAGTTTGTCAAAGCGACAAGCGCTGAATGGGACATCTCGTTGAAGTTGACTCAAAGTGGAGTCAGAATGATGGGTGGGCCTACAAATGCAGTCGATGTTGATTGTTTAAGAGTCCCGAACGGTACTTACGACAACTGTTGCGTGTATACTCTTACAAATTGCTGGAACGAAACAGGGCCAAAGCCAAAAGACCCCGGTCCCCCCCACCCTCCGCCAAGACCCGTGCGTTCCCCATATCCCAGAACAACCGCTCCATGACCTCCCCTGCACCTGAGAGATACACAATCTTCGCACAAGCATCGTGGAGCACGAGATAACGACGGCTGGGAAGGGGGATCTGTCCAGTGAGGATCACTCTGTCGGAGACACCGTACTCGGCATTCTCGGAGGGAGGGTAGGTGTGGATTTCGTACGTATTGCTATCCTATGTAGATCTCGTCTTTAGAAGGAAGAAGAAACTTGAAACTAATTGTGGCATTTTACCTGATCGATTGGATGAAGGGAGATCCCGAGCCAGTCAAACGGACCATGGAGGTTAGGCGATATCGTGAAGGTATTCTCCGCCTTGTTCTGATTGAGCTCTGGGACTGAGCTTCCGGCTAGTCGCTCGAGAACGGTAGAAGCAGAAGATGCCCAACTCAGCTAAGCAACTTGATTAGATGGAAGTAAGTATACAAGAGGAACAGACGAACTTTTCTTCATACTGCATCTATCAGTCCTCCTCCTATATAGCCCTGGTCCTGGTCCTGCATCTTGAATATATGCCCCGGTTCCATATCCGTCTTCCTCTCCCCAGCAGCTAAATAGATCGTTGTCAGGTCATTGCGAAGACTGGCAGTGTCCATGTTCCCTGAGAGTATACACCGATAATTGTCTCACGCCAAAACCTGACTCGGAGAACCTGAACAGCGCTCTTTGCTCACTAGAGTTTTCGCATCACTTGGACTAGATTGCGGCAAACTTGGAAGGATGCTGTCTGGTGGTGACTCTGGTTGGGAGCTATGAACGGATGCCTTGGGATGTTTTTTGACTGGTCGCAGTGAACATCGTCATCTTTACTAGGGCTCAGGACGTGGACGTACACATCCTAATCACGCCCATAACATACAAATACCCCAACCCCGCCATCAACTTGGCGTTATCACCACAACTTGATATCTCTCGCCCCATGGCCATAGAACTCGAAGGGTGATGGATAAGTGCGTAACCTAGGACTCGAGCCATGACTTGTGGGCTGAACCTGAACATGGCCACAGATTCAGAAGTCTCCCAAGGACCAGAGACTTCGAGGGTGAGGCAGGATTCGTATGCTGCGTGTTCATGGGAGGGTGGGTCGAATGGATTTGGAGGGAGAGGCGAAGGCATAGGGGTAATGGTGGTAGTAACGTTGAAACATGGCTCCTGGCTCAAAATAGAATCGACTACTAGCTCTTCAAACAGCCGGACCCGAGACAGGATTGGCGTAATCCATAACAGGAATCGCAAGTGGATGGAAGTGCGACTTTCTTCAGTAGTATTTCAAGAAACTCTATAATAATATTAATATAAGTTATCGTTACACAAAAAGATTCACGTTGGTCAGACCCAATAAGTAAATCGTCCGGTTTGAGAGTGGGATGCGAATTGTGGGTCAGGTGGGATGAAAGGAGGGGGCACTGGTGGAGGGTGATCGGGGTCAAAGGGGATGGTAGGAAATAGGTGGGGCTGATACTGATAGCCAGGTGGAGAGTTGTACCAAGGCGATGACGCCGGTGGAGGGTGCGAAGGAGATTCAGCGTGACGACGACGGGTAGACGATTGTGGCTGTGGTTGTGAATTGGGAGCTTCTTGCACGACCTGGCGTAAAACCTGACGCGCCTCATCAAGCGCGTCCACAGCATCTCGCTCACCAAACGCCACGCGCTCGCACAGCCGTCCTAACTCTGGTCGTTCCCGAACTACATGTCGTCAACTCAGTATACCAAACTAAACATCGATAACTCACAGAATTTGTTCATGTCCCTCGTTACAAGGAGAGGCACAAAGAACTTTCGCACTGCAGTCTCAAACGTCAGGATCGACGGACCAGGGAGGATCCCACAGATCACATCTCGTGCCATGATGAGCTCTTCCAAGTCCGAGTCCTCACGGTGCCTGGGGGTGAGGAGATTGTCTTCGTCCAGCAAAATGAGCCGCGGAAGGATATTCCCATGATTACGCCGCCCATGCAACAATGCGTTAAGCCCCTGCAAAACATCATACAAAACCACTGCCTGCCATCTATCAGTGCGCACATCATTCGGGCCTCCCTGAGGAACACCCAGAAATGCCCGGATCCTATCCTGGTGTCCACGCAAAGCAACCGAGTCACCCAGGGCCAGACTCTGCCGAACCTCCCTCACAAACTCGCTGAACCTGAGATGAAATCTCCCTTCCCTCCCCTTCCTCCCTCGTCCGTTCCACTCTTCTGCAACCTGACGGAGGACGTGGCGGAGCTCCCTACCATCGAATGTCTGGTCCCGGAGTTCTGCTAGCTGGGACAGGCACTGATATCGCTGCGGGAGGTCGGTGCTCTGAATCGAAAGGGATATGAGGGTTCCCCGGCCCTGGTGGTGCTCGATGCAGTCGTGTATCAGCGCAGAAGCGATCTCAACGAAACTGTTCATGGGATCTTCGAGTGGGGTTACTGGAGCGTATCCGTGTCGTGTGGCCATGTGAAATTGGGGGAGATGGAGTGTTTTTTTATTGATTTAAATAGGCCATTGGTCTTGTGTTGAACCTGAACAAAGGTATTATACATACAACAACTTGGACAACAAGGGATCTACGCACCAAAGACCAACGAGACGTGGGATCCTCTTTTGTCTTAACTACCGAGAGTTGTTCTGTGTCGTAGCCGATGAGATCAATACCTTCGAGAAGAACATCAGCGAGAGTGGTACGCAGAGTGCATGGTGACAAGCAAAGGTCAAGAAGGGAATTACGGCCCGGCGTGCGCACCCCGGGTCATCCACTTACATCCATAATTCTGCTTCCCTCGCCTTGCTGAGAGGTCTTCTCATCTCATAACTTTCCCGTTCTCGTCCAACCCCCACTACGCGTAACACCTGAAATTTTTTTCATGGCTTGTGCAAGGACTCTGGCGCTAACGTCAACAGCTCTGCCTGCCCTGACACGCCCGCCCATTACTGGATGGTAAACAAACTTCGGTTTGGGTGGACGCTAACCCAGACTTATGCAGATTCTCCACCATGTGTACTAGGTCTCAGATCTCAACACGCAGCTCATAGTAAAGCCAACATATATACCGAAAACACACGCTCCAAGACATCATACTATCCTCCTTAAATTCTTCCCTGTGCCGGGTGAAGAGATTGTCCTCATCTAGTGAGACAAGCCTTGGGAGGAGATTGCCATCGCGTCGAATCATACAAAACCGCCACCCCCGACACTCGCATCCGCATACCCAAATCCTATCCTGGCGTATGTGCAGAGCAGCTGGACCTCCTGCACAAACTCGCTGAACGGGAGATGAAAATCTACTCTGCGTGGTGCAGCTGGACGAGCACCTCCGCCACCTAATATCTGGTCCCAGAGCGATAGGTACCGCTGTTCGAAATTGAAGGTCCGCGAGAGGGTTAGAGCTAAGAGAATGCAGACCTGATGCCTCGTGTATCAGTGCAGAGGCCATCTCAACAAACTTGCTGTTCGTGGGATCTTCAAGTAGTGTTACAGTGTCGTGCAACTTGGGGTCGACGTCGCGTTTTTTATACAGGCCATTGGTCTTGTATGGTCAAATAAACCTGGACAACAAGGCGAGGCGTAGGATGCCTTTTGTCGTAACTGTTTGTGTGAGGTCAGCACCGCGCATACACCTTGGCTACACATCGAGGAAAACACCGGCGAGGGTGGTGACGGAAACAGGAAAAGGAACTATGGCCCGAGTCCGCCACCTGGGAGTCTTTCCTGTCGACTTATCCCCGAAAAGCTGCTCCCCTCGCTTCCCTCACACTCAGAGCCAGTATATCACTACCGAGCCCACCCGAACAATCAAACGTTGATGTCACGAAAGGATATAACAGATAACCTCGGATGGTGCCCCAGGACTAAGTGTAGGATCCAAGTACAAACCAATCATCTTACGTTTGGATCCATCGCAAGCTGACCTCGGGAAGATGGTGTATCCCAATTGATGATCGTGACTGGGCTGATGGACCAGCTCTACGAGACTCACCCCAATTTTAACTCCCTTGAGATATCGGATATCCTCCATCACAAACTCCCGCTATGTAACTGACGGTGAATGAATCATAAATTGTAACGTCGTTTCTTGAACATGAGTAGTCTAGAGATGTTCGTGGTGAACTTCCAAGTGGTATGCCAGGAGATATTCGAACCTTCTATGATTTGGTATTCAAGGATATGCAATGCATGATATAGCTAACTAAGCTTCCCTGTCTAAAGAGCAACGACTTTTTTCAAACTCTGGACAATTCGAGGTCGATTTTATACGACTCCAACTCTAGTTCATCGCGGACCTGAGAGACATCCGCAGCGAATTGAATACCAGATTCCTACAAAAAATGATTCCACTCTGAATGAGAACCCTGTAGAAGTATCAGTTTTAAATGCACCTTTGGGATGAAGATATCTCGTCCGTCAGTCAAACTTTGAATATACGGTCGCGCATTGATCGATGCAAGCACTGTGTTACAGTAGACGGATGAAAGGAAGAAATAAAGCCCCGCGTAGAGGTAGTACATCGGGTACACCATTAACTAGAGCCTTAGTGTTGAGCACGGTGATAGTAGTGAGTGAGTGTCAAATGATACCATGACCAAAGTGATGATGGCTATAAACGGCTGGCCAAGTGCCCATGTTGATAGAGAAGAGGATAAGCCGATGGACTATGGAACACGTCCTGGTAGGGGGAATGGCGGTTAGATGGGGAAAGAGGGATCGACTCGGAGGTGCATACCTGTTGGTTGTACCACCAAAACGAAGGTACCTCCGCCAGAGGCATATACATATCGTGATTGCGATAAACAGATCTATGATAGCACCGTCGATGAAATACGCGATGGCGACACCCTAGACAGAGAACTCGTGACAATTGTTTAATCTAAATTCTGGGATCTGACCTTGCTAGTAGAGGTAAATGGCAGTTTGTCCGTCGCTGGAAGGCTGTTGTGAAATAACTGTTAAATCAAGTGGTAAGTGAAAGCAGTCGAGGAGGGTTTACTTGATAACCATGAATACTACACAGCGGATCAGGGCTCCGTGTATGGGAAAGAAAAGTTCTTCTACACTTACTGATTCCATCGACTAGATGGCCCCTTAGTATATGTAAATGCAAGATCCAACATCACGCACCAAGTTGGAATAGGATAGCAGGTACCTGCGAGAGCCGTTAAGGATTCAAGGAATAAGGCACCGAGTGGACGCACTTACGAGGAAGGTAATGATAAGTTTGCTTTTATCACTGACTGAAGCGACGTTAAATGCCATCATCATAAAGCGACATAGTCCGAGTCTTACATATCCAAATTCGATATGCAAAAAATCCCTGAGCCGGTTTGGTGACCAGAATCTGCGAGGCGATAAGTGTGTGAGGTATAGGAGGAATCTTGAAGAAGATTATCTAACCGTGAAAAGGATTTGAATCTGGGACAAGTCAGAGAGGTTAAAATCATTCGAAAGTGATTAAACACTGACCAGATATTCTCTGTCGAACCGGGACACTTGAGCACGGACCAATCATTCTCTGATCCAAAAGAACATACGAGCGAATATAATCGGTACTTGCTGTCGCGTTGTCACGTATTGCCTTGTACACTAGAGATCCCACACACTCGCTCACTTCAATTTAAACGCCCGACAAAACTAACTTACCTCCAGAAACGATGAGGCCTTGGTGTACTGTATCCATAGACCTATTCAATCAAAGACGTCAAAAAATTATTGCGGTGTAACCCCGTGAAACGCGTTGACCAGAGCCAGATAACCTACAGGAGGAAGAAGGGGTGGTTACGAATTAGCAGTGGCGGGAACAGCTGGATTTCTTACCAAACACCGGATGCAGTGGCTGTCTTTCCGTTTGCTGTACATACACAATCGTTAACGTAGGAAGGAGTTCAATGGGTTCGGCGTGGAATCGTACTTGAAGAAGTACAGAAAACTGATAGGGAGCGATGTGAGTCAGTTGTGACCTGCATGCGTGGAAGATGGCACCGACATTTGCAGGCAGGATACTCCTATAAAGTTCGTATTAAGCAATGAAAGATTGCAGACTCAGAAATTTGTCTTACCCCAAAGAGCCATAGTGAACAAGACCGATAAAACTTCGATACCAGAAAAACACGAAGAAGTCTGGCTTTGGAGAAACGTAGACTGTGGTGGTAGTCATCGCGTGCAGTGTGCAGCCCGAAAGTGAAGGCGACTTACATTGACAATGATACTCCGGGGAGCTTTTTAAGTACGTCGGTGACATTTTCTAGAAGGCTACTGATTTAGCGTTCCTTTCCCGGTGAATTAGCGGAGACAGGGCGCCGTCAGGTTCTGATTTGCGATATTATTATCATAGGAATCTGTTGAGTCAGGATCTCGAGTGTGGGCCATATTCTCCCTTTTGTCAAACACAGCTACTCGCGAGTGTGCCTCGACAGTGAAGGAGGGATCACTATCATGATGGTATTCCAGCTGGAATACTCTACAAAACACTGTGATGCAGGAGAATGGGGGAGATCAATCGTTGAATCAATCGAAATACTTACCTGATCAAAGCTCAGAGTCGAAGTGACCGACCACTTGTGTATAAGCTGACAAGTCCCGGGAGGCCCGGCTTTGTTAACTTCCTCATGAGATCGCGAGAAGCGGGAGGTATCTGTTTACCTTGGACAAGACAGGTTCAGTGGTGTGCATAGTATTCCAGCAGCTAAATACTGGATTGCGAAGAGCAGGTATGACGTTGAGCTCTCAAAGAAACCTAAAGAAACCCAAGTCCGATCAGTTTGTTTGGGATGCCCCTTCGATTTTTGTTTCGTCAGACTCACATTGACCGCATCTGCTACAGTATACATTGTCCGGTCACAGGAGATACGACATGGCCAAGTAGTGCACGTCACGGATACTAGGTCCATGTTTGCCCCAAGAGGTTCCTCTCACCAGCGATATGTTCGGAATGGCTGCCAGTGGTTTAAGATCAGAATACTACCGCGCTGCGATTCTTCTGGTTCCTTGATCTGCGGTTCGGCGGTCCATAAGATGATCGCCTGGTATTTCTGTTCGATGATATCATGGGACTTGCATTACAAGTATAAAACCATCTTGCTCGGCATTTAGATTCATCTTTGAATGGGTCGAACTCGAGACCATTGACGAAGGGATGATTTATTGAAGTGGTCATTGATGATTCGCGGTTTGAATTGGGGTTGGACACAAGGGCAGGTGTGATTGTAGGGGTATCTGTGCCAACTGGTACCGCCTGTTTCATGAGATTTCCTCCGAGACTGCGTCTGGCGGCATACAGCCAGTCTCCGACATTGTGAATGGCACTCCAAACAAACAGAAGAGTGCTCACGTTCAGTCGCTCAACGTAGTTCCCGTCTCAAAAGTCAACTGTAAGACGCGGTTAACGACGTCTCTTCTGGCCCTTGTCTCTTTGTGCCAGTTTTGTGCATGGGATTACAGCCCCTAGCGAAGAGACGTGAGCGCTTCGATATCTCAATTCGGTCCCCTCGATATAGATCGAACACGAGGTAAATCCCTCTTCCACTCACGAACATTCGACCCGCGGGTTCCCCCTTTGCGAACGACTCGGGAGAGACTTCTCAGTGTTTACAGTCACATGAGCACGATAGATGTTTGTATCTAAAGGAACATTCAACATTCAGCAAATGCTTATAGTAGCTCATGGAAAGCAGAATAATCTTACACGCAAGACCAGTACGACTTGTCATAGGGCGGGAAGGTCCTATCAGTCTAGAATGAAACCTTGGATAGCATCTGCTTTTTCTTTTCTACTAGCGCAGTCCGCACCCAGGACGCCATTGTTACGTTCATTCCGGATTCTTTGCCAGATTGCATGCAGCAAATCCATCCTCGAATACTAGTCTCTTGATCCTATGTAAATCATTGAACATTGAAGCGGAAGCTTGCAGAGAGAACGGAGAAAACGACATTCGGTGCAACGATGACAAAATAGCACACAACAGGAAGGTCCGATGGGGGATCGAAAATGTTGAAATTCACGTGCCCGGGAACAAGCTCCACGCGTTGGGCCTAGACTCTACTCAAAGTTCTGTCGTCAAACCATCGTGGTCTCTGCGTCCACGGTTGCCGGTGTTTTCTCCAGTAACAAAACGCCGACTTTGGTGAGGACCTCGTCACTGACCGTGGGAGAGGAATGTAGACCCTTAAGAATGCGTCTTACACGCGGTTTCCAACCTAACATCCATGCCTTCTACTGTCCAGGACTATGAGAACGACAGTCATTCATTGGCGTCCGATGCCTCTGAGGATGAACGTCATTCAAGGACTCCTCATATCTCCCAGGATCATGGTCCAGAGGCCGAGAATTTGACGCCCCACCCCTGCCGTCGACGGCACAAGTCAAGGCGCAGGACAATGGGCATGGAGCGTCCTGAGTATATCAACAAAGGTGCATCTATTCTTCTCTTCCATGGCCGCCCGTCTCATGAAGAGCTTAGGGAATGATCCATTTGACTACGAAAAGAAATTCCCAGAAGATAAGCAGTACGATGAGCTGGGGTCAGCAGCCAGGGTGTGGAGAACATACCTCGAAGAATGTGCTGCATCTGATGGCGAGATGGCGGAAGGGTGGAGAGACAGGCTAGATGTTCTCCTCGTCTTTGTGAGTACAATTGCTTAGGAATTGAGAATCCTTTCATTGATAGAAGAAAAGGCTGGTCTTTTCTCAGCAGTTGTCACAACATTTGTCGCTCAGACATCACAGAGCCTCCAGGTTGACTACGGTGAGGTCACTACTTCACTTTTAATCGAGCTCATCAATGTCCAACGCTCGGCATCGAACGGTTCCCTCGTAAATGACGTCCCCCGTTCAGACCTCGCTTTTCGTCCCTCAGCATCCGACTCGTGGGTCAATGGCCTGTGGTTCACCAGTCTCTCGCTGAGTCTCACGACTGCCCTATTCGCTGTTCTGACAAAGCAGTGGATCCACCAGTACCTGTCTGTACCATCGGGAACACTGCGCGACAGATGCCATGTACGTCAATTCCGTTACATGGGTCTGGAGCAATGGCGTGTGGATTTCATCATTGGACTCCTTCCTGTCCTGATGAGCGCATCGCTAGCTGTATTCCTTGTGGGACTGGTTCTTTTTATCATCCCCTTACGCGTGTCTATTGCCAGTGTTGTTGGAGCAATCACGTTTATATCATTTTCCGCCTACATTGTCACCAACTTCCTTCCGATCTTATATCCCTCATGCCCTTACAAGACTCCGCTGTCACAATACATATTCTCTCTCTGCACCTATATGGGGCGAACTCCTGGGATCTCCACCGTTCGCACACTAAGGGAGGCTGAACGTACGGCTGTCGACAATTCTGCCGACGAAATGGATGTGCAAGCACTTGCTTGGCTCATTAACGTGTCGTCGAATCCCAGCGTGGAGAACATTGTGATACAATCCATGAGTGCTTTGCCGCTCAAGTCTGTGGATTCTTTCAAGTGCTGTATAGACCATACGAATGTCCCTTTGGCATGTACTCAAGCTCTTGAACCCCTTCTTCGCGAACCAGATGTATCTGTGCACGAAAGTAAAGTGGACCGTCTCATTCGAGCCAAGCTCCGCTTCACAAGCTCTCCTGATATTCTTGGAGTGCCACAACCCGCCAAAGACTGCTTCTCCCCTACCCTCTACGCAGAGCTTCTGTGTATTCACCCAAATTCTCGAGAGGAGATCCGGGAACTGGTCATATCCAACCTGAAAGCCGTAGACAATGACCCTACAGCTCTTCACCTACAGCCCATAGTATGGGCACACCTCCTTCAGCAAGTCTCATACTACGTCCCTGATAACCTTGAAGTAATGCAGATGTTGTTCACTGTGATACCATCGTTCTATTGGAAGGCCCACTATGTTCCCATTACCTATGCCCTCGAGACTTTCGGAATGAAAATCTCCTACGGATCCGGCGATGGCGAAGTGACCCTTCGGATGGCGATTCAGAGGTCTTTGTACATATATGTCGCTGAGGAAATACTTCACCGTCACATGCGTTCTGAGCCCATCATTTTCCGCCAGAATGACAGCGACGTACTTTCCTATCAGTATTCGCGACTCCGTCTTCTCTTGAGCATGGCCGGCTCACGCTCTATGCGAAGCATGCCCGTCTCTCCCTTTACTTCTAATCAAAGTTTGTTCATCAAGATAGTGCGAGGCATTGGTGACTTCCTGGGTATTGCATCACCGGACAAGGCTACAGCTGCTGTCCCCCTGGACGATATCGATAATCGTTCAACTGTCCTGATATCTCTATACACACTGATCTCGTCCTTTGAATTTGACCGTCCTTTAACCCCTTACGAGCAAACATTTGCCTTAACGATGTTCTTTCGTGTTCTAAATTCCACGTTCCCTCATCCATCAATCCTCGAGAAAAATTGGTGCATGCCGCAACTGGCCACTAAATCTGTCCGAATCGCTTTGAAGGATTTTCGTAATCCTACCCATGAACTCGGTACCTATTTTTTCCAGCACACTTCTTTCACGAACGAGGCATTGGCTTCTTTTGTATCGAGTCTCTTTGAACAACTGCGTACAGAGATCGCCAATAGTGCTCTACGGACATTTTTGCGCCTGATCATCACCGGGCTGGGATCCGAAGATTTGGGTGTTCATATACGCCAGAAATCATTGGAATACTTGCATGAGCCTGACAATCTGTTCACCTCTTGCACTGCCCTCATTCGGTGGGATGACACCAAGACTCTTCGTCGTCTCGCTCTCCTCCATCCGGCAGCCGCCGCCTGGCTCGGCTGTCTACAGCGGCTGGAAGACTCTGGAATAGAAGAATCACTAGTCATCGATTTCAAGGCGTTTATCCAAGCTGGGCGTGTGGGTGCATTTGGGGAGGATGACACGGCATCTTCCAGTTCTGTAGGATCATCTCAGGGAGAAAGCGACAACTCTCTGCAGCATCCCTGGTCAACGGTGTGGCATAGGGTCCAGCGGTTTCTTGCAGGAAAGCCTAGTCGTGAGATAGAATCATCGAGTAATGACAACAGAGTGTAGTCCTATGTAATGTCCTGACGATTTTATGCTAAATAACATTTCAGAGAGCGTGCGCAGCACATTGAGATGGGCATACAATGTTCCCTCTGAAACCCTCAAATACGTTACCTAGGTGGCCTGTCATTTCCTCGTACCTTAGCCGCCCGGAACTAGTCGCCACAATCATGGTACTGAGCACGTCAGGGAAGGGGGTAGGAGTATCAGCTTTCCGTGATTTGTAGGTCCTTGCATTGAGACGTCGAATATTGCCGTCACAGCCGAATCAGTGCACGCTTAAAGGCAAGGTGGCCCTGTCATTGGTTCAGGTAGCGGAGCTCAGAACTAATTATGTATCACAAGATTCATAAGTCATACTATTTCCAAAATCCTGACTAGCGGGAGATAGGAAGTCGTGCAGCGCGCGCTGCAGATTTCGCGAGCGAATCTGCTTCGTAATTATCCTCTCGTCCGATCTTCCAGAACCCCACTTGAATTCCCATCATCTCATAGTGCATAACAAGATCATCCAACTCGGCGAAAAGATCAATGTTTGTAGGCTCCACCCCTTGGGAAGTTTGCCACGAGTTTCTCTAGATGGCTCGTGTTTAGTGGTCTCGATCAACGATATTCAATCACGCACCTTCCACTCTGGCAGCCATTTCGTCATACCATCAACTACGTAGCGGGAGTCCGTGACGACGATGTATTTGGGAACGAATACATACATCCCCAGGGAGTTGACGTTGAGGTGAGTCTTGTAGGCAGTACTGGCATGCTTTCTAATGTTTTCAACATTATTCCTCTCCACCTCGTTGATATTCCTCAGGCCATGAATGGCGGCCAGCAGCTCTGCTCGTTGACTCGTCCTGGACTTGCCCCAATCGATGGAATCGTCAATTGGGATACTCCATCGATACTCTGACGCAGCTCCCATGGCAATGCCCATACCTGAGGTCGCATTGGGCCGGCCATTGTTGGAGCAGGCACCGTCGGTGAAGACGAGCCTGAAATCATGACAGGGATCGGCGTTTAACCCATTAACATCGCAGGGACAGATAGCAAAGTATCGCGTACAGTGAACACATATGGCACGAATACGGAGGCTTGGGTAGGGGATGAACTCGCGGTTGATGATCCTGGCCATGGTCGTTGTTGCGGACTGCAAGACGGCAAGAATCAGTATTACAAGTACACCTCTATAAGGATAACGGAAGTGGCTGTGTTGGCGGAAGTGAGCTCACTCAGAGCGGCTGTAGTCATCGGCGTCGTAAAGGGGTACTCTCGACTACTCAGGAACCCGACACATTTTTATCGTCTTGCACCTCAAACGCACAATGACCGGCTTCTATGCGCTAGTCTCTACGCAAGTGACTTGGAAACGACGTGTTTTCCTTGGGCGTATTACCGACGGTCAGGTCCGGAACCATGGAGCAAGTCGCGTCCGTTGCCAGCGAATAATGAGAAGGCAAGATAATAACAAGTTATCTGAGACACGCGTACGCTTTAGGGTCGATCTAGATTTTTTACGTTTGGAATACTCGACGAAGACGCGTGATAATTCACCCAGGGTTTGGGTTCCCCTTTGCTCAATACTTCTACGCTGCTCGTCTGGAGACTACAGTGAATAATACAAACGCAAGTGAGGAAGCTTGCGTACGCTCCAAACAGTAAGGGTAGTCGCCTGACTTTCGGACGAATCGACGATCGTGGTACGCGAATGCTCGGTGCACCCCAGACGCCGAACTTGGATCAATGAGGAAAGCCAGAATTGCGCAAAATACAGGCTTCGCTGCTAGCGCTGGGTGAGAATGCCTGATGTTAATAACATACCTAGTAAATCACATGAAAATGACATGTATGTAACGTTAAAAACATCGAAGGGTCCCAGCAGTGGTGTGAAATTCTGTGAGAAACTCCGGTGGGATGAGCCTACGGAACGGCCTCTTCCAAGGCTCCAAGCATCATCGGTCACTAAGATGACTACTTCTAGGTGGTGTGCTTGTTGTCGTGCACCATGATAAATTTCGATTTACCTTTGATTTACCTTGTATTCATACATATATGGTCATTTCTGACCGCGTAGCGAAATAACAGGAAAATCATACGTTTTTAACATGTTATTTACGTGTTAAAAACAAAAAAACTTTCCGCGCTGCGCGCGATGATGTCATGGGAAACTCACAGTTATTTACATGTGAGGATGAACCTCACATGGGGGGTGCAACCATTGTCACGTTAAATACTTTGCCGAAAAGCATTCTCACCCAGCGCTATTCGCTGCAAAACCCTGGCAGTTTTGGTCCTGAACGATGACGACGATGCATATTTGGCTGCACGAGCACGTGATCCGAACGCGCATATATACAGCCAGCCAAAGAGAGCGCGCCTCTTATCCTTCTACCCCCAACATTGTTCAGGTTCTAGTCCGTCTCGCCGTTCCTAGCCCTCATCTCGTTCTAGGCGCTTTTATTCCTCAACCACAATACATATCTACCTCCTAATCGCCCTTCCTCAGCAAGATGTATTTCGCCATACTCGCCTTTCTCATGCTCGTCGTGGCGTATGCTGCACCTTTGGATTCTACATCGCTTCCAGCACCCAGTACAAACAACTCGCCTAACAGCCACGTCGCAAGCAATCCTGCCTCGAAACACACAGTGGCTCCTACTCTATATACGGACTCTTCCCCGCCGGGCACCAAGAAAGCCCGCTCCATACCCATGGTGATGCAAGCCCGTGCACTTGAGACGCTCTCACACAGCCGGATTGAGAAGATACGCAGGTCGATGATTGATAGGGACGAGGGCAGGGTAGAACAGAAGGCGAGTCCAAGTGCGCGCGCGCACAGGAGAGAGGAGCCTGGGGAAGAGCTATTGGAAAAAACGGTTGAGAAGATAAAAAGCGGGTGGAACTCGACGACCTCTGGGCAGGAAAACAAGGGCACTCCAGGATCACAGATTCATCCAGGGGCATCCTCAACTGGCGATAGCGCCGTTCAGAAGGGCGCTACAACACTTCAGCACCGTACCCGAGACCATAGTTCCGATAACTCGGTGTATCCACCCGTCTCTTCCATTTCTTCACGCCAGCTTCGTGCACCTGATTATAGCTCTGCCGGATCTCAGTCCAACTCTACCACCGAGGAGAATGGCTCGCAGTCGACTAACGATCAAGAGACGAAAGAGAAGCGCACACTTGACCCAAATGGCACGGTTACGAAGAGGACGGCGCCCGTCGAGTGGTCGAAAAATTGGTCCAATGATCAGGCGCCTACTGGGACTGAACGCGAGAGGGCTCCCTCGAATGATAACGCTGACCCGACTTTCAAGACCGCGCAGAGGGATGCAAGAAGCCTGTTGGCTGCGAGATCGGGCGACGATATCAAAGCACAGGGCGTATCAGCTTGAGGTGGTGGTGTGGATTACATGGCTGTATGTGTACTTTTGGGATTTGGGTTCATTACTATCTTGGCTGTATATTCTCGGGATTCATTTAGCGCGTTAAGTACAAGGTTTACGCTTCGGTGTCGTAAGGAGGTAATCCCCATTCTTCCGGAACGAAATCTTCTATCGATTTGAGCATTGCGTCGGCCTTCTCCTCGCCGACATATTCCACATCCAAGAGATTGGCATCAGGTATCCATATCACTTAGAGTATTCGTCAGCACAACAAGCGAAAGTAAAGCAAGGCGTCGTACCATTCATCCCGGCCCGCTTCCCAGCTTGCATCCCGGGCAGCCCGTCTTCAAACACGAGTCCTTTGCGACGTTCTGCCTCGTGCGTTTCGGAAATCTCGCTCCTCGCTTCACCTACATTTCGGTGGAGCATCTCCCTGGCAGCAACCAAAAAGATATCAGGCTCAGGCTTCCCTTTCATGACCCATCTTTCATCGTCCGCGCATACTACGCGGCCATCGAAGCACCTAAATATCTCTTGTAGGTGACCCGTCTTGAGTTCGTAGTTCCTCCGTCTCGATCCCGTGGCGACGGCCATAGGTATCTTGTGTTTCTTGAGGTGCAAAACAAGCTTGCGAACACCGGGAAGGAGGGGAACTGTAGGCCACATAGCGTCTTGTAGGGTGTTCCGTTGTGTGAGGTACGATTCGAGTGTGAGTGAGATGCCGGGAAAATGTGATAAGAGATGTTCAGCAGCTGCCCTTTCGGCTGAAGGTGAGGTTAGATGAGAACTAGATACTTATTGGGAGGAACACGTACGTTTACCCATACATCCAGCTTTGATATCCCAGGTCATCTCGCAGCCGTAGGGCGCTAAGATGGCATCTGAACCGCGCTCGTGTCAGTTTGGCCTTGCTGAAATCCCTTTCCAAGAAGCGTACTGGTAACATCGGTGTAGATCTTCTCAGAGTCAATCATTAGGCCTGCCTTGGGAATTGCAGCTCGAGGGAAAACGGAGAGCGATGGGTAGGAGACTCACCATCCATGTCAAAGAGAACGTATTCAATTTTGACCATCTTGAATTATCCACGCAATTACAGAATATACGGATTATCAGAGGTTGCCAGTGTTAGTGTTGGTGGGGTATCCGAGAAGTTGAATTTGAATTTTGCTGATATTGTCGCGATTGGGTATAAGCACGTGGCCGATATGCTCCTTGCCTTAACATGTTATTTTCATCAAGATTCTGCACCTTCTCGTCTGGCCCACCTACGTTCCTTTTATTATACTTCCTCTTAATCCCTTTTTCCATCTCTCACCCATTTCTCCACCAACCTTATCGCTTCAGCATCATGACTCGCAAATTTCTAGAGAAGGGAGAGGCTGATGGCAAGCAGGAACAAACACTGCAGTCATCCACTGTCTACCGCATTTGGAGAGAAGATGCACATTTTCATTTCATGGCACCCTTTGACCTGGATGCGTGCATAGAACAGCTGCTGCGAAAACAGCCCCTGCACGAGGCACTGCTGAGAGAAATATGTGAGAAAACGAAGGAGGTCCTGATGTGGGAATCCAATGTAGTACATGTCAATGAACCCGTAACTGTAGTGGGGGATATCCACGGGTGAGTCACTGTGCATTATCTTTTCCTAATTGCGACCTTTGATCGGTTATGCAAGTCAGTTCTATGATCTTGTAGAAATATTCCGGATAGGTGGATATGCGCCCAACACGAACTACCTCTTCCTTGGTGCATTTTGCATCGCATACTGCCCCACCTCGCCGTTCACGTCTTTTCTAGGTGATTACGTCGACCGAGGGCTGTTCAGCGTCGAAACAATCTCTCTATTGACGTGCTTGAAGCTACGGTACCCCGATCGAGTCCAGTTAATAAGAGGAAACCATGAATCACGCGCTGTCACTCAAGTCGGTGGCCTCGTTGACTTTCCTAAGCGCCCTTCTCACAGCCGTCCCAGACGTACGGGTTCTACGCTGAATGCCTCCGGAAGTATGGTAATTCACACGTCTGGACATACTTCACCGACATGTTCGACTTCCTGACTCTGTCGGTGGTCATTGACGACCGAATATTCTGTGTACACGGCGGTGAGAAACTCCCATCATTCATTATGCTCTGCACATGGACACGATGGGCTAATTCTATTTTTCCAGGTCTGTCACCCTCTATACATTCAATAGATCAAATCAAAGTCTATGACCGCTTTCGAGGTGCGCGGCTGGCCTTCGGCACCTAATCCGTTCACTGACGCTTCGCAATAGAGATACCCCATGAGGGTCCTATGGCCGACCTCGTCTGGTCAGATCCCGATCCTGAGAAAGAGGATTTCGCAATCTCTCCAAGGTGCGTAACATGCTTCCGTTTCTGACTCAATTCCTCAATCAAGGGCCGTTAGAGGGGCTGGATACACATTTGGATCCGGCGTTGTCCATAAGTTTCTCGAGATCAACAACATGTCGCATATCCTCCGTGCCCACCAGCTATGTATGGAGGGCTATTCCTTTCTGTTCGATAAGCATCTGTCGACGGTATGGTCCGCCCCCAATTACTGCTACCGATATGGGAACTCGGCAAGTATATTGGAAGTTGGACCGGGAGGATCCATGTATTTTAACGTGTTCAAAGCCGCACCCGAGAACGAAAGAGACGGACCGAGTCAGCAGGCAGCTCAGAATGCAGGAGGTAAAGTACGTGAATCCATCCTCATGTCTGTCTGTTGTTTCAGAAATTGATTTTATTTTTGTAACACCCTAGCCTCCGGAGTATTTCTTGTAAACGCCCATCCGGCACCACCCACGCGGTATCATGCATTGCGCTTTTTTGTAGTCTACGGATCTGACGATACAAGTTGTACGTACCACTCAATACTCAGGGTCGGGGAATGAGGTCTTACGAATATAACTTTCTAATTGTTTGCCCGACGTTGATTGCCCAAGTTTCGTTGCGGAGTCATACGGAATAAAGAGACGAAATTAGATGATGGCAGGATGAATGGGTTTTTGGCGTGCCAAGATAGATTATGACGGTTACTAACTACATGAGAATGCCTGCAATAGAACGAGACCCTTGGGGGAACGCAATAGCCATCGGCGAGACCATAACCTCACCGCTAACGCGAATATCCCCAGCCAAAAACAAGCCATGATTTGCCGTCGCCATCGGAGCCATAACAGCAACATCAAAGTCTTTGCTAGATCTCGCTTACGGCGGCGCCCACGGTACAAGGATGCAGATCTCCCCGTCACAGAGACTGGATAACCAAAGAATGGGTTAATCATAGACGTCGGAGAAAGGGGCGATGACTCGGGTATAGGAGATAAATCAGTGGTTTCCGCGGTAGAGAATGACTGAGGCGAAGGGGATATTTGTCTTCCTTGTGAGGGATCACAGATAGTTGACAAAGGCTCCAAGACCCCGCCATAATCTATCAAAATAGTCAACTCGTGTACGGGAAATATATTAGCCATATAAATGCCTTGTGGTAAAGCTGAAGGTGTGAAGTAGCTGATAAGCTCTTCCTGCTTAGGGAAAAAGACTCGAGAGAGTGCATTGGCCGGGAGAAGACGCCTACATAGGTTGTCAGTTGAGTCGCATCGAAAGTGTGAACTTTATTTGCTAGCTACTAACTTTGCTACGCTCCAGATGCCCGAGTGAGTCCATGAGAAGTTTATCATGAAAACTATAAACGATGTTAATCACCGAGTCGAAAGAACGTTTCGGTTGCGGTACCTGCTGACAGCATTCCCGGGAACCGTGGTATGACGTCGGATAACAGCCAAGAAACAAGGTCAAAACTCTATACATGGGTTGTCAAACCTTGTGTCACGACAGATTCGAAATACCCACGATGCTTTGCATAGATAGACCCTTGAGGTCGAGAAGCAAGACGTACTGCAGAGCAGGACGCCCTTCTACCTCGTTTCTGTTGACTTCTTGCAGGTGACATCGAAGACACTCTAGAGTACGGTAGACGACTCCTTTGTACTCGTCCAAGCAGTAGTTGAATGGGGCGAATTTGAGTATGATGATAGGTCTTCCTAGAGGATCTGTTCTCTACTAGGTTGTAAGTTCCGGGTGTACTTGTTCTGGAAAGTGTTTAGTATACTCACCCTGAATAGATGGAAGATAGAAACTGGGTGTCAAATCAGCATTTTATCGTTTAAATGGGCGGAATCAATTCGACTGACAGGTATCGTTTAGCCATTCCTTCGCCCAACTAGTTTCTAAATCGCCAAGGTGGAGCTCGTCGGACACAGAAGGCAGTATGTCGTTGATCAACGTCTCCTGCAGAGCGCGGACATCGCGCAAGTTAGCGTGATACTGTTCCAGGAGTTTATCGCAGTTGGTCTTAAGTAGAGCGTGAATATCCATGACATTTCCAAGCAGACTTCAGCGGCGGCGGCAGCGAAAGAGGAGCTCGTTGTCAGTGACGGCGACAGCAGAGCAGATGAAAATCCTGGGGTAACTCAGTGTCGTTGGTAGCAAGTGCGACAATTTGCATGTGATTGCGATGACGTAAGCATCCCTTTTCAATGCCAACGCCCAACTTGGACGCGTTGAACACAATAATGGGTACATCGACACACAGCGCATGGGATTTCATGTATTTCCTCCTTCTGAAAGGGGGCGTGGAGCCGTAGCGCTGCACGACATCCCGGTACGGAGTGTCGGTTTGTACAACAATCTCTACCTCAATTTTTTTCAGGAAGGTCATACATTGTTCACGATACCGAGATCACTCGTAATATCAACACGAACGTCTCTCCTACCTGCACATATTGGGCCGGATGAATGGAAAAGTAGGCAATTGGAACGAGGTTGGTCTGGATTAATTCTTTGTATGATGTATATATCGAGAGAAGAAGGGAACTCAGATAGCACCAACCAAGGACACTACAAAACTTAACGTTTATGGTATACCACCCGCAAGAAGATGAAAGCGGCCGAAGCAGAGCAAACCTCGGAGACGAATCCGACGGCTGCATGATCACCCCCATACTCGCAAATATATCGAATTCCAAGCGCCACCGACCTTCAGTCGACTCTCGATCTGTCTAACCGACGTTTCTCAGGCGCATATAGTCAGGCCTTCTGTGACTGCTGCACTTGAAAATGCGCCTTCATCAATCGACAGGGAAGGCCCTCGAAGTCCGGCCCAACGATCTGTGATGAAGGCGAGAGGAACTGGGTGCTTAGCGGAGTGAACGCGAGTTTTGCCCACAGGTACGGCATGATGAACTGTCGCAGTCGGCGCTGATGGAATCGTGTGCAGATGAGTTGATGCTGAGCACATGCTGCAGCCTAACCCGACGCTCTAACTATATGCCAAAGCGCACGTCCCGTCCAGCTTGCCCCTCGTGTCTCGAGTTCTCTAGACGAAGCGGCGGCTCAGCGGAGCTCCTCGGTGCAGTTTCTAGATGGTCACCCATAATCTGGTCACTGCTATCAGCCTGTATCTTCACTACCGGATGACGATATAATGCTCGGCGCCTCGTCCGTCTCCAAGCGGACGAGTACGTACTCTCTATTGGTTAATCTCATACAACTTGACGCAATGAGGCAGGAAACCGCGTTACCGATCTACGAAGAAGTGCCCAGTCTTTGGGAACACGCAGCCTCAGGATCGTGGATGGACACTAACAAAGGAAGCTTAGGCCTTTTTCCCTACTTCGCCATCATCATTCAACAACGACGATGTCCAGACCGGAAAATTCACAAGTCGTCCCTCAAATGTCAGTCAGACAAGCCATCTTGCGCTTTTTCCGCGGTCAAGAATTTATACGCCTCGAAAACCGTGTACGTCAAAGCATACAAGAAGGCGTGGTTCACCTAGCGTCGATGTCATGCAAGAATTCAGCCCTTCATTGACAGATGTGGCGGACGACGAATGCTAGTTGGATGTTGACGTCCAGCCGAAAGCAGCAGCAAAACAGCTAGTGCTCTGTGTCAACAGTTGCGCTGACATGAGGAAGCCCGTCATTACAGTGGTCCAGGAGCATGGTCGTCTTTCATCAAGCGTGTGAAAGCTTTGATCAGCCAACAAGCGTGAGTGTATTAGACGTACCGTTTGTTGGTGAAAATAACAAGCATTTCTAGATCGCTTTTGGCGGATGGGCTGTGTCAACGTATTTCGAATCATTGAATAACGTGTGCTGTGAATTGTCTGCAATGCGCAACGTCAACGCCGGTAGCGAACTTCTATAGCCCATTTGATCAAGCTAATGCAGGTGCCCATTTCTAGTATATTGCCGTCATGTGGAATATACAACGTCTATGAAGGATGCTCTTCCGGATTAACGTGTGAACCAGGTGTCGCTGAACCTTATTTGTAAACGTTTGCGGAACAGAAAGACGACGAGGGTTCGCTTGGGATGAAAGGGTGCCACTGTTGCTGCTTCTTCTGCTTCTATGTGAGTGTTTTCGCTTGGTGGGAGCAGCAGTGTTAACCGATCACCCGCCAGTTATAGGGAGAACGAAAGAATGGGCGCCTCGACTTTGATTGACCAGTGCAGTGGTGGTACGTGGTTGTTCATTGCTGGTCCCAATCGTTGGTGGACGTTTGGTGACGATGGCTAGCATGCGCTGGGAGTGTGACGAAGCCACAATTCACCATCATTGATGATGCGATGGTCTTCTACGTTCGCGCGAGAACCTTCGAGCATGCGATGCAGTCTTCGTCGAGAGTTTCGAACTATTGAAAGAACGAGAGCGAGTGGTGGAGGAATCGTGATCACAAGGACCCTGATCAAGCTCAGTGAGATGGCTCTGACCTCTTCATTGGCGGAGAAATTTTATTATTTGGGGTCGCAGCCGGTAAATCTGATCGACGACGTCGACAGTTAGTGATTAAAGCCAGTACGGCGTGCAAAAACTCCCGGAACCATGTGCCCTCGCTATCCTACGAGTGGTCCGGATACGCGGGGGTGAATAAGCTTTCAATGTCGACTTGTGAGGGAGACGAAATTGGAATATGACATGCGCACATGGTGGCTCATTTCCGAAACACGGAAGAAGAGCATTCACGTAGCCTGGGATCGTGTTTTGGGCGCGATAACAGGACACTGTAGAGAGAAGGAAGTGGAAATGGGCGAGGATTGGATCTGGTTGCTGCGTTTGCCTTAAAGTGCGTGGTCTCGGGGGCGCTGGGGGCGAGCATAGCCCAAGGTTGCTCCGTGTCGACAGCATCATTTATGGTGATGGATTTAATGCACCGACATCTCCATCGATCTTGCTCCGAATACTTCCTTCGGTCCCGTCCTTGGAGGTTTTCTTATTGTTTGTTGGTTGACAGAGGCTTCCGAATGGCTAGCTTAGACGAAGCGTCCCGGTCAAAAGCATCCTCCACCTCCCGAGACACTCCTATTTTCCATCGTTACGGCATCATTTCAATATCACCCTGGCGGCTTTCCCTAGGACCCTTCTTTTGAGATCAAGAAACATGGCAGGTGGTTGTCAGGTTCCCGTTCGCAGCTATTCTTGAGCCGGCTCGTGATCTCCATTCTTTTCTACTTGATGTCCATTTAAGACCCAAAGGAATCGAATGGACCAATTCTATACTATTCCTTCCGGGCAACCATGAACCGTCTAATGTCGAGATTCTGGATAGGGCAGGGACCGTCTAGTGCGCTTTTTCTTTGTTGTCTCTATGGTTTCAATCTGACTGATTGTATTAAGACTGCTTACCAGAACTCCCTCAAGAGTTAATCGACCTTATCATCGATGAACTTCAGGCAGACATACACACTCTCCGAGCCAGTGCCCTCGCGGGCCGCGTCTTTCTCCACCGTGCACGCACGCACCTCTTTCGACAGCTGGTTCTAGCACCGCCATTGTCCGCCTCTTCGTTGAAGAAGTGCCGTCCGCTCTTCTCATCGCCACCACCATCCATCTTGCGATACGTTAGAAAACTGAGATTGATCGGTTTAGGCAGTCGCGGCAAGGAACAATGGGACCCAACGGAGTTTCACGGCATTCTCGATGCTCTCGTCAATCTGCGAGAGTTATCCATTGTCAACGTCGATGCCTTGGTACTGAAACTGGTACAAACAGCACTATCTTCGAAGCCGTTGGATACCTTATTCCTCAACGTTCTGAGGTTCGAAGACAGAGATGGATTCTATAACCTCATACGGAGCTTCTCCCGGTTGAAGCATTTCAGTTTACATCAGTTTCAATGCGATTCGTCATCTTCATCGCCTTCGTCATTGATAATTCCGAACGAACTCGACACGCTTGAGTTGGCATATCATTCCTATGGGTCGGACGTGGCGGAAATGCTCGTGGACTCGAGGTCATTACGTGGACTGAAGACGCTCGTTGTAAGGCCCGCGAGCACGGATGACCTGGAGAGTATTGGGAGCATCTTAGACGCGACTAAAGATTCATTAGAGAGGCTGGACGTTGGAGCGATGCGGATGATAAGTCGGCCAGGCACGTCACCTATTGATATAACAATGCTTACCCCGAATGCTCATCAATTACAGATGGCCTCCCGAGTCTCAACCTGCGTCATCTCCAGTCTCTATTATTGTCAATATCAGACAGTCCTGTTCATCAGCCGTTATTCCGATGGTGGACTGATACGCTCAGCGTTTCGGACGGATCGTATCAGCTAGAGGAACTTGTCATCAATGTTGGAGTGCACTTTTATGATGCGGATGTTGAAGAGAGTGATGTATCCTCTCATTTCTTCGCCGAGTCTTCTCAGTGGGCGGAGCTGGATAAGGCACTTACTCGGTCGCAAATGAGGGAACTAAGGAAAGTTTTGGTACGAATACAACTCAGAGAGGGTGGGGAGGGTGCGATATCGATGATGCGGACGTTAGAAGACGTCATTCGGAAGAGCCTTTCGCGTCTGAGCAGGCAAAGCCTTCTTGAGGTCGAGGTGACCGGTGTGTAGTTCCTAGTAAAGCCTACATTCACCGTCACTCATTGGTTCACTTTTCTTCTCAGACTGTTTACATCGACCAGGGATGCGCCAAGCCTGAATAATGATAATCACAGCGTGTATCAATGTATTTCTGCAGAGCTGGCACTTCTAGGCATTCTTGTTTGCTATTTCTGTGTGCACAGTCGGTTTCCATCACCTCCGAGACCTATAGTGGATTAAAGTGGGTGTTAGTAGGCACAACTGGTTCGCCGATCTACCCTCCGCGTCTGCTCCGCAGTCAGTTCGTTTCATTTGCCAGGAACAAGTGCCAGTCCCGCGAATCTTCAGCCTTGCGAACTTGGTCCACGTCAAAAAGTCGTGTATCACGAAAGAAGGCGTTCATCGTCTACTGGTGGCTGTCCACGGAGGGTTCCGTGCTCGTCCATTTTCTTATTTGGATTCCATTCTCTCGTAGGCTTGGTATGCAAGTCATTAAATGTTCGGCAGCAGCAGCAGGAACGGCAGATGGAGATTATGACAGCCTTGAGACACAAACGATATGGACAGCACGCTCGACTAGGAAATCGATACTCGGATGTTTTGAACGTACTCAGGACCGACGTTCCGGTTGAGCCGCCGCACCAGGACTTTCTGTTCGCTCCGCTCCAGACATGACGAACGCGCCGTTCGCTTGTGGCACACTGTCATGATATGGGGTCCGAATCAATAGACAGGAACTACTAAAATTATGCTCCCCGCACCAGAACGAAAAAAAATTGGGGTTTTCGCTGTTAATAACGCTATCGATGGTAGTAAATTGTCAGAACGAGCAGGCCACGTACAGCAGAGGGGTTGGCAGGGAAGCGGAAGTACCCATGTTTCTTGATACAAAAAATAGTCGAACCATTCCTGTGAAGCATTATTGGTGTATTCAACATTATTGACTGCAAATCATCACGCGATTGCAGAAAATAATTAAGAATAATGCAACGACAATGACAGGACGCCGTTTTTTCTTCTCATGACAACCCATTTTATTAAATAAGGAAGAGAAGAACGGTGATCAAATCAAGGCACCGTCGCACAAGTCGCTGGGGCTAGGACGGAAGAGAGCTTCGACCGCTTGCGCGATATCTACAGCTTTTACACGGCTAACGCCTAAACATGCGCATGTGTAAAAGGATATGAAATGTAGGATATAAATTATTAAACGAAATGTCCGATATTACAGTACAGTGGTTGTGAGGCATCTAGTGGCAACATTGCCAGTCCCGTACTTTTGATTTGACTCTACTAACAATCACGGCGGCGATATCGACGCGCGCCTGAACCTCCTCGGCATCCTCTCGGCAATATTTGTAGTAGTACGGTCCGGCTTGCGATAGCTGATTCCAAGTGTGCTCACAAGCAGCGTGATACCCGTGAACAGAATGAGAGGACCCTAAAACAGCAAGGTCAATGCCAATACCCCACACGAACGAATAGATGCCTACATAACCCTCCAAGCTGTAGGGGAATATCGATTTCCCCGTGAACGCCCAAGGGTGCAACAACCCGGACGAGATAGGCGTCGAAAGAGCGTTCCCCACTCCTCGTCCAGCCATGAAGATGCCCATCATGATAGATGCCTGGTGGGGGTCGTCGCCTGCTACCGTTGATATGAAACGGGGCCACATTGCCGACCAGCTAGGGGCCAGGAAACCGTAGATGCAGGCAAAGACGAGTAATGGCGCGATGTGGGTGGTGAAGCCCCAGATGAAGAGGACAGCGAGAGATGAGCCGAGGGCGGAGATGAAGATTGATATGCGCAAGTCAAATCGGTCGGAGAGGTAACCTATGAAGATCAGACCGGGAGCAGAGGCACCTGCAGAGTGACTTTAGTCTGATGCAGTAGATCTTGTAGTATTGCGCATACCGTTCATTAGGGATAAGGACCAGGTTCCAACTGAGGTCGCATTGTTCAGTCCTAGATCCGTCGCAAAGGCTAGGAGAATATGAGAAACAACTTGCCTAGAAGTATAAAGTAGACCTACTTGGTAGATACAACGTAGGCAAGAATGTTCCCAGTCCTTGAACCAAGTTTGCAACGAACAGGACCCAGAAAGGGTGGCACTTGAGGAACTGAGTGTCTATCGGCCTTTGATGGACGATATGAGATGCCGGGACACGAGGTTTGATGTATGGGAACGCGGGGAGCACGAGGAGAGCAAAGCTGGTCGCCAAGGCTAGCATTGTTACCTTGCGTCCGTACTTATTGAGCAGTGCTTCAGTGATAATTGGCATGACGACACCACCAACACCTGGATTATATGCATATTAGCTAGTGCAAGGTAGGTCAAAGGCATCAGCATACCAGTGCCAGAAAAGATAAGTCCATTTGCCTGCACAGATTTTGTTTTAGTTCTCTATCCTGCTTTAAGACCAAAGAGACTTACCAATCCTTTCTTGTCCGAGAACCACTCAAAGAGGCATGTCATGACGGGAAAGTAAAGGAAACCTGAGCGAGATCAGGCACGGTCCTTTACAACCCTGCTTGATGACTTACTTCCACCAATCGAATACATGACGCCCTGAGTGAGAACAAGCATTTCCGGAGTGTTCGAAAATGCAGCCCCGATCAGTCCCGCGACACTCAACGCCAAGCCAGCATACATCATCTGCTTCTTCCGTGCCGGATACCGTGCGATTACAGGAAGAATCACTATCGATGAGAGGTATATCAGTCCCGTTGAAAGAGACCCCACAAGCGCAAGGAGCGTAGACGACGAGTCTTTGAACTCGTGTGAGTAGTAATTGAGGAAAACACCATAGGAAAAGGGATAAGACCAGACGAGGAGTTCGACGATCCAGGCGCTGATCATGTAGGCCCAAGCATCGAAACCGCGATCCTGTTGAATGGTGAGATGATGCTTGGATGCGATAAGGGTGGATACCAACCATAGGCGGCAAAGAAGTCGCGTTGAGAGGTGCTTCATCAGAATGTTCAGTATTGTCCTGTACAAAATTCGACTGGGATGTAGAAGGCGTAGGACGAATATCTTCGAGTTCAAATGTTTCTTGCCCTACTTGATTGACGCTGCAGTGCTGGTTAGGAATATTAGGATCAAATAGGCACGACACACACCTTGCATTTATGGAGCCAGTTTTCGTAGACATGGTGGTATTTGTGCGAGAACCCTCTTTTTCCGTTGAGTCATGTTTTTTTTTTCTCTGTCGGAGCATTTCCGAATCCCGCCCGGATGATCGCTCTTCCGCAATAATGGTGAAACGAGCGTTCAGTAGCTGAATATTCATTGGGTGAGCCACATTATTCGAAAGAGTTGGTCTGGCGGCAAAGTTCGAAAAAGCAGAACTCGGAGACCATAGGCGGTTTGAAAAAGAAGTCCTCAAGGATCACCAGTGACGAGGCCTGCCAGTATCGGTCGTCATGGTTAATTCAGGCAGTATTGCAACATTGCCTTCTGTGACCTTGCAACATACGGGCTGGCGGCGGTGGGCCAGCATAATGATGTCGCGTCACGTACCCAACGGCGAGGTAGCGAAACGCGAAGATGCGATGGTAGCCGTGTCATCATAGATGCCGTCGTTACCGTCATCATCGTTAGTGGTGGTGATTTGTGGAGTCGTGCCATGTCGCGTGTTAGTTCGTGAATTGTAGACGTCAGTGACTGTCATCCTTGCTGTCAGGTCCTAAGTGCAATTAGGATTCACGTGGTGGCAGTGCTGGACCGAGTCGACCATGACCAAAGGACCAGATGACGGCCACCGACTCCGTTCTCCCCCTCACTATGTCTTTTTGTTGTGCTCTGGCTCTAGGCTGCGATAATGCTATCAAAAGTTATATGTCGGGGTGATTGTTGCGCGTATATCGAGCATGTATCTCCAAATGCCTTGTCCATCGGACTCGGAATCAAGGACATTGACACTGCAGCCTCGTTGGCAGTTGCATCGATATTCTTGCTTCCCACTTCCAAGTCCGCAGAAATGGTGGCCACCATAGTGGAATATGTGATTTTTGATATGGATGGCAAGTATCCCTTGATAAAAATATGCCAAAACCTCACCCGTTTGTTTGCAGGATTGCTGATTGATACAGAAAGGATTCATATGGAAGTGACCAGTGCGTTCGATGAGCTCCTTACATCGCATGTTGGACTTACATTACACCAATAGATCAGATCCTGGCGCAGCATGGCAAAGAGATGACCTGGAACATCAAAGCAGGGTGCATGGGCAAACGTGCGTCTAGCTCAATCTTTTACTATCAAATCTAACAATTATTGAATAGCCGAGAGAGCATTGGCTGAGCACCTTCTCTCTTTCTTTCCCTCAATCTCACTATCCGTCGATTCCTACATCGAACAAAAGAACATCCTCATAGACAAACTCTTACCCTCTGTCCCCCTTCTTCCCGGTGTGCGTAAGCTCGTAGAGCACCTTCGAAAGCATAGGATTCCCATCGCTGTAGGGACTAGCTCCGGGCGGCTGAGGTATGAGAAAAAGACGAGCCATCTAGGTGACGTATTTGAGTGTTTCGAAGGGAACATCGTATGCGTTGATGATGAGAAGTGGGGAGGAAACTCTATGAAAGGAAAGCCGGCACCGGACATTTTCTTGGTCGCGGCTAGAGAGCTGTTAGGCAGGGATGTAGGTGAACCAGGGCTGGCTTCGGTAGACCAAATATCGGAGAGGCAGAAAGGTCTAGTGTTCGAAGATGGGTTCGCCGGTGTGCAAGCTGGGAAGCGAGCGGGAATGAACGGTACGTCCATACACTCTTTCTACTAAATATCGATACTGACTGTGTCCAGTGGTGTGGGTACCGGATAGTAATCTTCTGGGTGTGGAATATACTGGAGACGAAAAGGCAGATGTCACTCTCGGATCCATCGAGGATTTCATTCCCGAGAAATGGGGCCTTCCACCCTATGACAAGGAATCGTAGTCTTGCTTTCATTAGATTGTTATGTGTGTATTCTGCGTTCCATAATCTACAATTACCTTGCTAAAACTCTATTTAGACGTATATACAGTATCTTAGCTATCGATGACCGCTAAGAAATTCCATTCCGTAACGCGAGTAACCTTCATTGTCAACCCGTTCGCCTTATTCAATTCTTGATAAATCATCGAAATCCCACATCGATGTCCTCCTTTATAGAACCGACAGTGTCAAAGATCAAAATTCACAGGCCACTTTCTTGGGAACGTGCGCATTCCGCGTAGCTGTTTAGTGCCCCTACTTACATCCGTCTCAATGCGCTGTGCACGCTCTTTGAGGTGTTATTTAGTATGAAATTGTCAGGGAATCCTTTCATACAAAGACTACACTCTACTAATCGATAATTCTATCTCACGACTAGCCTGAGGTTCTCCTGCAATGAAGCGCCGGAACTTATGCCACACCGTTGACCGAGGATGGTGCTGAGAATTCTCATCTCCTTGAGCTGATTGCACAGGATTGGAAGACGCCTTGTCATCGTCATCCTTTCCAAATGCACCCACACACCCACCCTCGATAAACGCTTTGAAATCGGCCACGACACCAGGTATATCGTCGGGCTCAACCCATGTCCCTTCCGGGAATTCAAAGTCTTGCAATCGCTGTAGACAGCCGGACCAGGCCGGGTCCTTGGGACGGAGGAGAGCAAGACGACGAAGAGTACAGGAATCATACGACTGGATGAGGGTAGTGCAAGAAGTGAACAGATTGTCGGGCTCATACAAGTATTCCAGTGATTGCTGTCGTATATGAATATCCGAATCTTCGGATGCCAGTCCGGAGACGATCAAGTACAAAAATCTAAAGAGAGCAAGACTGGAGTCGTGTGTGCGTAAGTGTTCAAAGAGACTTGATACAAAATAAGCCGCAGTCTTGTCGGTGAAGGAGGTGGACCGGAGGAAATAAGTACCCAGTTCATAGGTATTAGAATATTGCTGTGAAGTGTCCTCCAAAGCGTTTCGCACAAATATAGTGGCCAACTCTGGTGTGCACCAGTCTTTGGCAAGGAATGGTGGGCGAGGTGACGTGGAATTTAGAACACGAAAGAACAGTAACAAAGCACGGCTTCGTTCGGGGAAAGTTAAAGTATCATCAAATTTAACGGACGAGATGAGCGTGTATAGCATGTTTAGGACAGCGTAACGATTATTGTCTAAGGGGACGGTAGGTATGTCGCCGTCATACGATGGAGGTGATGTCACGCCTAGGAAGTCACTAATGCCTTGCATTATCCTGAGAAACAAATTGTCGTAGAAAGGAAAGGTGGAGATGGGCATGCTTCGTATAGAGGGTGAGTCAGCCATGCTCAAGAGAAGATGGAGTCGCAAACCCTGAGAGGGAAATACCGAGAAATAGGCAGGAATCAGGGGAAACATGATGCGTTGATAATGTCTGCCATATCGAAATATGACTCTAGCAACATATGGGTATAAAGACTCTTGAATCGCTGTCCCAAGGGTAGCCACGACGGTATCTCCGTAAAGGATTCTTATACCACCACACCCAATGAATTGAGTAGGAGGAGTAAAATCAGCACTCCAATAGAACCGCGGTATCGTTGTGAATAATATCTGCATCACTTCGAGGTTATCAGGATTAGGTGTTCGGAGCTTCTGAAGAAGATATGCCCATACTATGGGCTGTAAGTGAAGAGCGGTAGGGTCATCGGGTACGGCTTTCAAGTTTGATATGATCAGTTCTCTGATCTCCGTTTCACAGTACGTGTGAAGAGACAAAAGCTCTGCATAAATGACAGGGGAGAAGCATCCCTTGGCAGGTAGTCGTTGTTCAAAAAAAAAGGGCCAGTCCGTGAAGCGGAGATGGGCTCGAAGAAGACGATCCACTTGACTTTCATGCATGGAGATATCGGGTTGGTAGACAAAGGTTTCGAGGGTTCTATAACATGCGCCACTGATATCGGCTATACGGCACTGGAGAGAACGCACGAACTTGAGCGGCAAAGCGCTCGTCGACTCTATCACAATCCTCTCCACGCTGGGGTTCGATGACATATGAATGAGCCAAGAAAGTGCTTGCAAATCTGTTTCATCGGCACTAGCATCCACAGCCGCACGTTCAGCACCCCTCAACGTGTGAACCACAGGGGCATCATCATCATCAGGAGAAGAAGAGGAAGAGGAGGAGGTTGACTTATGGGGTGGCCCCGCCCAAAGTTTGGAGATTGGAGAGGTCAGCCAGTTGAAAACGCCATTGTGCAAGATATATGTGTAGAGAGGGAATATGTATTGTGACAACGGAGTCTTGTAGGGGCATGAAGGGTATAAGATTGGAAGGAAGTTGGTGACAATGTAGGCCGAAAATGATATAAACGTGATTGCTCCAACGACACTGGCAATAGACACCCGCAAGGGGACGATAAAAAGTACCAATCCCACAAGGAATACAGCTAGCGATGCGCTCATCAGGACTGGAAGGAGTCCGATAATGAAGGGCACACGCCATTGCTGGAGACCCATGTACCGGAATTGACGCACACGGCATCTGTCCCGTGGTGTTCCTGAAGGCACGGACATGTACTGGTGGATCCACTGTTTTGTCAAGACAGCGAACAGTGCAGTAGTGAGACTCAGTGATAGACTGGTGAACCACAAGCCATTGACCCACGAGTCGGACGTTGAGGGACGAAAAGCGAGGTCTGAGCGAGGGACATCGTTTACGAGGGAACCGTTCGATGCCGAGCGTTGGACATTGATGAGCTCAATTAAAAGCAAAGTAGTGACCTCGCCGTAATCGACTTGAAGGCTCTGTGATGTTTGAGCGACAAATGTTGTAACAACCGCTGAGAAAAGACCAGCCTTTTCTCCTGTCAATGAAAGGATTTTCAATTCCAGGGAAATTGTACTCACAAAGACGAGGAGAACATCTAGACCGTCTCTCCACCCTTCCACCATCTCGCTATCAAATGGAGCACATTCTTCAAGGTATGTTCTCCACACCCTGGCTGTCGGCCCCAGCTCCTCGTATTGCTTATCCTCTGGGAATTTCTGTTCGTAGTCAAATGGATCATTCCCTAGCCTCTTCATAAGACGGGCAGCCGTGGAAGATAAGAATGGACACACCTCTGACAATATACTCAGGGCGCTCCATGCCCATTGTCCTGCGCCTCGACTTGCGCCTTCGACGGCGGGAATAAGACGTTAAATTCTCGACCTCTGGAACATGATCTTGGGAGATATCAGGAGTCCCCGAACGAGGTTCGCCCTCAGAGGCACCGGATGCCAATGAATGGCTGTCATTCTCATTGTCCTGGGCAGCACGATCAGAAGACATGGATGTTAGGGTGGAAGCCGCGTGTAAGACGCATTCTTAAGAGCCTACGGGTCTGTTCGGCTGCCAGGCACGGCCAGTTTTTGGTGCCCAGTTAGTTGCCGTTTTTTAAAAATCAACATGAACAGACTTTTCTCGTAGTCGTTTTGCGTGTTTCTGAACATCCATAGCCGCTAGAATAGCTTGGAAATCATCCAGTACATTATAATACATCAGCATGTTAGACAAAGATGATCTAGGAACATATCCAGCATGAATTAGAGCAATAATAAAAGTTCAAGCTGTTCCTGCTGTAGTCGAGACTTCCAAAGCACATGCGTATCTCTGAGATGGAAAGAATGTCAAATGTACATCTCCTGGAGCAATATACATATATCAAAGAATGTATAGGTAAATAGACACCGACTTTCAAGGCAATTTGACAACCTTGACTGCCTCAATCGGAGTTGCCGGTAGGTCTTACCAAAGATTTCAAGGCTCAAAAACCTTGGATAATGGATGAAAATGTATTGATCATGGTCTTGATAGAGCCTCTCATGCTTGGACCTCAGCTAGAGAGGCAGAAAGAGTCTGAAAGACAGAGTTTCATGCCGGGCCGGAAACAGCATTCCTTTGGTAAATTGCGCACAGAAAATCATTCAAATAAATGGAAGGACACCAAGGGTGTTTTTTTTTTCATAGTGTGTTAGATTTTAGGACATGCAGAGAGCTGAAAAACATGCGAAACGACGACGAGGAATGCCGGTTCACGGTGTTGGTCTTCCAAAAACGGTAACTAACTGGCGCCAAAACTGGCCGTGCCTGGCAGCTGAACAGACCCTACATTCCTCTCCCACGGTCAGCAGCGAGGTCCTCATGTCATTTTGTTACTGGAGGAAAGACCGGCAAGCATGGACAATGGCTGTTGGACGACAGAATTCGAAGCAGAGTCTAGGCCCACAGCGAGGAGCTTGTTCCAGGCATGTGTGAATTTCACAGATTTCGACCAACACTTGGGTCAATGTCCTTCTTGTTGTTCTATTTTGTCCTCGTTGCACCGGATCTTGTTCTCCCTGCAAGATTCAGCCTCAGCTTTCATTCATTTGCATAGGATCAAGAGACTAGTGCTCGAGGATGGATTTGCTGCGTGCAATCTGGCAAAGATTCCGGAATGAGCGGTGCGCTGATACGTTATCTCTATCGAACATTAAATAATGCAGTCAGAATCCCAGTGATGCATGTACTGGATAGCATTGTCATCATGGGTTTTTGGACCGTGCTAGAAAATAAAAAATAGATCGTATCGAAAATGACAAGGAGTCGTACTGTTCTCGCGTGTGTTAGATTGTTCTGCCTTCTATGACTTACTATATAAGTATTTGCTAAATGTTTCTGTAGATATAACGTCTATCGTACTTACGTGACTGTAAGGGTCACACTTCACAAAGCCATGACATGCGAGTAGCCTTCTTCGTCAACTCGTCGGTCTTAGTATTCAACGTTACGTTCAACTCTCAAGGAATTTTCCAAAATCCTGCATCAATACCCTATCTCTCCGCAAAACTGATAGCCTCATCTAATTATCAAGATTCGCAGGCCACAGTTTTCCTTTGAACACGCGCGTTCTTTTCGTCTGGTACTAAACCAGTTAGCTGCAGGTCGGGAACCTGTAAGGCATGCGTACCTTCCATTTGGGTAACCACTCCGTCATGCCCAACACAATATTCTCCGAGTCGAATGCAATGATCCACTGAGGACGAGTCACCAGACCCGAGCTGCCTCTCGTGTTATGGGTCTTGAACGTCTGCAATTCATGCCTCTTCTTGTTGCGGTATTCTTCTACATCCGTCTCAAAGTGCTGCTTACGCATCATCTCGAGTCCTTCAAGGGCAGCCAACAGCTCCGCACGTTGACTGCTCCTCTTAGCGCCCAGATCCAATTTATCGCCAGGAATGCTCCACTAGTCCCTCTCACAGCCTTCCATACCAATCCAAATCCCTGCGGTCGCGACCACTTGCCCATTATTAGAACACGCCCCTTCGATGAAGATGAGCCTGAAGTTGTGACAGGGAAATAGGTCCCCTTTGAAGGTCCGGTGGTAGCAACACGCCACGAAATATGTATCACAGCAGGTGGATTGAGTGATTAGCTCACCGAGGGAGAAGTCCCTGGCCAGTCGTTCACACAAAAGGAACCTGCGAGCAAAGATTCCTTCATGTCTAGGACTATGTTCAAGATCCATGAGTGTACAACACAATGAAGGAGATCCACCTCGTGTTTGATCCATATCGATATCGGGGGGAACCGAATTGAGATATCGAATCCTCTAGAATCGCCCGCTTTCCTTTGCTATATGTTGCTGGGATGTATGGTGCTCCTTTGTGAATGAACTGGGACAGGATCCAGCAGCACTATAATCCGGTGCTTGAAACTGACGTGGAAGACAAGGGCTAGAAGAGACATGGTTGAGGATGAACACTTGTCTGGTAGCCCACTGAACGTGAGCACTCCTGTTTATGCGAAATGTTTCTCACAATGCTATAGGGCAGAAGCAGCAGCCTATCTATGTGAAAGCATAGGAAAGAGCTACTCTGGCGACCGTAACGTCGGTATCGACGTCGGAAACGACATCAAGATTCGGAGTCTTCATTAGAACATTTGTCCGGCTACTGACTTGACTCTGGCTTTCTTCTACGTCTGGAGCTTCTCTCACAAGTTATCCAGCATATCTTCTTAATCTGATCTTGCGGACTCCCCTGCGACAGTGATGATATGCGTGTACATGAATCTGGCGGATTGTCTTACTACTAGCAGGAATGGTAAAGCCCCTGCGATGCCCTTGGGGCGGAGTGGTATCCGATATCATTCATCAAAAAGGGTATATGGGCGCATCTTCAGGTATCGTGCGATTACAGGAAAAATCACTATCGATGAAAGGTATATCAGTCCCGTTGAAAGGGACCCCACAAGCGCAAGGAGCGTAGACGACGAGTCTTTGAACTCATGTGAGGTGTGTAATTGAGGAAAACACCATAGGAGAAGGGATAAGACCAGACGAGGAGTTCTACGAGCCATGCGCTGATCATGTGGGCCCAGGCATCGAAACCGCGATCCTGTTGAACGGTGAGATGGTGCTTGGATGCGATAAAGGTGGATACCAGCCATAGGCGGCAAGGAAGTTGCGTTGAGAGGTGCTTCATCGAAATCTTCAGTGTTGTCCTGTACGAAATTCGACTGGGATGTAGAAGGTGTAGGACAAATATCTTAGCTCAATTGTCCCTTGCTCTACTTGATTGTCTCTGGAGTACTGGTTAGGAATATCAGGATCGAATGGGCATGACACACACCTTGCATTTATGGATCCAGCTACCATAGACATGGTGGTATTTGTGCGAGAACCCTCCCTTTCATTGAGTCATGTTTTTTTTTCTCTATCGGAGCATTTCCGAATCCTGCCTGGATGATCGCTCTTCCGTAGTATGGTGAAACGAGTGTTTAGTAGGTTCAATATTCATTAACATTGGGCGAGCCCTATTTTTGAAGGAGCTGACCTGGCGACAAAGTGGGGAAAGCAGAGTTCGGAGACCATAGGCGGTTTGAAAAAGAAGTCCTCAAGGATCACCAATGACGAGGCTTGCCAGTATCGGTCGTCGTGGTTAATTCAGGCAGTATTTGCACCATTGCCTAGCCCTGTAACCTTGCGACATACGAGCTGGAGGCGGTGGGGCAGTATAATGATGTCGCGGCATGTACCCAACGGCGAGGTAGCGAAACGCGAAAATGCAGTGGTAGCCGTGTCATCATAGATGCCGTTGTCACCGTCATCATCGTTGGTGGTGGTGATTTGTGGAGCCAACCCATGTCGCGTGTTAGTTCGCGAATTGTAGACCTCAGCAACCGTCGTCCTCACTGTCAGGTCCTAAGTGCAATTAGGGCTCACGTGGCGGCAGTACTGTGTATTTCAAATTTTGGAACTCGACCGAGTCGACCGCGACCAAAGGTGACGGGTACCAAGCTTTCCTGCTTCTCGACAGGATGGTGCGCGGCTTCAGTGCATGAACCTATCCCACACGATACTTCCTCGAGCCCTCACCAATGCTCGGAGAAATCACGCTAGCCTGCCTTGTCGCCCGACACTCGTTCCATTTACCTAGTTGATATGCATGTCAACCACACTCCATGACCCAGCTTTCTTCCTGCCATCCAATCGCCCGTCTATCCTTGCGATTCTAGGATTCGATATATCCCGGAGTTCGTTTTTTCCGCACCGTCCTGTTCGAAGGGAGAAAGCGTCGTCGTAATGCATTCGACACGACTCTTTGTTATGATAGAGCTGTATCTTCGAGATCGCAAGGAGACATGCGCAACATCTACGCTATCTTTTTTTCACAGCACCATGGTCATCATTGATTCTCCGTCGTCCATGCAATCCACGTACCCCAGACACCTTCCCTGCCAGCCTTAGCTTGATCACCACAACACTATGACGGAACCAATCTCCCGTACCCTCCTACAGCGACCTGTGATGATCACAACTGTCATTACACCCGCTTCCTTCATCACGATCCTAGCCGTGACGAAATGCACGCCCCATCGCCCCATCTTCGACGTCTTGGATGGCATACAGCGCTCTGGAATTATGGGAAGGCAAAGGAGAGGCCATATGCGATGGGGAAAAGGTGGTTGTGCTGCTAGGTGATTCTCTCAGTCTCTCGTAGGTGACCGGTGAGGACCCTCAAGTAGTTCATGTCGAGTCAGCCATGATCTGGAAGCAGTGCGCTGCCTCCTTTCGCGTCTTCCTGTACGGCTTCTACTAGTGATATATGGCATTCAACCAGCTTGATTACGACAACGCCATGAATGTTAACACCTCCGCCGCATCATCATAGTCCCAAGACGTTAATTTTACTACATCAAGTACTCGTCATAACCAACCCAAGTTCCTACCAAGACTCCCATACGGACGCTATGGACATAGCATGCGACTCTCCCTAGTCTTGCGATAGTTGTCGCTGCTTCCCACTTTCTGATCCGCCGACAAATCACAATACCTTCCGGTGTCTTCCCCATGTACACTCTCGACAATGGCATGCCACATAGACCTGACCCGATTGTTATGAGGTATATTCGCTCTGTCCGTCTCTCCTCCCCCAACCCCAGAACGTGATGCCTCTCAGGTTTCACGGAGATAGGTGTTCTTCAGCTTTGACTCTCATGTCGAGACTTGGACGTGCCAACGCCTGGAGAAGGTCGGGCATACCTCCCCTTCTAGGTCTCGGACATTACCTGTTAAATATCGACGAGGTTAATTCGAAGTCACTTGTGTCTTTCAGCGATGGCAATAGTTGGAACGGCACCCACCCGCCTCACTTTACTAAGCAAAGTCGCCTCAAGTCATGGCGATTTTCAAGCCCCGACATGCACCACTGCTTCTACTCTGTTCACCTCGTCGACAAACAGACAAAATTCGCAACTTCGGTTTTACTTTTTCCCATCACAGCTTTCCGACGCTCAGCCCTAACTCTGGCAAATTTTGGCGCCCAACCCACGTACATATTAGTAACACCTATGTACACTTCTATCCTGATCACCACCATGAGAGGATTAGTGTCATCGTTACGATACACCTGATGCTCGTCTTTTCCTCTTCCCATGAGCTTCTTACTGGAGGTTCCACCTCGCCCTTATGAGAGGATTCGTGCCGAGCCCGTTGCTCGACTGACGTCTGTGTTGGTTATCAGCCCATGGCCCGTGCACCATGTCTGACAATTAGAAATCTCATCGCCCATCAAACCCGCTTTCATGTTTTCGCCGATGTCCTGCATACGATTTCCTTTCTTCAAGCCGACTTTCAGACCCTCGGGCACATCTGTCTCACCTTTGCTGGTGCGGAGGACTTGCGGAAGGTGCTGGATATCCGTGTTCATTCCCATAGCAATTATACCCCCTACCATCGACCAACTCAACTACCACCTCTCGTACACCCATGGCTGCCTGTTTCCCTTTTTCACGTCCAGATACTCCGCTCGAGTCCTCTTTCCCAGCTACCCCATCCTCAAATGATCGCAGATTACCTCCACTCACCAATCTTCGTACTCCCAAGGAATGCCACTTGCCATCTGCCGCCTTCATTGGCTATGTCACGCATCGTCTACATCCCCATCCTGATTCCTGCTCATCTGCGCTGGCCCTCTTCCCCTTCCAACTACAGTTCGGAAGCTTGCGCTTTGACGACCTCAATTGTTATGTCCGCAGGTGGTATCCTTTGCGAAGGATCTCACCTGTGCAGTGGTACTCGGTTGTTTCGTGTACGATTTCACCAGTTTCGCAACACTTATGGCACCGTGCACGATGTTTGTCCATTGTATACACTTGTTTGATTCCAGCGGCATGGCCTGTCTCGCAATTTCCCATATGTATGTGTCCCTTTGAATAGATGAGCAAATCCAAGCACGTCTACTTTTTCTGCATTGTCGCTCGTCCGTCATTCCATGACCTTCTTAGGAATTCCTGCCCATTAAAAAGTGCTCGTGCGTTCATTGGCATCTTCTCATATACACGCCGTGGAGGTCCTCCGATGGGCGAAACGATGACGTCCTCCCATTCCTCGCTGTCAGCGTTTGTGCCGTATTGTTATTCAGACGTTGAGGATGAGGCACACGTTTTGTCGTACTGCGATGGAACCGACGACTTGACGGATTTGCGTTCCCACTTCTTTCGCAACGTTTTCGCTGAAATCCGCTTCATTTGGACTCCACATTCTCGTTGACAGTGATGATACTCGAATCCTAACCTCTCTTGCCAAATATGTTTTTGACATGTTTCGAGCTGTAAACTGTACACTGCTGTATCATCCATAAATACTTTGATTCCTGAAATTTCAATCTTTCGCAATCCCCTCGTTTGGCTATCCACTTTAGCACCCTGCGAAGAGTCTCTACTCCGCGAGACACACTCAACAGTGTGATTACAGTGGTATGAGCCTTCGCAGCCACAGCACATAGTTCGCCATGTCAGGGCTGTGGACCCGGCCGTTCCTTATTGGGACCTGGCGCCGGTAATACCACCGCCGCCGCCGCCACCACCACCATCCTCGTCCTTCCCCTCACTGTGTCATTTTGTCGTGGTCCCGGCTTTAGGTTGCGAGAATGCCATTAAACTCTATATGCCAGGATGATTATGGCGCGTATATGGACCATGTATCTTCAAATGCCTTGTCCGTCGGACTAGGGACGTTGACAGCCTCGTTGCACCGATATTCTTGCTTCCCACTTCCAAGTCCGCAAAGATGGTGGCCACCACAGTGGAATATGTGATTTTTGATATGGACGGTAAGTCTCCCTTGATAAAGAATATACCAAAACCTCACCGGTTTGTTTGCGGGATTGCTGATTGATACAGAAAGGATTCATACTGAAGTGACCAGTGCGTTCGATGTGTCCCTTACATCGTGTACTGGACTCACATTACACCGATAGATCAGATCCTGGCCCAGCATGGCAAAGAGATGACCTGGGACATAAAAGCAGGGTGCATGGGCAAACGTGCGTCTAGTAATATCTTTTGCTATCAAATCTAACAATTATTGAATAGCCGAGAGAGCATCGGCTGAGCATCTTCTCTCCTTCTTTCCTTCAATCTCGCTATCCGTCGATTCCTACATCGAGCAGAAGAATATCCTCCAAGATAAACTCTTGCCCTCTGTCCCCCTTCTTCCCGGTGTGCGTAAGCTCGTACAACACCTTCGAAAGCATAGGATTCCTATCGCTGTAGCGACTAGCTCCGGGCGGCTGAGGTATGAGAAAAAGACGGGTCATCTAGGCGACGTATTTGAGTGTTTTGAAGGGAACGTCGTATGCGCTGATGATGAGAGGTGGGGAGGAAACGCTATGAAGGGAAAGCCGGCGCCGGACATTTTCTTGGTCGCGGCTAGAGAGTTGTTGGGCAGGGATGTAGGTGAACCAGGGCTGGCTTCGGTAGACCAAATAACGGAGAGGCAGAAAGGTCTGGTATTTGAAGATGGATTTGCCGGCGTGCAAGCTGGGAAGCGAGCGGGGATGAACGGTGTGTTCATACGCTCTTTCTACTAAATATCGATACTGACTGTGTCCAGTGGTGTGGGTACCGGATAGCAATCTTCTGTGCGTGGAATATACTGGAGACGAAAAGGCAGATGTCACCCTCGGGTCCATCGAGGATCTCACTCCCGAGAAATGGGGCCTTCCAGCTTATGACAAGGAATCGTAGTCTTACTTATATGTGTGTACTCTGCGTTTCATAACCTTACTAAAACTCCATTTAGACATATATACAGTATCTTAGCTATCGATGCCAGCCAAGAAAGAAGTTCCATTTCAAACAGCTGTGACACAAGTAGCCTTTTTTGTCAACCCGTTGGCCTTGGTTGACTCTTAAGGCAACGATATCATCTCTTATAAATACCAAGAGACCCGAGGTCACTTCTCTTGAGACACGCGCATTCCACATAGCTAATTGGTGCCTCCGCATTCGTATCAATGTACTCCCTACAGTGATATTTAGTATGATAGTCAGAGCGTCACGTAGACTACACTCTGGCACCATTACTCGATAATTCTATCTCCTCATGGCCAGGTTCTCCTGCAATAAAGCGCCGGACCCTACGCCACACCGTTGACCCCAGATGCTGTGGAGAATTGTGGCTTTCTCCTTGAGCTAGTCGCACGGGATTGGGAGACGCCTCGTCATCCTTTCCAAATGCACCCACACATCCACCTTCAATAAATGCTTTGAAATTGGCCAAGACACGACGCATATCATTGGGCCGATACCATGCCACTTCCTGGAATTCAAAGTCTTGCAGCCGTTGTAGACAGCCGGACCAGGCAGGGGCCTTGGGACAGAGGAGAGCGAGACGACGAAGAGCCTGGGAATGACACCACTGAATGAGGGTAGTGCAAGAAGTGAACAGATTGTCGGGCTCATACAAGTATTCCAGCGATTGCTGGCGTATATGAATATCAAAATCTTCGGATGCCAGTCCGGAGACGATCAAGTACAAAAATCTAAAGAGAGCAAGACTGGAGTCGTGTGTGCGCAAGTGTTTAAAAAAACATGATACAAAATAAGCCATAGTCTCGTTGGTGAAGGAGGTGGACCGGAAGAAATAAGTACCCAGTTCATAGGCATTAGAATGTTGCTGTGAAGGGTCCTCCAAAGCGATTCGCACAAATTTGGTGGCCAACCGTGGTGTGCACCAGTCTTTGTCAAGGAATGGTGGGCGAGGTGATGTGGAATTTAGAATGCGAAGGAAAATCATCAAGACAAAGTTTCGCTCGGGGAGAGGTAAAGCATCGTCGAATTCAACCAACGAGATCAGCGTGTGTAGGAGTTTCAGGACAGCATGACGATTATTGTCTAAGGGGACGGTAGGTATGTCGCCGTCATATGATTGAAGTGATTTCACGCCCAGGAAGTCACCAATGCCTCGCATTATCCTCATAAACAGACTGTCATAGACAGGAGAGGTGGAGATGGGCATGCTTCGTATAGAGGGTGAGTTGGCCATGCTCAAGAGAAGATAGAGTCGTGAATCCTGAGAGGGAAATACATAGGTGGGATTCAGGGGGAACATGGTGCGCCGATGATCTTGAAGTATGACTTCAGCGACATATGGGTATAAAGACTTTTCAATCGCCGTCCCAAAGGTAGTCGCGGCGGTATCTCCATAAAGGATTTTTTTACCACTATACTCAATGAATTGAGTAGGGAGAGTAAAATCAGTACTCCAATATGACGATGGTATCATTGTGAATAATATCTGCATCACTTCGAGGTTGTCAGGAACGAATGGGAGGAGCTTCTGAAGGAGATGTGCCCATACTATGGGCTGTAAGCGAAGAGCGGTAGGGTCATCGGGTACGGCTTTCAAGTTGGATATGATCAGTTCTCTGATCTGCGTTTCACAAAATGGGTGAATAGACAAAATCTCTGCGTAAATGGTAGGGGAGAAGCATTCCTTCGCAGGTCGTGGTTGTCCTAAAAGAATGGACTCGTCCGTGAAGCGGACATGGGCTCGAAGAAGACGATCCACTTGACTTTCATGCATGGAGATATCTGGTCTGCGGACAAGGGTATTGAGAGCTGTAGAACATGCGAAAGAGATGTGGGCTATATGGCGCTCGAGAGAACGCACAGACTGGAGCGGCAAAGCACTCGTCGATTCTATCACAATCTTCTCCACGCTGGGGTTCGACGACATATGAATGAGCCAAGAAAGGGCTTGCACGTCTGTTTCATCGGCACTAGCATCCACAGCCGCACGTTCAGCACCCCTTAGCGTGCGAACCGCAGGGGCATCAGAGGTTGAATTATGGAGTGGCCCCACCCAAAGTTTGGAGATCGGAGACATCACCCAGTTGAAAAGGCCATTGTGCAAGATATAGGTGTAGAGAGGGAATATGTACTGTGACAGCGGAGTCTTGTAAGGACATGAAGGGTATAAGATCGGAAGGAAGTTGGTGACGATATAGGCCGAAAATGATATAAACGTGATTGCTCCAACGACACTGGCAATAGACACCCGCAAGGGGATGATAAAAAGAACCAATCCCACAAGGAATACAGCAAGCGATATGCTCATCAGGACAGGAAGGAGTCCAATAATGAAGGCTACACCCCATTGCTGCAGACCCATGTACCGGAAATGGCGCACACGGCATCTGTCCCGTGGTGTTCCTGAAGGCACGGACATGTACTGGTGGATCCACTGTTTTGTCAAGACAGCGAACAGCGCAGTAGCGAGACTCAGTGAGAGACTGGTGAACCACAAGCCATTGACCCACGAGTCGGACGTTGAGGGACGAAAAGCGAGGTCTGAGCGAGGGACATCGTTTACGAGGGAACCGTTCGATGCCGAGCGTTGGACATTGATGAGCTCAATTAAAAGTAAAGTAGTGACCTTGCCGTAATCGACTTGGAGGCTCTGTGACGTCTGAGCAACAAATGTTGTAACAACCGCTGAGAAAAGACCAGCCTTTTCTTCAATCAATGAAAGGATTCTTAATTCCTAGGCAAATGTACTCACGAAGACGAGGAGAACGTCTAACCCATCTCTCCACCCTTCCACCATCTCGCTATCAAATGGAGCACATTCTTCGAGGTATGTTCTCCACACCCTAGCTGTTGGGCCCAGCTCCTCGTACTGTTTATCCTCTGGGAATTTCTGTTCGTAGTCAAATGGATCATTCCCTAGGCTCTTCATTAGACGTAAGCCATAGAAGAGAAGAACAGACATACCTCTGACAATATACTCAGGACGCTCCATGCCCATTGTCCTGCGCCTCGACTTGCGCCGTCGACGGCGGGAATAAGACGTCAGATTCTCGACCTCTGGATCGTGGTCCTGGGAGATATGAGTTGTCCTTGAATGAGGTTCACCATCATAGCCGTTGGATGCCGACGAACGATTGTCGTTATCATTGTCCTGGACAGTATGAACAGAAGGCATGGGAGTCAGATTCAGAGTGTAAGGAGCTGTATAAGGCGCCTTCTTAAGCGCCTACATTTCCTCTCCCACGATCCCGGTAACAGCGAAGTCTTCACCAAAGTCGTGCCATTTTTTAGTGGAGGAAAGGCTGGCAAGCACAGAGACAGAGACCATGGCGGTTTGACGACAGAATTTTGAGCGAAGTCTAGGCCCACAGCAAGGAGCTCGTTTCCGAGCACGTGTGGATTTCAGAAATCTCGATCCTCCATCGGTCAACGTCCTGTTGTGCTATTTTGTCTTGGTTGCACCGGATCTCGTTCTCTCTGCAAGCTTCAGCTTCAACATTCAATGATTTGCCTAGGATGGAGAGAATAGTGTTCGAGGATGGATTTGCTGCGTGCAATCTGGCAAATAATCCAGCATGAACGGTGCGTTGATACGTTATCTCTATCGAACATTAAATAATGCACTGGATGGAATCCCAGCGACGCATCTACTGGATAGCAATGACGTCCTGGGTGTGGACTATGCTAGAAAATAAAATGCAGACGCCGTACGAGGTTTCATTCTAGACACATAGGGCCTTCGCCCTATGACAAGGAGTCGTACTGGTCTTGCGTGCGTTAGATTGTCCTACTTTCCATAACTCACTGTAAGTATTTGCTGAACGTTCTTGTAGATATAATATCTATCGTACTTACGTGGCTGTAAATACTGAGAAGAGAGTTACACTTCAAGAAGCCATGGCCGCGACACGACTAGCCATCTTCGCCAACTCGTCGGCGTTAGTGTTCCCCTCTCGAGGAATTTTCCAAAATCCCACATCAAAACCCTTCCTCTCCACAAAACTGATAGCTTCATCCAACTTCAAGTAAAGATCAAGATTCGCAGGCCGCTTTCCTTGGGACCTGCGCATTCCTTTCCTCTGATGCTAGCTAGTTAGCTGCGGGTCGGGAACCTGTAAGGCATGCGTACCTTCCATTTGGGTAACCACTCTGTCATGCCCAACACAACATTCTCCGAGTCGGATGCAATGATCCATTGAGGATGAGTCACCAGACCAGAGCTGTCTCTCGCGTTATGGGTCTTGAACGTCTGTAATTCGTGCCTCTTCATGTTGCGGTATTCTTCCACATCCGTCTCAAAGTACCGCATACGCATCATCTCGAGTCCTTCAAGGGCAGCCAACAGCTCCGCACGTTGACTGGTCCTCTTGGCACCCGGATCCAACGTGTCGTCAATGGGAATACCCCACTGGTTGCTCTCGCTGCTTCCCATAACAATCCCAATCCCTGCCGTCGCATCCGCTTGCCCATTATTAGAACACGCCCCATCGACGAAGATGAGTCTGAAGTTCTTACAGGGAGATAGATCCCCTTTGAAGGTCCCGTGGTAGCAACACGCCACGAAATATGTATCACAGCAGGCGCATTGAGTGATTAGCTCATCGAGGGAGAAGTCCCTGGCGAGTCGTTCGCACAAAAGGAACCTGCGAGCGAAGACTCCTTCCTCTCCAGGACTATGTTCAAGATTCATGGGTGTATAACACAATGAAGGAGACTCACCTCGTGTTCGATCCATATCGATATCGGGGGGAACCGAATTGAGATATCGAATCCTCTAGAATCGCCCGCTCTTCTTCGCTAGAAGTCGCTGGGATTCACGGTGATCCTTTGTGATTGGGATCGGATCTAGCAGCACTAAAAATAGACGTGGAAGATGAGGACTAGAAGAGACATGGTTGAGGATGACCACTCGCCTGGCCGCCCACTGAACGCGAACACTCCTGTTTGTGCGAAATGGTTCTCACAATGTCAAAGGGCAGAAATAGCTGCCCATCTACACTAAACTTCCCATATGACAGCACTGATATGAGGCTATTCGGGCTTTCTCCACATACTGTGGATATCGAGGGTCGCAGATTGGGGGATGCGAGAGCGTAGATGGGCTACTCTGGCAACTGTAATGTCAGTATCGATGCCTGGAAAACGACACCAAGATTCGGAGTCTTCATTGGGATAGTTGTCCGGCCAGTGACTTGACTTCCGGCTTTCTTCTACGTCTGGAGTTTCTCTCACGAGTCGTCCCGCATATCTTCTCAATCTGATCCTGCGGACTCCCCCGGGACGTGAATCGGTCGGATTGCCCTATTATTAGTAGGGGGAGGGAATGGTCAAGCCCCTGCGATGCCTTTGGGGCGGGGTGGTATCCGATATCATTCATCAAAAAGGATATACGGGCGCATCTTCAGGTATATCAGAAGATACTGACGGAAATGTAAGGCTATTGTCCTTTGCATTCATATCTGATCTTCTATCTTTTGGCAAGGTTACTACCAAAGCTCTCGCGCGCAACAGCGCGAAGGGTCTACGATGCTTGTTGCAGTGCGGAGAAGCCCGTACTGCAACTGACGAGTTAAACGATGAAGCCGGAAGGGAAGGACACTCCCTTGGGAGTTGATTTCGCTGATTTGAATTCTATCAAGCAGAGTTTGTGAGGTAAGACCTCTCTTTAGACAGTAGATTCGTTTACTCATGTACAGCAAAGCAGAGTATCGGAACGTCATGTTTTGCTCAAGGTAGTGAGTTCAAAGAGCCATTCCGAACACATCGCCTGGAGAGAACTTCTTGGGCCTTCAAATCCAGTCCCGCCTACCCAGGACTCGAGATGATAGAAGCGAATCTTCGACAAACCGTATCTGCCGCGAACATGTTGTGAGGTAATATATTTCCCGTTCATAGGGGATCGGACAATATAAATCGTAGCAAATACGGTTCAATGTGTGGCCCCTGGTACGAACTAGAAATTGGAGGGGCTTCCGGCTGATCGGACTAAGTAAGTTCAAGTTTCTTCCCATGAACTTGGTCGTCGCCGTCTAACACTTTTGTGCTTTGCTATTTGGGTTGGCTACTAGATTTCAGCGTACCGCTTAACCTGTCTTGTCCAAGAGTGAACAAATGCCTCGCGGCTTCCGGCCTCTCATACTCCCATCGAAATTTCGTGCGCATTTCCTGGTACCTTTCGGCTTCTAAATAAGCGTGTCAGGTGTCCGGTAACGAGTCCAGTTTTTCAGTGATTCAAGTTGCAAAATGATTGATCTTTCCTGCGTCACGGTGTGCTTTGCAGAATTCCAGCCGGGATATATCATGAAAGTGATTTCCTCCCCAGGCAGCACTGATCGCTTAGGAGTAGCTGGGTTCAGCCAAACGAAGTGGACACTCCGTACAAGGACCTGTCTCAAGAAACTGACTCGACGTGTTCTACTTATGGTCATGATATCAAGATCATGATCCCAAGAACCAGATGGCGGCGCCCAGTATCTGATATTAGGGTAGGATGTCTAAGGCCAATCAGTAACCGCCATCTAAAAAAAGATCATCGGCACGCTTAAAAACACCCAGCGTCAAGTCTATCGAACACTCTTCCTTCCAACACACACATTACGCGATGTCTCCTGCCACAGTCCACCTTTCTCCAACGCCGGACTTCCTCCTGTTCTCTGGTATCGAAGTTTTAGCAATCTTGTTCACCATGGCTCTTTGGGGTAAGTGAACGTGTCTGTTGTCATCTTCGTTGCTCAATACAAAGACAGGAATATCCTGCTTGCAAATGTCGGTCTTCTCATCCGTACATACGCCACGATCAACTCATAGGGATCTGTCTGTCGCTCAGTTTTCTTTACTTTTTCAAGTATGATCCACGCAGAACCGATGAGCTCCCATGTTAACGATTGCATTTTTCACAGCAGTACACAGGAAGATAGTTGTTACATCAAGGGTTTGGTACGGCATTTAGCTGTCTGGTGCTCACTGGCTGACTCATGACGCTCTACTCGTAGGTTATCTGGCTCTGGTCAGGCCTCATTCGCCATGTTTCCGCAGTATTTTTGATTTCTATGAATAGGTCCATGGATACAGTGCATCAAGGTCTTCTTATTTCCGGAGGTAAGTGTTAGTTTGTAATATCTCATCGGACGTTTTAACTGAGTGAGTGTCATCTAGTGTACAAAGCGATACGCGACAATGCAACAGCAAGTACAGATCATATTAGCTGGTATGTCCCTCCAGCTCAGAGATCCGTTGGTCGTTAAAGCATCCCGGTCTGCAGGGAGTATCTAGTCGGTATTCAATCATTATGAATGAATTTAACCTCTCTGATTTGCCCCAGATTCAAATCCTTTTCACGGTTAGGAAATCGCCTTGATCCTCCGTATATCTTGCATACTCATTGTCCTTCTGACTTTGCAGATTCTGGTCACCACGCCTGCCCAAGGGTTTTTTTCGTACCGAATCTGGATGTGTAAGACTATATTGCTCCAATAACGATGGGATTTAATATTTCTTCAGTCAGTAATAAAAGCAAACTTATCATTTCCTTCCTCGTATGCGTTTCCTTTTTACCCCTTCCACTCGTGCACTTATTCCTCAAATATTAACTCCCGAAGGCACCTGCCATCCTATTCCAACTTAGTGAGTGAATTTTCAGTTAGCTCTTGTATCGACACATATTGAAGAATTTATACCGTCTAGTCGACGGAATCAGTGAGTATAGAGAAACATTTCTACGCCATGTGTCGAGCCTTGACCCTAATATGTATAGTTTTCATGGCTATCAAGTGAGCCTCTGATGCTGGTTTCATTTATCACTTGATTGACAATATCATGATAGCCTTCCAGCGACAGACAAACTGCAGTTTACAACCTCTACTAGCAAGGCGAGAACCTAAATTTCGGAATATTCAGTTGTCGCGAGTTCTCATGCTGATCCAGGGCATCGCCATCGCATACTTCATCGACGGCGCCGTTGTAGATCTATTCATCGCCGTCACGATGTGCTTATTCCTCTGGCGAAGATACCTTCGTATTGGCATCGCAACCAAGGGGTATGTTACTCGATCTCTCGTTCCTCCCATCTAATCGCCACTCCAAGGACGCGTTCTATGATTCACCGGCTCACCCTCTTCTCTATCAACACGGGCTCCTGGCCAGCCATCATAGCCATCATTACTTTGGTCATGGTACGAATTGAAATATCTTATGATACGAACCACCGAGTTCACTGTCCCTAGTTACTGGCGTATCCGACCTACTATCTCTATGCGGGACTCTATTTCTTTCTCTCACCTGTTTACTGTAACACCGTGCTCGCATCGATCAATGCGCGACCGTATATTCAAAGCGTGAATAATGGACGACATATCTATATCCCAAAGGTACTTTGTAGACTCTACAAATTTTGCCAAGTTCTCATTCTGAGCGGACTCTAGGAATCCGGACTTCAATTCGCAAGTCATGATTCTCAAGGCGTTTGCTCTAATCTTCGTGGAACACCGCATGGACTGGAATTGGCGTCGTACAAAGTCGGTCCCGAGGAGTCGACGGAAGGAAATGACTGTCTGAACATCGTTTGAAGTTCTGGACATACTAAATGTATCCTAATAATGTGGCCATCGATTCCAGCAGCGTTCCTTGTTAGTATCCCGACCGTCAAGCCCAAATAA